GACTACAACTATCCTACACAACAGAAATACAGAATGTAAGCACTAGAATGTAGTCAGAACTTGTGGAACAGATAGAGAGAGAGAGTGAGACAAGAGTAGAGTATATAGAGTGAGCCTAAGAGTACAGGACTACCTGGAGTAGACAAGATCAAGACTATAGGACCAGTCTGATCTTGTATGCCTATATATACTAAACTACACAAGAGTACTCAGGGAGCATGAGCCACTAAGAATGATAAGCCACAAAGAATGAAAGAAAGGAATGTCAAAGATAAAGGTACAAAGAATGAAGGGATGGACAAAGGGTAAGAGACTATAGAATGAACAGAGAATGAAGGGGTGGTCAAAGGAATGGAATGATGAAGTAAGGAAGGGTAGTAGTAAGAGTCAGCATGCATATAGTCCATAGACAGTGCCCCTGAGGTACAGAAGTCCTGGGTTCTGGTACAGAAGGGTGTGGAACCCTCAGAACTGAAGGTAAGAGAGTGGAGAACTGTAACAGTAAGTTGTCTACTATTATGCATTAAGATTCTAATTTAAGCTAGCACCAGACTTGACCACATTTGTCCTTATAGATTGTAAGCATCAATTCATTGTTTCATGTAAATATTGTGCACATATCATTGTTTTATAGACATTCTCCAAATTCGTGTATTGGCACTTTACCAGAAAGGTGGGTACACTTACCTCCTTGATTATTTTCCAACGTAATGTCAGCAGATAGGAAACTGTCAATATGCCTCAAGACACTTATTGCTGTAGAAGCAGGCATTGGTCTCAGCATGCTCATACGTGATGGTCTGTTTCAAGATCGTGAGAGTGTCCAATTAGCTTTTGGATTGATTGACGAGTGGACTGATACAATATGTATCAGCTACTCCCTTCCGTCTGACACAGGGTATCAGCGTTTGTGTGGCCCTCAATCCACCATCATTACTTCCAATCATTTTGTGGTATGCATAAAACTAAATTGTCTAACCTTATTCTAACATAGTATAGGAGTATTGCTCTAATATATGGAATGATTTTACTTTGTTTGGCCCTGTTCAAGGCAGCAGAGTACTGGAGACTGTCATCCGGTTTCAAAGGCTTATATCTGGTTAAGGTCCTCATTGAAGACCAAGTTTTATACTACAGTTTGTAAGTAGATCATTTATATACATAATTACCTACTAACTCAAGCTCTTGTAGCGTCATATTCTGTTGCATCATGAGGATAGTAGAGATTGAAGTCCGGGATATGAATACTTTTGCCGAATCCCTTGTGAACGCAGTTGGAAGCCCAACACTTCTTTGTGTCCTCGGAAGCCACCTATTGGTCAATCTTAAGGAGGCAGGCGAGAGAGGCGCGAACGAAAGAACAAGTTACAGGTCAAGCACTGTCAGCAATATTGAGTTTGCTGAAGGTATACTCTGCTCCTATTACTTGTGTTGTAAACCCAGCTGAGTCGTTTAAGGTACTCCTCCGGAAGCTGCATACTCAAAGGAAGAAGGAACAGGCACTGTTTAACGAGTCTAATTTGCGTCCACTCTTGGGATAAGTACATATATACAACTACATTCCCATAGTACCAAACTATTTATTTGTTCTATAGTTGTGTAACTGGCTGTTGTTTCTTGGTATCTCGACCTTTTTGCGTTGAACGCTACTGATATTCGGTGTTGTGCACTACAATATACAACATGGACTCAAACTTGACTGGACAAAACATTTGCATATATTTGTGTGTGCAGGTAAATTGCAGGGCGTTTAGGAGCTGGATCAATATGTAAGTCGAAAAGCCGGAAGATTTGTTCTTGTTGGCAGACATGGAAAGTGTTAAAAAATACATGCTGTCTACTACTCAAAACCCAAAATCTATCTATTGCCCGCGATTGTATCGAAGTCAGCACCAACCTGGTCAGTCCGCGCCCCAAACAACGTCGGACTAGGTGGTGGCGGTATCCCCTGCAAGAAGCGTGCACCCCAACTCTGTTCAACAATCGCGTCGACTTTATCAAATGCTGTGCACCGCGTTTCGTACCTCTCCTTAGGTGGCATGAGAGAGGACGGACCAGAAGGAGTACTGTTCGTTCGATCCGGATCTTGCACTGCATCTCGCGGACCATGACGAATTCGAGACGGCAAGCAAGACGGAGAAAATGCCGTGCTACGACGAATGGCTAGAGCTGGGACCGGTTTATCTGTGAACTGTGGTTGCGCTGGCCTCGATGCCATTCCATTGCTGGGAGACTGTAAGGATATTAACTTGTTCGGCTGCCTGGGTCCACTCGGTCCCCTTCTGACGGGTGAATCGCCAACTTCACCATCCTGCCCACATCTTGGAGGGGTAAAATATCCGTGTTGAGACATGTCAGGACAGTTCCTTGCAAATTCACGGACCGGACTGAAGAACAGGTCAGATTCTAGATTCGGTAAATTGAGCAACGGCGGACTCGTTGGAAGAACCCGGCGGTCTGAATTACCGTCGTACTTGGATGGTCCACCCGAGTCGTCCAAGATACTCGACCTTCTTCTCAGGCTTCGAGGCGACACGAGCTTACGTGTCGACCTGACTCTACGATTAGGGACGGGTGTGTACTTATCTGCATTTGATCCCGTGTCTGATTTTAACGGAGTACTATACGCGCGGGCACCCTGCAGAATATTGCCGGGACTAACGTTGCTTACTCCAGGATCGCTCAGAGTGTACACCTTTGGCGGTGTTTGGACTCCGAGAGACACGATTGAGAAATCTGAGTCTGCTCGACCATGACGAGTGGCAAGTCCCGACGGCTTCTGCCTCAAAGACCCCTTCACCGACGAAGTTGAAATGTCAACGGAGTCATTCTCGCCCTGTAGTAAAGCGCCTTCCTCGAGTTCTGGTGTCTTTCCTCGCGCCTTGCCTTTCGTTTTTGACTTCTCCCGTCCAGGGGTACGTTTCGTACTGAACTTCATTCGGAGCTTCTCAACAAGCCGTCTGTGAATAGATTTATGCTGCACAGGCCCGAGTCTACTGGCCAAACGGCGAATATTTCCATCATCTTCATTGTCTTCACCAGATTTAGCGACAGAACTGAACGCTGTACGGGCAGACGGAGATTGAGTACCTCCAGCATAAGAAGTGTCCTTCTCAGACGGGAGAATGGATATGTTTGCAGGCTGGCGAGTCACCCGGTCCTTGATATTAGCACCGGACTCCGGAATGGATTTTGGACTCCTAGTTACAAAGCTACTAAGTATGGGGGAACGAAGGATGGCCGAAAAGCGGCCGGGAAGATTGGTAGATTTAAACGTCGTAGGAGCCATTAAAAGTTCTCGAGTCTCTGTGTCCTCATACTTACTCGAGCAATCGTAATCCTGCCCGCGTAGGTGTGGTCCCATTGACATATCTCCTTCAGCAACAGTTCCACTGAAGTCGTTATTCGCATACGTCACTGTATCATTAAGAGTCTTCTCGCCTTCATCTTCACCTTTGACTCCTTCGTACCTAGGACCAGCCAGACGATCCTCAATCCGTGCATTGCGTCTTCTCTTCCAGTAACCATAAGCGAACCATCCGCATGCAATACCCAATGCCGCGCTAAGTAATCCGAACAAAGGCGCGAGAAGGGTGGAGTTAATCGGCTTGTGATAGGAGTAAGATGCACGATGACCATGGAAAGGTGAACTCAGTGGAGGAAGTGCCGTGATGGTGATCAATGACGAGGTAGAGTCTGCACCGGCGTACGAAGACGATGCGTCCAAGGAGACACCAGGCAATAAACTTGCGCTCACAGACGAAGCTACAAAGTTCGATGCAAGAGGAGTACCGCTCGTCAGTAATGATGTGTCTGTAGGCGACTGAACGTCAGCAGTATCCGTGTTGTCCGCTGCCGAAGTCGGAGCCAGCGGAAATGGCCACCAATAATCGAAGCTGGGGGACGAAGTTGTCATCGTGGGTAACGGAACGGTCAATTGCGGTGCAACCATTTGACGTTTTTGGTGCTCAGGCAACGCGACATGCTGAGAATATGTTCCACTTGCGGAAACCGGCACAGATAAGCGCGTCAGACAAGCTAAGCCTATAATGCCAAGCATGAGATGTCGCATCTCATGTTGCCGCAGCATCGTGTACTAGAGTGCCGGTCCTTCTCGCTCTTTTTGTGAGAGTTTACAGTGAGAACGCCAGCCAGCCAGCAATGCTAGATCGGAAGTGCGGTACTTGGAACAAGACTAATTGTTCCAATTCGAAGCTCGACGCCGAGAGCAGACAAATCGGCGTGCGGAGTATCTAGTGAAAGTCCAGCTGCTATGAAAGTCGATCGACGAACAATATATGATGAAGGAGAATAAGAAGGCCCTGTCAATGCCGAGCGACGAGTATGCCGCCAAAAAGTCTTTGGACGGACTGGGAAACGGTCAGTTAGGAGAATTAACAAGACCAGTGAGTACCTACACAGAGGCGGAGCTGGTCTCCGTAGCCCGCCTTGTGAGTGCGAATGAGCTTGAATTATGCTTGGCGCAGGGGAATATGTGAACGGATGGAAAGACTTCGTGTACGAGGGCCGTTGGAACTGTGGGTCGTCCTCGTGCTCGTCCTCAGATGCCTCAGGCACGCTCTCGTCGCTATCAGCCTTGGATGAGTCCTCTTCTCCTGCAGACGATTGAGACTCAGATGGTCGAGCACTTCGAGCGTTCCTCGGTGCACGAAACGAGTTAAGGGGAGGAGAGAGAAAGGAAGAATCATATTGAGGTCCATTTGGAACCGAACGAGTAGGGGATGAGACCTGATGATTCGAAGTGGGACCACAGATTGTACGATTAGAATGTCTCAAAGGAGGGTCTAAGCGTGAAGGGAAAGTAAGAGAAATGAGTGGCTGAGGAAAAAGGATAGTTAAATCAGCCATTCGGATGATTATGGCTTGAGGCAAAGGACGCCAGCACGCGTCGAATTTGGACCCGTGCGTCGATCAATCACCACCAATCTTGACACTCGACCAACACTCTATTATCCATACCATAATATTATTCCCCATTTCTTATGCAAGCGAGCATGCAGTTATTGCCTTAACTTATTCTTAATACTCTAGACATTCTCTAATCTCGTTGAGGTTTGTGCAAACAGTTTTAATATCTTTTGTAAAATGAATACTCACCACGACGCGGCTTAGGGAGTCCGTGTTCCGAAGCGAAGTAAAGTTTGATACGAACGGATTCAATATCCAAGCAGACAAATTTCTCCAGAGGCACACAAGGTCCTCGGTTATAGGTGCATTCGCTCCATTTCCTCTCCCAGCGGCGCTGCCGGAAATCTGCTCCCGAAATCTCAGTTAGGGAGCTGATTGTGCCGGTGGTCATGCGGTTGGCTTCCATCACAAAGGACCGTCATTTTTCCGACTACACCCTTATAAATGATGCAGTTTCCCCAGAGGTGGGTTGGCAATATCTTCTCATTCCCCACAAAACATGGCGAGTGTACTCACCGGTCATGACGAGAAGACCATCGACGATATCGAAGACAACCGCATCGATCAGGAGCCCTACAATGACGATCCAGACGCCGAATTCGGTGGAACCGAGGCCAGGAAGCGTCTGGAGCGCAAACTCGTCCGCAAACTGGATATGCGCATGTGTATTCTCATCATCATATACATCCTAAACTATGTGAGTGCTGCTTGCGGGACCGCAACGCTCGGAGTGACTGACATCCTCTCCGATTCAGATTGATAGGAATAATGCAGCGTAAATAGTTTTCCCAAGTTCCGTAATGTCATACTTGCTGACAGACAGTGTCGTACAGTGCGGCAAGGCTTAGAGGTTTTGAAGACGACCTACACCTCGTAGGGGAGCAATTCAATACACTTCTCTCTATTCTGTGAGTAGCTTTGTACGCCGGAAGAAGCCAGAATGGAGGTACTGAACTTGAGGCCAGCTACGTTGGCTACATCATCATGCAAGTTCCATCGTAAGTTTACTCTGAGCGGTCTTATATTATCTGCTCATCTCTAACTTTCCTCAGGAACATGTTCTTAAATTATATTGGAAAGCCGTCAATATATTTACCGGCTTGTATGGTTGTTTGGGGAACAATATCCATATTGACTGGTGTAACAACGAAGTTAGTGGATACGTGCATCAAGGTCTGGCTTTTTGCTGACCCGTTCTTGCCATAGCTTTGTTGGTGCCCTAATGACTCGTTTCTTCCTTGGCTTTGTTGAAGCAGCCTTCTTCCCTGGTGCCCTCTTCCTACTCTCAAAATGGTATCGACGTGATGAGCTCGGACTCCGAACCGCGTTGCTTTATTGTGGCTCCCTTATATCTAATGGCTTTGGAGCTCTCATTGCTTCTGGTATTCTTGACGGAATGGATGGTGCAGGAGGACGAGCTGCATGGAGGTAAGTTTTACGATTATACCGTGGATGATTGTTAGTTGATTGTGTGTTTCAAGATGGCTCTTCTATATCGAGGGTGGATTGACTGTCTTCTTCGCTCTTATTTCCATCTTCATCCTTCCAGATTTTCCCGCGACATCAAAGTGGCTATCACCCCTTGAGCGCCGTCTGGCTGAGAAACGTCTCGAAGAAGACGTTGGAGTAGGTGATAGCGACGGTACTATGCACATCTCCCACGTCGAAGGCCTCATCATGGCATTCACGGACTGGAAAGTGTGGTGGTTGGCACTTGCGTTGACCTCCATGGTCATCTCCTTGAGTTTCAACGCTTTCTTCCCGACACTCAGCAAGACCATGGGTTTTAACAACACTGTAACATTGCTGCTTTGCGCACCTCCATGGGTCTTTGCTACCATTTGTGCATTCATAGTGACCAGGTGAGGAAGTAATTAAGAGCACGTTGGAATCTTACTGACCGCTGGTTTGAAGACATTCTGATGCAACTCGCGAGCGATTCTGGCACATAGTCTGCTCATTGCTCGTTGGCATCGTTGGATTCATTATAGCCATCTCAACGATGAACACCGCTGCTCGTTATATTTCTCTGTATGTCTTTCCGCCCTATACTTTCGGCGACTGCTAATTTCTGTATAGTTTCTTAATGGCCTCATCATACTGCGGCTTCATCGTTTTCTATGCCTGGATTAGTAACTCCATTCCGCGCCCACCCGCTAAACGTGCAGTCGCCATCGCATTCATAAACGCGTTCTCGCAACTTGGAAATATCTCTGGCTCGTACATTTGGCCTACGAACTGGGGCCCGACTTATAGGAACTCATATGCCATCTGCATTGCTACGAGTGGTCTGTGTATCCTGATGTGTTGTGTCTTCCGTACGCACCTAGTTCAACTTAACAAGAAACTAGATAAGGAGGAGGAAGAGAGTGGTCAGACGGTTAAGGGCTTTAGATATTTGATTTAGAACATACATATACCGTTGGTCTAAATGCTGTCGTATCTAGATGTGGTTCCTTGGCTTGAAATGTACGCCTAGTAATGTCTTTCACGTAAATATTATTTGTTCAAAATGCCGTCGTTAACCGATAAGTTTGCTGGTGCTGAAACTCCCGTGCTACACCACTACTTAATTCTCAAATTCTCAATTTACGACCAGTACGCGTGCTCTTCGCACGACGCCACATTTTGCCACGCTGAGGTTATAAAAGCAACGCTATCTCCGAATTTCATTATCCTGAGGGATTTAAAAACCTCTTTTGAACACGTGCCTTCCTTGCTCGCGATCACTGTCGTGTCTGCAGTAACTAGTAGGACGATCCTTTCGATGGTTGGTATTCCGACTCCTCTTTAAAGCATGCATCGAAGCTTTACTCACCTCAAGTACCTTCATCGCAGGTAGACTCAAGTAGAAATACCCCTGCGAAGTTAGATTCGTTGCAACATGGCCCATCAACGTACAGCCCAAACGCCGCATCCCAAATCCCATTCTCCGAAGTCCAGAAGCACAACACACGCGAAAGCTGCTGGGTGATAATAGACGGACAAGTTTATGACGCTACGAGTATGCTTGATACCCATCCTGGGGGGGCTGCTGTCTTGATTAAGAATTCTGGGAAGGATGCAACGTATGTCAATCAATATGACAATCAAACCTAGTCAAATTTCGTTGGCGTGTTAAGATGAACTCTTTCTGCTTTTTGTGAATTAGGAAAGCATTCGTCCCAATTCATCCTCCGGGAACGTTGAGCCAGCTACCTCCCGAAGCGCACCTCGGACCTGTCGATCCTGCAACTGTCCCGAAGGAAGCAACAGAGCAGACAGAAGAAGAAAAGCGGATAGCGAAGGCGCGAGCGAATTTACCCCCTCCGGAAGCTGCTTTGAACCTTGCTGATATCGTGGTATCTCTGTTTCGTACCTGGTTTAAATTTTGGTATATAGCTGATAATATTGAATTTATAGAAATTTGCTCAAGAAGTCCTTACTACAACGGCATGGGCTTATTATCGGTCGGCTGGAGATGATAACTGTAGTACGTTTCTTTTGTTCGAGGTCTCCAAGTCTTCTATCTGTAATGATACGTCGTTTGTAGCATTTGACGAGAACACCGCTGCATTCAAACGATTTTGGTTCAGGCCTCGAGTGTAAGCGTTTCGCTTCTTTTGTTCATGGAACAGCTGCCTTAGAAGAATATATATGTTTACTTTTATTCTAGTATGAACAAGGTTTCACGAGTATCCACCGCTTCATCTATCCTCGGCTATCCCTGTTCATTACCAATTTTCATTTGCCCGGCTGCATTGGCGCGTTTGGGACATCCAGATGGAGAGATGAATCTTGTCCGTGCGGCTGCTGCTGAGCAAATTGCTATGGGCGTAAGTATAAACATCATCCTAAGATTGTCAACCTCTCAGCTCAGTATATGTATATGAATTCTTAGTTGTCGATTAATGCAAGCTGCTCTATCGACGAGGTTATTTCCGCGCGACAACACCCCGAGCAACCTTTATTCTTCCAGGTACTATTCCCATCTACTGATAACCTCTCTTTGCCAACAAGTTAACTTCGCTTTATTGAAAATTTCACAGATATATCTAAACAAAGACCGAGCAGCCTCAGAAGCTCTTATCAAACGCGTCGATAAAGAAGGGTTCAAAGCGATCATTCTGACTGTCGACGCTGCGACTAAAGGAAAGCGAGAGCTTGATCAACGTGCCAAGGGTAACTTCTCTGTACGTTGAACATGCAGATCCATTCCTTTTTTTTCTATGTGGAATTTTATTGGATTGATCTCTATTTCGTTTTTTATTTTTATTTTAAAAAAAAGTCGACAATGGGACCTGCGAACAGCACGTCGACAACGTCGACAAACACAGGTTTAGGCGTCGCGCATGTAAGCTCAATGTTCATCAATTTGGTCGGTTGAATACGGTATGCTAATATGACATCTAAGGCTATTATGGGCTATCAGGATCCGGACGTTTGCTGTAAGCGGACCTAATTATGTTCTCGAGATACCTACCCTCACATACATCATTGGCCTTGAATAGGGGAAGACATTCCTTGGATACAAAGCCTCACGAAGTTGCCTCTTATCATCAAGGGCATCCAGTGTATCGAGGTATCAAACTCTCTTCAGTGCTGGCAATTCAGACAAATTTCATAAATGAAATCAATGCAGGATGCAATAAAGGCGTTTGATTACGGCGTACAAGCCATAATAATCTCAAATCACGGTGGTCGGAGTCTCGACTTGTGAGTAGCAGTCCTACTTTTAAAGAATACCATTACACATTGCAAACTGATCCGTATTTCTAGCTCGCCCGCCCCAATGACAGTTCTTTACGAACTACACCAACAACGTCCCGATATCATCCAGAACAAACTAGTCTACATAGATGGCGGCGTTACGCGTGGGACGGATGTGTTGAAAGCACTCGCTCTTGGTGCTCGCGGTGTCGGCTTAGGCAGAGCGTTCCTTTACGCGAATGGTGTTTGGGGAGAACCAGGAGTCAGGAGAGTCGTCGAGAGTAAGTATCTTTCGGTATCTTTTGCGATGTAAGATATGCCTGTCCTGATGTTGAACCTATTTTTTTCTTCTGTAGTCATGCGCGAGGAAATTGAGACGGGGATGCGACTATTGGGAATCACGAGTCTTGACCAGCTTACACCGGATTACGTTCAATACGTTGATAGAATATCTGCTAAACTGTAGCATGTGACGGATGTTTTTGGTTGCAATAGGATTGGATTGGATTATTTGCAGGAAAATCAAAGGAAGGTGCAACGAGTAAAATGCAGATATACACAGCAAAAAGAATGAGCCAAGGATAAAATTCAGATATACGCAACGGACATCTTCCATCCCTTCTTGAGGGTGAAGCCGTCCAATGCTTCTTTTGCAACAGATGCGAGCTCGGCAGAATCATAGATGACTTGAGCCATCTTGACCTTTTGACCCGCAGCATTTGGAGTCGGAGATTGAGCGACATGTGTAGAGATGAAGCCCTGATACCTGTTTGCAGAGAGTTAGAGCGGTCACGAAGAGAAGTTGAAAGCACGTGAAGAACGTACTGCTGAAATAACACTCCAAGAACATCATCCGTAACTTCCATGGGCAAGTTCGTACCTATCAAATAATAAAGAAGTCAGATTTCATAACTCTCAAGAACCGTGGTGAAGTCACGTACATAGTAATCGCGCCGACGGTTGCTCCAGTACGGGCGGGACGGCTAGTTTTTAATATGGTTAGATAGATTGGTCATACGCATAAAGTGTAACAAAGTTAAACAAAATAGCGCATCAGACAGAAGAGACGCACCCTGAGCGGCCTGTTGTTGCTGTTCTTGAGCCCCTGAGTCGTTCTCGTCTTCCAGCTCCATCTCCTCTCCATCTCCGTCTTCATCCCCATTCGGCTTTTCGCGTTTGGGTTGACGCGCACCGCTCGCCAAATCTTCCTCCTCCTCTTCCTCTCTACTTCGCTTCTCGACGATATTCGACGCAGACGTCCCGTTGAGCAGTCTTGACTGGCCAACTGGGTTTGGAGGGATGAAGTCAGGATCTTCTCTCCGAAGCACGGCGTATGATTTGCTTTTGGCGTAGTGAATATGCTTTCAACATCGCAGCAGCATTCAGCGAGACGATTCGCGAAATACGCCAATTCTACGACTCACTAGAGGTTTATCATAGAAGATCATGCCCTCACAAGCTCGCATAGCAGTAGTAGCTTCGGGAAGGTCAGCAAAAACAACGAATGCTTGGCCTTTCATTCTGGCGCTTTTTATGGCTATGATGTCGATAACTCTCCCGTAGGTGGTAAAGAAGGAAAAGAGTTGTTTTTTGAGCTCATCCTTGTTGATCTTGTCGTTTAGATTGTTGACGTACAGAGTCGGGTTTGGAGCTATAGCACCAGACATGACGGCAGCCGGCTGAGGATGGAATGGTAGCGGTGGAATGGATGGGCACGAGATTATTATAATTGTAAATTCCCACGAATACTTCTACTTTGCAGCGACGCGTTTCTAAGTCGGTGCTGGATCTGCAGCCTAACGTAAAACTGAGTCTCTCTCCCGGAGTTTGTCCTCGCTCGAACGTGCGTCCACACGCTATCTGCAACCATCCAGCACGTTCACACAGCGGGTCCAGTTCCAACGACGCGTATAGGGGTCAACGAGGACGCGGCTCACGCGGAGTTACTCGAGCTTGTCAACGTGGTCGCGTATGGTCTGACTATCTGGCTTCTTTTCGTAGCGACGCTAACGCACTCTCTCTTTTTTTTCCCCTCCAGCTCATATCCGGGGCTCCTCATCAGTTTTATTAGCCCTTTACCTTGGAGTGAGTCATGAACATCCAAGGTGCTCCGGAATGGCTCCCCACGTACCTCGTTCCGTTTTTCACCCTCTCGTATCCCTCTGCGCGACCAGAAGCGCCAGACTCCTTCGCCACATCCAGCTACTACACGACGGGCTTCCTTGACGGATGCTTCATCATTACCTGCATAGCAATAATGGCCCTCCTCCGCGATATTTTCAGGGTATTCGCCCTGGAACCGTTTGCACACTGGTTCTTGACGCGCAAGCAGCAGTCGTACGAACCTCTGAAAGATGTCGTCAACGGATCAGCCGGGGGCGTGTCAAACGGCAACGGACATGTTAATGCTGAGGAGAAGAGCGATGCCCTGCGTAAGAGGCGTCGTGAAGAACGTGTCGTTCAGAGGAGTGTGCTTCGGTTTGCAGAGCAAGGCTGGTCTGTGATTTATTACTCTATTCAATGGGCTTTCGGTCTAGTAAGTCAAAGTTTGTACTCAAGTAAACCCGAAAAAAATCTGATGATAGCACAGTATATCCATTGCAACCTCCCAACTGCACCTTTCAAACCCTCCTTAGTCTGGCTAAACTACCCACACATCCCTCTACCTGGACCTGTCAAGCTGTATTATCTAACACAGACGGCATTCTACATGCACCAAGTACTCATCCTCAACGCTGAAGCCCGTCGTAAGGATCACTGGCAAATGATGGCTCACCACGTTATCACGATCGTTCTCGTGGTTCTGTCTTATTTCTACAACTTGACCCGTGTTGGGAGCTTAATCATGGTTCTAATGGATTACTGTGATATTTTCCTTCCGGTATGTCCGACAGACCGTCTTGCATGCTACATCTTCACTAATATACTAATGCAATAACTCGATTATTCTTAACTATGTAAACAGCTGGCTAAGATGCTCCGTTACCTTTCTCTCCAAAAGATTTGCGATGCAATGTTCACCTGGTTCCTCATTTCGTGGTTCATAACCCGCCATTTCTTTTTCATCCTTGTCATCAAGTCGTTATACTCGGATGGATCAACGCTCATTCCCTTCATCTGGTCCCCAGAGGACAATCATTATTGGACGTACGAAATTTGGATGGGTTTCCTTGCACTTCTTATTTCCTTGCAGGTCAGTATTTTTTTTAGTACCTTGGGATATTCGCTCCGTTCCTGATTGGAATGTGCATTTTACAGTTCATCCAGATAATTTGGTTCGGCATGATATGCAACGTGGCATGGCGTGTGATTAGCGGTCAGAACGCAGAAGACGTACGGAGTGACGATGAAGGGTAAGTTTTTCTTCTTTTTTCTTTCTTATTTTCTATACTGTGCTACATACTAGATCACTTTCTAATTTGACTTCCATCCAAATTAGTGATGACAGCTCTCATTCAGAGGATACCACCGAGAAATCGATACCCAAGCATTCTCAACTCAAAAAGCGACGTTAGAATACATCGCGCATACGCTTCATAATTGTCGCCTCACGCTTTTTACACCTCACCTGGGACAATTTTGACCACTCCTTCATTGTCCATTGTCCATATACTTACCGACATAGTCTTTCTTTCTTGGATCCAATTAGTATTAATCTTACTGCCTTCATATATCTTGCAATTGGCAATACAATTTGTTGATGATGGCATGGCGTGCATGGCTTTCAACAAAACCAAGCAAAACAAGCAACGTAGATGCATCTACAGATGTGTGTATTTGAGATAAGATAACGTCAACGACGTCCTCGACACCGAGAAATCCATAAGCAAGACAAGTTACATATATACTGATGCATTTATCGATACTTGAATAAAATGATAGGTGCAATATATGCAACCGTTAGCGCCAAACGTCGTTCTCGATAAACGTCCCGCCTGAAGGCGTCGTGATCTGCATATTTGGGTCCGATTCCCAAGTCACAGCACCGTTGAACTTTCGAATGTATTTGTACTGTATAGTCGTGCTCGCTGGGAGGTTGATCGTCACTGGAACATTATTGTCACGGGAGTCAGCGATATTTGTACAGCGTGCATGACAGGTGCAGAAGGAAATAGACGTACCACTCCAGGTAGGATAGTTAGCAGCACTCAAGATGATCGCGTTGTCTGGTGACCAGTTCTGTAGCGCATCGACAGAGCCGGTGATATAAATGTTTTCTGGAGGACGATGGGTTAAGCAATTAACACTATACAGTCTTGTTTCCTGTGTAAGACGAACCTCCAAACACAGTGGTCGCCTGAACGTTAAACGTTACAGCGACAGTACCACCCGAACCAGGTCCCGACCCACTAGTAGAGCACGTCGAAGGTACCGTCAAGCCAGCAGCTCCCCAGCTAGCTGGTACGAATCCATCGCGAGCAGCGAACGCCGTTAACGCAGCAGCGTAACTCCACGTAAGGTCAACTGCACTCGTAGGCGTTCCGTCACTCTTCGAGTACTGTTCGGATAAACCGCCGTTGCTTGGAGTGTACTTTGCAACGACGGAGACGAAGCCGTCTGCGAAGCTCTTGATGGATGAAAGGAGGGACGTAAACGTTGAAGAGGACGACGCATATGTGCCGACAGCGATGTCGGATTGGAAGAGGGCGAAGAAAGGTTGTGAAACGGATGTAACGTTTAGTGAGCCTTGGGCATTCCAGACGGTGATTGCGTCGTAGAGCTGCTCGGCAACAGAGAGAGTTGTTAGATACCAGGGCTGATAGTTACTGCTTGTCAATTATCATATGTCATGGGAGGAGTGTTGTAGTAGCGTACATTTCCGTTGAAGTACACATCCTCTGGATAGCGGCCAGTGGCAACGGCTGCGTTGGACGCTATTCCAGAGTTGATCGAGTAGATACTTCTGAATGCGTCTACATATGTCTTCAAATTTGCTAGAGCTCTGTCCGAGCACGGCTGGAACGTTGCCGCGTCGCATCCAGCACTCGAGTCAAACGTATGAATGGACGCGAGAACCGTGTTGGCATCTTTTGGAGACCAATCAACAGTTGTTTAGATTGTTGTCCCAGTGACTTACCTTTTCCAGAGCGGCCTCCTCCTGTGTTTGCAGTCATGAAGTTCCCTCCAGCATTCCAAAACGACTGAAATATGTACAATTTTCAAATGTTAAGACATTGCACCGAAAATAATCCCAAAGCTCACCTGCATGAAGCACAGAATATTCTCCGCTTGCGTCGTGTATCCCGAAACAACACTAGTCTGACCTATTTTCGTAGCAAGCGTAGCACCTTCCCGGAGAGACCGATGCTGTACAGCGGCGGTAAAGAAAGACGTAGAATCAACTTCCTCCCAAAGATCGAAGCTATGGCAAAATTTTCGTCAGAAGTCAAGCATATAGCAAGCGTTCATGAACTCGTACGTGGTTTGGTTCCAATCCTGAGCAACGTAGTCCAAGTCGAGTTGAAGTATAGGCCAAAGGGTGTTAGTAACAAACGATGAGTTGTCATTCGCAAGCAAATAGTTAGCATAATTTATGATGGCAGTCGCACGCAAAGCTGGTCCGTCTTCGTGCCAAGAAAAAAAACTCAGTACATGAATTTTTCGAAATGTTGAAGAGATTACCTCGCTGGGGACGTCCCCATGCACCCGTAAAAGCAGTTTCGTCAATATTGAACTTAGGCTCTCCAAGGCCACCGGTAGACACCGTTCCAGATGGATTTGATACCTGTTGCAGGGTAGCCTCGGCGGAAACGAACTCGTCGATAAGTGTCCTTAAAGATGTATCTTGCCCATTCGTATACTGTGCCACGGTCAGCATCGGAACGAGAGAATTATGCATTATTCATGTACCTGGTCAATAATAGTCTTGAAAACAAGAGACGAGTCCCGAGTCCAGGTGAACAAATAATTCGGATTGGTGGTACTCGGAGACGCAATCACTATTGAACATCATGAAATATTCGTTAGTATTGCAGTTCTTACATATAATGCAGCGTATGGCTCACCGATTCCCGGTTTCGCTCCCTGAGATTTCGACCCAGATGCTCCAATATTGGCCAATAGGTTGCTTTAGGAAACACCAAGTCAATATCTAATAATAACCCTTTAAGTGAAGCAAGCTAACGTTTTCGCAATCGGACTCTCAGTCGCAACATAAGAGTCTACTGCCGTCTGCGCAAACGACGTCCATAAATACGCAAGCAGGACCACGAGGGCAGAGATCATCTTGGAAGATGTTCAGTTCAGTCCGATTCGACAGGAAGGGGTAATCTTTTATAACAAGGATATTCGGGATATTTACCAGCACCAAAATGCCTTGGAAGGGCCGCTGGCAGCAGACCTGGGAGCCGTTATTTCGCGTCATTATGTGCCATGTGTCACGAGTCGAAGATTCATGCGAGGTGTCGTTCGTAGAAGGGCTGTAGCGAACAGATGTAGCACTGTCTTATTGGGCGGGGAAGGCAATCCATATGGCACAGACGCGAGCCCGCGACGATCACGGTCACATGAGTCAACCAGGACGAAAATCACAAAAGCAAACATATTCGGCGAAATCAGTTGAATTATGACGGGTTTAAGCCTTCTTATAGCCGCCACTAGCACAGAAATATGAGCAAAAGTCGCAAAAGGTAAGTTTTTGCGTGAGGATGTGTGGGGAAGGCGTGATGATGATCACTGCGAGAAAGTTCAGGGGAAATGCCACATGCATGCGCGGGGGAATGAACAAATAGACTTTATGAATGCTTGCGTCTGTGTCAAAGAAAGGAAGTCCTTGGAATCGGCAACACAAGAATCCCGATGGTTCTCGGACAGTTCGGAGCCGCACTGTGTATCAGTTGTATAAATGCTCATCATAAGTCTGGACAAATCAAATGTCATTACACTTTACATCGTCCCTGCCTTCCAATATGCGGGCGGAAGCAAGAGTCTTTCGGAGCCGTACCGGAGCAACCTAAGTCCTCCACTCACGGTTCCCTCAAGGACATGTAGGTGTAAATTTGTGACATTTGATGTACTATACATACGACTTCAATCATACGAAGACAAGAAAGCGGATTCAAGGCAGGTAACTGAGGGATAGTCTATAATCGCTAAATGTGCTATACTCATGATCATAATTTCTTTTTTTTTCCTGCAGTGTTGTTTAGGCGCATAACATATCGGTTATTCCTCACGGCACCGATGCCGACGTTGTACATTAAAACGATTATTGATTGACGAGAAGGCATTCTTAGAGCTGTGAAACGTTCGTGACTGGCCAGGTGCTAAAAGTATTGAATTGCTTGATTACTCTTGAGATTGCTTTTGAATGAGGCTTTGAACGTACTATTGAGAGTCTGCACGCCTGTAGCCGTATTTGCGGATGAAAGAATCGAGTTCCTTTGGTCCTCGGGAGCCATACGGGTACTGAAGAGGCTTAGGTGGTGGACCTGCCTTGCCCTCTATCCAATGTAGTATTGGAGTAAAGATCTAATTCACCATCAGCATCCAACCAATCATGCGGGGTCATTAAAATATAAATACTCGCCTTCCATGCAACATCCAGCTCGTCGTCTCGTACAAAGTTCGAGTGATCACCCCTTAACGCATCAAGAATAAGGCTCTCATACGCTTCCGGAATATGCGAATCAGAGAATCGACGTTTGTAGGTTAGATCCATTTCAATGGGGACAGTTCGTGTGTTTAATCCAGGTGTCTTCGTGTTAAGCTTAAGATAAATTGACTCGGTAGGCTGGATGCGGATAACGAGCTCGTTGCGTGAAATATCTTTGAAAATTCCCTGGGTCACGTCTTTGTACTGGATTCGCACTTCCACCTTCGCCTCATTAAGAGCTTTAAATCAGATGTTAGTTATTGAATCGTAAAGTGTATGTATTGACAGAGCAAGCATACCTTTCCCAGCTTTGAGGATGAAAGGCACGCCTTCCCATCGTGGGTTGTTGATCCAAAGCGTCGCTGCTGCGAAAGTCGGACATACAGAGTTGTGCGGTACGGTTTCGTCATCGAGATATCCAGGTTTCCCGTTCGCAGCAACATACTGGCCCAGAAGTGTGTCCTCGGGAGTAACGGGTGGCACAGCTCGGAGTACCTTGACCTGAAGCATGCATAGATTAGACAAATAGATCTGATCTCGTAGATAAGACGGACTAACCTTCTCATCTCGAATGTCTTCGGCAGAGAAAGACACAGGACGTTCCATCGTAAGGATACTTAGCACTTGCATTAAATCTGGCAAGAAGAGATTGAGTTTCCAGATGCAGGCACGAGAAAGCATGGTATACGCACGATTTTGAATAACGTCACGGATGATGCCGAACTCATCAAAGTAGCCTCCTCGACCTTCGGTACCAAATGGCTCCTTAAAAGTAATCTGGACATTGCTTATTGAATTCTTATCCCATCCTGCCGAGAAAGCCACGTTCGCAAAGCGAAGCACGAGCATGTTTTTGACCATCTCCTTTCCGAGATAGTGGTCGATACGGAATGTCTCATCCTCCGACCAATGTTGCTTGAGTGACCTAAGCAGCTCACGACAGCTGTCAATGTCCTTCCCAAACGGCTTCTCAACAATGATTCGGTTCACATTAGGTGCGTAGCAGTTCTCCCGCAGGTTCTTCGCCACAGGGATAAATACACTGGGTGGGAGCGCGAGATAGAAAATCCGGTTGCGTGCGGTTCCTTGATACTTGCTCTCAATCTCTTCGATGTGCTTGTTTAACGCCTGGAATGCCGCCGGGTCCTCATATGAGCCCGAAACGTATGTCGAGAAGCTCTTGAACTCTTCAATCTTCTTTGTAATCTCCGGGTTATCATTAGGGTTTTTGATGTACGACGTTGCACGCTTGTGATACTCGGCCTCGTCCATCTTTGTTCGCGCATATCCAACAATGTGCACGCCATTGGGTAGATATCCCATACTGTAGAGCCCGAAGAGAGCGGGGAACGTCTACAATGTCATGACAAATGTCAGATGTAAAGGAGTATGATCAGCGCCCTCGTTGTCATCAGGATATATGCGCGCGTGTCGCCACGCACGGCATACAGCTGCTCACCTTCTTTTTGGCAAGGTCTCCAGATGCACCGAGCACTGTAAGAAATTATTGTCAGCGTGCATGAACGAATGAGGCATCTACTCTACCAATCGTAAGACAACGTACCAATGAAGATAGTATTGTCCTTGAGCTCCTCATGAGCGGATTCTAGGGAAGGGATCGTTCCAGTCATAGTTCAAGCCGCGACAAGAGGAGTCTATGAACGTGGCTTATATCGAGGACGATGTAGAAAGAAAGGAGGGTGTTGAGGCGGGAACTGTGAGAAAGGATGATTTAGATGGGAGGCTAAAGTCACGGCCTGGCTTGCTGAGTGATCGTCTTTGGTGGCGATGACAACATTGCATACGCAACGCAGCGGGCCGGCAACGGCAAACAACTGTCCACATTACAGTAAGTACCACATCAATGTGTCACTCAAAAGTAGCGCTTTCGCAATTTGCTGAGAACAATCTCACACGGATTCACACAGTGCAAGTGAAAAGATACACGGCAGCTACAAATTCTAGCAATGCGGACAAAGTGCTAATATGCAAGTCTAGAATACAGATGGCAAAAGCAGTAATAAAATAGAGAACATTATCCAACCGAGCAGATGGTCATGAGATAGTACAACCTCTCGAGAACCACCTATCGAGAAACGTATACTTAGCAATCCGTTAACAATCCAGTCCATGTCTCCCGGGCGAGACATCTTGCTCACCAGTTGCTGTTTAGTTGCTCGATCCAATGCACTACAAGTCGTAACCGTGCCTTTGGCGACCTGATCACTAACAGCTTTGCTTTCTCAGACTCCTCTATCGGTAAAACCTACAAGCCCATAATCATGCGAACCGTCCAATCAGCATCAAGAACGGTGACACGTTTTTGACGTGGACTCACCTGGGCCATCCAGAAGCCAAAGGTGCTTACGTCGTCGGGCATTGGACCGTAAGTATTGTTCAGTCGCTCAACTACCCACGGCGCCGTTCCGTTTCGCAGCTGTTCAACGAATGCGTGACAAACCGCTATTAATTCTTCTGTAGTAGGTGCGGGTATCCGCGAAGAAGACGACTCTTCTGATGAACCTTGTTCTGAGCTCTCTACTTGAGAGGTAAGGAGGGAAGAAATACTCCGCTCCGCTTCCTCTTCGAGCGCCTGTGGAATGTCATCGACTCTAGAATATACGCTCAGGTGGGAAAATCACGATAAGGAGGAAACGAAGACTACCTTTCTATTCGACCGACCATATATCCGTCTAAAGTTCCCGTTTCCATGATCCTGAATCGATGAGTCCCCATAGTCTCTACCATGCTCCTGCCATCGGGGAGCATCTGAACACTCCTTATCTCTAACATCGTGCCGTAATCATTGCTGCCAGCTCCAACGGTCCGCTGAGGCATGATCATGCCGAAGCAAGGCGTAGTAGACTCGAGACACCGTCGCAGCATCAAGCGATAACTAATGATAATAGGTGAGGTGTGAGTAATCGCGCGAGAATTACGGCAACCCGGAACGCAGTGCCCAAAAATCGGCGCGAGTGATAAAAATGAATCTGCGCAAAGGATGCAGACGTACCGAGGCTCGTAAAAATGTAAAAGTGTAGGGATGCCGGGGAAAGACAATTGGCAAACAAAGATCGGCGTGTTCAAACGACCATCTCTTTCTTCTTCTTCGATTGTTCGACCTCGTTCCGTATAAAATTCCGGAAAAGCCTTAAGCACTGGGCGTCGTATTTGAGTTCAAGAATTAGTCATGTTCGACGAGCCTGCTTCACATGTAGCGCTTACAGACGGCAAGGACGGCTTTATTAAACGGATGATCCTGGAAATAAGAGAATGGAGGCAAATCCTGTCTACACAAAGGGCATTTCGATCCGTGATCAAGTGAGCGTTGTAAGCATTTCGCGCAAAATGTCTTTAAATGAATGGGGTGTAAGTATCAACCTGAATGAGTGCTTTGAGCGTCAAGAGGAGTACGTACATGTTGACAAGGTGTTGTAACGGGCTGGTAGAGCAGCATAAAGCAGATTTCGCACGTCAAGCTTTCCATGAGCTCCTTATTAAAGCGTTCTTCGAACTCTTCAGGAGTCACACGACGGTGATGAGTCCCATCTGAATGCTCGTCTCTTCGAGAACGTTTCCGCGCTCGCGAAGTAGGTCTACTTCGGCGACGACCGGACCTCATGATTGACGTTGAGGGTTGGGAATCAGATGCAGCAGCGGGATCCTGCCGGGCCTCATTATCATCCCCTGACTCCTCGTCTGTTCTATCACTATCCTCCGCATGCCCGTTCAGCTCAGCAGTAGCGCGGTCTTCCCATGTTTCCGTTTTCTCAAGCAAATGCAATACGCGACCAACGGAAACGTCGAGCCGAGGTTCCCGGACTGTAACACGAGTACCTTCTGCATTCCCAGGAATCACGGGCTGGGCTATTGGCGGGTAGTATGCTACAGTAGAATCTGGTGGAATGTTCGGAGTGACCACTTGTTGACGCACTCGCAGCTGACAGGTTGGGAGCGGACAGGTCGGGACCACAGGCACTGAGGAGGGCGTAGGTGCATAGAGAAGTCTAGTAGTGGGGATTTGATGTGCAGAGTTCTCTACGGACGATGAAGAAGCCAGTAATGACGGAGGCGAAGAGGGAGATGAGGAACGAGACGAAGCTTCTGTTCGGACGTGTTTCGAACATACTGTATGACCACAGTGAAGGGTTGTCGGTGCGACCAGGCGGGCAGGTGGAGAGCAGGCGGGACAACATAGTAGAGGAGTGTAGTCGTGTGCTAGGTTCTTGTGCATGTTGCGAGCAGTTTGCTCGTCAGGATTGTGGGGGGAAGGAAGAGACGCAGAGTCAGTGCCAGATGAGGGTATTAGGAGCCTGTCCGCAGGCTGGATAGAGGGGTTGCCATTGTCTAAGTCTTGCTGTCGGGACTGCTGGGTGCGATCGTGAGTTAAGAGGCGCTCGTCATCGTGCACTGCGCGGTCGATGTCTGAGGTTGGTCGTTGTTCATCGTCGGAAGATGCCGTTCGCGTCGAAGCCAGTGGATTGGCGGACCCCTGTGCGCCGCCATTCCCAGAGAACTTCGCGTCTTCGGCATCATTGTCGATGCGGCCGTCGTCAGCGTCGCCGTGAGGCATGGGCGGTGTGTGTCTGGGAAGGGGAGGGTAGTGCAGCTACATAGTCATTGAGTTTGCGACTTTAGAATCGCAGGCTGAGTGGATACATGGATACATCGAGGATGATGTAAGCAAGTCGACACAAATCGCAGCACTTCCGCTTCCAGTGCGGCGATTCGGAGAACACTCTAGAAGAGGCGAGTTGCCTGTCGGATTCGCGCTGCGTGCCCTCTGTTGGTCAGTTGGGCTGCAAAAATTGAATGCGCCCGAGCATCTTATGCGCTCACTCGACGTATCATACACTTGTGTTATCTGCATTCCTGTCCGATAAAAGCTACATTTGACTGATACTCCACCAACAAAAAAATGCGTGGCTTCACACGCTGGATCCGGAACATCGCTCAATGGCCTTGCGTCATGATGGTTCCTATGGGATCATCTGACAGTGCTATTGTTGGTATGCTACAGTGCCAATGGAATTTCGACGACGAGAGTTGTCGATCGGAGTGACAAATATAATTAAACGACGTAAAACGCGCTGGTGATAGAGCCAAAGCGAGCCAAACAAGTGGACTCTCTTATTCAAGGGTGTCAAAAGTCACGAGCGTGTCACTGTCAGAATATGGGAATAACTGCTCTTTCCTGCCTTGGTCGCGTCTGCTACTCCAAGTCTAAGTCTACTCCCGGCCATGTACAGCTACAGTCACTCGCTCCTGTCCGACTACTAGCACGCAATTATGGACAGACCTCGCCTGCGCACGTCTGCCTCACCGCCTGTCTCCCCTCCTTTGTCGCCCACCGTCTCCAGCTCGTCTGTCTCTCGCGTTTCGCCTATTCAGCGCAGGACTCAGCCGCTCAAGTCTCAAATTCCAAGTCTGCCCAGACGTCTGCTTGTTCCGACATTCTGCTCCAAACCAGCTCTACCCGACCTTGAGCTCCGTCCAGTCAAGAGCAAGTCTAGTAGTAACAGACTTACTAGGGGCCGAGCGGACTCTGCACCGCCAGAACCCCTACAGTCCGAGTTTAGGGATGAGAGGCGCTGGTTCAATATCGACGTCCAGTTTGAAGTGGTGGAAGAAGACGTGAAGATCTCCGGTTACCAGATATTTGCAGTAGAGAAGTGGTGAGCCGGAATGCCCCGTATGCAGTTGCTATCTTAATTTCCTGTCGTGTTGCAAGGATCGTCGACCGTAGTCGAACAACTGTCTTACTTACTGTCTACACTGGTGACCCGAAAGACACGGTATAATGATTTGCCACCATTGTATCCGATGCACAATGAACATATTGCTTTTAGATTACTGTAACCGCTCTTGCTCCTGAGGCTTCACTCTCAGACATCGAAGCACGCCAGGAATGGGAAAGGATTATCCACGAGCTTCGTAAGGATGGTGCTCGACCGCGCGAGGTCCGTTTCAGGACATTCTGTTGCTGCTTTTTTTCTTATTCAGGCTCTCCCTTGTGTAGACGGATGAAGGCCTCATCATGGTCACGTCTCTTGCAAATTTTCGATCCGATTACACCGTGGTACATATTCCGGACGGAGACTTTCTTGCACATCGCCAACAACTTTACGTGAATATCAATTTGCTGCGCATGGGATGCAGCGGAAGGAGCGCATTAACTCTGCAGGAACCAAGGTCCGTCCATCGGACCTCTAACACTAAGATTGAAACACACAACTTATGGAAATAATGCACACAGTGATGCGACGAAAGATCGGTTCATTTCTATGTTCCATTTCGGCGATGCAATGCGAACTGGGGCACGTTTCAGACAAACTGTCTTAGAGCTTGTTCGGCTGATTCAGTGTGGGCTATCTCTATTCGATTTATTCCCAGTAGATTTTCAAGAACAAGACGGCCTCCTCTGTGACAATACGGTAGAGGGGATCCAGAAATGGATAGCTAATGTTGGCGAGCCGTACATGAAAGTCGAGGTAGGCAGAATATCACGTGAAATTCTTCACTCTATCTATATTAAGTTATTTGCAGCCTACAGAAAGAGTGGCAGATCCCTCAATTGTCTCTGCTATCATAAGCCTCGCACTTTCAGTGCGTAACAAACTTAGTGCAATTGGGTTTCAGAACGTCCCCAAGGATCCGTTCCTTCACCCCCGTCGATTTACACGATCTCTCGCTGCTTATGTCAACCAGCGCCTTGCTCAACCCCCATCCGCTTCAAGTGGGACAACTATTCACCATGCTTACCTGAATCTGGCACTAATCAAGCATATCGACGTGGCGTATGAAAAGTACAAATCATCGGAAGCATACAAGCTCCATCGTGTTGTGCTTAATAAATTGGATGACATCACTTCCGTGACAACCTCAGCTATGACAAGTTCGAAAGATCCATCTCATGGAAGATCCATGTCACTATCTCTTTCTGCGAAAGAAAGGGAAGCGGAGAGTCTAGTTGAGCCGACTTCCGATTTGGCGGGCTTCATTAGTAAAATCGGAGCTCTGCGTAGAAAAGACTGTGGGGCGAGTGTTAGATATTTATGGGTGGGAAAGTTCGACCAGTTAGAAAGGAAGAGGCAGGAGAGCATCTGGAGTGATGCAGAGGAGGAAAGAGAAAAGGAGCGGGAACGAAGCGATTCGGAGGATGAAGGAGATACTCCAGGCGTGTTTCCCTGGCCCAGCAAGGTGACAAAGAAGATTGAGAATTGGGCAGGGTAAGTGATTAATGCTCCATTGATGTGCATTATTCACATATTCTGGCAGAGAATTTGGGAGGAGTAGGCTGAAGAAGACAAGCGTAGATATGACACCCTCAAAGGGGAAGAGGCCAGAGAATGTAACAAACGACTCAGTCGTCCCGTTTGTGGTTGTTTCAAGGTACATTTATGCAACTCGTGCTGCGCATGTGTTAACAAATGCTCTGTGATAAGGGAACAGGACGGGCCAATGTCAGGATTCAGCAGCGGCCAAGCATCACCTATCTGTACGTTCAGGATTCGTAAATGATTCCCACCTTCGTCTAACTCGCTACCACAGCTCCTTCCGCCTCTTATAACAACCTAGGCATATTCTCTTCAGCGCATGCATCAGCACTTGGGATTGACGAGGAAGAATACAGTCAACGCGTAAAACGGTTCAACAGGAAATGGCCTAGCCCAGTCACGCCAGTACGAAAGCGAGCATTCAGCTGGGCGGACCAGCAGAGTGCTGTAGGTTTACTGGACGAGGTATACGTAGACATAAAAGCAATGGAGGCAACCGTGTTCCCGTTTGGTATTAGCTACGATCCGAACGTCTTTCTGTGGACGAAGAACATCCCGACTCCTGGCGGGGAGAAGCCACCGAAACCAAAGAAGCCGAAAGAACCGTTCGTTCACAAGCTCAAGAGGTAAGCTAAACAATTCAGTTTGCGCAATCAGAAGTGTATCTGATTTTTTCACCTAGGTCGAATAGTTCCGATGACCTCGTTTTTGTCGACCCCGACGAGATCTTATCGAGAGAGCGCTTGCAAACGGATGTTGAACTTTGCATTCAATGCCTCATCATGCATAGGCGTAAAGCCCATGTCGAAGCTGTTATTACTGTCTTACAGGTGAACACTCCGTTCACTGCATATCACAAACTCCCTGCTCACTCTGACCTCCCATTTTCAAGGCTCTCATTCAAAGTAGCTCATCCACAAATGAGATGCTCTTGAAATATCACGAGGAGCACAGTGACCTGCTAAAGGAACTAGCAGAGAAGTGCCAAATTGCGGCCGATATAGAAGAGGCCATCTCCACCACGGACTCGGCTTCAGCAGATACGGATGCGCTACGCTACGAAGCGAACTTCCTTGACGTTGCTGGCTTGTGGCGCATGGCACAGACTCCCCGATTACGGGTCTTCGCTATTCGGGATCGTGTGTTCGGCGTACGGAATCGACGACGTTTTCCGCTTTCCACTCCCGGCCAAGTACACATCAGCGGGCATGGGCGTTTTAACCGTGTACAGAAGCGGCTGGACGGGAGTGAGCGGTTGGTGGACTTCTTGGGTCGTACAGAAAGTGAAGTGGAGGAAGAGGGCGAGTTACCTGAGGACTTACGCCTCGAAGGCGAGGACGATAGTGAAGACGATCATGAGTTGCGGATACATACCGAGTCCGAGGGCGCTCAAGAAGGTCGATTCCAAGCGTTGAACAATTGGTTACTTGCGCTATTCACGAAGTGGGGCCGCGTATTGGGCGGTGGTGGTGCTACACACCCTACACACCCTGAGCCGCGGACTGTAATGGGAGATAACCATGCTCCACCCGAGAAGGAAGCGAAACACGATTTCGATGAGGTCGACGGCCCCCAATCAGACTTGCCTATCGATGATCAATATAAGACACCCGCTCGTCGGACACCCAATTTTATTGCCAACGGGCATCATCATCGGCTTAGCACTGTCGGCGAAGAGGAAGAACCGATTAGCATGCCCAACACACCGACGATACCGGGACTGCCACGTCTTCATAGTCGTTGAACATCGGGTCTGCTTCTTGAGATCTTGTGAGGCTGTTGGGTTGCACTGTTATGATCATCGTTATTTTTTTGAGGGATCGAATCGAGCTGTATCATTATGTCTTGTTATTTTCTGCTTTTGCTTTGCTTTGCACGTTTATAGCCACACTGTATACCAGCTAATAATGGGCAATGATGTCTCACATGGTACCTAACAAATGCAATTAAATTAAATCTGGCCTGTACACAAACTATACGGACAGTAGATCGGAATCAAAAGGATGTAAGACATCTTTTTACCACATCCAACACAACACAGATCATAACGAACCCAAGTAAAACCACTACTTCTTCGTGATCCTTCCCTGAGCCTTCCTCATCTGTCTCTTCCTTCCCCTCTCCAACTCCTTCTGCTGCTCCGCAGCACTCAACTTCGCAATCCGCTCATCATGTGCCTTCTTCCTCGCAGCAGCCTTATCTAATTCCTTCTCTTCTCTCTCCTCCGCTTCTGATTCTTTACGTATCGTCTCGTCGAGCTCTTCCCGTGCTTTGCGGAGTTTAGTGCGCGTTTCGGGGCGGAAGGAGAGACGGTTGGATTCGAGTGCGTCGATGAGTGTGAAGATGGATTTGATGAGTGGGATAGTTGAGGTGAGGTGGGATTGTGGGGGGAGGCGGAGGGAGAGGATGACGTGTCGTTCGCGTTGGTCTGCTGGGATGGGGATGCCGGGGCGTTCACGGGGTTGGTCGGTAATCTGTCAGTTGGTGAGAATAGGCAACCTTGTGATAGGGGATAGGAAGCGGCTCTTACGGTTAGAGACTTGACGTAGGGCCTAACGGAGGGGTCGTTAAATGCAGTACCGATGTTCAGAGGGCCAGGTTTAAGCAGAGTCTCGGTTATATCGGCGTATTCTACATCAACGTCAACCAGGGTCAGATGAAAAGTACTTCACAACCACGAACCCGACATGACACAGTATCCGCCGCTCAGAAGGGGACTCTCCGTAGTTCGAGTAAGTGTCTGTATAAAATCGGAAAAGCAATGAGCGAATTCGAATTTAGTAAACGAAAAATAAACTGACAAGATCCCATCTGTCCTGTTTGATAGTTCTCAAGTTCTCCTTCGATACGACACCCCAGACGAAGCCCGGGGTGGTAGAAGACTGGAAAAGCTTGAAGTCAAGCTCGACCTCGTCTTCAGTTCTATAAGTGAGCTCAATCATTCCCCATGCAAAACGATAAAGCATCCTTATGAAGTCATGACGCGGAAGGAGCGTGATAATACTGTGCAACGAGGCAACGTTGCGCCGACCAGTTGAGAAGTTGAAGAAGTCACAGTGGCCGTCAGCTACTAAACCCGATGTAGCTGATGGTTTGGAAAACTGCTGGGATAGTAGTGGTGAGAGGGCGTTCACCCTGCACGAATGAATGATGAGTTACAGCGTCAATTGAGGAAGACACGTTTGCATGCTCACCATGCCTCTGCTCGTCTCTTATTGAGCGACTTTCCGATGAAGTACCATGCGAAGTAAACCGCGATTCCAGCAAACAAGAAGGCCTCGACCTTGAACACTGCAGAAAAGAAATTGTAAGTGAGGGAATTTGAAATCAAATACTGAAAAGACAACGAACAAGCGGGTCTGAAGACGAGAGACTTCCACCTGTACTCCAAGCCGTCATACTCTGGAGACGTATAAGGCGGAGGCGGCGAGAGTGCCTTTGCCAGGTCGGAGAGGACGTTCATGGTGTCCCGTTAAGCCAACTAGAGAAGTTGGATTACAGCGTGCGGGAAGATATTCTGCTTATGTACAACATCGGATCCCAAAGAGGAAATGGAAATTCTTGCAGTGATTGTCTTGAGGTACTTTCTGGCCATCGCAGCTGCTGAACATCTCAAATTGAGCCGGGGATCGAGCCGCAGCCCTTTACAGTACAGTCTCCTCCTTTAATTCCGCTATTAAAGCGCCCAATGTCTTATGTCGTCCTTTGTCCTCTCTCTACTGTCCTGTGTCTCTTGCCTTTCGACGCTAATATTCGTATTCTGCATCATGAGCCAGCCGAACGGAGGCCAGGGCTTCTTCTCCGTGCCGGATTTCCTCGTGAGTCCCCTATGCTGTAATACCGAGCGCCATTTGTAGTATCTCAACATCTTCATGCCGCTTCAACTCTATCTTTCCATTCTCCGCTTCTGACGCTCATCTCTTAGAGACATTATCGCATTGTGCACAACACTTTGCGAGAGGCTGACATGGAGGTGAGCGATTGCTCATCTTTCTCTGCGGTACACGTTTATTGTTTGTTCGTAAATAATGCTATCTATTTTTATCGCAGAGCGCCACCTCAATGACGGAACCCACAAACTTTGGGAAAATCGTCGTAAATGCCCTCGCAGCCATGACAAAAAATGGAGGCATCGATCAACGATTACTACGAATGTATCTCACCATGACACCATCGTATCTCGTCATGGACACGAGCATGAACTCAGAGGGCGGCAAAACGAGCTGGCGGACGGGCTTTATGCGCTTGGTGGAAGTTCTTGTCGCACTGCACAAGCGTGGGGAACTCGAACTCGAAACGGTAAACGAGGCGTCAAAGGCCTGTTCGGAGTGCTGGAGCATATCCGGCTCTTGGCGGGGCTTGGAGGAGTGCAAAGAGACAATAAGGGAGGTTGCCGCAAAGCTGAAGACTCTGCTTGATCCAAACGGACGGACGTTCCAAGGACAGCAAATCTATACACCGGGATAATATTGACGATGTTGTAATAGTGTATAATAGTTTCGTATATTTTGTTGTTCGCAGATCATGTACAGTTGCATAGATGACATAGGAGAATGTCCACAGCTCTTGATTCCGTGTACCTAAATACGTCAGCATGCATCGCCACACAATCTGCTGTGTTTTGCGGATATTACAGACATCCGCAGTGTCTGCTCCTCACTCTTCTCCTCCCTCCTTCACTCATGGCCAGTACAGACCAGGTCGCACCAGCGATCTCATCCTCGTCCTCGCTGCATAGTATCTCCAAGCCGACGCGTAGTCTACCTCCCGAACCACTCGATACCGAAGCCGCGGCTCAGACTCAGCCCAACGGCTCCATCGGCCACGAACCTGTAATCGCATCACCAGTCGATGACAAGAATTACAAGGATGAAGAGAACGAGAAAGCAGCACTCTTGACACCTATCCGAGCACACTATCTCAAGAAATCGCTCGTCTCATTACAATTCCGCCGCGAACTCGATGGCATATCCACTTCGTCGCCTTTGCCAAATGTCTCGACGCTCTCCTATCTGGGCTCACCGTTCAACGCACCACCTCGCGATGCCCCTCCTCTTGATCTTCCATTCCTGAAATACATGTTCCGCCAGTTCGTGCTTACGTTTCCCTTCCTCGCCTCGGCGCCGAAGAATTTCTTCCCGGAGAAGCTTCAGCCATTCATTGCTAGCGTCCTTTCGCGCAATCTTTCAGGCACAAATATCATGGAAGAGGGTGAAGAGGATACAGAAGATGCTATGCGAAGGAAAGTGCTGTCGAAGTTAGAGAAACAATTCTCTCTGGTACTGGTTTCAGCCACAAAGCTCGTTGAAGCTGAGGAAGTAGTGCGGCTCACTCAAGCCGATCTGAACCGTCTGGAGACGATTGCCAGGAAACGACAGGCGAGACTTCAAAAGAAGAAGGAAGTATTTGAGGTCAATATTGTCTGCGTACGGGCTGTGGTTGATAAGGGTCGTATGAGAAGCAAGGTTCACGAGGTCAGACATCTTGCATATATGCGTGTTTCTTGAGATTCTGAACCACGAGATAGGAGTTCATCATCAGGACTCGGCGGACCAATTTCCCTGACGTATTCGTATCAAGGCGATATGGTGACTTTAAAACCCTGGCTGAAGAGGTATGCTATCCAGCAGTACATAGATGTCTTGGAAAACTAACAACGATGTCGACTTCAGCTCCGCAAACGCTACCCTGAGGAAGAGGTTCGACCCCCTCCGGCGAAAGACAAATCGACTGTGGTAACGAGTGCTGCATCAACAGCAGCGGCTACTAGTCCTTCGTCCACATTGATGCCGTCATCTCTGTCCAGCCAAGCAAACGACAGCCAAGAATCAGTTATATCTCTGAGCACACAGCAAGCGATCCAGAATATACGGCTGGCTCGGGAGAAGAACCGCCTGACGTTACGAGCATATCTTAATTCACTTCTCAATAATCCTACCTTAGGGTCATCACCAGTATTATTACATTTCCTTTTGTCAAATCCGACAAAATTAAGCAGGGACGAGTTGGAAGATGCTCACAGAAGGGAGGAATATGACCGAAGGCGAGACGAAGGACGGATTCATTTTGCACATGCGATTGCTGCACGCGTTGAAGGTCTGCGAGGTGCTATTAGGACTGTAAAGAGTGACGCCATGGCGAAGGGTAAGTCGTGATTATCAGTTTAGTACTATACTGACATTTACCAGACGGTTTGATGCACATTTTTTCCTGTGTTCGAGCAACGGCAAACGTTCATGATCTTCCTCAAGAGTATCAGGCGGTGTTTGAATGGGGGCGTATATCGTGAGCCCCGTGTCCAGCGTTAGGTGACTGTCGACAATCTGACCTACTTTCTTCAGTTTGGCATCGAGTATATTCCAGCACTTCGTGGCGTCTGACGATGCATCAGAGAACTTTGCATCCCTGAAGCGGCTCCACGGTCTCATGCCATATCTTGTGCTCAGAGGTATTCTGAAAATTAGCAACCCTATGGCGATGGTCCGGGGTGTTCTCGATCTTTTCTTAGCTCAACCCTTCGGCGGGCGAAGCCTATTGCAGAGGTGATTAATTTCCACAAGTCTCACGTTATTGTGTTTCTCTGATTCTAATGGTTTCGTCGTAGGATGTTTACGAGTTCGCTGCAGGAGGGTGTCAGCGCACTTCAAGAGGATATCGAATCTGTCAAGGAGAAAATTGAAGACGACGTCATTTGTGAGAAGATTCGTCAGTTCATATATGCGCCGCGGGAGATCCAGAATATTTACAAAGCGGATGCTGGTACGTTTTCAAGCCACAATTGCGTTACTAGAATCTCACATCTTTTATTGACAGTTGCGGAAGGTGTAAATCTCTTGACTGTTGTTCTTCGATCTGGAGAGGCACCTGCATTGACGCGTCCCCAATTGCATCGGGTGATGCGTGCGCACCGTGCACATGCCGAATACCTTCGACAACGCGCCGAGTTTGTAGACTCAGACGACGATGACGGTCCCCAGGATGAAGATGCTTGGTTATATGAAGACCTCACGATTTTGGCTAAGTTGTACTCGCAGTTACGTGATAAGGAGCAAATAATAGAACTGATCTTCGAGGTACGTTCCTGTGCTTATGACCAGTATTCAGCGGCTTGATTTGTTCCGCAGGGAACGACTTCCGAATTACTAAAAGACATAATCACGATATTCTACTCACCATTAGCTCAAGTCTACAAGGCTGCTAGTATAGGGGATTCCCTGAGTGATCTACAGAGTTTTATTAATGATTTAATTCGAACTGTAGAAGGGGCGGAAGAAAGTGCGCCAGCCATTCCTCTACCGCCTGTAGCAATTTTCCCTAACTCTAATTTTCTACCAGCTAATCAAGATAATCCTCAAATAATCGTTCAGACGTTCATCGACCTTGTTGAAAGGCATGAGCAATCGTTCTACAACTTTGTTCATAAAGTCCATGCGAAGGGCGAAGGACTATTCGACAATCTTATGAAATGGATCCAGCTCTTCTTGTCTGTATTTCGAGAGGGTTTCGACGAGAAAGTCAGTCTGGAGTTCCTCCTCCCTCACACTGGACCAGACCGGGTTGCGATTATGAAGGAGCTCGATGATATTGCTTTGTACCATTACAAACTGAAGCTTGCACACGAGGATAAACTTCGGCGTCGTTTTGGTCGGGCGCAAAATCAGTCAGAGGCCGATGCGGAAGACGAGGCGGCGCAACTATTAGTCAATGGCGTAGTGCACGACTTGAGCTTTGGCGAACTTGTTCGTGGAGATGCGGAGGATATGGATGCTGCGATGAGTGATGAAGATGACAGCAGTGACGACACGGAAGACAGTGACGAGGAAGAGGAAACGTCGGAGTCCGACTCTGAGTCGGAAAGTGGGTTGAGTAGAGAAGATGGTCCTCCCGTACCACCAAAACCAATCCATAGGGCATCGACGATTGCAGGTTCGACACGGGAGAGTCTCACTCCGCAAAGGATCGAGCGACATGCTTCTCAGCCGCATCATTCGCCTCATCAACGATACAACTATCGTGGACGAGATGCACAACGCGAAGTAGCACCTCCGGTACATAAGCTTCGTTCGCGTTCGCGCTCCATCGGAGCGTTGAAGTCCATTTTCTCTCGAAATAACGCGGATGCTCCGCCCGTTCCGCCGTTACCATCCTATGTTCCTCAATCACCACTTGGAAAGCCTCTCCCACCCAGCCCTCTTTCTGCTCGTTCTTCACAGGACAGTCAGATATCGCAAGCCACACCGCGTCGTCGGGCGTGGTCATCCCAGAACAGACCGAGTAAAAAGAAGAAAGATAAGGCTGCGCTAGAGTTGAAGCCTCCTGAGCTGAAGGAGATTCCGAATCTTTTGCCTATTTTCGTGGAAATGGTGAGTAAAACAATTTGATTATTTCGCCTTCCTCTTGCATTTATTGATTATTATTTTTTACCAGATGAGACCTCTGTTACGACCTTCGGCCCTTTAATTCTGAATTTGGGTTCTTTGTTTTCCTTCTTCCGTGGGACATAAGTACACTATGTTCGATCTATTTTTTTTCGTATAACTTATTTCCGCGAATGTATGGATACGCCTGTATCGTTAGTTTACTCAATTGTGCGTCTGAATGGTACTTAATGGACCGTATTCGGATTTTGCAAGAGCAAGGGTTTAAACTCTCTTGTAATGGTAAGGGACCTTCGTGCAAGTGATCGACGTGATCGACGCCCTAAGTGGTTCACAACTCGTCCATCCTTGTTACAGACAAACCATGACAGCAGCTCTCAATCCCTCAGACCTTTCCAACACAACCACACTCCCCGAACCACCCTCCCCAGATGAAGTAATCAAACACCTCGACGCCCTCGTCCGCTCCTCATCCAACCTCAACACCGACCCCTCCCTAATTCAAATCCGCGCAGCCGCCCTCTTCGCGCGTCTCAAAGCGCTCAACCGAGCTGCTAATGCTGCTACGCGTGTGCATAAACAGGCGACGAGTGAGGCAAGGAGTGTGATGGACCATACGCATTTGGGGTTACAGAACTTGCAGTATGAGAAGAGGCATTTGGAGAGGGAGATTGAGAAGTGTAGGCAATTTGCGTGAGTACTAAGTGGCTCAGCTGTCACCTTGGCTCTTTGTTCTCTATGAATGTTTACTGAGAATTTGATTTGGTTGTGGCTTGACGTTGCTGGCTTATGGTGCGATGTGTGGTGTGTGCGTCATATAGGTCCATATATCAAGACATCCCAATACACTCCCTTGAAGAGTTCGTCGAACTTGCACCTGAAGAATCCCGAACAGACGAGGTCCGAACGAATGAACACCAACTCATGCTTAACAGACTCAGCTTCGAGCTTTCTGAAAGACAACGGTTCGTGTTCATTATTCATCATTACCGTCATCTTTACTATTTCCTTACTACTTCCTTATCATTTCTTTACCTTACAATTTCCTTACCTTACCATTTCTTCATCATTACCCCCATCCACCCTTTCCTTCTGACTCTGGCTTTGCTTATACTTTTACTAATGAAATGACCTTACTCTGTTCTAATTATTCATTATACAGATTAGAACAACGAAGAAAAGAACTCACATCCCAAAAAGATGACCTCCTCAAACAGAGCAAAGCCAAGACTACGATGCTGGATAACGTGAAAGGACAAGTCGACTTATTAATGAAGGTCCGTCCTTTCCTTCCTTGCACAGTTCTTCCAATTTCGCCCCAAAGTAATCATGTACTAACGTGTCCCCTTCTTGGTTTCCATTCTTGTAGACGGCATCCGATATCCAGAAGAAAGTAGACGAAATGGTCAAGTCCATCCCCCCTGAGACAACCTGATATTGATAGGGATAGGGATACGAGGGATAGGGACACAGGATTCGGTCGTTTTCATATCGGATATCAATATTGTCTCGAGCATCGATCCTGTCTTGTTCCGCGCGGTCAAGTGTCAAGTCAGAAGCACACCATGCGTGTCTCATTCGCGGTAATAGGATGGCAGGACGGTAGAACGCCACGGAATATAGCACAAGAGAGGAGGGGATTTACGCAAGAAACTTGTAATTTATGACAAGTGATTTATTAGACTAACACAGATGATGGGGACGATAATACAAGCCATCCGAGGGATGCAATGCAAACCAGAGACCAAAGACAAGGAACGAGAAGAAACGAAAGAGCAGCACAGTGGTAATAACACAAGCGTCAGGTGATGGCGTCTGAATGAATGACAGCAACGCGGAAGAAGAGGAAGAGATGGAAATAAGAAGATGGTATAAGATGCGAAGATTGCGAATGACACGGGACGGGAAGTAACGAATCGAAGCGCGACAAGACTTCTCATTCTCGTTCCTCCTCGGGGTCACTGAAGCTCCCAATATCGCTCATCTCCACATCCTCATCTTCTTCCTCACCGGTTGCCTTTCCATCGGCAGCGTCAGCAGCTTCTTTCGTTGCGTAGCGTTGTACGTAGTCTGGTCAATCAAGAATGTATTATTATTATTATGAGTTGCACTACGACTAAATCGGATAAATGCACGGTTACCTTTGACCTTTGCATCGTAATCTTTCGGGTGGCGCATCAGGAGGGCGGCTGCATCTCCGTTCAAAGGATCATTCGGGTTCGGGTATCGTAAGAGTTGTGGAAGGAAGACTTCAAAGATGTTGATCATGTCTAACAAAGGGAGTAAGCATTTAATGAGTGACTATGGCCCATGGTGGTCGTCTCGAGCGACAAAGACAAAGACATACCGAACATTGGTGACCACGTCTGGTTTATCACGTCTAAACACACTGAACCACTCCTATTGCACAACCTCAGCCACTTGACTAATCAAGAGTGAAACTAAGAATGGAGGGATACGCACAGCTCGTCTATGTTCGGATGGAAGATCTTATTCATGAAACCAATAGATGGTGATTTGTACGGATATTGATCGGGAAGCTCGACGTGGATCTTCCAGACTCCGCCTGCGAAAGGAGCTGAGATGCATAAAGTGATGAGTTACGCATGCACATGACGGCTCAAAGACACTGTGCACACGCACTTTCCTCTGGGCCGTGGAAGCGGACATAGAACTCCTGGATGTTGTCGTTCACGAGGGTGACCTCATAGTCCGACATCAGTCTGCAGTACGATAGAGCTGACATTAGGGACAAACGTCGCCACACTGCGTACAAGGGAAGGGACGTACAGTTTCATGACATCTGTTTCGATGCGACGCTTGCTAGGCGAGGTGTATTGGCAGGAACGCCAGATTAGTCAAAGAATTCGATCTATAGTACATAATGAAGATACTTATCATAGCTGTATAGTGGTCGATACAGAGTGAGGCGGTGAGCAAGGGCAGCGGATACGAGGAGAGGGAGGGAGATTAGGAAGTAGAGTAAGAGGCAGGAGTGGACTACTTAAGTACCGTCACGGTGCGGCTGCGCCGATCATCGGTCCTTGCCGGTTTCACGCAACACACACCTCATCTTGCGCTCGTCAACACAATACATAGCTCGCTATACATTTCATGGTCCTACAACAACAATTATCAAGGAAAACAACAACAACAAGAGAGTTATTACACGTTAATGGAATATTAGATATCGCACCCTGCAAAAAAAAATCCTTTGTGTCCACTCAAAATCCCCACGACGTTTCTCTTCTGGGCATCCGCAACCGCGAGTCCGTGACCGAAACCCGAAACATGAACTAATAATACCACTCCTCAACGACACACCGCACAGCGTCGTCTGGACACTTCCAGCCCGCGCCCTTCAGCCCACCAGCTCGCTCGGTCTGCACGCCGACGCGTTGTGGTGGTCGAGACAGCCTATTGGGCTCCAATCCACCGTATCCGTGACCGAACGGACTGAGAGGTTCGTCCGTTCCTGGCGGACGTGGGGTAGGTTCTCCCGCTGCATGTTGGGTCGCGTCGGGATGATGTCGAAGTCCATAGGCACGGTATGTGACAAACGCAGCTGAAACGAATATTCCCTTGGTTTTCGATGATCGGAAATATGGAAGTATCGGTACATACCAAGAGAGAAGAGTGCGAAGCCTCCGAGGAGGAGCATCTCCTCTTGCGTCTGGGTTAGCACACGACCTTGTCGGCGGTGGTGTGTTACAACTCTGCATGCACGATATATAGTCCTGTTAGACCTGGCTATTGTTAGGAACTTCAAATTCTACTCACAAAAGCATCACAGTAGCGACAGCAATAATCGCAATAGACGACTGTGTCAAAGTATATGTATCTAAACGAACAGGCATCAGCATTCAGCTTCCCGGTTCTAGTAGACGCATCCTCAATACTCAAGCTACTCACGATGAGACTCTGGCATCCTCTTAATGAGGTGATGCGCAGTGAAGACTAGTAGTCCAGCTACATCACCACAGGCAAGAACCGTTGAGCGGGACAGCAAACGTCAAGAAACCAAAATAGAAAGAAAAAAAAGAAATCGAGGTTAAAAAAAGGCATAATTTCAGCCTTGGTACGTTTGTTCCTCCAAACCCAACCAGAAATCTCTAAAGAAATTAATACTCACCGAGTACGATCGAGCGTAGCACATGCCCCCTAAACAGCGCCATCCTCCCTCGCTCTCCTAACTGGAGCCGGAAAAGATAAAAAAGAAGACGAAGGAGCAGGTTGAGAACGCAGGGCAAATACGAGAGGTGTTGTGCGGATTGCTTCCGTGGCTTTTGGGGTCTTGCAGAAAGAAAAAAAAAGTAAGCAGCAGATGACCGTTTCTTCCGTACGCGTTTGTCGTTTCAGACCGGGAAGAATACGAATTTGAAGAAAGTGCACAAGATTGGACAGAGCTAAGATTCTACGAGCGATTTATCACGCATCGACAACGCCGCGGACACGAGGCTATGGTAGTCAGCAGGATAATTGATGCATGAGGACATCGTCAATATCAAGAACGTGTTCGACTCGTGTTCTTTTGAGCATAAGGCGTGGATAATTCGGGCAGTTCGCACGCATCAAGGATTCGAAATTCCACGCCTTAAAAATTCTCATCAAAGTAAACAAACGGGAAAAGGGATACAAGTGGTCATATTTAAAAATATGAAGTATGTAATCCAATCAAGACAGATGTTCAAGATGAATAACAAAGCTACAGTGCGATTTGGATAGATATTTATGTAGAAGGCCTGCGTGGCAACGTCTAGCTTGTTCAATGTTTATTGTTCTGAATGCTCATCAGCCATGGCCAATCTTGGGTAACAAGTCCACGAATCAGATCCACCTTCGATCCACCGACGTCCTCGTTCTTGTATTCAAAAACAAAATTTTCTGTCCATCGTCTATCGAATTGCATCATACTGCAGAAACAGCACCAGGGACTTGTGAAACTGTCGGGACTCCTCCTGGATTAGGCTGAATCACCACCGAGTGTCCTGGTGCCTGTTGAATGACGTAGGGCATCTGGCCGTTCCCAGAGAACATCGCTTGGGCTCCACCATATCCGTATCCACCGTATCCGCCGTAGCCATATCCACCTGATGCACCGAAGCCAGGAAGAATGGCTGTGTCCTCGAACCATGCTCCTGGATTACCCATCGTGGTGAGCGAACTGGCGAGTTTGAACGTCAGAAGCAGTGAGATGAGGACTGCAATAGACGTGAGTAACTGTTGTGAAGAATCAATCCGAAGAGAAACACATACGAATGCCAAAGTTGAACCAGGAGAATGCCATGATGGACTTCATTTCATAACAGTACTGTTGAGCAGACACTACACATTGGTTAGACCAAAGACAGGTAATTTCTTATGGATACACTCACTCGATCCGGTCTTTGTCGGCTGCGTTCCACCGAGTGAGAAGCATTCAACATGTCCAATAACGTCGCTACAAAAAGGGAATTAATTAGTGAATTATTGCATCCCAAGATCAAGGATTGGACCTACGATGACCATGCTGCCAATGCTGGGAGAGGGTTAAGGGTAGGATTTAGAACGGAGAACTTAACGCTGCTGGAATAGCACTCACACAACCAAAGAACATCCAGCACAAAGAATATCACCGCATCATACAGAAGCGTAGATCGTTGTGCACTTCGAACGAAGTATCGTCAGAAATCCTAGTGCTGTCATGAAGCATTGGATTACACACATGAATATGCTGACAAGAATTGTAACAGACGGCACGACGAGAGTAAATATCGTATACGGCCCTGGAGGAGCGTTTGAGTAAACACCAGGATATCTGATTAAATGGGTTGGTCAAGCTCACGGTGAATGTGCGGCAGGAACAAGTTGGCAAAATTTGCAGCAAGTCCAAGTACTATAGCCGCCGCAATGAAGACAATGCCTACGCATTAACAGTCAACGTGCTGAATAAATTGCTGTGGAGCGTCCAGGAAGACGGCGTACCGAGCAGAAAGTAGCGTTGGACGCGTAGTCCAGGCATGAGCGATAATCGTGCAGATAGAGATCCGGGTCCGTTAGTCGTTTAGTAGTAGTCAATCGTCAGCACTAAGGAATCGTCACGTTTAAGTAAAGAGGGATACGTCGTCGTCTGCGAGGAAGGAACGAGGCAGCTGTGAATTGCCTGACCTGACCTGATTGAATGGGGAATTTCGCGCGTCAATATCGTATTTGGACGCAATATTTTGAACTCGAGTCACATGATGGCAATATTGAGGGTAACTTTAGATTAGTCATCACCACTTCCGTTGTTTGATCCGGGGTTCCGATGATGCGATCACACTTTCACATTGCCAAACTTGCAATCTACTCTCACGCTGGTTCCGCCTCGTGTTTGGCTGTCTTTCGGCCGAACACAAACAAACAGGATGCTAAAAGTACAATTCCATTTCCTCTATGTCAAAGTAAAGCTCCAGATATTCCGTTATAATCGTATCAACAAGGCGTTCCCCGTAATAAAATCATAAACCCAAAAGAAACGGGAATCTCCCTCTAAGTGTTACAGATATTACTTTCATTTCATTTCTGTGCGGGACGTCGTGAGGAGTGTGTTCTCCTCGGAGGATTCGAGGGCTCGCCTCTCCTCCGTTCATGTGCACGTTCGTGCTCTCTGTCGCGTTCGCGTTCACGATCCCTTGTCTGGGCCCGTGTGCGTGCAGCAGGCACCTCCCGAGGTCGCTCTACCCACACCCAGAACGCGGACTTGCGATACTCCGCCATCTTCGGCTTCGAGACGTCTGCTGCTGCGTGTGGTCTCCGTGTGCTTCCCTTGCGGCGACTGGGCATCGCAGTCACCGGCGCCGGAAGGGACTTATTGCGCGAGTTCATATGCGGGCTGGATCTGGACCGGCTACTGAACCATGGATAAACGGGTACCGGATGCATCCAGACCTTCTTGTTCCCTCTAAAGTGCTGACGAAGCACCAGGAATAATAAAAATAGCAAGAACCCCCAAACTAGAAGTTAATCAATGAAGCATCAGCACAGAGATTCTCATGTGAGCTGGCTATATCTGACGAGATCGATCTACACACCTAAAATAATATTAAATATTGAGAAAGCTTCCAAGACCCGATATTGGGCATGGAAAATGTCGGTGGTAACTAGTAAGAAATTTTTTTTAATTGCGAGGACGAAAAAAACTTCACAGAGGACAACTCACAGCTGTGTAACTCTACAGGGTCCTCAAGAGTAGAATCGGCAGAAAAACATTCCACGTCGGCTTCAGCTGACGCAGAAGCTGCCAGAAAACTGCCGAGTGCCAACCAGACGACAGCGAGGAATCCCAAGCAGGCAAGTTCTATTCGTGTCGAGATCCGACTCTTTTGCTTGAAGAAAGTCGACACAAGCCTGCAAATTCCAGTACAATCAAGGTAAGCATGAATCCAACTCTTAAAAGTGTAAGACGTACAATGCGAGGATGACCAGTAGACTTGCACATGACACGAATATTGCGAATGGGACGAAATGAGCTGAGGAAAATCATTTAAATTTTGCTTCCGGTTGTCAAGTCGAATTTCACGCACTTAAGTCGGAAGAAACGAGAATGGCTTGGAAATGCGCCGCAATCCCCAGAACGATCGCAGTGCAAATCAAAATGCCAGCTAGAAACAAGCCAAAATATCAGTAAAGACGTAAAGCAACGTATCATGTGCCAAGCACTACTTACTATACACTCCAAGTCGAATAATATTAAACAGAGAAGGCATGCGTGATTTCTTAGGCGCCAAGCTGGACGAGGTAGACAACCTTCTACCTCGTGGTCGTCCACTAAAGACATTCAAGTTCGGAGAAGTCATGGTAGATGCACCCGACTAGCGCTCAGGAAGAGCAAAGAACTGCACAAAATGAGATGCACAAATCCTTGCAACAGGACCTTCTTATCCCGAGACTTTGATGGTCGCGATGATGGAGGCGAGGCAGCAGCGAGGCGAGCGGCCTGTGCGCGGGCGACCAGCAGGCTTGAGGAGGGCGGGCAGATAGGAAGGAAGGGGGAGGGAACTCAAGTACACGCGAGTGGCCAGGAGGCTTTTGTACATTTTTCCGAAACACGCCATGTCGAGATCTTAGCACGGAGGCAGGGGACTGCCTGAGAGACTCAGAGAACCGCGAGGCCTCGAGGCTACAATTTTGCGCGTGAGCATATGCAGCTTCCGTCGAAGGCAACGAAATGACCGGGGCACAGCCGCAGCTGCCTCGTGTTTGCTGATTCATCATGTTCTCGGCTTCCCCGAAAACAAATACACTCTCTTGGAATAACACTCGGGGCCTTTTCCTGTGTGAAAAACGCAGATACTCCTGAGATAGGGTGACTTACGAAAAGCTTGACAAAGTGAAATATGTGCTACATTGTTATGTTTACAGACTGAAATACATTTGTTCAATGTTACTTCCAAACTGGCTACTAACACGAAGACCCGCGAATTTCGGGTCAGGGCAACTCATCCCGTAATTTCTGTCCGAGAGCGGCGTACTCGGCAAGGCATTCTGGGTTCCTTAAAGTTGCTGGATTTATCCCCGCAATCGGCGCGCCGTTGATTATCTACGAAGATTGCCGTTTGCGGTTAGATAGATACACGTTGTTTACGCACGGAAGCCAAACACCCAAACTTTGTTTACGGGTCTGTAGCCAAACTCACCTTTTTCACAGGGACCTCCACTCGCTTTCCATTTAATGTGTACGGAACATCGCTCACCTGCACAATCTACACCGACATTGACCCTTTCAGCAATTTGCTTTCGTGATTTGCAAAACGAAGTCGAAAACGGAAGAATAGTGAAGAGGAAGTGTGTGGGTGTGGAAATGAAGGGACTCACTCGCTCGGGCACATGACGCGCAGTTCTTCGAGCTCGAATTTCAGTCTTGATGCGCTTCTCTAGTTCGGGCGTACATGTGTATCCATCGTGCAGTTTAATGAACAAGATCACGCGCTCGTCCGCCCCGCCGTTGATTGCTTGTCCTACTGCAAGGCAATCGACAACGACGTGCTTCGGCGGAGTTGTGGGTCCCGGTTTGAAGCACATGTCTACCACGTCGTAGATCTCTGCAGAACCAAAACGTACACCCCCTGGATTTCTACGAAACGCGAATGCAACGGCTTTAGTAGAGATCAACACAGATTGGGGTACTGTAAATACACGTACAATACACCATCACTACGGCCAAGCATAACGAGTCCACCTCCATTTCCACGTCTGGAAGGTGTAAGCAAGACATGGTCACCATGATCTAGGAGATATTGAACACGTAAATACGTCTCTTGTCATCTCATAAAAGTCAGGAGCCATTCTCCCGTGATAACAGTGAAATTAATGAAGAGCGGGGCATCAAATATCCCATTGTGCGAACGGTGTCCGAGGAATAGGAGAACCAGGAAAAGTCTAAAGTTTAACAAACACGTACACCACACGTTTTTGTATTCCGAAAAGTAAGCAGCTTGGTGGCGCGCCGCAGCAGCAGTCACAGCATTGAGGTCTGTGTCAGGAAAGCCCGCCAATGGCCAGAATCCTGCGGGTTGACACGGAAAGGGGCGTACGCACACGAGCTCGCCAGCTTCGCCTGAACGACTTGGTGTGCCACCCGGCCCGTATGTTTCGATAGCCATGCCGAGCATGCGGCACTGGATTTCCCCGCGGTAAACAGGTAGAGCCGTGTTCATGCCTGCGAAAAGAGAGCAGATATCTGTCCCACCTAGGAAATGAAATAAAACCAATTTGAGCGGCGCAGATGCAGCAGTCAGGAGGTTGTATTCAGACTCTACGGATATATCATTGAATTTCTTACCGGTTACTGAACCTAGCAACACGTCAGGATGAATGTGTTCATAGACATAATCAAAGGAGGATGCAGGAAGGGGTGATCCAGTTGAATAGATATGCCTCAGTGCAGTCAGCTTGTGGTGTTCTCTAGGCTTGTATACTTTCTATGCTCATATCGAGAATGGAGGAAAATAGACATGAACGGTCGAGGCCTCTGTCGCAATAATTTTGCTAAACTCACGGAAAGCTGGTCTATGTATTTCGCACTTGTGCCAAAAATTGTAATTCCCAGTTGATCAACAAGATGCCATAGGAATGCCGGTTCGCGCAGTGGACTACCATCATAAAGCACGAGGGTGGAGCCACATGCGAGACCAGATACTAAGAAATTCCACATCATCCATCCGCTGGAGAATAATCAATATTAGAAGTAAATAGATAACTAAAGTGGAACTATACTCACGTTGTTGTGTAGTAGAAGAACACATCTTCAGGCCGTAGATCCCCGCAAATGACAAATTCTTTCAATGACTGCAGAAGCATTCCTCCTGCGCGGTGGACAATGGGTCTTGCAAGCATTAGTTAATAAGCAGGCATTGAATTGCTGGTCCAGCTTACTTCGGTCTTCCTAATAATCAAAGCAAGTGAGAAACTTAAGCTTGCATAAAGTTGATTAGGCCTACCCGTCGTTCCCGAACTGAACAAGATCCAGAGAGGCCAGTTAAACCCCATCCTTTTCCATAATATGTTACCTTTTTCGTCCCTTCCGAGCTTCTTCACTCTTCCTCTGCTGACGAAATTATCCCAGTGTTCCCACTCGTGCCTCCAGTTACCAGGTGGACTGCTGACAGCATTGATGACTACTACTTTCTGAGGATTACACGATGCAGAGGCCATCCCATCAAGAAGCTCGGACAGCTTGGACAAATGCGGATGCACTTTGCCGTTGTAACTAAAAGGAACCTGGCTCAGTACGAAAAGTACAGAAAAACAAATAGATGCTAGCCGAAGGGCCGTACACGACACCATTTACGCTGAATACCACCTTCGGCTTGACCTGTTCGAATCTGATCTGCATTCAGAAACGGACATCGAATAATTTCGTTGACTGTGTACGACCTTTCTAATACACCTTCCGGTCCGAAGTCGGCGGCCGCACTGACCCAAATGCAACCTGTATAAAACACCTAAGAAATCTTCGTACTATCACATCGCAGCGGGACGCTGTACCAATTGCGGAAGTTGCAAGACAGGCAGCTACATTTTCCTATATACTTCTCAGTACGAATCAAACATCCAGTAGAATCGGGGCTTCTTACAATGCAATTGGAGCAATAAGCGCCAACACGGTCACCGGGCTTCAATCCGACGTCGAGCAACGCGGAAACAAGTTCAGAAACGAGCGCGTACAGCTCTTCATAAGTAACTCGTTTTAAGCTCTTAGGGTCGTGCTGTTCTCCAAGAAGCGGCTCCACTTTTCGAATTTACAAGTTTCAGCATTAGTCTGAGTATGTGTGCAGGGTGATCGGAATGTACGTGTTGAGCGTACCAACTTGTATAAGCGCAGTCCGCTTGCTTTCCTCTCCGTCCTTCCACCTACACATATTCTCCGCCCAGTTCAACTTCGTCTCCTCATCCGCGAACCAATCCGGATTGTCCGCGGGGACGCACTCTTCATCCACCACATGCATGCCTCGCTCACCGATGACACCAACAACATCCCAAACTGTACCCCAGAAGTCCGATTGTCGCTTAACGGAGAAGCGCCAGAGGTCTTCGTAGGTCACAAGGGGCGGGTTGAGTGAGTACTTCGCGTTGAGTGTCCTAAGTAAGGCGAAAGTAGGTGTGTTCTCCGGGTCTGGTGGCTCCCAGAGAGGTTTGACTTCGGAGTCAGTTGAGTGAGAAAGCGCTTGGCCTGCAGCTTCGCGTGCCGTGGTATCTGCGTCTGCGATAGCGCTTGTCATGGTAGGTTTAGAAGATCGCGTCCGTTGGATGCGGAGCACAGAAGCAGATTGAAGCACTCGCACATGCTCACGCAGTATTGTGATGGTAAGCTCATGATCCGTTCCGTAAGCATATATGGTATTATAGACACAAACGCGGAGAGACAGTATACATAATCGATGTTAGACCGAGGCACACGGTGCATGAGAACTCGTAGGAGCAGCTACTTATTCAACTTACGCATTCACAGAACCTCGGACTACTCCACAGTCTTTTTACCTTTCAATTCAATGTGCAACAAGACTAAAATTACTCCTTATATGCATGCTTGCATGTGTTTTTGCGAGTGTTCTCCTATTTGGACAATCATCCTCGGATTCTGTTCCTGAGACGACGACAGACCTCCGAAGTCGGATAGGTGCTCTACCTCCACTTACAGAACCAGCAGGAATTTTTTGCAAAGGAAAATACAAATAAATTACTACTTCTTTTCAGTCTTCTTCCTTGCCATTACTTCATGGAGAATACGACCTCCGCCTCAACCTCAGTTTACCGATAACATGTGAAGTAAACAAGAATGCAGGCGGCGCCACTTTGAAGCCACCTCTAGGAGGTTTAGACATAATCGCAAGAAAAAGGGGGGGATTCGAATTAGCACTCCTTAAATTCTTATGCACGCACGCGACTAGGTACGTGGCGTGCTTCCATGTCCAGGAGGTGGCTAAGGCGAAAACTTCTAGTAGACGCGGTTAACTCATGATGATAAGAGCTCCGCAGATAGGAGACCTGCAACGTTCGTCGGTACTCGGATTTGAAGTACCTTAAGCAATTACTGGTCTTGGATGTACGCTGCTCTGGAATTGCTTTAGGTGCTGTTCATAAGTGAAAAATGCCGAGCGAGAGTTGCGGAGTTTAGGGACACTCGAGAAACGTGTGGGGAAGAGGGAGGCTTGGATATCCAGGCTAGACCAGAGGATGGGGCTTAGCGCGTTAATCCAATACAGATACCGACCCCAACATCCACATGTGTGAACATTGACATTCTCAGGACTGCTAGCAGGCGAAAACCCCAACAGTCACAGGTATACAGGAAACAAGAACAGCAATAACTTTGGCCTTAGCAGTACTAGTGCGGACGCAGCCGCGGACAGACTTAGAAACACAATTGAGCAAAGCAGAGCAGGCGTTATGTAAGGCCGGCGGACAAGGAAAGATGATCGCCTGCCGCGTGTAATTGAGTCATCCAATGGACAGGCAAACGTGCGAGAAGGTTTAGAAAGACCTTCCGCGTCTTTTTGGCTTGTCCGTTTCTCGTTTCGTCCCCTCGCTCTTCAGACACAAACCGCCATCTGCCACACAACTCAGTATTGCTGGCCACTTCCCTCGGCCTTGCTCACTAAGCAGTTATACCCTCCGCATATATAAACCTCCCTTCCGTCCTGGCGTCTCCGCCTTCGATCGCATCTTCCCCCTGCTCAGTGACCACTTCCTCGCAGCCTTCCTCTCCTACAGCTTCAGTGTCACGCAGCCTTTCTATGAACCCAGTGATGGATAGGTACTATTCACCCAGCACTCCTGAATACAGAGCGCACAGTCGCATACAGTACGCCGCATTGCTCCTTTGTTCGCCACCGGCCGCTTGATCTTACTATTTTTTATTATTGCTTTGCTGCAGAGAGGATTATCTCTGGGAGGACGAACAAGGCTCCTTGAATGAGACTCTTATCGCTCTGGGTGCCTCCTACCAGGCACTTGCGCGCTACATCAGCGGCGCAGACATCTATCTCATGCCGCGTACCCCAACGGACCTTCTCGATAAATTGTGCGTGTTCTTTATTCCAGTGTGCACTGCATTGGCTCATTCTGGTTGTTAGGAAGCGATATGCTGCCGATGCTATCCATAACACTATTGCACAGTCGCGACGACCGATGGAAGAAGGAGGATATGGAAGAGTAAGTTTCCCTTAGATAGTACATGTCACGTTTCTGACGAACGATTGTTGGACAGATTCTAGCCCTCGCACATCAATCTCTTCGTTCGGTCTTGGCAACTGGCAACAACACACGCGATTTGCTGAACCTGCATGTGCAACAGAATGACCCGAAGCTTCAGTCCACGACATTAAGGGGTCGCCTTCTCGAACCATTGTGACGAAGTAAAGAAGGTTGTGGAGAGAAGACTCCATTCGGCTCCGACGATTATCATTATTGCGACGCGACCCTCCGTTATCCTATATCCCCGCTTTTGCGCTTTGCTCTTCGCAGTTGTGCCCTTATTCCCTTATTGCATGCCGATGGAAAGAGAACCACTGGCGTGCAGCCTCCTGGCGATTTTAATTATCTGCTTTTTCTTGCACCACTTTATTCTTAGTCCGATTCCGAGTCCATGTCTGTTTTCTTACCTATCGCACTTGCAAGCTACTGAACGACTTCACGCATATACATGTACATAGACAGATTCGATGTAATGACTGTACGAAGAATTAAATATCGGTGTAACACTGTAATTGTATTATTATGTGCTATCAATAACTGAAACTGAACATGATCTGAATCCGGAAGTGTTCTGTTGGTTCCGGAACGAGGCAATGATCGACGGTAGCGAACGTGCGTTGAGGTCCCCGCGCTGCGCAGGCACTTCGTGACTATCGTCTATTTCCCGTTTTACACCACCTCGCCTGAAATGAACATATCATGCTCTGCTATTTAGGAGGCCACCGGCTTGCTTGTGGTCGTCTCCTTGTTCCAATCCACCATGTTGCTGCTCCCTCTTTCGCTCCTCGTCTCCGCCTTTTTCGGCGTTGCCAGCGCGTCCCCGATCCAAGTACCGCTCGTAGCGCCCCACGACGCTTCCGAGGAGTCGTGTGAGTCCATTCCGCACTATTCGCCTCGGTTGTCCTACAGTCTAGCTGACCGTGGCTATTGCTATGTGCTTGATTACGCTCTATGTCCGACGTTTGCATTTGGCTGTCCTGTTCAGTGCAACGCATAGACACGGGCCTCAAGGGGCGCTTCTTGCACCTCACAGACATGCATCCCGACATGTATTATAAACCCGACGCCGCGGAGTCGACTGCCTGCCATAGGAGAAAGCCCAAGAAAGAGAAAGAGCGCGGTGGATACTATGGGCTACCGTATGGGTGTGTGGCTTCTCCTGCTCCACTTGACAGCAGGCTTCGCGCAGTGTTCCACGAGCTCTGAACAATTTGCTAGGGACTGTGATTCGCCTTTCACACTTACAAACTTCACTCTTGATTTCTTGGAGAAACATTGGGCAAATGAAATAGATTTTGTTGTTTGTGAGTTCGCATCTTCCGGTCCGAGTTGTTTAGGTATTAATTCATCACTGTCAACTCATGGATCTACGACACGCATATCAGGGACCGGAGACAGCGCTAGGTGGGTAGGCTTTGTACTCACCTTCGTTAACTCGGAAATTAACTCGAAGCGTGAATCGAGCACAGACACGATAATGACCGAGAGGTTCCGCGAACCCCAGATGAGATTTACGAACTTAATCGTGCAGCAGCTCGCCGAATGAACGAGATATTTACTTCACGTGGTATACCCGTGGTACCGACTTTAGGTGAGCAGCTCGAGGCTCTTATAATAATAATTTGGCTGAACAGAGCACGCGTAGGAAATAACGATGTCTGGCGTAAGTATAATTTCTTTGTCATTGATAAGCAGGCTATCACTCACGGCTTGGCTTCGGCTTCGGCTTCTTGCGTGTAATAATGTAGCACATGTGAGTATAGCTTTGCACTCTCAAGGAAAGTGTAATCAGACCAATTTGATTTTTACCACATAGAATATAATGGCAGCTGGTACGTTCCTCTTCACCGTTGGCGATGATCTACCATCAACCAGACCACCATCATATATGATACAGGTCCGAATAGTATTACCAACGAATTCTCAAGGTGGGCGTTGTTCCACTCTCTTTAATTTGTCAATACCTGGGCATCGCGGAGTCCGAGAGCGAGAGCCAATCAATCATGATGCTGATTCCTGACGCAACATGCTCAGTGAATGCAGTGTCTTTGCGCGAGTGTTCTTACGATCACGGATCGAGGTTGCACTCGCTCCGCTTTGCTGCGGTACTAGACTCGGACCAGGCTCATCGCTGACGCAGATTCAGGAACTGCATCCACTCTGCTCGATCTCTTTCTCATTTGCGTATATAACTGACGTGAAATTTCTTTTCCGTTATTTGCCTATACCGAAAATGTGAAAATGCGAAAATGCGAAAATGCGAAATCAATAATAATCCGTTACGTGATGGTCCTTTCCTAACAGCATATGGATGAATTTCATTCCGTTCGAGAGCTTTCAAGTGTTCCAGCGAGGTGGCTATTACTCAGTGGAAGTCGTCCCGGACGAGGTTGCTGTGATCAGTTTGAATACAATGTACTTCTATGATTCCAACAAAGGTGTGTGCGTTTTGATCAATTCCGCACTCGCATTTCGTCCGATTTTGTACATTCTTCACCGCCTTCGCTGTCCATTCCTCCCCAGCATCATCATATATCATGATGCGTACCCCTTCCATCCGCGCTGGGGACTTTCCGAAGGGCTTGGCCTTGCTGCTATTGGCGGAATTGGTCGCTTTTGCTAAACGTTTAACTTCTCTTCTTGATCATCTTCTCTGCCTATGCGTTGCCGCGAACGTCTCACCGCATTTTACTAACCAACTTGTTCTACTTTCTCTGATCCTGCACTCTGCTTGCGCGGCTCGGATTGTCATGGGAATGGCCTCTCATTCGTCCCAATGTGACTCCCCCTTGCAACGTAATGTCCACCCAATCCGATGCAATGCAATCATCTCATGGCACACTCACACTGACAAACGTTAATCGCTTGATGCGCTGACACGTTATTCCCACCACCCGATCGCGGGCGCCTACCTAACTTCTCGCCATTTGACCGGTTCATCGATGCTCGTCCAATTTCTCATTTGGATATTTGCGGGAAGCAGCCGTGGGAGGGTGCGAATACGGAGAGGGTGATGACCCGGGAAACCTCCAATTCGACTGGTTTGAAGTGCAGTTGGACCGCTTCCGTGAGCGCGGTATGCAGGTATGCTCATTCAATAAATCCGTTTTATGTATAAATATTCTGTGCAATTTGGTTTCGATGATACTGATCAAAAGCTTATATGCTTTTTCTTTTATTTTTATGATAATTACCGGCGGTCATGCTGTATGTGGTTTTGTTCCGGTTGTTGACTTGGATGCACCGTTGCCGCGTGCTCGGTTGCTGGACAACGAACGATGGTAACGGCGACGAATGGCTGTGCACGTACCCCGCATCGGTGCCAATCCACTAGGTCTGGGTGTCTGGTCACGTCCCGCCCTCACCAGGTAATTACTTCCCGGGCTGCGTAAGTTTCCTTTATCGTGATTTGTCGAGTGTGTGTTATTGATTCGCCACACATCTCCATCCTTGAACGCCGACTATTGACGTTCGTGACGACATGACATCAGTTTGTACGGTATGCGGATCTTGCCCTGCGATACCAGGATACGATACTCGGACATCTGTTTGGCGTAAGTCCTCTATTTTGCTTCTCCCTTGTTTTTTTTACTCCTCGCGTGCTCGATATGTTTGCTCTTGCTTCATTTGGGTACATCCGAGACAATCCATCTGTGCAACGTTAGACTTCAACCCAAACTCGCGTGGCCCTGGTTGCTAGTTTTCCATGTGCCCATTGGGTTTGTCTTGGACAATTCTGGCACTTCCGCCGGAGAAAGCCTTCACCTTCTTCCAATGCAAAACCTTACCATATTTGACTAAGTGACTGACTTTTACCTTTGTATAGCACATGAATGTAGACCACGTGAGTAGAAGTTCAGTATTATTCTTGAGTAAACTCTATTTTTCTCATCGAAAATGAACTTTCCGCAGTTTTTCTTCTTGGAACCAGAAGATACTGTGCTCCCTGAAGAGAGTTCAGCGAAGCATCTTGAGGAAAAGATTGGCGAACGGAGTCATTCGTCGCTCGCAGAAACATTGTTTACGGATTTTAGTACACTTCCGAGGAAGGGGAAGACCGACCTGGATGAATATGTGATAATTAATGTTGGACCGTCGGTAGTGCCGAACCCATATGTGCCGACGTTCCGAGTGTATGCGTACAATGCTACGGGCGGGTCCAGTGATCAGCCAGGGGAAGCATTGCCGGAGCCGGACTCTGACCTGAAAAAGAAGAAAAAGAAGGGCGGAAAAGGAAAGAAGCGGAAACACGGTCATCGGCATCCCGGACGGGAGACCAATGTTGATTGCAAGAAGAAAGAAAACCGAGGAACATGGGCATGTCGACCACGAAAGCCTCAGTATGCCAGTGATGACTCGCCCAGTCGGCGAAACACGCTATGGACGCCACTCGGCTATGCTCAGGCCAGTGTTACGTGTTCTACGGAAGCTAACCTTCTGTCTAAATTTTTTTCTTGAATAACATAATGACAGTACTGGCTACCGAATTTGGACGAGGCGAGCAAGGACGCCAAGCCGAAGTTCAAGCTGGAATACACGACGATGAGCGCGTCTAATGCGCGACGAGCATTCCCACCGAAGCAGCTACCGAAATCGCTGCGAGGTGCGGGAAGGGAGGGAGAGGGAGAGGCGGAGGTGAAGAAGAAGAAGGGGCGAAAGTACACACCGTATAAGCTTGATGATCTGACGATTGGGTCATATCTTGGGTTAGGACGGCGGCTGGGGGATGAGAAGGAGGAAGGCGTACGTGCGCTGTTCCGGCGATACATGTATCAGAACACGGAGTAGAGTAGAACTAGAGGTGTAGTGGTGTCTGGGGTACTGAGTGAGAAAATAAAAGCAGGGCCGGTTGCCTTGGCTACCTCCGCATTGAGATCCCGTTTGCCCGTCTGCAGTCAACTCCAACAAAGCCCTCTGTTGGCCTGTGTCATCTCCCAGCGCTGCTCTCTGTCTGCACATTTATCTTCCACCTTCGCGTTGTTTCTTCCCCTCCTTGTCCGGCTGGCCCGCAACCGTCCTTTCTGCACATCTTGCTTTCTTCAGATTATATTTCTTGTTTGTTTGTTTGTGTCCACCCGACGCTCATTCGCAGTTTCAGCCCTGCTTTCTCGCCGCATTTCGCCTTTATTTCGCTTGTGTTCTGCACTAGCAGTAGTAGCCCGTACGTCCAGCATCAGCGACGGCGCCCATGAACGGCGCGTTGCACATGTCTATGTTGCCCTCAGCAGTCCCGTTTGACTTTTTACCACATACCGCCCACTCGCGTTCCGGCTCTGTTTCCTCCGTCTCGTCCCACTCCAGCTCCCGTCCACCCTCAGCTCACGGTGACATGCTTGCCGCCCAGAATACAGTCCAGGGGATGCACGGCGGCATCGGTGCAGGTGGTCCAGGGCCTGGCGCAGGCATGAACATGGGAGATGACTTATATAGGAGCGCTTACGCTCTCGGACTCAAGCAGGCGATGCCCTCTCACACCCGTCATTCATCCTCGTCCACCGCCTTCTCCACTGATCTCGCCTCCCCCGCCGACTCTCCGCCCACCCAGCACGCCCTGGCAAACCCCGCGCTCAAACCACAGAGTGGCCTGCGCCAGACGCACATTCGTGCTGCCCGCGCCGCCACGTCGCCCTACCCGCGCGATGCCGAGAGTGTCTATTCGTCCTCGAGCGAGAACGAGGACATGTCTCTCTTTTTCAGCAACCCCTCTCCGCCGGACTACACTCAGATGTACATTCAGAGCCAACAGGGAAACCCTACGCACGCGCATCACCAGCACCAGCAAGATGCATTCCACGCTGCCGGCCAGTTTGGCCGTATGACCCTTGGCCCTGATCATGCACTGGAGCAACTCGCTGCAAACGTCCGTGCTGCGACGACGACAAGCGCATCAGACAGAGCGAAGCAGATTTTTGTGCAAGCTTGGTATGTTTGTTTTTATTGCTGCAATGTTTTTTTTTTCTCTCTATCTCTTGTTTGTTTTTCACTTTGCTGATCGTCGTCGATCGCCCACTACACTCAATCCGGGGTTAGGCTCAATGCAAACTATGCTCCTTATCCCGATGGGAACGTCCCCCGGCAGGGCCTCTACTTTTCATACCGTCGAGTCTGTGACCAGTATGGGATTCCACATATCAACACAGCGACTTTGGGCAAGGCAATTCGACTTTGTTTTCCCGCCATCAAAACACGCCGTCTGGGTGTTCGAGGGAACAGCAAGTATCACTGTGAGTTTTGATAATCACTCCCTTTGCCCGCCACTTCTTCTCACTCAGCTTGATCATCTCGACTTCTCCCCTTTTTTGATGCTTTGATCTTGATTTACTCTGTTTTGATGATGGGGTTTCTGACGCATGCACCCAACAGATTGTGGCATCCGCCCAACGACGGCAACCGAGATTGAATGGCTGCAGGACTACGTACGCAAATCAAACGCTGCGGCCAATGCGAACAAGCAGGGTACTGCGGGAGGAGCCGGAGCAGGCGGCAAGGGCGGTGATGACCACTCTGAAGACGATGAAGACGAAGACGGAAGTGAGGGCGCAGCTCCTTCGACATCAGGATCCAAGCGCAACTCTCTGACAATCAATAATGGAATGAAGAGCCCGACACTGATCCAAATGGACACAGACAAGACGCCGACGACGAACACACTTCTATCACAGGCTCAGGCGTCACAGCGCGCAAGCTTCCCGGCGCATGCTCCCATTCGCCGGCATCCTCTTGGTGCTGATCCTCTCACACTCGGCGGGTCAAGCCATGCGCCTTCACCCCCTACTGCCTCTGCGGCAGCATTTATGGGGCCAGCGCAAATGCGATCTGTACGTGAACTTCCAGGGTTTCCGGACATTGAAGAAGCGCTCGGACCAGATTCGTCCTCGCCTCACGGGATCGCTGCAAGAGATGTATGGCGTTGGTTTGAAGATCATCTGAATGCACTGCTTGACAGTGTGCGGAACTATCGCTTTGACCAGTTTGAACTTAATTTGCGCTCGTTCTGGTCAAGCCTTAGCGGCGATCACAGGGAGGTCGTCCACGCCCCGGCGGTCGCGGGTCTCATGGCAAAGGCGGACGCCCTTGTTTATAATGTAAGTTTTGTTTGAATGCACTATTCAATACAACTTCGGGTACTTATTTATTCCCATCTAGGAAATACTTGAAATTCTGCGTTTGCAGATGCTGTCGCCGATCCCGCCTCAAGCTTTGACAAGTTTGAGGCAGCTCGCTGATAAAATGGAGAAGATTCTTCTACTTGCACTTGAGAATTATGGGAATACATTCGTAGAACCTAAAGTAGAGTTGGGAGCTCGTTTCGGGCACCTTGTTTGTAAGTAAAGTTTTCAAGCTTCGATGCTTTATCCCGAACGCGTGCATTGACTAATTTTACACGAACCATAGTGCGCTTCCTGGATATCTTCCAAGTGACGCAGGCGTTATCGACCGTGCTTACGAACCAGAAGCAGCTTTCGGATATGCGTCGTTCGTGGCAGAGCATTGATTTCGAGTCTGTCCGCAATCAATCAGCTCTTGTATGCAACTGCCGACACGAAGATCTCGTGCAGTTGCTCGAAGTCGACTTTGTTGCGCTTCTGAACAGCCTGTCAAAGAGCGCGGAACCTGTCGGAGAAGTCATGGCATGGGCTGACAATGTCTGCGAACGTCTGATGGGTGGAAACCGCGGTCCGAATATGACTGGTGGTGTAGAAGAGCGCTCGACGATTTCGTCCCGAAGTATCTTGATCCGATGGGGATATGTAACCAGTCAAATTATGCGTGATCTGGTACGTTCAACTCAGTTGATTGGTGATTTGATTTGATTCCGTCGGTTGCTAACGCGGAGCTGTCTATGAAGACTATTCGTAGTGACCCGGCGTTTGGCGCGTTCCAGATCTTGAAGCTTTTCCTCGAGTACGGTGTTTTTCCTCGATACCTTCGGTAATTTACGTTAATTACTGATTTCGGTTTCTTTCTCTTTCTCTCTTTTGCCCCTGGTAGCGACTGGATTGCTTTGAACGTACTCCGTAGCGTGGCCTTATCGACAAACTCTGTCGCTGCGTCCGTCGAACCGGTTATTCAACAGCAACTATTTACGTTGTCACCGATGCAGGGCCAGGAAAACTACAACGCCGCTGGACATGGTGGTGCACATTCCATCCTGAATGATACACCGACTACATCAAGCATGCTTGCTGCACTCCACGATTCGTTCGGTGGTAGCGGACTTGATGCTGGTGCATTCGACTCGAGCATGTCGATGAACTTTGTCGACCCTTCGAGCGTTTCGCACGACAGTGGCATGTTCAGCGACTACAACAGTAGTAGTGCGTTCGACGTTCCTACGTTCACACCGCAAGACCTCGGGCTTAACAGCGATGCCGCGAGCGTTCACTCATCGACATCGGAGCATTCACAGCATTCATCGCCGGAGGCTAACCTTGCGTCAGCGGTACCTGTATCGACTCCAGCACCGGTCAAGGATGAATCTGGGCCTTAAATTGTCATCACTATGATGTGTATAATGGGAATTTGTCAATTGCATTATTTTTGCGAACAACCCTGTTTATTGTTGGATTGTTGGATCTGGCTATAATTTGTGTTTTTTGTGTTGGCCCCCCTCAGATGATTTATGTTTAGCTTCAGGATTTCATGGTTACCACCCTTTCCTTCCTTCCCTATTCGTAAAGAATTATTATTGCAACCGTTGTTGGTTGCTGCTTGTTGCTGCTGCTGCTGTTACAACGTATATATTTGTGCCGTTGGTGTGCAGCTTACCCCTCGGATTCGGTATCTCTCTCTTCTTTTGGTTTCGTTCGGCTCCTTCCCCCAGTTTCTCAGTGCTTTTCTTTTCGTTTTTTTTTGCTCTATTGTAATTCTGCCAGCTCTCACGATCAGACAGTCTAGTTAGTCCGCTGCCACCGCCCACCTCCTTTCTTCTCGTTTATCTCCCACCCTGTACATGAGTTTGAGTTTTCCTACGTCTTTTTGGTTCGTTTTTGCTTTCGCTATTCCCCCAGCCCTAACCTTTTGCTGACACGGATATCTGTTGTCAATGTCATACCTCCATTCCTTTTTTGTCCCTTTTTTTTCTCTTTCTTTATCTTTTTTGAATCGTACTTATATTGTTAGTTATCTGAATGAAAAAGCCTGCTTCACTAAAATCAATGTCTCTGTGTGTATGTGAGTGTTTGTTAACTTTGGGGAAGGATTAACGCAAGGTAGGGAATGGTATCGTCACTTGAAAGGTGGGGGCATGAAGGACTGAGTTGACTGAAACTGAATATTCAAATTAAAACTGAACTTGGAGTAAAATGAAATGAAATGAAACGAAGCTGAAGACTGAGGACTGAGGAACTGAGTGGTGGATAACCATTTTATATATAATATATTAAGTCGAAAGCGAGGTGTGTAGAGATACGACGACGACAGTCCTGTGATGCACACAGTGCACCGACAGATTTTTGTTTGCGGGTTAATGTACTTACTTATGTATGGGAATAAGAGAATGGGAAATTGGGAATCAGGAAGTAGAATCATGAAAGTGAAGATGACAATCAAAACACGCTCGACTCTTCCTCTCGTCTAACTTGTCCAGCTTGTACATCAAGCGGTGACTTCAATATCATCCTTCGATACTTGCTCAAGCTCCACGTCGACTTCTTCGGGAGAGACAGCCCGCTCGAGGTCATCGTTCTCCGCAGGCGTCGGCGCTGGCTCAGGTGGGTTCTCGCCCTTCCCATTCGGCGGAGTGTCCACCTTGTTCGCGTTACCCAAGAGCTTCTTAATCTGCTCTTCAGCCTTCGCGACGTTCTCCTTCGTCACGCGAGTTTGGTTAGCCTCGAACCATGCTTTCTTTGTTTGCAAGTCCGAGATGGTGCGTGGGAGGTCGGAGGCGGAAGCGGGAGGTGGGATGGAGAGAGAGAGGAGGGCGGAGAGGGTTGAGAGGGGGATGTTAAGTGGTCCGGAGGATGGGAGTGGAGGAGCGGGGGTGTCGTTGTCGCCGTTTGGTGAGGTGGACGGTACTCCTCCTCTCGCACCGCCTTTGGCCTTCTTACCACCTTTCTTTCCCTTCCCACCCATGAAATACGCCTCCTCGTCTTCACCTTTCTTCTTGCGTGCAACAAGTCCATCAGTGTCTGCCTCGACCTGTCGGACCTCGAGCTTTGGCACGCCAGCAAGTTCCTTTCGGGCTTGATCGGTAGACGCCGTCGTGGAGAGTCTGATCGCACCGCTCGTCTTCCCCGAGAAATAGTCAATGAGCGTCTGGCAGTCCTCGATCTGCGCCTGGTACGCAGGCACAGCCGCTTCCTCACGTATACGCGTTGCCTCCACTTTTCTTTTCTCCTCCTCTTCCGCTTGGCGCTGTGCTCGTGCACGCTCAGCACGTCGAGCTCGATCCTCATTAACCTTAGCCCAGTAACGGTCGTTCTCCTCCCGGAAACGTTGCGCAGACTCACGCTTCTTGCCGTGTAACTCATCAAGTTGCGCCTTGAGCTCACTCCTTTCCTCGAATAGCTTGTTCCGGTTAGCATATGCCTCGTCACCCTCCTTTCTGATCTCATCGAGCTCAGCTCTGATCGCGTCTCCGCGCTCCGAGATGGCCTTGGCTTCGGGATCATCTAATTGCTTGCGTATTTCGTCGACTGCGGCGCGGTCGCGTTCGATGGCTTCCTGGTCTGCTTGGAAGCTCTCTACGGTTTTCCGTAGTCGTTTGCATGTGCTAATTTCGGCAAGAGCACGTTTCTCATCGACCAGCTTCATGGTACCGGATTCAACCTGCCTTTCGAGTTGTCTGACAAAACGAATAAACAAATGATAAATCGATTAAATGGAAGGGAAGAAATAACGTACTTGATATGTGCATCGACGTCTGCCACAGACTTGAACTGCGTCTTGCTCTTAGCAGCCTGCAAGTCCTTGATCTAACCATGCGTAAGTCACACGCAGTCTCTTAAAATAAAGTAAATAGAAAATAGTAAGCGCCATACCTTCTTCGAGATACCCTCGTTCAGAGATTGCAGCTGCGCAATAAGCTGTCCACGCGAATTCTTGAATTTTCCCTGTTCCTGTCGAATTTTATCCATCTCGGCGCGCAATTCCGTTCGTCGCTCCGCGCCAGGACCACTATTCGAGCCAGCATCGATCTTACTTCGTATAGCGTTCTAAGGTGGTGATTGCAAAGAAAGAAAGATTAGATTAAGGTATTAAGAACGAGGCGCTAGAAGTAACGAAAGAGAGCCCGACAAGCGCGCGCACCCACCATCTTTTCCTGGACCACCGCAATCTCAGCCTTAATGGATTCCTGCTCTGCATCGTATTCCTTCTTGTCAGGCCTGCCGACTCGACCAGCTATGCTCTTAGGTGCGTCCTCGCTGACGGGGGTCGCAGCGCCGCTTGTGAGAGGAGAGGAAGCCAGTGAAGTCTTCGGTTCTGTCTTCGTACTTTTGCCTCCCTTCGGACCAGCACCGTTCGCACCGGCGGCGTTGCTTTTGACCTTTGCGCCTGCTGCCATTTTGCCGGGGTGTCGCTCGAAAATACTAGGATGTAGCCAAGGAAGAGGGAAAGAGGAGGAAGAGAAAGATAGATGAGAGGAAGAGACTGCGGTGTGCTTGCTAGAAGAGGGAAACCGGAGCTGAAATTGACGTGGACGTGGAATCTTCCAAGCGTGGGTAAAACACTCCTACCTCCGTCTCTCATCAATCCCCCTTTCATTTATTAAAAAATTACTTTGCGCCAGACTATCACGTTTCTGGGACACGCCTTGTATTGACTTGATATGATTTGCTGTGACTTGGACTGAGGAAATAAATATTCACAGGCCAACAGAAAGATTTCCTCCTGGATCGGGTCTGTCCATAGCTCTGGCCGAATTCCGTCATTTGCCACTCTTTTGACAAATTAAAATTAAACCATGATATCATAGCGCAGCATGTCGAATACTTTATCACGCCATTGTATATATCTAGCCCGCACACCTGCACCATATAGTGCATGACATGTTGCCCGTGAATCCTGAAGGGGAAAGATCTAACCAGATGCACAGTTGCAAGAGATGAAGACAGTAGAAGGCCTAAACATCTTTGAATTTATCATAATGCGTGCCGAATTGCCGGCTAGTATTCACAGCTGGGTCCTACAGCCTTACAGGATAAGTACAAGGTCAAAAGCATGGCCTTTTATTTTTCAGAAGCGGATCGTAGTAAGATACAATGAAGGAAAGATATGGAAAAGCAAGGACACTAAAGTATGCAACGTCAGCTAACGTCCCATTGCAGCTTAATATGAGAAAAAACCAACCTAGAAAAATATCTTCTCCTGCAACTTCGCAACCTCTTTGCAACACTCATTATACAGCTCCTTATAGTCATCATCCTCATCCTTGTCCTCCTTCTCCTTCTCACCATCCTTTTCCTTCCGCTTCCGCTTCTTAGCGTCCGGACAAACCATGACGCAGCTCGTCGGCCTCTTCGTCGAGCTCGCACGTCCGAGCTCTTCTTTTGACGGAATGAAGACGTAGGGTATTTGTTCGTCTTCACTTAGTACGGGTAAGTGGGAGATGATGTCGATGGGTGTTATGTCTGCCGCGAGGACGAGCAAGCTGTGGAGAGTTTTTTAAAAAATAATCATGGATGAGCATGAGCACGAACGTCTCCGTCGATTAGAACGAGACTCACCCCTTCTCTCCTTTCCGGATTCCTTTCACCACTTCTTTTACACCACGTTTTACTTGTCGTTGCTTCGAAGCTAGACGAAAACCAGCGACGAATGAGTTCAAAAGTAAAAAGGAGCGAATGGGACCGGAGACGCACCTTTTTTAATAACTTTGTGCAGTTTCTTCAATAACTTCCTCTCCGCCAAAGGACGTGCAATCGGCGATAATTCCTTCATGTCAATAACAATTTCATCCTTTTCTTTCTCTTTTTTGACCTTCTTCGCTGGCTAGTGAGACATCCAGACATCCTTAGCACTCGAGTATACCAGTAGGGAGTGCAAAATACACGGAATAAGAAACGCACTCGTTCGTCATTCACGTCTGTTACCACCATAGAGACGTCACCAACAGTGGTATCTGCGGCTTCTTCATCGTGCACTTTCCTCTTCTTGTGCTCCTTCTTTTCCGACTTGGCCATGGTAGATCTATAGGCTAAGCTGGCGAGTCTTTGCAACTTTTGGGCAGTCCCAAACAAGTGCAAATCATATGAGGCACGTGCTTTTGCACTTCTGTCTCCAGCAGTACAATAAATAAATACAATAAATCCTCTTCTCGTGTCACATGTGATGCGCAGTTGCTATAAATTAGTACAGTACATGGACTTATAATCCGACCGAGATCAGAAATCCCAGCCAAAATAAACCTAGTTATAATGCTTAAAATCACATAACGTATCAGACGAAACTGTCCCACATTATGAAACTTCTCTGTTGTAACATAACTTGACATATAGAGTAGGTGAAGAAGCTTCACCCTCCAGCAATGTTGGTCAATCTCACAAAATACAACCACACATTCATTGGCAGACATCTCTCTCCCAGAGTCAGATAGTATTATACATTCATTTTTTATATAAAGTTCAATCAGGTCCGGCAAGATCAGTACTCCTGAGCAACCTGCTCGTTGAGCCTCTTGTGGGCGTCGTGCTTAGCACGCTCCCTGTCGACGAAGTCGAGCTATGGGAAGGGTGGTCCCTGGTCAACATCGACACCCTGTGCATAAACATCATGTAGGACTTACGCCCTTGGTTTCGAATTCACGGTCAATGAAAGCACCCGCGAGACCAGCACTGCAATGATGTGAGCAGATAAAATGTGAATATATGCGGGAATGATACGCACAGGACCTCCTTTGCCTGAGCGTGCGAAGCCGGCTTGCCGTTCTTCGCGCAGTGGTCCTCGTAGGCCTTCGCAGCCTCAAAAGCTGATATCGCACCAACATCAGATCAGTTTGTCTACTTGTAAGAGTAGACAACATACCAGCGGCACCGCCGATGAGCTCGTGGCTGATCTTGGCCTTGTGCTCGTCGGGCGTGTTCTGGTACTGTAATTCGATAAGATCGGGTAACCCAGGCATGCGTAGAAGCAAAGATAAAGGAAGCATAAGTTAGCGCTCGTTGATCGACGTTGATCACCAACGGGCGAGCCAAGCGCCTTGGCGGTGGCCCGTCGGGACGACAAAGTAGACAACGATACGTACGTCCTGGTAGGCTTGAGCCTCGTTAGAGTCATTACCGAACCAACCCATAGTGAATCAAGGACTAGTGTATATAAGCGCTGAAGGAGATGGAAGTAGTAGCAGATGACAGGGGATGTCTGAGATAGAACAGAGGGGAGATGAGGAGTTTATATAGGATAATGACGTTCTTAGCTAAGAATAGATATGGCACACCCCAGTTCACTCGTTCCCTTATTGGCTTTGATGGCTACCGCCGCGGTCTAGCACAAAAGCAAGTACGCTGTACAGCCTGTTCAATCGATCGCACCAGCAATCGGATTGATCACATGTGTATTCTCGCTCCTTTCGCCATTGCTCAGAACCATATCATGCTCGCTTTCCTGCTGTTTGTATCTCTTCTTTCTAATAATGCTGCAAAGGCTGCGCAATACCTGTGTATTCTCCTTAGTTACGGAGAGGGGCAGGGTTGGTTACTGCACTGGTACGCGCAGCAACAAGTGAGATAGATAGACAGAAGGGCCGAAACCTCGGAGCCATGTGTATTAATTTGCATAACAAGGGTGGAGTGGAAATGGCGACTCATTCCGTCATAGATTCCTTTCGTGGTGGGAATCACTTGGTCCCTACGTTCCTGGCATTGAAAAGAAGGATAGCATCAAAGCCATAATCATATGCGTGCAAAAGACCCTGTACAGCATCAGGCGCTTGCTCTCGACCGGGCAAAAGGACCTTCCAAAAATCTTACAACAGAAGCACCCTGCAAGATAGCGCTATATTTAAAGCTGCCTTCTACAACGTGATCCGTCGTTTACCACCTCTTCTCGCATCGCCAAAGGCTGTGTGCTTCCAAATTTTGCAATGTACCTGTAGTTCGAACAGCTCGGCTTAAACTCGTTCATTCTAATCGATGATGTAAATCTCACCATTACTTTAGTCACTGTCGTTATCTTCGACAAATACACTGCTTTTGATCCGCTTATTAGGCTTGCCAAATTTCAGACTACGGAGCTGTCGGTGGTCGTTACCAGATCCTACTGGGTCGGGATCCATATTCAAGTAGTGCTCAATAAAGTCTTCGTCTTCTTCGGACGACTCCTGAAGAGGTTCATCGATGGCATCATCTCGTCTCTCGTGAGACGCAAACTTCGCCCAAAGCTCAGCCTCCATCTCTTTAGCAGTGGCAACATCAGCGGCGTCTAACTCCTCTTCCTCAAGGAGCTCTTCAAGGAGAGCTGAATCATCGGGAACACGTTGAACATCATCCGAAGATTCATAGTTGCAAGGCGCAGTCTGCGATGGACCATATGGATTTGAATCAAGATGATCAACAGCTGCATGCCAGAGGAAGGGCGCGTAGATTTCACGATGAAAGGGAAGAGTAGGTCTAGTTTCGTGAATGCTGTGTTCCTCTTCGTCGTCAAAATTATCGGCATCCTCATCTATGAATGGATCGCTGTGCCCACCCCCCTCGTCCCCAACATTACCTTTCTCAGCGTCGCCCCCGATGTCCTCTTTATCCGAGTTTCCGCCATCTCCGCTTCCATCTTCACAGTGGACAGCTTTATCCGTCTCCTCCTGTCCTTCCCGCATTTCCACCGATCGCTTACATGATTTAATGTAATCCATACGAGAAACCAGTTGACTAAAGTGTTCCTTCTTACTCGTCGCAGCGCCCATAGTTTCCAGCGCCAAATGAATATGTTTATCCTTGACCTAAATTATAAACGCGTTCTAAACTCAACTTCAAGGATAAATGGGAAAGAAGGGATAACTGACCTGCTCCTCGCGTAGCCTCCAAACTTTAGTATGCTCCTTCGCCACCCGTTCCTGTTCGCAAATAGCAATGGCACGATGTATGACGTCCGTGACGAAACAGACAACTTCAGCTTGAAACAACTTTATAAGAGCGGCAGATATGCGATTCCCAGTACTGTTTGGTGGCCCCTGTAATGACGCATGGAGACTGCACCCAATGAGAACTATATTTACAATATGGTGAACTCCTGGAATAACTCACCCCATAAGATCTGAGAATCTTGATAGATGGAAGAGACCTAGTCCTTCAGACTTCAGCGTTGCTGCATTATAGCCGAAATCCAGCAGCTCTTGCTTTATTCTGTACGGTAGCGTGGCGGGACGAAAGTCTTTCAAAATCCCCAGTTGGTCTTCATCATGAAGAATGTCGGCCAATTGGAGAGCGTCGTCGAGACCTCCATCGAGCGAGATGTCGGCTTCCTCCTTCCCTCCGTGAACATCCGTTTGTCCCTCATTTTCATCTTCCTCGTTGTTTGAGATAGTAAATTTTGCTTCTGCAAGCTGTACCTTCTTATCCACGTCCATAATTTCATCGGCGTTCTCTGTTTTGGCTTTTTGCCGTGCCAGTTTGCGCAAGAGTCTCTTATTTGTTTTGCGACCAGGTTTGAGGCGCGTAGCTGCCATATTTACTTCTCCGCCAGACTGTTCAGCACGTTTGCGACGCATGTGCATGCGCTTTTGATGTCGCCGACGTGCAATGGGATCGAGGAGGTCCAGATCGACATTCATTTCTGCGTCATGACCATTATGATTGCGATTGGAGGTTTCTGCTTCGTGGCTGGACGAATATGCAGGTTCGAGTTGCCGCTCAGCACCATCTAAAGGTGAAGGTTTGATGATATCGTCGTTCAAGGGAACAGAAACACGCTCTTCTATCTCAACAGAGCCATAGCCAAGACGAGAGACGGCAGCATGAGATTGCGCAAGACTCGATTCTTCAGCTTCACGAAGGATTCGGTCAATCGCTGTAAGGTGAACACCAGTCAAGTCTCTCATATAATCTTCCTTTTCCCATTCGGCTTCCCGCCTTGCCTGAAAGTCTGTGAGTATTGCTTTTCGGAGCTTCTCGTTCTCCCTATCCCTTGGACCTGCAACCCATTCGCTTTTCGGCTTACGCAGAGACCGTCGTTTATCGTCAAGCACGGCCGAACGTCTAGCCTCGCGGTGTTGGGCCTCCCAGATCGGCTCTAAATCCGCCATCGCACTGGCTTGTTTCTCCTCAAATTCGATCCAATCATCCGAAACCTCAACAGCTGACATGAATGTTGACCTGCTCCATTTCTTTGGTTCTTTAGCAGAGGCTTCGGCAAGCATGTCCAAATACACGCAGACATCGGCCACGGTCTTCCCTGGGACTTCCGCCGCAATGAGATCTGGGCGTAGACGCGAGTGGACGCTTAACGCATGAAAGAACTTGTCCTTATCCACTGGCGACCAGAAGCCACATGGCGGGAAATAAGACGGGTGCGAAGGTCCGTCGTGTTCATTGTCTGCACCGTCGAGGTGCAATGTGATGTGAGCGACGTGGCTCTCGAAGTGCTTCACATAATTCACGTCGAGGTCTATCGTCTCATCCTCATCCATTTGATTGACGTTGCCCAGGTCTTCATGAGTGTGGACGGGACGGGTAGTGGCTGGTGAGAGAGAGAGAAATAAACTTACGCCCTAGTGGGTCCAAACATCCAAATCAAGCATGTTTACAACTTGAGGTCAAATGCTCGTCCCACGTCAAAATCGTCTGATAATCAAAATTAATTCACCAAGATACACTGGGCCAAAATGAAGAAGTTGTATTTCGTAAACCAGAAGAAAGAAAGCATATGGTGAGATGGAATTATGGAGAAAGAAAACGTTGGGAACAGACAAAAATGAGACAGTTCACAAGGTTAATTCTCGCTTGTTGTGAAATACCCGGAGTTTCCCCGTCCGTCGATCACAAGTACAAGTTATCAAGTCCGTAGTTATTATCACCTCACCTTGAACCTTGAGAACTGTCATTGTCTCAGCCAAGGTTCAGTTCTTCAACCCCTGGAGCTGCAGAACTATATAATGCATTGACGGGTCCATTCTCCGTTCTCACTCTTGCCCTGAGATGAAGTCTACAACCATCCCGATCGACAAGAACTGGCAGTTCACTCAAGTTGGCGGTGGTCAAGGAACGAAAGACGGCGAGTTGCTGCCCTGTGAAGAGTTTCCCACATCGGTCCATGTTGAGCTTCTCAAGAGGAAAGCGATACCAGACCCAGTCAGTCATATCTCACTTGTCATGTCTCCAGTCTCTTAATGCAGAACCTTTGTTAGTTTATTGGCCTTCATGAATGGGACGTACAATGTGAGTATCAAATCAATTCACCCGCGAGAATATCGGTATATATTCGTATTAGGGATCGGGGAAGCTGAATGGGCATTCAAGACAACATTTCATATTGCGGACGAGACATTCGCTGCACCAAACGTTGATCTGATCTTTGAAGGATTGGACACATATTGCTCTGTTGAGCTTGTAAGATTGCTAGTCCTATAAAACTTATATTCATTGACAGAGCGTGACACCGTGCCTTAGAATGGTGAAAAGCTATTGAGGTATAATCCTATTCAATAATTCTTCTGTCAAACTAACCTGTATTCGACTCAAGCACGAACAACCAATTCATCTCCCACCACATTCCGGTCAAAGGACAATCACTGAAGAATGGAGATAATGAGCTTGTACTCACATTTCCATCCGCATTCGTAAAGGCAAGTTCCTTGTGACAGCTGAATAATTAAGTTGAGAGAACTGATATATATATGTATATATTTACATGGGAACAAGGGACGAGAACTTGAGAAGCAGCACGGCAAGCTCAACCTTTGGAACGGTGACTCCAGTCGCTTACATGTTCGCAAAGCTCAATACAAGTGAGTATCTTGACAAGCTTCGATTTTGCAATCCTAATCGTTGTACATGTTAGTTACGGATGGGATTGGGGTACGTGAATAATTTGCACAAGTGTGCACGCACATAAACTTATATTTCTAACTTCTACTCTTTCCGCTCGCATTTCTCAACGACGAAGGCCCAGTTCTCATGACTGTTGGACCGTGGCGACCAATTTCGATCCACGCATATGAGTCGCGATTAGCAGACCTGCGTGCGATAGTCGACGTGAAGGAAGATCTCAGTGTTCAGACAAATATATCGTTCCAGGTCGAGGGCTCGGTTTCAGGCCTGAAAGCAGAATATTCCCTTCTTTCACAAGATGGGAAAGAGGTACTCGGTGATAGTACCGCTTTGAGTGAGGGAAAAGGAGAATCTGCTTTTGCTGCCAAACCTGGGGCATTGGATCTCTGGTACCCTGTAGGATACGGAAAACAGGCGCTATATACTCTTCAAGTTAGCTTGTACGACGAGGTTGGTGATTCAACTTGCTCTGTATCTCGTATTCTGTATATCCCCATTTTAGCAAGGGAATGTAATCGATGTTCAAGAGAAGCGGTTAGGCCTTCGCCGGGTTCGAATAATTCAGGATAAGCTGGACGGCGAACCTGGACACACGTTCCTGTTTGAAGTCAACAACATTCGCATCTTTTGTGGAGGTATATAAATGTCTTTAGAATACTTCTACCTCGATTAACTTACCTTGTAAGGGTCAAATTGGATCCCTGCCGATAGCTTCCTTACAACGTACGTTGATTAACTCCTGGTTTATGTGGTTCGCATGGGCTAATTCTCCACGCTGTAGTATGACTCCGAAGAGGTACAGAGACTGGCTGCAGCTACTGATTGACGGAAATCAGAACATGATTCGCGTTTGGGGCGGAGGTATCTATGAGCACGATAGCTTCTACAACATATGCGATGGTAAATTATCTCAAAATATAAACACACGTCCAGACGAAGTTCTCATACTATTTATGTATTTAGAACTCGGTATAATGGTCTGGCAGGACTTCATGTTCGGTTGTGGACAGGTAGGAAATCCATGGACTTCGTTTGGCGAGATGGCTAATTATTTTTAAAGTATCCAGCGTACAACAGCTTTCTGGAGTCCGTGAAGGTTGAAGCGGAGCAAAACGTGAAGCGACTGAGGCATCACCCTTCTATCGTAATCTTCGGTAAGTTTCACGTCAGAGCGTCAATTCTACAGATTTCTAAAGCTTTATTTTTGTAGCTGGCAACAATGAAGGTCCAATTCAATCATTTACTTGATGGTATCCAGTATGACTAAGATTCTTACAGATTATCAACTAGCTGAAAGCTTAAAGCTCGATCTTGACTATGGCGACGAGAAGTCAGACTTCCGTCAGACGAATTTCCCCGCTCGACACATATACGAGCGAGTGCTCCCGGAGATAGTCGCAAAGCACTGTGAAATACATTATCATCGTTCCTCGCCTTACAGTGGATTTGGACAAGTTACAACTGACCGCACGAATGGTGATCTACATCAGTGTGAGTTATTTCAGTGCAAATTTCTTCTTAATCATAGTCAGTCTGAACGTTTCATTAGGGAATGTATGGCATGGATCACAGGAACCATGGCATAATTGGGACATTCTCGCCGGCCGGTTCGTCTCAGAGTTTGGAATGTGAGTAACCTTCCATCAAAATGTACACAGTCCTTGTTAAGGTAAGGTAATGACTTAGGGAAGGATACCCTAACATTCGAACCGTTGACTATTGGATTGGAGGCGACAAGTCTGAGAGGTATCCTCAGTCGAGGTGAGGGTCAGGTTTCTTTACGATCAATAGCACGTTGTTGAAAAACCTTCCAGGACTAATTGCAATCATAATAAGGCCGATGGATTCGAGCGTCGTCTCGAGTTGTACCTAATGGAGAACTTCAAACATGCATTTGACATAGAAAGGTAAACCACTTTGTCTGAGTGTTCTATTAAATGACTTAACTCTATTGCATTTAGCTATGTTTACTATACTCAAATCATGCAGGCGGAGACCCTAGCTTCTGCTTATCGGCTTTGGCGGCGCAACTGGAAAGGCCGGGGAAAGGAGTACACAGCTGGTGCACTCGTCTGGCAGGTAACTTCCTCGGATTCCCACTTTACAACGCATATACCAACTTTACGTGTGATTTAGATTAACGACTGCTGGCCAGTGACCTCCTGGGCAATAGTCGACTACTTCCTACGGCCGAAACCAGCCTACTTCGCAATCGCACGCGAACTTCGGCCGTACACAGTCGGAATGACGCGCAAGGAGAAGATAGTCTATGCAGACGCGAACAAAGCAGCTGACTTCACGCTTGACGTCGAGTTGGAGATATGGGGTACCAATAGCCAGCTGACTGAGAAAACAGTTGTGCTTGATGTGACGAGTTTCAATTTGGATTTGGATTCAGAGTCGGATGATTGGATGGAGAATTGGAAGAAGGAAGTTGTGTTGAAGCCGAATGCGAGTACGGAGCTTTGGAAGGGAAAGTTACCTGGTCAGCCGACGCGGACGAAGCTTAGTGAAGTTCCGAAGACTATCGTTGTCTCCGCAAGGTTGCTTGACGGTGATAAAGTTCTGGCTCGGTATTCAAACTGGTGAGTTACATCACACTCTTCAAGTCCCGGCGGTAGTCTTTGTCTTGCATATGGCTCATCGACTTCATAGGCCTGAACCATACAAATACATTCACTTCCCCTCCGTCGAAGAATCCTGGCTGAAAATCACACCAGTCGGTAGCGACGGCGAGAACGAAACATTGCTCGAACTCTCATGCAAGAAACCCATAAAGGGTATCGTCCTCGACGTTGAGGGTGACGATGTGAAATGGAGCGACCAGGCGATCGATCTGGTTCCAGGCGACAATCAACGCGTCAAGGCAGTTGGATTGAATGGTAGGAAGGTCCAGGCACGTTATCTTGGCGATGGGTCTGCTTGAATTCTTCCACTTTCCCTTTCCACCCCGGCCCGAAAGTTGGTTTTCTTCGAACCGAATTCTCTCGCTCCCCGCCTCCGGGGCCCCACAAGCCGAATAAATTCGCCATGCGGAAAAAGTTCATTTCTGCATCCATATGTCGTGTTCTCAAACAGAAAAAGAAATGGAATAGGATATCCTCGTGTAAATCCACATGCTCTCATTAAATCAAATCAATGATATCGCTTGGGAATTGGAGTGAAGGCCTGGAATTTATTAGTAGTTTTAGCGAGACGATAAGGTAGGGTAAGAGATATGCGATTAACGATATAGGAGGCTTGTAGGTTAATCAAGGGGAGAGGGGACTGAAAGCTTGATACCCCAGAAAGCCAGTATCATCGATCCTAGACCCGTCTCTAAGATCCGTAGGCCGAAGAAAACCGATTGACACACCGACAGGCAAGAACTTGAAGAAGCACAGAAGTAGAGTGTATGTACAGGAGCGAAATTCTTTATCATACACGGATTAGGCGTCTATGGCCTTTAGAACTACTACGATACGTAGAGGAACAAATATGTAATAGGAGAGGATCAACAGACAGCATTTATAGGAAAGGAAACGTAAGAAAGGGGGGGGGGGGAGTAATGTGATCAGAGACCAGCTTGAAACCCTTGGAACAGAGCGAGAACAAGGTGAATACTGTAGAGTTGTAGAGTTAAATATATTATGTAAATGAACTCATTGGAACTCGAGGCAGGAAGCATAGCTAGAGTAAGAAGAGAAAGAGAGAAAAGAAGAGATAAGAGGCATTTAGGTAGAACACTGAACAGGTGATCGAGTACATGGGGCAAGGGATTGCATATGCATATCCTAAAGTAGTGGGCGAACACCCGGTAAAACGAGTAGCATGGCGTCTATAACAAGGCGAATGGATAGTCCATGATGCGCGGCTGAAGGCGGGGTAATTCACATAACAATACAGCGGTTGCCCACAGGCTGGTTCTGATTATGTGGGGCACGCTTCTCGATCTCGCCGAGTACCAAATCAAAGACCGTGGCTAGCATTTAGGGTGAATATAATTATGATGAGGTTTTGAGAATGCAGCGAGGAACGTAATGATACGTACAAACGTTGATATTCTGCTTTGCGCTAGTCTCAATCCACGTAGCGCCGATGGACTTTGCGAACTCCTCGGCCTCCTCCTTGGGCACTTTTCTGCACGCACAAATGAACGTCGGACATGCGTGAATATCGGGGCAATACGAGAAGCAACAGGCGAGAAAGGGAGGAAAGAGACGCAAAAGGTCCAAGGATGTGAAGGACATGTGAAATAAGTGAGAATTCTCACCTTTGTGGTAAGTCCGACATAGAGCCTACTATGACGCAAGGGATGGACTGATTCCCAGTGAAGTTGACAATCTTGTCGTGGATAATCTGGACCATCTCAAACGAGTTGTAGGATGCGACGGAGTATACGAGCACAAAGCCGTGGATGCCAATAGCGTGCCTCTGATTTAAGATAGAGTATTCGTCCTTGTCGAGAATGATAGAAAATAAGCTTTAGAACGGCACAGGCGCTGAGGAGACTGCGCAACATACCTGACCTGCAGTGTCGATGATGTCGCACTCGAAGACGACGCCATTGTACTTGATGTCCTTGGTGAAGGTGCTCTCGATCGTCGGGTAGTAGGACTCGACAAAGTGGCCCTCGACGAACTGAATGACGAGTGACGACTTGCCTGGAAGGTGTCGGAGATGAGCACGCGACGCCGCGGATGTGACAAGAAGGTTACATACCGACCGAGCGAGAGCCGAGGACAGCAAGCTTCCTCTTCCTAAGCGCGTCCGCAGGCATTCAGGATAGAAGGTGAGAGAGGAAAGACAGAGAAAAGAGGAGCGAGCGAGCGGACAGGTTATGAAGAGAAAGGGAGAGTGATGAGGAGAGGACGGGGCTGAGTGGGGAGCAGTTAGTTATGCGATGCTGATCTCTCGCGGTGGGTTTATATCGAGCAGCAAGAGCACTGCGGTCGTACTTTTATAATTCTTTCTACCCAGGTACCCCGCCCTCGAGCCAAACTAAACATCAGCACCCGAAGGCCGAAATGTGGTCGAGATGCATTCTTATTTTCTTCTTTTATTCCATCCATCCCACCTCCATCATATGATCCTGCATCGGCCTGTCCAACCTTGTCCTTCAGCTTCCCTCTTCGTAAACACTCCAACCGTTCCACAGAGATCACTCAAGGGTCACTCCAGCCCGTGAAAAAAAGATGCGAAACACCCGAATAAATGTATCCTCTCCACGTAATCTTTTATCCTCTTTCTCAAGATCGCAGATCGTTGCTCGCACTACCGCACTTTTATCGATTGTTGCCGAGGCACGTATGAATGCAGGAAGAGAACAATGCGTCCGATCATCCTTGCCAGCGGCCTTATTGAATAGCTTTCCTTCATTTCGAGGCCAGCACAAATGGCAGGTACATCATAGGCACATCATGGCTGACGGCCATGGTCGGGCAGGAAATGAGCTGGATTGCCTCGCTGCTGTATTCCACAACAAACTCTCTTGACAATATAGGCCATATTGCGGCGTGCGGCTCTCGGATTGCTATGTATAGGTACGATGCGGAAGACCTTGCCAGCGCTCCATTTTGCCCGGTATTCGGGATCCAATCCGACTGCGGTAGGCCTAGCTGTCCATATTTGGCCATTGCGCATTAAAGTCAGTCCTTGGACATACAACGGGTATTAAGAATGCATGATTAGGAGTACACTTAGGAGGTGGCACTATTGGCAGTCTACTCGAGGCAGACATTTTAATTCAGTGTTCTTCACTGGTATTGCCTCAGGCAGTACAGGAATGGTCATTGCCCGAGGGGCCGAATAGATCGGTACTAGTACAACTGCGAACGACGGGAGAAGTAAATGGATTCTATAATTACTTCTTCATCTCGAGATGCTGAGCAATACGGATACACTGTATAGCGCATCCTGACAATGAGAACAGCCTCTGAAGAGGGTCCGAAAGCTTGTCATACATATTTTAGTTAAAGGCCTCAGGTAATGATATGCGTCCACGTGATTCCAATATATGACGCGTGATGGTTCAAAAGTTCAACTTGCTCTCTTGCCAACTCCGTTCACGTCGTGCAATTAGCCACTTCGACTTTCGCCCTCCTGTGTACTTGTATAACTCTCTCTCTCTGTCACCGGTCAACAATGTCGACCGTATCAACTCCGTCAGACTCGCCTATCGCTTCCCAGCCGCTCCATAATCCTGAGCGCGCCGCTAAGGTGGTCGTGCCGCAGGCTCCGCTCGGAAACGCAACGAACGGTAGGATGGTGAATCAGCAGCCTGGAATGGGTGCAAAGGCGCTTTTGGCGAAAACTATGGCGAAGAACAGGTAGATGGCTTCGTCCCTTGCATAATCACGGACTTGCTCATATACCGCAAATTGTAGCAACCCGAAGTTCATCTCTCCTACTGACAGCTTCCAAACGCCCGTATCAAGCAAAATCAACGCGGCAAAGAAGAAGCGTTTTGAGAAGTGAGCCGTCATGATTATGCGTGGTTTACCGCTGTACTTATTCCCTCATAGGGGCGTGAAGCCTGCTCAGGGAGGTGGACTATTCCAAGAGGCGAATGCTGACAATGACGATTCCGGCTCTGACGAGGAACTGGACGACGAGCCAGAGAAGAAACAGGAAGTAGCAAATATGGATGACCCAGAGAATCCATTCTGATTCTCACCACTCCATCTATACCACCAATACCACCATAGAGCCTCCCGCTATGTTATTCCACCTGGGAGAAGTGTCTGATTACGTGTACCATCTGTTCTTGTCGTTAAGCAATCGCTTGTGTACTATCTTGTGGCTTATTATTGTTACCACCTACCGTCTGTCGTTGCTGGCCAATTAACTCAATTTCACTCGTTTACTCTCGAAGTTCGGATTGCACGTGACTTTGATTAATTAGAGACGCGCGTCTAATGACGCGTTTCAGGACGGTTCTTCCCGCAGCATAGGGACAGCGGGTATTGCTGCGTGGCGAGAGAGACACTTCGTGTGCATCTACAGCGATGGACCTTGATGCCTTGAGTAGTATGCTCGCTGGCTTTACTGGTCTGGAACCGTCAGTTTTGTCTCGTTTTTCTGCTCTGCTTGTCTTATACTAACTCCTAACACGTTTATGCACACAGGCAAAGAAGAGAATTTATTGAGAAGCTGCCCGCGCTCACCGAGAGTGATCTTACAGCTCTGAACCAACATGGTCTGTCAACAGTTCCAATTCGCACTTGATGACAAAGACCTGATTCCGATAACTTCCTTTTGCTGCACATACAGACTCTTCTTGCCCGATATGTTTGACGCCTTTCCTAGCTGTGCTTGCTTCTGAGGAGATGGCACTTGCGATGGACAGTCCGGCAACCTCTACTGATGACTTGGGTGTCACCCGTCTTACTGAGACGTGTGGACATGTTTTCTGTCGGAAGGAGTGAGTTCTCTTGTTTGCCTTGAAAAACTTGTCAGGTTATTGATGTTGGTGATACTGATTGAAGTATCACAACTTGGATACGACAGGTACGGAGATTATCATAATGATCCTGTTGCCTTTATAAGATTACTCATGATGATTACTTTAACTTCCTCTTCTTATATACAGCACGATACATGTCCAACATGCAGACGACCATTCATCTTCTTCCCCACTCGCTCATCCTCCACGACCGGAGACGCTCACTCAACAACACAAAGCGGTAATGACTACGGGCTAGACGAAGAGGAGGTGCTGCGCGGGATGTCGTTTCCAGATACAGAAGATGGACGGGCGCAGCGCGCGATGATATTACGAATCATGGCGCTCTTTCAGGGGAGTCCACGACGAAACACTGAGACACCGGGTTTAGAGCGAGATAATCTTGATCCTAATATTGACATGGATGAGGAATCCGGAATACCGCGGCAAGAAGAGAGGCTCAATGGTGTAGGTAGTACTGTCAATGAAAGGGAGGAATTTGTTGGGATGTATTCTTAATTTTAATATTTACTTGGTCTTGGATTATTTGTTTTGTTTGGAGGTACATACGCGATGCGCATGTAACCCCCATTACATAGTGTAGCATACCGAAAGCACACAGCAAAAAGATTGTTTGCATTCGATTTTCTCGAGTGTCCGCGAATATATATACGATATTAACCAATCCAAGGAGAGTACTAGCAGCCAAACGTTCTGTTTAAATCGAAAAAGCCAATCCAAACAAAGCAAAAAAAGCCAAAAAGTCAAAAAGTCCATTTCGACCCGTAGAGCAACAACTGAAGCTCTGGCCCAACATCTTCAACTACCAGCTGACTGTCCTGTGACAGTCAGCTTTACTCGTAAACAATGAACAAAAAAAGGGAAAACTTGGGACGCAGAGAGAAAGAGAGAGGCAGAGGGAGACATTAATGAGTCCGTAAAATGCGATGCAGAGATGGGTATGATTTCACGATTTGAAATCAGCAATTTACAATAGAGCTTGGGTAAAATGGTGTGCGAATGTCGCAGCGGACAATGTTCCTGCATTGCTCTAATCCAGTAACGGTCCATATTAAGACCTGCGGCAACACCTGAACAGGTTACGCTTGAAGAAGTAGAACAGGCACTACAAATCACAAAGATTTAGTTTGAGCAGGAAAATAAAAGTCAAATGAGAGATCACTTACGCCCATGAATCGCACAAGTGCAAGACCGAAAGTCGAGTACAGAATGATCGCGAAATACGTCTGCTGTCTCGACTGCAACTTCTGTTCATCCGTCTGCTCATTGCCACTGGACAAACCGTTCAGATTCTCAATGGAGACTGCCAGGCCGGCATTCGAAAGCATCCAGGCCGCGACGAGACGAGTTCTGAAAGTCTTGTTCTGGTCGTCCATCGTCGGCTTCTCGACGACTTCCTTCGTTTCAACCTTTGTAACAGCACGGGTGACAGTCTCCTTGAAGACAGCATCGACATCCTCCTGAAGTCTGGTCGTATCTTCGACGACTGGACCATCTTCTTCCTTGCCTTTCTTGGACGTCATAGACGGGAGTGCCTCTGCCTTATCAGATCCCTTCGTACCCCATGACACGTCGTGCAAGTTGCAGAAGGCGTAGACGTTGAGGACGTTCGTGAAGCTGGGTGCAAGCAGCAAGTATTGAGGGAAACTTGAGAACATGTGCCATGGGTCCCGCTGCAGCGAAAGTCAAACACAAAACTCCAAAAGACATTGGAGAGGAAAGACTTACGAATAGGAAGGACGCGAACAAGTAAATTCCGAAAGTTGAGACCATTGCTGCCACCAGCGCTCCAATCGGTGGTTTAATAAGACTCAAGACTACCTCGCCGACGCTCTTACTCTTCAATTCACTCGGGATTTTCTACGATACGGTGAAGTGAGTGATATTTTCCATTGAAGAAATCTAATACTCGACATACCGCAAAGGCATTGCCAGTCAACCAGAACGCGCATACCATGAGATAAAGTGACAGAACAGCGTAGACCCTAAGTCAACCGAAATTAGGTATGATTATCACCAACCTGTACTCAAATCACATACCATAGTGTGAGTGTATAGAGCCCTCTTTCACCTTTAGGTCTGTTACCCAAAGCAAGCACGAATTGCAGAGCGAGGAACGATAGATAAATCCATTTGAACGCTGCATTGACCCAATGTGTCTTGCGGGAGGTTAGATGTATTGCCGCTCGCCTCTAAATATTAGTACGTACGATTTCAGCCGTGCCAAAGATGATGATAGGATCCTGAGGCAAGTCGGGAAGGAGTTCGATAATGATGGAGAAGGTCAGCCAAAGGTTGGCCAGAGCGAACCACGAAAAGACCAGTGAAAAAATGTTGTACTACGACGCAGGTCAAAAATGAGAAGCCCAATGAAATGTAGATGAGACTCACTGCAGCCTGGATATGGAAGAAGAACATGCGAATGATGCCGTGTCCGGATTTGTAGAACCTGAAGAAGTGCACGAGCGCATATACTGACGCCGCGAATGAACCGTTAAGCCAACGCCGACGTTGTCCAATCAACTCCGGAGCAGATTCTAAAGATAGCAGCAATTAAAACATGCGTACAGAAAAAGCAAATTTCCCTGGCTTACCTGGCACGTCTGTCTCAGCCTTACTTGGTTTCACGTATGTCAATGTCCACCGATCGGGCGCTGCCTTGGCCACGAGTTCGAAGCAAAGAATTCGATCCTCGGCCAAGAACATGTTTTTTGTGAATATATTCATGCCGTGAATACCCTTAGCACCCAGGCGATCAGCCAGGGAGTGATCACCATGGAAATACTGCTCCAAGGGACGACCCTGAACCGCACGATAGCGATAGGCGGAGAACGCTCCAGGAAGCACAGACACGTATCCAAAGGACGACTCTAGCGGCTTGTCAAGAATGTTTGACATCTTGTATTCGAAGTTTTGCGCAGCGACGAGCGGATTCAAAAGCTTCTTCCCACCCTTAATCATGGCATGAATTTCACCACATGCACCACCAAGGTGAGGGTCGTTGTAGAAGGCCTCCCACAAATAGTAGATCGACTTGTGTCCGGGCTTTGTTCCCGCATCGATGAGGACACAGATCTCCGGCTGAATGGCAATTACAATGTCAATAGTGGACTTTCTTGTTTAATGAGAACCGACCTCGAGTATTTTGCCAATAGCATGGAACAGCCATCTGTGGGAGTTGATCTTCTTCTGGTTCTTTGCCTTCAAGACGAAGATGATCTGTACAGGTACAAGGTTGTTCGGGTCTTCACCGTGCGGAAGGATAAGTTGGGGCGTAGGATCAACTGAAAGTTGCGTAGTGTACTGCCCAATGCCATGAGCCAAGTTGCAAGGCGACAATTTTGAAATGGAACCAACCTCAAAAATATGCCCAATGGTCTCTTTTCCGTCGATCTGCTTCTTCATGACACCATCTTGATACACACCTACGGTCGCCAAGACATCCAAAACACTCTTGTCCATTGGCTCAAGGCCGTCGACAATTAGGGCGACGCAGATCCTCTGCCAACCTGGTACACCCTCTTCAGCGGTTCGGCGCCAGTACTTCGATGCCTTCGTCTTGCAAATGTCGCGAATGTTTAACATAACACCATGAAGAGTACGTGCGTAAAGCGTCTTGTCCTCATTGTAAGAGGTAATCGCAATCAACAAATCCGTTGATCGATTGTACATTTTTGTACGCAGTGAGTAACCATTTGCCTCCGTGAACTCATCTGGATCGCATGTAGCCGCCGTGTAGCGCATATGGCTACATTTTTCGCGGTAGAAAAATGTATGAGTTTTAATTTCTGCATTTGCCGATCATTATTACACTAATTACTCACGAGAACTCCGTAGTGTTTGTAGTTTTCCATTTGGGCTCAATGGCATTGTGCACGGCTGTTGGCACGAGGTATTCGGCGATGAAATTACCTTGCGTAAGCTTGACTTTGCGCGTGACACCACGTTTGATTGTCTGGCGACGACGCCAGGCGGTATCCGTGCTGTTTGATTCGGTCGAGATGACAGATGCTGGGCGTGCGTACGGATCGCCAAATGAATTGGGGTCAATTTGGCGCCTAGATTGCGCATCAGTTGTGTGTTCATGAAAAAACAAGTCACTTCGGTTTTATGCTCGTTTTCAGGCAGGAAAACCGCTCGCTTAGTGGGTGTAGCCGAATAGGGACTTACCCAGGCGGATAAAGACCACCAACAAAGCCTTGATCACCCGTCAGAGGCACCTTTTCTTCTTCGTCGTCATCGTAGCCACCATTGCCTCCAAATTCATGCGGAAGCGATGCCGTGCTCTGGAATGGCTGGGTTACTCCGCGCTGGGGGACGGGTGGTTCTACAAACTGAATGCGAGGTTGTCCGTCGCTAAAGGGGTCGCGACCTTGCTCAGAAAACGAGGAGTGAGTGGACAACGGCGGGCGGCGGGGGTTGGACATTATATTTTCGTAAGTCTAGCTTGAGTTGAAGTCGTCCCGCGTTGTGGATGGGATGGAGAAAGGGGTATTGTGCTGGCGGAGGGTAGGTGAGGTGATGATTGAAGTTCCTGGCTGCCTTTTTGTCGCTGGTCCAGTAGCAACGCGGTGTAGCTTATGTCAGCGTGCTGTGTCTTTACCGATTGATGAGGAACTAAGAATCTCAGGCCGTGCTCAGCTGGTATTTAAGCGGACGTCTGTTCCTTTAAATCCGCTTCAGCATGAAACAGACATCTTTTGCATGGAAGCATATACACATCGCATGTCCACAGTTTTTCGCATTCATTCATGTCACTACATTATTTATTCCATCTGCCTCCGAGTCCAAATAATACCAATGCTGTGTAAATCGTGATCGCCGTGACCGTAACGTAACAACATGATCTAAGACACAGCCAAACTTCACACAGACAGGAGACTTTACCCTCAAGCGCACAGGTGACAGGAAATTCAAGTCCCCATGAAGCCCGAGACGGGGGAATTCAGTCTGATGAGCGCCCAAAGTTCGCCTTGTCGCGCTGTTGCTTCCCTTAACCGAGACTCGAGAAATCTGCGTGTATATATACATGTGCGATGAACTGATGAAACAGATGGTTTGTGAGAATGTGACATTTGTGAGCATCTCTGTGACAACATATTCCGTTAAGCCCCAGTCGCGTCTTTTCCGCACCCGGACCCTGAGTTCCACGGCCCTAATTTGGTTAGCTTGAATTGGCCACTCACAATTCGACTTGAATTTCACTAAGTCAAAATGAAGTCCTTTTAATGAAAATACATGTTCCCCTCCCTAATCCTAACCAAATCCCAACCTAATACCTAAACCTAACAACCCAGTTTAGCCAAAACCTAATTGGGGGGGCAGAGCCCCCCCAAACCCCCCTCCTAACTTCTTAGTCTGAGAACTGCCACACAGATATTAAGTAAGTGGCCATTCAGGGTCATCCCTAAATGGGCCGTGGGATTCAGGGTCCGGGTGCGGAAAATCAAAGGTCTTAAGCCCCTCATTCGACGCAACAAGCACGTGTCAGGAACAAAATGCACCGAAATTAGCGTTGATCACTCTTCGTCGCGCAATTTCTTCCTCCGACCGACATCCTGTCTACTCTGCCATGTCTGACCAAAGCGCGGTGCAACCAGCACCTGCGGCTCCGCCGCCACCAGGCGGTCGTGCGCAGCAGGAAGAATCTCGATTCCAACAGTTTTTCGGGATAGCCCAGGTGAGCGGCATTCCTCGACAGATTGTGCCGCCAGCGGATGCTCAGCCATACATTATTCTCGATCTATATTTTTATAGCGGATACTCATCTTCTGGGTTATATCTCAAGCTAGTATGTGTTTCCTACCCTAATAATACGTGCCTCACAACATGAAAATACTTCCGTCTGACAAATGTTATAGTAACGAAATTCTTCGCTTCGAAGCCGCAGCAGCCTGCTGGGCCGCCTACACCTTCAGTGCACGATCCTTCTGCCCCGTCCAGTGTAAATGTAAAGCTTGGTGAAAGCGACCCCTTTCAATTGCCTCCGCAACAGCTCGCTCCAGCATGGCCACTTGGATTGGACTTAAGCATGCACGTGTATCTTTCAACTTCGCCGACTGGTGACGTATTCTCTGCCCAATGGACTAAGAATTGGAAAGAGTCGGAAGATGAGGGGTTACCTCATTTCGTCTGGGAAAATATAACATATGGCAAATGGGAAGATAAGCGTCTTGTAGACTTGGATGTGCCGTTGCCTTTGGTAAGTTAGATTTGTGATAGGATCATTTGGAAACTCTCTGATTAGGTTGTAGTCGGTGCAACACAATGGCTCTTTGTGGGCAGATATATTCCTTGTCAGGGATGGTGCCAGCCCGGATCCGTCTAATTCTGCTTTCAATCCGAATGCGATTCATCATGTTAGGAAGCGTAAGCAGTTGTACTTTCCGTGGTCCGGTCACGCCCGTCTGATATTTCGCGACAGTCCTCACTCGTTATCTCCCAAGGATTAAAGTTCGGAAAGAGAAGTCCCTTCTGAAAGGAGGTCGAGAGGGCGAAGAAGCGAAGGAGGAAGATGCGAGTATTATGGCTCGTTTTGAATCTGGGTTTATTCTAAATAAGCCCCACAGGATCAGCCTGACGTTATTGTGTCCCATTGGCACAACGTGAGTAAACTCTTTTTTTTCAACGGGTCTTCTCTGACCCTGTAAATGTAGAATCTCACCCTCGCGTTGGTCTCCGATTCCGCTGTAGTGCCATACGCTCAAATTCCACCACCTATCGCCGAACGTAAGTATTTCCATGAACATGAATTTTTCCTTGGGTGTTAACCCTCGCATAGACATTCACGTCGTGCCAAATTTGCGGGACGCGACCGGAACTAAGATGTTCTACAGGCCTATCATCTTCCCTAACGATTTCTGGCAGTTGCGTTCCCAGAACTTTGAAATTAATGAAACTACATCGCGGGTGCCATTGCAGATTGAATTACAGCCGATATCGTATTTCAAATTTCAGCTTTTCGCGAGTCTGGGGGCTGGGTTCAACGAGGCCGCGAAGCAGCAAGGTAGCGCATCGATGGCGGAATTCGACGAAATTAAGCGGATGTTGGTCGAAACCAACCCGTATTTCCTCATGCTCACGGCGGCCGTTACTGTGTTGCACTCGGTGTGAGTCGATTTGGAAGAGCATGCGTTCATCGTTAATAATGACCTTTCTGCTTTAGGTTCGAGATGCTTGCCTTCAAGTCGGATGTTTCGCATTGGCGAAAGAGAAAAGAGTTGGTGGGTGTATCTGTTAGGTAAGTGGCACTGCATTATATTTTCTACAGAATAGCTAATCTCTTTGCGGCCTTTAGGACTGTGCGTCTTTCCGTGCCTCGCGGATCCTTATTGGATGTTGACTCCTACCTGACATTTCCTGCAGATTATTACAAACGTATTCGTGCAGCTGGTCATCCTGTTGTACCTCGTGGATAACAATGACAACACCAGCTGGATGATTTTGATGGGACAGGGCGTGGGGATGCTAATTGAAGCATGGAAGGTCAATATAACTCTCATTTCTTCGTGAATAACGGTCGCTCACGGCAGATTTAAGATCACCAAAGCCGTAGACGTCAGATTCCTTCGAGCGCCGCCAGGATCAATTCTACCTTACAAGGTGGAATTCAGAGACAAACACGTGCTCAGCGAGGATGAGAAGAAAACGCAGGAGTAAGTACTTGAGCAACGAGTTCTGTGCCCGTTTGCGCTAATCTTTGCTACGCTAAGGTACGACAAGCTCGCCTTCCGATATGTTTCCTACTTCACGATACCTGCTCTGGCTATTTACTCGGTATATTCCCTGATATACGAAACTCATAGAGGATGGTATAGCTTTGTGATTTCGACGTTAACAAGCTTCGTATATATGTTTGGATTCGTAAGTCGCTGTTCCGTTGCGCTGGATATCGCGTTCTAACCTAGTTAATAGGCCCAACTTGTCCCACAATTAATCATAAACTACAAGCTAAAGGCATGTAACTTGTTTCATGTGCAAGAAGCGAAACTGATTGAGTTTACAGAGTGTAGCACATATGCCGATGAAGGCAATGGCTTACAAGACACTCTCGACTGTAATTGACGATTTGTTTGCGTACGTCTCTCACTTTCTTGAGAGGACCTTTAGTTAACTGACAATCTCGCAGTTTCTGCATTAAGATGCCCATTTTACACCGATTGGCATGTTTCCGGGATGATGTCGTTTTCTTAATTTTCCTATATCAGGTATTTTGCCGTTGTTGCCTTGGCTAGTGATTATGCCTAACAAGCGCTTTAGCGTTGGATCTACCGGGTAGATCCTAAGCGAGTAAACGAATATGGACAAGTGCTAGTCAACGATGTTGACCATGCGGAAGGCAGCGCGGACGCGAAGAAGGACAAGTAGATGGCTTCATTTATTCTTCTGCACCGAGGGATTCATAGAATGGTGGTGGTTCAGAAATGTATTTGAGCATTGTATAATTCTGCCAAATAAACATTCTCCGTCCGTTGATCAAAGCCAAAGCCGGATGCGGTGCTGCGGCCCGAGCGAGTGTTAAATTACACCTGTTTACGTAATTACGTAGAAGCGTTTGTGACTTGACTGGGATGCATACACATCTCCCGGAGCTCCGACAAGCTCTCTCCCTCGTTTCTTTCCTCCTTCCGCGTCATCATGTCCGTCGACGACGACAGGCCGGTGTTTGCCTGCCGCTGCCTCAACATCCGCCTATATGCGAGTCGTGAAAACCGGAAGAACTCGCAAGAGCCGCTCTCTAGCCCCTCCTCAGAATATCAGCCATTGTACGTCGGCGAAGATGGCATTAAGATAGTGAGCGCATTATGTCCCTTTGAAAATCTCATTATTGCTCAACCTGTCTTGGTTTTTTCTTTATAAGTCGCATAATGAACTTACGCTGCGCACGCGGTTTGCTGTCTCGCAAGATTCGAGTTCGGCGTCTGGTCATTCGCAACAGACGCTCGTGACTTGTCTGGTCTGCGACACTCCAGCGTATCGCGTAAAGGCCGATGTCCCTCCCGATGAAGACGCGAAGCAAGGTCCTGTTCTACCTACTGAAGACTGGGCTGAACGGAATACCCTGATGAGCAGGAGCGGGCTTGTGGACGTCCATGTCGGGAAAGGAGGATGTATCGTAAGTTTGCTCAGTCTTTCTTTTTCCATTAGATTTTGCTTTGTCTATCGACTGTGATCTGTCAAATCGTTGAATTGTTTCTTTTGTGGAGCTTGAACGAGCCACCTCGTCATTGCCATCCGTAACGTCCCGAGCTTCGTTGCGATCTTGTTTCAAAATAATCTTTCAATCTATCGGAGAAAATTTTTTTATGAAGATTCTAATCGCTTTCATCATTGTAGGCCGAAGAGGAGATTAGACGGATAGCATCTTCGACGTCATATTCTCAATACTTTTCGCTATCACTACCTTCCGAATCTCATACGCTGTCGACAGCCCCTCCGCCAGTCCTGCCACCAACCAGGCTAGGCATTCCTGCTTCGCACGCGTTCTTACCGTCCCTTCCACCCTTCCTCCCTCCTCCTCCTTTCACTCCATCTCACCCTATCTTCTTACACCTTTCCTCTATTGCTACCGCTTCTTCCAATGACGCTCGCAGAGACACGGAGAAACGAATCGAAGACTTCGCGAAGCAGCAATTGGCAGCTTTAGAAGAGCACGAGACGAAGCTGAAAACTCAGCTTGAGCATTTATGGAAAATCGTAAAAGAGGCTTTGAAGAAGGCGGAACAAGAGAGAGATGCGAGTCTTCTCTCGGCTTTACAATCGAGGAGACGAAGTATGAGCCCTCGACGCGTCCAACCTTCGTTAAGTGGGGTAGGATCTCCCGTCGTTCGCAACTTCGTTCCGTCGTCGTACCATGCTCCTCGTGCTGTCACTTCGTCTAACGCGCGGCAGTCCGCTTTATCGGCTTCGTTGGCGACGAGTTCGTTCCACCATCCTCGTGCTCAGCAGGAGTCGAATATCAGGCAAACTAGTACAACTGTTCCAGCCCAACGCCTGCTTACACCTTCGCCTCCTCCTTATACCTCTAATCCGTCCTCTTCAAGCAGCTCTACTGGCTCAGGGACTGGTTCTATCGCCGAGTTATCGCGTTCCCTTAAGCGAAATATGGACGCCTCAAATGACATTGCTGCCACACATAGGTGGTATGTGATTGAAGAACAGGAAGCTGCACGTCGTAAGGCAAGGGAGAAAGCTGAAAAGGACAAGGAGAATAAAACACCGAAAGACGAGAAGGAGGGTCGCGACTCGAATAAGTCCACCGCGACTTCTGGCAATAATGCAGTGACGACTCGACCTTCCACTGATAAATCGAAAGGTCAGGAGTCACTTGGTATTGATGACAAACGAGACAGTCCTAGGAAGAAGGACGGACGAAGAAAGGTTACGTTCAACGTCGAACCTAATGTCGTGACCATCAAACGCAACATTACTGCCGAGTCAGAGCAAGGACGTACCCCCGATGGTGAAGAGGGTATGTATTTGTGGTGACATTTATGCTTGCCAATCTTTTATTAACTCACGGCATCGGACAGATTTGTTATTTGATATGGATGGCGTAGAATTTGGAACGGCTGAGCGAACAGAACAGACCTCCAATGGAGAAGATATCCAAAAAGAATTACCGGCTGATATCACCTTCCGCGAGGTTCCGGATCGATCCCAAAGACCAAACAGGCGACAGCATGACTTGAAAGACGCCGGGTTACCACAATCATTCGCTGCTCTTCGACCATCATCTTTACCCGCACCTTCAAGCATCCGTCCGCCTATACGTTCGCAGACTGGGGAGACGCAAACACATCCACGATTGACCTCGCCGCGAATGCAAAGAGGAGCAGACTCAAGTAGAGCGAGGGATATTAATCGTCAGGCCTCGGAAAGACGACTGTCGCAGGAAGTTCTTTCTCCAGAACAGAGGGATCTTTTGAAGCGCGTTGCTGCTGATTCTCCGAGTCATCGTGGTTTATGGAGACCGGGGAGTGATGCTTGGAAGATCTTTGATCGTAATGGCTTACAGTCGTCGCAAGATTCCACGATCGCTGAGGAAGATGAACAAGATGAGTCTACACTGGATCCTCCGGTTACGAATGGTAAAGACTCTGAACGTTAGTACACCCAATTGACGTAGACTGTTTTCAATTGACTAACTGGATTTCACAGTTACGGACTGGCGCTATTACAAACAGTCAGATATGGTCGGCTCTCTCCCCATTCCCATGGCCCAGCACCTACCCGGCAGTGCACCATCTCTCAAACCCAAGACGTCCTTGACAGATCGACCAGGCGCGCTTGTACCTCCTCTGCCATCAGTTGCAGAAGAGGGTGAAGGACAAACTGATCAGGTGGAGAAGAGATCCGCAGCAGCCATTCGCAAACAGGTCTATGCCGAACGGAACAAAAAGCGTTCTTTGGATCCTGGTGTACTTGATTTCGTCGACGAGGAAGACGGAGATGAGAATGCGAGTCCGGATAATGTTGATGTTGGCCACGACGACGACGAAGTAGATCAGGTTTCGGCGAGTAGGAGTCGACAGCATGCTTTGGAGATTATCAAATTGAGGAATAGAGTTCCGCCTGAGGGGTTCTGGCGCAGTTTGGCTGATTGAGGGTTTCCCTTTCTCTTCCACTTCCTCCTAAACTGTCCCCATCCCCCCCTTTTTTTTCCATACCTTCTCACCTTCCTATTGTTACACTACTCTCATTATTTATTAAATGCATTTATTGATTAGTGCTGTTGTTGTTCAACCTTCCGATTTCGAAGTTCTGAAGTCCCCCCCTCCCCGTCCCTATCATACAACGGATGTGTGTGTATCCTTCAGCAGTTTCCTACATGCCTTTTCTCTTGTCAATGTATCCATCACACTTTTTTGTCATGTTTATCATGCTTTCGTACTCATGGTGTTGGAATGTTTCTTATGTCGTTGACCATTGATCATTGAACGTTGGTATCACTGACTATTAATTATTATTGTACGTGGCTTGTGCCATTCCCCTCATTAGTATATTGGTTATTATTGTATCGTTGTAGATATGTGCAATTGATGTTGATATTCATATTCATATTGATTTTACTTTTTTTGCTTTTTGTGTGAATAGATAGATATCAAGGAGTAGGAATGATCACTCAAAGTACTGCATAGATAATATACAAAGTATGAGAATAATGAACATTGAATGACCCAAAGACAGTCTGAAAGCTATCCCTTTTTCCTCCAACCAGGGAAATCATGATAGTTCTTCGCTCGCTCACAGCTTGCTCGTAGCCCCAGTCGCTGGATTGACTGAGAAATTGAGGCGAGGGAAGTGGCAACGTAATGAGGGGACTCCCGTGCCACTGAGTTGAAGCACGATTTCTTCGCGTGTGAGACCTATGAGTTTCCCGATAGTTGGATAGTTCCTGGCTGAAAGACAGGAAAGGAAGAGGTGAGTTAGCAAGTACAGGGTTTCGGTACTTAGGGCTCTATACAAACCGTTATCATCAGGAATGACCTGGACTTTGTCACCAAGCTTTAAGCCAAGCAAGCGTCCTTCATCGTCGTCGAAGTCGACCTCGAGGAAGTGGGTATTAATGTTGTCGGCGATAATCTTGCTAGCAGCTGCTCCGTCAATTTTGGTTATGGCGTGGGCAATTGAGGCGCGTCTTGTCTTTTCGAACTCGACCATCCTACCTAGCCACTAAAGACATATGCCATACATTTAGAACGAAGCCAGAAGCAGATTGCCATGGAGTGGATTGGCTCACTGCGAAGGTCTTGGGGAATTTCTTGTCATTAAATACTTCTTTCATGCCTCTGAAGCGTACGATCCATCCGTATACACAATAAAGTGCTAAGTCGCCGCATCCTACAGAAACGGTGTCGAAGACCCATTCACGGCCGTCGGAAAGCTGCTCTTCAAGAAGAGTCTATATCGAATCACTCTGAGTTCTGGTTCAGATTATGTTAGTCGAGTGCGTACAGCATGCGATCCAAGCAGGCTTCTAACAACCGGTTGTCTCGCAACCGCTTTTTCAACATCCATAGGTGCACCATTAAACTACCTCAGAATATATCAGTAACTGTAACTTAACTTATGTGGAGAGCTCACCTTGCTCCTGTCAGCAATCATTTCTGGTGGGAACTTATTGTACGGAAGCGCATTTGATCCAAGTGTGAACAGAGGTCGGTCCGCATAGAATGCGGCGAAGGCCTTTATCATTCCTGTGTCTGCCTTTGCGCCATCTTTCCTCTGGGGAAACAGGGTGGGGAATCCCAGGCTTGGAGGAAAGCGACGCTCTAAGGCTGGTATGATCAGACTTGTGTCGCAGTAGACGTCGTTCCCTATGGATAGTATGGGAATGCGCCGGTATGCAATGCCTGATAATCAGGAGAAAGTGAGAAATATGTAAGTCAGAGAATCAATAACCGGGAAAGTACTAGATGTATACCTAGAGTGTCAGTTATCTCCGGGCGAGGGAGAGTCATGGCGACCTGCATTCCTTGGACCTCAGTGTCGAATATGCTGAAAATCGCTAGACACGTACCTCAACGCGATAATGTGGAATACACTTGAGTGCGAGCACATTTTCCAGTTTCGCGCCTGACAATGTAACGTGTAAGAGAGTACGAGTGCTAGAACATTTAATAGTAGAAGCAGCTAACTGGCAGGAGATGCCTCGTATCCATAGAATACGACTGGAGGAATATTCTTCATGCTGGACATGATGGTCAGAGAGCGAAACGCTAGAACTCTCAAGTTTCTTGATAACTTGAAGAGGATGGCCAGGATTGCTCAAGTAGTGAACCAGTTCAACCACTATCCCTTCCATAAACACACGCACACGGACACCGGGAAATGGGATTGGCGGTAAGCCGATCGACATCCATGACGTACGTAATAGAGTTCCGGCGCCTTATATGGTCACGGCGCCGGAAAACAGATCTCTCTCTATCCACCGACCACCACTCCCTTCTACTGGTGTCGTCGTGTCAAAATGAGCAGGCCATCCACGTCGTCCATCCTTACAATCACTGGTATCACCATCCTCGGCGGTTTCGTCGCATACGCAGCCTACTTCGACTACAAGCGCCGTAATGACCCTACCTTCCGAAGAAAAATTCGTACGTGTCCCTCGTACCTCATTCTTGTGTCCGATCAGTGTCTTAAACGCCCTCTTCAGGCACCCAAAAGAAAAAGGTAGACAAGGCCGTCGCAGAAAATAATCAGAAGGAAAAGGCTACAAGCTCGATTAGCATTCCACGCGAAATCCTTTTGGCTCTTCACGAGAAGGTCAACGAAGAAACTTTACCAACGAACCCGGAAGAAAAACATATGTTCTTCATGAACGCAGTTGGAACGGGTGAAAAACTGGCTGAACAAGGTATGTGGTTTCTAACTGTGCTCCGACACTCTTCTAACTCTATCCGTGACAGGCCCACAAAATTATTTGGATGCTGCCGTATTTTTCTATCAAGCCTTACGGGTGTATCCCTCACCAATGGAACTTATCGTCATTTATCAAAAGACTGTACCGGAAGGTTGCCTTTCAGTATGTATTCACTTCACTCTCACTGAGACAGTATTAATAATTTTTCCACAGATTGTCATGGAATTGTATAACTTGGATGTGAGTATATTTTCACCAGCGGGTGGGAGTGGTATGAACACTGGGATTAACACCGACGAGACTTCAAGTCCAAAGTCTAAAGGTCCGCCGTCCGAGGCTTCATCTCAGGAGTGGGACAAGGTTACGGATCCTAGCAGTTCTGTTCCTTCGGCCTAAAGCTACTGTGGCCTTTGGTTGTAGCATTTGTTGTCGTACACTGCCCTCTACATACCACTTCTAACTACCCCCCACCCCACCCCCCCCCCCGGCGTGCGCATTATAATCGTACATGGATGAGATCTAATAGAATATTTTGCATGTTCCCCACTCTCAACTCAATTAGGTTTTCCTTCGCATTCAAGGTATGAGGGAAGAATCGAGTGAAGAGCATCGTTTGTTGAATGTCTTTCTTCAGGTTATTATAAACAATTCCCACCACAAACGATGCAGGTTTCCGTCAAAAAGATCGATTTGGATCAAAATAAAGGTGGTCAGGCACGCAGCCACCTGCTCGTGGCTTCTAAGAGTTTCAAAGCTGGAGATGTTATCTATAAGGTCAGATTAATCTTATTCTATACATTGGACTTACCTCACGAGCTTCTCAGGAAACACCCATCGTAGCTTCGTTGGACCCCGACTTGGTGGCAAGTGGAAGACACTGTGGCCATTGTTTGCGCGAGGTTGAAAGCGATGCTGCTATCAAACCCGAGTCAGATCGTCTAGGTTCAATTTACTGTTCAGAGAAGTGTCAGACCCAGAGTGGCACACAATCGCAAGATATGTTATTCAGCGACAAGAGCCCCCTCCCGGCCGAGGTAGCAGCGGATCTGCCTCAACAATCTGTAGCAGAGCGTCCGAAGACTCAGGATGCACTTGCCGAGTTCTGTCGTCAGAAGGGTACCTCGGGGCTTCTCCTTGTTGCGAGGCTTGTCGCTATACAGATTGTCGCGGAGCTGGCTAAGGCGTTGCCGCAAGCAGCACACATGAAGGAGCAGTTACCTGAGTTCAGTATAAGTGAACAGTATACTGTTTACGACCACATCGAGCGGTTGCGGTATATCGACGTAACTCTACCGGACGACGAGTACAAGACATTGAGGGAGCTTTTGCTGGCGACGCTACCTTTCCTGGAGGACGTGCACTCGGATGAGAGGCATGCTATGTTCCGTGGGAAGGTTGCGTATAATGCGATTGGTATTTACTTCGGCGAGGGTAGAGATGATAAGGTGTGGTGTTACTTCGGGAGAGAGACTGGGGAATGCTAATGTATGGATAGCCGACCACATCCGAACTCGAACGGACAAGGATTGCAGCTGGCGTCTCGAAACAAATTGGCAGCGGACTATACCTTGTTTCTTCCTATGTGAGTTTGTTGCCGTTACCGTTAGCGTTTATCGAGATGTCGAGATATTGACAGTAAGTACATATCAGATTGGCCATTCCTGCGCACCTTCCGTTCGTCCTGTATTCAGCGAGGGTACCTCCGAACTTCACCTCCTTGCAGAACGAGACATCGAAGAAGGGGAAGAGCTAACAATGGCCTATGTCGACGTTTCGCAACGTTCTGAAGAAACACCCGTTGAGGCATTCACCCGACGTCGCTCCGAACTCACGCAAGGGTGGAAGTTTGCCTGTGCCTGCGTGAAATGCGAGGAAGACAAAAAGTCCGCTGGCCTGGAAGGCGAAGCAGAGGCAGAGGCAGAGGCGACAGCGGATGGCTCGAAGATTGATTATGCACTGAAAGCCCACAGCTTGGCGTGAAGGTGTGGATGTCTCTTGGTCCTTTGCACGTTATGCACGATCCTATTTATAGAGAGTTTGTAATGCTGAGCGAGTTAATGCGTCTACTTTCGTGTTACATATTTCAAGTTCAGTCAATGGCATCCCATCTCCTTACAATCCATCAAATTTGCCAATTTGGTATTCATGCCAGAGAAGGGCACGTGACCCGTAACTTGCCGGGAATCGATCGACACCTCGCCCTGACTCGTTCACTGCTTTAAGAAATTCCTCTATAAAGTTCACTTTCATTTCAACTCGTCTAGTTTCACGCATACAGCCTGAAATGGCTCCTCCGAAGTTTGATCCAAACGACCCTGAAGTTGTCGAGCTCATCGATCTCTTCCAGGCCGTCGGATTCACCAAAGCCAAGGCTACAGAAACCGCCAAAAGCCCGAAAAACGCATTAGCACTCAAGGACATCATAGAGAAGAACAACCTTCGAGAGCGAAACGACGATGACAAGAAGGCATCTTTACTATCTGGCCTTGCTATTCAGGGCTCGAAGCTTGGAGATGCAGAGAAGCGTTACATTGTAGAAGCGATTTTGGATGGTAGACTTAAGAGTTCTGAACAAGTATCTGGTACGTCTGATCTTACACTGTGATAGACAAAGCCTAACCCAACCAATGAAAGCTGCTGTTAAATTTATGGAGGCCAGTGGTGTACCAGCGGACGATACAGAATTTAACAAGGAATGTGGCGTTGGTGAGTCATACGTCAAGAAGCACGCATTTAGTGCAATTACTGACCGTTAACAGGTTTCAGTATAACACCTGACGAGTTACTAGCCAAGGTCAAATCATACGTATCCTCAGCAGCTGTGACTGGTTGGGCAAATCTCGGTGCAACAATTGGCTCTCTCAAGACTTCTCCTGACCTTCGCTGGGCTAACCCTTTGGAACTTAAAAACACCGCCGAGAAGGTGTTCACCGAGATGTTCGGAGAGAAGACTGCGATCAAAGCCAAGGGCTCTGTATGTTCATCTTTAAATCTGACTGTTGAGTTAAGCAGCCATACTGAAGTAGTGGATTATAGGATAGTAAGCCAAAACGTGGTGCCGAGGAGCCTGCTTCGAGTAATGCAGGACCTTCAACTTCATCTAACTCAGCAAAGTCGATCTTTGAAGAAGGTTTCTTAGGAAAGTTGCATAAACCTGGAGAGAACCCTCAAATACACCCTCGTTTACGAGATGCACACCTAGCTGCGACAGGCGGCATGGTTTATACCCGATTCCCACCAGAACCGAATGGATACTTACACATCGGGCACTCGAAGGCTATTTTCATAAACTTCGGGTATGCGGCACATCATGGCGGGAGATGTTATCTCAGATATGACGATACCAATCCTGAAGCAGAAGAGGCGAGGTACTTTGAGAGTATTTTGGAGATTATTCGATGGTTGGGATTCGAACCGTGGAAGATCACGTATTCTAGTGATTACTTCCAGGAACTTTATGACCTAGCAATTGAGCTCATTCGACGGGACAAGGGTTATATCTGTCATTGTACAGGTGAGATCAGATATGTTCTACGCGATAATGAAAATTCTGACTGCTCTCAAGGTGATCAGATCCATGAAATGAGGGGAGGAGACGATGGTGGGCCTCGTCGAGCATGTGTTCACAAGGATCGACCTGTCTCCGAATCACTTGCTGAGTTTCAGAAGATGAAGGACGGCCTTTATAAGCCTGGAGAAGCTATTCTGCGCATGAAACAGAATCTTGAAGACGGCAACCCTCAGATGTGGGATCTTATTGCATATCGTGTTTTGAATGCACCACATCATCGAACAGGGGACACATGGAAGATATACCCGACTTATGATTTCACGCATTGTTTGGTTGATAGTTTTGAAAATATCTCGTGCGTTTTGCGTTTGGTCATACATTTGGATTTAACTAACATATGTTCGTTCGTAAACAGACATTCGCTATGTACAACGGAGTTCATTTTATCCCGCGTTTCGTATGAATGGCTCTGCGACGTCCTCGAGGTATACAAGCCTCGTCAATCCGAGTATGGTCGTCTAAATGTCACAGGTACTATCATGTCAAAACGAAAAATTCTTGCTCTAGTCAAAGAGGGTTATGTCCGCGGCTGGGACGACCCAAGATTGTACACTCTCATCGCTCTTCGAAGACGAGGCGTTCCACCAGGCGCGATCATCTCTTTCGTCAGCACACTGGGAGTTTCCACGGCGACGACGAACATCCAGACGGCGCGATTTGACCAGACTGTCAGACAGTATCTCGAGAACTCAGTCCCTCGACTACTCATGGTACTAAAACCTCTGAAAGTCACAATCGAGAATTTGCCAGAGGATTATGTACTTATGATCGAGAAGCCGTTACATCCAAAGGTTCCCTCACTTGGGAGTACGACGGTACCGTTCACGCGTACTGTATACATCGAAGCAGATGATTTCCGTCTGCAGGACTCAAAGGATTTCTTCCGTTTGGCTCCCGGAAAGACGGTTGGCTTGTTCCAGGCTCCTCATCCTATCACCTGCACGTCTTACAAGACAGACCCCACAACAGGCGAGGTCATCGAGCTTATCTGTCGTCTGGAAAATACTGGGGAGGTCAAGAAACCCAAAGCATTCATCCAGTGGGTGGCAGAACACGCTCCATCAGGTAGCCCAGTCCGTATAGACGAAACTCGCATCTTCCACCAACTATTCAAAAGCGAGAACCCAGCTGCAGCAAAACCGGACTTCAAAGCTGACATCAACCCAGACAGCCTTGAAATCATTAAGGGAGCCATGCTTGAAGTTGGATTTTGGTCAGTTGCGAAGCGGGGGTATGTTGAAGCGAAGGAAGAGAGTAAGGCTAGGACGAGCAAGGCGTTGGAGAACGAGGCGATTGCTTCACCTGCGGATGCTGATGCGCCTATCCCGACTAGTGAACAGCTTGTTGGGAATGAGTGTGTTCGGTTTCAGGGTTTGCGTGTTGCTTACTTTGCGCTTGATTCTGATGCTAAGCTTGGTTCGTTGAACGAGGCCAATGACGTGTCACCAGGCTTTAGGGATGGGGACAAAGTCATTCTTAATCGTATAGTTAGTTTGAAGGAGGATGCGGGGAAAGGCGCTGCATGATTTAGCTAGATGTCTTACAAATGTGGGATTTTTGTATGCATGGTATTATATAACGAGAATTAGCGAACAAGCAGTGTGCATTAGCGATACGGAGATGATCTGCTATGCAGCTACCAAAGCATGTAACTCATAGATAGCTCGTCTTACAGTATAATATACCTCTGTAACCGTGCCTTCAAGCTCAACTTTACCATCCGCCTTCTTCCGGACAGCAACGATCGACTCTGTCGATACGTCCTCATCCGAAGAGCTATTCCGGCAGAGTAAAACACCTTCACCAGCAAACTCGGTGTGTACACCCATCTTTGATAATCGTGCTTTGAGAGCGGTAAGTTTCAAGTCGCCGATCATGGTGGATCGAGGAAGTTTTGTCGCTGGTCTTGACCCGAGGCGAGCAGGTTTGACGAGCTGCTCTGACTCCATCGGGACGTCCTCCAATCGTGAAGTGAGATTAGAGACAGGCTCTAGGATTGGGATTGTGGAGCTCGCAAGGCTCGCGATACAGCCCTGGATGAATCCGACTTCATTGTCCTCAAACTAGGAATACAGACGAATCGAGTCAGCCTCTAGCATGCGTGTAAAAGGTGGTCGTCTTGACTCACGTTGGACATCCTGACCGATGCAAGGAGTTCTTCCGACAAAGAGATAGAGTAACTGTTTGTATGCTGGCCGATTTGTACCTGCTCTCCAATGTCTGGAGCATAAATTTCTTTGGTCAATGCCCGAACAGCACCACACGCTTCGATAAGCGACTGTGCGCCATCCGACGATGAATGTACAATGATCTATCCAAGTCTCGATCAGTAAAATGTGTATTATGGAGTGATATTATTTTACCAATTTTCGTGGATTGACGTGGGCAGCTATTTTCTTGACTGCTCGACCATCATTTAGACCTTCCATGTCGACAAATAGGAGTCGGCAGGCGAGCTGAACGTCCACGTCGTAACTGATGTATTTTGATGGGGGTTCCGCAGGTGCTTTCTGTGAAAAGACTTGTCTTAATATGATGTACCACCCCAATAATGAAGGAAATACCTTGGCTTCTTCCTCCTCTTCCTTCTTCCTCTTTGCCTCCTTCGACTCCTCGCTTTCTGCTTCTTCTTCGAGTAGTTTGCCCTTCCTTAGCCACAACCCCACATCCAAGACCTCTCCATACGAGTCTACTCGTCTCCTACGTTCGACGTAGGGGAACATCCTGAATCGCTGTTGTTGTGGTCCTTCGGTTTTGAAGAACGACGATTGTTTTGAGACGTTCCCCTTCATATAGATATCAAACGAGAGCATCGGCTTTGTACTCCCGTCTTCTGTTTCGAAACTCCAATCACCTGTATCGGCCTCTTTTCGACTGCGCCTCCGCCCACCACCAGCACCGGGTTCGGCGAAGACAGGAGATAATCCATCATGGTCGTCACTCACGTCCATCATGTCGTCGAGAGTCTGCTCGACGGCATCTTCGTCCTCTGAGTCATCTGATTCGGAGTCACCCTCGTCGGCCTCTAGCATGCGTTGCGTGCGGGCAAGCGCAGCCTCTTCTGCGGCTTCCTTCTCCTTTGCAGCGCGTTCCTTCTTTAAGTATTCCTCCAGTTCAACACCTTGGAGAGGTACTTTGGACTTCATCTGAGTGACGAGATGATTAATATTTGAAACTACTAATGACAAGCACAAGAAATGTCTTACAGTGAGCTTGAGCGTCTTGTCCAACATCACGTTTCGTCCAAGTTTACCCTTATTCCACTTGTCATCCTCTCGTTGTTCATCATTCCACATATCGAAAAGCGTCCTTGCAAGTGTCCCATCCTCGCCTGGGCTCGTAAGGAGGACGACATTGTCTGCCACTGACGCGAATTCAGAAAATATGGATCGCGATGAGCCGTGAGAGAGTGAAACAGGGACGGCAAGTATTAACTTGGGGTCTTTCGAAGAATAAGTGTGCAAGAGGGCTTGCGGATTAGGGAAGAACTCAAGGTATCTACAGGGAGTCAGTTAGTTAATCATATTGATTCAAATGGTATAAATAACTCCGTACTTGAATCGTAAAGCAAGAGCACCCAGCGCTTCCTCTTCGTTGTCATCATCCCTTCGTCGCTTATTATTTGCATTATTCCCGGTATCCTCGCCGACGTCCTCTTTACTTATTGTACCGCCTAACCATTCCATCATACTCCGCACGAAAGTGAGCATTTCACGGCCTGTTCGAGAAACGAGACAAATAGGAAACTTGAAGCGGGAGTACGTCCAATGTTGATCGAGCAAGACCAGAAGCTCGAGTAAGCGGGTACTGGAATCGCATGGCATCAACACCGAATGTCGTGAGGAGAGTGTAGAGGTCACGGTGTCTTGTCATGAAATGTATTACAATGCTTATTCTATATCAAGTTCAAAAAGTTTTTCATACCTATCAATTGGGCATCGCGATCTTTTTTCCTACAAGAAATGTTGTTTACCCGGTCGGCGTCTGTAATCATTAGGTCTGGTCGAGCAAGAGCCTCGTAGACTCCACCAGCACCTGCCCCTCTGAGTATGACTGTCCCATCCAAATGTCGTTCACGAAGATGGTTTAAGTCGACGGCGTAGAGGATAGTTCCAGCTGAAGGGGATCGAATTTTCCAAATTGTACCACCTAGGGTGTGGCCAGCGTTGAAAGCTGTTATTGTAAGGCCCTGGCATTTGCCTAAAGGATACAGTATAAGTACGAGGGGATAGTAGACAAACATTGGCTTCACCCTGCAAATGAGCGGGCTGAGAGTATCGTAGTGTGTGGATGGAATCGTATGCTTCCCGTACGTCGTCTGGGCTTGGCACGAATTTCCTCCTTAACACATCGTCGACGTCCATGCGATCGTTTGCCTCGGCATCATTCGATGTTTCATTCCTGTTATCCACATCTTCCTCGGATCGTATACTTTCGGCCTCTTCGACGGCAGCTAGACGTGCCGTTGCTTGCACGGGTAAAGTCGTGTAAGTCGGAGCACGAAGTCCCCAATGCGCGTAGGCATACGCGTAAAGTCCCGCGTGTTGAAGGTCACCGTGTGAAATAAGGACCAGGTCGACAGTCGGAGCGCATCTAAGTATTCCGGTCAGCTTAAATTTCAGAGTTCAAATTTAATACCCTCAGGTAAAACAGGAAGAAAGTCAACATATATTGCACAAACAGTAGTGTCCTTTGAAAGAGAAAGAAAATGACCGGCATCTCCACATTCTCTCCACCAATATGCGCATATACGCACGCACGAGATTTGGGAGAAATCGCGCGTTCTTTCAACCCCGCTGAAGCACAAAGAGGTACTCACTCTTTCAGTGCCTTGCAATAAGACTCCCAAGAGAAGGATTGTGAGTCACTTGAATCTTCAGACCCTGCGATTGCATGTTCAGGACACCAGCCTGGGGATCCACAGTCAAGAAGGATGCGAACATCGTCGACTTGTAAAAGGTAGGAGAGCGGAATTGTTTTCGAAAGGCGTGCGCCGCCTGACAATGGAGTGAACGTGATCATGGCTGTTCCTTACAAGACCGAGGGAGCTGGGCTGTTCAGTTGTATCAAGACCTAATAGCCATGTAGATGTGCAAAGTTGAGTATAGTCTTGTATAGTCTTGTATAGTTGCCTATAGTCTTGTATAGCCTTGTATGTATGGTCACGTATAGTCATCCATAGTCGCATAGCGGTATAGCGGTGAAGAGCGGGAGCGGAGTTTGAATAATTTCCTTGATGGGACGTCGCAGTCAGTAAACGACTTTTGGCGCGCGGCGTCCTTACACGTTACCACCACTCTCATCTCTCCTCTGTACACCTCCATTTCTTCGTTGTTTCACTTCCCAGTTACTCCTTCAACATGGGTATGACATTTAGCAAGATTTTCCAGAGCCTTATCGGCAAAAAGGAAATGCGTACGTCCTCTTGTTGTCATGTCAAACACTCTTTTGGTACTGACACGTCGACCTACGCGGCGTAGGCATATTGATGGTGAGCAGCAGCTTTTTTCACGATCATTAAGGCCCATGCGAACTCAGAGTGCCGCAGGTTGGTCTCGATGCGGCCGGAAAGACAACCATCTTATACAAACTTAAACTTGGTGAAATTGTCACGACCATCCCAACAATCGGTGTGTTCGAGTCTCAGCTCTTTTTTACTCCTCTCCATTTCATTCATCCGACTTTCTAGGGTTTAACGTCGAAACTGTCGAGTACAAGAACATCTCTTTCACCGTCTGGGACGTTGGAGGGCAAGACAAGATCCGTCCTCTATGGAGGCACTGTATGTACAATCTCGATCAGGAATTGCAGAATCGGATGTTGTCTAATCTAAATGGCATCCAGACTTCCAAAACACTCAGGGTATCATTTTCGTTGTCGACTCCAATGATCGTGATCGTATCGTCGAAGCACGGGAAGAGCTTCAACGAATGTTGAACGAAGACGAACTCCGAAATGCTCTGCTCCTTGTCTTCGCTAACAAGCAGGATCTGCCCAACGCCATGAACGCCGCTGAGATCACCGATAAACTCGGTCTGCCCAGCCTCCAGAACAGGATATGGTACATTCAGGTGAGCCACGACGTTCCACGTTGTCACACGAGTCAGGGTCTAGCTAGGGGAGAAGGCAGTGCTGACTATTAACCACAACAGGCTGCATGTGCGACGAGTGGTGATGGCCTTTACGAGGGTCTCGAATGGTTGAGTCACAACATCAAAACTCAGAGGTAGGCACAATCTACTGCGAATTTCAGCATACTCAACTCTGATCAAGTGCGTAGCTCTAGGGTGAATTGAGCGGTGTCTGATATTCTCTGTTCACGTATCCCCTCTCGTAACTTTGTTATCTACATAACCTTTTCCGTTTATGACTAATGGCGCGTGTATGGGCTTGCTCCGCGAAAGGGCTTCGAAATGAATACTTTTTCACTGCCATTTTATCTCTTTCTTTCACCCTTCTTGATACTTGACGGGTTTCTTCATATACATACACCCCTCTTCAAAGTCTCTCTCTTTTATGGATGAGTCTAGAAATACAACTAACTTTACAAAAGCGATCGACGTGGCGCCATGGTCAGTGCTTGCCTTCACCTGGAAAGATCCTACCGACAGCTTCAGCCTCCTTTCGTCGTTTCTCTCCTGTCTCTCTTTGTGCAGCTTCTCGGCTCGAGGCGCCGAATTTGGCAAGCTTTTCAAGTAGAGCTGCAAGTCGTTTTGGTTTGATGACTGCGTATGATGATTGTCTGATGCTTGGAACGAGGTATTCTTGAACTTTGTCGGAGAGCGGGATGGATGTCATCTAAGAAAGAAAAAAGAAAATTATTAAATATTGAACAAAACAGATGGAGAATGGAACGAACCAGGCGCAATTCCGCAAATGCAGTATTGAGATGTTCGCGGCCAATACGTTTGAATTCAGCCTCGAGGAAGTCAACATCTACTGAGATGTTTGAGAGCGCATTTTCGTTCAGCATTGGGACATTCGGGCCCGTAATGAATTCCTATAAGACAATCGATGGTGCATAAGGACTGTGCCAATCTGGTCAATCAATAATAATAACCGTGATTGCACATACCATTAGACAGTCTGCAATATACCGCACCGCCGCCTGATACGCCTCATCTTTGTACGCATCCTGCACCACCAACGAATCCACAACAGTCGCAAGCCAATGTGCAAGCTCGTACAAATACATACTCGGCGCATCCTCCCTTGCGCGTGGCGTCCAATCATAATCTGCCAACCCAAAGAAATCATCCAACTTCGAAGCAATCACAGACGAGATCCGCTTCGTTGCGTGTGTGATGGTCTCTGCGAAGGAGGATGCAGCAGTGATTCGGATGGTACCTCCACGTTGGGCAGAGCGGAGACTTGTAAGTGATTTTTCGAGCTCCCCGCATGCGATTTCGAAGTGCTCGAGGTTTGCGATGATTTGCGCGATTTGGGAGAGGGTGTTTGTTGTTGATAGACGGGTTCGAATTGGTTGGCTGACGTGGTTCACTAAGAGTCTGTCCAATGACTTCAAGACATTATTAGTCCCATTTGATGATATTAGTCTAATGCAGATGCTGTTACTCACCTTGCCCAACAGCTCATCAATATTTCTGTGGTGCTGAGAGACGCCATCCATGAAAAGATAGAAGCGCTTGACGAAGTTGCGAATCTAAGGTCGAATATTAATTGCCTGAACCTAGCAAAGAAATGTAACCACTTACGTCTTCGCAACTTTGTGGGAAGCTCTGCGACCATGGCAGTGTTAATGGAAGGGGTGCACTTGGAATTCGATCAATATATAAGCCTTCGATTTGAAAACTCTGAAAGTAGGCACTACCAACCTGGCTAATTCATTGTATTCTCGTCTCGCTAGCCAAACGTCCTTCAATGCGACGGTCCTGTTCCCTGCATCGCTGACGCGCATAGGCATGTGATCATCATGTTGAACGTCCTACACAACGTTGAGGGAGATCAATTGCACTCTCAAATGGATAACTTACCCCTTCAAAGCGACCTTTGAATTGGTTCTCAAGAAGCGTTGTGTACTTCTCGAATAGCACGAGAATGAAAGCTTGTAATTGCGTTGCTGAATATCCATAGCTCTAAACGATCAACGGTAAAAGTCGAGGCTGCGGTATTGAGAAATAGGCTCCGAACCTCCAGGGTCATGATAAACGCCAGTAAACTCTCTTTGACCAGTAAGAATAATTCGGGGTCCGTTTCGCTGTTCAAGCTGTGCTCAACGATCTGTGAAAGCCTCCCAACAAGTGCAACCCATAGCTCGTCTACGTCCCGTTCGCTGCGGAAAGACCGAGTAGTTCGTAGGACTTCACGTTCGATGATGAAGAAACCTGTAATTTCCTGCGTGAGGGATGGCAAAGACGCGAGGTTCAACGGTGAAGGTAGAATTAAGTCTGATTGCGCCTAAGGCATCTTGTTAGTTCGCTGGTTAGAGGTGAAGGAAGATAGAGCAATGCACTTTTCTGTCCGCTTGATACGACTTCTGTAGTTCCTCGAGCGAGTCGAGAGCAGTATAAATATGTATACATTGGTATAATGGCTTGAAGTCAACTTTCAACCGGTCATTATCTAGTACGTTATCTGGGTTCACAGCTGTCAATACGTCACTTTACGTCCACGATACAGGATGACTCACATTCGACCTTCTCATTACTGACAGCTTCCACCGCGCTGCCGACTCTACTATGTTTAAGCGAAGCGTCCTTCTCGCGTCGAATGCGCCACTTGCGCGTGCGAAGCTCCATCGCTTCGATGGCCAGTTTACCGACTTGGCCGCTGCTGTTTCTGATCATGAGTAGCCACTGCTTCGTAGACGCAGTGACTGCATCCTTTATTTGGGCACGTAGGGAGGGCAGAGAAGACATGAGGTGCTGGAAGAGAGGAGTTTGGGATAACGATGCGGGTGGCATTGTATGTATTTCCTCCAACGACTAATACACCTTTCGTCAGTAAAGACACCCGACTTATCGAACATGCATACGTACTCGCAACGCGCTCCAATATTGACCCTCCTTGATCATCTCACCAACGCGGTTGACAACATCGAGCACTTTAAGACATGCCTGCAAGTTGTCAATCGCCTCGTCCAAGTTTGCAGCTGTCTTCTTCGTCTGTAGCAATGATTTCTTCTTCTCCACAAGACCTCGTCCAACTTGTGTGACGCTAGAGTCAAGCGTAGAAATCTTGTCGCGTAAGTTCGTGGTATACGACTTGATTGTGAACAGGGTCGAGACAGAGTTCACAAAATCCTGATAGTTATCCGCACATATCTTCTCGATGTCTGCATCCTTGGATTCTACAAGTCCTTGAAGTGTGCGGAGGAACGCCTCTTGTTGCCTGTTGACATGGATCTGTTTGATAATTGGGCCGAGTTGTTCTAGGTTCTCGGAGGAAGAGGATTGGTCGAGGAGGTGTATTTGCTGTAGCTGTTGGTCAATGGAGTCCTGCGTGTACTGAACACGCCGTCGTGGAGGCATTTCGAGTGTATGTGTGCTCAGTGTCACCGAGTCGTGAAGGTCGCTGCTCTGTCCAATTACGGTTACTAATACCATTTCCAAACACAGCCCACCGCCATTTCATTGCACTTCTGTTCTCCCTCTCTCTCTCTGTATTTGAAACCGCATAAATGCCCTCTGAATATCTCCCAGCCGATATTCCGACACATAGGCATTTACCTTATGCTTCTTTCACGTCTTTAATTATTCTTCTCATATCTCTTACCTCATCGCCTCTCAAAATTTCTCGGCTGGTCTAGCTGCCGGGACAACCCTCGTAACATCTAGTCAACTTCTTCGCAGAGGCGTACGCAGGATTGTGGAGCTTGTCAACGCCCCTTTGCATTTTTCCGAGCAGCCGAGTCGACGGCATCGAGCATCCTTCGCCAGCACCGACGATAACCGTGATGCGACAGGTCCACCTTAGGCAACTCCGTCGAAGCGTCCACGGACGCAGTGCATATGTGAGTGGCATATCGTCATGATATTCTTCTTTTTTGCGAATATTTTTTTATCCCGGCTCGTAGAAAATTTCGGGGGCGAGCAACGTGCTTCAGTGCTGGTGATGACAAACCATGCGCATATACGCACGTATATAAGGCACAATCAGCGGCGGCATAGACGGACACTATTCTCCTTGCCCTTCTACCCTCTACAGTAACAGCATCTAAGAAGTTGGAGGCAAAACGCAATATGCCTGTTGTAACTGAGACTTTCGATGGTATCCTCTTTGACATGGACGGAACACTCGTCGACTCGACGCAAGGTGTCATCGGAGCGTGGCATTTCTTCAAAGAGAGGTACCCTCATATCGATGTCGAAAAGATTCTCGATAGTACGTGTCCCTCTTACTACTTTTATCTGAAAGATATATTAACACACTCTAAATAATCTAGCCGCGCACGGTGTCCGAACAGTCGACAACCTCCGACACCACTGCGGCGTAACCGACCCAGACGAGCTCGAATCCGAAGCCCTCCGATTCGAGCAAGAAATCGTCAACCACTCGTCAAAGAACGGTCGAGAAGGCATCGTCGCCCTCCCAGGCGTTCGCGACCTCTGCAACACCCTCTTCATCCCCGAAGGCTCCCGCCGCTGGGCGATCTGCACCTCAGCAACTCGAGCATATGCAACCCAAGCACTCAAAATCGCTGGCATCCCCCATCCATCAAACTTCATCGCCGCCGAGGATGTAAAGGCCGGAAAGCCCGCGTGAGTAAATTCCTTCCACTCTACTTCTTCGGCCGATGTGAGTAAGCTATGACTCACATTACCATTTTATTTAGTCCGGATCCTTATCTTGAAGGTGCGAAACTCCTTGGCCTTGATCCGAGGCGCTGCCTTGTCGTCGAGGATGCCCCAGCCGGAATTGCCAGCGGCCTCGCAGCTGGCTGCAAGACGCTTGGGGTCATTACTTCTCATTCTGGCGAAGCTATGCTCAGGGAAGGTACAACCTACCTTGTCAAGGATCTGGCGAGGTGAGTTCGAACTTCGCAACTTGCAAAACACTTTAGCAGCCGTCTGACTCTTCTGCAAGCGTATCAATGAAACTTACTCCTAATGGCATCAAGGTTACCATGCACACCGTAGAATAGAAAGCTTTTCTGTGATATCTCTTCATAGAATCGCCATACGTAGAATATCGCTTTGCAACTCGTAGACGTACTTCGTACACTTAGACTGCACATTTCTTGTTATCACTCGTATATACCCATTAATCAACCATTGTCTTGTGCTTTTAGCCATGTAACTTGTCAGTTACCTAATATCTGGTGAATAACCTGAGTATAGAAAGAGACAAAAGAATGATTTTCCGTCATGTTATTGGCTTTAAAGAAAGGTATATAAAGCAAGGGAAGGATACGTGTCATTCATTTGAACAAAAAGAATCAGAAGAAATAGAATTAGAGGAGTCGTAATGGCAAGAGGCATAAGAAACCCGAGAAAACGAACATCCGTCATCTTTTAGTACTCGCCAGCCTCCTCGACATCAGCGGAGTCAATACCGACCTAAAGTGGAATCACGTTAGTATATAAAAAGCATTTGAGAGGGCGAACACGGACCTCCTCATAGTCCTTCTCAAGTGCCGCAAGATCCTCGCGAGCTTCAGAGAACTCGCCTTCTTCCATACCTTCTCCGACATACCAGTGCACAAAGGCACGTTTCGAGTAGAGTAGGTCAAATTTGTGATCCAACCGACTCCATGCAGTTGAAATGGCGGTAGTGTTCGACAACATGCACAGACTGCGAGTGACTTTCGCAAGGTCACCACCAGGGATGTGTGCCGGGGGTTCGTTACAGATACCAAGTTTGAAGCCAGTGGGACACCAATCGACGAACTGGATAGTGCGCTTGGTCTTGATGATACCAACAGCAGCGTTGACATCCTTCGGTACGACATCACCGCGGTAAAGAAGAGCACATGCCACTATTTACGTTGTAAGGATGATATGTCCCGAAGGTAAAGAGCATCAAACATACTGTATTTGCCCTCTCTTGGGTCGCACTTGACCATCTGGTTACCGGTCTCGAAGCACGAGAAGGTCATATCTGCGACTGAGTTCTGCTCATGGTGAGCCTTCTCGGCAGAAATAATAGGCGCGAATGTAGCCAGAGGGAAGTGAATGCGTGGGAAGCTATTGGCCATATCGGATTAGTATATCACAAGTAACAGATAAAGCAAACAACGACTGACGGAACCAAGTTGGTTTGGAACTCGTTCAAGTCGACGTTCAGAGAACCATCGAAGCGAAGCGAAGCCGTAATCGATGAGACAACCTGAGCGATGAGTCTGTTCAGGTTGGTGAAGCCCGGTGATGACACCCCAAGACGTTGTTTGCAAATGTCGTAAATGGCTTCATTATCGACCTACGATCACGGAATAAATATAATGCGAAGCTCAAACTGGTAGAAGCGACATGCCATGAACGAGCAGTCAGAGTGCTCAAGAGTCGTATGGGTCGTCAAAACAGAGTTGTACGGCTCAACGATCGAGTTGGAAGTCTTCGGTGCGGGATAGACGGAGAACTCAAGCTTGGACTTCTTGCCATAGTCGGTCGAAAGACGCTCAAGCAACAGAGCACCAAAACCGGAACCAGTTCCACCACCGAATGAATGGAAGACGAAGAAGCCTTGAAGACCCGAGCAGTTGTCTGCCAAGCGGCGGATCTTGTCCATCACAACGTCGATCTGCTCTTTACCGATGGTATAGTGACCACGGGCATCTACAAAATCCATGCTCAAAAAAAAACGAGGCTAGCGTGAGTTACGTAAGATAACATACAGTTGTTCGCTGCATCTTCTTTGCCCGTCACTAGTGTTTCCGGGTGGAAGAGGCTCCTGTAGGTTCCTGTTCGGACCTCATCGATCACATTGGGTTCCAAGTCAACGTAAAGCGAGCGAGGAACGTGTTTTCCCGAGGACGTCTCCGAGAAGAATGTACTGAAACCGTCGTCGTTGTGAGACGGAGAGGCTTCAACAAGACGGCCATCGGGCTAAAGCAACCGAACGGGGTTATTTGGTTGCACTGAAACGCGAGAAACTAGAGTGAAACTCACGCTGAGGCCATGTTCAACAGTATAGAGCTCCCCTACGAACAGAAGTTGTGTCAGAGGACAGTTTAAGCAGAGTGGGTTAAAAAGTCAAAAACGCGTCGAAAAACGCGTTTTCCGCGATACAATTGCAAGCTCAATGGCTGAACTCAGACTCACAGCATGCATTACCGATCTGCACACCGGCTTGTCCAACGTGCACGGAGATAACTTCACGCATTGTCGTTAGAGCTCCTGTAGATTAGAAATCAAAATTCAGGGGAAGACGCGTTAGAAAATACTCTGAGGTGCACTATGCACGTGAAGTTGAAGATAAATCAAGACCTACGATAAGGAAAAGCGCAGAAAAGTGGTCGTGAACGATGAACGTCGTGGACGTGGGCGAAGGGGTCGAACGAGGTAAAGAACGCGAGATAACGTGACTTGCGGAGTTCCAATTCCACCTCTATTTAGTGGCACCATTTTGGGTAAACATAAGAAGTATATATCGTGGTATCTGCACGCTGTAGATTACATGTAAAGTTGCAATAAACATGAACAGTTTTGAAATACGAAGTGATCCAGATCCACAATGGTATACAAAAATTTAATGCAATTAGTTAGTAGAGTGATCTTCTGCAGAAGGTTTCCTTTCAACCCGCATAGAGTCTGATCGGCTCCTAGTACCATGTTTCGTAAATCCGACCTTAAATTTCCTCAGACCAGACATAGTCTTGCGCTTCCCCTTAACGGCCTGAGCCGAACTGCGCTTCGTGAAATATCTACAAAGGGTTGCGGTCTATCGGCTATGGACATTGCAAAACGGAAGAAGTGACTAACGTCATAATGAATGCCCATAGACTAAGTCCGTGAATTGGTACGACTTCCGCCGAGTACTGAGACAAGGTCGTTGGGAAAGCAATTAGTAGATTAGAGAACGCAAAATAAATTAGTATCGTACCTGTTGCTCCGATACAGACTGTCGAGGAGGTGCGGAAGGATCATCTGCAGGATCTAGGGCTGCCTTGATAACGTCTTTAACTTTTCGCTTCGGCATCTTCTTTATCGTCCTTGGAGCAGTATGGTAGAGTGTCTTCTTCAACAGAGCAAGCGCTTCCGGCTGATATTCTAATAAGCGTATGCAAATCACTGCATCATCGTAATCACTCACTGTATCACGCCTAGCCGCAATTGCGCTCGGAGGAGCATCCTCATCGTCGAGGTCCAGTGGTCCCCATCGCCTGCTCTTCTGGATTCGTCCATCGCCACTGTCCTGTTCAACGCTTCCGTCCGTAGTAGTGGAAGCGCTATCAGGAACAGGAGCATGCACGAGCCCCAATTCTCGGGCACGTTTTAGTGTATTTTCGTATTGCTCTTTAGTTTTCTTTCGCCGCTTTTCCACCTTTTTCGCTACATCTTTGAAGCGTTCATCCCATTCCTTCTGACCCGCCAGCCATCGTCGTGCAGGTGCTTCCCGAAGTACTCCGATTTCATTCGCGCTTAATTTGAGGCAAGAAATGTCTTTCTTATCCTCCATTTGACGTACATGACCATGTATATCGACGCGTTGCCGGATCATCACAACCCGAGGAAAATCGTCCTAAGTAGACAGTCAGAGCAACATCATGTAACGTGAAGGTAAACATACCGGGATACGTTCCCGAGTGGAGCTGTCTTTTGTAGATTCCGAGGAGTCGAGTCTGTTCAATGAAGGATGCTCTTGTATTTGCTCCTTCGTGGCAGCTTTATTGGTTTCCAGCATACTACTAGAGGATTTTCTGCTTGTTCCGAAAGGGGAAGACAAGGATTTTAATCCATTGCTGATGTAGCTCGGAACAGGTAGAGATCGTTCCGTATTATGCGTGTCCCCGCCCTCCTTCAAGCCTGGATTATCTCTGCGTAATTCGGGAAACGTAGCGTCCGGACTTGACGATGTCGCATTATCTGTGACATGTCTGACGAACTCTGCTATTGATCGGTATGCATACTTCACCTGCGAAAATCATGATAATGAATGCCTATTGATGGCTCTTTGAGATGTCACTTACAGCAGGGCGGAACGTAAAGACCGTCAGAACATGGCACATGCCTTTCGACCGCGTGAGTATGTCGATATAAACAAGCAAGGCACGGGACTAACCATCAAATACCTGCAAGTGAACTTTTGTAGGAGTCTTGAACTTTTCCACGTTGTCAGACTGCCTCCGCGACTCCTTGACTGCCTCCATCCTAGGTGGAAACTCCTCCGGGTATGCAGCACGATGCGCCAAATAGATGATTTCATCTCGTAAACATTCATTATTACCCGTGATGACATACAATGGACACAAGTTGCCCAATGACCCTTGCAGGATCGGCGAAACTAACGGATGCGTGAGCTGCCTACAAAGTACCTCAGTTGAAGATAAACGAAATCGAGTAATCTACCCACTCATTCGTAGCGTACAGCTGGATCTGCGACCGAAGCTCCAAGGGGACAGCATTTGGGTCCTCCATAAGCACTTTCGGCGGCTTCGGATACCATGATCGAGCTTCTTTCTCGTCGGGTTGCTCGGGAAGGGTCCTCGTGCTTTCGTTAATCTCTCTCGCATCGCCATCGTAATTTAACATATCTTTCTGCGCAATATTCGAATTTGAACGATCTTCGTCCAAAGCCTCTTTGGCAACTCTATTGGCATTGGGAAGCAGTGTATCTGCGTGACCCGGTTTAGGCGGAGGGGGGGATTCCGATGGAATTATTCGGTCATGATTTCTCGGAAGCGCGTCTACTGGCCAGTGCATGGAGGGCTTGTGAATGAAACCATGTGGGGGGATAATGTCCGTTGCGGTGTTCTCCATGACGCTAGGGAAGCTATGCGTAAGATCAACCCAGGGACTAATGAGGACACCACCAGCAGGAAGGGGTTTTCCAAGGTCGCGAAGTACCGTAAGCAGCGACAAGCACAAACCCCCGCCAGCCGAGTCTCCTGCGATAACTATTTTCTCGGGAGAGACAGCCGAATGTAACGCAGTAGGGGGTGGTTCAGTAAGGTATAGGTCTGGACAGGAGTCCTTATCAATTTTTTTGCAATGAAATGGACGAAGTTGCTTACAAGCGGCGAGACAGTCTTGTAACGGACACGGCCACGGGTATTGAGGTGCTTTTCTAACAAAGATACACTCCACATCTGGAACTGACTTTTAGAAATAACAAAAGACCAACCTATAATTCACTGCGAATACCCTCCCCTCGATTTTCCGTGCTAGTAGAGCATCAATGACCCATGCTACGGAGTTTATCCGTAATTGGCTTACCATACTTCAGAATCTGATAACGATGCGTATCTAGTTGTTAATGAGACAAAGTTATTTCTCAAGAATTAAAGACACCAACTTATGGATCCCCAGAAAAATGCGCCTATACTCGGTGAATGTAAGGATACCCTCGTGGTTTAGAAACACATGACTTACCACCATGGATGTAAAACTTCGTTCGGAAAGGAAAACACGGTCAATACAGCTCAGAAACATGATCAGGTTATCTCACCATTACTCTCTCTAGACAGTCCATTCTCATTATATCAACTTCATCATCATTCAATGATCGGCCTAGCTCCTCCTCTTTCTTTTTCACCCTCTCCATTGTGTTGGTGTCGTTCAGGAAGCGTTTCTCGGTCACCCATTCTCCTTCTACGCCGTCCAAACCTCGGACTTGCCACCACTTTTCACCCCCAACGATCCTCCTCAACTCGTCCAGATCAAAGAACCATTCAACGAGCATGTCCGCAGCTTTATTGCATGTCTTGAATGGGATTAGCACGGGAGAAACGGCAGCCCATGGTGGGGATACGATATGTGTATTCGTGCTAAACAAATTAAAACAATCATGGTTACTTCTGCTCGTCTACCTGCGATACTGTGATCACTCACAATGCTTGGAGGGACTCGACTGTATTGTGTGTACCAAGTTCTATGAATGATTTGACGATATTGAAAGCCCTGGACACGGAGGCAGTCAACACAGACGTTCCTGCGGAACTACTCAAATACAAGCTACTCACTCGTCGTACAAAACATCATCCGTAGCTTCCTCGTCCTTCTTACCATCTGCATATTTAGATGCCTTTCGCCGGTAATGTTTATAAAATGTCTTAATGACAGCTAGAAGCGCGTACAAAACAGACATGTCAATAGCAATATAATAAAAAGAGGTGGAGCGAAACGAACTCGGGGTGATGTGAACCGCTGCACTGATGGTGTTCACAGGCATAGCAGCGGTTGTGATAGGTGATGTAGAAGGATGAAGTCGAGGCACAGGTCAGAGTAAGAGGTCAAGGGGAAATGGACGGTGGGCAATCAGATCGTACAGCGTGCCTAACGTGACGTATTGGAGCCATTTCCATTATGGCCGCAAAGTGGCACGCTGTATTAGATATGTGATAGTGACTGCTACGTGGGGGATGTGAATGCAAATGTCCCATATTACTAGGACGAGGTTGGCTCAAACCGCCAACGCAAAGTTGCCCACGAAAGGTAACCATCAAACTGCGTTGGTTCGTTCAACCAGCCCTTACCAATACCATTCTTTGCACAGCCACCGGTCATTCGGCTTATTTCACTCGCGCATTGTTGATTTGCCGATACCGATCTCAAATCGTCCCGTCGGGAAACGAAGGATGCGATGACTAGTGCGTATGCTGTCGATATTGCAGATCAGATTTGGTTTGGAATGGACCTGCGTTAGACGCACATCCTGCACTATTTTTCTTCGCATCCGATTCGGAGTGTGCAATATTAATCTCATCCTGAATTAGACTCCCTGTGGCAGAGATGGCGAGGCAGACGATGTGAATCCAGCAAAGATACAGTGCGTTTAATATAGCCTGTGTTTCACTTGGCTAGTAATTCATGAGCACCACATATGCACAGCAAGTTCTGTCTTTACGCTACATAGCAAAGTTATAAATGTTGTCATTGTCGGAGCTTTCAAAACGAATGGCTGTTAGACACAATTCGCATGATCCGCGACACAAATGTGCGTCAAAACTTAATAATAGCTGCGGCGGCAGCCTGTAATATTTATGAACATATCGTTAGGTGAACACTGCCGACTCTGGTATGTCCAGTCACGGTGATCATTGGCCGCAAACAGGTGTATCACAGGTTGTGGGATCCACAGCTTGCATATATGGTGAGATTGACGCTGCCCCAGTATTGATGAGTCGTTAGTCCGAGGAAGACGCCAATTTACTCTGCACGAGGTCCGAAAAGCCAGGAAAATCCGATTTGATATGAGCTGCATGATTTTGACGCTTTCGGAGGCGAATTAGATAAGACTACGTTTAGTCTAGCGCTTGCCTAATGCGGTGCCTTCAAATCGGAGGACCGACCACCGACATAGATTAACACTGAGATCTACCGTGGCTGTACGTTATACAGAACAAACATATCTGATACTTCGGCCTTCACACAGGCACTGGAAGCCCGAGTTACGGAATCGGTGCAATGTCAGAAAGAATCAGGTTTACTCGGAAATCGTTTGCATCAAAATGCTCTAATAAATCAGCATCTATTCCAATGCGCATGTCGTTGCTAGCAAATTTCTACTTGACAAGTATCAACAATAAGAACACAAGAAATATTATAATATACACTCGGACAAACGAAAGCTACAGCATTTGAAAGAAGAAGTATTAGCAATTACAACATTGAGAAAGCGAAGTATCTGCGAAGTAGAGAACGATGTGGAATGAGGACGAAAGATGTTAATACATCCAGATGCTTTTTGTATCCTGCCAGAGTTTAATTCAACGACGTAATGCGCCCTTCTTTGATTTGACGATCGATTTTGCTGCGCCAATTTCTGTAGATGCCATCGGAAGGCGTTGGGTTGTACTGACATAGCTCGAAGAGAACCAACTGCTCTTGAAAGCCGGGATTTGGCCAGACCTGTTCGCGAGCTAAATATCACCGTACGACAATCAACATTTAGTTCGATACAAGGTACTAAGGGAAAAGGTACCTCGCCGGACTACCTCGAGTGCTTGTGTAGCGCGGATCCGCTGCGAATACATCACTTCAGGCGTTCTTGTCAGACAGAGAATTCATGGGTGCTTGTGCAGGAACATGAATGCTCTTACGGTATGCGGCAACCACAGTCGCGCTTCGCGAAAGGCCCTGTTCGCAATGGACGAGAATAATACCGCCTTCCTTTAATGCCTGGTGAATGAACCGGCATGCCGTGGGCAAATGAATAAGGAGATCAGCGTAATCTACGTCCTTGACTGGAATGCGTAGGTGCCTTATGCCGGACGCGGGTGAATCTGCCGGGATAGGATCCTCACAAACGGAGACTTGAAATAGGAAAAACTTAAAGTTAATGAGCCGATTCTGGTAGAAAGAAGAAAGGTAACCTGCCAATATGAGATATCCTTCGTTCCGAAAGGGATCGCGGAGAACGGGCAGCTATTATGCTTTGAATTGGAGAATACTCTTCAGCCCCGGATCCGGGATCTCATGCGGCGGTGATAGACGCGCGAGAAGCAGCATATTTGGCAGGAAAGTTGTACTTACTTTCCCAAAAATAGTCGCCCGTCAATGATACTGTCCACATTTTTCCAAGGCATATTGAGCTTTGCTCGTTGAGCTGTCGTTGTCGTTCTGGAGTTTGTGATTTGCAAACGGTCGAGAGCTGGTCTCCATGACCTCGACCAGCTGAGTACTTGTATCCAGACCGAGCATCGCGACGGATCCAACTTTTCGCCGTCCGAGAGGATGACCGAGCTTGTTTGGTTCGATGGCGGTATTCACAGCTTCCCAAATGCTGTGCATTACCTAATCACATATTATGACCAAATTTGGAAATTTCGAATCCGGTACCCAAGAAACCACTTTGGCTGTACCTTGCGTGCCCGAACACGCCTCTGAATGTTGGAGAGGCACGAAGAGATTGTCATTGTCTTCCTATCGTTTCGTCGGTTGGCACCATAATCCGCGTTACATTCCGTGTATCTTTGCGAATACGAAGTCGCAACGTTGTTCTATCGTCCTTCGGAATGGTATGCTCAACTATGGCTGTGAATATAACCTGCGAAACATTGGGAAGACGGTGAAGTATAACGTACAAAGAAGACGTTATGTCTAAAGGACCCGCTAAGGCCATTTAGCGTTGTCGAAGCTATGCTGACCATGATAGTATGATCGCCCTTCGATCGCCACTAAGACATATAAAATACATAATCTGCTTTAACAAGTAAAAGCATGAGGACATAGAGCAGACACATTTGTAAGGAAGTTGCCTGACAAGCGATGGCAATAGATGTATTCGTTGCAAGGACTTGCCCAGCATTGGCTTGAAGGCACGTTTCACGTGGACTCGCATTCGCAGGAAGCTGTAGCACGTCGGTGGAGGTTGATGCTGTCCGTGAAGAAGGAATGTGCTTGCATACAGGGCTATCCCGAGCCCCGAGGTGTAGAGTGATAGCGTTCCATTCATACGTTGTAATAGCACAAATTTAGAAGCGCGTGTTCGCGAAGACAGACCAGTTTGGGCAGTTTCTAAAGTTTGCACTTTTCAAACCAGATTCGAATTCTACGTCTACTGGTATGTTTGGGAGTATTCACTGTCGAAAGGCATTGAGGTAAACAAGCATGAGGCTTGTTCGTGCACTTGGCACAAGAGCATTGGGGCAGCTGTCGGAGATGATCCTTCCCAATTTGAACATATGCTTATTTACATAATGGCAAGGTTTGTAAATTGTATAGCGCCATACCTCGCGCCATCTTTTTTTTTTCACCCTCTTCCTTCCTTCCTACCACCTACCCCCATCCCTCATCCCCATTCTCATTCCCATTCCCAAACTTATTGCATAAATGGTCGCCTCCAGCGTCCTTGGTTTCCCTCGTATCGGTAAGGCGTTGTAATAGAGCATATAGTCATTTATCAGTGTCTTATCACGGTCGCAGGTGCGAACCGTGAGGTCAAAAAGGCTGTAGAAGCGTACTGGGCAGGAAAGATCTCTGCCGATGAGCTCACAAAGGCTGCCCTTGAAGTCAAGAAGTATAACTGGACAAACCTGAAGGCGCGCGGCGTCGATTTCATTCCGAGGTATATTTCCTTGATCTACTGACGGCAACGTCAAGTGATTTACTGATGGATAATCATCGCCTAGCGGTGACTTTACGCTCTACGATCACGTCCTCGACCATTCAGCCGCATTCAATGCTATTCCGTCCCGCTACACTGGCTTGGGCCTGTCGCCCTTAGATGTTTACTTTGCTATGGGCCGAGGTAGACAAGCGGACGGCGTTGATGTCCCCGCCTCTGAGATGAAGAAATGGTAAGTGAAATATTACTATAAAGAATCGCTTCGATTTGTAGCATGGTCGATTGGATCTTTGCTTATGGCAATTCTTACCTGGGTTTTGCTTATGCTCACAAAATTTCCCAAGGTTTGATTCGAACTACCATTACGTCGTGCCGGAACTGTCGGAAGCAACCGAGTTCAAACTTCTTTTCAACAAAGCTGTCGAGGAATTCAACGAGGCAAAGGCAGCAGGAGTTACCACCCGCCCCGTTGTTCTCGGTCCCATCTCCTACCTTATTCTTGCAAAGGCGGGGAGGGATGCTTCGCCAAACTTCCAGCCGATTACACTTCTCGAGAAATTGCTGCCGGTTTACAAGAACCTCCTGACCGAATTGAAGGCCGCTGGTGCAGAGTGGGTTCAGATTGATGAACCTATCCTTGTTCTGGACGTTGCTGCAACTCTAGCAAAAGAATATGCGACTGCATACGAGGCTCTCGCGCCAGTGTCACCTAAAATTATCCTGGCGACTTACTATGGCCGTCTTGAGAGCAATCTTACTTACGTCGCCAAATTACCAGTTGCCGGCCTTCACATCGACCTTGATCGTGAACCTGGTCAGCTCGATGCCACCATCGCTGCCGTGAAGCCAGTGGGACTTGTCCTGTCCCTCGGTCTTGTATCTGGCCGTAATGTATGGAAGAATGACTTCGTCGCATCCATCAAATTGGGCCAGAAGGCTGTTAGCGAACTCGGCCAGGGTAAAGTCCTCGTTGCTACTTCATCTTCGCTCTTGCATATTCCGGTGACGCTTGAGTCCGAGACTAAGCTGACTCCGGAGCAGAAGGACTGGTTCGCTTTCGCCCTTGAGAAGGCTAGTGAGGTCTCGACCCTCGCTGCAGTTCTGTCCGGCTCGCAGGATGCGAAGGTTACGGCTGCACTTGAAGCTAACAAAAAGTCTATCGAAGCCCGGCGGAGGTTTGAGGCCACCTCGGATGATGCCGTCCGCAAACGTGTTGCTTCTATTACGGATGCTGACCTCCACCGTAAGAGCGCATTCCCCAAGCGTTGGGAAGCGCAGAAGTCCCTTGACCTGCCGAAGTTCCCGACGACAACCATTGGTTCATTCCCAGTAAGTTTCGCTTCAATTTTTACCTGAAGCACAATTAACGCTCTTTGTGCCTTTAGCAAACCAAGGAGATTCGTTCTGCCCGTCTTAAGCTCGGAAAGGGCGAGATCACTTCTGAGCAGTACGAGGAGTTCATTAAGAAGGAGATTGAACAGGTTGTTCGCTTCCAGGAGAAGGTTGGACTTGACCTTCTCGTACATGGTGAACCCGAACGCAACGACATGGTTCAATACTTCGGTGAACAGCTAAACGGCTTTGTCTTCACCCAAAACGCCTGGGTTCAGAGCTATGGATCTCGGTAAGTTGTATTAGTCCACATTTGATTGGCATCGTGTTCATATCGTTCCCAGTTATGTCCGCCCACCCATCATCGTCTCAGACGTTAGCCGACCGGGACCGATGACTGTCAAATGGAGCAGTTATGCTCAGAGCCTCACCAAAAAGCCCATGAAGGGTATGTTGACGGGTCCCGTCACGATCCTGAACTGGTCTTTCCCACGTGCGGACGTTTCAAAGGAGACCCAGTCCCGCCAGCTCGCACTCGCTCTCCGCGACGAGGTTATTGACCTTGAGAAGGCAGGAATTAAGGCGATCCAGGTCGATGAGCCTGCCATCCGTGAGGGTGTATGTATTAAGCACTATTCCGCAATTATATACATAGCATATTGACTTCGCTCTTCCCAGCTCCCACTCCGTCGCGCTGACTGGGATGACTACCTCCGCTGGGCCGTGGACACTTTCAAGCTCGCAACAGCTGGTGTCTCCGATGCCACGCAGACACACTCTCACTTCTGCTACTCAGACTTCAACGACATCTTCCCTTCCATTCAGCGCCTTGACGCGGATGTCATCTCCATTGAGGCGTCCAAGAGCGACATGAAGTTGCTTGCTGCCTTCAAGGCATACGGTTACTCGAACGAGATCGGCCCTGGTGTCTACGACATCCACTCCCCACGTGTTCCTTCAGTGGAAGAGATCCAGGAGCGCATCAAGGCTATGCTCGGACTTCTCCCCGACAACCTGCTCTTTATCAACCCCGTATGCGCTCTTTCTTGTTATTCTATAGAGAATCGATATTGATAATATCTCTACTTCCTTTCTTTAGGACTGCGGTCTTAAGACACGTGGCTGGAAGGAGACCGAGGCTGCCTTGGCCAATGTTGTCGCTGCTGCGAAGTGGGCTCGTCAGACCTACGCTTAAATGCCTTTCTAGCGCTTCAACAGCGCCCGACGTTCGGGTATAACTTATCGTTTGTCTTCGATTTTAACATGGTGACGACGTAAAATATCCTTGGGTGGTTGAGAGCGACGAGTTATATGTATATGACTGGGCACTCCATTTCAACTGGACATGCTACCAATCGCTGCGCTTTGGTGAGCCGATTTGCGCTGGCTTTGCACTTCAGAGCGCGTAAAAATAGGTTATTGGGATGTGGATGTAGATTGTAGGATTTCAACAATCCTGGGGGGTTTCAACAACCCTGGGCAAAGTATTGTATTGAATAATGTAGAATTAGTCAACAGTCACGATCAATAAAATTAACGGATACTCAATGTCTTTGAGAGTATAACCGCCGCGTAACCGTATAAGACGAAAATATAACATGGATATATTCATAAAGATAATTGTACAGATTATGACCAAATAATCATTCTAAGGCATTCCGAGCTGGTACAGACATCTTTTCGTCAACTGCAATGGAATCGCGATCATCTTGAGGCACATCTTTCAATTGTCTGTCATCCTCCGAGCCTTCACGCTTCGGCGAGTTGGGCTTGACACTCGGAGTCTGTTTGTCATCAATTGGATCCCGAGAGCCACTCTTCTTTACCTCCACAATGCGGAACTTTTCTGGATTCCGCTCAATTGTCAAAGCGAGGCGAAGCTTCTCCTCCACTTCCTTCGTGCGTTTCGTCTTCTGCCCGCCGCGCCAAATGAAGATCGCCGACACGATACCACAAAGGAAAGATGCTGGGATAAGAATACCGGTGCTCCAAGCGGGCCGCTCGAACCTGTTAACATACTTAGAACAGAAAATGATGGATCACTTGTTTTATAACAGCACGTACCTGTTAAGGCCCCACATAGTGGTGCAGAGCATGATCTATGAAAGCTCAGCCATAGCAATGAACACGAAACACGCAGCGACCGACCTGAAAGACCGAATTCCCGTCAATGAAGCAACAAATAAGGATTGCAGTCCTGAAAAAGTATACGGTGACTTCATGAGCCCGGGCACTTATCTCGGACAAACGTGAATCTCACTCGATTGGAAATGCCTTGAGGCGATTCATTTCAGCATGCTGAACCGGTGCCAATCAAGGAGGTTTACTTACGCGGTGCGTAGGCGTTCCATGGGGTCTGTACCACGTCTGCGACTTCGCGAACTGGCGTCGATCTGAAAGGAGAATAAGTATGCGGGAAGGATAGGCTACCGAGTGTACCAACGGTGATGGAGGCATTTCTCCTGTTTCTCAGTCAAGACGTGAACGTAATTTGGATCGTAGATTGGATCTGGGAGGTCATCCTCGTCGTAAAGCTCAGGTAACCCTGCCTTCGCACGGAGCTTTCGCGTGAGCTTCTTGTAGTGCCAAATCCGCAGTATCCCTACGTTGACTCGTCAGGCTCTGCTAGCACGGAGAATCTTGCAACTAACGATATGTGTCAACAACGCGCCACGGAATCAACCCCTAATAACCTGTGAGCGTCAATAATCTCCAAGAGTCGAAGACTTACGATTCCAGTGACGGTGAAAAGGGCTTTGGAGAGGTGCAAGGGTGTGTTAGCGAATCTGTCTGATTACGTGCAATCTTACGCACCATTTTCTACTTGGGAAGAGACTTCCACCCAAAAGCCTTGTTTAATAGGATCATGAAAATTGATGAATTTCGCCAGGAAGAAGACAATCGCAGCGCCCCAAAATACTACATTTTAACGATTAACAAACTGTCGGTTTAAGAACGGAAAGAGACTTACCAACACAAAATCCATAAAGAGCCGTTATCATACCAAGTGCTTAATTGTCCCCATCGCAAGTCAGTTGAATCGGTCGCACGGATCGTGGTAGACAAATCTTACGGGTTTTCACAAAGGCCCATACACCTCGCAGAACTCTTCTTACCCTGGCTCGCTTTGATAGTACTTCTTCGACGTGTCGGTCAAGATCATCCTCATGAGTTGAAGTTCCCTCTCTATCTTCAGAAATTGGTACTCGGGGTAAAAAGACGATAGGCTTCCGTGAATATACGCCAATGGGGGGGATGAGGATGGAGTTCGCCGCATTCGCAAGATTCGAGACCGTGGCGATCTCCAGATCTGAGAATAGTCAGTGAAGAACAAAGTAGTATTAACAATACCGAAAGGTAGTAGTGCTCACCAATTACGTCCAGATGCTCAACGATATCATCTTCATGTTCAGTTGAGCTCCCAAAAGGGTTTTCATCGCCGCCGGAGAGGCTTAGGGTACTTTCGAGTATGCCCGGCCCTCTTCCATCGTCTGGCACTACAATTTCAGCCTGAGAACCTTCCAGAGTAACTGTCCTATCCCTCCTCCTTCCTTCAGGTTCCGCAGATTCATACGAACCGTCTGCATAAGAACGCTCGCGACTTCTGCTTCCAAGCCGTTGTGAGGTTTGAGTTCTATAAATAATGGAATCTGCGACTCTGCTGTACTGTCTGACATTGTTGAAGGGTCCGGCTGCTCCTGCCTGCTCCTGGTCACCTGAACTAGAGGATGGTTCAGCGTCAGGCTGACCGTCTTCGGAAGCAAATGGGCCTGGCGGTTGATATACGCTAGCTAATGTCCGGCCCCTTGGCCGCCTCTGAGTTCCGTCTTGAACGCCCTCCTCGCCTATAAGCGAGGCATACTGCGAGCGTGAGCCCCGTCTAACACGAACAGACGGCATGAACGGCTTGTGGCCGACTCAAGAAGAAAGTACGACAAGCAAGTTAAGGCTAAGGAATCAAAGTGGGCACATTGCTGCTGCGCTCCAGTCTGGTAATGGAACAACGGAACATTGCACTGGTTCGTGCATTTTATGACGTGAGGTCCCATACGCAATTCCTATTTTTAGCAATTTCAATTTATAAAAGATCTTTGTTAAATTGTTTCACTTGTTCGTCGTAAATACTATATAAATTACAGGAAATAGTTTATCTTCACAGCATAGAGAAAGCAATTAGTAGGCGGATACGATGTAGTTGTGTTCTAGCATAGTGTCGGTGTACAGACCGTGAGCTAGCTTGAAGTTAATTCGTGGATGTCATTGTTAGTTTTTTCTGATGACTTCCTCGGGCGCCTCAGTTTCCCTTTCTTCGGAGAATCCGGCCTGTCAAGAAAGGTATGAGTTTGTGAGAAAACAAGCTTCCTACAAAGAATGACGGGCATACAGTTGAGTCCGAGGTGCCGAAGCACTAGATTGCTCGCCAAATCTCGATGTGTCTGGAGGTGTTGGTTTTGAATCTTTACGGGATTGGCGAGCAGCTCTTCCTTTCGCCGCAATCCATTTCGTCTTTGAGAATAATTCTCGAGCGACTGGAAGCACAGGGACAAGGGGTTGATGAAGAGCCATTCGCATCCAACCTCGCCACGAAGTGTCACTTGGGATAAACTGTTCCGCAAGCTCCTCAAACTGAAAGATGAACAACAAGGTCAGAGTATCCTGAATGAAACTGAAAGGAATTAAAAAACTTGCACTCCATGTTTGGTTTCGATACTGCAACTCCCGTGTGTGAATCCGTGCGTCTCGACAAAAGAATGATCCGTCTTTGTGGAAACTGAGGAGAATATGCATACTACACCGCGTCAACTAGGAACATATACGTTGATCGATTGAAGAAGCTTACCTGGAAATACGAACGAGAACAAATGTCTTTTGAGCAGACCTTGTCTTCATTTCAGCCGCATCATCTGTATTCCTGCGTCGTGGTGTAAGGTCCATTGGAGTAGACTCCGTCTTTCTCGGATCTGCGTCACCGAGAGGAAATTCCGTTGCTGGCTTAATAGTCAAGAAGTGATCTCGCGTTCCAGCGTCCCCTGAATTCATAGAGTTTTGACGAGAGGTACTCCGGAGGTCGGTAAACGAGCGAGAACTTGTTATGCGTCTCGTGCCCAAACTGGGAGCTAGGCGTCTTTCCTCGATTGAACTTCGCTGCTGACTTACAGTTGATGGAGAATCCAATGAGGCCCGCCCTTTGACCGCCGTGGATGAACGTTGCAATTTCCTCTGTTGGATCGCTGGACCCGAAACAGTTGCAAGATCCTCAGAATTCTGTGGAGAATACCTTACTCGTCTCCGGTCCCGTCTTGCTGGCCAAACATATTCCATTATGCTCTTCCCGATTCGCGCTATTTCAGTAGACAAGTAAGTAATAATAATAAAAATGCGAACTTGCAGAGACGTTGCTAACCTTCTAACTGAAGACGCATCGGGTGTAAATCAAGGATGAACTGCTCGTAGATCGTTATACCTCCTACGGGTGCAAGTACTATCCAGTCTGCCTGAACGAAGACGCCGCGCTAAAAGGACGATAAGATTTAGAATCCGAGAACAGTAAATCTGCAGAAGCATATACCTTTACGAGACTATGGTTTGACGGCTCACGATACTTGGCTGGCAAAAGTAAAAACCACATCAGACTATGGTCGCAAGAGCCCATATATTTCTTACATAGAATTTCTGGCCACTGTGCGTCCGGTGATCCGTCGAAAGCCTTCAAATCGCATTAAATAGTGTTCATACAGTATAAGGCATAGCTTACCTGAAGGTCCATTATGATAAGATTGTTCACGGTAGATCCGTCTTGGCGGCTGAGCCAAGTAAAATCAATACCTCGGACAGCAAGCTTCGCTATCATTTCGCTGGCTTCATCGACCATGCCCCAAGAGATATCACGAGCTGATGCATGTACTTTAAGAGCCATCTTCGTGTCACTGTGCTTGTCATCTGCCTTTTCCTGAGCGAGATTGATAGCGTCGAAAATTAAATTGAGCTCTTCTGAAAGTAGAAAGACATGTGCTTTGATTTTCATCAGCTCCAGATGTCCTTGTTCGTCATCGTCTTGAAGAACCGCCTCCAAAGTCTGCTCGTGTTCGGTCACACGACGCAAGCGGGACTGAAGATCTTCGACGACATCGGCCGCAGCAAGGAGGTCCGTGAAATCGTAACTGAAAAGCAGGGTCTCGACTTTGCTCGATCGCAATTTGTGTGCAGCATCAGAGTGTAGGAGTAGATTAGTGATAATATCTTGTAAGGATGCAAAATTCTTTGAATTTGCGGATACAGTGAATCGGGGTACCCGGACATCGATGAGGTCCTGAAGTACAATTGAAGTCAGATCTACAATGAATATAACGAGACGACTCACGGTCTGATGTTGCAAATGACTATTTAGCTCGTCGGTAGAGTTTGGGACAACGGAAGTCACATTGTTGCGTAGGCGCAACCTGTTGAACTTGTCATAGCGGAAAGTCGCATTTGTCTGAGGCATCATACGATCAAAGTCACTACTTTCAGCGCGCAGATCTATGAGGACCTCAAGGGGAACACCTTCATGTCGCGATGGACATGTAGCGGTTGGGCAGAACGTTTGGATGCCCGATAGCACCGCATGACTCCTTGGTTAAAAACAAGATCGTTAAACAAGCAAGTCGTATGGAGTGAGGAATAGCTTCTCACCTTGTCATGACACGACCGCTGACAGGATCATCTATGTTGCCCGTGTCTAATATGGCATGGCTTTGAAGCGTTGCTTGTAGAGCCGCTAGGACTACAACGGATTCCTTTGCAGTTTCACTACGCAGCACCACTTGAGGCTTGAGCAGGAGACAGAAATGACTCTTATTCTGAGAGACTGAATCAGTTGACCATCCATCCATTGGATCAAACCGATCGTAGTCATCTGCATCAGTAGCTTCAGACGAACGGATGTTCGGGCTTTCATTCTCATTGCCAATTAGAATTTTCCTTATTGCCTGCGCGGCAACTTGAGCGGCTAGACCAGTCGGATTCTTAGGCCTTCTCATATTGCCGGAATCAACAGAAGCCCGAGAATAAGCATCGACCTGATCTCGGATATATTTTACGGCCCTGCTATACAATGAGGAAGGGAGCTAAAAGACCATATTGCTCGCTTACCGGGTAGCCATGTGATATTCAATACCTCGACGAACTCGTGAACAGTAATAATATTGAATAAGAATCTATTTTATGATATGAGTACGTCGCGTAAAACAGATGGATTAATAATATAACAGCGACTTACATCCCTCGTCGAGTTGTTCAGGCTTGATCAACACTAAATCAGCAAAAAAGGAGACGCATAATATTATTAAATAATTACCTGAATTTGGGGCAATGTGCTTGGTAGACGTTGTCAAATTCCGTCCAGTCTAGGGGAATCGTGATATCCGAAGGCATTAAGTACTTCGCATACTCCCCAGTTTGTTCATGCTGGGGAGATGTACGTTCATCTGACTCTTGGAGCTGAACAATATGTCTCTCTAGTTGACGTATTTTCTTCTCCAGGGCGTGGCACTTAGCCTGAAACAGTAATGAAGGTCTACACGTTTGATTAAATGGAGGATATCTCACATCAAAGTCAGAAAGGCTGGACGAGGCTTTGCTTTCACTTGCGGAACTTCGCAGGGATGAAAGATGTTGTTGCAACACGGATAACCTCTCTTGAACAATCTGAGCTTGCGAGGTTTGCACCGCTGTGAGAAAGATGCCATGAGTTCGGTCGGATACATGTGGCGGATAATACATACATGGCTCCTTCCCCATGAGACAGACGTGCGTATCTTCGTTTCCAAATCGGCTACTCTCTAGCGTGCGTTGATGCGAGTCGTGGTGTGGTCGACTTGCGCGTTTGAAGTACGTGAAACGAGGACAAGAAGCAATCGGTATCATATGACAACGCGGATTTTCCTCTGTAGGCTTCCAATCCGTCTCCACAAAGTCATCCAGGTCAAACCAGAAGCCACGGAGTTTGCTAACAGATTCGTCAGATCTAACATCCCTGTATTTACTTTCTCCGAGGGCGTCCTGGTCATCGACTAAACGCTTCGATGGATCGACAAACGTCGCTAGAATGGCGCGCATTTGAGCGTCGATGAGCTTTACCTCAGCAGCGTAGAATGGTTTGTGACGGATCTTCTTCGTTGTATTCAGTACTATACCAGTGACCGTAGCTTCTTGTTCTCGCTGGTGCATATCGGCCTCAAAGCTATTTACTAAAGCCTTTACTCCGACACAGTGGGTGACACCTTCGGACCAGCTTTCCCTAGAGTCATCCATGTAGATGTGGGATATAAACAGGCGTTGAATAGCAAGGCGATACTGAATTGGAACAGTTAAATACCGTGGCTTAGTTTGAAAAGAGTACAAAAAAGCGTACTTTGATAGTTGCCAGATGTCGAGTAAACTTCTTTGAAGGTGGACGTGCTCGAGGGAATAGCGCGCCTTGACGGATAGCAATCGAAAGGGAACGGTCAAACAGCGCCCACCATGACCAAAAATGGGCAAACATTTTTGGAGAAAGGTGAAAACTACTCGAGTCCACTTTCCCGGGTGAAACCTTATTGTTGATCGAGGAGGACAGCGAGGTCGAGAAATGGATGAAGTCAGAGCGGAATCCATTGAAGGAGTCATCGGGAGTCTAGACAATAGTATGTTAGGAAAGGGGAAGCATAGGTAGAGCTTAATACTCGCATTTTCAGTAGGTATGACGGACTTTGGTTCCAACGTGACTTCATGGTGAGGACGAAAACTGAACAAACGGCAGGTACCCATTCCATGACAATCGGGGCACAGGTTTCCACACGAACGCTCTAGCACGATGCCTATTCCCCATTTAATACCCGACGAGAAATTCGCACAAATTTTCCTGAACAATTTGCGTCTTCCTTCCAAGCCCTGGTTAAGGCTCAGTGGTCCTCGCGCGGAATGAGGGGAAATGCCCTCCCCGATGACCTCATTGGGAGAGCGTTTCATAAAGCTATGGAGAGGATCGTAAGGACAACAGAACAACGAAGTAAGAAGATACGTGCATTGGGATAACAATGAGCATTGCATCACTATGGACCTGTAAGACTTCTTTGTCCGGATTCGGTTGGCCGATCGTCATCCTAGTGTTCCCGAGCCAGCAGAAAGCAAAGCCCGCGCCGACCCCATCTGTAGCATAAGGATCGCGAGAACCTAGAACAAATAGTCAATATGAGCATCTATTTCAAAAGGGATTAAAAAAAGCAACCTTTAAGATTAAGACGAACTTCGCTCGCAAACTTGAATTCCGCACGCCAGTGCAGCACTAACCGCATCTATGGTATAAAAGATGAGGCGGAATAATCTCGTGAATCGCATCAAATCTTACCTTGTCCCAAAATCCTAACGAAGGGGACGGATCAGGAGGAGGTGTGGTGAGCGTATCAATGATTCTCATGACATCCTGTATTGCAGGAGCATAACTGTTTCCCCAGCAAAACTCTGTGACCTGATTTGTTAAAACGTTGACGATTGGGGTTGCATATGTTTTCACGGGCATAGTGGTCTTCGGGACGGACAGCGCCAAAGATTTTGCGCCCGTGCTACCTGAATTTGCAGGAACAATCGGACAGTCCTTCCAAGCCACGGATGTAGGAGTTCCCATCTCCTCCGCAACGACTAGGTCCATATCGACCACCCATGCCACAGTCTCCGTAGGTGATTCCTGGACAATATTAAGCAGTGGTAAAGGATAATCCCTTAGTGTCACGCATGTGGCACCTAAGCTTATGTGGAGATGGAGCGGCACTAGTAATGAGAACTGAGTATCACGGGGAACGCCATTACCCAGATCCTGGAGATAGCCTGACAAGTCATCTGCAGGGAACGCGGGTTGTGAGAAGTTGACAGATACACCCGTTGCAGCGAAACGAATTAGCGGAGGAGTTTTCGGCGACGGCGCCAGTGGGACTAGAGGTGGGACATCAAAGTCAAAGAGGCGGTAATGCTCGCCACGGATCTCTCTCCTGAGGCTTGTTTCGTTCCTCTGTTGTTCGTCACAATATTCCCGATAAAGTGAAACCCACGAGAGTGAATGAACAAGCAACAAACGTTCGCGGGCTTCTTCGATTGATACAGTGTGATGAGGGGTAAAACGACCCTCCGAATCTAGTAGATTGGTCTGCTCGGCTTCGGCCGCGCGGATTGTAGTCACTTTTTCCTGGAAAGCCTCATCTCGCTCCAGCCGCGATCGAGCTGCCTCAAACCCTGCTCTCCAAATAAGACCTAATTTGGACTCCAGGGGATCGTCTGCAGCTTCCAAAGAGAGGCTCCCTAACTTCACAGTTATTGCAGGAACGACTTTCGCGTCTTCAGCAGAAGGAGCTGACATGGGTCGAAACTCTCCAGAATGGACGGTAGCCAAAAGGTGTTTTACACATTTGCCGAAGAGGTTGATATTCAATATTAGCTCAGCCAGGATATATCCATGAGGAATACGTAGGCGTCCACCCTTGCCTTCTAGGATAAATTCCATATCTCCTGAAGGCGGTCGATGGTACGCTAATTTCCAAGAATGAAGCCGAATCAACTCTTCCCATTTACCGTCTTCCTGCAACGTTGGAACCCATAGAAAGAGTGTCCCAAATCCAGAAGTCACTTCTCCAGGCTCAGAAGCACCCACGTTCAAGCCATTGATCCTAATACATGCTTGCTCCTCAAGTGGCATCGTCACAACCACTTGTAAAGTAGTTACGGTAACTTTGAAAGAAGAAGATATATCCGTGCGTTTTTGCCTAACACTCCTTTGACGTGACTGGGCAAGTGACCGCACTGTACTCAGAGCAAGTAACGTGCAGTATGCATGGAAAAGTTGAAAGCGCGACTGAATATTGGGAATCCTTGTAATTACGTGGATATGTTCATGCGCAGGATTACATCCATCCTCTGTATACCTGCAGGAAGCATTCATTTCCACACGCTTGCACCAGATAAATTCCGATGTCTTCAGCTCATCAGGCTCGTCGTTGGCTTCGTAGGCGTGATCAGCCGCAAATTCTGTTGCAACACAAGTCCGGAAGATCGTGTCACGCAATATGCATCCAAAAAGTACGAACTTTCTTGCATCCTTTGAGACGCTCGAAGTGGAAATAGCCTCCATAAGTAGGTCGTCTGAGAGATAGAGTCGCTGCCTGTCATGAGTGTGGGCAAATCTCTTCGGGATTCGTGTGAAGTACTTTCGATCATGTAAAGAACAATACTGCAACGCGAATCGCGTTTTCACGGCTATTCCTCGGGACAAATCAAGGTCCTCATCCGGATTCATATCTTTTCCTGTTAGAATGATGCCAATCTGCCCAACGGCAAAGTGTGCAGTAATGCCGCTGGGAAGTTTTTGGAGGAGACCATTTTCCGTATTGGATTGATTCGAAAGCGAGCGACCGGACTCGAGCATACTCTTGAGAGAGAATATTGCAGAAGGCTGCCATAGCTCAATCGATACGGCGTCCGTTATACATTTCACGTCAAACATAGTGGAATCCACATCAAGGACGACTTCATCGGTCTCGTCGATCATACCGCCTAAGGTCTGTCCGGATGTCGTGAACTCAAAGGCGCTAAGTGATAATAGGGGATCGCCACTAAATCGAAATGAGCCCCTGCTGTCCGTCGTTTGGTTTGACGAGGTATCCAAAGAGAAAGGTTTAGGGAGGACCATAACGAATGCCGGGCCTAATACTGATTGCGCTGTGATTTCCATCTCTAACGGAACATAGTTCGGCTCCTGAAGTTCGGCCAAAGACGACTTGGCAAGTGGAAAATGTTTGAAGTACGTTGACATGGAGATGACGCACTGCGTGCTGCTGAGGATCAAAGACGACAATGAGATTCCGTCATGTTCTGCGGGAGTAAGGCAGGCGGCAACGTCGTCTACCGCGACCTCGACTTTCAGACGAGGTACGTGATGTAGGATGCGTAAAGGTTCACGAGACGTAGTTGGAGTTGCTCTCGAGTGCCGCAAGTGCTCGAGTACATCAACGACAACGTCGACTCTTTCACTGAATTGCGGAGCAACGACACCTAGCCGGATGACCAGAAGTGCATCATTCGGGTCGCCAGGAAAGATATGAGTCGTCGGCATATTCAAACGCGTCCACTGAGTGACGAAACCCTGTAGACTAATTGAACTGATTGAAATAACCCTCGAAGACGGTTGGTGTTCTCCAGTGCTTCGTCTGTAAACCGTCATATCCTTTGCAACACAAGAATACGATACAACTTCTGCATCGAGGTCCGAATTTCTATCGGGACAGTTTCCAAGAAAATCCTTATGCAAGAAATGCCTCTCTGGTTCTCCTAGTTCGAGGGACACTGCGAGGCTACGAATGTGCCCAGTGAAATATCGCGGGCGAAGACCATCCTTGCCTTGAATTATATGATGCACGGAAATATCCTTTACAGACAAATCTATAGAACGAAATAATGCGAACTAAGAACGTTATGCGTAAGCAAATGAACCTAAATAGATTCCTATTTCCACTGACTTTGTAGACTATATGCCGCAATCGGCGAGTGGATAAATCGTTACCACGGAACACCACGGATTTCTGACAGAACAATATAAATTAGAGATTAATTGGAATAACCATCGCCAAAAATTAACCTTGAATCTCAGCTCCGAGCGACGGCCCGAAGTAACGTGCTTATCCGACGCCTTTCGTAGGTTTCCAATCGCTCTAAGGAAATGATGAAGCGGGCCAGTGGAAACCTGGATAGATGACACCCTGAGTGAAGAAGAAACACTATGGTCTTCTATGATTCTCTTCGTCGGTCCGAACGCGAACGAGGAAGAAAGTTCGGCGACGTCCTGAAGATCAAAGCACAAGTCATCGCTATGACTGGAGTGCGTCACAAAAGCAAACTGCGAGGCAACCGGGTACCATGATGTATTCGCTGCATCTGGATTGAGTTGAAACCACTTGTCCGGGCTTGCGAATCCAGACACCTTATGCAGTTTGAGAGAGAACGATGCCGTGCCCTGTGTGCTTCCCCATGCGCGTCCCAGCACACGTCTTGCGCTCCCAGCAAACCTATTCCGCAGATGTGACATGCTCAAGAAACGTTGGCGACGACGAAGGTGCGGTGATTCTTCCGCGATCCCCACTACGCTCTCAAGGTTGCTGAACGCGACAGTGGCGGATAGCGTTACATTGCGAATCGCCACGTGCGCCTCCGGCAGAGTGGTGAATGTTAAGAGTGCTCGGTCCAGTTCGAAGTCAACTACCTGAGTCAACACAGGGAGGCATCTTATTACGATGCGTGCGGAGGTCACGAAGAACGAACGAATAAATGGTCGTACATACGGCTCCAAGAACACGTAAATAGCCGAGTATGCTGACCACAAGCGTCTGGCCATGGGTGAAGGCGCGAAATCAGCCAGGGTTGGAAGCCTGCTGAGACGTCTTGAAAGAGGCTTCCGAGGTGGTTGGGACACTTTCAGTTCGTGTATCTCCACGCATAGGCCTTCAACTTTGAAGGCGAAACGCCTCGTTGCACCAGCCGAAGAATGCAAGGATATGCCGACCCGGTCAATCCTGATGGTCATAGACGCGAGACGCACGTATACACCACGAATGGATCGCAGGCTAACTCTGCGTACTTGCACTCGTTTCGTGACATTCCTAAGGATGAAAGGCCCGATCCACGCCCGGAATATCTGTCCGATGACCAGGAGCTGGATTACAACAATTAGGAAGGTAGTCCATCCAGATTTCTCTGATCTCAGGGCTGAAGTGGCCGACGTTAATAATTGCGCAAGATTTTTAAAGACATTCGATGTCATGAAGAAATTTGGACTGGCAGAATGTTGTGAGCAAAGGCGATACTAGTGAAGAACCAGACCGCGTCCCAACTACCCGACGCGCTGGCGGTCTGAACCGCTACCTATTGCGGAACCGATTGAGAAACCAAGAAACAGAAATTATCCAGGACGAAGGTGTCTAAGCAAGCAGATTTGAAGAACAGAAAGACTGAGATGCTGAACGCACTGAAACAGGCCTCGCGTCAGTGTCTGGCGCCTGCAGAGCCTGCAGTGCACGGATCGGCGACGATCGTCTGGAAGCTCTTTATGGTATTCCGACTAGCTCAATGACGCTGCACGTTTCTTTCTGGTTGTTTCTTCCCGTTTGCTTCTAAATATTATATTATAGGTTACAACACTTCCAAAATACGCTTGAACAAAGAAATGGATTAGATAATCGTCCTGCAATGTCAATCACTCCCCTCCATCTCAACAGATCTATAAGGAAAGGTAAGCCAGTAGTAATGATGAAACTAAGTGAGGAATCTCTCTTACGAGCTCTCAGACCGGTGTTTTGATGGGAAATACGTATAGAAGCCGAAAGAATTGCCTATGAAACTCCCAGGATTGAAAACGTGGCAGCCCTCATAGGTCAATTCGTACCCCTCGTACTTGTCCGCTAAGATTACCTTTGGGGCAAGTGAGATCAGGAACAAAAGGCATTTGTAGAAGCTACACACGGCACTTGGCATAGGGTACAGCCGGAGGGTATGATCATACTCTGAAAGTATTGGTTGCACGTTCTTGGTGAACGGACTCAAGTGGGCCTGATCTATGATAGATTGTACAAGCTTCATGCAGGTCAGCAATGGTACACAGGACATGAAGAATGCTAGTACAAATCTCTTCATATCATCATTTTGGACGTCGGGCTTCACTCCCACGAGATTCCTCAGCATACGAGCCATCATGTCCTCCCTATAGACAACAATTTCTTGTCCGAAGCACTTTATTCGACAAGGATTGCTGAGGAAATGAGCCTTTGCTAGTTTCGAGTTGAGCTTGCCGACGAAGGAGGACAGAAGGGGACGGCGCGGCAGCACCGAGTTCGCGGTGATATCTAGCGGTCCGGGTACAAAGACGAAATGAGTATTTCGTGCTATAATCGGATAGCTTGCAATTAGGTCGGCAAGACGGTCGAAATTTTCTGCCGTGTGAATGAGTACATATCGACGGTTCGGCGTCAACCATGGTGTCACCTTGATATGATTGAATTTCCCGGCCATTTCCCTGTGCTATGCCACGACTAGTGAAGTTCCCACAGAGTATGAAAACTAAAGGAATAGCTTCGGCTTCTATGCATCTGTCAAATATACTTGCTAGCCCGACAAATGTCTCTGGGTGGTCTAACCAGACGTCTGACAGGCAATGGAACATGAGATTTTCGAATTCCCTGGATACACGTTGTTCGATTTCCATCTGTTAGAACAATGTTAATCTGGATACTATAAAGTAAGTAGTAGGTGTTAGTCACTTGCATCTTCCAAAGGAGTCGATGACCCCTTCCCTAAGAAATCAACGTGTCCAAATATTGAACTACAAGACGACATGAGACTACATATCAGAGCGGTACAACACTTGAATTACCCACCGCGAGACCTCCCTCCGTTCGCATGGAGGATGTCCAATAGCAATTACAGTTAGAGTCTCTTCTTCCGTGTAGTCACCTTCAACCAAGGCGAAGCAGCCTTCCGTGAAAAATCCTTCACTGGGAATATCCTATATTTACTGGTTATGCATTAAGTAGATTTGTACGGAAAATTTGTAGCTCGCCAATTGCGAAAAATCAAGTTCTACTTTGCCTTCCGTATCTTCTAGGCAAAGTTTCCCTTCTTTCGAATAGCCAAGGAGACCGAACAGGAGGAAACGTTCACCGGCACGTCCCAGCAATTGTTTCGTGGAACGTAACTGGGCACCGTTATTAGATGTACCAACCAACCTGGAGATGGGACCCCGAGACATACGTTTAACAACCTGTCCCTGTCCTTTCCAGGCAGTGTAGACGGAGAAAAGTGGTCATTTCGAAGAATGGTTTGCTTGATGATGTCGTGACGATCGCGAATCGCGGTTATTCTCGAATCAGCAGTCCCTGAAATAGTCGGAGAATGAGGAGCCCTATGGTTGTAGAAGCGTTATTTCCATGTGGTAGAATAAATATGCTACATGACATGCACACTTTTCGAAGGTAGCACGTGTTTGTGACCAGTGCCATAATGGCATTTCGTACGCATCAATGAAGTAGAGATGCTCTTCCGGATCCAAAAGCTCTTCCACACCATTCATCTTCTTCTCTTCCTTGTCTTGCAGGTGGGCAAAGACTCGTTGAAGGATGGGAAGAGACACCTTCATGACAGCGTCTGCTTGCAAATTAGCTGTTGGTGATAATGCTACCAGGTATTATCATGGCGCACCATCTTGCTGATTATACTCCTTTGCCATCCGTTCCACGGTCACTTCTACTTCGTCGAGATCATCTTCAAGACCAGCATCGATGCAGATGTCCTCAACAAACTGGAGAGCCTCAGGACCCAATGCGTGGCTATATTTGCGGAAGCCCTAGGTCTAAATTGAGCGTACTGACAGTGAACCAATAGCGAAACAGTCTACTTACTTTGATTATTGTGCTTTGCAATGAACTTGCCATGACACTGACCAATGCTAAAACGAAGTGCTCAGCAGTCAAACGCGTCTCGATTATCGCGTCTCATTGGGGTCACGCGTCAGTCATGTGATGCGAGTGGAGAAAGTGCTGGAGCTCGAATTCACTTGAGACAGATTATTTTGCGTGCGCCCTGGGTTCAGCACAGACATGACGAAAGTCAGCCAATCTCGGGGCCAATTGGCCTTGCACATATACAACGGATTCGCCCCACCAATGCCCAAATGCATCCGTCATGACTCTCTTCCTGCTTTCTATCTTACTGCTCTCCTTTACTATCTCAGCAAATGCTTTCACTTTCTCCTTCACCAGTGCTCCGACACAATGTGCCAACACTACTGCCGTTTGGACCGGTGGCCAGGCTCCGTTCACCCTACTGCTGGTACCAGTTGGTCACCTTAGCCCGGAGACAAGGACAATAATTCAAAAGGATGTACCCTCTGGTAACTCGGTGTCCTTCGTCCTCAACTTTCCGGCACAATCTCAATTTGTGGCCATACTCAACGACGCTACCGGTGTTGGTGCTGGAGGTATGTGGAACATTCTCGAGTCGAGATATGAAGTACTAGCTTGTGCTAATTATAACTCAGGCACATCTTCCATCATTACAGTTGGCTCCTCATCCGACTCCAGCTGTCTAAGTACCACTCCTTCTCAGGCAAAATTTTTCCTGTTTCTTCCACAAGATATTGGACAATGCGACTCTATCGATATTTCTTGGGGTTCACAGGCGCAAGATCCTGTTGATATTCTTGGAGTTATTCCGGCAGGACAATCATTTGAGATCGCGAATGTCACAGACTCTTCAACGAGTCTCCAGTGGACCGCTGACGTGCGCTCTGGGACGCAAATCATGTTTGTTGCAGGTGACAAAGACGGCCTTGGTACTGGTGGCAGCTCGGACGTTATGAAGGTCAGCAATGGCAACAGCGATAGCTGCATAAACAACAATTCGCCTAGTTCGACATCCGGTGCAGCTGCAGGTGGAGTATCTTCCACCGCTCAAGGCCAACCTGCGGGCGGAACGACTGGACGCGGCACACTAGTTGTGACCACTGATAATGTTGGCTCAACTGTGACAGTCGGAGGGACTGTTACAACAGATGGCTCAGGCTCAACGACTACGATTATTGGCTCGACCGGTCCTATCACTACCACAGACAATGCGGGTTCGACTGTTACAATCGCAGGTCCAGGAGGTCCTATTACCACGACTGACAATGCGGGTTCAACGGTTACAATCGGCCCGACCTCTCCAATTACCACGGATAATTCAGGTTCAACTATCACACTTGGTGGCGGAGGTTCGACAGGAGTAAATAACCCTGGATCTCAAAGTTCTGGTTTTACAGGAAGTGGAGGTGGAACCGTCACAGGCTCCTCAAAGAACGGGTATGTGTTACTCATTCCCTCACTCTCACTTGTATTATTTGCGTCTAATGCTTTTTTTAGCCTCGACAACAGAAATAATAGACTGGGCCTTATTTTGGGTCTTGTCCTCGGACTGCTCGCACTAGGTCTAGTCGTTGCTGGCATTATTCTCTATCGTCGTCGTCGTCAGGAACGCATGTATCGTAACCTCGAAACCGGCGCAAATGGTGCTGCGCGCCCGCATCCATGGGTATCAGCACTTACTCGTGGGGCTCATATTCGTGGTGGTGCAGGCTCGTCCGTCGATACATTACCTAGCATGTATCAGACCGAACCATTTATCATGCCCTCGACGGAAGACGACTCGTTCTCTGTTGCTCAACCGCGTCAACCACCTCCAGTTCAACAGCAGCGACCGAATCTTGCGGTCCGCGCCTCAAGCTCCCGCAGTATGTATTCGCTTATTGGAGACGGACTGTTCACTCGCGATGTCTTTGGAGGAGCGCTCGCTGGTATCCATGGACCAGACCGCAAAGAAAGCGTAGGACCTCACGGCCGTCCACCCAGCCGAACGCCGAGCGGACGCGCAGTCACCCAGCGTACTGTCCTGATTCCGAGCACCATCGAAGTGCCTACTCGTGTGACGCGAGACAGCGAGGATTTCTCTCCCGAGCCAGAAGGGATGTCTCCAAACCCTTTCAACGATGACGTCGTCGAAATTCCACCAACCTACGCGAGTGTCCGACGTGCAAGCCGCAGTGGTGATCGTGAAACATGGCAGCCTGTCAGAGCACAATTACGCCGTTCTAATGCGTCTCGTCATTCTCGGCGGTCAATACTGTCGAATAGTGGGACCGGAAGCCAGGAAACCTCCTGAAATTTTCAAAAACAGATTGCATGTCTTTTCTTGGACAGTAATACACGCAATGGACCAATCGGACGATGTAAATATTATACTGCTACGTCTAATATACCTACAACATTTCTCAGTTCTATCATAGCCATACCATGCAAAGAGCTAGCACGAGAGAAAATCATGAAAACACTCAGAGACAAATTATCGTATACGATATAGAAGGGCGTTATATCAGGAGGGCAAGAAAAGCGCGTAAGCACTGAAGATATCAATAAGCAAACAGAGATGGGTATACAAAGGGTATACAGAGGAAAATCATCACATCATGAAAGTTAAGATTCGTTAGGGTCCTTCACGCGAAGAATGACACGCGGTACTTTCTTCACAGTGTCCGACATGGTACCTTCCACCGGCACGTTAGTCTTCTCAAGTTCTAAGCCTTCTAGTCTCTTCGTCACATCATCGACAGATTCACTTCGTGGCGTCATAGCGCCACCCGGAACTTTCCCAGCAAGTGTTACTTTCGCTTTCGTCCGACGCTGCGCCTGTGGTGAGCCTATAGGACTGGCATTTGAGCTTGCAGGCTTGCGCTCTCGTAAAGTCCTGGACGATGGCGGAACATGCGTCTGGGCCTTCGATGGGGAAGGAGTCATCACCGTCTCTATAGAATCAAAGATGGCATTGGTCCGCTCAAGCCACTTCTCTCCATCGCCTCCGACAGAGGCCTTTCCGCGTCGCTTTTTCAACACTTTTTCAAGCTGAACATAAGAATCGATAGAATTAGGGTTTGTCATTGAATGAGGCAGCGAGGGGGAAAGATATTTACCAAAGTCAAGTTCGGCACGCTCCACCACTCTTCATTGATCTCTGCGCCAAGAGATACTGCATCAACTAAGCCTGAGATATGGGCCATTCCGCCACTTATCAGAGCGCGGTCGCTGTAGCCTCCTTCCAAGACGCTTATGAGTTTCCCGTTGGCGAATCTGTTTGCGAAGTTGTTCGCATCTACCGCGAAGCGGAAGTAGAAGGACGTCGGTACCCTTCGATTATGTCGTGACATAGAACTGAAAAAGCTATGTGAGGGGCAAGATCGAATATGGTTATGAAATAATACTCACGGATATTCATGCTCGCATGCATCGAAACCACAGCTTTTTCACAATAAGGGAAGGATAATAAGCTTGGTTCGAAGATTGCAATGTGCATATGTTTACCTTATAAAGACGAGGACATCTTCTTTGTTCGTGTCTTTGACAAAGTCTTCTGCCTTCTTTATAAGCTTCGAATATTGCTGTGGGTAGAGGTTCTTCCAAAAGTCTTCCTCTGATTGATACTCTTGCAGATGAATATTTTCAATGTGTTGTCCATGCAATCCATGAATTGAAACAGAGGCAGCCTGAATAATAGACTTATTCCCATCCTGAGTCGTAACAATCGTAACGGGTCAGAAAAACCATGCTTATCCCGGTGTTTATACGCTGAGCTTACCTCGCATGGGAAGGATAATACATCGTGAAGAGAACCGTAGAAGATCTGAAGGCCTGATGACGTCTCAGAAGCGGCTGATTCAGTTTCCAATGTTTGACGGTATGTTTCCTCATTAATTTGCCACGCGAGCTCTTGGGTACCGTTTCCTCAAGGACAGGATGAGCTATGTCCCATTCATTATTGTTGTTGAAAGAGCATACCATGATGTAAATCAATATCAAAAATGATGACTTTCTTGACGCCATGAGTTAGATGTGCTATAGAAAAATGGTGAGTATTCACATGGGGAGATGTATGGCGTAATGAATAATCTTACCATGTGCGGCTGCAACAACCACATTGTTCATCTGAATGACATCAGCTTTTTGTTCAGTTGGCTACAGTGGTGACGATGACGGACGAAACAAAACCCAGAGGGCGAGTCTTCCCCGCAGTGGTGCCCAGGTGGACGTATAGCAACAAATGCATTCGTTGGAGCAGCCTTCAATGATTCACCATCGTGTTGCGGCATACCCAATATCGCATCTACAGCTTCGCAAACGGTACCTAGCGCACCTTGGATCGCATCAAGGGACCCAGGGCAGACTAATTGAAGAAGATAGTAAGGGAAGTTACAAGTAAGTGAAGTAAGATACGCACGATACAGATCGCCTTGGGACAAGTGTGAAGGAATCTCTGATTCACCGAGCTGAACTTTATCTGTACTCTCCTTAGCCCATTTAATTAAATTCTCCAAGTAAACGTCGCCTTCGATATCGCCATGTACAAACTTCACGGCTTTATTGTTAAGGATGTCTACGGAGCTGGAGCTGGAAATAATATCAACGACGTTCACGTCATGCTGCATGTCCAGCTTCTCCAAAGCGGCGACTAGTTCATCTTCGGTGCTACGCACGACAGCGTCCTTGTGTTCATTTATGGGACCTTTATTAGTCCCTGTTGCGACCTCTTCTATGCGTGCGATTGCTGCTGCGAATCCGAGCTTTAAGGCACGCAACCTGCGCCTCACGTTAGCATACAGTCGAGTGGTTTTAGAGACTGGGTGATTTACCGTTCAGGCCGTTCAACAATTCTTGATACATCGTTTGAACGGATGAACTGATGCTTATAACAGGCGTCTTGAAGGAAAATAGCTACTCTGGATTTCCTGTCCATGACGAGATTGGTATAAAAATTAGAATGTCGTAGTGCAAGTGGAGCAGTAGAAATTCGCGTTTGGGCAAGTGTTCGCAAGTCGCGTGATGTAATACGCGTTATTTGGCTTTGTTTGCGGGTGCATTCACTGATTCAGTGGTGTGTGCGTAACTGGCTTCTCTCTTCACCTAAGCACTCGGCCGCAACTCATTCCTATGTTTAATGATGGTTTCGACACTTGACGTTGATTTAAGACCGGGTATTGGTCTTGGTATGTTTGAAATAGGTATTCCGATCCCGTAACAGCCATTAAGCCTTTCACTCACTTGCAGACATGCAATACTAGGCATGTCCCTCTGGACCGTAATTGATCTGCTAAGGCACAACACAACACTATTTCCTCGCGCGGAAGTCAAGTATGATGCAGCATCAGAGAGTGCACTGAGCCCGATCCTTTTACACATCAATCCACATCTCGACCTCCTGTTCACTGGTCAGCATCAGCGTCTCCGTACCATAGCTCTGCGAAGACTGGCAGATCCAAGTCCACCGGTCACGTTAACATACAAGGACACGGTCCTTCTGTCTGGCTCTTCGAATCAATCTTCTTCCGATGGATTATTACGACGAAGTGATGTAAGTAAGCATTTCGGTCCAACATACCCGGGTGAAGGGCTGCAATATCCGGGCGTTAGCTTTCTATTCGACGACGATGGTCCAGGGGGACTAGGGTCTCACGGGAACGATATACTTGTGGGTGCACTGAGGGTAGGCTCGCCGACACGTGAGGAGAGGCACAAGGAGGTCAAGCGTATGGTGGTTAGTCAGACAAACGCGGACGATAGAGAGAGCGATGCTTTAGACGAAGTCACTGAATGCGAATCCATGGTCGGCAGTGTATCTCGAGCCATCGTGAAGGTATGCACCTTGTGAATCTATTTCAATAAATGAGTTGATGGTTCTGCAGGTTCATGACGGCGTAATTCTTCACTTCTATCCATCAAGTTCCCGGCCGGTCCACATTCGAATAGGGACTACCAGTGCTCAAGACCTTACATGTGATCTTGGAGCACCTCTGAGGGTATATTATAAGGAAGATGATCGTATGGCTATCCACTCACGGAATAAGACACCGGACGGAACCGAAGATAGTTGTGGGTAACTTCTGAAATGCTACTTCACGTACTTATGCATTTCATTTCAGATTTCTACAATTACTTTCAGTATGGGATCGACTTTCTCCTGTCTTCATCTACGCATCTTGTCCAGAAGATCATTCTGCATACTAATATTGTGGGTAAAGTTGAACAATTATTAGAGCGTTCGAACTTCTAAATTGAACATGCGATAGTCCGGCACCCCAATGTTCCAGCGCTATCAGCGGTGTCCTTGGGAGATCGAAGGCGAACCAGAGGATGAGGAAGATGGTACTCGCATTCCGCTTCCGGGTTTACATCCTACAACTTGACAATTGCTCGTCTAGATACACCACCTCGTGTGAAATTCAGCGATAAGGTAATAAGCGCAGTGTCCTTTTTTGAAGGTCAAGTCTAACCATGAACTCAGTTTGATATCATCTCGCGCTTCCTGAACGGTGCCTCAAAGGAGACGATGCCTTCCATGGAGCTTGATCGAACAGAAGATGAACGGCTGACTCTGCCAAGCTCAACTACCCGTGAGTACATTGAGCTGCTTCCCGTTTAATATTACAGAACTCTATTACAGGTCTCATTGGATTTGATGGGGTCGTGCTTGAGGTGACAGAAGCAGCACAAGTCGTCACCGTCATCCTATTCTGATTCGCTATACGTAAATGAGTCCGTGCACTTGGTTCTACTGTCTAGAGTGTGAACCCCTGCATTGATCCCTAAATGTAGATCAGTCCAACACATTGCATACCTGTAATACTACTACACGTACTTTCATCTACATGGAATACTAATTGGATCTCTTGAAAATCTCTGGCCATACGTTCCTGAGTTGCTCAAGCGAATCGATTGTGATGCGCTCGCCGAGGTCAGCAGTGCTCCGGTCGGGAGTCGTTGGTATTATAGTCTTCTTCACACCACCCTCGGTGGTCTGCAGCCCAGCCTCACAGAAGTGAACACAGTGCCCCCACCCGAGACGACGCGCAGCGTCAACGTTCGTCACTTGATCCGATTCAGAAGGTTATCTACCAGAGCAAATTATCATACGTACGGCTATCATCGACGAAGTAGCATTTCGACGGATCCATCACGCCTGCTTTCTTTAATGCCTGCATAAACATATGTCAAATATAGGAGAATCTACAAAAATATGCAACTAGTCAAATACCGCATGGAAGTACTCTGGCTCAGGTTTGCAAAAGAAGTCTACTTGCTGATAGTCGCAGTAAATTATACCTTCAAACTGATCCTCAAGTTCAAGTATTCGCAGTACTCTCCGCGCGTGCTACTAACTTCAGTTGTTTGCCGTACTGAAAGAAAGGAGAGAAAGCTCACAATAATGTATGCATTAGTGAGTGCCCATACACGGAATTTTGTGCGGTCGATGTCTTGGAGAAGCTTGCGTATAGTTGGAACTGGACCAATCATATTCTCTAGAGGTAAGGACTGGTCGCATCTTGGACAGGGCCAGGGTTAATTACTCGATGATACTGTTTATGTCACTGTATGCGGACCTACGATCGAAGTCTAATGTATCAACTCCATGATGACGGACTAATCCTCTTAATGCAAGTCCTGAAAGAAATATATAGGTTGTTAAAGACTGATAGTAGGAATTAGTCTTACCATATGTTTTGTAATACTTCAGATGCATCGCAGACGCCTCCGCGTCTGCCAGACCGAGAGATGTAAAGTAGGCATGTATCCGCTCACCCATCGCGTCTGCGATCTTGGAGCTGGCAGAGTACAGTGTATTGTCGACATCGAAGAAAACGATGTTTCTATCATCTGAGGCACGATGAGCTAACGATGCTCTCGACATTGACAGAGACGCACCTTTAGCCTGAGCAAGGCCATTGGCAGGTGAGTCCATGGAGTTTGCAAGACCTTGATTAGTCCCAGCTCACTATTTACCGACTTCACAAAGAGTCTGCACTTTTCGGCGCTGCGGAGTGTTGACTGTCCAATAGAGTTGTTCACGAAGAAATATTTAGCCATCATTATATGATGTCAATGCTCTGAAATTCAGAGAAAAGGACAAGAAGAATGCAAGATTCCCACAGCTCTTTTTGGTAATCGGTGGCTGTACACACGTCGTTTCTGGCGCAAGGAAACTGGTCAACAACGCCCAAACTCTCAGCGAGCACCTCAAGACTATCGAAGTGAGTATTTATGCTTCTGTGTCGTCTATGTTACTGTCAGAGGGTACATCCGAGCGTGTATGGAGGACGTAGGATAAGATGTATAGACGGATGGATTGGATCGAGGATGGATGGAGTGTACAAACGGCGGATGGATCTTTGACATGAACACTGATACTAACGATTATTTTCTTAACAGATGGCTCGCAGCAAGGAATTAGTCGGAGGCATTGGCCGTCTCTCCCGCTCACAAGTAAAAGCGAAGCGCGGCCTTTTCAAGGGCGTCAAGAAATCTTCCAAACCCGCTGCGCCCGAAACTCCTGCCTACACTGAGAAGCAGATTGGCGGCGCGAAGAACGGCGGCAAGCGACTCGTCCCCACTAACAAGGCCTCGCGTTTCTACCCGGCTGAGGATGTTCGCAAGCCGAAGAAGAGCCGCAAGGCGTTGAAGCTCACGAAGTTGCGGTCGACTATCTCTCCTGGAACGGTTCTTATCCTCCTCGCTGGTCGCTTTGCCGGAAAGAGGGTGGTTTTCCTCAAGCAGCTCGAGAGTGGATTGCTCCTCGTTACTGGCCCTTACAAAATCAATGGTGTTCCCCTGCGAAGGGTCAACCAGTCGTATGTCATCGCGACGCAGACCAAAATTGATCTCGGCGACTTCAAGGTATGTTTCTGCCGTTCATGCATATTGCATAACTTTTCAACATTTGCAACCCAGGTTGACGAGCAAGTGAACGACGCCTACTTCGCTAAGACGAAAGCAAAGGGACGCAAATCGGCTGAGGAGGAATTCTTCGCAGACGGCAAGCCGAAGGAGAAAGAAGCTCTGCCTGAAAACAAATTATCCATGCAAAAGCAGGTGGACTCCGCTGTCATTTCCGCGATCAAAAAGGTGGAACTCCTTCCCAAATACATCAAGTCATCCTTTGGCCTTTCGAATGGTCAGTTCGCCCATCAACTGAAGTTTTGAGTGGTTTTTTTCAGCAGGAGGTGGGAGGCTTACGGCGTAGCGATGCATATGTCCCTATGACTTGTTACAATATATTTTGCCAAAACGCTATGACATTCTCGTTATGCTCCGGATTCTGTATGCAGCATTTTCTCGTGTGAGGAGTACTACTAGTAGAGCGTGCGTAAGTGAAATTAAAAGTGACCTGATCAGGCAAGTGAGCAAACCCGCCTTTATGCCGCGGTTAAATCATGTTTGCAGCTCAACGCCATGCACGCGTAACTCAAAACCTCCAGCGAACCCTTGCTTCGTCTCGTTCTTCTTATCCTTGTTACCAGCGAGCCTCACTTAGCTTACCGCGTCGTCGCACATTATGGATAAATGCTCTTGACCCATTGAGAGAGAGCTTCCTTGACCTTGCCATCGCACTACCATGGCCGGAGACATTTCCTCCTTACGCATCTACAATTATCCTCACAAGCGTTATTTCACGTCTTTTTTTCACTCTGCCATTCTCGATATGGGTTAGTACTCTATTATTTAATATGTAGGAAAAATTACGTGTGCATTGTGTACTGAAGAGTGCCTCTTTGACTTACAGGCGAAGAATCGAATATGGCGTCTTGAGGAGCAGTTGGTTCCCGAACTTACAGCGTACCGAAGGGAAGCTGCTACCAAAATAGCAGAGGAGATGAAGTTTGCAGGCTACGGAAAGCGAGGCATTGAAGAGTTTAGAGAAGTACACTTAGAAAGACTGAGTCGCGCTGTAGGTACCCTCGTCAACCCGTAAGTAATTATTGACTGACTCGTATGGTTTACTAGCTCGACATTCGTCGGAAAGAGCTCGTCAAGAAATATTCATGCTCACCGACAGTGACAAATCTCATACCTCCCATCTCCCAACTCCCGTTATTCGTCTTCATGTCTGCGTTGTTTTCACATATTGCACGTGGACCTACTCCGCTGGATGATGAAGCATTCCTTACGCTCACTTCCTTGGCTCGGCCAGATCCGACTGGTACATTGCCTGTCGTGCTCGGGCTCATGACGTTTGCGAACGTGGAGACGGCTAAGTGGTTTGTTGGTGCGGAACGTGCAGCGCGTACTGCAGCAATCGAGGAACGACGAGAGAAGGAAGACGCTCGAGTACGAGAGGAAGGCGGTACTATCAGGGCAAGACTTGGGAACGTCGTACCAAGCGGCCTTCGCGTTCTTTCTGTGTTCAGAATTGTCGTCGGTATCATGGTAGATGGGGTACGTTCATAAAAAAATTCCTTTATGCATTATTGATTCGGCAGAGTCGCTGATCTATTTCGTATCATTTGCTCATTTAGTCTGTGCTCGTGTATTGGCTTTCGTCTGCGACTTTCGGATTGATCCAATCTTGGGTCTTTAATTGGTGGGATGCACGACGAGCGGCAAGGCAAACGCTGCTTGCTGCTCAGTTACCTCAGCAAAACACCCGCAGACAGCCCTCTCCTCACTTCCCGATGCCCAAGCCAAAGAAACTGAAACGTCGGGTAGTGTAAAAGACGCCCCAGGACCTCCTTCCGACTTTTCGGATAGTCAAGGTGAGTAAGTACAAGCTGACCGCATTCGTTCGAATGATTTGAAAGAATGGTAGAGGGAACTCTCACAATAGCTTGCCCTTCGGCAGCGTGGTGCGGTTCTCTATGAATCTATCTTGATCTAATATGACTCTATTTCGATTCTTAGTTACTAGTCTGCTTCGAACTGCTCTGACCAAACTTTGGCAGGTTACGACCTCTTGAAGGCTCAAAAGATCGACATCGCATGGGTCAAGATTGGATACATTATACAGACGACCATCTGAATACTATAGCAATAGCAAAGTATACACTGCTCATTCTTGTTTCATCGTGACTGATCCATTAACTGCATGTCCATCGCGTGAATGCACATATCGCCAAATACCCAAATGCCACATGATCCTTGGTATAAAGAGAGTCATCCCAAGCAAAAGTGTAGTCCACAACAAACCACTCCAGTTACCGACATCCCACTTTTTATCTCCGAGAGCCCAGAGTGTTACGCCGACATGTAAAGCGTCGCCTACTACTAGAGGCCACATGAGCGCGCGTACGATCTTTTCTTGCAGTGCAGGATTAAACGCGAGATGTTTCCGACATGCACGCAGTACGAAGGCATTGATGACGCCAAGTAGACCGCAGACATGCGCGAGTTGGATGATCGTCACTCGCGTTGCGAGCGGAAGCTCTTCTGGAGGATTGTTAACCCAAGGAGCCTGGCCATCGTGCGTCTTCTCGGAAGAAAATTACTTTAAAAAGCATCCTCAAAGCTGAAAGCGATAAACGGATGCGTACCTTCTTAGGGTCCGCTAGGGCTCCGAGGAATCCGGTGACTGTCAGGATTGGTTCGTAAATGCCAAAGAAGATGTAGTAGAACGTCGGGATTGCTGAGCGTGGTGCCATGACCGACAAAGACAAAGATTAGGCCCCGTTGTGAGCGATAGGACTAGTACTAAACAGCATCTTAAGTGAGACAAATAGGGACACGATGCGGAGGCTGTTACGATTACGCTCGGCGGGCGATGGCAGCGACGTTTCGGTCCGCAGCTCGCGTCAAGCCGGCCCTCAAGTACGTCAAGTCATCTGACGGAAAAAGAATAGATTTTATTTTTATTTCTTACATCCAGGTCTCACTGTACCAAGGCAACAGATTTTATTTTCTCCACCTTCTGTGTAGCCTAATGGCAGCGACCGAGAACAGTACACGAAGATTATAATGCGCCGCCTCAAAGCGCTCCATGCGGGCTGGGCTTCGCTATCTTCGGACACGTTCTCGTTTTTCTCTTCTCATCGAGACTCCACACAACGTGTTTTCAAGAGTATGGCGAAAAGCAACAGCATCCCGTCGTTCTTTTGGTCCCAGCCGCATGTTTTGTGCGTGGGCTCCATGAACGATGCGATAAGGCGCCTTTGCCCGCTATCTTAACGCTGTAATCATCTGCCATATGTTCCTTTCTCTCAGTTAATTTGTCTTTCCTACTCTTTCTGTCGAGTTCAGGCCCGATATTACCAAGGCCGCTCGGTTTCATCTAACCCATTAGCGGCCATGGCGACGACCAAGAGCGATAATGAGAGAGATATTCAATAGCTCGCCCGTACAGAATTAGCCCTCACTGGCGCGACTGCACTATCTTCGGATAGACGCCCAGGCTGAATTGCATGTCATTTATACTCCAATAAAAGCTGCTTCATCAAACTGCATCCATTTAGTATCCTGAATAGTAGTCATTTAAATTATGTTAGTAGGGGAAGGTTTGGAATGTAAAGTTAAGTTCCCACTGGATTCCAACAATTTGAATGAGTCGAAGTTGTTTCGCAGATTCATCTTCTGATGATCCGATTATGTGAGACAGCGACGTAAGATATGGTCTAAAAATAGGCTATTCACGTCCATTCTCCCGACGAGCCGTGGAGGTTTTATCACCCCAGTGCTCTAACCCGAACCAGTGACTCACCCGCCCTCCCTGAATCCCCCGCTCTGCGTGCCACCATGGCGCTACATCCGAAATCGAGCACATTATCTGACGCGTCTCAGACACTCCATGAGTTCGAAATGAACGACCTCCGAGATGCCGTGAGCAGGGGTCCATCCGGTTCAGGGCTGTAAGTCCTATCATTTGCCTATCTTGGTCTCAGTCCATCTCTTAACGTCTTTGTTAGGTTCACTCACGACTTTGGAGAGGTTCGCCCGATGGAAGGACGTCGGAGAAGAGCAAGCTATATTGCTGATGCCATCGAGTCTCCCGACCACGAACGCGATCAATTCGAGGATGCAGAGTCTCTCGTCGATGTTTCTCAACCGCCGAGAAAGGAAGAAGTGGAGGAAGGGGCATGGCCTCCACCAGAGCACCAAGAATTACAGGACTATTACAAGTCATACCGAACACGTACTAGGGCCAACACAGGACGTAGATTCAGCCAACTTGTGGACGCTCTCGAGTCGCCCACACAAGAGCGCGGGCGTTTTGAAGATGCCGAATCACTATTCAACATTCCTCAACCTCCGGATGAGGCGGAAGTTGCGGAGGGTGCTGCAACGTCTCCAGATCAGTCAGAAAAACCGAAAGTGTATCCGCCGCTTGCGTATCCAGTCATTACCTCCCTCATACCTGGTTCGATTTTTGGTGTCTTGGCCCGTTTAGGGATCCTCGCTATCACAGGCTATGACCAACACTCTATATTTCCCCTGGCCTGGGTGCAAGGTACAGGGTGTTTGATTATGGGCTTCGCGTTGGGCCTGAGGGATCAAATTGGTGCCTAGTATGTCTTCAAAAATTTGCTTGACGATATTTTCGAACCATTTCAGACGTTTTTCCTGTTTAGCTACGGACCATTGTATACCGCAATTGCCACCGGTCAGGTTTTCCATTCACTACTCTAAATACACATCTAACATACTAGCTTTTACTTATCGAACAGGCTTTTGCGGCTCGCTGACAACGTTTTCGAGTTGGCAGCTGGACGTTTTCCTTTCGTGGGCGAACTCGGGCCATGCGCGTCGTGATTGGTTCCGTGACGTCAGTGATTTTTCGTCGTACATCCTCTTTTGAGAAGTGCTAATAATATTATTAGGTCATTGATGGCTTTACAAAGACCGTTTTCACGTTGGCCATCTCGCTCTCCGCACTCACCCTCGGTATTCATCTCTCGCGCCCGATACAGAAACGCTTTCCCCGTGTAAAACAAGCGTCCGTTGCTATGCGTTATGTTTTCAGGATAGTGTCTGTACTCATGTACATCGCCACAATACCCGTCTACTTCAAAGCGCCAGCTGCGTGGAGACACCAAGTAACTGCTGCACTACTGTTCTCCTTTCCGGGCACTCTCACACGGTACCTACTAGCAACCTCACTTACACCATTACTCCATCTTTTCCCACTCGGTACCTTTGTCGCGAATGTATCGGGCACTGCACTCATCGGTGTATTCCATGTGTTGATGCGTACACCGCACTTACCATCACCCAATGCATGTGCGATCTTACAAGGCCTGATGGATGGGTATTGTGGATGTCTTACCACGATAAGTACTTTCGCAGTAGAGGTCGGAGCACTTAGAACGAAGAGAGCATGGCTTTATGTCTTGCTCAGTTGGGGTGCCAGCCAGATACTCTTGTTGGTGATTCTGGGTTCTGCTTGGTGGGGAGGAAACATAGACGACAACAGGGTTTGCACGTTCGCTTAATCAACAACTACAACAGCATCACACCTTTCATTGCATTGGATTTTGCCGCATAAGCTTAAAGTTAGGGACTCGGTCCTCAATACTGTATTTGCATTATTTAGAGGTTCAGTTCAAGTTCAGTCGACCCTTGGTATCCGCCCTTTCCTATTATTCATCCACCACATTTCTGTATTTTAATACGTAGTCCGACCGAGTCAAGCACACACAGTATGGTGCGAGGCGATAGGTCGAGTTTCAGTTTCAGTCGATCTTTGGTATTTGCCTTTTCCTGTTCATCCACCACATTCCTGCATTTAAATACGTAGCCAGACCAAGCCAAGCACAGTATGGTGCGAGGAGATAGGTCGATGCGCCATCTGTTGGCCCGTGTAGTAGTTTCTGTAATGTATTCGGTTAGTTAATAGTAAACAATAGGAAATTGTTTGCTTTACAGTGAGATAGGCGACGGTTCCGGTCAGTGCTGTGATGTCGATGAGTGCAAGCCCAGGCTGAATTACAGAGGGGAAATAAATGTAAACTCGCATGCTGACTATACAAACCTGTTTGACTTACCCTCTTAGCAACAAAGAACAGTGGAGTCCAAGCCAGATTAAGCCCGAGTTGAACATAGTAAAGTTTCAACCCAAGGGCAGCATCTTCCCTGTCCAAGAGAAAATAGTACTATAAGAAATTATAATGAATAAAATGCAATTCTGGCATACCGGGAAGACAGATTAATGTCATTGTCAAAAGCCTTCACAGCAAGATGCGAAGCATATCCCATTCCTGTATGGAGAGATTATGAATGACGGAATTACCAATGGCTTCCAAACTGGCGTCAAGCACTCGAAAATTAATACTTACCCATATAGAGAACGGACCATACAATTGGAAAGGCTTTGTTGGGAGGTCTCCCAGGTGGAGATTCAAGGCTCTGGTAATAATTCAGAGGACCGCTGGTAAACCAAATCGTCTTTCTGAACGAGACGTTCCGCCACGTACTTTATACCAAATTCCTTGAACGACTTTCCTTGTTGGCAAACCACTGAGAACACCAGCGGCAAGTGGAAGCCCGACAGCTGTAACGGAATTCCTGGAGATAGAGAGAAGAAGAGTTGGGAATGGGTCGAAGGAAGCCATGGTACTCGCAGTCGTAGTAATGGTTCAGTCTAGGGCTTCAGAGAGTGAAGTCATCGAAGTGTTCAACAGTTCAAGGTCAAAGTGATGGGATGACATCATCAGGTGATCGTTGATCTCCCGTTTCCAGCGATCTGCGTCCTAACATCTCTCAACTTCAAGCACTAAGTCATTGACTTTCCGATGGAGTACAAGCCAAAACACGCCCAGCCGTTCACGTACGCTCAAGCTCACAGGTTCGAAACGCCGACAATCACAGAAGGTCAATAAGCTTGCTCTGTCACTGTTAAATGTGATATGAATACTGTGCCGTAGAAATCACGCGTTTGGAAAACTCGCTGTTCCATTTGAACCGGACCCAGGTCGAACTCAATGCGCATTTGACCGGGTCGCCTGAAGAGGACCGGGAGCTCCTAGAGGCGATTACAGAGAACGAGGCCGTTATGTAGGCATCGATATACTTACATTTGTTGAAGTTGGTTGTGTGCTAATTGGTGTTTTGTAGTGGGTCGCAGACTGAACGAATAAGCATGTTGAAGTTGGTGCTGGAGGAACGAGGCATCACAGCGAATAGTGAACACTATAATTCCACGACTGCCGCCCAGAGTCAGGTACCAACGAGCTCTGTGGAGGTGCAAGGCTTGTCAGCGGATAGAACAGCAGATAATTCAGAACCAGCAGAACAGACAGGGACAGGGGACGGAGAAGATGGTGTATATCTATAACAGGTAATGCTTTATTATTTCCGTCTTCTATGAAACTTGCCGACTTACGATGTCTGGCTAAGCGCTGTATTTGTACCACATGCAAACGTTCCAGACTTTGTGTTGTAGCGTGGGATTGAATATTTGTTCCGTACTACAACCACTCCAGATCAAACTTTTTCTGCAGTAATATGTTTCGGGCCGCTCGGCGTGCCCCATCTGACTTCCTGGCCATGCTTCGCGAAGCCCGCTTCTTATCCGTCTTGAACCGGCGATAAAGACTTGATGATCTGGCTGCATTTATATTGCTCACATGATCTAATCGCATGGATGCTTTTAGCTCACTCCAATTCCTGTCGCTTCTGTGTTCTCTGCTTGAACATAACCATCAAGTGGTGATGGCTGCTCCCAAATCTCCTGAGAACTCCATTGACGAAAAGGCAATAGCTGTTGAGTCTTCGGTCCCTGTTCTTCAAGCCAATCCTGTCGAGTCAGAAGAAGACGATGATGCGGAATTTGGCGGCAAGGAAGAACGACAGAGCATTGAGCGCAAACTCCTGTGGAAATTGGATTGCAGGATGTCGATCATGATTGTGATTTATATCCTAAACTACGTAGGTTTTCTATACTGCGTGTGTCATAATTACTTCTGAAACATGATCCATTGGCTCGTAGATTGATAGGAACAATGCTGCGTGAGCTTAACGGTGTTTCAACTTACATTATCACTGGAGACCTCTCATACCTTCGTTACAGGGCAGCCCGTCTGCGAGGTTTCGAGGATGATCTTGGACTTAAGGGACAAGAGTTCAACACTCTACTGAGTATCCTTTACGTGGGGTATATCATTATGCAAATTCCCTCGTACGTTTATTTCAAGATATGCACTTAATATGGATTCCTTACTGGATCAATGCGATAGAAATATGCTTCTCAACTACATCGGACGTCCTTCGATATATATTCCTGCATGTATGGTTATCTGGGGCATGATATCTGTCTTAACGGGAATCTGTACGAAGTAAGACCTGTGACTGTGTTTCATAACAAGCTAACATGCCTCGAAGTTTCGTTGGTGCACTCTTAGCGCGCTTCTTCCTTGGCTTTGTTGAAGCAGCGTTCTTCCCCGGAGCTATCTTCCTCTTGTCGAAATGGTATACTCGAGAAGAGCTTGGTATGTACCATCCACATACAAGCACCAACTTCTCATTGTTCTTCGCTAGGATTGCGCGTCTGCTTGCTTTACTGTGGTAACATTATCAGCAATGCTTTTGGATCCCTTCTAGCATCAGGGGTTCTAGATGGCATGCAAGGAAAACTGGGCAGGGCAGCCTGGAGGTAGGATAGTGAAATTGTTGCATTTTATCATTTCTCTCAGATCTGTGTCTTTTGTAAGGTGGCTTTTCTTCATTGAAGGCAGCCTATCGATCGCAATTGCATTGTTATCTATGTTCATCCTCCCGGACTTTCCAACAACGACACGATGGCTTTCGCCGATCGAGCGACAGCTGGCACTGCGACGAATGGAAAGAGACGGCGATCTCAATGTCAGTGACCAAGAGGATCCAGATGCTCATGCCAAACAGCGCAGTGGATTCTGGCAGGCATTGAGCGACTGGAAAGTATGGTGGTTGGCGGTGGCTCTATCATCCGAAGTCATCGCGCTGTCGTTCAATGCTTTCTTCCCGACGTTGACTGCGACGCTCGGTTACAATACGACTGTGACGCTTATTCTTGTTGCTCCTCCGTGGTTTCTGGCTGCAATTGCGGCTTTTCTTGTCGCAAGGTATTGTCAATAAGCTGTGTATATTGAATGGCAACCATGCTCACGATTTTCATTCTTTCTTCTAGACATTCAGATAAAGTGGGCGAACGATTCTATCATATAGCTGGTCCTCTTGCTGTAGGCCTCATTGGGTATATAATAGCAATGTCAACCATGAACATTGCTGCCCGCTATGTATCCCTGTACGCTTATTAGTGTGCTTGAAGAAGATTTGCTTGCTGACGATGCAACTTTTCCCAGCTTCTTGATGGCTTTAACATTCAGTGGGTATGTTGTGATAATGACATGGGTCAGTAACTCTATTCCTCGCCCGCCCGCAAAGCGCGCAGTAGCCCTGGCATTTGTGAGCTGCTTTTCACAATTGGGCAATATTGCTGGATCGTTAGTATTTCTTCCTACTGTTTGTGACCTGCGCCTGATGCGCAAGACTCCGTGCAGATACATCTTCCCGAAGAACTGGGGTCCAACTTATCGCAAATCGTATGCGATCTGCATTGCGACACAAACTGTTGCAATTGCTATGTTCTGGCTATTCAGCCGGCACCTGCGGACTTTAAATGCCGCGCTTGAAAGGGTGGAACGGGAGAAAGGTCTGAAGAGAGGGTTCAGGTACTTATTGTGACCCAACCATACCATTGTAGCCAGGACTACGGGTGCTCCACCACAAGAGTCGAAGATTGGAGCTCGTAGTAGAAGAAGAAATTCTATTATTGTCATTTTAAGGCGGTATATCATGGGTCTACTTTTGGTTACACTCATTCGACCTGTGACTGGTTCTCGCCTACTGCTATTTGACTTCAGGGCCGGTTAGAAATGAGTCGGCCCGCTAGTTCTATTGGCCAAGCAAATCTGGATTTCTTCTGCGCCCAACAAACAACCTCATCATAACTTTCCATTATCCCCGTTGCGGAACCTAAAGTAATTCCGAAGCAAGGCCTCGTGACTCCCTTACATAAATTCCTGCATGTGGGCGGCATACAGATACTTGGTCGGTTAATCAGAATACTCTATGCTATGAATACACTCGGCGCCAGCATGACAATGTGGCTTCCGGTATTGCGTTCTTTCCCCCACAGACGAGGTTATCTCGCTGGATCAACTGGACTCTGCGAAATCTACGTCTTCTTGCTTTGTTGTACACTCGCGCCCATAGGATGTCTTCTGCAAAGCATTCCATAGAGGAGAAGCAAGTCACTGAGGAACCAATCCCAGTCGATACCACGGACCCAGATGCTGAATTCGGAGGGTTTGAAGAGAGGCAGAAGCTGGAGCGCAAGCTTCTATGGAAGCTAGACTGCAGGATGTCTATCATGATTGTCATCTACATCTTGAATTATGTACGATTACATTTCTAGGTTGGCTTAACTGATTCGTCAAGCTCAATTTACTTCCGTCTAATACAGATTGATAGAAACAATGCTGCGTATGTCAGATTATCATGTTTGCCCTTATTCTTGCTGATCCTAGTTGTATTAGGGCGGCCCGATTGAGAGGTCTTGAGGCAGACCTTCACCTTAAAGTATGCAGTTAAATACATGCACTGTTCAGAAACATTAGTCTGAAGTTAGAACAGGGACAAGACTTCAATACTCTTCTATCTATTCTTTACGTTGGATATATTCTTATGCAAATACCGTCGTGAGTAGGGATTGTCCTTTGATGTCCCACTGAACTAATATGCGGCTGTGTTCAAGAAACATGTTCCTAAACCACATCGGAAGGCCGTCGCTATACCTTCCTGTTTGTATGATGATATGGGGAATGATATCGGTCTTAACTGGTGGGTACTGATGTACTAAATGATCATTCGTTTTGAACCTGAAACCAATTTCTCGATAGGTATTACAACGGGGTACGTATATTCCATCTAGGAAACGTTGAGCCTCCGGACGCTAAAGAGCTTCGTTGCTCAGTTTCATTGGAGCACTCCTAACTCGATTTTTCCTCGGATTCGTGGAGGCCGCATTCTTCCCTGGCGCTCTATTCCTTCTCTCGAAGTGGTACACACGCAGCGAGCTTGGTAAGCAGGTATCCTGTGCTTCGAGGAAGGCATTCAATTAATACCATTTTTGTGTGTACATAGGCTTGCGCATAAGCATTTTATACTGTGGTAATATCATTAGCAATGCGTTCGGCTCTCTCATGGCTTCTGGTATCTTGGATGGAATGGAGGGCAAGTTAGGGCATCAGGCTTGGAGGTAAGTCAATTAGCTTCCGTTGTGTTGTTATAAGAAATTGATTTAATTATTCCTGCTTAGATGGCTATTTTATATAGAAGGGGCCATAACAATCGCTGTTGCATTCGCAGCCATTTTCATCCTTCCAGATTTCCCTACGACGACCCGATGGTTGACACCGTTGGAACGCAGTCTAGCACTGCGTCGTATGGCCGAAGACGGTGGAATAAAGATCGACGATGAGGAAGGAGCAGAGGTGCTCTCCCAAAATCCCGAAGGAGCCCTTGGAAGTACTATAGTCCCGAAGGACAAACAAGGTAGATTAACTCGCCATGGCCACGGTTTCTGGCTCGCAGTAAGAGACTGGAAGGTATGGTGGTTGACAGTTGCCTTTACGGCTGAAGTGACGGCGCTGTCTTTCAATGCCTTCTTCCCGACATTGACTGCTACGCTTGGCTTCAATTCGATCATAACGCTCATTCTCGCGGCCCCTCCGTGGTTCCTGACAGCAGTAGTAGCATTCTTCAATGCAAGGTGCGTGTGCCTTGTAAAACAGTTCACTTTTCTAACTGCTTTTCAGGCATTCCGACAAACATGGTGAAAGGTTCTGGCATATTGTCGGACCTCTCTTTGTTGGTATTGTCGGATTTATAATTGCAATCTCAACGATGAAATTAGCTGCACGTTATGTAGCCCTGTGCGTATCTCGAATATTTAATCTATATTGATTCTGAGGTCGGTACGAGGCTCAGCTGATGCAACTCTTTCAGGTTTCTGATGTCTTTATCCTACGTTGGATATATCGTAATGTTCGCATGGATCTCGAATAGCGTCCCACGCCCACCGTCAAAGCGAGCAGTTGCATTAGCACTCATAAACTGTTTGTCGCAAACAGGCAATGTTGCGGGATCGTGAGTACTTCCTTCGTTCAGTAATCTGGTTAGTGCTTACCGGATATTTTCGTTGACCAAAGTTACGTATGGCAAGTCAAATGGGGACCGTCTTATCGGAACTCGTATGGAATCTGCATTGCTCTACAGGGTCTCACGATTATCATGTGCTGGATATTCAGACAGCACTTGAAATCTCTGAACGAGCGATTGGAAAGAGAAGAAGCGGAGAGAGGTGATAAAAAGAAGGGATTTAGGTACTTACTCTGAGAAATGTGCTCTCTTGGGATATATGGACGAGTTCGAATGTGAAAATACTGTTAAGGCATGATTGTTCGACCAAACGAGGAGCATACAGCTACCTGAGAATCCTCACTGTCGCTGTCCATATTCTCCGATGTCGAGAAGTCTAAAATAATTTCGACGCAAGGCCTCGTGACTCTTATACATTGATTACTAGTATCTGCTTGTGGGCCGGCATCCACATACCTGTTCAATCAGAATACTTCATACTATGAATACATTCGGCGGGACCGGCATGACATTGAGCCTTCTGCTACTGCGTTCTTTCCCCACGGAGGAGTTATCTTGCTGGATCAACTTACAGGACTTTGTAAAGCCAACGTCTGTTTGTACTTTGCTGTATATCCGCACCTGGAGAATGTCTTCTTCAAAACATTCCATTGAGGAGAAGCAAATCATTGAGGAACCAAACTCTGCTGATACCACAGATCCAGATGCTGAATTTGGAGGACTTGAAGAGAGACAGAGGCTGGAGCGCAAGCTTCTGTGGAAACTAGACTGCAGAATGTCTATCTTGATTATCATCTACATTTTGAACTATGTACGGAAGACCACTCCTAATATTGATTTATAGAGCTCAGTTTACTTGATGTCATGTAGATTGATAGAAACAACGCTGCGTATGTCAACTCATATTGTTTCCTGTTCTTCCTGCTGAACCTATTTTATGTTAGGGCGGCCCGATTGAGAGGTTTTGAGGCAGACCTTCACCTAAAGGTGTGCAGCTAAACACATGCCCGGTGCAATAATTTTGGTCTGAAGCTAAGACAGGGCCAAGAGTTTAACACTCTTTTATCCATCCTTTCCGTCGGATATATCCTTATGCAAATACCTTCGTAAATGGGAATTGTCGCTTCCAGGAAGTTCTCCTGTACTAATATTCCGCTATGTGCAAGAAACATGTTTCTGAACCACATCGGAAGGCCGTCTCTTTACCTCCCCGTTTGCATGACGATATGGGGAATGATATCAGTTTTAACTGGTGAGTATTGCTGGCAGTAAAAAGAGCATCTGGTTTAAACAGAGAATTACTTTATCGACAGGCATTACGAAGGGGTATGTATATTGCAACTTGTAGATGCTGAGTCTCCGGACCCTAAGGAGCTTCATCACCCAGTTTCATTGGAGCTCTGTTAACCCGATTTTTTATCGGATTTGTGGAAGCCGCGTTCTTCCCTGGAGCTCTATTTATTCTTTCGAAGTGGTATACGCGTAGCGAGCTCGGTAAGCGAATGTTCTTCGCTGCGGAATAAAGTATCTAATTAATACCTACCATTCTGCGCGCATACAGGCTTGCGCATATGCATTTTATATTGTGGAAACATCATTAGCAATGCCTTCGGCTCTCTCATGGCCTCTGGTATCCTAGATGGCATGGAGGGTAAGTTAGGGAAACAAGCTTGGAGGTAAATCAATCGGCTTTTGGTTTCACTTTCAGAAATTTAATCGGATTATCCCTACCTAGATGGCTATTCTTCATAGAGGGTGCCATAACTATTGCCGTTGCGTTTGCAGCCATTTTCATCCTTCCAGATTTTCCGACAACGACCCGATGGTTGACACCATTGGAACGTAGTCTAGCGTTGCGTCGTATGGCCGAAGATGGTGGGATAAAGATCGACGATGAGGAAGGAGCAGAGGTGCTCTCCCAAAATCCCGAAGGAGCCCTCGGAAGCACTATAGTACCAAAGAATAAGTTAGCAAGACTTACTCGTCACGGTCGTGGATTCTGGCTCGCAGTAGGAGACTGGAAAGTATGGTGGTTGGCGGTTGCTTTCACGGCGGAAGTGACGGCGCTATCGTTTAACGCCTTCTTTCCTACGTTGACCGCCACGCTTGGCTTCAATTCGACCATAACGCTCATTCTTGCGGCTCCTCCGTGGTTTGTGACAGCAATAGCGGCATTCTTCAATGCAAGGTGAGCGTATTCTCGTGCAGCTATCCTATCCGCGCTAACCTGCTGCGCAGACACTCCGACAAACATGGTGAAAGGTTCTGGCATATTATCAGCCCTCTCTTTGTCGGCATTATCGGATTTATAATTGCAATTTCAACGATGGAATTAGCCGCACGTTACATAGCCTTGTGGGTATCTCCAGTATTCGATCCTCCGTGAGCGTTGAGGTATCATAACGGCTTTTCTGACACGATTTCGCCAAGGTTCCTGATGTCTTTGTCTTATGTTGGATATATCGTAATGTTCGCATGGATTTCAAATAGCATCCCTCGACCGCCGTCGAAGCGAGCTGTTGCATTAGCCTTCATAAACTGCACGTCGCAATTGGGCAACGTTGCGGGGTCGTAAGTGTTCTTTACTGAATGTCGTTTGGTGCTTACCATGTATTTGCGTCGACCAAAGATACATATGGCAAGTCGAGTGGGGACCGTCTTACCGGAACTCGTATGGGATCTGCATTGCACTACAGGGTCTCACAATCATTATGTGCTGGATATTCAGGCGGCATCTGAGGTCCCTGAATGAGCGACTAGAAAGGGAAGAAGCGGAGAAGAGTGACAAAAAGAAAGGATTCAGGTACTTACTCTGAGAAAGCATTCCCTACTGATGATATGGACAAGTTTGAAAGTGGAACTACTGTCGAGAATTTCTCGCCCGGTCCAACAAGATTACTACCCATCTCAGTCATACCCCAAACTTCTGTTTCCAAGAAGCAACTCTACATTAGGAAAGGACAGATTGTATTGATACAAATTGCGTGTTCTGAAATTGCAAGCATTAAACGAGGATGCGCATCTACGTCCGGGACAAGAAAGGCGACATTGCATGTGAGCAAGATACGAATAAGATGGTGATCTCCGTGAATAAATCTATACACCAAGTCTGATATGAAACGGGGTCAGCCATCCTGAGCAGTGGAGGGATCAGTAATAGCTTACCGTCTTTTACTATGTTCATATACTACATACGATATGGATACGGATGGTATAACCTAAAAATTGCAAATGGATCAAGCCTGCTTTGCTTCGCCGTTGAAAAGGAAGAACAATTACCTTAGCCAAGGTTGGAACCAAGCCTCGATAGAAACCTCGCCAGCCTTCATTCTGATATGTCCTCCAAGCTACATCGAAGATGCTCTTGTATTGCTGAGGATGCCCAGATGAGCCTGAGGCTTGCATTCGTGTCCGAACAAGATTAAGTGGATAGACACTCGTTGCACCTACGCCGCCCGAAACACTGCCGAATGCCAGTAGCGGTAAAACGCCGGGCTCATCTTTGCCGGTCGATCGAAGGTATGCGAGCTTCAAGGCCTCAAAGGTGCTCATGTCTATGGCGGCGTAACTAGAGAACGAATCCATAAGCGTCTATACTTAGTTTAGCTTCCTGCAACTTACGGGAAGACACCAACTAAACCAGCCTAAATAGATCCCATATTAGACGTGGCATGACAATAAATCAACGCGGAGACACATACGGCGAGACCACGGTAATAGGCTCTGAGGCCACCCAAGGCCCAGAGACGTCTCGCTGCAGAGATCACGTCACGTTTCTGATCTCCTGTCGTGCTCATCATTTGGGTCTGGCAACAATTTCAGTAAAGCAGGAATGAAACAGAGTGTTGTTAAGGACCTTGAGCGTCTCGATAGGGTAGATAGCTTTAAGTAAAATGTTCAGATAATGCAACAATGGCTTATTCAAGACTCCTACACAGTTGACTTGTAATACCACCAAATCCTCCAGAGAGAAAGCGACTCGTTCCGCTGATTTCTCGCACATCTGAAACATGGTCGACGTATTCCGCGAAAAATTGTTTCTAGCAGTGCCGACGCTATTCAGATGAGCAGCGTTTACCAAATATGCGAGGTACGCACAGACGTCTCGTACGAGAAGAATTTGATAGCGGATTCCGGGAAAATCTTCACTACCGACAATCCGTTCCCGACCCAAAATGCCCGAATGCCATGTCCTTCCATGTAAATTTGACCGATAGCATTAAATATAGCCCTTAGGCCTCTAGAAGCGGCTTTTGAGGCTTCAGTAGGAGTTGCCAGAGCGACGTTACTGAGTTCCGGAGAACGTGTTATCAGAAAGACCTTCAGACGATCAAACGGAGCGGTAGTGGTCCGAGAAACTTCGTAGAACCACGTCAGAGCAGAGTGATGACAGAAAAACCAGCAACTAACCAGCACCAGCAATCCCACCTGCCAGCAGGAATTTTAATGAGGTGGAATGATGGCTCTCTTCCTCTTCATCCTCCTCAAAGTCATCATCATCATAGTCATCATCTTCATCGTCCTCGGTGGTACCAGCATGGTCAATCGGAACAGGTGGAGGATGGTTGTGAGCCTTAATTGGATGGACCGGGGGCCGGTCTTCACCACTGATGATGACATCGCCTGGAACATATTGATAAACAGCAGCTATTTATATCTTATAGTCACTCGAATTTACCTTCCATAGTGACGCGAGCGGCGCCTCCCCTCCCATCATCGCCCATATATTTTCTCACTTCATAGTATCGATAGATCTCTTCCGTAGTTGCACGCCTTGGCAATAAAAGAAGGAAATCCCGAAACTCTGAGAAACTAATGGCATGTGAATGGGGTGACGACGTCAGAAAGGACATGAACTCCGATAGGGTGGATGCAGTGAGCTTAATCCCTAGTACAAGATAATTGATATGCGTAGTTTATCACAATATTGAGAGGATGTCAATTCACCAGCATTGTTTAGCGCGGTAGCTAGCTCATCAGCCTCGAGATGGCCATTCCCGTCCAGATCCAGTTCATCGTGAAAAATATGCCAAAGTTCTGGGAACAGATATTCGTTCATGCTATCGTATGCGTAGAATCAAGACACGCACCAGCTTCCTTGTAATCCGTATACTTCTTGAACTCGTTCCAAGTAACTGGTTCTACCGAGTTGCCTTCCTCCAACGCGCATTCTCTCATGAGCTCGTCATGATACATCATGGTCAGCCTCTCCGCCTTCTCACGAGTTAATGAGGCATCATCACTGGCCGGTACCCAGTTCGGGACCACAGCATCGAGGTCACCCGTCCGAGGGTGCGCATGAGATTGATGAGACCTATGTGGATGCGGTATCCTCTTCCAGAGCGCATGCAAACGCTTCTCCCTGCTCTCAAGTCCCTCTTCCTGGCGGAAGTCATCCAGTGAGCGAGCAAGACGGCGGGGCTTCGGTAAGTCTGAGCGCAGCCGGGGTATATAGGGTCTATCAAGAGCTCCAGACAGTGCACCTTCATAGATCTCTTTTCCTGACAATCGCCTGTTGGAACGCGCACGTTCTTGCTCTTCGTCCGCCATTCGACGCGTCCAAGCCAATCACAAGCAGCTCGTCAAGTTCTGAGGACAGAGGTGTAGGACGAGCAATGCAGTATTTTATGCATCCATAAGTAAAAGAGAGATGACGGGACTTGAGCTAGGCTTCGAAGGGTTGGTGATCGCGACAGTGTAGCAATTGGCACGCGGTGGTCAACAGCAAGGTTGGGAGCGGCAACTCAACTGGCCGGACTTGATCATAAACGTCATCGGTCACTTCAAATGCATTTCAACTATGTATAGAAGGAAAATACTACAGAGGGCGAGATAATTTGCGTGTTATTACAGCAGGTTAGATAAGTTAAAAAAACTACGTGACAAATTTAGTGAGAGCGCCTGCACTTTCAATACTCATCACTAGTACTATAATATGGTCCGTATTCCCTTGACTGGGAAGGTGAAGGTGACGGCGACGCCCACGTCTTGAACTTCGCCATAAATACCCTTGCCCACAGACCGAAAATCTGCCAAAAGCTACGTCGACCTCGTTGCCTCGAGGATGGAATCGGAGTGCTTCGTGATCTCGCCACTGGATGTACTTTACTCTTGTTTCTAAAAACCTTTTCACTATGACTTCGCGCTGCCTTCGTCGCATGTGGCTGGGGTCCTCGGCGAGAACGCAAGTTCGGACTGGGTGAACTCTCCTTGCGATCAGCTACACGACTCCTAGAACTATTGGAACTCGGCGGAAGCATAAGGGTGTGAGCTTTAGCTTCTCCGACAGGTGCACTTGGATACCTGACTTGGCCCCGGGTTGCATGCTGAATGGTGTAGTCAGCTTGTCGATCACTAGTGGTAAAACCACGAGTATGCCCTTCGGGCCTCCGTCCTTTGGGAGGAACTTGAGGGTAGGCATCTGATTCAACAGTTTCGTATTCGTCTTGGTCCTCGGAAGCAGGAGTAGAAAAAGCAGGGGACTGAGGGCGCGAGCGTTCTTTGTTGGACTGGGCATTCGAGGGTTCAACACAGTTCTGTTCCGGCCATATGAGCACATTAAGTTCTGCATTGATGCGGTGAAGGTACGCACATTGTCATTCTCGGGATCAGGATTCGGTTTGTTAAAGGCGGAGTCATTTGACAGTGAATGCCCATGTGAAGTTGATGTGTCTGGATAGATCTATGCATATTGGATATGAGACAGCGTATGAAGGGAAGGGCGTTAATATAAACTTACAACGTGAACGGCTTTCTTCATGAAGCTCGGAGGTTCCGGAGGTAACATGTCATTAGACCGCTTCTTCCGGTAATGAGATGGAATAGGCGGCGTCGGAGGTCTATATGTCTGCTACGAGCAAATAGACGTATGAAATGAATTGAGTACCTATACAACACAACAGTCAAGATAAGGGGCCTACTTGCGTGACTTCCAGGGCAGGGAGACGCTTGTGTTGGCCATGCAGATGTCGCGACTGTTTCGGAAGAGGCTGAGTCTGTGAAGTCGGTGATAGTGACCGAGAAGCAGGTGGAGGTGAGGAAGGAAGACCGTGAGTCAAATCCCTATCGCCAGGCTGAACGAGACTAGAATCCGATCCATTCAGAGGCAATCGTTTCCTATTACCCAGTGATTGATACCTGGGAGGTGGAGAAATGCAGTTTGTCGACTCTGTTTCAGCGATGAGGCGAGGCTCTTTAAGTTCTGGAAAATCCGCATGGCTGACGCCACTTGATAGGCTCGGTGGATGATTTTCCGACGATTGAATAGCGCTTGCGTCACGCTCGCCATTGTTAGTTCGTCCTCGTGAAGCCTTCGCCTTCTTTCTTGAACCAGGAGAGTGACTGCGTGAAGATAGTTCTACAGCACGTCGAGATGAAGGAACAGGAGCAGAATCTGATAATGGTGCAACTACGGTTTCTGTCACTGTCGTGGGTTCAATATCGGGCTTTTCCTGGGTCAAATTAGTCGCCTCGATGTATTGCTGCGGCATTTTCCTACGGGGCACAGGGGAACGATTTCGTGTATTTGCTTCCGTAGCCATTCCATTGGCACTGATAATTGGTGGAGAGAGACTCTGCGCTGTCCGATTTTGGATAACATACGAGGTCGCCGGAGGTGGGTCCAGTGGCATGGGGACATTCCGAGGTGACCTCGATGAATACACATGCCACCCCTTCTCGGTGTCGTTAGGGGCATTTCCGGGACTTTGAGCGGGCTTGAAGACATGCACGTTCTCGACCTCGTGTACGTGAAGAGTCAATGCCTGAGAAAATCGTCAATATCAAACACCAAATAGGAAGAGTTAGGAGCGAGAATATCGTCAAGATGAGCACCACCACCAAATTTAGGATAGTGTGATACGCAAGGGGTTGGTCAACTATGATACGCACCATTGTCGCGTGTTCCGACCTTTCCGACCGTAATTCCGTTGCTACAGACGCTTCAGCTGGAACCGTTTGTACTTTCTTTTCTGCATGAGACTGCGAAATCGCCGGCTTCAAGAGTGGGAGGATGCTCGAACTTTCATCATGGCCAGCTTGTGACGGGAGAGGCAGGCTCGGGCTTGGACTATTATTTGATCGTACAGCGCGAGTAATCGTCTCTTTCCAGTCGGAAGGAAGCTTTGTCGCCTGTTAATTTAGTACGGTGTACGAAATTCATACAAGGTAAAGACTCACTGGAGGTGTGGCCGGCTCCTCTGGTGCAGCATTTGAAGTCACGACGGGTTTTGCTGACGCGAGGAACTGTGTTACGGGACGTGCATTGGTCTTTGCTCCTTCGATAGTTGCTTCATTGTCCTTGGTCGGCTGTTCGTCCTGTATCAATGCATCACGTCGTATTACGGCCTTTGTAACGTGTGCAGGGGTAGACGAGTAAGGTATCGCACTACGCGAATGTGCAACAGGTAAAGCAACGTTCCGAGTCGACTGGTCCTCGCTGTCGTGTTCCAGCTTTTTGGTCCGATCTGGCTCTTCTTTAAGAGTTGACATCGAAGCAATCGTTCCGGGCGGAGTTATCGGCGGCGTGGCAAGGCCAGATTCTCTCGATACTTGACTGCGATCGGACATGGGAATAGGAGCAGGACGCTTCTCAACTTTTACCTCATTCTCCTCGCTTGCTCGAGTATCAAGCAGCAATGATCCTCTGTAATGCACGTTCTGGCTGGGAACCGACACAGGAACCGTCCTTTCCTCCGCTGAAGTTAATTTGTTTTGCCCCTCCTGAGTAGTCGATGGATTGGTCCCTCGAGAAGGCGGCGTGTGTGCTCGGGAACGAGTAGAGTCACGCAAATTCACAGCCGGCGTACTCGTTATTTGATCCATATTATCTTTCATCTGCTGCATCTTTCGTGACGAGTGAGCAGTATTGCTTTCCGGTGTGGAAACTGGCGCTTCTTCACGGGGTATGGTCACTGCTGGCGTCTCCCGAGTTGCGAAGTTGCGCAATGCGACGCTCGATGGAGTATATTCCTGCGCGAAGGTGGATGCATGAATATTCTCCGCTGGGTGCACTGTCATTTCACGTCTCTGAGGTGCCGGAGGGCGAGAATCTTCCGACTGTAGCGCCTGTTCATGTGTAGCCATTTGCGCATTATGCTTCTCCGCTGACGCTTTATCCGTTTGAAAATGCGGACGCTGTGATACCTCCGTTGCTGTTGCTCCGACCTTCTCAACAAGCTTCGACGTGATTTGTGCTTGAAGAGCAGCGGATACCCTCTGTTTGGGTGCAGAAATAGGAGTGTTTGGAGGTGGCGCGGGGAAGGGGGGCGGAGGAGGCGCATATTGGGGGATGATAGCAGGCGTCGGAGAGCGCGAGCGCGAACGAACAGGAGCTGGTGCATTACTTCTGAGCGCAGCTGGTTCGGGAGATACAGAGCGAGAGGATTTCGCTGATGATTCGTTAGACGGAGGTAGCTGGACCTGGTGCGGTTGCAGGAAAGCACGAGGAACGACCTTGACAGCAAATTGTTAATCGAATAGAGAAGCCGTAATCTGGACGTTAACTTACCGTGCTGATCGCCTCTTGCACGTCAACTGCTGGAGAAGGTGGATCTACAGACAGAACTGGCACGGTAGGCTGCGATGTTGGATTCAAAACTGCATGCGTCGGTGCAGGCACTGGATGGCTCGGTGACTGTATTCCGGTTATCAACAATCAATTCCATCGAATAGTAAAAATAAGCGTCACTTACAGAGATGCTGTTGTCTTCGAATGTAGGCGGTGCGACCTTTGGGGACGGTGTGCGGGATGGAAGCACCATGGCGACAAGCTGAGCCATTGAGGGCACCTTCCTTGGCTGAGGATGCGCCAGTGCGTCCCTCTGTTGTTCATCTTTAGCATCGGATGGCCGCGAATCAGAGCGAGAATGTGCTAATGCTAAGGGCAGAGGCAGTTGAGTGTGCACAATTGTGTGCGCTTGGGGAGGAGCCTGAGGAGCCGTAGAAGCTTGTGAATATGGAGCAGCTGGTACTTGTTCCCGCGAAGTCGGCGCCTTCACCACTCCCCGGGAGCCAGTTGCAATTACCTTTGGCGAGCTGGCAAGCGCGTGCGCAGGCCTGAGATGGGTATACGCTTGGACAGGTTGCTGAATCGTCGGTATGCGAGCGTGTGATGACTCTAAGTTCACCGCTAGATCGCGGTTCGTTGTGAAGTCGCGGAACATAACTGGTACCTGATAGTCCGTCGCCGCGCGAACCGGTCTCGAAGGAGCCTGGCTCACTGCCGATGGAGCTGGATCTGTGTATGCTTTGACTGGCACTGGGTGACCGTAAGTAGAACGTGCATTGGAAGTCTGGGGTACCGGTGGAACACGTTCCTCTCTGTCTCGTGCCTCTCGTGCCGACGGTAATCGTTCAAACACAGCAGTAGGCGGCGTCGATGGTGGCGTTGGGATGTACTTGGGCACTGGCTTTCTCCAACCCGGGTTCCGACGCCTCGTGCCGTCTGGGGACACTGAGCGATTCATGTCGTCTCTCTCAGGCGGTGCTAGCGTACCTTTAGCATTAGACGCGATTTCGGCTCCCCGTCCGTTACCCTGGTCGTATGTCATCATTTTTAGTGCAGGTGAAATGTCCGTGTCTCGTTGCTGGTTCCATGCACCGCGGGAGTCGCCTTTAACAGTGCCCGACCTGGCATGAGGACCTGATTGGTACATACCCGGCCTTGCGTAGGAGTGCGTGGTAGGGGCGGTATTTGAGTAGGTCGCCACCTGGGTGCGCAGTTGAGACTGTTTTGCGTGGGTATAGGGCTTTGCACTGGAGTGAGTCTGATAGTGCGAGTTATACGTCCGCTGTTCCCGCTGAACCTGGGTCTGAGAGGTCGCTTGCAACTGTGTCTGCTGGTGGACGAACTGCCGCTTATTTTGAAACGGCGATACCGGACGCATGATCTCCAGGCGGGGCTCGGGGCTTAGCCTGGCCCGCTCTCGCTCGCGTTCACGCGCTGACATAGCCGCGATGGTGTATTGCTGAAGCTGGGGTTCTTGTTGATTAAGTCGTCCTGACGGCGAAAAGCGAGGTGAGTACGCTGAACTGGCGGGCATTCCGCCTGTATATGTACAATAGTTAAGCACGTCCAAGCGTTAAATGGGCATTTAGGTGGCGGACGCAGACGCAGAGTGCAGGTGCTTCGACTAAATAAGGCTCAGGCCGAATGGATAGTGAAGAAGATTCAGGGCTTTACTGGGCCGTATCACTATGTGAATTACAAGCGAAGGCCACATCTAGGTGAGCAGAGGCCGCCAAATCCTCACACATGTCTAAAACTCACCAATAAAAAAACTTTCGCACCATGAAATAGAAGGAAGGCCGAGTCAACAACGCTGTGGTGGGTTATATAGTGGTCTGGCATAGTCAAGTAGCAACAGCCAGCAGAATGTGTCCAAGCGTGTGTACCACGCATTTGTGATGAATGAAAGAGTCGTTGCATCTGTAGAGTGAAGTCAAAGCAACAGCAGCATGTCACGGGTATTAGCCACCCAAGAAGCACGCAAGGCGGAGTCCTCGTTGCCTACACTCTTAAAGCACAAGGCGCGGATTGGGCCGAGGCTTGCCATATTGACGTGTACAGCCTGAAAAGTCAAACTGAAAGCAACAATGCCGACATGCGGTCGTTAACACGAGTACTGGTTGGCGCGATATGATATCTTGCTTCGTCTCTGTTTCTGGTGCATGTAGTTGAAAAGCACACTATCCATTGATGTTGATAAGATAGACTTTTCGATGTGCTGTGCCTAAGCGGCGGAGCACAGCCAGCTGGTGCATAGTCATTAATACGAAGCTCTTGGGCCCTAGCTTCATATCCGCGTTGGCCCATGAGAATAGACGACATCAAGAGAGATTACAGTTTGTTCAGAACAGATCGTGGGACACACAGAGCAGATCGTTGTGTATGTTTATTTGGGTGATCACACACTGATTGCAGAATTACTGGATTGAGTCATGTAGTGCATCGGATCAACGATAAATTGATCACGTGATGAATGCGAAGAAGGGCGCAGGGTATGCAGCGGAATATTTCTTGGATCATACGATCTTGAAAAAAAAATTGACCGTGTCAACAAAGAAGGTTGGGTGTGCGAACTTGCGAATAGCACAGACCCCCTCCTGAGGACACATCCCATGTCTCCTGTCTCCTTATCTTAACCCCCCTTGTTTTAATTTCCCCCTTCCCTTTCCACATTCGACTTGTCCTAAATCACTTGCTTTTTTTTCTTGCAAGTGTGTTGCCCAGCAGGTTTTATTCCCCTTTTTCCTTTTTTACCTGTTGGATCTTAGGATAATCTTTTAAGCCATAGAGGTTGGAGTTTTTGTAGCTGATTTTGTCCCCTCTCCCCCCTGGTGCAAGTGTATCTAGTAGCGTAGTGTACCTTGCAAATATGAAACACATCCTTGCCAAGATACAGACTCGTACAGAAGCTACTAGGGATGTTCAGCGAAACAATACACTTCCGGTGGATGAGTCGAGCGGACGAGTCGGGTTCGCAGCCGTACGCTGGTGCGACTTGCGTCAGCGGACGGGAGATCGGAAAGGACGATTCGTAAGAAACAATGACAAACGGGGATGTAGAAATTGCCGAGGTGTTGATGTGCTGTTCGGCATCGCTCGGAGAGGGAACAAATGGAAGATGGGGGTTACCTAATGTGTTTCGAATTGCCATTTTCTTCGGACTGCGATTCGAGCAGAAACGCTACTTTTATGCCCTTGCGAAATCATGTCTGTCCTCCTCCCGCCCGCCCCCCGCCCTAGGATACACTCCGTTTCTACAGGTGTCCGTCCGCCCTTGTCCATTTCTACCCTCGCCCGTTCTCCCGCAAACTCATTTCTTGCCAAGGACGCTGCGGACGACGAGTCATCCGACCTGTCAACATCGGCTGCGGACTCGCGCGTGTCCTCGACGCGCAGTTCCCCTCCCCAGTCCCCTGCTTTCGTTTCACAACACCCACCATTCGTCGGGACTCAACCAGAGAGCTCACGGACGCGTCTGCAAACTATGTTTCCTGTCGTAGTGTCCAGGACAGTTGATCTCTGGCGCGCTCTTCGCACAGGCGGGTCCGGCAAGCACACGACCAATTTATTCGCTTCCCCAATGGCTTCGCCGCGTTCGTCGACAGATACGGAGTACATTCTGCCTCTGTCTGCATCACCCCAGAAAGCGGCTTTCGATGCTGCAGAGTTGGACGTGCCATCGCGTCATGGAGCGCTCTACCGCCTCCTGCCGTTCCCATCGGTTCGTTTCTCTTTGTTCATCATTTATGTCGAGTTGTTCATCACGCCGCCACTCTCAGGTGCATGCTTCTCTGTTATCAGTAGTCATTCTCTTTCCCGTATCGACTGCAGTCGTGTTCCTTTCTATGTCTACTTTGCCAATTACCTTTGCTTGGCCCCGCACACTTTCCGACTTAGCACAGGTTGAACGCGACCTCAATCTCTACTTTCGATCGGGATCTCTGCCAACAGCACATATTGTAGGGGTCCTTGCCGTTTCTGCGGTCTGGAAACACGCTTGGTCAGTGCCGGGGAGCGTGTTATGGGTATGCGTCATATTGTCTTACAAACTCCAGTGACATACTCATCTCAATTTATCTGGTCTAATTTAGAATGTCCTCGCGGGAGCACTTTTCCACCCCTTGCTTGCGACCTTACTAATGACGGTCCTGACTTCAATTGGATCTGTACTCGCCACTTTGCTCGCCACTCCGTTAGCTCCCATTTTGACCCGACTGTTTCCTCGGCCCGTAGAGCTGACTCGCGCGGCATTGGAAGGATCTTTTTCCTTGGCATCCAAATCGGTGCATTCCGACGGTGAAAGCAAATCTTCTAGTGTCACTACTGCTACCTCAGCCAGCTCTCCGGCATGGGCGCGCCTCTCCGTACTCCGGCTTATTGGCATTGTCCCTTGGTCAGCACTCAATATTGCGTGCGGACTGACTGGAGTTTCCCTCTACGATTGTTTCTTAGGCGCTTTCATCGGGACGCTTCCGTGGACAGCCGTCACATGCCAGATCGGTGATATTTTGGAGACTGTCAGCAATGCTAGTGAAAACGGATTTGGAGAGGGGCTCTCCAAGTCTGCCACAGTATCAAGTGTTCTAGCCCGGCCGTCAATGGTTTTGGAGCTTATTTTTCTCACCATTCTCAGCCTCGCACCTATCGTTTTTAGGGATCACTTGCGCAAGTTTGTTCCGTCTTCGGAAGGCACGAGCACTGTCACTGTGGAGTCAGAGGAGTACGAAGAGAAAGAGATGACGATTCGTTCAAGCCAACGAGAGCAACTGGACGAATGGGATCCACGACAGACAGAAGGCAGTGAAGAGGACCCCGCATATGACGAAATGGAGCGACGTGGGAGACGATTGCGCCGTCAAAGATGGACATGGCAGCGATTATCAATGAGCATTCCGCGGTGGTCCACTCTCGGTTCTCCTCTGCGATCGTCCTTCCCCAAGGTTGAGCGTGATGACAAACAATGACATTGATATGTCCTCGTGCCATCCCTCTACTGTCATTTTGTTCCACGTTCGCCATCCACCTCACTTCACTAACAATAACCTTGATTGCAACTCACATCAAACTATTTATTCGGATTCAAGCACCTTACGATCCATTAATGCCATTGCCTACTCACGACCACGCTTTCACCATGCATAGTGTCTCTTTGACCAAGAGAAGCATGACTTGTAGAGTTTCGCATGACCTCTTCGCAGCGCTCATTCCTGTTTCTCTCAAATCATCTTCCTTTCGATGTGTATTCGCTATTGCATTCCCTGTTCATATTAATCCCTTTGCTTTGCATTTGCCACCTGCAGTTACTGCATTTTTCTTCTATTTCCGGAAAACTTGCTCATTCGCAATCCCGTGTATCATTGATCCTCTGCCCGCCGTGCTGGCTTTTTCACAACAGCATCTATCTTCCATGCTTTCGTTCTTCCTTCTTCCATCATATTCTTCCGCGATATATCTTAGATTCTTCACCACCTTACTCATGACGAAACAGCAGCAATGGATTCATGCGAACGCAACGCTGACTGGGCACATGCACCGACACTGCAAACCTATTCTTCGAGTCCGATACGCACGGTATGGTCACGATAAGGCACTTTTATGTCGAGCAGGCACATTTTCGCATTGGTGTAACGCGTTATAGAGCCCGTCTGTCACTCAACTCGTCAGCCGGTCCTCCGCATATCTGCTTCCACAATGGTGCTGAGTCAATCCAGCCTTGACCTAACTTTGTCTCGCTCATCCGGCCCGACCTCCGCTTGTTCCGTATTTCTTTTTGTTGGGATTTGTTTGTTTGTCTTTGTTGTCATCCATTTTCCATTTCCATACTGCACATATATTTCGTCAGTATCACGCAGTCTTATCCTTTCACTTTTATCATGTAATTTCAGATCCCTCCTGTCGCTGTACATGTTCCTATCTACCGTGAATGGAATCAAGAAAATTGAATGATGAATACCGTGTGTTGTGTGCTACTTGACGCGAAACTCCGAAAGGGACATCGACTTTAATATTCATATTGTACCACTCGATTGATTCATTTCTTGTATGTGAAGATATGGAGGTCTACTGAAGTGTTATGTAAAGATGCTTGCGGCACAGGACAGCCTCCGAACCGGGGATAAGAACAATCGTTTGCGTGTCGTCGATGATCATTGCCGTACCTTGCACGGTATCTCCGATCTCGAGTTTGTCGAGCAAGAAGACGGGCGTATCGTCTACTCGTCCAACACCATCGAAGTATACAGAGTGAACCTTGTCCGCAGAGGACGACGAGATTGGCCGTTTCTTGAGAGTGCGAAGCTCCTCGAAGACGGAAGGACCTAACGAGTCGAACGTCTTCCCGATCCCGCGAACCTAGACGTTGCCAAGATCAGAATCTGCGCACTAAAAGAAATTACTGCAAGGAGAATAGGAGAACGCACTTTAATATCATCTACAATAATATGCTTCGTATCTAATAAGAAACCAAACTCCTCTTTGTACGTTTTCTTAAACGCGCTGAGAAAGTCTTCGTCCTTGTCCGCGATCGCCGGGAGGACCATGAGTGCTGTGTCCGTCCCATCAAAGCGCATGTTCAACATACGCTCTACATGCACTCGGGAACCCTCAAAGCCCTGCCGCTTTAACTCAACACGCACCTCTCGCTCGAGCCTGTCCAGCCGCTCTGTTAACGACGGCTTGTTCTCGGGCGTGTAGAACGTTGAGCTGGGTTCTTGGCGCTCGAAAGCACTGTAAACGTATGTCTTGCGGTTATCCTTTTGCGACAAATTGGCATGGAAGCTTACCGGTCAGCTAAAGCAAGGCCATACGCGGAGAGGATTGAGCTATATCTATGTATCAGAACAGTGGAAATGCCGAGAATGTGTGCAATTTCGCAAGCATGTTGTCCTCCAGCACCTCCAAAGACTGCGAGACTGCATATTTTCGCGATTAATGACATTGTTAAGCGGGGCTACAGGCGGTTCCTTACATATGACTAGAGGTGCTGTATCCTCGAGCCTCTGTGAGGGCTCGAATAGGCCTGCACATCGTCTCATTCGCGATCTTGATGAATCTACATAAAGAATATTAAGAGACATGTTGTGCGGAGCAACAATGAGACACTAACCCATATACTACTTCATCAAAGCTTAATTCCTTTTCAAAGCTGTGAGAAGAGTTCACTTCCTTGACAACTTTCTCAAACAACCGTCGTGATGCTTCAATATCGAGTGACTCCTTTTCTGAGTCTCCAAATATCTTCGGGAAGTAGTCCACAACCAGCCGTCCAAGCATGAGGTTCGCATCAGTGACTGCTAGAGGACCGCCTCTCCGGTAGCACGCTGGTCCGGGAATAGCACCAGCACTCTCCGGGCCTGTTACGAACAAGCCGTTACGGAAGGCTAGGCAAGAGCCACCCCCGGCAGCGACTGTGTTAATATCTAGTTGCGGAGACTGGATCGTGACACCAGCTGTAGTGGTTTCGTAGACAGTCTCATACCGCCCAGCAAAACGCGAAACATCCGTGGATGTACCACCAACATCGATTCTGTGCAGCTTGTTAGGGTTTATATGATAAGTGAGAAGGTACAGACGAACCCTATAATTGGCGTCTTTTGTTTCTCATCCCAGCTTGTCAGAGCATGGCCTACAACTCCTCCGGCTGGGCCACTAAGGATGCTCTTCAGACCGGAAAAGTTGTCGATATCAAATAGTCCTCCGTCACTTCCCATAAATTCTACACGTGCATTACCATCTCCGCCTCGTCGAAGCCTTTCATCAAAGCCTCTGAAAAAGCCGTCGAGATATTCATATAATACTGGAGTGAGGTATGCATCAGCAGTAGTTGAGGCACCTCGCGGCACCATTTTGATCATTGGAATTAATTGTGATGAGACGGATATATGCTCAAACCCAATGTCTCGTGCTATGGATGCAACCAATTTCTCATGGTCTGGGAATGTATATGAGTGGACAAGGATAATAGCAATGGACCTGTAGCCTTCGTCATAGAGTTTCCTAAGGTCAACCATGATTCGCTGAGGATCTGCGGATAAATATGAGTATGATTCTTTTTCTGCTCAACAAAGGACATACCAGGTCGCTTTAATATCCGAACAGCTTCGCCAGACAGGCCCATTGCTATTTCTCCAGGGCCTTCCGCTTCACCTTCGCCATCCCATCCGGGACCTCGGTAGCCACGAACTAATTTACCATCCTTATCGAATTGGACAGCATGCTCAGCAGCCTTAGGGTCGGATGTATAGCCAACTAAAGTGACACGTTCGTCAACCTCCAAGACCTCGGAGTACAAGACAGATGGGCGCCTAATATTGAGGTCAAATATCTTCGGTCGCGATTGATTGCCAATGACAAGCAGGTCCTGGAGCACAGAACATGAGAAGAGGAATCGAAGGATAGGGACAAATAGGGACAAGTGGATACCTTGAAGCCCTTGGTGATTACAAGTGCATGCTTATGGCCTTTCCTTTCAAGTAGAGCATTTGTCGCGACGGTTGTCGAAAGACGAATGTAATCTGCAAGGGCAGGTTGGCGCTAGGTGCATATATGCACTGAATTTGCGACTCACCAATCTTGTCCGTTGGTACCTTCTGATCTTTCGTTGTGTTCTTGCCTGTCACTGCTTCCAGAACTCTTCGAATGCCCTCTGTTGGCGCATCCTTGTAGTTGCCTGGATCCTGTGATACTACGAAGAGTTAAACGGATTGAAACAAAAGATGTCACGCTACTTACAGAGCTTCACGACAATTTCCTTCCGTTCCTCTGGATTATCCGGATCAGGATATGATCTAACTTCGAGTTAGGCCTTCGAATGCGCGATAGAGACTGTAATGTAGGACTTACGCATGAACATCACAGAACGTTCCTCCTCTATCAGCACAGATGCGTATACTTCGATCTGGTATACGAGCCATCGTTGAGAGCGGTGGTTGAAGACTGAATTCACCACACGCCCAGAAATTTTATGACTTCATGATAAGCCGGAATCGACACGGAACGTCATTGGTACACTCAGCATCAAACGGATTCAATTCCGAGGTACTTGTATTATCTAATGTCTTAAGCATGGCTCCCATAAAATCTCCTTACAGATAGAGCACATAAACTAGCTCCTTATCTCTTGGACATATTTGTTTAAAGGTAGGCGAGGTTCATGATGCAGAGTATGTAGAACTAACAAAGCACTTCTCACCATCTAAAAGCAATAAAATTCATTATCGCCTGTTGTTTCTGCCAGTGCTCGACGTACAGAAGCTCGATCGCAGCAGGAAAATTTCGGTTGCATGTAGAGAGTTTTGAGCATAGGACACAACTATAATCACATATGGCATGGTAGGCAATATCTCCAACGCCAGTCGACCTCCAAACGTTGGATCGGAGCAAAATAGTATGAAGCTTAATGGCCTGCACGCCTGCTCTCCTGGATGATTCCACCAAGTTCCTCTAGCTTGCGTTTCGAGCGGAGTAGCGTCCCAAGCTAAGTAAAGCAAGATACAAATTCATTAGAAAAGACGGATATGGACATGCATAATCTAGTCGGCACGTACACGTTTTTTGGTAAGCTTCCTCGCCCGCTTGTCTTTTGAGTTCCTCAGCAATTCCATAACCCGACGCTCATACGGAGCGAATCCTGCCACTTCACGAACAACTGAGCGCACAAAAGTGGTGCGTGTTGACCGAACGCCCTTCTTATGCGAGGGCTTGACGGACTTTGGAATAGCAGTTGTTGGGTGACCCTTGTTGAGCCCACGGCGGGTGTCTGTACCGATAAACAGAAAGTTAGAGGCCAACATGTATACACCTGAAATACTAGGACCCACTGTTTCGTGCCATTATTTCGCAGCGTCGAGAGTCTTCAAGCCAACTATATAATACGACACGCACCGAAACTTCGATGTTCAAGCGTGCGAAACAATTGACTGTCATCTGTACAGCACTATATCCACGTGATCAATTGCTGAATAAGCAAAGTTTACGTTCTTTATTCCCCTTTATGTACCATTTACGTAGTGTTCAAAGTAAAGAATCCCGAAGTGTAGGGACAGTAAGGATGGAGCACAAACAAACAGAAAGCAAGTCGGAAATTGCAAATGTTAAAAAAATACTCTAATCTCCACTAAGCGTGAGGTACACTTCGCACGACCTTTACCCGTTGCCCTCCACCGAGCCCACTGAGCGACTTTCCATAAGAAAGGGGAGTAGACTGCTGAATAGGCTCTTGTCTTGTTCTCGATGTCGCCTGAGGGCTAACCGTAGCTACTGATGACGAAGCTGGTGGCGATGAAGCTACAGATCCGTGAATAGGTGTGGGTGGGCGCAGCGTCCTTTGGCCACCTGAAGATGATGCAGCACTTGCTTGTCTTCGGCCTGGTACAACACCTGAGCCTCCAATAGCAGGCGCGTTCTCATCGCCCTCCTCTTCCTCCTCTTCCTCTTCATCATCGTCCTCGCCAGCAGCGTCCTAGTGATATAAGTGATTAGTATACATAGCCAGAACATCATATTTCGATCAAGAATACGTACAGGATCAAAGTCTTCTAAAGGACCCATCTCCTCTTCGTCATCAGTATAACCATCATCATCGCTCGTAATCCATCTCCCTCGCCAATCAACTTGATCAAGTTCAGATGCGCTCTCCGGTCGCAATCGGAGCCATCGCATTCGAGGACCGCTTTTCGCCCGCTCGCTTACTCGGAACCCATATATCTTTGGTGTGTATACCTTCCCAGCAGCAGGTTTTTGCCCGCCATATGGGTTGGGATTGACAAAGTTCTGAGTCGAAGAAGTTTGTGAGCCAGTTGGTGATCGAGTGGATGAACCAGCATTTGGAGGAGTATAGAACGGTGCAGGAGCGAATTCACGATACGTCTGGAAGAAAAGATGGGCAAAAGTAGTGCCAAAGAATGCACCTATATCGTCAAAAGTATTGTTCAAGTAGCTGTTGGCACGTAACCACACAATACAAGCGTACCATCAACGCCCTGGTATCGACTACTTGGAGGGGTATAGATGTCATTACAATTCGGGCAATATAGTTTCACAGTGTCAATTCCAGGTAGATCAGACCGCCCACAGGGTACAATATGGCATGAAAGACAGTAAACGCGTGGACAAGTGCCAAATTGACCCGCTTCATACTTCTCTGCCTGAGAATATGCATATCAGACTAGTCCAGGTATCACAATATGATATTGTGACTCTAACGTACCATAGCATGTAGACCAGCTCGAGTTAGAATGTACCTCTGATGAACCAAGCCGTAGAGGAGCTCGGCAGAGGCCTCGACAATCGACACATCCGGTATTTTCAGCGAGTCTTCTTCTAACACGAACTGCAATTAGCCACAAGCTAGACAACCAATATGATTGCGGATACAGCAACACACCAGGTTCGACATCCAAGACCATCTCCATTGCCTCTTTCCAAAATGGCACCATGCTGTTCAATCCCGTCAAGTTGAAGTCATCTTCGATGAAGTCCTCGCTGACTTCGCAGAAATATTCGTGGCCAGGAAGAGCACAGAACCAGCTAATCCATGTTAATGATGATGTCGGAGTCGACGAAGCTACATATAATGAAGGAAAAGAAGTATGTGAGATAAATGGCTCCTGGTGACAGGACCTAGTCTGGTCTGATGAGTCGCGATTCACGCGTGCGCGGCTACTCACCGTATCCTTCTTGCTCAACGTCCTCCTCCATTGCTTCACCACCCTCTACTACCTGGTTTTGCAGCTCGTCTTCCCCTGCAGCCACTCTAGAGTCTGGCGGAGACAGGAGTTGCTGTTGTTGTTGTTGTTGAGGTCGTGGCATGTCGTAGGAGGTGTTGATGAAAGGTGAAGATATAGAGAGCGATTACTATAATTAGTGCAGACACGCGGATTCCGCGTCATGCCTTTCTGGAATCCCTTGTGTTTTCCGGGCACTACTTACAAGGTCTAGAAGCACACGCGATCAAGCAGTTCTCTAAGTCATACGAGCCACGGGTTCAAGTCTATTGTACAAAGGTACACTGCGGCAAAAATACAGACACGACATTAATGTAACAGTAGGTAGAGTAGGACCGTGACGTTTCCGTTAAAACTGAACACAACCGCATAAATACGGCGTCCAACACATAATTACATCACCTGCGCTTCCGTGCCTTCACTTTGGGCACAACCGTCGTACCCTAAAACAATCACAAGACATCCCTCTTATTCAGAAATGACCTGTAAAAGCGAATTGCTGAGCGATATTCTCACCTTTGGATCTTGTGCAGAACCGTCACTATTCCTTGATAAAGTACGAGTGGCCGTTTTCGTGCGGCGCAGTGGCCGTGCCCTCTCTGTTTCCTTAACGGTCGTCTCAGTGGTATCACGTTTGCGCTTCGAAGCAACAAGATCAGTAAGGGCAATATCGTCGTCGCTTGCTTGAATGGTGTCGGATGGATCAAGCGTTCCCTCCGAAAGTTTGGCAAAGGTCGGGGCATGCGGTGGCGAGATACCAGCCTTCTTGGACTTTACGGTTTTAGTCTTGTTTACAGATAACACCGCATTAGGTTTGATACTCGACACAAGGGAACTTAGAATTAGTGATGGTTCATCGGGTCCAGCTTCAGTCTCCGTCAATGTTGTCTGCTCATGTCAGATAGAACAAAAGTAGCAGTTATGGCTTACTTACAGGGCGGTCCCTATCAGGAGCCTTAGCAATTGCCTCCCCGGTCTGAGGGCTAGTCGATGCCTGAGAGGACATCCAGGCCTCGTCAATTAGCGAACGCGGACCATTAGGATCTGGTGTCACTCTTGACCTCGCCTGCGGTGTCGGTCAGAACAATTCATTGAGCCATCAGTTGCAACTCGCCTGTACATTCAGGAGCCGCGCAAGTTGCATTTCAAGTTCTGCCTTTCGCTTCCCCAGTTCCTTAATTGCGTTGTCCCTCTGGGAAGATCTCGTTAGAAGGTATTCTTCATATGTTTGTCCCTACGAACCTGACGAATTTCATTTCCTTTTGCCACCAATTGCTGCTCATGACTTGTCTGTGTTGTACGGTGAATCATTTCGATCAGTTTCTTCTCTCCCGCCGACTGCGAGACAAAGTCAGTTTCATGGGTGAAAAATTTTGCCCCTCCCTACCAGATCTCCCTTCTCGTATCGTAAGATAATAGATCCAGCACGCTGAGCCTGCACTTCATTCGCTTTTTGCAACTCATCGATTCTGCTCGTCAGCTTGATGACCGCTTCGATCTGCGCTTGAGACGGCAATTTGGCTTCTGAAAGTTCCTTCTGAAGATTGTTAGACTCCTGTTGCACACCGTGCATTTTCTCGTGAAGTGCCCGCGCTTCGTCTTTAGAAGAATCTAGCTCCCTCTGTAATCGTGCTACTTCTTCCAACTTTGCGGCTAGATTCTCCTTAATCTCTTTCACTTCCTGCGCATGTTTAGTCTCGGTATCTGACAGCACCGTTGAATACTCGTTCGTCTTGGCCTTGAGTTGCGCTTGACTATCACGCAGGAAGCCTTCAAGTGTACGAAGTCGCTCGTTTAGATTAGTAACTTGAGCATCTGTGTTCCTCCTTGCGTCTTCAATTGCTCTCTAATGCCAAGGAATTAACAGCAGTCCTCAAATACGATCCAAGGCAATGGTCAAACTACTCACGGCGCAGGATGCTTCAACGGACAGGAGGCGCTCCTGAACAGAAGTTAGAATACGTAAACAAATAGGTCGCTACTGTAAGGCACCTGAGCATCGCCATGGGCCTTTTTCTCCATTTGCAGCATCATAGACTGATCTTCGAAGCGCTCCTGCAGGGCCTTATTGCCACGCCAATATGAATTTTTTTTTCTTCGTAGATAAGAGAAGAACAAACCTCATTTCGCGTCTCCGATTGTCGCAACCTACAATGTACGAATGAGCGTGTCGTGACAGGAGAATCCCAGAACACGTACTTGATCCTGCAATCTTCTATATCCGTTTTGATGACATCCAGTTCAGCCACCAGAGCCGCTTCGCTCGCCTTCAAGGTATCATTGTCGTTGATCAGCTTTGTTCGAAGTTCATACTCGGCTTGGACTTGAGTACGACAGGCATCAAGGTCCTGTTCAAGGTGTTGACTTATCGTAAGCTGATTTGCCGTGTTCGTCTCAAATACTGCGAGGCTGGACAAAAGATTAGGTAAGGGTAAAGGAGATCTTCACTTCTTAACTTACTTTCTCTGTAAGGTCTCAATTGATGCACTTTTCGTGCTTTCACTGGCCTCCAGGGCGATGATCCGTGATTCGCGGTCTCTCAGAAGCTCTTCCACTCGAGAAAGTCTTTAAGACGAAGAGTCAGTGAGACTATGGGCTCAGGACTGCAGTCCGCATCACCTCTCTCGACTGCAGCGGAGCGACTTGACTTCCATGGCCCTCTCCTCTGCTAAGGTGCGGTGCTTTTCCAGTCTAAAGACAGAGCGCCGTAACATCAGAGTTAGAAAACTGTACGGAGCTTCATGACGAACTCTCTTTGTAGGGCGGTGATAGACTGTACTTCGGCTTCCTTTTGAGAAAGACGCTGTTTGAGCTCTGCGATTCTGCAAAAAATGTCAGGCGTTTTCTCCAATATGTATGCATTTGACACACTGTTTCGCAGAGGTGGCGACGGCGGCTTCCAGCTCCGCATTTTTTGACACGAAACTCGCATTTTCTTGTTGCTGGGCGCGAAGCAGTGAGGCCAGCTCACCGGTTCTCTTTCCTGTCGACATATGGTATACGATGAGAGCTTTCTTTGCATACATCAACTTCGTCACCTGTATCACTTAATTTTTCCGACATTGAATGTAGGGCATTGCTGTGCTGGGTGTGTAAACCTTCTAATTCTGCAACTCGATTCTTAGCCTCCGCGAGGTCTCCTTGAGCACATTCCAAGCGATCTCGAAATATGTCAATGATCTGCTGCTCTACAATTAAGCGTTAGATTAAGTAAATGCGTTGACGAAAAGACCTTACTATTCGTCATTTCTGCTTGCAGTTCGTTTAAAACGGATTTCCAGCCTTGGGTTGGAACATATGATCCGTCTTCACCGATTGAAGCTTCGAGCTCTGCCCTCTTATAAACTCACTTGCCTCTCTGTAATTCAAAACTTTACATACGGTCCACAGATTTCTGAATTTCCTCCTTCAGATTCTTGACATCCGGTAAAGACGCTTCTGCTTCTTGAACAAACGAGAAACATTCTTCCGAGCGGGACTTGAGAGATTGGGTTTGGGAAACTATGTCGTTCAACCTAAATGTATAAGTGAGCAAACAAATAGGTGTGTATGATCTGGTAAACACGAAATTTCTCACTTCTTCGCCTGAGACTCCAATTCGGTCTTGGTCTTCTCCTTGATTACAGCAGTTCGTTTCAGCAAGTCGTCTTTTTCGGAAGTCCTCACGACAAGTTCTTCTTCCACACGTTGTAGTGCTATGGTCTGCGCAAATGTGAGTAGAAAATTCCCGTAAGGTCAATGTATGCACTTTTTCTTCAAGAGCACGCTTCGCGTTGCGCAAATCTGTCGCTCCTTTATACATGAGATCCGACAAATCATCACCGGACTGGCCATCAGCCGACATCACTTTAGGAGAGCTTTTTGAAAGGCTATCCCGAGAATTAATATTTTGTAACGACGAACGAAGTCTGGAGATTCTTCCTTGATCGCCTTCATTAGAATCAGTGGTGAGAGAACGTCGGTGTGGAGTTGCCGCACGGTAATCTGAGACCTTCCATTTAGCCAAAGCAGCCATAGAATCATTGTGAGGGTCGAAGTGTCCGCTTGTTTCTGCATCGAAGGGTGAGGAAAAACCACCCGACTCCCTCTTGAGCAATATCTTCTTAGACGAGTTTCTGGCGTAGCTGTCAGGCTCCATCAAGTCCCCAGTGCCATCCGAGCAGCGGCTCTCATCAGCAGAGAACACTTTTTGGGTATTTCCGGTAGTTTGGGTTTTAGACGCAGCAGAAACATATTGCGGATGACGCGCAAGAATTTCACTGGAGTTAATGAAAGGTGGCCGCGATGATGAAAAGTGCTCTTGCGTAAACGAAGCTGAAGAACTCCCGTGTCCGCCTCTATTCAGGCTAAAAGTGTCCTCGGAGTACTTGCAATCCTGGGTGTCTACAGCTTCTACAGGAGCATTTGCGTTATAAGTTGAACTTGAAAGCTTTGAAAATTGCTGTCGAGTAGAAGCATTGTCCACTTTTGGGGCAGACGAGAAAGGAGAAGTGCCGAGCGTAAAAACACGTGGAGAGCCTGGTATAGCGCTGTACGAGCGCCTCGCCCTCCGGAGCAACGGACTGTTGTCAGCATTCATGGTTATGGTTGGAATCTGGGGTAGTCGCCATCATTCAGAGTTTATAAAGTCCATTTTAAGCTGTGCACGTGAAGTCATCCCGTGACTCGCCGAATCATATCGCGACTTCGGAACGTAAACCGCGCGTATGCCTTCGGGCTCGACTGCTACACACAAACCTCCAGGTGAACGGCATTCAAGGGTATTTTGTTATCGTTCTTCTTGACGGATGGCTTGTTATTGACCTGAACCTCTGTAGCCCAATACTCCTGTCCTCCTAGGCCTCGCGCTGGACTTGCATGTGTTGCGCTTTTGTTTCCAATTCTGGTGGTTTGAACATCCATTTACGTTAGGTCAGTAACTCTGGCTAATGTTAGCGTACGCTTCATCACATTTATTACTTTTCTGCAGTGTACATTATCAGTTTTTCCCGTCCTACTCGATTATGAGGCGCTCAAGAGAGAGAGGTAGACCCACATCTCCCAGAAGACTGACAGAGTACGAAGGCCAAACCAATGGGCATGGAGACCACTACCCAGACGATGAGTCAGATGCTCCTCCTAGCGAACCGTCTAGTTCTTCGTCCCTACTTAACGACCGAGTTTCGGCGAGTGAGCGGATTGTGCCCTCTTCTGAGTCGATGGATGAGGTCGCGTCATTCGGCCCGCATTTCTCAGCGAAGCGACATCTATCCTGCGGCAATCCACACTCGCGCATCAATCTCTCCAATTTCACGTCTTGGAAGAACAGGAACAGGTTGAAGACGACGAATGCTGCACTCGTGGTTTGTCTGAATATCGATGTGGATCCGCCTGATATCGTCAAGACTAATCCGTGCGCGGTTCTTGAATGCTGGGTCGATCCGCATAGCTTGCCCTCTAATAAGGCGTTGGAAGCCATCGGAAATAATTTGCACCATCAGTTTGAATGCCTCAGTCCCCGGATCAAGTTCAAACCGTATCTCGATCCCTCATACGAAGAGACTCAAAAGTTCTGTCAGAATTTGCGAAAGGTGGCAAAGGACGACCGTTGTCTGTTCTACTACAATGGCCATGGTGTTCCAAAACCGACACCTAGTGGTGAATTATGGGTTTTCAACAGAAGCTATTCGCAATATATTCCGGTATCACTCATCGAAATTCAGAACTGGCTTGGTTCGCCTTGTGTTTACATCTGGGATTGCTCGGCCGCGGGTAATCTTCTAACTAACTTCATCAATTTCGCGGAGAAGAGAGATGCTGACGCTATGATGAAACATGGTGGGTATCCCGACGGCATGATGCCCTTCATGGAGTCTATACAACTTGCTGCTTGCCTCGCTCACGAGCAACTTCCGATGAATCCCGAGCTCCCAGCAGATCTTTTCACGTCCTGTCTGACTTCCCCGATGGATATTGCCCTCCGTTGGCATCTTATTAGCCAGAATCTGCCTGATAATATCACGTACGATATGGTCCAGAGAATTCCTGGAGATCTCAAGGACCGTAGGACTCCACTGGGCGAACTGAACTGGATATTCGTTTCCATCACAGATACTATCGCATGGACTACTTTTTCGGAAGATATATTCTACCGCCTATTCCGGTCCGATTCGTTCGTTGCTGTTCTCTTCCGCAATTTCCTCCTTGCAGAACGCATTATGAAGAATTACCACTGCACGCCTCATACATACCCGCCTTTACCTCCAACCAATACCCACCCGATGTGGTCACAATGGGACTTAGCTGTTGATGCTGTTTTGCGGCAACTTCCAGACCTCCTTGGTAACGAAGAAAAGAATGGAGGCGTAGTAGCGGCGTCGAACTCGGAAGCCTCATATACTTATATTCCGAGCAGATTTTTCGTAGATCAGCTCACTGCCTTTGACCTTTGGATCTCTCGTGGAGGTTCTGCTCTTACGAAGCGCGGTCCAGCATCGTCGACTGTGGCAACAGCGGTGGAGGGCGTCGGCACAATTGATCAAGGCGAAGGATTGGAGAACCTTGTGCCGCGTAAACCTCCAGAACAACTCCCTATCGTCTTGCAGAATATTTTATCTCAGCCGCATAGACTACGCGTACTCTATCTTTTAGCGAAATTCGTAGACCTTGGCCCATGGGCGGTGCACTTCGCACTGACGATTGGAATTTTCCCGTTTATTGTTAAGCTCTTGCAAGCGCCATCCAGGGAGCTCCGACCAGTGCTTCTTTTCATTTGGGCGAGAATATTAGCTGTCGACCCGAGCTGCCAGACTGACTTATATGCGAATCACGGATACAAATACTTTGCAAATTCCCTCGCTCTCCCAGATGACCCCTCTGGTACTATTGCGAATAGCGCGGAACACCGAGCGATGTGCTGCTTTGTATTATCCGCTATTGTTCGAGGCTTTCCGCAAGCTCAAAATGCGTGTTGGCAAGAGCGAGTCTTTGATAATTGTTTCGAACGATTGGATGAGGAGGATTTCTTGCCTAAGCAATGGATGGCGCTGTGCATCGGTCAGATGTGGGACGGTAACGATGATATCAAGATATATGGTGTGGACCGAGGTACACAGGACAAACTAATTGGAATGCTTTCTGATCCATCACCTGAGGTACGGGCTGCTGCTTTATTTGCTTTGGGCACTTTCATGGGAGCATCTGGGTCATCTGATGCTAACAAGAGGGGAGGCGGCGGCACAGGAAGCATGTATCATCTTGACGAGAGGACGCATTTCCGGCTGGAAGTAGCAGTCGGAACCGGTGCAGCTCTCACCACGAGAGACGACGCAAGTCCAATGGTTCGGAAAGAGCTTTTGATCCTGCTTAGCTGTCTGGTCAAGGAATGGCGAGGTTACTTTGTCGTCGTCGCTTGGCTATACTGGGAAGAAGAGCGGAAACGCATGGCAAGCCCCTATACACGTTTCTCGCATGGAGAGGATATAACGAATTCGGCTATTCAAGAATGGCTCGATAGCTTGGGCGATGATGATGCCTATCGTGAAGACAGTCGAGTTCTTATGTCTTCATTCTACACAATTTATGTATTCCTTCTGGAACTGTCAGTCGATCCGTATCCTGAGGTCGCGGCATATGCCCAGACCATTGTCGATTATATCATGGCCCTTCTCCTTGAGTCTCCTTTCACTCGGCTTGATCAGGCGACCTTACATTTTCCTCCACCCGCACGAGGGCAGCGGGCCATGCAGGACGTACGACCGCGGTTGTCATCCCAGCTATCACCATCTGCGGCGTCTTTCTCCCAATCTGCGCGTAACCCATTGACACGCAGTGAATCCGCGACAAGTGCTATATCTTCTCAAAGCTCTACTCTGATGAAGCGGACAGCATCAATCGCAAATTCGTTGAAGAATCTTGCTAACCAATACGCATTCCCTTCTTCTGGAGATGATACGGTTGGTTTGACCTCACAAGCGGGCCAGAAAAATCGATATGACACCATCGACTTGTCTTGTCCCCCATCTCCCAATCTTAACCACGCTGAGTATGCCTCACCTTACCCGGTTGAATCTCCGGATACTGCCAGTCCGACCGTTACTACGGCTCAGAACGGGGGACATTCACCATGTGATTTCCTGGCATCCGATGTAATGGAGGCCCTTATCGAGGAAGACATGGAACGTCTTAGGAGTAGGCGTCGCAAGAAAACGCAGCAGAGGCATTATCAACAATATGCCCACAACTCCGAACCTTTGACTAGTCCATCTGGTAGTACATTCTCTCACGATTCTGCGAGTAGTGCGGCAAGTATCTTGCTTGGTCTCGGGACAGGCGCTGGCTTTAAAGACGTGCTTCCACTGAAGAGCCGATTCTATGATTGGTGCTGCGAGTACTTTACGGAAACACAGATGCGTCAACCAGAAGCACAAGAACCGGGAAGCATACAGTATAACGAGCAAATGTGGAGGCAACAAAGGAACGAGAAACTCGAGGAAGAAACTCTAGCTCAGGCTGATTTGGCTAGTAAGTTCCATATAATCGTACACACGCTAACATAACTTTGTTTAACGAGCATGGCGCAGGGCACTGCAAATGGGATAGACCAATCACAAGCATACCGCATAACGGTCCTGTTTCTAAACTGGTCTTCCACGGCTACGACACACACCTCTTCGTCGCGAACGATTCAAATATGATCAGGTTTGTTATGCCTTCTTTTTTTTTGGCAACGCCTTGAACTAAATCACATAGTGTATACGATTGGTCGCGTCGCGAGCGGCTGTTGCTCTTTAACAACGGCAATCCTTCCGGAACGTCCATTACTTGGTTAGGGTGCATTAATCAAGACGTTGGCGGTATCATTATGTCTGGTTCTTGTACGTCTTAATCTAATTGTCTGTTCTCTTTCCTAACATCTCTTTCCTCTCAGCGGACGGAATCATTCACATGTATCGAAACTATGATACCACATATAAGGACAGGCCCTTGCAAATGGTCACATCGTTCCGAGCGCTCAGCAATATGATACCCATGAAGCGAGGGAGCGGATTAGTTCTTGACTGGCAACAGAACCAAGGCGTAATCATTGCTGGAGGTGATTCGAGAAGCATTCGATTATGGGATGCAAATCGAGAGATTGCGAGCTTGGTATTCGATTCAGATTGCTTCTTCTGCAATGTTGACTCACCCTACCACTCAGGAATTCCTAACGCAATCAGAGAGCCCAGTCACGTCTATTGCTTCGGATCCCAACTGCTCTTCAATGTTTGCGGCAAGCTTTGCCGATGGCAGCATACAAGTTTATGATAAGCGTCTCGATGAAGAAGATGCTGTGGTAAGATCATACAGTGGACATTCTGCATGGGTGCAGGGTATTCGTTGGCAGAAAGGTGCAGCGAGAGATTTCCTATCAGCAGGGTAAATTTGAAGCTTCATCATACCTTGTCAGGTACTGATACTGCATGTTTTAGGGTGGATGGCGAGGTGAAACTCTGGGATATGCGTCGAGGAAGGTCTTCCATCGCTTCTTGGAACCTTTGTCGAGATGGCCTAGCTAGTTTTGCCGTTCATGAGCAATGCTCCGTGTTTGCTGCGTTCGTGTGCTACCTGTGCTTTTCTATGAACACTATCTGACTCTCATTCTTCTAGGTTATCCTCACTTTCCGCAACACGTTACCGTGAACAAATGGCCTACATCCATTCACATCACGCCCTTCCTCCCAACCAGCCTGTCCTCCTTTCCCGATTCGCTGTCCCTTCGGGCTTGCATTACCCTCCACAGCGGGACATGTCATCAATTCCTCCTTCGAATCTCGCTTTCCATCCACACGAGATGATCTTAGGTGTCGGCGGTGTAGAAGGCACCATCCGCCTAATGGGCTGCAAGCTCGTTGAACAAGCCGATCAATCATATCGGGACTCGGTGTATACACCATCCACAACACAGAATGGTGGTGCTGCTGGATATTTCTCGTCTGTTCATTCTATGACTCCGTGACTCTACTATCTATTCCGTGTTTTTTATTTCACTTTCATCATTTTCTCTCCGCTTTGTACTATCAGCTTGTTTTACTGTACGCTATTTGTATACCTTGTCTAATTTCAACCACTAACTGTCACTTCTGCGTCACAATATACACATTCGGGAACAAAAATTATTCGACATGGTCGTTGAGTCAACTGACAAGAACAAAGACGGTACAGAACTTAGTACATCTCTTGGTCGAACAGGGATCAGCATGGTAGCAAGACGATACATCAGCGACAATTTCAATGAATGAGAGGTATTCTTCAACTGAGTAACACGAGCGCACAAGAATACTCGAAAAGAAAAGAAAACCGTTCAAGAGAAGTACATAGTCGTCGTCGCTTTCTGGTGCAGCGGTTTGAATTTGCTCTTGTACGACTCGAGGATCGTATTAAGCTGTTCGTCGCTTGTCTGTGTATCGGTGTCCGAGAAGTTGAACCCGTCCGCAGCCTGAGGGTCGAAATGGTTCTTGGCACGAGAACAGACAATGTCGGCATCTGGAATATATTTTTAATATCAAAGAAGCTATAATGTAAGGCACAAATAACTTACAGTAGACTGGAGCAGGGATTGACACCGAGCGAGTCGAACGAGCATAGACGTGACACAACGCGAAGGATAGCTGCTGTATTCCATCCGGCCTAACAGTAATAACAACCGGAAATCAGCCAACTGATGAAAAAAACATATTCAGAAAAGGCACTACTGACGTAAACTGATTCTCATCCAGCAAAACATTATAGTGGGCCGGTCGACTAGTGCCAAGCAAACCTCCATGGCTCTGAAGATAGAAATCAAATTCCGCTGGGTTTGTGACGTCCCGATCAACCACAGTGCCAGCAGGGCAGTTGCCGGATTTGTCGGCCTCGCTTGGCGACATAGGGAAGAAACGGACGTGGTGTCGCTTGCCAACAACGATTACTGTAATCTTCGGTGGTGGGTTGATTCCCAACTGCTTGCATGCCTCTGGGAAAGGAGGATGAGAAAAATCGAATGTCTGATCTGCTAGCATAGCTTACCTCTCAACTTAGGCACCTCTGCAAGTCAATAGTCAGTACTTGATTGCATCTGATGGAAAGACACCACAAACCTAGATCAATGACTTGCTGGAATTGACCTTCTGACACACCATCTGTAGCGGATGACTTAACACGATGGCCAGCAGCATATGTATGTGAAGAACATACCACGGTAGAATATTATCCGCTTCGGGTCGGCGTTGCTTTTCTTCTCAATGATTCGACGACGCTTGCGATACATGTCGATAATATGCTGAGATCCGTCAGTTTCGTACTGATGTTTGATTGAAAGTATCAAGCGACGTACCTTAGCCATTTCCTCGAGATCATCAATCATCTCTCTACGAGAGGTCTGGAATCAAGTAATGTTAGAAAGCTACATCATGAAATAGAGCACTTGCTTACCTGTACACGCATTGTTGCGATGTACATGGCTGAAGTCGAATCAACGTTTCCGACAACAGAAGTGAACGACGGCCGGCCTTCGGAGCCTGGTGCAGGGTGAATAACATCGGCGCCCATCTACAAGGAATTTAAGCGTTTGGCGAAGCCGAAATGGTGGCCAAACGTACGACAATTGTTGGGTTGGTATCATCTGTCAAGTGATTGACAGAGGCAGCTATAGAATATACAACGTAAAAAAGGTAGTGTCTGATGAATTGTGGAGCTGAACTTACGATCAGGAATGGCATTGATTCCACCTACAATCAGGGCATTGTTCGTAAGATCATGCATAAAGAGCAACTTTGTAATTGAGGTCCTCACCGAGTTTGACATTTATCCTGAGATTAGATGTCAGTTCAGAGAATGATAGCGAAAGTGAAAATATACAGACTTTAGAGCAACATTTGCATAGTACTGTGGCTTTGCACGGAAGCATTTACTTGACTTGAGGCACTGCGTTGCAACCCCAGTCTACACAACCATATTTTAGCTGACAGTCCTAAAATACACATGAGAAACTTACAACACAATCACCAAAGCTAGTACAATCAGAGTTAGTAAAACTAATGTATACATGATCAAGAAGCCACTGACTGTTTTATGCTCTGAAGAGTATGATATTGGTCAATTTGCCACCAAAGTAAGGAGGGTAAGTACATACCGTGTAAATGTCAGTCCCACCCTCAGGCAAGACAGCGACAATGAGAGTGGGTAACTTCCCCTCTCGTTGGGCAATATGGCTTTTACCAGCCTCCCTGAGTTGCTACTCACCAATGAGACGCAGCTTCTTTTAAATAAATAAAACCATTACATACGTCCATGATTCGGCCTTGTCCACTATAATAGAACACTGGTGGGTTTGTATCCTGACACGCAATTCCTATTAACCAGGCAAGTTAAAATTGTATTAATTTGCAAATCTCCGAACCAACACGATGCATACAACGTACCGACTTCACGAACACTCGCTAAAAGGCCTTGGATCTGCAGACCATGAACACGGAGTTTGAAGCACAACGCTACAGCAAAGACATACCATGTTTCTTGCATTTTCCCTGGAGAATCTTCGTTCCTGCTCGTAAACAACAACCATCCAACCCGCAACAGCCGTGGGATGATAAAATTGTTTGTCAATCATCTAAAAACATCTCGTTCATGATCAGTCTCTGCATCAAAAGTCAATTTCTTACGTTCCATGCCCCGTCCCGAGGTGTCTGATAAGGAGATCAGGGCAGTGATTATACAAATGTACGACACAATGCTCACGATCGTCTGTGTGCGGCTTCTCGCCCCATATTTCAAGGTCGGAGGGTTCAAAACACGGGCCTGCACTTTCAAAGGGCCAGGGTTTGGCTTCATTCAAACGTCAACAAGATCAATTTCCTTTTGAGTAACCGATGGTAGCAACCCATATACTCACGTCCATGTGCATTCCGAATTGACGAACGTATTCCGACTGGCCATAGCTGAGAACGCTCAGCCCGTTGCGGATGCTTTGAAGGCGTTCATTTGGGCGCTTTGTCGCAAACTCGAGGACCTGTTTCGTCTTCTCCGGCTAGAGTAGAGGGTGTTATGAATTCGATGAAGTTGACGCATTTTCGCAGTACACTTACAGGAACTTGCTTCCTCATGATTTGGCCCTCGGGTACCACGCATAGCTCAATCGGAATGAGTGCACCAGAACCGACCTCAACGCATGGCAAATCGGGATACTGAAGTGACCGTCCTAGTACCCGTTGGAAATACTGAGCAACGCGCATTGTACCGCCCTCACGAGTGTTGAACTGCAAATCGCTTGCACTGGCAGGGGAGATCTTCTTTACAACACGCGGTGTCCTCGAAGTACGACCTGATTGGTCAGGGTATGTTGTCAAGATACGAATTCCGGATATGAAGCGCTGCAGACGTAGACGCTCCCGCTCCGGAAACTTGTGCTTTGAGTCCGCCTTCAGGGTTAGGGCGTACGGTTTATCTTGGCCAAGATACTCTAGGCAAAGGTCGAGGAGTTTACCCGACTTGTACCTAGCCTGATGTCAAGAGTGCACAAAGGTACTACTTAGTAAACTCACATTGCGCCAGTCGAAATATCAACATTTATTAGCATTTTCCCAACTGCTGGCCGAACCGACCTGAGAGAAACATAATTAATACGCAAAGAAGAATGGAAGAGATGGTCTTACTGGAAATAGCCCCTCCATAGTTCAATACCGAGACCAATCTCCTGCTTTTCTTGAGAGGTGAAAAATGACCGAACATTAAATGGGTACTTCCTAGAAGTGCAAGCTAAGCAGACGGTAACAGATACGATCACATAGAAAGACATACTGCGTGGGCTCCATTCGGATAACCACGTTCAGCGCCTTAAAGGGAAACATAAGCGCCTACAAAAACACGGCGGAGGAAGGAACAACTCACGGTGATCGCAGTCAGGACGTCATTGTCGTGACTCTGCTTGCCCTCTAGGAAGCGTTCCAGAACACTGGAACGATAAATAAGGAAAACCGATCCCGCAGCAGCAGAGAAGAGGTAAATTACACAGGATTGATCTCCGCAACCTTGTTCAGTTTAATCTTGTACGTTTTTGGGCCCCTTGCATCCGGTGAAGCCTGCATGTCTGTTGTGCGAGTATCGGCAAGAGATACATCAAACTAGGAGAGTATGGTAAATACTGTGAAGGCCGGAACACTGGGAGCTATATGCACCTCGCAATTATTCTCGCCGTTCGGAAATTTCAATGTGGTGGCCGCAAAGAGGTTTTTGCGCCCGTCGTATACGGCCCTCGGAGTAAAGATATTTGGAGCGACGACCGTCTGTAGGTGAGTAATGAGGTCCATGTTGAGACGAGCAGGCAGGACTTTCTCAGATGGCGTGATGACTAGTCATTGAATCGAGCTTGTATCAACGCCGCATTGTGTTTGTTATTACATTTACGCACCGACTATACAAAGAATGACAGGCTCAGCAGCTATATTGAAAGACTTCCAGGAAACTCACCATCGTAGTGAGAGATGACTCCCTGGGGAATCGATACGGCGAAATGATTGGTATGAACATATCTGACCGTACCAGAAGTACCGTATGCCGTGCGCTTTACGCCGATGGTTGATATGTGCGAGCTCGCTGCAGGCGCAGCGCTACCTTGGGACGACGAGCTACTACGTATGATTGGGCCTCCTCGCGTTGGAGGACCTCCCCTACCTGGCGGACCTGCCCTACCTCGGGAGGATGAAGATGGTATTCTAGGAGGCATTCGAAAACGTACAGAGAGCTAACAGTAAGGGTGCAAGAGAGAGAGAAAGAGAGATGTGGGTTGTGAAGTTGAAAGGCGAAGGAAGAAAGAAATAGATATGGCTTAAGAAGGGTGGCGCGAAAGACGTAGAGAACGTATGCAAAGGCCAATCGGGAGGGGATCGATTGCGATTGAACTTTATGAACAAAATCAGTCACTGGCTTGCCAACTCTGATGGGCCCCAGCGCCAAATAGCTGCTTTCAGAGATAACGCGGCGACCGGATATTCACACAGGCGATCGAGTCAGTGCGCCAGCACGCCATAGTCTATTCATTTTCGCGGATGCATGTCTCTCTCTCTCGATGGACTTTCAGCAAATGTGGTCAAGCGACGATCATTAATGGTCACGTGCACGTTCTAGCCTTCCCTGACAGTGACAGTGAGTGCGTCATTTTCTTAAATAATTTTCCTCGTGCATATACGCTGCTGTTTTTACTTGCCTTGTGGTACTAGTTATACGGCACTGGGAGGTCGATTCAGAATGTCCGCCTTCCTCGCCCTCATAGACAATGCCGATGCCTCTCTTATTTGGCCGCTGTCCCGAATAGCTCCACTGATTCTCACAGCCGATGCAGCATCGCAGAACACGTTGCCTGCAAATGCATCGTACTTCGTCCTTGCAGAGCATGACTCGTCTGCAAACCTTGACGATGTTGTATCCTGGCTCGACAATGGCGCAGACAAGGTCATCCTTCCCCTTTCATGGGCTATAGAACTTGCCGGAGTCCTTCCGCCAGAGCGCCTAGTGCTACTCCTAGATGTCGCGAACGTAAGCGCCGTCTCAGACAAGCTCAGAGCCGGCGTCTCTGGTGTCCTCGTCCGGACTCCAGCAGCGGATGCCGAATTCGTTTCCTCAATCTCGCGTTTTTTCACAGGCTCGGACATATATGTCCAATCAACTGCCTCCTCGCCTCCTTCTCTCCAAACAATTCGCCAACTTAAAAATGCGAACGCGACTCTCGTGCTACCGACTTCGCAACTATCTATCACTGATACATCGTCTTCTCATCTCAATATCGCAGATGCATTTCTCGCTCCAATTTCTACGGACCGGCCAGACGGCCTAATCCCGACCGTTGTTTCATCCTTTAATCAGGGTGGTAGATCACTGGGCCTCGTCTATTCATCGATTGAATCAATTAAGGAAAGCATCCTGACCGGGAGGGGCGTCTATCAGAGCCGTAAGCACGGACTTTGGAGAAAGGGAGAAACTTCAGGCTCAACCCAAGATGTTGTAAAAATATCCCTGGACTGTGACTCCGACAGTCTCGAGTTCAGTGTCATCCAACATGGAAAGGGATTTTGCCATTTGGATCGTCCGTCTTGCTTCGGTCGCCTTTCTGGACTATCCGCACTTGAGCAGACTCTACAGTCGCGACTTGAATCGGCGCCTGAGGGTTCTTACACGCGGAGACTATTCAATGACCCTGACCTGCTACGCTCCAAGATTATGGAGGAAGCCGACGAGTTAAGTACGGCGGAGACTAAGGACCAGGTCGCGTTTGAAGCTGCAGATCTCATTTACTTCGCCCTCACTCGCTGTGTCGCAGCCGGTGTCAGTATCGCAGATATCGAACACAATCTAGACAAAAAGTCCAAAAAGGTCACTCGGAGACCAGGCAACGCAAAACCACAATGGTCATCCAAGCCTCAAAACAACAACTCTACAACGCAAGATGGAGAAAAAGCGAACTCATCCAGTCCCGCCCCACTTTCACCAGACGAACCAATTCGAATGCGTACGACCTCGCTTGACGGAATATCTGCTACCGCTCGTGCAGAACTCCTCAAGCGTCCAGTCCTACGGTCCGACGAAATGATAGCAAAAGTCAAGCCCATCGTCGATGCCGTGCGCACCCGCGGCGACGCCGCCCTCCTCGACTTCACCGCCAAGTTTGACAAGGCCACCTTATCCTCACCTATCCTACGCCCTCCATTCTCTAAAGAAAGCATGGCACTCCCCACCGAGGTGCGCGCCGCAATCGACATTGCATACGCGAACATCCGCATGTTCCACGCCGCACAGACGAGTGATGCGCCGCTTGTCGTTGAGACGAGTCCGGGAGTCGTGTGTACGCGATTTGCACGTCCGATCGCGCGTGTAGGGTTATACGTTCCAGGCGGAACGGCTATACTCCCCTCAACAGCCTTGATGCTCGGCGCACCAGCCCAGGTCGCAGGATGCCATGAAATCGTGCTCGCAACTCCACCCCGTCCCGACGGGAGCATCTCCCCCGAGGTGATGTACGTCGCGCAACTCGTAGGCGCGTCAGCAATCCTGATAGCTGGAGGTGCACAAGCCGTCGCGGCCCTTGCGTACGGAACAGAGAGCGTTCCGAAGGTAGACAAGATTTTCGGACCTGGAAATCAATGGGTCACCGCTGCGAAGATGCTTGTGCAGAACGATACAGATGCACTCGTGTCTATTGATATGCCTGCTGGACCTTCAGAAGTCTTGGTTTGTCATACTGAATCACTACTTCAAAGTATAGATCGGTCTAATATTTCAATGATACCCAGGTTATAGCAGATCACACAGCAAACGCATCCTTCGTCGCTGCCGACCTCCTCTCCCAAGCCGAACATGGCATCGACTCTCAAGTAGTCCTCGTCGCAATCAACCTCCCTACCTCCCACATATCCGAAATCGAATACGAACTCGACAAACAAGCCCGTGCCCTCCCACGAGTCGACATCATGCGCGAATCCATTCCAAAGAGCTTAATCGTCAATGCCAAGTCATTTGACGAAGCAATTCAATTTTCGAATGACTATGCTCCGGAGCACCTTATCCTCCATATTGAACAGGCTGCAGAGGCGGTGAAGAAGGTTAATAATGCTGGGAGTGTCTTTGTTGGGCCTTATACACCTGAAAGGTATTTATGCCTTTTCTTTGTTTCATATCGCCTTTCATTGACAAATTTCTTTCAGCTGTGGTGACTATGCATCCGGTACAAACCACACGCTTCCAACAAATGGGTATGCTCGGCAGTTTAGCGGCGTCAACACTCAATCTTTCCAAAAGCACATTACGTCTCAGGAGATCACTCGAGAAGGGCTAGAGATCCTCGGACCCGTTGTTGCTACTCTCGCCGACACGGAAGGACTTGGAGCTCATGCAAATGCTGTACGCCTGCGTTTACAAGCAGGAGCGTAACCATAAAACCCCAAGGAATAGAAATGAATTAGGTGGAAATGGAAAATAGAGAAATGATAACTTGTATTATTGGATATCAATTTATTACAGCCTTCTCTCACCCACTTCCAGCGCAATGAGCTTATATGAATGCAGCGGAAAGTCCCCAAATGAAAAGAACATGTATTAGTCGCCATCACCCAGAAGGCAAATACTGCGCATCATTATGAACAGCAAATTAACAAAGCAACTTTTGTCTAAAGTCTACGTAGAAAGTGAATGTCCGGGGTGACGACAGTATGTAAGCTATCAGCTATTACGCCTAGTTGGTCCTGTAAAGAGCACGCTTGGCAACCTTGACAATAAGTGGAGTGTCGGGGAAAGCCATGGTCTCGAGATTGGTGGCATACTAGAATAGCATTATCAGCTCAACTTCCAATTGGTCTGTTTTCTGAAGAAATTAACTCACTGGTGTAGGAACATCAGCGCCAGTTATACGTTCAACAGGAGCGTCCAAGTAGTCGAATGCCTCACTCTCGACAATTTGTGCACAGATCTCACTGCCCACGCCGAATGCAGGGAAGCCGCCCTCAACAATCAACAAGCTGGAAAAGACTTATTAAATTCTGCAAACGTTAAGAATTGTCTATGCACGCACCGGTTAGTCTTCTTTACAGAAGCCTTAATAGCGTCGATGTCAAGCGGACGAATACTGCGGAGGTTAATAACTTCTGCCTTAATGCCTTCCTTCGCGAGTTCCTGGGCAGCCTCAAGCGAGTGGGTGACCATCTTACTGTGCGCAACAATCGTGACGTCGCTCCCCTCAAGCTCGACCTTCGCCTTTCCAATGGGTAGCAAGAAATTGTCCGACATTGCCTCCTGCGAGACAGGGAAGGTCACACCGTACATCATCTCATTTTCGAGGAATACAATTGGGTTGGGGTCGCGAATAGCAGCCTATCAGAGCAAATTAGCGAAAATGACAACACGTAAGAGAGAAGTGCGACGCGTACTTTCAATAGACCTTTGCAATCCTCCGCAGACCAGGGACTGAGGACCTTAAGACCGGGGATTTGACCATACCACGACGCATAGTCTTGGGAGTGCTGCGCTGCTACACCAGCGGCCGCGCCGTTGGGTCCACGGAAAACGACAGGACAAGGAACGTTCCCACCAGACATGTAGTACGTCTTGCCAGCAGAGTTCACAATCTGATCAATGGCCTGCATTGCGAAGTTGAAAGTCATGAACTCGCAGCTATCATGATGAATAAGTCAACATCGAATGAATTTTTGTTCATAGTGAATGAAGACGTCATACACAGGTCGTAAACCAGCCAAGGCAGCACCGACTGCTACGCCAGCGAAACCCATCTCGGTGATAGGCGTGTCTATCACTCGCTTCTCACCGAACTTGTCGAGCAGACCTTTAGTGATCTGAACGACGCGTTAATTTTTCATAAAACAATTTCCTCAAATAAACCCAAAGTTTCGCGAAACGAACCTTGTAAGCACCATTATAACGCGCAACCTCCTCCCCAAGAATAAAAACCGACTCATCCCGAAGCATCTCCTCCTCCATAGCAGAATTGAGTGCCTCACGCACAGTCATCTGTATGAACACAAATACCATGAGCACATTATTCCTGACATATTTTCACCGTCATGACAAACCTGATGTTCACTCTGGGTGGCATAACTGCGCGCGAGAGCCAGTCGTCGCGCAGCAAGTGGCACGGCAGAGCGTTTTGGGCGCGCAAGTGCGGGTGCAAGGCGGGCGAGGCGGGAGGCCATGGCGGGGGAACAGAGGGGATTGGATGAGGTGAAGCCGTGCTGTTGCTGGCCAGTGACCTTTTTCGATGAGGTGAATCTTTGGGGAGTGGTGCGGCGTTTGCCGTTGCCAATCGTTTCTCAATCCGCGGTGAACGCATATAACGACATCGCTAGTTTACCTCCGACCCCGAGCCATGGCGGAACAGCGGAAACATGTTGTCCTCGTCACTGGTGCTTCAAAGTAATATCATTTAGTCAATCGCACTCGATAATCTCCCTGACTGTTGAACAGAGGAATTGGGTTAGCCGCTACTAGACATTTATTAGAAACCTTCAATGCAATAGTCGTTGCTGTATCTCGGAGCCGCTCTCCAGAACTACTCGAATTGCTCAAGAAATACCCATCTGCTCTCCTTTCTATCGAAGCAGACATGTAACATGCCTCTTTTAGCTCGTCGACTACACTCTTACATAGAATAACACTGTTTAGAACAAACGAAGCAGCAACGCGCGATGCCATAGCACTTGCCATAAAGACATACCGAAACCTCGATGGTCTAATTCTCAACGCAGGAGTAGTCGAACCTATGGGATTGATACGCGATCCTGAGATTACGACGGAATCTTGGAGGAGGCACTTTGATGTTAACTTCTTCTCGTTACTTTACACCGTCCAAGCCGCGCTACCAGCCTTGCGCTCAAGTGACCTCAGAGGTCGAATTATTTTTATTTCATCGGGCGCCGCAACGGGTGGTACACCCGCCTGGGGAGTATATAATGCAAGCAAGGCTGCGATGAACAGCTTCTGTCGGTAGGTCGTGTATAGGATTTATATATTTATAAACTTTGGTTAACTTTATTCCTAAGTACACTTGCAAACGAGGAACCAGACATCGTCAGTATCGCTCTTCGTCCAGGAATGGTAGATACTGCAGTAAGCAAATCAGCTAGACACTGTTTATACCTCAATATCTTATAAATAATCGTCTATGTCCAGATGCAGGCCCAACTCCGTAACATCGGAGCGTCGAAACTGAGAGATGAAGATGCACAGAAATTCATCCGAGCGCATGCAGAGGGACAGCTAGTGAAGCCCGAGGATGTAGGTCATGTAATAGCGGCTTTATCGCTCAGAGCACCGAAGTCTCTGAGCGGGCAATTCGTTAACTGGAACAGCGATGAATGTAAAGAGTTTAGAAGGTCGTAGAGAGAATACTACATAACCCATTGCTTAACTGTCACCATTGTATATTGGATGCAATTAGCGGCTTTAACTACGACAGATTGGTGGTATGCGATAACGACTTAGGGTATATTACAAGCCGTGCGGATATACGAAAATGAAACAGAAGGTATATGGGAATACGGGGATACAATAGAAACCGAGGGTTTAAGTGAGATTACGTCTAAAAATTTTAAGCAACGATTAATGACCACGAATTCTAGTTCTTGTATTTGAAGTCCTTTATCCAGTCAATGACCTTGCTGATACCTCGTTCGCCTACAAGTAGTGCTTGTCCGTGACGGCCATTAGGATCATACCAAAGACCTTCCTTGACTCCGTGAGATTTGAGATACTTTTTGACACGCTACATTGAGGAAATTAGAGCTTGCTAATACCGTGAAGTGGACGGAAAAATCATACCTCGGCATCAAGGATGGCATCTTTCCCACCGAGCAAGAACAGGGTGCGAGACGGGTCACGGGCGTTTGGAATTTCCTCGAACCAAAGGGTATTACTTAGCCAGTCGAAATGTCGCTGAAGTAAATTAGCGACCCCCAATTCCGTTCCAACAAAATAGCGAACGATAAGCTCAAGGCCGCTCGCGCATGGACGATAAACAAAATTATAGCAGACATCTCCTTCCCAAGAACAGAACGTAACCGGGTCGACAAAGCAAGATCGCTTAATTATTTGTGGAAAAGCTTTTAGCATCCATGCGTGGGCGTAAGAACCACTACAAAAAAGAAAACATTAAATCTTGCGTTAATTAGAATGTCCAAAATCTTTATATTCACGTACTTTGAATGGCTCAACATCGTCACGCCATACTTTTCGTGAACAGAAGGTCCTGCCCAACCTAACCTGTCGATAGCCCCGGCTAGGCAAGCCACTTTTTCGTGACGAAGCATGGGCCGCAAAAACCGTGGGTGAAATATATTCTGAGATATCGGTGGCTGAATGGGTATCATAATTGGAGTATCAGGGAGTTCTTCTAGTATATGTCGCAACACCCTCTGATATTGCCAGATGCCAAGTCCAAGACCATGAAGAAAGACAATCGGATCGGGTCCTGTGGCCCGGGTATAACCAGACGGAACTCTAAGCAAATACCTATAAGATGTATTTAGGCATCAGTTTGCCATTGGACACGGTCGGTGGACCTACTCTAGATCCCTGAACTTTCCGTAAACCAGACCGTACCTCGACTCGTATACCGAGCGAATATACATGTTAATAGCTTTCACGAAGAGGTACCAGCCAAGCGGACGTGGAAGCACGTTCACGGGATCAACGGTGAGACGAAGCACCTGAACTGACGGATCGTACCCGTCGGGAACGGTGCATCCAATTCGTTTTTCAAGTAACTCCGTAGCTTCATCGAGCAGAGTTTTGTGAGTATCGGGAATTCTTCCATGAGCCGGAAGAGCAGCGTTGAAAGTCGACCAGTATAACCATTGCCGAAAATTCTCGCGGCGTACCCTTGACCATGGGACTTTCTTAAACCTATTCATCGTAAGCGAGGGTAAAGAGTCGGGAGAATAGAAAGCAGTACCATGTTCGAAGTCTATCTCTAAAGTCGATTGCCCTCGAGTCGTCACGTTTGAGTTTCTCGATTACCGCATCGGGACTCCCTGGCCTGTCAGTTGCATTGTATTCCTCGTCGCCACCGTCTTCGGGGAGAGGAATGAGGCCGGACTGAAGGACGCGTCGGAAGGCTTGTTGTAGCTCAAATACATCAGCGGGAGTAATTGTGGATGGTCCGGATATTTTTCGTATAAGAAGATAATAATACACGCTGAACGCCACCTTTAATTTGGGATAGTTGAGATATAATTAAAACTAATGTGCAGACAGTACTTGCCTCGCAAACCGCAAGCGTGAATACGGAGAATTCGGTGGTAGAATAATCAAGAACTCTCCAATGTATCACACTGTACGCGACATATGCCCAAGATGCAGGGACAACGCTCCAAATGGGCCCGACGAAGAAGAACAAGACGAGGTAGAATGTCAGGTCGCGCTTTCGTGGCAAAGAGACGGATTCGGAAATATCCTCCATTGCCGTTGTCCTCGATGGTCCTCGACCAAAGGAGATGCCACGGGAGTCAGCCAGCCAGAGGAGACAAGCTACGGAGGCAAACGAACGTGGGGTATGACGAATCGGACCAGGACGGAAAACAAATCAGAAAGTAGTAAGTCGAGCAAAATATGCCCACAATGGATTAGTTTCACTCGCACGTGATAGAGGCAAATCGCAGTCTTTGGCTTGGAGATAAGATATCGACACACCCGGCCATCTCCGATCGGACGTCACGGGAGTGAGGTAACCTTTGACGCGCTGCAAGTTTTTGCTCTTTCCTATCGTTCCCTCCTCTCTAGACATGTTACGCTCTGCAGTCTCGCGTGTGGCTCGCTCAGCTGCCCAGACGGTAAGCACAACTGACATGGTATTCTTACTCCATATTGTGCTAATTTCTGTCATTAAACAGCGCCATGCAACTACCCTCTCCGCTGGTTTCCCGAAGGTCACTTCGAGAGTGAGCATTCTGCTACCATACATGATTGCGGAGATTAATTCTTGACTTAGCAACCAACAAAATATGGCGGCGTCTACACTGTGAGCTATCCGTTTTGATACATGCTACCTCATGCTGAGTACCTGCAGGTGACGCTAATTCCCGGTGACGGTGTCGGCGTAGAGATCACAGATTCCGTGAAGGAAATCTTCGAAGCCGTCAATGCACCCATTGATTGGGATCAATACAATGTATCCGGAATGTCATCCACTGGTGAAGACCTGTTCAAGCAGGCAATGGACAGTCTGAAGCGTAACAGAGTCGGTCTGAAGGGTGCGTTCATTCCGCTTTCCGTCTCTGAAAAACGTCACTGATTCACCAGTGTTTGCCTCAGGTATTCTTTTCACACCAATTTCTACCACGGGCCACATTTCTTGGAACGTTGCCATGCGTCAGCAGCTCGACATCTATGCCTCCGTCGTTCTTTGCAAATCCCTGCCAGGCGTCCCTACTCGCCACCAAAATGTTGACTTTGCCATCATTCGAGAGAACACGGAGGGTGAATACTCCGGTCTTGAGCACCAGAGTTATCCTGGAGTTGTCGAGAGCTTGAAGGTATCCACTCGAGCGAAGGCTGAGCGTATTGCACGTTTTGCCTTCGATTTCGCGTTGAAGAACAATCGAAAGGTCCGTGTTGCTTGCCACCGGTATTCCAGCTCTGTCTGAGAGAAACTGTATTCCAGAAAGTCACTTGTGTACACAAGGCAAACATTATGAAACTTGGTGATGGTCTTTTCCTGAACACCTTCCGCGAAGTGGCAAAGGAATACGGAAGCTCTGGAATCAGTGCAAATGACATGATTGTTGACAATACGTGCGAATTTTCCTGTTTCCTCTTGTGGTGTTTTCTGATCTTGGTACATGTCAGATCAATGCAACTTGTAGCAAAGCCCGGTCAGTTCGACGTGATGGTCATGCCCAATCTTTACGGTGCCATCGTTTCGAACATCGGTGCTGCGCTTGTTGGTGGTCCTGGAACAGTCCCAGGTTGTAACGTCGGACGGGTGCGTTTTTCGGAATTATCGAAGATGTTTCTGCCCATTGAGCTCATGTTTAGGAATATGCGCTTTTTGAGCCGGGGTGCCGACACGTCGCGCAAAACCTCATGGGAACAAACAAAGCAAACCCGACAGCGATGATCCTCAGTGCAACTATGATGCTTCGCCACCTCGGGTATGCGTTTTTCATCATCCATTTAATCCTGCCTTTTGTTCGGTTATTAACTTGTCCGACAACAGTCTCGACCACATCGCGAACAACATTGCCAGTGCGACATTTGACGTGATTAACGAGGGCAAGATCCGCACATTAGACATGGGCGGTTCGTAACATCTTTGATATTCCACTTTTTATCTCACACGACCTCTGATGATTATTTCCAATTTTCTGTTACAGGTTCGGCGACGACGTCCGATTTCACGTCTGCTATTATTAAAAGGCTGTGAACTCAGCAGCTGCAACGCTTTTCTTCATTGTCCTCTAATCGGTAGAGTCCATTGCATCATTCCTTTTGCACGCTAGAGACTGGATAATACCACACTGTTAATCCATACATCTGCATTTTTATCAATTGTGACTAGATTGCCACACATGTGTATGATGTTTGTGATACGATGTGCGAGGTACGGATTCAAAATTCACCATGGTAGATCAAGTCGTCAAAGTCGCCAGATGCATCCAGAGCAGCTTCGTATTCTTCCACGGTCATGTCTTTTGCCTTCTTCGGTGGAGGCTCCTCCTTATCCTCGGTACCGCCCGTATTGTCATCTTGACCCGGAGCTTCGTACGCCACGAACCTCTTCTCTCCATTTCCCCCACTTTTCCCGTTCATGTCCGAAGAAGCCTTGTCACGCACCTTACGCAATCCCAAAACATTCGAACATCGTATCTCAGCACGTTGTCCCCATCCACCGACATCAGGCCGGAACTCAGCGTACAGTCCGAAACCCTTCTCATTCAACTCCGCTGGTGGAAATGAATCTGCTAATTTGCGCATTGCTCCTGCAACGAAGGGCAAAGTCTGTCGAAATGCACGAGATATGTAAGAGAATGCAGAAGCCGGGTCGATAGGTTCGCCTTTTAGGAGTGCGCGCCATTCGCCAGATTGAGTCGTGTATAATGGTCTAATGAGGTTAATTCTGACTTGAGTGACTGGAAAAATTAAAGAGATATTAAGAGTGGGACGCACATTCTACATTCAAATAACCGGCCAAGCTCAGTTTCATAACGAATACGTCGTAATAATTCGCAAGGACGTACCGTCTTCCCATTAGGTCCACATACGGCTGTGACTGTCCTTTCTCCAGTTCAATGCCTTTACCCTTCTTTTGCTCAAAAATACCAAGTGAAACGCCTTTCGAAATGGCGTTCATTTCTGTGTATGCAGAAGCTGTACAGAACGCTCGGTTAGACATCAAGCAAGAAAGTCAAACTAAACTAGTTAAACAAACCAATACTCAACGCTTCTTCCCGCTTGAATCCAAGTCTCTCTGAGACTATAGTTGCCCAGAGAGACATTACAGGAGCACGATTGACAACCGCCAATTTGGTTTGAAGTACCTAGTAATAATCATCAACACTACTCGTAAAATAAACCATACAGAAGGATGAGACGAGATAAGATGCACACACCTCTTCATCCACCACCTCATTAAACTCAAAACTCCCCAGTGCAGCACCTTCACTAGACGGACCAGCAGGAAGGAATTCGTTCAAATCATCATCCCGTTTCCGCTTCCTCGCCGTACTCGCTTTCTACTCCGTCCCACCCACGGACTCTTAATCAGCATGCAAACTTCTTCTCGGGCAAGACGGAGTTTGATGAATTTGACGAACCTTGCTAGAAGTCGACGGTCCAGCGCCCGCATTACTCGTCTGTGCAAGACTCCCACCAGGTTTAGCGGCCGCGCCATTACCAGACGAAATGTAGCCCGCTTTCTTGAAGGCTGCGAGCGCAGCTTTCCTGTCTTCCTTACTATCAACGCCTAGACTCTTCAACCGGGCGTCCGTGAGAGAACCTAGTGCTCCAGGCGTGTTGTGTGTTTTGTAGCTGTCCACAAGGATAATCTTCAATCAGTTCGCCAGAGGTTATATTTATTTGCATTGCCTGGAATGACTTACACTTTGGCTGCGATAACCATTGCCTTCTGCGCTGAGACATTCCCATTTGTTAGGACCTTAAGAAATGCAGGGAGTGCAAGTTTTGTGTCTGAAGACATGGCTAATAGAGACTGTAGAGTTGTTGTGTATATTTATAATGAAGTGAATGAAGCACTGTATGACTCGCACCCCACGACGAATGATCGACGCGAAGCTGATTACAAACACCAGGTCTAGGTTTTCTAATGTTCACAAAGTCTGCACTCAACATGCGGAAGCAAATGATACTAGTATTATTTGATAAACTGCCTTTATTCCGAGTAACACGCAAAGCATCACATCTAGAGAGTTCTAGACCTCAATCCTACAAGCAGACAGTCTCGACAATGATAGCGGTAACTTGGTACGGGTCTAGATCGGACATATGAAATTAAGGGATCTGGAATTTTGGAGAGCAATGGAAGAGACGTACCAATATTCGAAGCAGGGCGCCTGTCCTCAAGGTATCCGAAGCCTTTGTGGGCGACATGGCGCGGGATACGAATCGACGCTCCACGGTTTGCAACACCTGACGAGAACTGAGAGATGTGGCCAGTCTCGTGACGACCAGTAAGACGGAGCTCATTGTCAGCGCCGTACACGGCAATGTGTTCCAGATGGCGTTTCGAAAGCCTCTCGATAGCCTTCTTGATGTGGTCGAGACCACCAGCCTCACGCATCGCCTTTGTTGAGAAATTTGTGTGGCATCCGGCACCATTCCAGTCACCTGGCAAAGGCTTGGGATGGAATGACACCTTAATGCCCCACTGCTCGGCAATACGGATGAGAAGATAGCGCGCCATCCAGAGATGGTCGCCCATCGAGATACCCTCACAAGGCCCGACCTGGAATTCCCACTGAGAAGGCATGACTTCGGCGTTAATGCCGGAGATGTTGATGCCCGCATACAAGCAGGCCCGATAATGCGCTTCCACCAGGTCACGCGCAAACACCTTTCCGGCACCTACAGCACATTGACTTTTCTGGTCTGAATATCCATTATATCCTACGTACCAGCACCGCAGTAGTATGGACCCTGAGGACCAGGGAATCCACCTACTGGCCAGCCAAATGGCCGACCATCCATACCCATCAGCGTGTACTCCTGCTCGAGACCAAACCATGGCTGATCTGCTGCGGCAGCTTCCATGATCTTCTTGGCCGCGGCGCGGTGATTGGTCTTGTTCGGAGTGCCATCGTTGTTGTAGGTCTCCGACATAACGAGGATATTGTCACCGCCACGGAAGGGATCCTTGAAGACGGCGACAGCACGAAGGTACACATCAGAGTCGCCACCATCGGCCTGGTTTGTCGATGAACCGTCAAAATCCCACTGACGAAGCTCGCTAACATCCGTGACTTTCTTCGTGACGGTCTATTCCTCAGGACAGTGAGTACGAAGCACGAAGCGAAGGACAGTGATTTATTTTATTCCTACCGTGGTTTTTGATCGTAGCTCGCCGTCACCGTCAACCCAGACGTCTATGATGAAGCGAATCACAATTAGATTTACATGCCACGCGACGAGGTAAAAATTTGAATAGCATACATTCAGCCTGGATCTTCTCACCCTGAGGAAGAGCGAGGTACGGGGCAAGGAGGTCAGGCCTGTAGGGAACAGCCATTATTTCTATGGAATAAAGCGAGGTTGAGGAAGAGAGAAGAGAGGAGATGAGCGGATGGAGAAAGAGTAAGAGGATAAGTGCAGCAGCGACGAAATGGAACGGGGTATAAAAGTCGCAGGACTCGGGAAAGTGACGCCGTCCCATTGGACGATAAGCACCAGCCAGGAACCCCAACTGCTCCGACTATGCATTATGTAATCACCACAGCCCTACTCCGCATCGCTCTCACCAGACTCACCTCTGCGGTCTGCGGTCATTGTCCTTCCGAAGCGCTCTCAGATCGTCGACAAGGTCTATCGAACATAGCCTAGTGCCGGCGCATGTCGGTAGCCTTTTTCCAACTGTTTGACTTTGCACCGTAGCGTCCATATTTCGTCAGAATCCGACAAGCCCCCAATCTCATATCGCTTGATTGTCATATCGCTCTTTTCGCAGTTTTCGTCCGACGCGGGACCTTTCTAAGTTTCTTATCGCTGCTCAATTGACCAGCGGTATGCCAATATAGTACGAGAAGTCTTTCACGTCGCCCGACAATGTATACCTTCGTCCGAAGTGACTGGGCAGAAATGTAATCCACATCTTATTCATCTGGGAACTTTGCTTCTCTCAAACTGCCATATGCCTGTAGAATCTTGACACAGTTGCCTTGCGGCGCTGAGGCTGGAACCATTTTGACCGCCGAAGGGCGCGGCGCATCTCACATTCCAGGGTTAAGACCCTGTAAAACCGCGCGTAAGTGATCAATGATCGAGCGCTTTTTCTGCGTGCTCGGGTCTTCAGACGGTTCTCCGCACGTCAATTCCGTGGAGGTGAATATTTAGTCTAGATCTACTCGTGCAATTGTCTTGGGGCTTGGCAAGATGCTCTAAGTGCACCTAAGATGTCTATAACGTACCGCTTTCACTGATCTCCTGGTCTTTCGGTTTCCTTTCTGGTACCTTTCGCGGCACTCCTTTCCTTCTCCGACCACCAGCCATCACTGTCGGTCCCCGCGGTAATGGTTTTGACCCCGATGTCGTGCCGACAGGTGTTACTGCTCCGCTACTCAGCATCTCTGAACTGGAAGACTCATCAACGTTTTCGTTTTCGGCCCGTTTCTTGGCCTTCTTCGCTGCCTTTCGCTGTTTTTTGTTTCCGCTGGGCGCTTGAGAATCTTCCTCTCCGTCTTCTTCGCTTGTCTCCTCCGCAACTTCTTGTTTCTTTTTGGAGAAACGTGAGCGCAGCATGGAGATGAACCAGGTACGGCCTAATGAAGGCGGGGCAGTAGCACCTTCATCGAGGGGAAGGAGCGAACCGTCGGGTTCAAGCTGTACGTACCCTTGATTACCACATGCAGTCGCAAATCAGGAGATCGACTTACAATAAATACATCGTTCCCTTCAACAACCATGTCGAGTTGTTTGCCCTGCACAACATTTCCTTCCTCATCCAGATATGGACGTCCACCAAGATTTACTCGGACCTTTCGTCTGTTTTTCAGTCTTTGGTTTTGAGAAAGAACAGCTAAAGTTACCTTCCGCCGTCCTTCCATCGGAACCATGCGCGAGCCCCACGCAGCAAGCCTAGCCTCCGTCACAAACCGGTCTATGCGAGCGAGATCGTTTTTGTAATTGATTCGTTGAATAACATATTGGAGTCCTGATGAAAGTACGACAAGGAAAATCACGACCGACTGAAGTAATTAACATGTCAGTCCGATCGACAATAAACCATGCGAAGACGTACGCCTAGTCCTGGCCGGTATCGAGAATAATAATATCCAGTGCCACGCCAGCGTGGAACACCGTTCTTGTAAAAGAAGTCGTAGCTAAATAGGCGATGTTAGACTAAGGAGATCATGTCGAATAAGTTGTCGTACCGTTCTCTGCCTACTGGATCTCTCAAGATTTGGGCGATAACTCCAAGTCGTGCAAATCTCTCGTGTGCATCCTTTCGACCTGGATTCTTGTCCGGGCTACCCAATGTTTCGTCAATATGGAAATAATAGATCAACGCAACTATTACTCACTGCGTGTGGATACTCTTTCTTCTGTACGCCCGCGCAATCTCTTGAGTTGTTGCGGTTGGGGGAACGTCAAGCCATGAGTAAAATGTCGTTCCTTTCCCTAAGGCCGTCAAACCAATGTTAGACCAACAAGGCTGGGGGGTCGAGCAATAGGAAGCACCTTCCGACGCCTCAACGGCGCTTACGAGATCGAATATTTCATGGTCTTCCTGAGACACAGTTATTTTGCTATTTAAACGACGCTGGCCAGAAGCAACCAGGAACTATACTGACTTTCGTCCACCTGTAATTCATTGAAATTTGCAAGTCAGTATTTCTACGCACTCTCCCATTGCTTGAGATTTACTCACGCCAGCACAGAACAAATGATAGAAAGGAGCAGGATAACCCGCAGAAAAAGCTTCATCTCAGAAAGGTAAAAAGGTCGAGCTTCCTTCTTGTGCAAGCTGCATATCGTGCTGGCAGAACGCGTCAAGGTCAATTACGTCAGCATTTATGTTTATTTGCAGGTGACCGTGGGACTAACGCGACGCGTGACGTACCGCGTCAACCTGCTCTTAATGAATCACTCTTCTAAGTCCATCCCTACTGATGCCTGCAAAACGTAAATGTCCGAGCTGTGGGTCAAAAAGATGGCGCAAAATTCCACAAAGCGGACAGATATCTTGTGTGGTATGCCATCTAGTACAGGTAAGACAGTTTACCGCTTTCCGCCTCAAGTTACACTTTTACTCGCCATTCACAAATAGGAGTACAGAAATGAGACTTATGAAGGGGTAGGATTTGGACCGCACACAATGCGGAAGCGAGCTCTGAAGTCAAAAAAGAAATTGAACGAGAAGAGGAGCTCCGCAAACCCCGTTTGTAGGGCACTCCCATCGTTACATGGCTGACCACTGATCCGGGAACAGTGTATCACGGGGACCGCGCTCGATATCACTACTTTGAATGCCTACAGGTCTTGCTTCGCATGCAAATTAAGAAGTTAACCGAGCTGTGGAACTTACCCCCTGATTTCGAGGTGAGTCTATTTAAAGTACATAATGCTTGGCTCAATTTGAGAGGGCAGACTATTTGTAGAGATACTTGGGCATTGCATCTCAGTTTACTTTCGTCCCTACCTCCGCCGGAGCCGTACTTACATACAGAAGAACAGTATGTACGGCACCAGACTGAACTGCCCGGGAAAGGAAAGGAAGATGAAATTACGCAGAAAGAAGAAGAGCACTCTGGCGACGCGGTCACGAGTAGCTCAGATGCCGACTCTCTCGCCTCCCCTGACGACGAGGGTGAAGACGCCACAGATGAGAGTATAGATGAGAATATGTCAGAGCTTTTGCGCGAAGCTTCTGAAACCGACTCGTCTGAATCCGGCGGGGAGGAACAAGGCCCGTCTTTACAGGGAAAAGGAACATCACGCAAGCCCAGAAAGGTTTGGCGTAGAAACGATTCCCCAGCTGCAACCATTAGCGTGCTTGTTCATTCATGCTGGATAATGCGTATACCCGTCATGTACAAAGACATTATAAAGTGTGCTCCCGTTGCAGTTGCTCCTTAGTTATTCAAGACCGCTGATCTTTGTTTCAGCCTCATAGAGACTTACACTCTACCATACCTGGACCCCATTCGGCTCTTGCCTGCGTCACTGACTCGTCATCTGACGAAGCATACAAAACAAGCACTCTCACCGCATGTATGCTTTCGTGTTTTCTCCCAAGGATGTAATTGCTGATCTTAGCTGTGGAAGCGCTCACCAACTCCTGTTTTTCTCCACGCGATTACTTCTCGGCTTTCAAAGTTATGCTTCGAACGGTATGGGATATACACGCCAGAATTGAATACGGCACCAATTTTATGGCGGACTGTATGCCATATGGCTGGGACGCGTGAGTGCACGTTGTCGTCGTTAATCAGAGAGAATATTGAAGAAGTTTGACATATGTCATCGCAATGCTTCTCTGATTAAGTTACCCTTTATGCTATTTCAAAGGGGCTGGCCCGGTATTTAGAGCTCCCGTTGACACTCAATCCAGCCATGGCTCCGCCAGTGTTGAAGCGGTTTAAAAGGGACCCGACATCGCACAAGAGTGATAATATCCCGCCTGAAGTGGCACTTGTTGCAACGGTCGTCATTGTTTTAAAAATAATTTATGGACTCGATGGGAAAGAAGTGTGAGAGTTCAATCCTTCCTACTTGGTGATCGCATCAATTGCGGAGATCAAGCTGCTAACTTTAGACAAGATACCCTATGGAAGATTGGGATCCAGCGTGGACGATGCCCGGACTTGATTTATACTTGGATCGGCTGCGGGTTATGGACACCTCGGACTTCAAAGCTAGCCGAGGTGTATTCTCGCCGGATGTTAGGTATGCAAAGTGACGGCTGGATTGGTATGGTGACGTTGCATTATTCGCTAAATCACCTAACAGAGCTGGCGTGCAAGAGGAAGACGAGGAGAATCTAGATGCATACCTCGTCTTCTGCGAACGTGCGTTGCTAGACGATGCTGTAAGCGACAGCAAAGCAGGTGAGCTTCTATTTATTGTAGGCCGGCGCAAGATACCGAGCACTGATTATCTTATCGTGTCACAGGTCATGATGATCTAGTGGAAGAGTACTTCCCGCTACAGAAATGCATGGAACCTGCTGAACGAAATGGATCAGTCTTGGGCGCCATTCATGCCACAAATCAGCCAAGCAATGATGAGAGTCAACGCGTGTTGGCCGCAGTAAATACGGTGAGCGGTGAAGCGAAGTCAACTGAGAACACGGTGCGGCCTGGAGAGTCGCATGTCATCTATAGTGCGCACGACGTTTTCGGCATGCTGCCGGATGCCTATGAGGATGTGCTGATTCGGGCCGCGCACTGGACCGGTGTCAATGTGGATGACCTGAATGCAGTGATCGAAAGATTTGAACGTAGGTTAGTCCGCCTATGGAAACGGAGTAAGCGACGGCCCAGGATGAGGACTGCAGTGGATGCGGCGGCGGAGAGCGACAGTAGTGGGGAATACAGTATATGACAATGTGTATATTGGATCGGGGAGAATAAAAAACGAGTGCGATTGTCTGTGAGATTTCCACGGAGATAAAAATAGGAGCCAATTACGAGAATCGAAGTCCCACGACTGCTTCTGCAAACACACCTCCAGCGTTTTCAATTTCAATCGCTGGCTCTCTCTTAAATCACTCCTTTCTTCCTACTTATACTCTTGCACATCATCACTCTCCTTTCTTCTCTCGTCGCCACATCGGTCCTGCCTCAGGTCACACAGGTGTGTGTCATTGTCTCTGACTATTGCTAACTTTGTCTTACATGATGGTGATCACTAGCCTCAACGCGTCTCAGGCCGACTGGTCCCCTTCCCGAACTTTCTTCACCATTTTGCCTTGTCCCCTGAAATGTCATCGTAGTCCATTTCACATCGCTCTTGCCGTTTGCCGTCTGCCTCTTTGCCTTATTCCTTATACTAGAGTCATAACTCGCTCTGGGCGCTCTCTAAGCAGCGTCGCGCAGGTAAAAAATGCGCCAGTTTGCCTCCGCGCTTGCTCTTGGACGTGGCGGCAAGTCGGAGACAACTTCCACGACATCGGCACCATCTGCCCCAACTACCGGACCACGCGTGGCCAAGTCGCGTTCAGCGTCTCTCTTTGCAAAGGCTCCCAAGACGCCTCTGGAGACAACCGGACCTGCTCTTCGCTCACGTCCCGTCTTGACGCCAGGTTCATCCTGTTCCTCCGAGGGTTCCGCAAGCTTGCGTACACCTGAGGATGAAGGCCTGATGCCACCGTTCTCCAAGTCCGACGAGAAGAAACGCTGGTCAACCTGGTTTGGTTGGCGAAAACCATCTGACAAGGGCCAGGCTACCGAGGGTCCTGTGGACACCAACACCGACGGCTCTGCGCCACAGCCAGTGTCTGCCGGCAGTATTCGCGACAGCCAGCAAAGACCATTGCCACGCATACCCCGGCAGAGTGTGTCCGACTCTGACGATGCCGATGAAGGCACCTCATCGGAATCGTCAGAGAATACAGAAGGTTCCACGGTGATCTCTACCCGTCCCATTCTACAACGTGTGAGCGTTAGTCAGGCACGCTCCAACTTGCGAACGCTACTCCATAATTCTTTGAATCAAGTACCCCCTCCACCTCCAGTAGTAGAAACACCTACTGCGCGCTTCCCGCGATCAAGCATGGCATCGGGCAGTGTGCAACCTACCCTCTCCTTGGAATCTACTATACATGTTCGAAGAATGCTGTGGCGGTTGGACCATCAAACGCTTTCGGAAACGGAGGTTCGGTCTATAGCAGGTCTTGCTCGGCGGCCGCAACCGAAAGACGCTTCGCGAAATAGGTCGGAAAGGAAAACCGATGATGAAATGATATCATACGCCTCAATGCGTGTGGGACAATTTAGTCGTGGGCTACGTAAATGGGCTCTACGTCCATGCTTCGAGCAGCGCTGTCTCGTTTGGGCCCCAGATGAAAAAGGGGATGTGAATTGCAAGGCCGTCATGGGAGTGGACCGTCAATTGGCCGTTTGCGACTTGGAATTCTGTGAGGGTACTGAGGCTTTAGCTGGTCTTCAACTTGATGACAGGACCTTTGAACAAATCCTCTTCACACCCATGCCAGAACCGAAGGGTTCCATTCATAAACCTAGTTCGTACATTGCGTTATTTTTTTTTCGTTCCTTACGCTGATTTTGCCGCAGCGACCCGGAAACAGTCACCGCCGCGCACGACACCTCGAAAAACTTCGTTCCATAGTTCTCCCTCTCCCTTACGACTTGATCATGCTTCTCCAGCAGAGCCAGTCTTGTCTCCTGTTTCATCAGTAGTCTCGACTGTGCCTTCCCGCGACCCTATACTTGACGTTAGATCATCTGTACCGACGGAGAAAGCGCCTGCTCCATCGGAAAAGGCGTCGGCGCCGGAGCTTGGAGCTTCTCGATCTGCGGCGCCTTCGGAGCCACGTAGTGTCCGTTTCGTGGATGATAATGATGCTGATGGCATACCACTGGGGTATGCAATTCGGGCAAGAAAACGGCGCGAGGAAAAGGAGAAATTCCTCAGGGCTGAACGGGAGAAACGAGCAAAAGAGCTTCAAGCTCGGGAAGCAGAGGAAAGACAGAAGCGTGCTGCAGAAGAGCAACAACGCAGGGAAGAAGAAAGGAGACGCATTGAAGAAGAGAAAAGGGCGCGTGAAGAGCGGATGCAGGCGAAATATAATGAAGAAATTGCTGCATCAAGGCAACGCAGGGAGAATGCCCGTTTGGGTGTGGATAATTACACAAACATTCGAGAGATGCATCAAAGGGAGGAAAGGGACAATGGACGGACATATTCTCGTCCCGCTTACGACGTAACTCCACCGCCAGTCCAGGCGCCTCGACGGAGAGCTTCGGACATCACAGCTCCGATAGACAACTCTATTAAGAGTTCAAATGCCCCACGTCCCGCCAGTATTGCGGAATCAGGAGAAGACAGGCGGCGCAGTATGGCCCCTTCTGCGTACAAACCATCACCGTTGTCTACAGATGATGTTCGACCCACTGTACCTCGCCAACAAGCAGCGGGTACAGATCTTCCTCACCAACAGCAAGTACCTTCTCGTCCGCCATCTATCGCATCATCTTCGTCAAGACCGGTTTCTGTCCTCCGTACCCAAAGTGTGCCAAATCAAATGCCACTCATGGCATATCCTATGATGCCTGTAATGCCTCCTATTCCTGTTCCACCTATGCCCTTATGGAACATGCCCTTGCTTCCACCGAATGCGCCTTTCATGATGCAGCAGTATTCTCGGTCACCTTCTCCGGGCTCGAATCCGCATTCTCGAGATCCCTCACCATCTTCTCGCCGACAGTCTACTTTACAACCAACAGCATCCCCATCCCATCGACATCAAAGCTTGCACCCGTCAAGTTCGTCCTCGCGTCCGCAACCGGGCGCCGCGGATTCTCGACACTCTCGCTACCCTAGCCGTGAAAGTGCACCTCAAACCTCGGGTCAATCAAGGGGTAATAGTAACAACACTTCTCAACGACCGCCTCGGTCCACTAGCTATTCGACATTGCAACAATCCCGATCGCAACCTATTTATCGTGACGACCGTTCCCAGACGTCTCGCCATGGTTCCTACACGAATCTCGGACATATGGACACTAAACGCCGGACTACCATGATGTAAAACAAATTGCGTTTTGATGCCGCTTCTGGCCTCTCTCATTATAATATGTTCTTTTTCTTGGCACTTGCATATATTATTGTGACCTGCCGTCCGCTCCTTTCAGCATGTGGATATTCCCCATTACATGAACCTTTGCCCGCATCGTATACTTGGAGAAATAATCATCATTTGTTCGACTGTCTTTTCTTGCTTTTGGGACACCAAGGACTTACTCTGTTTTGTAACCACCACCACTTGTGTTTTTTCCAATGTCATTCAACATTTCACTGCATGCATCTTGTCCTGTTTCTTCAATCCAACCCCATTAATCCGACACTTCTTCATCGGTCCTTTTTCTCATTGGGTTCTGCATTTTCGCATTTTTTGCTATGTTTCATTTGCTTTCTCTCCTTAATTCTTCCACCTGGACGCCGTTCAATGACTCTGTGCGAAGGACGCGTCCTATGTGTCGTTTGTCTCAATATGATACGGTTGTGGCGTACTAACGCAAACTTATTTGCCAGCTTATACGAGAGTCTTCGCGAAATTACTTTGCATACTCGGTCTGTCATGGCCCATGTGACTCTCATTAAAGTCATGAAGACGTCCTATTTGAGTCCTTTGCAGGTTTCCTAAGTTGTCTCTACCCTCACTGACCTCAGGTGCAAAGTCACCCTTTACCAGCAACTGCATTGCAGGGGCCGAAATGGCCTCTTCAAGTCCAATACTATGCATCCGTGCCACTCTGCTCGTCCATTCCACCCCTTTCCCCCCTAGCACCTACGTTCCTTCTCACTCACTTCTGCCCTCTGGCTACAGAGAGACCTGCGATCCCGCTCATTTTCTCCTCTTTCCCGATGATTCTTGAGAGCACGGCACTAACGACGGTCCTGGGTGCGCTCTCGACCGTTTATCAGGCTTACAGTAAGGTCAAGTCAAACAGGGACCGATGCAAGCAACTTGTGGATCGGTGTGAGATGATTGCGGACCGGCTTAAGCCAATTCTCCAGCAGCAGGATTATGATGTCCGTATCATGCTTAGGATTAAGGAGTTGGAAAAGTGAGTAATGTCCCTATACTCGTTTTCACGATTGATGTACGTTATTATCTGACTCTCTTGTTCAGGACTTATCAGAAGACTGCTGAAACGATAACCAAGGTTGGTGAGCAGAGCTGGTTCGGGTCACTGCTCAAGACGGATGAGAACGAAGGTTTGATCGAGGACACTCAACGAGCTCTTACGGAACTCGTCTCCATCCTTTCGGTAAGCCCCCTAACCCCGCAATTCATACTTGTTAAAATGCACACCGATGTGTATTTTTAGCTTGAAACATTAATAGACGTTACTGCCTGGCAAAAGGAGAATGAGGCAGCTGTTCGCAAGGAGTTCGCCCATGTGAAGGAGGAGATCAAGCATCTCGACCAGTCTTTCCACAATGAGTTGGCTAATCATGGTGCAACATTAGGACAACTCAGCCAAGTCGTGAATAACATGGCTGCAAGGCTTGGCGAGCCGTTGAGTGCTGGTGTCGTCTCAGATGAACCCACTCAAGAGTTTATTTTGCCTCAAGGCCAGCCTCGAACGCGGTCCTGGTCCTCGCCAGTCGGTGTACGGCCGTCGCTCAGCTCGATTGTGGGCGACGCAGGGGAAGTTTCGTCCCAAAGTGTACCGACGGCAGGAAGTAAGGCGAACAGGAGGGCAAGCCGCATGAGTTGGTCAAACAGACCGAGACCGTCGCTTCTCGCCCCTCCTCGTTCGGCTGGGAGCGAAGCCAGACCAGTGGTACCTGCAATCCGCAGACCGCAAAGCCCACTGCCTTCCTCGCCACTTGCACAATCATTAATGACTCAGCCTACCCAACCTTCTCCTCTGTCACAAACGCAAATGGTCGTAGAAGCTGAACCAGATCCTGCGCACCTCGATTCACCTCCACCTCCCTACTCCGCTGTAAGCTGGGAAGATGAACTCAACGCCGCATATGAACGTATTGAGTCCAACACATCCACCAGCACTCCCGAGCAGTCCGCAAACTCCCGATCTTCCACCCTAGCTGTACGTTCAAACGACACTCCCGCTGCTATTCCAGACTCTCCAGGAGAATACCACTTTGATAAACCTCTCCCCTCCCGGAATGCGAATGATGTCGGTTTGCTGAAGGTGCGAGAATCACTTAAACGGAAGGACATTAAGAACTTTGCTGCTATGAAGACTATTGGGCAATTTGGTAAAATTAATACGAGGGTCTTGGTTGAAATGTGGCTGTTTCCGAAGAACAGGGCATTTGATACTGCGGTCCCCTTAGACTGCTTCGGTATGTTGTTCTGACGTTCTGTTTATGAGGTTCGCTGTACTGATGTGTACTATTTTTATAGAGCCAACCCAAAGAGACAAACTCCAGCTTATAAAATCTAGGTCTCACCAAGGCAGCGAAAGCTTAAGTCCTGTACAAGGTCCCGGTGAAACACTACCAGAGTACAACCATGTCCTTTTGCTTTGCCCTAGAGATGCGAAGCCTGCTGTGATAGTAATTGAGAAAAGGCGACCATTGCCCCAGCAATCAGTCAAAGCATATATCATTAATAGTGGTGAACAAATGACTTTGGTTTCAGTAAGGGAGCCTACCAAGATATCCTGGCTACTAATACGTGAGTGCCACAGCTCCATCTACAATATTCACATAGCTGATTGCTTCCGTTTAGCGTATTACTCTGATATGCACATCTGGAAGGCAAAAGACTATATTCAAAAATACTACGGTAGTGTCTTGATCGACAGTTGCTGCTTCGCGGGTCAATCATCACAGCTTGACGATAATTCGACGTTATTTGAGAACGGTGTCCAAGCGTACGACTATAATCTCAGCATGAAAATTACACCATTTTCCTCTTGAAATACTCTCTGCCATTCGACAAAATCATAGACGACTAATTGACTTCATTATAATATACATTCGTTCCACGCTCTTTTAGTACTTTTTATACACAATTACAAACTAATAGATCACTTTGCTTAAACATGTAGCATTTTATAATTCACATTTGATTCGACATTGTAGTTCGAAAGGTGTCACATGAAGAGAGGTATCGCTTGGAGAGGTATCGCAGCATCGTGATGTACGGGTAATTAAGATAATAAACATCGAGGATAATTGGTAGTAGTGATAAACAACGTCAAAAAAGCCAAAAAAAGCGAGTGCCAACATCACGGGTTTCGTAAGGAAGAGACCATTCAAAGTTCATGCCATACCTCCCCAAGGCCCGCGTATCCGTCGCGCTAGCTGGATGTCCCGTTGCATGATTGTTACGCGCTTCGCATGAATGGCACATAAGTTACTGGCATTGAAAACAACATGAGTATAAGCGCACAATAAGTGCGGGATAAAGTAGTACATACGCATCCTCAAAGAGATGAACGAGGTATGCTTCAGTCGCCTCTTGTAAAGCGAGCAAAGCAGAAGTCTGCCATCGAAGACCTGCACCAGTACTATAGTCCACCATGTCCGTTGTCATATCCATAGCAATTTCGCGCACCTGAACCTCACAATTAGTACACCACGAGGATACACTCGCGAGGAACACTACTCACGACTCGAGCAAAGGGCAATTTCCGAAGTAACAGATCCGTTGACTTTTGGTACCTCCGAATCTCCCTGAGAGCTACGGTGCCGGGACGATATCGCGTCTTCTTGCGTCCAGGTCCCGCGCCCTCATTACTTTGGCGCGGTTGTCTCGTAGCGTGGCTTGGAGGCCTGCCTCCCGTACTCTTACGCGCCGTCGGTTTCTTCTTCCTTGGTGGTGAATTTGAACCATCACCACCAGATTGCCGTCGCGTAGTCGATGTGGATGCACCAATACCACTAGGACCCCTCTGTACAGCAACGGGCATCTCAAAGAGGGTGAAAACGAGTGCGCTTGGCAGGAAGATACGGAGGGAACGAACGTGGAGAGGGGGAGGTGGTCTCAAATCGAAAGCTTGGTCTCAAATCGAAAGCTTGCCTGTGGCCAAATGTCTTTGTATTATGTAATTAAAAGATTCGCGCGACGCGTCCAAAAAAGAGACGCGTCTCAGCTTTTGTGATCGACGCCCTTTCACTTCAATCTTAGTTACGCCCACTAGCACTACACTATATGAAAGCAATCGACGAGCCTATTATATCTGGCTATTATCGCTACACTGATATTCTCTTCGAGTATCATAAAACATTCGAAGATCCGGCAGAAATATCTGCGTTTAAGGCGTTCGTATCGTATAACGCCCTAGGCGATCCAAATCATCCGCTATGTATCGACAAGGACAAAGGAATAGAACTATATATCGGTATGCTATGACTGAGGATCAAGAAACTATTTCTCTTCTATAAATACTTATTAAGTAATAGGAACGCTGCCATCGGGTCAGTTAAGATTGATGTTTTCGTCGGCGCAGATGGAATATGCGCGTTACTGGCTACATGCTATGGGCTTCACAAAGAAACTTTTCCCTCTTCCAGGCTCTGACTGGCTCTTAACAAAGAATGTCCTGCGTAACATATCGACGGCTCACTACAAGTCTGGAGACGAAGTAAAGTATGCAACTCGTGTACGTATCCTGCACTTCGGCCCCAAAAATCTTCTACCTTTACAAAATAACTTTCTTAATTAAATCCCACAGATGATAGATAAGAACAACAAGAAACTGAAAGGGACCGACTCCGCCTTAACCTCTTTTCGTCAAAATTTCGAGAAAGTCCGTGACTTATATGCATCCCGAAAAGGCACGTGGTTAGCAATAGACATCGAAGCCTGGGAGATGGACCATAGTGTTGTTACTGAATGTGGCTGGAGTTATCTTAGATGGGATGGAGAGACAGAGATAACTGATCGCGGGCACTATGTCGTCAAGGAGAACGCGATTTATACGAATGGAAAATATGTTCCAAATGCCAGAGAAGTGAGTGGAATATTTTATTTTATTAAATGCTGTGGCAGTAATGAAAGTTCTTCAGAATTATAATTTTGGAGACAGCAAAACATTGCGCAAGGCTGAATTAAAAAAGGCGGTCTACGATATGATGATTAATTTCCTGAATTCGGGCCCTTTGTTTCTCGTGTTCCATGATGGCAGTCAGGATGTAAAGTAAGCAGTATTCCCGTCATCTGAATACCTGTCTGATTCAATAGCAGGTACCTAAAAGGCACGTATTTTGACCTTCCTCCTGGGGACCTAGTGTTTTTCCTTCCGAGCGACACTCCAAAGAAAGGAACATTTGTCGTAGACACTACAGAGCTCTTCGGTGCACTGGAAGGCGAGGTTGGAGAGAAGCGGTCACTTGAAATGATGCTGCGTCTGTTGAAAATTGATGCAGAACATCTGCATAATGCTGGTAACGATGCCCACGCAAGTATTCCTCTTGCTATCTTCTTTCCGGATTTATACTGACAAACGGACCTTACAGTATACACTTCTTGCGTTGCGATCAATGGCCATCGGGAATCAGATTGATGTTCAGCGGGAAGACAGGTGGCCGAATCAGACAGAAGGAACGGCCGAGACGGGAACAAGCTTCAAAGTCAATCATAAACCTTGGGACTTAGACTCGGATTATTCTGACTTGGAGGGTGCATTTGGCCGGCCGGCAAATGCGGAAGCCGTTGAAAAGCATTTGGCTGGACTGTCTGATGATGAAAATGATGATTACTGGTAGAACGCCGAAAGTGTAGAATAATAATTGATAATTACATGTAAAATCTTGTCCCTCAGATTCGTCTTTACGCGTGGAAATGACGTATATTCTAGTTCAAATATACAGCGGTTTCTTGAATCTTTATAAACATATCTTCGGCACTTATTCATTTCTTCGATTCCTGTGTCTTGGGCAGTCCGAGCCAAATAAATGAAAATAAATGCCCAAGAAGGATATCCCCTTCTATTTCGGGAACTGACCTGTACCACCATTACCAAGTATTCATTCCATGTCCTTTGTCCTCATTTATATGACCAGTACATAACTCATGCGCTATTTATAAATGTGAATTGTCCTTCAATAATAATACTTGAAGATGACTCAGCTTGCATTGCGCAGTTCTTGAACAACAAATGTTTTATCCAGACTGAGCTGCAGTTGGATTCAGGGGTACCGAACATGGACAAGACCACCACCATCTCTGGCTACTACAGATATACGCATATTCTCTTTGCGTATCCAGGGACAATACAGGATCCAGGAGAAGCCTCTGCTTTCAAGTCGTTCGTCCATTACACTGCTTTGGGTGATCCTGCACATCCGCTTCGTGTGAATAACGAGAAAGGACTCGAGTTGTACATTGGTATGCATCCCCAGCTCATTAAGCTCCATCGCTTTCTGGCTGACCACTGGTAATACTAGGCACGTTACGCGAGGGAAAGACTCGCTTGATGTTCTCGTCCTCACAATTTGAATATATACGTTATTTGCTACATGCGACAGAACTGACCAAGGAGCTCTTGCCGTTGCCGTCATCCAAATATCTTTTGACAGAGTCAATGCTGACCAACATCTCGACCGTTTATCTGAAGTCTCCTATTGAAATGAAGAAGGCTTATCAGGTAAATAGCTCATTGGATTAATGCTATTTCTTCTAGACTGTCACATTTACTGCTCTACAAGTAGGTGGTCGAGAAAAACGGCAGAAAGCTAAAATGTGACATGAAATTGTCTTCATTTCGTCATACATTCGACAAGGTCCGGGACATATATGCATCTAAGAAGGGGACTTGGATGGCAATTGATATAGAAGCGTGGACAGTTCTGAGCTCGGCAATAACGGAGCTCGGATGGAGTTTTCAGCGATGGAATGATGACCAAGAGATGCAAGGACAGGGCCATTTCATTATCAAGAAAAATAAGAATCTCAGAAATGGTCAGCATGTTGCAGATGCACAAGACGTAGGTTATTTGCCAAAGGACTTTGGTGGGATTTGTGACTGATCCTTAACAAGAAATTTGCATTTGGCAGTAGCGTTGAGTTGGAGACAACAGAGTTCAAAAGCAAGGTCGATAGTCTGTTCACAGACTTGCAGAGCTCAGGTCCCCTGTTTCTTGTTTTTCATGACGCACACGGAGACATCAGGTAATTTCACACCACCTATCCATGTCCTAATGTTCAACTGAGTCTTCATGTATTTAGATTCTTGAACAACTCCGAATATTTCCCGGAGGGCCTCATAGACAACTTCATGTTCTCTCTCCCGAGTGGCATCCCTGATGAAGGGACATTTGTCATTGATACTACAGAGCTATTTAGCGCTCTTGAAGGAGACGCCCGAATGAAGCGCTCACTCGGCGACATGTGCCGCCTATTGAATATTGAAACGCTTCATTTACATAATGCAGGCAACGATGCTCACGTATGTCGGCCCCGTCCACCTTAAAAATGCATACGTTCAACTCTGACCATAACGTCTGCTTCCCAGTATACTCTGCTTGCACTGAAGACCATGGCGTCAGGAAACCAGGTAGATGCTCAACGAGAAGAGCGTTGGCCAAGTCGGACTTTGACTTCGACCGTAGAAGGATCCAGTCTAAAAGTTGTCTACGCCCCAGAGGACGAGGACTCTGATTACTCCGAACCAGGCAATGTCTGAGATGTTAATGTGGCTGAAGCCTGCTTGCACCAGCTCTTCTAGTCAATTGATCTTATGAAGTGTAACTTTTCTGATAACCACTATCATTTGTTTTTTGAGTGGCATAGCCCTACGATTCCATCTAATCTCTCCGTCCTTTGAGAAAACTGCCTCGTTGTAATCGTATCCAAAATGTCCCGCGACTACATTAGGGAAATGTTTAGCAGATGTGAAGTACAACATCAACTATGCAACACAACGCGTATAGCATACTCCAATCCACATCCTTCAATCCAAATAAACTCACTCATCCTTTTCGCCTTGTCCATCATCTTCGTCATCACTTCTATCATCGGTTGTGTTACCCGACTGCGCAGCCCTGCAAGTTATCCATCAGTCCAGAGCGTCAGAATATGTTATCTAGCATTTCCTTACCGGTAAGCAATTCGGAGAATGAGGTAGTACCAGAAGAAGTTAAGGAATAGCAAGAGGAGAAGGGGTACGAAAATCTGGTATTTCATCCACCAAACCATCCAGACGCCATCCGGAGGGGACCATCGTTTAGATGATTCGCTAAATAAAGCTTGTGGGTTGATTGCAAACATAACTTTCAGGAAACGTACGGAATGAAATCGAACTGTGTCCAGACGGAGTAAAGTATGATCATGTTCATCCAGAGACGGAAATAGCTGCAGGACAATCAAGTCAATGACCAATGAGCTCAAGCAAGTGTAGACGTACGTCCAAATAATTAAAAAGACCATAAGTGCAATAATTTTGGTTCGTAATAAGTTGAGTTTATTGCAGAGTTGAGAAAACTAAAGAATGAAGTTCAGTACGACAACCAGCGTATCTCATCAGTTTACTTACAGCTAGGAATGTGTCCGGGATGTCCATGCTGACAAACACCGCGTTGCCGATAAGAGTCAGGTTAATTCCATAGCTCCATCTAATCATAAGATACGAGTGTGAGCATTTGTCGGCGGAAAAGGGCTTTGAGACAAACAGACCCAATTAGCCAAAGAGTTACTAAATGATGGGCGACAAGTGCCTTGAAGTCCTTGCGTGGTTTTTCCAATTTTAGAGCAAGAACAAGAAGTTGCTGGATCCAATAAGATAGATGCATTAGATAGTACCGTTTTAGTCGGGGTTTCATGTCCCAATGAGGGTAGTCTAGAGCCTGTTTACTAACGTGCTTCGAAGTTAGAAACGCTCCTGTCCTCTGCTCACCTATCCAGTAATACTCTGTTCGATACCACCAAGTAGGAAGGCTTGCCATGATGTGCTACAGGCAATTCGTTAAAATGCGGTTGAAATCACTGGAAGTGTAGCCTTACCATCCCCCAGAATCCCATAGCACCATAGTACAACATCGCATACGCTTGTTCACCGAATCTATCAAGTTTTGCCTCCTTTCTGATACCCAATCGAACGGCCATCGGCCTGATGATTTTAAGCAAGACGAACTGACGAATGAAGGAGAAGACGATAATATGGTATGCAATGAACACGAGGTCCAGCCAGCCCTTCGCATAGCGTACATCATCCACGGCGGACTCGGATATCGGATACGAGATGAACAGCATAGGTGTGAACGGATTGGGACGGATCTTGAGGTAGTCAAAAATGATGTAGAATAGAGCTGACACCATCAAGAGCTTGAAGGAGGACGCTACTCAAATAAATTGCTCCGACCCGAGAGGTCAAATGTAAATACTCACATGGAACACGCATCCATCTCAAAGTCATGATGTCCGATAAAAGGCCCTTTGAATCATAAAATTCAATAGCAGGCTTTAAGTGCGACGGCCTTGGTGCAGATACTTCTGAGACTGTCGGCCTGTATTAAAATAGCATTCGGGACCAATTCATAATGCGGCAAAGTCGAGGTGTATTCACGTCTGAGGCAAGAATGGATCTGCAAGGCGATGATCTTTGACAGTCCTAGCCTAACGTTAGTACCATGGACGTTGGCTGAATATCGTAGAACTTACTCCATATCATGAAGGATATCCGTTACAGAGGACTTTCGTCGGCTCATTGACATGGAATAGTATTAAGAGAATCCGGGACACGATAAACTGTAGTAACTCTTCAGGCAGCCATGAAGTTGGAGGAAAACAAGCCAAGGGCACACTGTCAAGAGAAAAAGCGAGAGCTTGCCAGCAGCATTTATAGAGTTTCCAGACGGACGGAAAATGATGCGATCGCAACTTTTTCCGTTTCTTATCACATATGACAGCTTCCTGATTAGGTACAACTTGAAGTGATGCTTGGTACCTCTTCCTCTGTGCAGTTCAAATGCTTTTAGATATTTGAGTATTGACAGGGAAATACTCCATGACATGTTTCTGCCAATTTACCCTCCAGCAGCTCGATCATTTACTGTTTTTCCTGGTATGGGGTTGTGAGAATAATGACTTACCCTAATACGTCTTACCAGGCAAATTTGCTTTGAGTTTCTTTTAATCTAATTACAAGCAGTATAAATGGTGATTTTAGTCACACATTCAACAACGTCTGTCTGCAACGAACATGTGTCTAAAGATCAGTACGTACTGCTTGCACTGAAGTCCACGGCACCAGGAAATCAGGTGGAGGCTCAACGAGAAGGACATTGGTCAAGTTACCCTTTGAATTCGCCTGCTACGCCTCGCTTTTTAAGTGGCACGACCACTTGGCTCCTTGTTGTATCCAAATTTCTCCATCCATATCGAAAGCTATCTCCATGTAACTTGTATCCAAAATTCCGCAACTAAATTAAGGATAGGTGAAATGTAAAACCAGCCGTGTGACACAACGTATGTAGCACACTCCAATCCACAGCCCCAAAATCCGAATAAGCTTATCAGGTTACTCCTCCTTCTCGTCTTGCCCATCATCCTCATCATCACTTCTTTCATCAGTTGCGTTACCCGATTGAACAGCCCTACAAGTCACTCGTCAGGCCAGAGAGTCAGAACATATCATCTAACACCTCCTTACCGGTAAGCAATACGGAGAATCAAAAAGTACCAGAAAAGGTTAAGGAACAGCAGGAGGAGGATCGGTGTGAAAATCTGGTATTTCATCCACCAAACCATCCACACGCCATCTGGAGGAGACCATACATTCGATGATTCGCTAAAGAGAGCTTATGAGTTTATCGTAGACATAGTTTTTTTCCAGGACACGTACGGCATGAGATCGAATTGGGTCAAGACGGAATAAAGTATGACGATGTTCTTCCAGATCCGGAAATAGCTACGTGGTGATTAAGTCAGTGTGGATAGAAGCTCAAGAGTATACGGACAGACTTACGTCCAAATAATTAAAAAGACTACGAATGACACGGTTTTTGTCCGCATTAAGTCGAGATAATTGCAGAGTTTGGAAATCTAAGGAACGAAGTTCGTACGAAAACTACCATAGCACATCGGTTTACTCACAGCTAGGAATGTGTCCGGGATATCCATGCTGACAAACACCGCGTTACCGATAAGAGTCAGGTTAACTCCATAGCTCCATCTAATCATAAGATACGAGTGTGAGCATTTGTCGGCGGAAGAGGACTTTGAGACAAACAGACCCAATTAACCAAAGCGTTACGAAGTGATGAGCGACAAGCTCCTTGAAGTCCTTGCGTGGTTTCTCGATCTTCAAGGCAAGAACGATGAGCTGCTGGATCCAGTAAGAGAGGTGCATCAGATAGTATCGTTTTAGCCGAGGTTTCATATCCCAATGTGGGTAGTCTGCAAGTTGTTCAACCAACGGATTGAAGATAAGGTCTCTCTTGTCTTCTGCTCACCTATCCAGTAATACTCTGTTCGATACCACCAAGTAGGAAGGCTTGTCATGATGTACTACAGGTAATTCGTTTAAGTGCGACCGGAATAATCGAAAGGCGTAAACTTACCATCCCCCAGAACCCCATAACACCATAGTACAACACGGCATACGCTTGTTCACCAAATCTATCAAGTTTTGCCTCCTTCCTGATACCCAATCGAATGGCTATCGGCCTGATGATTTTAAGCAAGACGAACTGACGAATGAAGGAGAAGACGATAATATGGTATGCAATGAACGCGAGGTCCAACCAGCCCTTTGCATAGCGTACATCATCTACGGCGGACTCGGCTATCGGATATGAGATGAACAGCATAGGTGTGAACGGATTGGGACGGATCTTGAGGTATTCAAAAATGACATAAAGCAGAGCTGGCACCATCAAGAGTTTGAAGGAAGATGCTACTCAAAGTGAGATATTCCAGCCCTAAAGGATAAATGTAATTACTCACATGGAACACGCATCCATCTTAGAGTCTTAATATCCGACCACAGACCCTTCGAATCGTAGAAGTCATCATGCGGCTTAAAACGCGATGGTCTCGGTGACGACACTTTTGAGTCTGTCGGTCTGTATAATGACACTTGTCAGAACGCGTCCTGAATGCAGAAATAGGTGAGTATAGCCACGTTTGTGGTAAGAATGGACCTGTTAAGTGATGGTTCTTATCATTCCTAGTCCATAGTTAACACCGTGGAGGCCTAGCCAGGTATCATGGAGCGTACTCAATATCATGAAGAGTATCCGCCATGGAGGAGCTGCGTTTTCGACCGTTGATCATTGGCATATTATAGAATTTATAGAGTCTGGAACACGAGAAATAGTAGTTGTTGTTCAGGCAATCATGAAGCTGGAGGTAATCGAGCGAAGGGACACGCTGTCAGGAGGGAAAACGGAGTTTGGGGAGAGAAAACATCGAGCTGATCGGCATGATCGGCATGATCGGCGTTCGCCAAGCGCGACGAACTGAAACTGATATCATTACAGCGAGCGAGACGCGTCTTGGTCTCCTCCTGCATTGGTCATGTTCTCAAACTCAGGATTCTTCAATAACGTTCCGTGTCCAGACAAACACAATTGCAAGCGTCCTCAATGTCTGTTCTCGCATGCCCCCAATGCAAAGCAGCCAGTACTTCCACAGATTCCAGTCTCCACTCTTGTACCTGGTCCCTCTAAGGCCACCCCGTCAAACAATGCAATAACCTCGAACGAGACCCCTCAGAGGAAACCAATTGCAACGTTTCATACAATCCCATCTAAACGGGCCGCCTCGTCTTCAATCAAATCTTACGCCTCTACTGCTACTACATCTACTCAGGAGCCACCGAGAAAAGTTCAGAGGCTTGATGCCGCAGCAAAGAGCACGAAGGTGTCAGCAAGTCAGAAAACAGTACGCTCTACAACACGAACGTCATATTTTTCGTCACGAGTAGAAATGACCGACTTTAACAGATTGGTGTGCCCATCTTGAAAATGAGTCCAGCCCATTCAAAGGTTGCCATTCCCGTGCGACAAGTGAAGTGAACTTCATGTCCTGATATGTATGTGGCTTACAGCATAACTTTCAGGCTATGCTCAAAACGATATATGAACACTTTGCTGAGTTGTACTCGGACATTCTGGGACGAGAACCAAGCCTTGCCTCTGGACATGCACTTGCTCAAGAGGATGAAGTCTATCAATCGTCCACAAAGCTTACATATCGAAATGTGAGTGTTCCGCAGCGTGAATCTTCCTTTCTTCTCATACCTATTAGGCGGTCATATCCTGCGTAGCTTCTTTAAAGAAACGGAAAAAACCTGATTCTCTAACGCATGAATCCGTTGGCACTGAAGGTACTCTTCAAAAGCGACGCGATACGCATGATAAACTACGTGCCTTGAAGCTTACAAAGAAGCATCTCTCTCCACATATAATGCCTCTTGAAGCAATGCAGAAATGGGGTTTCATGACAGAGATACCAGACTCTCCTGGCAGCTCTAATCCCAGTGATGAAGGCAAGATAAAACAATGTGAACGATGTAACGAACAGTTTGTTGTAAAACGGAAAGAAGAGGCGGGTGAATGTGTTTATCACTGGGGGAGGGCAATTATGAATCGCATGAATGGTATGCACACCCTGTAATACACTTTACCACCCAACTAAATGCGCCTGCAGGAGAAAAACTAAGAGTGTGGAGTTGTTGTTCCGAGGTAGCTTCGGATACCAAGGGCTGCAGCCGAGGTCCACACGTCTTTTCTGAATCATCGCCAGAGGAGTTACACGCACGACATGCCTTCTCCTTTACGAGTCCTGCCATTGAGGATCCTGATACCTTAGATACTGCATTAGAGGTGGTATGCTTAGATTGCGAGATGATATACACCACAGGTGGTGTGCGAGTTGCTCGTGTGTCCGTTGTCGATGGCTCTGGCCAAGAAATATTTGATGAGTTGGTGAAGATGGATGAGGACGTTGAGGTCATGTCAGTCAATTTCCCTATACCTCTCTTTGGACCCCCCATTGAACAATTTATTGTTTCATAGAGATTACAATACACGTTTCTCTGGAATTACTGAAGAAGAGTACAAGGAAAAGGCTGTTCTTCCTTTAAAGTCCATACGACGAGCGCTGGATGCGTTCATCAACTCGGATACGATTATAATTGGACATGCCTTGGAGAACGATCTTAAGACACTCCGCATGGTTCACCTTAAATGTGTCGACACAGCGATTCTTTTTCCTCATCGTGCTGGACCACCTTATCGACGTGCACTACGCGATTTGTATGTATTCAATTCATATCACTATGATTCCGTTGCTAATTTGTTCATAGGACTCGCGAGCTGCTGAGTCGTAAAATCCAGACAGGTGGCGGCACTTCCGGCCATTCGTCCGTGGAAGACTCGATCGCTACTCTGGACCTCGTTCGTTATTTCGTAATTAATAATCCCGAAGGGAAGAAACCTGTAGCAGCAGGATCTACTACAGGCAAATCGACCATGACGAAAAGTACATAATAAACCTTTGGAAACTATATCAGATGATAATGAGTGAAAGGAGCAGAACAGAGGGACGCCCTCGTTTGTGAGTTGCATGATTTGATTAACGCAGCTTCGATGCAGCGACTAATGCGACGCATTGACCCTTCAGATACCGTAAACAAGTCAATCTATATTCACCTAGACAATCACCCCATTCGTCTCTTGAGGATACGCATACTTAGATTCATGCAAGATTCATCAAGGCTCAGTAATAATGCATAATGACCTGGAGGCAATCAAAATTTCTCTTCCCACTACATCGTATTAATACATCAAGAAACTATCACTGTCACTACAGACAGGTAATTGACCAAGAAATGACAACAAGCATATCCCATTCCGACGAATCAAGAACATTTTAAAGATGCGCTTTGACCTGATACTTCTTGAGTAGCTCTGCTTCCTTTTTCTTTGTTGCTTCTGCTCGTTTTACGAGTTCCGGAGCGCGTTTTAGTTCACGCTGGCCGATTTGCTGTTGATGTACCTAGGGAAGTTAGTGTAGCGTTAGTACTTTTCAATATAATTTAGAACGGCCGTCATACTTCGTCGGGACCCTGTCGAAGGGTATCAGCAACTGATACAGAAAAAGGTAAACAAGAAATGTACTAACATCAGCCAACCGAAGAGTCCGAAGACCTGCCCAGAGCTGCGCAAGTTCTTGATCTTGGCTCACACCCTCGGCGCCGAATACTTGGATTGCACGGTCAACTACCTCTAAAGCCATTGATGGCACGACGAACTGGAATACGCTTGTTCAATTTCCGTATCCTCAACAAGTGAAAGCAGAAATACCTTGGCCATGCCAATTTCTTTCAAAGCGCCCTTCGCGTGATATTTGTCAATCTATGTAGAGAGAATCAGCTAAGTACAAAAAACAACTATGGGTATTTTACTTGAAGTGCAGCGCTGAGCACGAGCAAACGTGCGCCCTCGATGTCGGCTCGCGACTGTGCGATATTGGAGATGACAGTGCCTGTAACGAAGTAATTTTAGACAATGAAGTCCTAATGAAGAATAAGACAAACCATGCTGATACAAATACTTTCCAAAGGTCTTCCTAGACGGATCTGTGACCCGAAGGATCATAGTATCCAATGCCTTTTGAGCAACACCAATGCAACGCATACAGTGGTGGATCCTTCCAGGTCTAGAGCCGGGTCAATTGAATTCTGTAGGGTAAGTTACTTTCCTTACCCAAGACGGCCTTGAATAATCTTTGAATAGATGTAAAAAGTATTCATAACGCGGAATACGCGGAACAACAAACCTCAAAGCCCCGGCCCCAACCAAGGACAAGATTAGAAAGCGGTACGCGCACATTCTCGTAAACCACCTCGCAGTGTCCCTCAGGTGCGTCATCATAACCAAAGACACGCATTGGTCTGATGACTTTCACTCCAGGAGTGTCAACCGGAACAATCACAACGCTTTGTTGCAGATGAGTGTTCTGGTTTGTCGGGTCACTCTTGCCCATGACAAGGTGCAGTTTTGTCCTGGGGTCTCCGGCGCCACTGATGTACCTAGAAATATTGGAACGTGTCAGTTACCACGTAATCACAGGTGAGACGAGTAATACGACCATTTATGTCCATTTATGACAATCTCATTGCCTTCGCGTCGAATAGACGTCTGGATGTTCGTTGCGTCCGATGAAGCCACTATGGAACACATCTAATCAGTACAAGACTGCACGCAGTAGATATTCGCACGAGCTTACCAAACCGTTCCGTCATTGAGAATGCGGATCGTATCTCGCCGTTAAGCAATGGAACAAGCCATTTCTTCTGTTGCTCTGGAAAGCCATAGCGCGCAAGAACCTCTATCCATTGCCCATCAGCATGATGGTAGGTGCAGTAATAACTCTACGCACCCATATTGCCTGTATCCGGGGCGGAACAATTAACCGCTTCAGAGGCAATTTGCCCACCCCGACCAAGAATCTCCGCCATGACGGCGTACTAAACGCCAGTAAGCACGGTGCCAAGTCAAAAGGGACATTGAAGCTTACTTCCAGATTGGTTAATGGCACACCAAATTCAGGATAATGAGCCTTGCTCAGAAAGAGATTCCACAACCCGAGTTTCTTCGCCTTCACCTTCAAATCCTCGACGACAGGAATGACTGTCTTCCATCGTTTCTCAGGATCTTCTGGTAGTTGTGCTCGCGCAACCTTTTGTGCTGGAATACATTCTTCCTGTAATGTTGAATCCGTTGGAATTAGCCCTTGGTTGTTTACAGAGTCAGTTATACTAACGTTAACGAAACTGATGAGTTTCGCGAGCGTTTCTTTGCCGTATGGTGTGAATTTATCTTCAACCTGAGGTAGACTCGTCAATGCACACATGAAAATAACAATTGAGCAGCCATACCAGAGCCCAACTCGACGGCGAGGTTATTTGTTCTACTGGGTGAGACGGCATGGTTGATTAATGGGAAGAGATGCACCCGTCACCGGACACAATCTAAAGCACCCGGTAAATTCAGTTACCGACTGCCGGAGACTTTTTGTACCCTCAATACCCAACAATTGCAAATAACGGCAAACAAGTTAGATTTACATGCAATAAGCAGATATACAGGTCTAGGTCTATGCTAGTAAGTAAAGAAGTTGTATTACGTACAATCAAGCAAAACTACATATTCAGCAAACATTTAGATGGTGCATATACATTCGACTTACGCACAGCGGGAGAATCCTAAGCTAAAACGAAAGGAAAAAGTCATCAGAAGACGAGAATAGTGTTGGCATAGTAGTCCAGAGACAAAAAGGTTAATAGCGGAGAACTAAGACAAGACGGATTTAAATAGGAATGGAATCTAAGCCTGTGCCTGCGAGACATCATTGTCCATATTAAGTTCTCCCAGCGAAAACGGCAAATCAGGATCGCCTCGGAATTCTCCACCGTCAAAGCCCTGCCAGAGGCCATCTTGGCCATCTCCGTAAATTCCAGGTGTATAGTTACGGATGAAGTCCAGGCCAGCAAATGGGAGGCCTGCTGTGTCAAATGACGAAGAAGGCGGCGCGTCATCTTGCGTGTCCATCGGCTGCTGCAGACCGAGCAGTGAGTCGAGCGTCGAACCGTATGCTAGGATGTTTTGGTCCAACATGCCCTGGGCCAGCGGATTGTACGATGCAGCGTTTGCATTTGAATTATCGGAGTCTTGTGAAATATTCTGCGACACATCTTCCTCAGGATGCGAGCTAGGATTCCAGTTCATAGATGATCCTGAAAAATTATAGAAATTCAAGGAGCTGGGATCACTGCGCGAGGGAAGTGCAGGCCCAAATATCGGAGAAGTCGGCATGAAAGATACTTGACGAGTGCCCATGCTCCTTCCAACTCTGTCCGTGAGACCTCCTTGCATGTTATCGCTAAATACGTTCTGCTGGCCACTCGGAGAAAACGCTGCAGCGAAAGATTGATGATGAGAATGTGGAGAAGAAGAAAATGAGGACGATGGTCCAGGATGCTCCATCTCATCATGTGCACGCTTTTGAGACATGGCTCTGCGGGCTAAATTGCCAACATATTAGCATTTATTGGGATGTAAAAGTATGTAAACTGACCTAATCCAGAAGGACCAGAGAGCGACGAACGGGACCCTTGCACAGACAATGAACGTCTCCGTACGCGCTCCCGGGCATCCCGAGATTGTCCCCTGGATGGTTTTGGTTTAATTACTCTGCCAGAAAATGAGCGCTGCAGGTTGGAAGATTGAGAAGGAGATGTTGGAGAGAGAGAGCCACCGAAGGGTGAGGCATCATTCGATCTCGCCACCGCCGAACCCTTGTTAATAGCATCTCTTGCCGTATTTGCTAGATCAGACAGGAGCTCCTTGCATTTTCGGGCACCTGGCCAAGTGCCTTCCCACGCAGAAACGACGCCTATGCAGCTTTCTGCCTCCGCCATTGCCGCGGGTGCGGCTTCTTTGTCCGGAATATGCATGGCATAGAGAAGTATAATGACTGCGGAGCTAAACAAGTGCTGGATGAAGAACGCCAAATGATGTGAGGACGGAACGACATTCTTGACTGATGGCGCCAATCGAATGCAAGACCGCGCAGTATGGACGGCCTTGAGAGATGACGTCATCCCGGTGAACTGACTCTGCGACAGCGGAAGGAAGTTTCTATGCAACGTCGTAAGAATCGAGTAGTAGTGACTGCATAAAACCGCTCCCATTGTCACTTGAGCCTCGGTAGTCGGGGACGACTTGAAGGTTGCTGGAAGCTTGTTACACCAGTCCAAAAGCTCAGCATCAAGACTCATTGCTTGTTCTACAAGCTCCTGGACTTTCTCGGGTTCAAGATGCTCCCTGAAGCTGTCGATGCCGTATATCTGGCGACAGACGCGACCCGCAATCCTGTACAACTCGCAAAGTGCAACAAAACCCATCATAAGTGATGGTTGGGTTCTCTGTATGTTGGCGCCCGAAAAGAACTCAGGTAAGTCTTCATCGTCAAATTCGAACGGATATTCTGCGTCACAATCTGAGTCTTCTATGCCTAGCGGTCGTCCAAGTGCCATAGCTAGCATACGATCCAACGAGTACACGCTCCAGAATACCTTGCGACGGACTTGCTTTTCCAGCGGCGTCATGCTTACATGGCGAGAGTATCTCTAGATGGGCCAAGTTCGTTATCTACTATCTGCAATAGGAGCGAAGGATGACATACGTGAAGACCCAAATCTTGAGACATGCGTACTGCCTGCCCAACAAGCAACCAGGCTTGTGGCAGGCAATTAACTGAGCAGAGGAAAGACGACAAGAGGACAATACACTGGACATGAGCTATTTGAATAAGAGGATGGCTGATGTAGTGCAAGATCAATGCTCTGCGGAATATGATTCAGAATCACAATTCGAAATGGATTATATCTTCACATACCGCTCGTAGAAGACCATCCCAAGTCCACCATCCTCTTTACCATTAAGTCGGGGATCATCCACAATACGCGATGCACAAGCGAAAACTGCGAAAACCAAGGCAATAAAGGGGGTCTGTGCTCGTACAATATTTGTATCATGTTTAAGGTCCATAAGATTGTTATAAGCGTGAAGGAAAGTCGTCTTATCAACCACTGGCAGCAAGAAATGCAGACGATGGAAGTAGGCCTCAATCTTGCAGGGAGCATATCATGAGTCTACGTAGCACAGACAATGAATCGGCTTACCAGTTTATCTGCCAAATCCCTGTCGGGGTATTCAACTTCTTCCGGACCGGGCAATGCATGCACCTTTCCGAAAAAGACAGACGCCGGGAAATAAAGTTTATTCGCGCTTGGCCCTGGTGAATGCGGGTCGTCCTCCATCGGGGAGACACGATGAAGTGGGGACGAAGTTAGAGCACGGAAGGACTGTACTAGGGACATGGTGGACGAGCCGCCAATCCAGCGCAAATGGCCGTGTTCGTCCAAGGTAAGCTGTCCGAAAGCTTCCGATACCTCATCGTCTTCCTTGCTCGAAGAGACGGAAGGAGATTTAGGCAGCGGAGAGCTTGATTGTTCAGACAGAGCTCTCTCTCTTCGTCCATAGGGACCACGTGAGGGACTAACTGATTGGTTTCGAGTGGTTCCGTTCTGTTTCTTGAGTGCTTCCACAATCCCTTGAACAGGAGCTTGGCCACCGCTAGGCGACTTCTCAATGAGTTCTACTATCGGAGCCACTTGCTTGAAAACTTCTTCCATATGCATAAGACGCGCTTCAAGTTCTTGGACATAGCTAATGTGGTGAAAAACCACTGTCAAGCACGAAATAGCATAAATTAAAGAAAAACGCACTGGCGACTGAGAGCCGCACGATCCTTTGTCTGCAACCACGTGCAATTCGTAGAAGCAGCAGAGCACTGCGAGCAGACGGGCTCGATGCCATCACACTTGATCTTTTTTCTCCTGCATATAGACACCGTTGGATCAGCACTAACGAGCCGAAAGATCGTCACCCACCGACAGTTCTCACATGCTCGCCAGACGCGTCGGCGTTGCAGCTGTATTGGCTTCTGACCTGCATCCGGCGGCAGAGGTGGGTCTTGAACGCGTTTCTTCTTTGTAGGCTGGTTCATCGACGAGGAAGCAGATGGGTTATCAGTCATAGTGAAGGTAAGGAGCAAGATTCTGGGTAATCGCACCCAAGTAATTACCGACGGATGTCATTGTATTGCCCGTGGGAACTGCACGTGGTTTGAGCATTGGCTTGGTGGTTTCCATTACATTCTTTCGTTCCTATTTGATGCCACTCTCTTTTTGGGTGGTCATTCATATTTGTGTCGCAGTGTCGCAGTAATGTAGGGATGTACTTTGTGTCTTGCCTCATTTTTGGGAAAGAAAAGATACTCCACCGGGCCGTATAAAAATCCCGAGTTGGAATTTGTCTCATTACGTAATGTGAACGGCCATACGCAAATAATACATAACAAACGTGAGCGGTATGACGCGCACACCATGGAGAAAATTCGCGTGGTCTTGTCACGCTTCACTAGGTTGTCCGTACCAAGGTCAACGAAATGGCTGACGAGGCTAACACAAATCCAACGCTTGATAGCGTCGATGCTGATGCAGCCGCCGATGATGCTGAAGCAGAGGTTTAGCACTTTGTCTCCATCTACTAGTTGCGAAGAAATACTAACAACCTTTTTCTCTGTTCACCTTGCTTATTTTTCGTGTTCATACACAACAGGAAATACTTGCGATGAAGTCAAGATTGGAGGAGATAGAAAAGGAGGCAGAGGCACTTCGGCAGATGCGCGAAGCACAGGAAAAAGAGGCGAAAGCTATTGCTGCTGTAGCTGCACCATCAGAGGGAGATGAGATGGAGACAGACGAGGATCCGCATGCAGCCGATGAACGAAGTGTCTATGTAGGCAATGTGAGTTTCTGCTTTAATCCTAAAGGAAGCTCTACTGAAGTGTGCGCATAGGTTGATTACGGTGCCTCGCCAGAAGAAATCCAGGCTCACTTCCAAGCTTGCGGGACAATAAATCGGGTTACAATCCTTTGCGACAAGTTTACAGGACATCCTAAAGGGTGAGCTACTCGAACCATGCCTTTTAACCTCTGACTGGCTTACAATAATATAGATATGCCTATGTTGAATTTGCGGAACCGTCTTTCGTAGAGACAGCACAGACCCTCAATGAGTCGTTATTCAAGGGACGTCTAATCAAGGTCGACTTATAATTCTATATCTTCCATGTACATGTACTGAAGGATGTCTGATATTCTAGGTCGTTCCCAAACGAACAAACATCCCTGGGTTTAGTCGTGGTAGAGGACGAGGCCGTGGAGGGTATAGAGGAGGAGGTCGTAGTAGGGGTTATGGATTCTCGCCATATCGTGGGAGGGCCAGGTAGGTATATCTCTAGAATCACTTTATTAATGAGACTCATAGAATTGCAGGGGACGAGCGCGGGGTTATTAGAGTCGACTGGATACTTTATATAGTGATTTCTGCTGTTCTTTTTTAATATTTCGATTGCTGTCACTTGTAATCTTATATTCATGAAAAGCGTTGTTCAGATGCGATGTTTCGCTGTCCAGTCTAATTTTTTCTATACTATGTTCTTTCCGTGATACATCGAATCCAGTGATTTTATTTCAACGCCCGATACAAGCAGCGTCCCGGAATTACCATGACTCTTAACAGTTGGTCAACGCGGATTTCGTTTGTAGTGAATTGCACGCATGCTATTGAGCGCCTCGCCTACTCGTAGGCCATACACCAGATACACGATTTAAAAGCTTTTTCTCGCCTCACCCCCGACATAGTACAGTATACCTCTATACATGACGACTCGCTGCTCGTAGAAACAAAGAGTAATGAGAAATACGGAACCGACATGTGCTAGTCATCGTTGTTTATGTCGGAAGGAGCTTCCCTGTGATGGGACCCAAAAGATATTGTCAGTAATGGATAGATGCAGGAAGATGACAGAACTTATAATGTATAAGACGTTATTACACCTTATCAAAGCGAACTAACTTTAGCATGCATTTATACATTGAACTAGAAGGCGGTACATACCGAATGAACACCTCGCCCAAAGCGCCGTTTGATTGTCCGTCTTGAAACTCTTCAGTGTTTGCTAACTGTAACGAAGTATATTCTTTAGTAAACCAGAGACAGATCAAGAGAAACAGACACTAACCTGAAGATTCATGTATCCATCAGTGCTGACGAGAAAGCCCTTGTACTCGAGGCCCCATTTTAGCCGTACGCAGACAGACTTGCCCGTCAGTTCTTGAAGAAATGGCTTCGGGTTCACTGGAGTGACCTGTACAAAGTGCAGGGTGGGTATCAATCCAAATGAAGTCACTCCAAGCTTGCAGTGTAGATACGCACACCTGACATGTCGAGATCTTTGAGGAGCGAAGGCCGCAGAAAGAAAGTTCAAGTCAGTCGTGTCGCGTTCTTGTCACGCTCCCCATGCCTAAAACAGATATTAGTTACGTAACGCGTAGGTCAGTCCTCTCAAGAGTGTGGTTTACCATATCTTCCAGTCTCTAGAGCATACCACTTGTTACCGCTTCCATACACGCTAGTTTGCACAATGTCTGATCGCGAGGGTGCGAGCGGTGCAGCCGCCTTGGACGACGAGCTTTCCCTACCCAAAGCAACAGTTGCAAAGATGATCAGCGGTGCGTACATGTTCAATATTCGACAACTCGGCCTGTATAGTTCTTTGTCCCCATTCCTGTTGCTGACGTTCGCTGTACTTATGGTAAGCTAGAGCTACTACCGAACGACGTTTCTTGTGCAAAGGATACGCGTGATCTGATCATTGAATGCTGCGTTGGTTCGTCTGTAATCGTGTTTCTTTGTTAACTCGTGTGGTTTATATGATCTTATTCACAGAATTCATACACCTAATATCCTCAGAGGCGAACGAAATATGCGAGCAAGAGTCGAAGAAGACGATTGCGCCTGACCACATCATAAGCGCTCTAAAAGTTGGTACACTCCTTTGCACTCATATACTCAAGACTCATTCGTAAACACAGAGACTCGGTTTCGAAGAATTCACGACTGAAGTAGAGGACGTACTCAAAGACCATAAGAAGCTGGTGAAGGTACGTCCCCCTTCATGGTTCTGAGGTATGGAGATGAATGTAAATTAACTGACCTTTTGCATAGGATCGGGAAAAGAAAGTCTCGAAGTTCGAGCAGTCTGGTTTGACAGAGGAAGAACTGCTTGCCCAGCAAGAAGCACTCTTCGCAGCTAGTCGGGCTCGTTTCGAGGCGAACCAGTAGTCGTCATCGGCTTATCGATATAGCTTTGTTTTTCGAGCGCTCTGCATCCTTTCTATTTTTCATATATATTCTCTCTGCTATAGTAATGTTATTTTTCTTCTTTTTCTTACGAGAGTGCGTGTATCAACGACATTCCTCTACAATGTATGTATACAATTGTGAAATGTAATTGTAATGCGATTCACGAATGCATGCTGGTTCTAAATTGTAAAACGGGTAATATTGAGTGTACCAAATTGAGAAACTGAGAAGAGGCAAAGTTCTGGACCTTACCACCAGTGGTTTGCACAACGCCTTCCTCATTCCAGCTGAAAAAAATAGATATTTTGCGTAATGAACTGATGAAGGCCACTCTTCAGTAATGCGCATTCAACCACTCCATTGCTGTCTTCAGGCACTCTGTATAAGTACCCTCAAAGTTGATAAAGGTGAACATTGAGCTGAGGGACTTACACCCTACCACTCTTCTCATCAGACAAAGCAGATAGAGAATGGCATCACCAGGATCATCGTCTGAAGACAAGACAAGCCAGCCGACCGAAAAGGACAAGCTTGACAAATACAGGAACGAACCCTTCCCTTCATTGTTTAAAAGAGATCCACAACTGAAAAAAAATCCTGAGCTGAATAAAACCCCTGGGCCCGACGCAGGGCAGGACGGAACAGTACAAGGTGGACCGAGAAAGGGCGCACACGGACCAAGCAAGAGACGGAAACCGTCACGCATAACAACCGATTCATCCTTGGTCTTGGAGGATATCAATGAAAAGGACGAAAATCTTGGGGCATTGGATCAAAAGGCGAACGATGAACCCAATACCAAGTGATTCATAGTGATACAAACAAAAGGTATGTATATATTGTCAAACTGAATAAGGTTTGTAAGTGTTGACAATATATAAATGAACTTATATCCAAGATCCACGAGAGGGATCGACAGAGTTGTGGAGTGGATGGTTAACTTACTTTAGACGGTAGTTAGCATCAGTAATTACTTGTGCCTAGTAGTTACTGTGTTATCTATTGTTAAGAAGACTCGTTCGGTATTATCTTGGGGGTCTGTAAACGTGACAAAACATATAGACAACTTCGTCAGTTGCTCTAGGCATCTGATTCTGGGTTATGTGGACAAGTCAATTTTTAAAGACAGGTCTCGGCAGGACGGTATGAGGAGTGACGGGCTTGTTATGCTACTATATTACTCCCGACCTGCCTTCCGTCGTCGTTAGAATGCGGACCGCAGGATCTACAGCACGCCACTGGAAGCTATGACAGTCCTAGTAGATGGAATTCAGTTGCCATTACACGTCCGAGCTTAAAGTATTTAACATGGGAAATGAAATGTAAACTTACTTTTTCTTACATCCCGAGGCAGAATCATTGCAAACGTCTGCTTCGCAGAACTTCTAGCCTTCGAAACGGGCCGTCACCATTCCACAATTCCGTCCCATCTGTATTGTGCGTAAGCTTTGGTAGCCCGAGCTGCTCGACCGTGAATGAGGCCGAAATACTCGCATGAAAGATTGCTATATTTGATATGTAGTATGAGCCGGGGAGATAACGGACGAAGATGCGCTTACTATACCTTCGAAAACATCGCCACCAGAAAGAAGGAGACCGGCGGATAATCCGCCCAAAAAACTATTTCCTGCGCCTTGACGAAGCATGAGATTTAGTCACCACCGGTCCAACAGCACCGGGAAACAACAGGAGAAGAGAGTATCACCTGTTACATCGACGACTCTTTCGCTATTGGCTTTCGACCAATATGCATCGATCCAGCGCCCAGGATGCTCACGGCTTGCAGCGTAGGCACCTAAAGCACCACTTCGGATAATAACACATCCATTCCCATCGGGCCCCACACCGAACCGAAGGAACCGATCGCAGGCCTCCTCGATATTCTCTTTTGTCGGAGGCTGTTGCATTGATAGAATAGACAAAGCTTCTTCTGAATTGGGACTGTGTAGCGCGAAAGTATAAAGTCAATTGCACAATGCGATGTGTCGTAACAATGTCTACCTGAGTATATCAATGTGAGGAAGCACAATCAGGAGTGCAGGGAGTTCCTCGGGAACACATCTATCCTTGCTTGGGCCATTCATGTCAGTGATTACGTCCCGCGAAAGCAATGCAGAGGAAATTCGAAGTCAATGAATTGACACGAACTGGAATCGGTTCGTAGATCGTCACAGGCTTCCAGCTGGGAACGGCGAGCACCTCCGAGATGATCGCGTGTGCACGAGTGGGCGAGCATATGAAGTGCAGTGTGGCAGGCTGGTCAAGATGCGTGTCTCGAAGATCAGATGGAGTTAACCTTCTCCTCGGAGTGATATAGTTAAAGCTATACAAGAGAAATTTTCAGGTCCAGCTTCGAGGAAGAGAGGCGTGTGCCCACCCTCTACTGTCTCCACGATAAATATTAACTGCGCGAGTGGTCACGCGTTCCGAGTCGTCTCTATATAACCACATGTCCTTCCCGAATGCATCTAACTTGGACTGCACTTCTGGAGGGAAGTCTCCCCCGCGGTCGATGATCATGCCAATCTTGTCTGGAGGTAGCCTTAATCCATGGCGATAAGAGAAATGCTCGGGATAAATATGTTTAGATCTAGATTAATCAATGCAGAAAGACAAACCAGATTCTTGCGCCGATGCTTGCATACGTTCCTCCGCCACCTATCTTCGAGCGTACAGTCGGAATGTGCGGAAACTCATTTTTATATAATTTTCACCTGAGGCTCCTGCGTTTTTCCTGTTGGATTTCCCTGTTCGTAAATTCATCGATAATGAACATCCCCAGTGTTACGAAGTGGCGTCCCATTCGCGAATACGAAGTTCAAAATCTATGAAAGTGTTCGCGGAAGCTTGGTGAACAGTGATAGTCTGGTGGTGGTATCGCGATACAACGAATAGGGATCTCGAGTTCTTCTTATACTTCGTCTAAAAAAGGAAGTTGATGAAGTTCGATCTCCGTCTGTTCTGTGTTCCAGCATCGCTGTACTATCATTACCACTGTGCAGCGCTCTCTCATTTGCTCAGTGTATTTGTCCACAAGCTTCATTTGGTGCCCACATGAATGTCTGGGCGGTATTTCTCTCTGACGAATGTTTTACCGAAGACGTACGCGCCTTGTATTTTTTTTCCAACTGGTGTGGATATTTATCCTCCTCTTTGATTATCCGCCAATTATTGTCCTCGATTCGCCATGGCCTCCGCCAAACTTTTCTGAAGAAGCTGTATGAGACTGGTCTCGAACTTGTAGATGTGGAGTCGCAAGCACGCATCAGGCGCTTCTACCACAAGAATGACTCTTATCGTGAGGCTTGTCCATCTATTCAGCGAGAAATGGAACACGGGATTCACTCCTTCATCTGAACGAATTCAACGGCGGAAATGCAACTACATCGCACGACATAATGGGTAGGGTGCTTGCTCGGCAGACTGCTGCCTCGACTCGTCCTCAAGCAGTTCGGGATTTCGCCGAAGAAAGCTACCTTCGGCCGTACCTCGTCCGGAAAACCCTTTGTTGTAAGTAACACAGTCATATTCCTGCTCCATTCGAATCTACACAGCGGAAAACTGGGAGCTTCAGCAGCTATTAACGTCCTTCTTCCCCCCTCTCTGCATCCTTATGGTCTTGCGAAACCCCCTTAATGTTCGGAGAGTATGTCCAACCTTGAGCAAACGATTGGATTCAATGTCTCTCATGACAACGAATACGTCGTCATGGCCTTCCAGACTCGTGAGTCTTCAATTGGAACACATGACCCTGCAGGCGAAGATGCACCCCAAAAGCACGCGAAGACCGTGGACGTAACTGCTATCGGTGTCGATGTCATGAAGGTCACTCTCCCAAGGTACGAGAAGACGGCGAGCTCATTCATACAGAGCATCTCTGATACGGTGCGTATTATACCCAACTCTGGCACACGAGCGGCCAACTGCTTCCAAGACGGAACCTGGCACTTTCGGAGTTTCTCAACGTCCACCGTGATCTTATCTCCAATTCTTCCAGTCCCCATTCGATACGCCTTTTTCTCGCATCCCGTCTCGCACGCTAACTTCTTTGTCAGCTGACCCCACTTGAACTGCGCGCACTAAAGGAAGCCGCCGAGAGCGATGACGCACTACAGCGCCTCTATCTGGTCTGGACACTCAAAGAAGCATACACGAAGGCCCTTGGTCTTGGTCTAGGATTCGATTTTAAACGCATTGAAGTTGACGTGAACGCCCTTCGCGTCTATGTAGATGGAAGCGCACCGACCGGTTGGGAGTTCACGGCATTCACTCTCGAGTCGCAATCGGGAAACGAGTATCAGGTCGCCGTTGCTCGATTCGTAGAACCTGTTGTTGGTGAAGCAAGTGATATTTGGGGACAAGTACATGTGCGGGGTCGTGTGGACGGGAAGACGGACATCGGGACCTGGTTTACGCATTATGACGCAGCCACTTTTATCAAACGAGTTGCCGATTGAAAAATAAGCGCGAGATTCGCGGAACTCCATACGATTCTATTAGTGAATACGATTACAATAGCTAAGAATATAGTAATTTTTAATGTGCCAGAATGTTGCGATAGATAACAAGAACCCATGACCAAAAGACAGAAACAGCAAAGTCTAATACAAACCGGTGTCAATGGCATCTTCACCAGGCGATTCGTTTGGTGTGGCGGCAGCAGCATGTGCCCTAGCCGGACTAGGCTTAACATGACCGCCCTCCGCCGCTGCATCCTTCCAGGAAAACCACCGGAAGCCTGCAAGTTCGGCGCTGACCAGCTCGGGAAGCGTGGAAAGTATCTGAACGACCTGACCGTAAAATGTCTGCACGAGGCAGGAAAAATGACAAATTTGGAATTAGAAACGCCGACGATCAAGCATCATTTAGTAGCAGCCAAGCTCACCTCGTCAGGCTGATCAGAGGCATGATACATCGTCATGATGCGAAGGAAGTGGAGGTGTGGGAGGCTCTGTGCCAGGGACCGCAGAATGGATGGGGATAGCGAGTGCGTGAGTGCACCGAATACGGTAATTGGAGAAGAAGCGCGCGAGAGCGCGTCAAGAACCTGCTCTGAAAGCTCCCCAGGGTACAGATGCACACTCTCAAGCGGCCGGCCTGGGACGAGAACCGCCGCAGCATCACTTGGTCCCATGTAACACGCGAGATTGGGGAGCGCGGAAGCCGGCAGCACATGGGCGGACGGCGTCCTGGAAGATGAGGACAAAGAGGCCGCGTGCTCGCCGAGCTGAAGCTCTTTGACCGCGGGGACGCGCTGTAGAAAGGAACAGATACTTTCGTCGAGTGGCAGATTACAAGAAAAGTGGACGAGTCGCGTGTAGAATGTTCCGTGCGTTTCGGCTGCGAAAAAGGCACGACTGGCGGCTTGAGGGATGACCACATCCAGAGAAGCGAGGTTGTGCATATGTGCTATGCCCGCTCCTAATAAATCCACAAATGGCCGAAGCAGGGAGGCATTTGGATCGAGTCTGAGCGACAGCGTGCGGACATGGCGAGCAAGTTCGGGTCTCCTATGTAGTGTCTTGAAGCAGCGAACAGCATGCGCAGGCTTTGTGAGCGCGATGCGCCGGTAGAGGTAGCGCTGAGCAAAAGGGCAGAACAACGGGCTGGCGACAGCAAGGGCAACGAGGTCGGGCTGGTCAATAAATTGGCAAAGGACGTCGAGGACGTCGAGGGGAAGCTGTGCGAGGGGCATGTTCGATGTGGATGAATGGAGAGGAAGAGAGCAGAGGGCTCGTCTTAAGTAGGAGGAGGAGAGGGACGGCTAAAATAGTATTTGATTCACTTGAAACGATATCAATATATCTGGCTTACGTATGCATTGTCCTACCGCTTATGGGGCCCACAGCCTTGCCTCCTGCTACTGGACCCTGCACTCAACTTGCCATGCTGCACGCTGCGAGGCTTGTTCGCCCTCGGCCTCCAGCGCATGTCGCCCGCCTGTCATTCTCTACCTCCTGTCTCGCAAAAACAGCCGCCAGTGCCTCCTCTCGCCATCTCGCGTTCTCGGGTATTTTATCTCTTCTCTCTTTCATTTCTGATCACTTGTTCATTTCCCAATTCTTTCCCGTTCCTCCTTCGTTTCTTAAATTACATTCAGGAGTATACCCTGTCCGCACACATGACTGCGGCGCACTCAGAGCTTCCGATGCAGACAGAAGTGTGGTCTTAGCTGGCTGGATTCTCCCGCAGAGGTTCGTTCCTGCCGGAGCGGTTCGGACATTGTACTCTATGAACTCAGTTTACTAACGCACTTATTCATCACTGTATCAGAAAAATATCAAACTCCGTTTCATTCTTCTCCATTAAAGACTCCAGTGGCACAACGCAACTTGTACTCAATAGGAACAGCCCGCAGAGCTCGAAAACTCTAGATGTGCTCTCTACCATTCCCGTCGAGTCAGTCGTTCTTGTTCAGGGATCCGTGCGCGTACGCCCCCAGAAGGCCCACAGGAAGATCGTGAGTTTACTCATCTACACCCCGTTTATACAGTATCCGAGCTCTAGGGCCACGTATTGCGTGGAAGCATTAGCGCCAGTCTGTTGTTGAACCTGCTCGCTCGTCTGCGCCGAGAAGACGGGAAGCCTGTAGAGTTACAAAGAATTGGCCGAGAGAAGCCCTTCCCGAAATGCTATGAGAATAATTTGCATCTTCAAGATGATCTGGCGCCAATCGCAGCTAGGTTCTAAGGTTCCATCTTCGCATATATCTGGCAATCACCTTGCCTCTGACTCATCCTCTGATTCTAATCGCTCTTCGTCCGACTTAGAGTTCGCGCTACATATCTTTATGCGCAATTGTAACTAACTATTGGATTGTAGGACCCCACCGGTGAAGTGGAAGTTCTCGTCAAGGAAATCATTCTTCTAAATCCGGCTGACCATGTGTCGATGCCATTTCTACCGTCGGATACCAAGAATATTGTGCGTCCACTTCGAATAATATATTGGCGACTCAACTGGAGACGCATGTCCTATTTAGGCTAACGATGAATTGAGAGCTCGATTCCGGCATCTCGATCTTCGACGCCAACCTCTGGCCGTTAACCTACGCAAAAGAAGCCTCGTCGTACACGAGATACGAAACTTCCTACATGATGAAGGTTAGCTACCGCACTCGCGATGCAAACCTATCGCAACTACTTTGACGAGATGATGTGTAATAATCTTGTCAAACCTTAGGTTTCATAGACGTCGAGACACCCATGCTTTTAAAGTCGACTCCGGAAGGAGCACGGGAATTTCTTGTACCGACACGTTTGTTACAGCAGGATTCAAAGAACAGCAAGCGAGAGCCTCAATTCTATTCCCTGGCTCAATCGCCACAACAGCCGAAGCAGCTTCTGATCTGCTCTGGGGCAGTTGATAAGTATTTTCAGATTGCGCGCTGTTTCCGCGATGAAGACGGGCGAAAGGACCGTCAACCCGAGTTCACACAAGTTGATTTGGAGATGGCCTTCGTATCGTGGGGTAATCATGCGGGCTCGCCAGACAGCGTTAAAGAATCCGGAGATAAGTGGCGTATCGGCGGGCAGGAAGTTCGACGTGTCGTCGAGGCACTCGTGAACCGAGTCTGGACTACTGCCCATAATGCCGATCAGAATACCGTTCTTCCTTCCCGCTTCCCTGTCATGACTTACGCCCAAGCTATGGGTCGGGTGCGTCGCGTGTTTGGAAAACGAACCTTTCATTAAACGCTAATGTGACCCGTCGTTGCAAAGGCAGTTTGGCTCCGACAAGCCTGATACACGATTCGGATTGGAGGTAATGTTTTTCTATTGCCGGATCGGACCACCTTCTCAATACTCCCACTGTCAGATTAACGACATGACACCTATGCTTCTATCGGCGACTAGTGATGTTCTCGTCTCAGCGGGAAAGATCGTTGAGTATTTCATCGTACGTAGAATGGACGCTGCCTTCTCCAAGGCATCACTCGCTTGCCAATCCGAATGGTTTGATGGTGTGGTACGTTTTAGTGTGCACGCGGAGATAATTATGTCTCTTATCGCTATGATGGCTGCTTTACTGACGCTTCACCTGCCTTAGGAAGCAGCGCAAATAACTAAGGACAATCTTGACAATTGGCTACTCCAAAGTACACTCCTACGAACGGAGTCGGCTCCGGTTTTCCCGACTGCCAGCGATACAGCAGCACTGAATCAAGCCCTTTCCATACAGCCTGGAGATTGCATTTGGTTATCACGGAGAAATGCCGTGGCTGAGGTCCGCACCCGCATCCCACCTTCCAGAGTAATATTGAGTTTCATTTGATAGGGTGGTGCGACAAGTCTCGGCAAGGCCCGTCTTCGTATAGCCCAAGTTGCAGAACAACTTGGTAAGTACTTTATCCCGTCTGTCCCGCGAACCATGTTCATCCGTATTCAGGCACCTATATGCCACCAAATCAGCCACATTTCTTATGGATCACGGAGTTCCCATTGTTCACGCGAGCGGACGATGATAAGGGCTTTCTCGCAAAGGGCCGTTGGAGCAGCTCGCACCATCCTTTTACAGCCCCAATGTGGCAAGACATTGAAAAGCTTTATGGAGGCGATACCGCTTCAGTGCGTAACCTTTCCTCTTACGCCTATGCGCCTTCAAAAGCTTCCGGATCGCTGACGGTCTGGATCTCCATTGTTAAATGCCCTACTTCTTTCACGCGTGCGCCACACGACATGTGATGCATGCCATCCTATCACGCCCCCTGCTCCTTTAACCAACTGTCGCCATTCATATGTATACGTGAAACGCGCATCAATCCGAATTATACATCCGTCGATTTGCTTCACGGCAATAGGTCCGAGGCCAGCACTATGACCTCGTTCTTAATGGGGTTGAGATCGGCGGCGGCTCTGTCCGAGTGCACGACCCCGCAATGCAAGAATTCATTTTTGACAAAGTCCTCGAGGTGCGATGGTCGCCCATCCCGCTTATGCGTTCGGGAATTAACCCTCGTTCCTCGTTTAGCTCTCGGCAACAGAAAAGGCTTCATTTGAACACTTGCTACACGCTCTACGGTGCGGAGCTCCTCCCCATGGCGGCATTGCGCTTGGTACGTGTATCTCATAAACTACAACTTTATTTACGTTTAATGATCTTCGTTCTGTTCGTTGCTTCATCTCCCTTAATGAATGTTCTACAGGCTTTGACCGCCTTATGGCGATACTATGCGGAACTCAAACCATCCGGGACGTCATCGCATTTCCGAAGACCGGAGCTGGGACAGACACGTTCTTTAAAAGCCCGTCTGCCGTCAGCGATGATGTCCTAGCACAGTATGGAATCAAGAAGATTTAGGTCCTGCACTCATACCTCGGTGCACTCATACCCTTGGAGACATTGGTGCAATGCGGAAAGGGCTTTTTGGTGGAAATAACTGGTATCCTAGGAGACATGTCCTAATTAAAAGTAACATACATATCTGCACACATGTACGTAGACTTGAACGTCCATGACCCCCAACTCAATTCTTTAAAACCGGAAGCGTTACGTCGTGCCTACATGCATTGAAGAAATGAACTTGAATAATATGAACAAATGACGATTCGTGAAAGACGAACGGATGAGTGAAAATAGATTATGTAAGTTAAAATCGAGTTGTGAAATAGTTGAACATATGCAAACGGAATAATACACAAGAATACCGAAGGCTTGAAAAAGAGAAAGAACGTCCGTTGCGCAATCATTTTGATGTCACAATAAAAAAAGAGGGGACGCTAGACTACCCTCGTTCGACATCAGAGTCTGCTGGCGCTGAGTGAGTGGCACGTTCGTCGGGTACTGCCGTACTACTTGACGTCTCTTCGTTCCCTCGTCCCTCATCCTGCCTAGAAGTCGTTGACTGCGAGCCCCACACAGGTTCCTCTGAGGCAAAGGCACTCTGTAATCCATTAAGACTCGTCTTCGCCTGCAAATCTCTCTGCCTTACAGTCTCCGTGCTCGACTCCCGGTTATGCGCGTTGAACGAAAAGTTCGGCATCGTAGACGACATTTCCGGCTCCGATTGCGATTGCGATTCCGATGGTACACGCAAGCTGCTGCCGGTTCCTCCGGATTCGGAGACAGAAGAGGCTGCTTCGCTGATCGCAGACAAGGACTTGCGTAACCTTGACGCTACGTTTCGTACTCCACTTGGACTCCTGATAGGCGCTGGGGCGGGAAGAGAGCTTCCAGAACTAGAAGCAGAACTCCCCGGGTAAGAAGCCCTGCGAGACGAACTCGGTGGCGAAACTGTACGGTTCACAATCACTGTCGCTGCGCTTTTGGCTGTTGGAGGCGGGCTCGGAGTCGGAGTGTGCACGTCTGCCCAGTCTGATGCTGAACTCCCCCCAGCATCATGCTCATCCGTCCATGAAGCACCACCAGGACTTGCTGCAAAGCTTGACGATGGGTCAACCTCCGTAGAATGTATCTTCGGGGATGGTGTTGCAGAGTTATCAAAGATGGACAACGGTGCGAGGATGCTGAATATTTGATCTTCCGTCTTAGGGGGACCATAAGAGTCAAAGGGATCCGGAATAGACTGGAGCATGGGCTCTATCACTGGGTCGGACCTAAGAGTAGCAGAGCTTAGAATGAAACCACAAAATGTAGAATACTACCTACGCTTTGGCCGAAAACCGGTCAATAACATCCAAAGTCGATCGGACTACTAATGAAACCTGAAATATCAGGTTAGAAAACCATAATTAAAAATCCGTATGACTTCCCTACCTGCCCTTGAACGAAATCCCAGACCTCTTCCTCATGTTCAAGAATCTCTTGATAATGAGACACCCTTAGCTCGTCAAGTTCTTCGATCTGCCGCTGCAGGACCGCTAGAGCTTCCCGGAAACTCTGCAAGTCTGAGCATTGTGAGTTAACAATGCGGCAAGAACGAAGAGAGTATACGTTTCCTCACTTCTGTTCTTTTTCCGCCCGAGGTTCATATTCTGCGTCTCTGTCTGGTGGATAATCCTACTTTTCTCCCTTAGAGCCCTTTCATATGTTGCGGAACGCTCCTAGGAAACAATTATACTTGAGTACACGAGAAATGGCGGAAAAGTTGGAGAAATAACTCGTACTGCTACGGTGGCACGGTATGTCTCAAGGTGTTGTCGTAATGGTCTCTCAAATCGTTTGTCAAGTGAATCACTCTGTGAAAATTTTAGAAAGAGTTAGATACAAGGTATTCTATCCATTGCTCACAAGAACATGCCAATGGTTACCCATTAGATGATGTAGACCGGATGCTGCCAGGAGTCGCGACCCTGATAGATACGAAGTTCCCTTAAGACTATTTGACCCTTAGTCTAGCTGGATAACAAGTTGTAGCATCGGACATACCTTGCACAAATTTCCATAGCATCAGCGAAGTCAGCTGTAGCTTTCGACATGTGCATTAAAGCATCTCGGTACGCAGCAGAAGTATTCAGGAGCTGTCAGCACAGCACGAACAATCAGCCCCAACTCAAGTAACACACGACACGTCACTATTAATGTGATAGTAGCTCACATTCTCATATGCCTGGAGACTTGTCTTCAAGTCCGCCCGAGTGATGATTTTCTCTGGTGCATTCGTACCGAGGTCCATTTGGGATGCTTGCGTGGCTTCTGAGAGTGTAGGCGATAGAGCTCTTGGTGTCATCGCTGCGACATTCTGGTTTAATGTCAAAGAACGCAGAGAACGAGGTTTTGGCATCCCGGATTAACAAAATGGTAGCGTAGTTCAACCACGCTGGTGGGATGAAGCGTGTAGTGTAGGGAGTATCGCCGTCGGAAGGGTGCTGTTTACGGAAGCGGTGATCGGCGCTACGAACGTTATTTACTAGTACTTCTACTAAGTTATTAAATGCCAAAACAAAGAGGTTCACCGCCTCAAAGAATTCACTACACCGCGTGGCTTATGCTGAACAAGTGCATTTCAACGGTTGCACATGTGTTATTGTATTTGTTATGGAGTTCTTTGCTTCAAGTTGTACACAGGATTGGCATGGTCGATTCATTCATCTAAAACTTATTCTTTTCGGAACCTTTTTTGTCTTTGAAATCCATCGTGAAACAAACGAAAGTATGATTTGTTAGACTGGGAACAGATCTTAAAGGCATTGCAATAGATGTGATTAAATGACGTAGACAGATGATTGCATTACATGGTGACTTGGCGAACTGGAAAACCCGAAGGATACCAGCATAATTTATGACTGCTCCCTATAAACAATTATGAGATAAATCTTCCGAGAGATAGTTCATGAATGCACTGCATACCTAGCTATCCGCGCATCTACCCTCGGACTCCAGCAGAGATAGCAGTCATCTTATCCGGCTGATGACGCAAATAGAACAATTTCGCTCTCCTCATCCTCCTTCCAGCTCTCCCGCCTCCTCCACCAGCCCTCTGAATCACCGAAACACTCTTCAAATCCGGCGAGTTCACGAAAAACTGCATCTCCACACCAATCTTCTGCACCACATTCCGTAACGTGAAACTCGTATGTGGACCACGTCGACGTACGGCGAGGAGTACACCAGAAAATGAAAACGGCGCTTGGTGCGTATGGACAGTCAGGACGGAGCCCGGTTGAAGACGTTCTGGATGTCGTCTACTGAAAAGGACATCGACCATGTGTCGTTTTTCTGGTGCAACGAGCGTTTTTCGTAGATGTTCCATGAGTCCCTTGCCTTTTCGGAGCGCGTCGGTAGGCGGTATAGGTTCAGGGATGGCAGTCGCAACTTTGGAGTATGGATAAGGAGAGACTGCCGTAGACATTCGTCTTACAGCCCATCTTGTAAGGTTTGAGAACATGGCCGCGTCCGTTGGAAGAATGAGCTCAGGTTAACAGACAGGCTGCAATTGAAAATAAGTACAGCCGGAGAGACGCAGATCACCGCTGATCATCCTTAGGCCACTTGTTCTAATGCACAAAACATAAAACTCAATTCAAAGGATAATATCTTGACTACTCAGTATACTAACAAATGTCATATTATCATAGGTCAATCATCAAGTAATAACATCCTAACTCCCGACTGGTTGTGAATTCCGTTGCATTTCAATCAATCGCTTTTCAGGCTTCTTTCGCAGCGTTTTCTACAATTTCCCTCAAGTTGGGAATGCGAGGTTCAAACTTGACACGAAAAGGTAACGGATGTGTGTTCGCCGTATCCGTGAATGCGAGGCTATCGATAGGTGAAGACGGGTCTTGCGAAATATTGAAGGCCCACAGAAGAAACGCTGTATTGATGAAGACAGAACGGTTAGCAACATGTTGTCCAGGACAAACACTGGAATGAGTCGTTAGCATCAGATTTATGAGCGAAGCGGGAACAACTATGAAGTAGCACTTACCGGCGTCCAAATCCAAAGTTGAAGTATTTTATCTTCTCGTTTATCTCGCCCGTTTCGGTTATCCATCGAGATGGTATAAACGACTCCGGCTCTGGATAAAATTCCGGGTCTTTTCCGATTCCCCTACAACGGGTCAAAAGGTATAAAATAAATGTTTAAGCATACCAGAAGGTAACTTACCAATGGTTCCCAACAACCGTCGCACCTTCTGGGATGCAGTACTGTCCGTAGACGATATCCTTAGTTGCCCGGTGCGGGAAACCACCGACGCTAACGGGGCGCCATCGGTATGTCTCCAGATAGAATGCGGTGACCTGCACAAGTTTACTAAGTTAGCGAGCAAAGTTATCGACAGACCTATAGCGTACGGCAGTTAAGGCATCCATATCGCCGAATGAAGGCACTGTGGAGAGGGCTCAAACTTTATATACTAGGATTACTGATTAGGAGGCGTACTTCTTTCTCGCCCGACCACAGCATCGAGCTGTTCTTGAACATGACGTTGCATATCTGGGAACAAAGCAGCGGCCATGATAACGATACTGAGAGCGGCTGCGGTCTGAGATAGATGTTTAGCACTGAAGATGATGCATTCGCCGAAAAAAAACTGACTGTATCCGAGCCGGCACCAAACATTGACCCGGCAAGATACGCTAGCTCATCGTCGCTCAATTCAAGCTCACCTTGCCTTTCAATAAGATATTTTGCAAAACAAGGCTGGGCCTCGTTTCGTCGCTAAGAAATTCATTAGTGCAATCGCTCCACGGGTGATAGCGGGAAATGTACCATGCGTTCTCGTACGCTGTCGAGTTGCGATCGGAACAAAGCAAGTTCTTCTTGATGGAATCTTTTTGGTTCGCTAAGGAACCCAGGAATGAAACGTAAGAAAGGATACGCGTCGACAAGGTAAAAGCCTGGAGTCATTGCCCTGCCAAGCCGGAAGAGGCATTTGTTGACTTCCTGAACCTCTGGATCGGAGTAGGAAGTGGGTGTTTGTTTTCCGTATGCTAAAGTCATGATAAAACTCGCTGCGTATCTTGACAGAACATTCATCAGTACCAGTTTAAATCAATTCCAGTCTCTCCTACCTTTTCGTATGTTCAATGTGACGATCTGGCTTTTCCAATATGTCAAGAATAACATTCCTTGCGTTTCGGGCTTGTATCGGCTCGTACGCTTCAACAACTTTGAGGTGCATTTGTGATTGCAGTGCTCTGATAATTGAATCAGAATTGTGATTCTGCAACCAGAATGTTGTGTGCTCACTTCCGTAATTTACGAAACCTCTCTCCATGGCGGACTAGGAGAATTCTCTTGTCCCCTGACATTACTTCCCCCGCGGCGATGACACGCGGTCGGTCAACAAGGTATGCATTTTCCTTTTCCATGATATCAATTGCAGCCTGACAGAAACTTAGTTAATATTACTCCTCAAGAAGCGAGGCATCACATCCGTACCTGCTGTCCGCAGATAATGATGTAGACCCTCCCTCCCTTTCGAAGCGTTATCAATGGTCCGTATTCTTTAGCCCATTGAGCATAGACTCTCGGAGCACTGATATACCACGGAAGTAAATTAAGAAATATGGATATAGTCATGGTCATTTGGGACAACTAACTGAGGTCTGGGAAACTCATTTCCAAAAAGCCAGTGGCCTCTTGGACCTGGTGGCAGAGGAAGCTGAGACCTACGCTTGCCAAAGCGTCCAAGACGGAGAGCCAACAGTAGGATAGCGCAGAAAACGAACACTTTCGTTACAGAAACATTGTAGAATAGTCCATCGTAGAGTAACGACATCGTGGTAGAGAACAGACGGGCGAATCAATGTGGAATTCAACGGAGTAGGGACTTATAAATGATGCCAGTTCGCTGCTTCAGCTTGAGACGAAAGCTGTGTCACGGCGTTCTGACGGAGACTCTCATGAGAATGAACTCGGTTGAATAGGCATAAGCCCTTCTGACCAAAGAGAGCTAGGCACGGCAGAGCGTGTCAATGCGAATCAGAATGCAAAGTCGGTAATGCTGATTTGGTACATGCAATACCAGTGCACGTCACATCGAAGCGCACGACCGCTGGGATCGCTCATATGCTTTAATGGATTAAGTAAGCCAGGGTCGGCATATGTCTGAGAATTTCGCTCCATTTTTGGAAGACAGTCCCGTGTGGCCTGCAAAGTCACTCAAATTGTCTTCCTCTTGTGAATTTGCTCCTGCACTCGTTCTGTATTGCGCAGCCCCTCCTCTTTTCAGTGGCCCTCCTCTTTTTATACGGTGACACACTCAACCTTCTCAGCCCTCCCATCCCCACCACCATCTCTCAAGCCCTAGAAAATGGCGAAGTCCACCCGGTCCAAGGTCAAACGCTCATATAGGGCAAAGAAACGTGAAGACGGCATATACGCAGCGATAGAAGCCGCCCGGCTAGCAAGACTTTCCTCCAAACTGCAGGCCATCCGCAATGCCGACAAGGACGGCGATGTCGAAATCACTGACGAAGAAACAAGAGAAGGAGATACGCTTAATACTATAGACCCAGGTTCGTCTTGGTTCCTCCTTCTTGGCCTCATTGACCATACGGATGTCAATTTCGAGAGCCTTGAACGGATTCAAGACTCCATGAAGCTCCATGTCCTCGACGCATATTGAGTCATGTCATTATGCCTCGTGACAGGATGACCTTCTTTTCTTACCTTTTATTCGCTCCCATCGCTTTACATTTGTCTTCGGCTTCTTGAAAGTTCACGGCATTAACAAACTATTCGACGATATCATCTAGAAGGACGACCCGCAGTTGACCCATCCCATGCAGGTGTGTAGGCCTATTCGGGCAGCCCTGTGCAGTTGTTCACCGCTATGCAATCTTTGACTAGACTCGATGGAATTTGATGGCTCCACTCAGCATAAGTCAGCCCAAAAGATATCCACGCACGGCCCGCGCACGTCACGTCATACAGAATGGCGATTGTCGAAGGGTTTACCGGCGCGACCGAAACCACGTGGAATGAACCGTCAAGGCAGCATCGCAGCCAAATCGAGGGCAGGCCGCGCTCACCGCCGAAGATGACCATCCGTGCTCTTGTCGATTCTCCTCCGAGGGTGCTGATACTATCTCTTTCCGCTCGGCTGATCAGCACGGCATGTCATAACGTGATACAACAAAATGTTCCCCCTCTAGGGCACGATTGTCATAGAAAAGGACAAACCCAACGGACGCACTGATATATGTTTATGTAGTTCTTCTAGATACATTTGACGAGCAATTCTGTCCCTATGTTGTGAATATTCTCTGTAATCTAATGGCTGCTTTTCTACTTTTTTTAGACGCGTACTTATTTTCGGCTCGGGCAGAAATACATCAACTGCGCTGGTGGAATGTTAACTACTTGCCGGACGTCATGGTCTATTCACACCCATCGTATAGCGAGTGGGACATTCGCCGAAGAAGGTACTTGTTTGTGAAGATCTACCTCCAGACTAAACCGAGAATCGGTAATTCTACACCCCGATGCTGTACATCATGAAACTGGTAGTCTTTGATCAAATCAGTTCCCCGTCTGTCTCTGTTGTGCCTAGGAATTCGAATGACCTTGTTTACTTTCCCTATCAATCGATACGGCGGACTCAACTTTAAGCTTGAGCTTACTGGCTTGCTGTGTGCTATTTGAGCTGATAGGGGACATCGTGCTGATCTGCGAACGCTTCTGCCTGATCGGCCGAATACGGTTTCGCCTCACTAGGTAAATCATCATGCCTGGAGTGATTCTGCTTTCGGTCCCGCATGATACATGGCCGACTTAACTGCCACATATCTGCCCCGATGTCGTCGTCTGCGCTTGTGTCCCTACAGCTCAGTGGGGCTCGACTGCTTAAAGTGACTTGTCTGGGTACCTCACTGCGTTGCATCCCAATATCCCGATACAGCTGCAGACAATGGCTTCGTCTGAATTCGATGACTTGACGAGTGTTGCTCAGGATGTTTATGTCTCCCGAGTGAGTCTCTTCATACTCCAAATTGTGCATACTCATTCTTACAAAAAATATTATACCTCCCAAGTTTATGATAAGTAAGCTATTGTTGAGCTCTTTAAGTTCCATTAGCTGAAGTAGAATTCGTTTAGCTGCTACCGCTGCATGCCTTGTGAGTTTGTTTACCAGTGCTATAGTTGTGTCCATTCTTATAGCTATACAGTTTTACGACTATATTCTCACGTTTGAGGATGAACGATACCTCATCTGGCCCTCCCATCTCTCCTATACTAAACTTGCATTCTTTGTTAACCGCTACTTACCAATGCTTGCGACAATTGGCGTGCTGCACAGTAACCCATGCTATTCTCCTACATCAAAGGCTCCTTATAATTGATAACCAAACCTATTTTAAGCGCTTATCATAGAGGATGCTTCTCAGACTGATTATTTCGATGTAACGGTTTTATCCATCTGGCCTTGATATCATCCCGCTGACGACATTGATATAATCAGACTTGCAAGGCGAGGTTCCTGATTTTCAGTAGTGAGTATTCAAACCGTGCCTGATAACTTTTATCGTGTATCAACTGAACGCCGTTGGTGTACAGGCTTCGTGTTGGTGGAGTTCCTCGTCGCTGCCTGTGCGTTCGCACCCTGGTCTTACGGGATAAATCATTACTAAAGTGCAAAAAATAGTCATCATCTATACTCGTGCATATGCTGTGTGGGGATGCACTAGACCTATGCTTGTTCTTCTCACAGTCGCATACGTTGTACGTTCCCTTACTCTTTTTAATGGCGGTTCAACAAGAATAATAACATCTTTCTCTGTAGGCCTTCTGTGCTCTCGCGACGTACTTCGCCGCACACTTCATAAGCTCGGTGACAGGTTCTTGTCCAACCTATTCTAACTAACTATAGGATATGGTCCTGATGTTAATATTACAGTCTTTGACCAACAATTATTCTCGAGAGGCTGTATCCTTGGCTTGCACAGCTGCCATGCGTGCTTATTTGCCTTGATAATTCTCGTGATATCCGAATCATGTGAGTAAATTGCAATGTAGATTCGTACTTGAGCTAAGATGGACTAAATATACGCAATGCGTCATGTTAGTTGCACTCGTGATGATCCTGGTCAAAGCATGTAAGCTATTTGTTTCGCATTGATCTAGCACACTCGGTACTAAACCATGTAATTTCAGCTCAGATGCCAAACTCAACAATGATGCAACAAATATCGGAGGATGGTTTGTATTTCCTTTCGTCACTCTTATCTTAATGTTCAATTCATTGCTCATTATGAGATATAGGCATTGTTTATTACATAATCGTCGTATGCACTTCCATAGCAAACATTGTCATACTCAGTAAAGCTCCTCCTACACTGTGTGACTTCCTGCTCGCGTGAGTCTTCCATCTTCTCCAGCTTCACTCCATGCCCATCTCGTCGAACTTATCCTAATATTTTCTTTTCCCCCCTTTTATAGCACGCAAGCTGCACTACAAAGCATCTGCTGCAACCACCTAATGTTCCGCATCAAAGGGACGTGCTTAAGTACCTCTCTCTCATTCAAGTGCTACACCCGTCCACATTCGCGAATGCAGTCTGATGCACAGATCACTTCTGATGATATTGAATTGGGTCTGCCAATGCTTGGGCTTCCCACAGTTCTCGACCTTCCGAGTTACAGTTCTAACCCGTCGTAAAACTACTTTCCAATGGAAGTAGCCTGTCCTGGAGAAGCGGTGCTAGAACATCAATTTTTATCATGTCGTCATGAGCAATTTATGGACTCAGAAATTTATATACACGTAGAAGCGGTTCAAACCAGCAAAGAACTACCCTTGACACTGTGATTCTTTTCTGTTTTCTCATCCCAGTGACAAAAATGGGAAAGGAGATACAAGATAGATGAGAGATGGGATCGTGTAAAAATAGATGTGTAAGGTTGAGAAAACCTCCGGATCTACATATCTACTCGTGGTGATGACCAAGATACGGAGTATCTTTATCGTAGCTGCCAAACGTTACGACTGGGCCTTCTTCGAGATCGCGTGGAGTCTTGAGTGAGTCCGTTGTGATCGCGGAACCTACATGCGTCTCTTCGTACTCCGGCATGCTGTTCATATCATATCATGAAAAAGGGAAGGGAAGAGTAATTTCATCAGCACATGAAAGAAAGGAAATTATGCGAAAAGATTGTAAGAAGATACGAAAGACACGGAGGAGCAAGGGGAAGGTTCTCGGGAAGTGCGAAGATGATAGTCTACTCACCTGAGATTCTCCATCGTGATCTGGTCAGTACGGATGTGCACTTCAGGCCGTGGGAACCGGGGCGGCTTTCCAAAGCTGGTAATGCCAACTCCAGCAGTCGAAGAAAATCGTACTCTTCCGTCTACTGAGCCTGCACTAGCATTGTGCACATATACTTCAGAGTTTCCATAGTCCTGCAGTCGAATGACGCAGCGACATGCGGCAATGGATCTTTTCATTTAAGTTAGAGTTTGCACATTTGGTGAAGCCGTAAGCAAAAGAACTTACGCAACAGTAGCAGCTGGGACGGTCGCGATGCTAGGAATAGATGTTATTCAAGGAAGTCCTGAGATACTCTTCAAAGCAACCTACATGTTCATAGGAGCTAAAACGAAATGTCAGCAATTATTTGAGGAGATCTATGAAATGGAACACTCACTGTTCAGATCTAAGGTATTCAAGACCTGCATACATACTAGTTAGCAAAACCCAGTGAAACTGAATGAGAGAGAGCTTACAGCGGGAATAGAGTTAACACAGAATGTCACGGCCCAGTAAATCAGACCGTCTCGGAACAAGAGTTGCCAAAGGCCGGAACGTGTAGAGTTTCTCAATAGTGCTGTGCATGTGTAGACGAAAATGATGAGGTCGAATCCCATAGCTGAAATCCGGCAGACTCATTGAGCCAATATCCATAAGGTCAGTACAAAGCGGACGTACTGGTGAAAAAGGTGAACTTCAGTACTGCCGAATTTGTTTGATCTACTGTGCAAGCGGACTCTACTGGATTCCAGGTTGCTCGCACGATGATAATACCATGGTAGAGTAATCCCCAGTGTCCGAGGCAGAGAATAAGAAGCGGAATAACAACCGTTAACTTCCGTTCCCAGATTGCAATTCTTAAATATGAAAATCGGCAGAATTGAGTTTGGTAAATATTGAAGAGTTGACTTCCAACGCACGTTCTAATCATCAACGACGTTGAGGCGCTGAGGATCGCCATGTTACCCGTCCATGAGTTGAAAGTATAGAGGGCCTAGACAAGTTCAGTTGGCAAACAGACCCCAGGAATGCAATGTGAACAAAAGACTGACACCACAATTGACCTAATATGGCCCAAAAGCTGTCTAAGACTTGACGTCGAAATAGGCTAGCAGTCGGGATCTCACCTCTCGAGTTACGTTGAAAGAAATAATCCTAATAGATTCTAGTATTAGCCTCTCCATTGCAAACACAAGGATTAAACTTCGTACAGTCCGATAAGTGCCCATAGAAGACAGTATCGACACAAGAAATAGAAGACTATAGGCACTGGTTAGGAAGGGAGGTTTGATAAAGTTTTCGTTTACGCACTCTGAAGTAGAGTTAGTCACATGTTATGGTAAGATTACGGAGGATAAACTGACCATTGGCCATCGGAAGGAGCGCTGTCGAGTCACGAAAATGGACCACTCGACGTGTAAAGTAGAAAATATCTCCCAGACATAAAGGCCAAACAATGCGTAGATTAAGCTTTCAAACGCATCTATTGGTGAGCACTGTTAGGGAGAGTGACGTTTGGTGGTGCGGTGGATCACTCACTTGCATCCTTTGCAATCTCCTGGGGGGATTGCCAGTCGACCATGGTTCGTGAACGGATAGCGGTGGAGGGGTATACAAAGTGGAGGAACTTGAGTCGTGGGGAGGGAGAAAAGGAGGAGGGTGAAAAAATGAAGGAGAGAGAGTAGGGGGATAAAAAGCTCGGACAATCCTTGAGAAGCGTGATTTGTCCGCGCAGAAGAACCGGGAAAGAACGAGCGAGTGCGTGATGAATGCGAGAGAACGTGGCCGTAAGAAGAAGAAGAGGAAGATTTAACAAGACAGAAGACAAGTCCCGCATATGCCTCCTCCGCGAAGGACTCAAAGGGGACCCAAGCCAACGGGCGAGCAGCTCTAAATGGGTGATTGCTCGACAGTTCCGTTCGTCATCAATCCATATTCGGAACTGCATCAGATCAACGCCGCACGAAGTCCCCCTCCTTACGGCCCATATTTATTGGCTTCTTCCTCGTCCCAGTTTCCGGATGGCAGGAACTCCAATCTACTCATTAAATACGCCGCCTATCCGCAGTGCCCCGCAGCCCGGTTGTGCTACAAAGTGGAAAGACTTTGCCTCCAGTCTGCTCCGCCGAGCATATGAGAAGCCGGAGGGTATGCTATCCCGTCAGATTTTTTTCAGGACTGATAGTGATGCAGCCCGGGGGTCAATACTTTCTCACCCAATATCGAATATCTGCTCGAATATTAATTTTGAATAAAATATTACCTTCCAGCCTGTCCATTTGAGGAACGTTCTGGTCGGGCGCTTACCCGGTCCTAATGCCTGGTGTTGACATAAATCGCTGTTAAAATGTCAGAAACCCAAGATCGGATTCACGATTGTGCCGCAGAGACAAACCTAAGATCGAGCAGGCGACTCTAGATCTGGCCGAGGCAAACTAGCGTTCGTCACCTGCGAGGTACGTCGCCGGGAACCTTCCCCTGTTACGTCTCTTCACACCCAACACATGCGCATGGGTTGCGCGAACGCGGTCGTCTCCTTGCAATTTGTATTGGATCTAATACAAATGCAGAAGCTTGCGAGGATGGCAGACTTGCTTGAGCCAATCTAGCACGACGCCACAGGACATAGCATGGTATTTTTCCCGAGGATCTTCGGACTTCCACAGCAATTGATAAATAGCTCCCGTAACCGGTCTGGCAAATCAAACTCACTTCGCCTGAGTTCGTCATTTTGCATTTCAAAGAGCAGCTCGACGTCACGAGCCTCCAAGGATTGTGTCACCATGATCGAACAAGGCAAGACATTTACGATAGCAGATTGGTGACAGACATTGTCAAATACCTTTCAAAAGCGCTGTCGAGTTCAGATAGGCTCAGGCGATGGCGCAAAATCAGGCTGGATGACGGAGGAATGAGTGAAGTGTGCATGGAATCTTGGATCCGTCACATGAGCGCGAATTACACGACGATCATTCACGTCGATCACGGCAAAACTACGAGACGCCTTCACGCGCTCTTCCCTTGTGCCAGCCCCAATAACAGGTGCATGTCTAGACGACGTATGCGAGAAGGACAATTACCAGTAGAAGAAGAAGATTTCACCTATGCATCTTTTCTTCTGCTGGAACTTCGCGCGCATTTACTTGCCGGGAGCTTCGTCACATCACAAATACTTACGCTTCATAACACCAATGGAAGACGATGTACATTTCTCAGATAGTAATCATTGGTCTGCCTACCCTTTCTGAATTTCTCTCTAGAACCCTCTGCCACCTGTACGAGAAAAGAAAAGGTCTACAGCACGCTGTTAAGGTGCTTCACTTCTAGGGAAGCGCATAGTTGACATGGAATTCACTCTCCGTACTTGTGCTTCTTGAGTTTCATATCCGTCTTTCCTTCCCCCTAGATCTGTATTTGAACCTTTTGCTTCGTGTCTTCCTAACGGCCCTTCGGAAATTAAGGCATCTTCTGTCTTAGACCGATTACTTTATGACACGACTATCGCACTCGCCGTCATGAACTTCGCCGTTCGACTCTCACCAACTTTCTGGTACTGACGATGTCAGTAAATACGATTCAACATGGACCTACAACTTTCATTGTCAACGTCCAGCCTACACCGAATGGAAGCATAGCCAATCAATCAACCTCGAGAACTCGGCTTCATGTGGAATGAGTGTCTTATTCTTTCTATGGCTCACAACCTTACATATCAAGTCCCGAAACAGCGTCTGTAGGACCTGGCCGTCACGCGCTCTCTTGGAAGGAAGAAAACTTTTTGTGCCTATGGTGCGATATTCTTCACAGCACGCGTCTTTACGCAACTGCATCCTATCTTGACCAATTTACTTGGCCGCACCAACAGTTTTCACATACTTAGCAAGGTCCGCAGCTAAGAATACTTCCATTAAGGCGCGTGGATGGCGGAGACTCATGCCTTCTTTTGTCTCTTCCTTAGTAGGCACAATATAGTGGAGTATCAAAGCATCATTCGAACGAAATGATTAAGAGAAGGAAGATAGGACGATGGTTCAAACGCATACACTAAAGTGGAAACCTCGCCTTCTTTCGGAGAAACGAAGGCTTGTAAGGTAAACGCGCGCTGCCTTAAACAAGAGCCAGCAGGGGAAACAAAGTCGCAAAATAAATAGGGTGGTACAACAAGATAATATACTTGTACTTTTCCTCGAATAGCCATGGTGGATGCGCGAACTCTTCAGGGTCGATTCTATTTACATCGCTGCGCAACAATTGACTTTCCATGTTCCTATCCAAGAAAATGGCAAATAAATGGATCATTAGAGCCATCAAACAGCGAGTTTCGCGGAAAGAAGACTGACCTGCCATTCTTCGCGACTAATCCAAAGCTGGTGGAACGTGCCGAGGCTCGCAAGGATACTGCCGCCCAACCAGCCGCCATAACGGCGCTCTGTCGGGTTCCCGGGTGAATGAATCTTCATCTGATTAGTTTAATAAATAAAAGAATCGCCACGTTATCAGCATCTTGAAGCAATTCTTCAAAATAATCGTTGACTCACGTGCGGGAAGTTCCGTGCAAGTTCGTTGTGCAGCCGGTCTGCAAGGCCCGCCAAGAGGCTTCCGCCGCCACATAACACGATGTTCGCTAGAAGTACTGCACGGAGGTCAGGTTCACTCGCTGACAGGGACTGCGCGATGAGATTTGTTAAGGTCTTCGGAATATTCGGGTTTGATTGCTAAAGAGATAATTTTGAATGAGTTATACTTAGAAGTACAAGGGCAAGCCAGTCACGCACGACTAATCCAGGCGCGTGCACAAAGAATTGTTCTCCAACCGTATAACGCTCCACGCCGAACCATTGGTTGTAGCCTGTTGGGAATTCATACGGTCGTTGCGGCCGTTGAGCGACCAGTCTAGGGATGTCAAAGGCGGCGTTGAATGAGCCTTGCTCATGAAATACCATTGTGAAACAAAAGTACATACTGTTCATTCCATCCCTGGTCCATCACAGCGCCGACGCTCATTATCCATTCATCGACTTCATGATCTTCATACCACTGTCTCCATGTTGGAGTTACAGCGGCGACACGATCCTCCCGTAAAGTAAATATTGGCTGAGCCGAGTCTGCAACAGCCTATCCGCGATAAAGTATTGATAAGAAAGGTCATACGAACTGAATGAAGATACTCGCGTACCCGTTTGTTCGAGATGAGTTGATGAGGAAGTAGTTCTATTGCCTGACGCGTCTGAGCCGGGTTGGTTAGTGTATGCTTCGCGTGTGCGCGCACAAACTGCGGTAATGAAGAATGTGCGAGACCTACACGGGATAAATTATTAGTTCAAGTTCTAAGTTCAGCATAAACTTAAAGCTAGCCTTTGCGTAATACAAAGCCGTCAACCACAGGAGTAACGCTTGCTTCCGAGTGTCCAATGTCTATAACAAGAGCGGTACCCTTCCCTGACGCAAAACTTGGCCGAAGTCAGGTTAGGCGCCGCTAGTTTATTTCGTCAGACCACTTACGCATTGAGCACGCCAGTGTTCGCAATATAGAATGCAGGAACTTGAAACTCTTCAAACATAATTTCCGCCATGCGTTCTCTGCGTTCGGGTGTGTTCCATGCAGGCTCGGTCACGAGAACCGGATGTTCGGCGGGATTGGCTCGCAAGTTGTCTTCAAGAGCGTTTCGTATGAGGGCAGGAATAGGCGAGAAGTCTTCAACTATATAGAATCAAGCTTTAATAAACGCACGTTATGATTAAGACCTGATACATACTGAGGCCACCGCTCATGGGGTTTCCGACATGCATGTTAGGTCGAAATAATGATGGACCATGTTGGCCGATGTGAAGCTTGACTTTCTTGCTCCCGGGAGGTCCATTCAGTTTCGCAGTCGAGTCATTAACTTTCTCCGATCCTTCTTTATCTGCATCGGCCATTGCAACATCCTGTTCGTCACATGTTTCCTCGGTATACCCATATGAAGTAGGTATAACGGTCTTTGGCGTGTCATCACCAGCATAACCAGCACGTATAGAAGACGCGCCAATGTCTAGCACGATCGCAGAAACCTCGTCTATTGACAAAAAAGTTACTTTGACATTATATGAGAATAGATTGCCATTACATACCACCTCCGTAGTTGACCATGGTGTTATGTTTGAAGCAAGTGGCTGAAGCGCGCCTCTGCACAAGAAATCATCGACGCGTACATCTATACCACGTGACCGTCGATCATTCTCAGCATATTTTGCATCTACCGCAAAATTCAAGTGTTCCAACGCTAACTTGAGGAATCTTGCGCTAAACTATGGCTCAACGTACCACAAACGGGCTGAAAAAGAGGAAGAAAGGCGAAGAAGCTATCTCTTTCCCTGAACGAAATTCGGAATTCGTAGATGATGTTGGTCTCGAAATGCAAAGCGAAGACGAGAACGGAGCAGACGAGGTGGAGAACTCAGATGACGAGGGAGCGGAGGAATTCCCAGAGCTGGATACGAGAAGTGACACGGAAGATGAGGAGGGTGAAGAGAGCCAAGATGAAGATGAAGATGGAAATGAAACAGAACCCAGCGAGGATGGTACCGTCGAAGAGGATTCAGACGATAGTCTCTACGTATTCCCGCGTGCAAAGACCATAACGTCGGACATCACTGGACAACCAAAGAAGGTGTACCCAGAAATTGAACCCGACTATGATTCAGACTCTTCCACAGAAGAGGTAGGTCGCAGGCCTTTTCTGATACCGAACTATACCGACTTTCTGTTTTGTAGGATCCCAATCGTATTGGGAACGTGCCCTTGCATTGGTACGATGACCTCCCCCACATAGGTTACGACATTAACGGGAAGAAGGTCTTCCGACCAGCAAAAGGAGATGAGCTTGACAAATTCCTTAAAACCGTAGAAGACCCGTCAACTTGGTAGGTATATCAATTTATTTGCCATTTCTTAATGCTAACACTCAGTATTTAGGACATCTGGATTCGATAAGTTGACTCAGTCTGACAAACAGTTGTCCACAGAAGAGCTTGATATCATTCGTCGGCTACATGCAAATGAAAATCCTGATGCTGGGTACGATCCATACGAGCCAACTGTTGAATGGTTCACTGGCAAGGGCAAAGAAGAAATCATGCCGCTCTCTGCTGCACCAGAACCAAAACGTCGTTGGGTTCCAAGTAAATGGGAAAAGAAAAAGGTATATTGGCGTCTTTGATTTTCGCGCATGTTGTTCACGTACAGCTATAGGTAATGAAAATCGTCCGTGCCATTCGACAAGGCCGTATTGTCCCAAACAAACCCAAAACCGCCTCTACTACTCGTCAATTCTTCAACATCTGGTCCGAGTCTTCCGCAGACCACCCTCCTCCACTCCCTGCACCCAAACCACGTTTACCGACTAATGCCGAGTCGTACAACCCCCCAGAAGAATACCTTCCGACTGAGGAAGAACAAAAAGCTTGGGAGGCGACGGACAAGGAAGACCGTGAACGCGATTTCCTACCGCAGAAGTACAAATCACTGCGCCTTGTACCTGCATATAGCCAGTTCATTCAGGAACGTTTCTCGCGACAACTAGATCTGTACCTTGCACCGCGGATACAACGCAAGAAGCTGAACATTAACCCGGACGATCTCATTCCGAAACTACCAAGTCCGAGCAGCTTAAAACCGTTCCCAAATTACCGTGCGTTACGATTTAGGCACGACGGTAATGCGGCCGCGCGATGTGTGAGCATCAGTCCGGACGGTGCATGGGTGGTGAGCGGAGATGAGCGGGGTGTAGTCAGCTTGTGGGAGACACTTGTTGGCCGGGAGGTGAAGAGATGGAAATTCGACAGCCAAATTGGTGCGATACAATGGTGTCCTCGGACCGATGTCAGATATTTCGCTGTCGGCGTGTAAGTTGTTTCACTGGGTTATGCGTATTCCAAATGCTCATCCTTCTTTTCCTGTCTGAAATAGCGAGGATCACCTCCACTTCCTTATCCCGCCGAACCTCTCCCCAGACCTCCTTTCCGCTACCATCAACGTCCTTTCTCCTGCAACACTCCCTCCTACACCGGCAGCTCCCTCACCTATCAAATGGACGTCCATCTCCGCCAGCACTTTCGACACTTCCTCGAAGTCCCCAATCCTCACAATCAGTCTAGTCCAGAATACTGGCCTGCCACGGCAGATCGTCTGGCACAAACGAGGAGACTACGTTGCATCCGTCTGTGAGTTACTTTTTTGTAGTTACGCGAAATGAGTTGAGGGCTAATTCCTGAACTGAGAATAGCTGGAAAAGATCAAGGCTCTGTTTGGATACACCAAATCACCCGTCGACACTCACAAGCACCATTCAAGAAAGTTAAAGGCTCTGTCCAACTGGTTCTCTTCCACCCTTCGAAACCGCATTTCTTCGTTGCAGTATGTCTTGCTCATCTTTCACTACTCTCTTATCTCCTTCCTTTCTTCCCTTCTATTTGCCTCCGATTTTACTAACGGATGACATTGTAGACCCAACGATACGTCCGAATATACGATCTCGCAGCTCAAAAACTCATCAAAGCCCTCACTCCCGGACTAAAATGGATTTCATCCATGGACATCCACCCATCAGGTGATCACCTAATCGTCGGCGGGTACGACCGTAAACTATGCTGGTTCGACCTCGAACTGAGTAACAAACCGTACAAAATCCTCCGGTATGTCATCCATTCTATCATATCCTGTCTCCTGAGCACTATGGATTTTTTTTCTATCTTTCCTTACTAACTGTTTAATTATCGATCATCTAGATACCACACCCGCGCAATCCGCTCCCTCTCCTTCCACCCCACCTACCCACTCTTCGCCTCCAGCTCCGACGACGGAACGATCCAAGTCTTCCACGCCCGGGTCTATAGCGACTTGATGACCGACCCGCTAATTGTCCCACTCAAAATCCTCCGTGGGCACGACGTGACGAATGGCTTGGGTGTGCTTCAAATAGGCTGGTGTCCTGGACAGCCATGGCTCGTTAGTGCTGGAGCGGATGGGTCGGTTGGTGTTTGGTGTGCTTAGAAGGCCCTCTTAGACTGGGTAGCTCTTTTGCTTGTTAAACAATAACGACTTATCAATAGGATGATGCCCTTTTATCTTGTTTTTATGTGGTTAGGGGCGAAAGGAGTGATAACAGATTGTTGCAAATTGGTTCTTTTGATGCTCACAGTCCTAGCAAACCCCAGTTCAATCTCTTTTAGATAGTGTTTAATTCAAGACCAGTATCTTAGACTTGACCCAACAGTCCCTAATCTACATGACAGGTTTCTCAACTCCCAGCAAGAAGCTTGGCTTTGTAGCCATTCATGACAAAAACTAGTGTGCTCTCTGGTCGAATTCTTGTAAAAACCTCCACGAAATATACACACAATATTAATTTCACTATTAATAATAACGAGGGAGGAACCACAATGGTTATACTTTCCCCGCCCATTTTTTCTATTTCAGCACAGAAACGCGTCGAGTAACAGGAATACACACGAAGCGACAGCCTACAGGACACATAAAATCACGCGCTCGTTAGCGCTTGTAAAAAGAATAAACGATAAACGGTGTTCCGTCAAAACCATTGAATGACAGGACACACCCCAGAAACTAAGTAAACTGGGAAGAAGAAAAGACAGGTGTTCGAAGTGAGGACAGACGCGACGCAGGCAGCACCGAGCTAATTGCGGTGGCCTATATGATAGCTTCGAGACAAAAGGAAGGCAAATTGTGTGCGAGAGGGGATAAAAAAGAATGAAAGTGGGTGGGGCCTGATGTTTCGCGAAACATTTCTCTCAAGAGTTCCTGTCCGTGCCGAATGGTATGTGAGATAATCAAAGCAAGTGGGGATGTAGAAAACCAGTGAAAGCGGATGGTGATAAAGGTATTAACAACAGAAGTAAGAACAAAGGGAGAGAAAAAAGCAAATGGAAGGCATAGGGGACATCATTCGACTTGGCAGTGGTGTTACACTCGTAAAAATGAGGTGGTTGTTCAGAAAGCCTCAATTTCCCTACGGTTGACCCTGGCGTCTAACATCGCTCCAAGTCCGCCGATGGCCTTCCTCCTAATGCGAGATGCAAAGTTCTTGGTTCCGAGTTCTTCGCTCGCTGGTGGGCCGCGAGGCTGACGCGAAGGCTGGCTTACTACCCTGTGAGGGAACGTCGTTCCCATACTCGTGTGTGGAGCAATCTTTGTGCCTGAAAAGCTCAAGGTCTGGACAGCGGCTGACTGTGGTACAGGACGGCCGATTCCGAGGCCTTCGTAAAGGCGCTTGGACGCCGCCTCCCTTGGGGACAAAGGAGGCATACCCGACGAAACGGAAGAGCTGTTGGATGGCGGGGTCGTCGGCTCAGATTTTGAACTGGAGCTCGAGGAAGCATCATCATCCGCGGCTTCGCCATCTGAGCTATCCACGATGACGAGAGGTGTGCTGCGTTCCCCATTAACGACAGAGAAGCGTAGCGGCTCGGGACGATGCGATTTGACGAGACCCGGAGGCGAAGACGTGCGTTCTCCCGGTGGTGGCGTCACTCGCACACTAATAGAAGCAGAACGATTGCCGCTGAGCACAGAGTTGTTGTTGCCGCCGCGGCGCCAGTTGAGTGAGGTATCGCTCTTGCTTGGTGCCATTCCACCAGTGTTGTTTCCGTTTGTGTTTCCAGACGTGCCTAGGGAAATGCCACCGGAGATGACCGTTGTTTGGTTATTCGCTGTCGGCGTGCCAGTATACACATTATTACTAGCCCTCGGGACATTGGGTGCAGGCATTTCCTCTTCCTCAGGGAACCCACCCATGCAGAAGGCCGACGCATTTGGATTCAGCCTAGCACCAAATCTGCCGCCTAAAGAGGCAGTCATGGGAACTTGCTGCTCCTCCTGAGGGACCCTGCCGTTCAAATGAAGCTGTGACTTGAGCTGCTCGACCTGCGATGCACGACGGCTCGCAAAGGTTGTAACACCTGGTGCTGCAGTGCGTGGTGGCTCAGCGTAGAGCTGAGAGGCGCGACGGTTGGAAACAATCTGCTGCTGCTGTTGCTGCTGCTGACGGGCCATCTCCATCTGATACTGTTGCTGGGCCTGCTGAAGCGCCTGAGAGACGAGAACGATCATCAGAAAGTGTTCAACATTTTGTGATGCGAGACGAGCAAGGCGTGGTCGGTTTGATCACGCGCGCGTGCCAAAACAGAAATAGAAAAAAAAATTAGTAAAAAAGACATACCTGGAGCCTAAGAATTTCCATCTGCATCATCTGCATCTGCAACGCCTGTTGCTGGGCCTGAGCCTGCGCTTGGGCGTGGGCGGACTGCAAATGACCAAAAGAGCCGTTGATGGAGGCAGTCATCGGGAGCTCTGTGCGCGGGAAGGACGTGACGTTGGGCGCTGCTGTGTGTGGCATCTGGGCCGGCTGGCGGACGCCTCCAGTGCGAAGGCCGGCGAGCAAAGATGCACGGTTGTTTACAGACATGGCTTGCACTGGTTGAGATGTGGTATCTTGTGTGGATGTGGTAACGATCCTGGCTGGCGGCGGATTGACGACGATTAGGGCTTCAAATTCGACAGAACGAGCCGTTGGAAATAGGGAAAATTAGAGAGAAGAGAGTCGGAGCACTGGAAGTCGCCCGAGCAGGCAGGCGCGATATTTAAAAGAAGAGAGGAGAGAGAGAGAAAGAAAAGACTAAGCGGCGGACGGACAGGAAGAGGAGAGAGGGAGAAAGACGGAGTGGCCAGAGACTTGTCGATGCGAGGTCGACATCTACTTATTCAGGCGGGGTCACACTGTGGTGTGATTGTGATTGTGACTCACGCAGCCGGCATCAGCCGCCGGTGATGTTACCCTGTGTGCATGCGTCGCTTTTGTGTGGTGCTGCATCTCGCCATCTTTGATTATCTGTTCAGTCTTCCCTTATTGTCCGCTTTGTATTATTATTATTATTATTATTATTATTACAATACTATCACTATTGTATATCCGCATACACTCAGTCCTGCTAACTACAAATGTCGTTTCGCACTAGCCCGCACTCGTCCATCGAACACGGCGCTCTTGATTGGCGTGTATGCACTGTGAAACGGATTCAGCAGCGTCTGCACATCGCGGCACACCGCAGCCAGTCAGCACCCGTCGTCCTCACAACCACCCAGGGGTAGAACCAGCGGATTGCAACTCACCTTCACATACAGCTCCCACACGTCCATAAAAAAGTTACGGATCCCGTCGTCATTCTTCCCCTCGTGGAGCATGATGAACTTCATGTCTGTGCATCTCCGTCAGCTTTTGCCTCCGCTGGCAATGCAAAAATAATATCCGTCGTGAGACGAGGTAGATACGCACTCCCTGGCGTCACAAATGCAGAGACCGTCCATTCGTTGAATTTGTCAACAGATTTGAGATACCTAGCTGGCACAAAAGGAATATCGAATTATTAAGTTGTTGAATCATTAAGTCGGGATCTCAGTGAACAAGTCATTCGCACATATTGCCATCCCGTCGCATTACATCCTCTATCACGTCTAGACTCGCGTTCGCAATCATCTGTATTACATGTCGGTCGTGTCCACCACGTGGTACACCTCCGCCAGCTCCAGGGTTGTATGCAGGAGACGTTGCACCAGACAAAGCGTTTAGAGTACCGGCAAAGGCCGTAGCAGACCAGGACGGGAGATTCGAGGCCAAAGGGTATGCAGTCGACGGAGCGGGCTTCGAAGACTGGTGGGTTAATGAGTAGATAGGACTGTCCGAAGGCGAGAGGAGGAATATGTGGTGCGACATTATGCCGACAAGACGCGTCCGATGATGGAAGACGGCAACTAAGCACAATCTTGAGCGAGCGAGGAGCAGCGTGTGCTTTCGCGTCTTCATCGCCCATCGTCATGAACGTGCTCCGCGCCTGGTCACTCTCCTCCTCCTGTCGTTCGTTGCCATTGCGTTCGGTGACACGCCAGCTAGATGCAAAGTTCTTCAGCACATCTGTAAAAATAAACTCCTCGCAGTCGTTCACAGCCGTGTGGCAGAAGCCTTGCAATGCATCTACAACTCAAAGCCTGTTCTCCCAAACATCCCCGCTATCTCGTCATATCCTCGCACTCCGTGAGTCGTTTCGACCTCGAACCGGTCTAGGCTGGTACAGGGACTCCTTTTCAAGAGGAACGCCAGTAAAGCGCGGCGTGTCAGGTCGTAACAGTCAATCTCCGTACCCCCAACAATTTGGACCATACGATCGGTTCCGTCGCTGGTTCGATCAGTTCCCATCTGAATTTATTGTATGGGGAATCATTGGGATAAATGGTGTTGTCTTCTTGGCCTGGCAGTATGCCATTGACAGAGCAGTATGTTCTCCGCGTTGCTTATGTTTTCTCATAGCTTTGCTTCTTGGGATCTCACCTGTATATCTTTCGACTTTTGCAGAAAAATGGAGATCCGTCTCTCTTAATCATCATGTCCCGCAACGTTCAAAACAGCTGGCGAAATATCCGTGAAGGACGACTGTAGGTCTTCTCCGTCCTTCTATATCTGTACCTGTATCTGTTATTCGGTACTCACGAACGGAAAATAAAACCAGCTGGTCAATCATTGGATCCACATTCTCCCACAACAATGCAGGCCACATCCTCCTCAACTGCATGTCATTCTACTTCATGGCTCCGCCAATCGTGAACCTCATTGGAAATACGTCATTCATGACCTTGTATTTCTTCGGTGGCATCTCGTGTAGCATGCTCAGTCTTCTCCTGAACAAGACCGTCTCGAAACGCGACGGAACCTCACACGGTGCAAGCGGTGAGTAGTAGTATAGTCGTATCCCCGTAGTAATACACTAATACACTGATGCACTATTATCTCCGTCCTCATGCAATTGACATGTTCGCGGCGATGATGTTAACCTTAATGTTTCTAACCTACCTAACACAGGCGCAATATTCGCCGTCGTGTCCTTCTTCGCGTGCGTCTCTCCAAAGACCACGTTTCTCATCTTTGGGGTGATACCTGCTCCTGCATGGGCGGTTGTTGGTGGCTTCTTCATTTGGGATGGATTATCTGCCCTTTCAGATCGCGTACGTCTCCGTTCGAGCTTGTTCCTTCAGCGCCGACTAACATGAGCTTATTTCATATTGATACCGATATAGAGGACCATATTCGATGGTGCTGGACACGTTGGGGGGATTCTCGCTGGTGTAGTATACTACCTCGCTAAGAGACGCCTGCTATTCTTCTTAAAGTGAGATCTACGCATCTTACTGGAATCTCATATTTTATCGCAATTCATAATCGAAATGTAAGTTTGCACCATATGTGGAAAGAGTTGAACGAACAAATCGCTTCACTTCATGTCCGTTCGCCGAATAACTTGTCACTATACCTGTGAATTACATACTCCCATCAAGCGAGCGGCGCACATTACCTTCTAAGTATCTAGTCCCCTTTGTCCGAATTCAACGACTTACATTTGAGCTTATCTGTCCTTTTACTATTAGATTAAGCGGTGCCGTTAGTTAGTCAGTTAGGTTAGGGGAACGGCCTTACTCACTTCTCACAGCAAGCTAAACTCGCCAAAGTCTAGGTCGGCGCTGCCTCAAGGCTTCCCGAGTCAAGAAGAGGAAGAACAAGTGACTCCGTCTTCTCTTGTGTGGATAATTCTGGTGTTGAGCATGCCCTCCGATGGTCGGATCGATCGATAAACACCCGGAGTTGTTACTGTGCTCTCAGACTCTCAGGCTCTCAGGCTCTCAGGCTCTCAGGGCCTGGTCTTCTTGCATCTGGCTGGCGATGAGAAGAAGAGATGGAGATAGGGATGAAAATAGTGATGAACCTTCTAAGTTCTATACGTATACAGGCATACACTGCTACACATCTCGCAACCTTGATCTACTCTTCTCTGGACATGATCCAAGTTCATCCAACCAACTCCACCTACTTCTACTGCATCTTCTTCGTTCCTTCGAGAGCGCCGCATCTTGTAGTGCTGATGAGTAACAGACTTTGCCCTACATGAGCTTTCATCGAAGCATGTGCTTAAGCCGTTTACTTTACTCGTGTTTTTGTAAGTAGGTTACGCGAGGGCAAGAACGAGCAAAACCTCCGTTAATTAAGATTAAAGCACCTCTTGAGCCTCGGAATTCCTCGTAGCTCGACCTGCAATGCATGCCCACTTCTCAAGACATTCTCGGAGATCGCATGGTTCCTTCCAAGGTTCCAGACAGGCTAGTGGTTGGAGAGTTAGGATAAATCTACGGAGTAAAGATAATGCTGTACCTAACGGCTTCGAAAGACTTGCTCTAGACACTTGTACTAGTTGCTCGAAGTTGACTTTACTCCGATCATACAAACGCATTTCACATGCATGCATGTGTGTAATAGAGTTGCTTTCATAGAGAAGAAAGCAAAAGGGTCTGTTTCGTACTAACCGGGCCAAAAAGAAAGTTGCTCCACTCAGTCTGAACGATCATGATATCAAAATCGAAATACCTGCACCAACCAGCACATCAACGGTTTCAATACCAAGTAATGACCCTTTGACCTAGTGGCTCTACCACAACAACGCGACCCACAAGGGATGTGTATTGAGACTTGAGACAAATACCTATGCGACTGTTTTGCATAATATACATAAAATAAAATCACAGATCACACCTCTCTTAGTAAACGGAAGATAATAAAGACATTCAAAGCATACCGAGCATACTTAGTACATGCTTACAGAGTTAGAAATACATACATAGTCTAAGATGTGATAGAACATAGAATTCAATTACCGTACAACATGCCCTCTGCACTCCTCCAGTCAATCATTTTGGTCGTGGAGGCGTGTTCGTACGACCGTCCAAACGCCGCATCTCTTTCTCCAGCCTCTCGGTTCCGCTCGCCTCTTTGTTCCCACGCGCACCATGCTTATCAAAAAGATATGTAAGAAGGTTCTTCTTTTCGTCTGGAAGACCGTCCAGGAGGGTGAAGAGATGCGTTTCGTCGCGCAAGACGAGCTGAGAAGCGATTATACATGTCGCTGCGGACTCACGAACGACAAGGGAAGTCGTATCGCTCAATGCCTGGACTTGAGTCAGGGGAGCTAATCAGAACAGTGCAAAGTAATCTGCTCACAGTTGTTAAGGTCGTCTTCAGACGAGAAAGTTCATCTTCCAAGACCTCAGCTGGTAAACGTAGAATAAATTTACCGAGCGCAATCAAGCCGAATGCATATGACGCCGACTTTTCCTCTTGCTTTGCGGTGTCGACCAGAGGTTCCGCGCGGAAGGTGCGTAAACTAGCGTGCAACATCGTTAATCCGTAGACCGGATCAATGCGGGCAACAAGTGCATCTCGAATGGTGTTCGTAGCCTCCAGTACCTGCTCATCAACAGTGAGACATGCAAAGACGGGGGGAGGGGGGGGTTACAATGAATCACATACATTTATACTGTTACAGAATCTAATCTGTAATAAATGAGTAAAGACTTCTGCCTCACGACCCTCGGCGAGCGGTGCTTGGCTTTCAAGGATTTCCCAGAGTGCAATCAAGCCATACTCGAGCTCCTCTTCAGTCTGAATGAGGTGAGGCGTTCAGTCGGTGAGCAACAGACGACAAGAGTGAAATACCTTCTCTGGTGTCAAAAACTTCATCAATGCATCGAACATCCGATCAAATATCCTCTCTTTACTCCACATCGTTCGGTCTGTTGATCTGTCTTGAGTATTTCCGTTGTCAACAAAATATGAAAGGAAGATCGACGTACCCATGTCAAGTGAATCGTCGTGAACTGGATTATCAGAACACAGCAAGGCTAGCTTCTTCAGCGTGGAAGCATCCGCCATGCCATCTTCTAAGTCAGATATACACTGCTTCAGCTCCTTGAACAGGGTGTCCTGATCACTTCCCTTCAAGGGACTCCCTTTATCAATGACTGCAATGATTGAATTAGCCCAACATCAGTGGTTCTGGTGATTGCTTACGAGATATGCGCTTCAACCACCAGCCAGTCTCATGCTTGCGTTCGCGCAGGATATCCACTAGCGACGATGATTTCTTGTTTGCAGGACTATCTTTAAACGAAGCGGCTTGGCGAAGGAGAGCTGTTTTCTTGTTGGTCGGTGTTGACGGTGTCAAGTCGAGAGACCTCGGTTTCAGCGGAGCGCTCGCCTTAGGAGTGTCGCCGTTCGATCGAAGAAGTGAGGGAGGTATGGGAGAAATGGAAGTCTCGTCATCAGGCTCATTCAGCTCCAAAAGTCGTTCTGCAGCACTTTCTGCCTGCTCTGCTCTAGCACGAAGAGCGTCTTCGACGATAGGCTTGGGAGCACTTGCCGGAGGCGATCCAGCCGAGAGACTCGAAGTATTGGTCTTTGGGGCGGAGATATGATACTTCTCGAAGGGGGTCGAGAAGGACATCATATGGGAATCGTCGTCCGAGTCGCTGTCCTGTGGAAGCGGTATACTTTGAGCAAGGAGTAAAGATTGGTCCGCCCCATTCATATTCTGGGTGCTGTTCGCAAATGAAAAGAGGGAAGTGCGAATGTCAGATCTTCGCCCAGCATGTGATAGTCTAGTAGGAGATGGTATCCTAGTAGGTGAAGAAGGTACCCTTGACCTGTGTTGGCGTGTTGGAGATGGCGGGAGCGCAAAAGCACCATCCAAACTGTTACGAGGTGGCAAACCAGCCCTTGCCGTAGTCTCCGAAGAGTCGCGAGCGGAAGGTGACGAGGGAGGACTGAGTTGTGCAGATGCAAAGCGCCTATGGACTGCACTAGGTGACGCTGGTACTTCGGTCGAGCGCGTGCGATTATGTACTGCAGGGGATACAGGATATCCGGAAGAACTTGATGTAGGTGAGAAAGATGTCGATTTCCGAGCTGGAGGGGATAACGGGGATAGCGGTCGAGTACCGGAAGGCCTGCGTATGGTGTAAAGGCCTTCCTTCGGAGACGGTGTGGACTGGGATAGCGATAGCGACCTTGGCGTAGGTGACGTTGATCTTTGAAGTATATGAGACGCTGATGTTGCTTGGTGGCGTAATGATGGAGGAGCGTTGGCAATTGCTTTTGCCTTTGCACGACTCGCGGCTATTGCAGCGGCAACACTGCTCTTCTTGACTTGTGGAGTGACCGGCACAGTCACCCTACCTGCTTCAGGGCATGCTTTCTCTAGCTGCTTCTTTGCCGTTGCATCGAGAGAAGCCATTAAAACTGATCCTCTTTCCTGCCAGATACCCTCAAAGGCCCAAAAGGTTGATCGTGCACTCTCACGAACTCCCGGATTGCTGTCTCCCAGAGCCTTCTTGAAGATTTTCTCCAAAACGTCTTGTGAGCCGCCCGTCTCTATAATGTGTTTGCAGCGTTGTCCATGTATTTCCAAAAACACTTTCAGATGATTGATGCCGTATTGGCGGGACGAAATATTTTTGTCCTGCACTGCATGCCAGATGAGATTCAGATACATTTTCGGATGTGGTGTTGTGTTTGTCACGACGACGTCTGCGACCTGTTGAGATTGAATTGCGACTATCTTCTTTGTGAGCGAGGCCATGCTGATTAGGCGCGTCAAGATTGCTTCGCAGAAACCGTCCATGGCGGAGCCCAATGAAGTTGCCATTTCCGAATATAAATGACACGTATTGACGGCCACGGTTGTCCTGAGGCTTGCGAGCTGCGACATTTCATGAGGATTAATTCGATTAGATGATGGGACAAGTAAACCCACCGTTTTGAAAGATGCATCAATAAAATCCGCCTTAAGGCAACCAAGAAACGTATCGAAATATCGAATGTGCACTTCGCCTTTCAGCATACCTCGGACTCGTTGTATTGATCTTTCACGACCCGCCCAGTTGTGCTCGGTTTCTTTACCCTAAAATAACGCATTATGACCGAACTCGCAAAGACGGATGGAGTTGACCGACCTCAAAGTGTTTTAACATGCCGGTAAACTCATCTTCAAGATCCTTTACAGATGCGACCTTGATACGTATTTAAGCATATTTTTCGCGAATTTGATTCATAATACTCACATATACCGCGGCCACATCGCTAGGCTCCGCTACCGGAGTTGCAGGAAGGTCACCACCAAGACGACTGGCTGGCCGGCTAGTTATATCAGCAATGCTCGTCGCTTTGCTGCCTGACCCGCTCAAAGTACTGTGTGTCGTTGAGGAAGTCGGTTGTCTTCCCTGAAGTTTGAGGCTCGGTGGAATATACCCTTTCTTCGCTGGTGGTTCACTCGGTTCAGAGCCTGCTTCGCTATGTCCATGACTGCCTGCCGCTGAGGCTGGACGCGTTCCACCGGACATAAGCTTCTGGAGCACCGAGTCCACGATTGTCTTGCGAACGTTCTTCTTCGTCATCTCCTTCTTCAAATCTGCGCGAGCTGCATCGGTGACAGTTGGACCAGTGAAAAGCTCCACCACAGCTTGACGAGCGCTTTCCCGTACAGTTCCATCTGTGTCTTCAAGAAGCTCAACTAACGGCAAAAGGTAGGGTTTGAGTGGGAGCATCGGATGAACACGACGCACATCCACAAGCGTAAGTATAGCCTAATTATTGAAACCTCGTCAGCGTTTCTGGTCAAATTTTAAGTCGGTAAGTGGTACCTGTTCTCGAACCCTCCAAACTTTGCTTTGCAGGCCACCTTCACGTAGGCACCGCTCCCAGATCATTAAAGGCGTCTCAGGACCTTTCCCAGCATCTCTGCTTTTGGAAGACGCCGATAGAGACAACAACGATGGCGAGTTGCGTAATGCCAGCCCTCCCAAGACAACCATCGACTCTCGTGCCTTCTCGCGAGAACGTTCGCTCCTGTCACCGAGACGGTCAAGTAGCCCACCGCTGGGCAGAAATGCAGTCAGTATCTGACGCAGAATATGGACATCGACGGAGTCATCCGGATCATTGAGTTTGCCTGTTGTTATCAATGGAAAGAAGGGAGGAAGAGCGGCAAGCGTGGCTGATGTTAAATGTTGGTTGGATGTCCGAAGACATGCCTTGAGCGCGTTGACGAGTCCGTCTGCGTCTGACAACTACAAGCCATGTATTAGCCTCCGTCCCTCTCGCGTTAAAATGTGTTGATAACGCGCCTCTACGCCAGTCTCGAACAGTTTTTGTAACTTGGTGACCGCGTCGATCTTCGCGTCTACGTCTAAATTTTCGAGCAGTGAGTGGTATACCGCGACGAACGCGTCAAAAACACGTACCAGAAGACTTGCATTGCGATATGAGCTTTTCGAGGTCGTGACTATCCATGAAGTGCAGTATTGAGGTTCTGGCTGTGGTTGACAAGGGTCGCAGGACCAACGCAGCGTATAAGTTCAGACTATTACATACGCGCCTGCCATATTGAGAAAAGTGTTACAGAAGGATCAAACTTAGGCTTTAGCACACTTCCTTGCTCTTTGTCCCTTCTTCTTACACGAGTTTAGATAAACTATCAGCTTTATGGACGAGAGTACACAATTTCTTCAACGGAATTTTTTTATTTTATTCGCCATTACAATTTCATTTTCTACTACTGTTTGAGAGATGATAGTCTCCTAATTCGCGAACCGTGGCCACTGGCCACTGACCAGACTCTTGAACTAAAGAACAGTCACGATAACTTATCGCATATAACTTATCGGATGATTTTTCAGGTAATACGCTCCACATACGATTGTCTAACCCTTTATTAGGAGGTTTAGAATCACCAGCCAGAGAAAATCCGAAGTAGCAGAGCACGTGAAGACCTTCCATTCACGTGACCTTCCGGAAGTATTGACAGCCAGACCAACTCCTGAGGTAGGAGATGCATTGGCAGCTTGGACATGGCCAACTACTCACAAAGACCAGGATCTAATACTGGATCGAACTCAAGGTCTACATACGATGCCTTTTCTATGCTTGCTACACCTCCATCTTCGAAGCCCAGTTCGCGAACGCTCACTCCTAATCCGTCACGTCCTCAGCAGTCCCATCCAACAGGGTCAACAGGCCAAGGTGGCCACGATGCATTTAGCTCACTCTTAGGCGCGTCATTCACAGCGCAGAGTAGTCAAGAGAATCTATCCCTAGCAGCTCGGCAAGCGGCCGCGCGGAAAGAGCAGCAAGCAAAGGTCACGAAAGCTGCCGAGTCTGGTCAAGTCGAATCTACGGTCTGGAGTGGATTGGATGCGCTCGGTCAGGGATCACTAAAGTCGTCTTCGAAAAATTCTGGAGCTCAAGTTTCCAGCACAAATGCTGATGATGACTGGCTGTTCGATAATGTAGCAAAATCGACGACAACTTCGACCTCAAGACCTGCCAACCCTCCTATCTCCACTCATGTCGACGATGACTGGGGCCTCTCAGAGTTTACTGATAAGTCAAAAACGCACGAACCAGCACAATCGAATGCTGGTACTCAGGGGTCCCTATTTGATGCGTTCGAGGACGGAGACCTGCTGTCCGACTCTTTCAGCCAAAGCAGACCTCAACATGCTCCAAGTAGTCATACTGAGGAAGTAGATGATATCCTCGGTGTACTTGGCAAGCCTGTTGCCTCTAATTCCACTTCACCCCCGGAGCCGGTGAGTCATAAATCCGCTAAATAGCTAGGCGTAATTTACAAGATAATCTTTCTTCAGGCGACTCCGGTTGCAGTGACAGAGCGGGAAACCCGTGCACGGGCTGACTCTCCGCCACCTCATCTCATAGGACAAATTGTCGAGATGGGTTTTAGCCCTGAACAGGCACGGTTAGCACTTGCATCCACGGATACCGGCCTAGATGTACAACAGGCACTTGATACTCTCCTCTCAAATGGTGTTGGCAGTGATTTCAGTGATGAGCCACCACCAGAACGACCTCGTAGAGGACTGGCTGACTATCGGGAAGAAGATGACCGATGGGAAGAGCATGGAGAGGAGGATTCTCCTCCACGACGTCGCGTCGCTCGCCAGACGGCGTCTTCATCTGTTCCTCCGAGTCGAGCTCAGAAACAAGCCAACTTAGCAAGTGGCGATATTCAAGCTCAAGCGGATAAATTACTCGCGCAAGCAAGCGAGATTGGATTGAACATGTTCAATCGCGCAAATGCTCTCTGGAAAGACGGAAAAGAAAAGGTACAGAAGGCGTACGAAGAACGGGCAGCTGGGACGAAAAGCAGGCCTGTCAACGATGGTCGACCAAGGTGGATGTCAGACGCTCCTCCTGATGAGGACGAGCGTGTGCAAAGGCGTGGTGCATCATCAAAAGGCGCTTCTCATGGCGGTTTCGGCGATAGTGACGACGATGATGTACAAGAACAGACTCCTGAATCAAAAGCGCCTCGAACGAGTGCGAGATCTGATAGAATTGCGGCGGATCGCGCGCCTCAGGCAGCGAACCCACGAGTTGCGAATCTCTTTGATGCTGAGCCATCTGCGTACATATCACCTTCCCGACGTCGTCCGGTTGTATCTCGATCGTCATCACAGGCAGAGACTTCAACAGCTCCAACGCCGAGCTCTTCGAATCAAAAGTCTCGAGCCTCGACACCTCTGCGGACTCGTCAAACAGTCACCGCCAGTGCCTCCGCCATCGCATCTTCAAACGCACACAAGGCAAAAGGGACAGAGCTCTATAAGCTCGGACAGTTTGCGAATGCAGAACAGGCATATTCAGCAGCCTTAGATACCCTTCCAGCCAACCACCTTCTCCTTGTTCCTCTCTATAATAATCGTGCTCAATCGCGATTAAAGATAGGCGAGTATTCTGGGGCGGTTGACGATTGTACTGCTGTGCTCTCAATCATAGGCCTCGATTATCACCCCGCCCGAGAAGCAAAGGTCACGCGCGAGGATGAAGGGACATCTGTAGATCTTGCTGATGCTCTTCTAAAAGCGCTACGGCGACGCGCCGAAGCTTATGAAGGACGCGAGAAGTGGGAACAAGCTCTCAAGGACTGGGAGGCTATTACAGCATGTGATTGGTCTGCCAAAATGCGTACTGACGCCTTTGCTGGAGCCTCGAGGTGTCGGAAGATGTTGTCTCCGGAGAAAGAGCCTCGTAAGTTTATTACGTTTAGATATATGTACTGGCTGAATTTATCCGCTCCTAACTTTTAAAGCAGTCGCCTCTAAGTTTCCGGCGCCCCGGCCGGCCGCTCGACCTGCGGTTTCTGTTGCCGAGCAGGACTTCAAGGCAGTCGAGAACCTACGCCAAGCGAATCGAGCTCAGGAGGAAGAGGATGCCCTGAAAGCGAGCCTGAAAGACTCCGTCGACGCGCGCCTGAATGTGTGGAAAGCGGGTAAAGAAACAAACGTACGTGCACTAGTCGCAAGCCTCGAGACAGTATTATGGCCGGAACTGGGATGGCAGAAGGTTGGGCTGCACGAACTGGTTAGCCCGGGTCAGGTAAAAGTACGATACATGAAGGCTATTGCTAAGCTTCATCCCGATAAGGTATGAAGAACTTTACGTTTGCAGTTGTAGACAGCTGACATGGCTTGTAGATTAACTCTGGTAACACTACAGTCGAGCAGCGCATGATCGCAAATGGCGTTTTTGCGGCGCTAAATGATGCTTGGCTAGCATTCAAACAATGACATCCGGGATTCAAGGCGAGTGTGACTGTACCAGTGCAGCCGATCTTTTTTAGACTGTATAGTGAGTATCATTCGTGTAATCACATTTTCCGGGCTCATTGTCGCTTCTTGGTAGGAATAACTGCTGTTGTTTACCTAGTGTTAATGGTTCGTACTTTCGTTTGTTGTCTGAGCCTGCATTTACTAATCAATATGAAATAGAATGATATCTGATTATGATAAAGATTGGCCGAGAACAATTTGAAAGAAAGTGCAGACTGTCAAATAGTACTTTGTTGTCTGCCGGAAGGCTGTGATCTAATAGCGGAAAAATTGGTCAGATGGAGAAGCGGTAAGAGAGCTCCGGTGTTAACTCTCTTTACTATTTATATGTGCCTCTCGCCACATGGACGAGTAAGTGCTTTCCTGTGTCGCCGACAACCACGCCACCGCTCAAAGGGGCAAAAACATCAACGCGACCGGATGTTCCGCGGGCTCGTGGCTGGCTACTTCCCACTACGCACAGGGGCTTTGATCTTGATTATTTCCAGTCGATAGATTGTAGGCTCGTGGCGACTCTATCTCGGCCCTTTTGGTCTCTGGCGACCTTTCTGCGCGTGTCTAAGCCGCGCAGCTGTTGCTTGTGACATACCTTGATCATGCAGCCAGCAGTAAGTGTCGTGCGATGCGTTGCACTTGGTATACTCAACACTAAACACTCATTTATTCACTATAGGGACAGTTTCTACGAGAGTACAAGCTAGTTGTTGTCGGTGGCGGAGGTGAGCACACACTGCACAACGCCTTTCCGTTTGTCCTAGCTTACATTCCCAATCGGCGGCCTTGCGATGAAGGTGTTGGCAAGTCGGCGCTTACAATTCGGTTTATCCAAGGACAATTCGTCGATGAGTACGATCCGACGATCGAAGGTAGGCAACGGGATGCAACGAGCGTCACAGCAACCGGCCTTGTTCTAACGCAGCTTCTGCAAAAGACTCTTACAGAAAACAAACACTGATAGATGATGAAGTCGCTTTGCTCGATGTATTGGATACTGCTGGGCAGGAGGAATACAGGTGCGTTGGACTACCTTCCGTTCAATGCGCCGTTCTTCACGCCATAGTGTGCATACGCCACAAACCATTCGCTTGTAATATGTGCTGATAATAGATTCTTTAATGGTTCGTAGTGCGATGCGAGAACAGTACATGCGTTCAGGGGAAGGGTTCATGCTCGTATACTCGATCACGGACAGGAACTCGTTCGCAGAGATGGATCAATTCTACCACCAGATCTTACGGGTGAAAGACCGCGACTACGTGCCTCTTGTGCTCTTAGGAAACAAGGTGGACTTGGAGGACGAGGATAGGCGGGTCAACTGTGCAGGTGCGTTGTTATGCCATTTGATACATTGCGAGAGTTGATAACTTAATTGACTTCTTGTATTTTACGTTACTTTTAGAGGGCGACAATTTGGCGAGGCATTTCGGTTGCCAGTTCTTCGAGACGTCAGCTAAACTGCGAATAAACGTGGACGAGGCGTTTATCGGACTAGTACGTGAGATCCGACGGGTTAACAGGGTTTGTGCCACCTCCTATCCCTTTCCTCGTCCCCCACTTATACTTATACCTGGGCCTTATTTTACCATGTACAGTTGCAACAGATGGGGCTGAGAGGTGGATATGAGAAAGGGGGTTACCAACCAAATGAGCAAGGAGATGTGAATACGGGATGTTGCGGGAGCTGCGCAGGTTGTGTCATCGTTTAACGAACGGCGGGCACGAGCTTTCTCCTATCCTATCCATAGACATTACACCTTCTTGCATGTCTTCGCCAATCACTAGCTTTTCTTGGTTTCTTGGAATATGGACCATTGTGGGACAGTCCTCTTGCAAGTATCACACTTTCCTCAGCCGCTTTTTCGTGTTTATCCATGTCATGTTATTCTATACGTTCCACTCGAGATACCATTTTATATAAGGGGGTTCGGATAATAAGTCGTCGTTGGTGCTGTCATCGCTTGACATTCACAGACTTCACTCGAGGATCTCCGCGATCCTGACGAGCTTTTAGCTTCTGTTGACGTTTGCTAACTGGTTCGGCTGGTGCGTCTTCGACTGGCGTGCCGCTTGGCCTTAGGAAATTGTATGCCATAGGTCCAACTTTGAACAAGATGTATCCAGGAATCTATGAAAGAGATGAGCGAGATGAACTCGAAATACAGGAGCTTTTAAAGAAACCCGCAAAGACTGACAGTGAGGTATAACCACCAGACATATTCACTAAACAAAGCGCTTCCTATTTGACAAGCCCCTACCAAACAAAACAAGGCCATGTCAGATAACACACTCCGAGATCAAGCTTGAAGATAACAAGCATCTCACAAGTAATATAAAGCACATCAAACATCCACTCGCAGACAAACCCCGGATTAGCCAAGTCAACGCTTGGCGACTTCAATAAATTCCCATTTGCGTCATACGTAGGCTTCCCAGAGCTCGACAAGAAGTAATATATGAAAATCTCCACAGCGTAGGATATCCAAAGGAAGATATAAGCGATTCCGAAGGGGAGGGTGAATATCCCGCGTTGATGGAACCAGCGAAGAAGGATTGAGAGAGTGTTGGAGATTAGCATGCCGTAACGGAGGTTTTGGAGGGCTTTTTGGCTTTGCGCCGCTACGTGTTAGAAGTCATGATCAATTGTGGGTTGAATTAGTTGAGGAAGGAGGATAAAAGAAGTTTAGTAGAGCGTGCCTGATTTCTTTGCAGCTGCGTTGGCCATCGTGGACACGGAAGCAAGTGTAGGTTGATGGCACGCGATGACGCGACTGGTGCGTATTTACAAACTTCGTCATTCTGAATTTCTGAATTGTCATAAAATTCTTGCTTTTGACTACCACCCTTCAACAATCATGCCAGACTCCTCATGTACTGACTGCGTCGTAGAGGTACAAGCTGTACCAGTCAAGCCTACAGACACTAATACCACTACGTCAAGTAAACATGACCCGATGGATGTTTCGGCATTTACGCCTCCAGTGCCCCTTCCAGTTCCGAGTGTTACTATCGAATTCTGCAACAGAGTAAGCCTCATTATTCTTTATCTAGCAAGATATCAAGGGCAGTAAAATTATTATTATTTTGTCTAGTGTCGATGGTACGACCACAATATTCTCTTCGCTCACCGAATACTTGGTTAAATGAGATTATATTTCAAAAGGTTACATCGAGCAACCTGGATCTCCACCGAACTCCTCTTAACCTTCACACCACCAACACTCAAGGGCGTACACATTATCCCACTAAACGAGGACGAGACAGCAGGGCGTTTCCGAGTTTGGCTTTCAACAGAGAAGGGACCGGTCTTGATATGGGACAGGAAGGTTGAGGGCGGGTTTCCTGAGTTGAAAGTACTAGTGAGTACAAACCCACCGTTATACGTCGAGGTATGGGATGCTGAATGTTTTGAATTTGTCTTAGAAACAACGCATACGGGATCGAATTGATCCTGGCAAGTCGTTGGGTCATTCAGACAAACACGACTAAACGCAGCATGCAGAGATCTCTGGTATATTCTACAATCTATGCTTGAACTCAATGTACCATAGGATACATAACAATGTTCTTTAACCCACACATACGCCAGAATCAATCCTGTCTATCGCTTCATGTTTCCTCAAGTAGAATTGTCAAGATCTGGTGTCTTTCTATCCCGCAGTGGGTGTTGAGAAGAGAGCGTCATTCGTGTATCTCGAATAGGTAGGGCGAGCGAGCGAACGGATTGCAACGCTCTTGTCAGTCTCGATATCAGCTACAAGAGCCTCTGCGATTCCTTGAGTTAGCTTATGAGACTCCACTAAAGTGAATGTATGCGCACCTGTACTTGTATAATCTAACTCCGGTCGAATGTACCCAAGAACCAGAACACGCATTTCGTGTTCATAGAAGTCGTTTTCGTACTCGTGCATGATATGGACCTCCTAATTTATGGACAAATTATATTGATCTATATTATTATTTTATCAATAATAAAGGAGAAATGATAGACGAACCGCTGATAACTTTTCATTCTTATAGTACGGATTCCAACCAAGACTCATCACCATGGGATGTACCTTGCTATCATCTCCATTAAAGTTCTGCTCTTCCCCTTCTCGAGGTAAGACCTGTGCGTAACCGTAATAGATACCCGTAGTCGTCGCTGCGCTGAGTGATTGAAGTGCCTTGTCAGGAAGGTTCGCTACATTCACAGTTAGATATCCAGAACTTTTGACTTTGAGTAATAACACTATGTAAAGACCAACCAGTTGGACATCCAAGATCCTTCCCTCCTCGTCCAAACCCTTTTTGTACCTCACCATGTAGGGCAAGAGGGAAAGGCGGGACAGGTCCATCATCCGGACCGACGATCTCAGGGCGCGTTGTTCGGAAGGTTTCAGTGCTCATTGGGGCGGTTTCGGGCAGCTCTGTCGACTCCCTCGTTGCACTAGCTGAACTTTCCATCGCGTCTGCTATGAATGATGTCGACGCCAATATAAGAGTAAAGTTGTTGACTCGTTTGATTAAGTCCCAGGATGATGAATCTATGCGTGTCCATAGATGGAAACGTCGATCACGGCAGGCTGTCGTTCACGTGTTGTGGTTTGTGCCATTTCCTTTCTTCTCAATTTCTTCCTCATCATCAACTACATTGTCAAGCATCTCCGTCCCAAACCAGCTTTGCAGTTCACGCAATATGGCGCAACCATACCACCAAGGACAGGATTCAATCTTGAATAGCACTGGCAGTTACACACAACTGCAACAGCAACCACAATCTAACGTCGCCCACTCATTCACTCGAAAAACTGGCGCAATACGATCGCGGGATTGGGAACCCGACATGGCTAAACCTGGCTCGTCGCGTTTACGAAGAGAAATCCCATTCATGTCTGCCTCCGTGGCATCCAGTACGATAAACCGATTCCTCGCAATTCGAGTTAGGGAGGAGGGCTTTGAACGTGCGGAGACTGCAGCGCTTGTGCGGTTAGAGATGGAGGTTACAGCTTGTGCGTGTTTCATGCCTTTCATGGCTGTCTATCTTTTTTCGTACCCATACCTATTTCTGTGTGGTTGATTTTATCTCTGACCCAGTCATCGAACAAATATTCTCCCGCGCCAAAGCGTTCGCAGACAACTCAGCACGAGGCCGACCAACAGCCGCGGACGCAATCGCTGCAGTCCAGGAATACGACCTCGACATCGCGGAACTCAAGCAAGAAGTTAAGGAGAGCAAAAAGCGAGCTCGGAAACGGAAACGTGCAGGTCTGGTGATATCTATTTCCGAACCAACTCGGAAATGCTAACGCGATCGAATGGCATTTTGTGTATTATAGGCGAACCAGACCAGTCTTTGAACCTTGAACTAGTCCCTCCTGAACGACGATCAAGTTCCCCTGAGTTACTAGCATCGGACGACGAAAATACTCCACCCGTGGTACCACAAACTCTCCGTTCACTTCCAACGCATCTCCCACCACTTCCTCCGAAACACACATACTTACAAACACCTGTACGTTTCAGTCATCCCATCATCATCATATCTTTTAGTTTGCTAGTTTGGCGCTAACGACTAAATTATCAAATTTTGTTTGATTAGGTCCCGCCACCGAAGAAACAGGCGTTACCTTCACTTGAAAAGAAGCTCGAGAACGCTGCGTTAGTACAAGAGTCTTTACGGAACTTATTATTGGCGACCGAGGTTAATGCCGATGCCAATGACAAGGAGCTGTTTGGTGGAGTTGTGAACTGGGAAGCAACGAAGTACCCGCGGAAGAAATGGAAGATTGGTGGTAGCTGATGCCTGGTCTGGCTAGTGTTGATTTCAATAACCTACAAGCAAATCTAGAGCATACAGCCTCTCGGGAAACATGGGTCTATATCCAGCCAATGTGGGATTTCTTATTAGCAGGTTGTATGGTCGTGTGTATTTCAGGGCTAAATGTATGCAGATGTGCTCATTTTTATGAGGGTACTTTTCACGCGTACCGCGGAACCGGTTGTCAGTGAGAGATTGGACGGCAGGAAGCATGCTGCGGAACTGCACATAAGTTTCTTCCATTCGACGGCTTTCGATGTATTTCTCCAGATTGTAAAATACAGCGACATATGTTACGAGAAGTGCGAGCCATACGCTCCGCTGACGTAGGAGACAGGATGAAAACTAGTCGGGAGAAGCGGAAGAAATGGGATATGATCCATATGAAGAGCTTCTATCCGTGAAGGAAGGCATCCTGGCCCCGCATTGGACGTGCTTCCGTGCAACAAGGAAGCATCGAGGTACACTAGGAAGCATAAATAAGAAGTGGGATTACAGGCCGGGGCTTACTTTCTCGGACACGATTTGACCGAAAGAAAGCAGTCTGGGAGTGTAGCGTATGGGTTGATTCACAGCGGGGTAATATTCCTACGGATTTGGTACTGCCACGTACGCTTCCTGTGTCGGCGTCTCGCCTGCCAGGAACTGGCTGTGCGCCATTGTTAGGGATGTGTGAGAGCGTTGCGCGCTATGCGTGTTTCACGGTATATGAGGCTGAGAGATGGGTGTGATTAGCGGTGGGTTGATTGGAAGCGGACGAGCAAGGGCCGAGATGTCGCGTGCGAATAGCGGTAATTCATCTCTCCCCATTGGCTGCAGTGCTGACATAACACGGCACTCTGAAAATCCTTAAGACTCTCTCGTACAACTCACAACTAGAACTCTCTACTCTCTCGCTTTGCTTGCCCCTCCTGCAACAATGCATTTCGACAAGCTCTCCACCATCGCCCGCTTCAAGAAGTCTTGCCCATTCTTGGGCCGCACAAAGACCTCCACCCTCCGTACGCTATGCTCATCTGCATCGGCACGCTACCCGACGCTCTCTCAGCTCTCTGAGCGTGCTGCCAGCTGCCCCGTCATGGGCCCGGCCCTTGCTATTCGTTCCAGCCAGATTGCTGCTCAGCAGTCCCGTGGCTATGCTTCTGTCGCTGGCATTGCTGACGTTCAGAACATGCACGCTCGTGAGGGTGTCTTCCCACCTGCTCATCCGGCGGTCCCTGGCAACGGAGCAGCTGGAATCGAAAAGTGTCCTCATGCTGCGGCTGCCCGTCGTGCGGCCGAGCTTGCGCAGGCTCTCGCCGCCGCAAAGGAGAAAAAGGCTACTCCCGTTGCCACTGCCACAGAGAAGAAGGCGACCACTTCGGCGAACATCAAGAACCAGAATGGCTTTAACTATGAAGTGTTCTACGCCGATGAACTTGAGAAGAAGCACAAGGATAAGAGTTACAGGTACTTCAACAATATTAACCGTCTTGCTGCCAAGTTCCCTGTCGCACACACCGGTGCGGTGGAGGAGGAGGTCACCGTTTGGTGTGCCAATGACTATCTCGGTATGGGCAAAAACCCGATCGTTCTTGACACTATTCAGTAAGCATTGGGTTTCATTTATTTCGTACCTGAAATGATTCTTACATCGTATCTAGTCGCACCCTCGACAAGTACGGTCATGGAGCTGGAGGCACTCGCAATATCGCTGGTAACGGTGCCATGCACCTGGCCCTTGAGGAAGAGATTGCAGCGCTGCACCGCAAGCCAGCTGCTCTCGTCTTCTCGTCGTGCTATGTCGCGAATGACGCCACGCTTTCTACGCTCGGTTCTAAACTTCCTGGCTGTGTGTTCTTCTCCGACACAATGAACCATGCGTCCATGATTCAGGGTATGCGTCACTCGGGCGCGAAGCGCGAGATATTCAAGCACAACGATCTCCAGGACTTGGAGATGAAACTTGCACAGTACCCCAAGGAAACGCCTAAGATCATTGCATTCGAAAGTGTCTATTCCATGTGCGGAAGCGTCGGCCCCATTGCGGAGATATGTGACCTTGCGAAGCAGTACGGTGCCCTGACTTTCCTAGACGAGGTAAGTATTCGGAATGTGCATTTCCAATCATATGCGTCCGCTGACTTGTTTCCGTAATTAGGTTCACGCGGTTGGTATGTATGGACCTCGGGGTGCTGGTGTCGCCGAGCATCTAGACTGGGACGCCCATGTTCGCGCTGGTAACTCGCCTGATGCCATCCCTGGCAGTGTCGCAGACCGCGTAGACATCATCACGGGTACACTTGGCAAGGCTTATGGAGCTGTTGGCGGGTACATTGCTGGTTCTACGGATTTCGTTGATACGATTCGGTCTTATGCACCTGGTTTCATCTTCACGACGTCTCTCCCGCCGGCGACTGTTGCGGGTGCACAGGCTAGTATCGCGTACCAGAAAGAACATTTGGGTGATCGTCGTCTTCAGCAGTTGAATACTCGCAAGCTTAAGTCTAGGCTTGAAGAGCGCGGTATTCCCGTTGTTCCCGGACCGTCGCATATTGTTCCCGTTTTGGTCGGAGACGCTGCACTTGCTAAAGCGGCATCTGACATGCTTTTGTCCGAACATGCGATTTACGTACAGAGTATTAACTACCCCACCGTTGCACGTGGGGAAGAACGTCTCCGCATTACACCTTCTCCGGGACATATGGTTGAACAACTCGAGATACTGGTTAACGCTGTGGACTCTGTCTTTACGAGGCTTGGTATTCGGCGTTATGCGGATTGGGTAGCTGTTGGTGGGCGTGCTGGAGTTGCTATTCCTAACGCTAAGCCGATCGAACCGATTTGGAACGAGAGGCAGCTGGGGTTGGTTGATGGGTCTGCTCCGATTCAGTTGAAGAAGGGTGAGAAGGCGGTTGTTGATGGACGTGCTGGACGTGTTGCGTTATCTCGTTTCGACAAGCTACTTGGACCGGTGAATGGCGTTGTGCACCACCGCGCTGCTGCGGCGAATACGCTGTTCAACCCTACTGCGATGCAGCATAACCATGTTCCGACGCCTATTGCGGCTACGGCTTGAAAGCGCAGTAGCTGCGAGGACGGAATGTCATCAGTCAACAATAGTGATAAATTGAGTTTCTTGAAATTGATAATAGTGATTCGAGATATGTTTTGTGATTCAACGCGTCCAATGCGCACTGTCAAATGAAATAATTGTGAACAATATTTTGGTGTGATGTGTGTGCAGCGAATTCTTTGAGGAAGTGAGATGCGTGTGATAAGGTCAATACTTCATGAGGAACTGTTCTCCATCATCCAGCTCTCAGATGTACAAGTCACTGTATCCAACTCTCTGCAGAACAACCCATTGATGTAGATACAGACATAATCGAAGTGTACGTTCATCTATCTGTTGACAAGCAGACTAAATACCTGAGGGCCTACAAGTATGCTTTATATGCAATAAGAAATGTTGTTACAATTAATATTGATTCTTCATAGAAACTAGGCAAAAAGGAGGATGTACTTTTTGTTTTGTACAATAAATGTGCAAGTTCTCATGGACATCAAGATAGTATTTGGCAACGTAGGTCCAAATCTTTTGTTTGTACAGAGCAAGATTTCTTGTTTTGTCGATCTGAACCAAATAATCAAACGACGTCACTCGATCGCGAGTTGTTCAAGCCATTTGAATCGAGACTACATAGACCTAGAAATGGAACAAAGAGATATATCTGACTATTTGTGTCAATGCTAGTGAAACAAACGACTTAGGCACCTTCCTTCTCCCACCTCTTCTTCAGATCTTCTTCTCAAAGCAAAACAGCAAAACAGCAAAACAGCGATGTCCAACCCATTCATCCTAGTAACACCCTCAACGCGCGGTCTCTCCCTAGCGCTGACTAGACACTTCCTTAAAACAACAAAGCTACCCGTCTATGCCACGCATCGTACTGGTACGGCAGAAGAGCACCATAAGAACATCCTATCCCCACTATCCGGAATTGACAGCAACCGACTCAAAGTCCTCCCTCTCGACCTCAGATCTGAGACGAGGATCCAAGATGCAGCGGACGCCCTTAAAGCCGAGCTACCCGACAAGGCGTACCTCCACACAGGGTTCTTCACGGGTGGCATGCTCTATCCGGAGAAGAACCCAAAGGATATCAACGACGCGATACTGCAAGAGACTTTCCAGGTCAACGTCCTCTCGCATTTACTCCTCATCAAACACTTCTCTCAGTTCCTCCCCGACGCAAAGATGAACTTAACAGAAAAGAACGGAGGACCGACCAAGTGGGTCCACGTCACTGCACGCGTAGGAAGCATTTCAGACAACAAAAGGGGAGGATGGTATTCCTACCGAGCTTCCAAAGCAGCTTTGAATCAAGTAATCAAGACCTTTGACAATCAGCTTGCTATGAACAAGACGCCGAGTATCTGTGTCGGAGTACACCCTGGGACTGTGAAGACGGACTTATCCAAGGACTTCTGGAGTAGCGTGCCGAAGGAAGAGTTGTTCGAGCCGGAAAACGCGGCAGAACGGCTTGTCGATGTTGTTGGAAAGTTGACGGAGGAACATAGAGGAAAGGTATGGGATTATGCAGGCAAGCAGGTTCCGTGGTACGTGAATCCCTTCTTCCGGGAAAATAAGCGTGGATATAAATGCTGACTTTCTGTGCATGAAGGTAAAAATAGACTTGGTTTAGCTGGGACTTTCCTCCGATCAGTATCCAGACCTTGTTCAATACTTCCTAGATTGTCCGTGTAATTCAAATTGATTCTCAAAGCCGACGCGAAGGTTTTGCATGTAACTACGTCATGGTGATCAGTTTCCGAGGAGGGAACATGAAACGTTCATCGGCATAGGTGGACTCACACGAGACACAGCATTACCGAGTGGAATTCCACGCCATCGGTTCCATATGATTTCACTAACGAAAATGTAGCAGGGAAAACTTACAGTAAGTGGAATATTTTGGGGAAATATCTGAACTGCTTGTTGTTTGCACTCTACGATCAAAGGACAATTAGGGAGAAGATTTACCATCGACTCATAGCACTGAATAGCGTCGAGACCAGCGGTCAGGACGAGGCCCCAGTCCCTGGGAATCGGGTCACAAAGCAATGCTCCACGGTGGAGAAGCGTGGTCTCACCGTCATGTCGGGTGGGAGCATTGGTGAAAAGCTCTCCCAAAAGAGGCAAAATGTGCGTCTGTAATCTGAGCGCGATTATGCCCGTGAGCTTGAAATCTCAAATGCGAATGAGCTTTAGCGGATCTTACGGGAGTTGGTTTATGGGCCTTACGCTGCGGAAGGTCTGGGCGTCCGGGCAGTGAACTGACATCATCGAGTGTTTAGAGATAACGCTGTGTGTCGATTTTATAAAAGGCGTGGTTGCAGTCGGTGAGGACAGCTTAACGAGATTTACCGAGATTTACAAAAGTGTCACCTCAGCACATTATGGACAATACCGCTTCTTCTAGTGAGTTACACTCATTTCACTCACGATACAACGGCATGTACTCACTTCTTTCTGTAAACAGCAAGTGCACTTGGAGCACCTCCACCTTACGATTCGTTCGATAATGCTTCGGGGGACCACCAATTCAAGCCACAAGCCCCTGGCCCGATCTACAAAGAGAACGAGTTTGGAGAAATGAAACCAACAGCGGCCGGGCAAACAGGAACAGACTCCGAAAATGCTCTGCCTGAACACCAACGAGTCCGAGTTCCGACTGACACGGTTTTCGTTGAGAACGAATATGGCGAGATCCATCGAGAAGCTACCGATCCCGACCTGCTAGGTGGTCACCAACAGTCCGGGACAGGTCATTTCGGCGAAGACACGCCTCAACGCGCAGAAGCGTTCCATTCGGACAAGATCTACCCCGAAAATAGGTTTGGGGAACTTGGGAGGGCGGACACTTTCCAGGAGCACCCTCATTTGACAGAGAAGCTTAAAGGTATGACAATACTTTTAATCATTTTGTTCTCTGAATAAAGAAAGGCTAATGTCAACTCATTTCTGAAGAAACGGCGGAGCAAATAATTGGCAAGCTCACCACGAAGAAAGATCATCATGATTCGCGGAAGGCACGCCATCACTTTTGGTGACCAGCACGAACTTACCTTTGTAAAACAGACTCCTCCGGAATCAACTGAATAGTTCGGATCCGATTGGGAAGGCCAGGTGAAGCAGTAATATGACATTTTATATGCATTTCATCGTAATACATGTACGACTATGTCATGATAGACACCGAATTCTAGTATCCCTGTAACTGAACTAAAAAAACTTCAGCGTAATGATACATAAATGACTGGACAACTTAGCGAAACACAGTGAAAGAGGTCTGTTAAACTATACATTGTGAGGTTCTTAAGTTATGTGGTGCAATCGAGTAAGCTCGTCAAAATGTATGTTGAAGGACCATCGGGAGGTAATAATAAACATAAAGCATAGGGAAAGGTGTTCTCAAGCGTCCACGAAGTCTCCCTCTTCTTCCACCCAACCGAGGGTCTCGTGAGCAATTCCAAGTTGATGAAGCATTGTGCCAAGGCTCTTCGAGTCGTGTGCAGTATGAGAAGATTCTTCCTGTGAGTCATTTTCTTTAGTGTCTTCAGCTTCGACATGAGTGTCGTTGTCAGTGTCCGCTGCTTGTTGCGCGAAGTATGCTCCTCGCGGTGTTGGTGGCAACATTGAAGTACGAGGGACCGTCGCCTTTTTGCGAAGTGAACCATACAACTCGTTTTCGAGCTTCGAAGGCGATTCTAATTCCTCGTCATGATCGTCGTTTTGACACGTCTCCTTCGGTGATTCGTCCCATCCCCAGTTATCGTTCCCAGTTCCGGTACCGGATGGCCCTGCCCATCCCCAGCTCTCCGAAAATGCTCCCCCAGCCGACTTTGAGTTCGTTCCAGGATATGGCGCGTTGGAAGACTCATCATTATCTCGGACAAGCTGCCATAAATCCCAAGCAGCCTCACGACCAGCCGTTCTCCATTTCTTTACCAGTTGCTCTAGCTTTTCTTCGTCATTGTCCTGCTTGATTTTAATTGCTCGCTTCAGGAGTTGGACCTGCCGTTCCATATCTTGAATGACGCGCGAGTTATTGATGTGCCGAGCTACTTTTGCGGTGGGGGACGACATAAGCGGGGACTTGAATTGGGACTTGGCCTTCGCGGTACTGGCAATACTTCTCGATGCAGCTGATACTGGTGTATGCGGTCGTGAACTGGACGCAGGAAAGGCGCGAGCATTATTCTTCAGGGGAGTCGATGGCTTATCCTCGTCTCCGTCTTGCCGTACAGCAGATGACAATGGAGATGGTTGGCTCATAGTAGGACCATTGCAATTAGGTGTGTTTGTGTTTCCAGACTTCGGTCTTGCTACTAGTGGAGATCGGAATGGCGTTGAGAGCTTCTGGTGTTGCTTTTTCTGAGCAGCAAGAGTCATTCGCTTAGGTGCCGGAGCTTGAAGTGAATCGTCCGGATTGCGCGTTCTCTGTTGGCGAGCGGTCAGTCCCAGTAAGAAACGATTTTAGTCTGACCCTACCTTTTGAGCACCGTTTTCATTTCCGAGTTCATGGCTCTTGTTAGAGAGCTCCTCGTTACTCGACGAAGAGCCATTTGGTTCTACAGTAAGCTGGTGATGCTCATCAGGAGCTGTCAGCGATGCGTCCTCGGATGCTGCGGATACAGAATCTGTAGGGGTATTTGTCGACTGCTCGTTCGCGGGTTTTGTGGACTGTGACGTATGTATATGACTTGTCAGGTGTTGTACCAAACGAGAACATGCTTAACTCACGTCAACAGAGTCGACACCAGCCATAACCGCACATACAATGCCTTCAGTACTGGGCTGTCTGTCTGCTTTGAGAGGAGTGGCTAATATTTTCATAGGAACGCCGTTAAATGTGGTACTTGTCGCTGAAACGCAGGTCTACAGGTATATTAGCTAACGTTGCATGCATAAAACGTTGAAGTACTTACAGAACTCTCTCCGGAGTCAGAAACGCCATTCATATCATTGCAAGGTCCCTTAATGCCACCTTCTGTTTGGAGCAAATCCGACACAGTAAAGGGAGAAACCTCGATTAAACCGGGCGAGTCCTAAAAAAATAATAAAAATAAAAATAAAAGGTAAAGTTGCGAATATATTCTCAATATATATATATATACGATAAATTAAATAGCGAACCGATGCAGAAGGGGACGTGTCAGCAGACTCAGTAGGAGAGAGACTACCTTGGCGGACCTCTCCGAAAGGCGACCGTAAAACACCTGAGGCATTCGGAGATGTACCGAAGATGTGGTCAGATGACATTGGTGGGCTCGGCGGTGTAGAAGAGAAGCAGTCTAAGCTAGTCCGCATTCGATCGGATTGTACTTTGGTATTATCAAGCTGGAACATGGCTGAGCGACCATGCCACACATACAGTAAGTGACTGGACATACAAGAGGTGTTGGTTCACTTTTTGTAGCGACAAAAGGAGACAACAGAGGCTTTTGAAATTTCCCGTGAGCAAAGAAGCCCATCTTAGAGGAAGATAGCAAACCATATTCATTGTATCTGTGGCACGAAGTCCAGATGCATTGCCTTGTGGAGAATTATAGGCGACGGTTGAGTTGTTTCGAACGACGTTTGAATCGGGAGGCGACAAAAGCATTTGTTCAGAAAGTCCAGTGTCTTTTCCTTGTAGGCCTGAAACAGAGTTCAGATCACCAATGCTCTCTCCGTTGAAGTTTTCGCCAGTATTGTGTGAGCTGTGAGGGCCGGAATCGTGCGCCGATAGAAACTCAGTTACAGGATCGACCCGTACAGGTCTGGGAGATTCGGCGTCTGTGGTGTTCTCACTACGAGGCGGAGACAGATCGACGCCGAAAGTAACTTGTACTTGAGCCTCTTCCATTGATGATACGCTCAGTCGAGCATTGAGAGTTGAGTATTCTTAATGTCGTGGTCAGTGATAAGATGCGTAGACGGCACGTGGACGCGACGCGACGCGTTGACGCGTTTTACATAAAAACCACACTCCGACCTCCTGCTGGTACCACTGACACTACGACACCCATCATGAATGGCGATATTACAATGATACACGATGCAGCGGCAGTTTCTACTGTCGACAATAGCATATGGCCAGTACACAGTCAGTCATTCCTTGTTGCAGATACCCATGAAATCCAGTTGTTCTGACTTGCGCGTAGTCGAGGTTCGCTTGGTGCAGCGGACTTCGATGCCATTTGACAGTATCAGAAAGCTCGTCCATCAGTACCTAAGCAATAATAATGTGTCTTTATTCATGCCTTCGGTTCTGTCTGGATGGGAAAGTTCTTCCATCTTGCGCGATAGCGTCGAGAAGATTACAGTGTCCGAAAGCGGTGAGCACCAGATGCATTACGCATATAATAAGTACTGAACACTATTTCAGCATGCTCGTATCAGTCTCTTCCAATTGAAAGATGCTCGCTACAAATACACGTATACCAGCCAAAGAAAGACTCAGCATACGAAAAACTGTCGATGAATCCTTCGGATGCCAATGAAGAGTACACAGCAGGATCTGTATCAGAACTCCCAAGTAATGAACTGGAGGGTCTTTGGGAGAGTCTGTTCTACGATGGCGATGTGAAATCTCGCCTCCTCAATTATATTTATGCGACAATCGGCTTCAGTGATGCTGACGTAGATCGTAAGGATGCTTCTCCACCTGAGTTAGCTTCTGTATTGAAGTCGCTCGTCCTTTAGACAATCTGGTGTCCTGGAACCGTGTTATTTTACTCCATGGTCCTCCTGGAACTGGAAAGACATCCCTGTGCAGAGCACTTGCCCAAAAACTCAGTATTCGCCTCAAAGATAGGTAAGTTCTACGTCAACACGGATCCTGTGAATGTGTCTGATTATGGAGCAGATACTCTAATACATACCTCTTTGAAATCAACTCCCACTCGCTTTTCTCAAGGTGGTTCTCCGAATCTGGAAAGCTTGTGCAGAATCTCTTTTCTACTGTAACCGAGATGGCAAAGGAAGAGGACGATTTTGTCGTCTTGTTAATTGGTAAACTACTATACTGTCCTAAATTAATGAATATTTATTGATTTCGCACCTATTAGATGAGATTGAATCACTAACGTCAGCGCGTTCAAATGCCTTGTCCGGGAATGAGCCTAGTGATGCACTGCGTGTTAATACGATTTAGTTCTTATTGCAACCAGAGATGGCTAACATGAACTTGCCTTTCAGGTCGTCAATGCACTTCTCACGCAAATCGATCGATTAAAATATCAGAAAAATGTGCTCATAATGGCCACAAGCAATTTGGCTAAAGCGATCGGTATGTGCTATCCTCGATTCATGGTCGAACTCAATTGTAAATCGTACTCGTAGATTCTGCATTCATTGATCGTGCTGATGTTATGCAATACATCGATTACCCTCCGGCTATAGCGATCTATGACATCCTTCGTAGTTGTCTTCTGGAATTGATGTCGAAGGGTGTAATCGAGGAATTGGTAGAATTTAATCTTGTCGACTGCTACATGAGCTCACTTCGCTTTCAGGATGTGCCTACCGCCGCAGACGCCATCCTCGCATACAAGGTCAATGAGGATGACCCGAATACGACAGGCGTTCAGGATGCTGTCCAAAATCTCCAAGACTTATCCCTCGGGATGATTCATGATAGCAAAGAGCTGTCCCGCTTTCTGGGTTCTCGTCTATACGACATAGCGGAGAAGTGCAAGGTCAGGTGAATTTTGACGGTGGCTGTAACACAGAAAAGACTGATTCGAAGTAAAGGGAATGTCTGGACGGTCTTTACGGCGTCTACCCGTATTGGCCCATGCTCGATACATCGGCTTAACGCCTATGTCAAAACCCCGCAGCAAACCCAATGGCGCTTCTGGTGATAAGGCAAGACCCCAAACAGTACGGTGAGTGCATTTGATGCTCACAACGATGGCCATAGCTGATTCAAGATCAATCAGATCATCCTCTGCAAAAATTCCGCCAACGAGCATCAAGACGTGGCTTAATGCAATGAAAAAGGTCGTCGATGACGAAACGAGCAATCGCCAACGCTTTCAGTGCTGAGTGAACTTCACGGACTAACTGTCACTTAACAAGACTTTCGATATTGACATTCAAGCACGCTCCACTAAGTTGTAATACTAAAATTCCCTGTCTCTGCAATTTGCTATCGTTATGACAATGAAACGTCGGACAAATACACAGATGTGAATTAGATGCAATGATTAGATACTTTGTACCCTCCCTTTCCGCCTGACGTATTCAATATCAGTAATTGTGACCCAGAATAACCGGAGAGCTGCCGCAGGCGTGACCCAGGCTGCTAGGCCTTTCCGAGCAAGTTGGCACGGGGCACGCATAGACGTGCTCCGCTTCGGCGAGTCGCGAGCTTACATTGACCTGTATAAATTAATATCAGCAATGGAACTAGTTAACAAGAGAACAAACACACCTACAATGCAGTGTCAGGTCGATACAGTGGATTCTCTTTGCACTTCAGACTCGCGAGAGGATGTACATTCCCGGCGTCCACCAAAATTTACCATATCCATCCAGTCCTCCCTACTAACCGTTGTCCTCTTCTTAGAGTCCCGAACGAAAACGTTCTTTCCCGCCCAAATTCGTCGTCCCAGGGCCTCCTTACGTCGAATACTCAGGCGGGCGAGAGCAGCGCCTATTCGACGGTCTAACTTTCTCATGGCTTGCACATCTCGTCCCAAGATGCTAACATGTAAGGAAAGGTCGAAAAGTTTGGGATTATTCGCAGATCGTGATGATGAGGATTCAAGATGACTGTCCAAGGAAGTTCGTTGCACCGACTCGTCGGTTAACGCGGGAGTCGGATGTAAGGGCGAAGGGGGAGACGACGGAGTAAAAAAGGTCGTAGCTTTGGTGATTGTGTCGGGAGGAGACACAGGGTTTAGACTCTCTTCAGCGAAGCCAGCGGACGTCTCTCCTAAAGATTCATCTTCACGCTGTACCTCGTCCCCGGCCATTTGCCCAAGAGCAGTCGAACAGTACTGTAAGTCCTGTAATTTTCTTCGTCGCGTTTTGCGGAAATGAGGTAAAAGCCATCTAAGTAACCCAATATCAAAATTTCGGTTTATCAGGCCCAGGATAGGTCGGAAAGTATCCGCGTTGACAAGGACCTTCGGTATCCCGACACTAGCTAAGGGCAGTGTCTGAATATCTGATCGAAGCGCCTTGGACGACGTATAATCGAGTTGTATCGCCTGCTGGACATAGTGTTTAGCTAGCGTGGTTTCGTGCGATTGTGAACAATGTCGGATCAGGGTATTTAATGTTGTGATATTAGGTTGGGCGGAAGGTAGTGGACGAGGATTTGACGAGTCGTCTGGTACAAAGTAATTATCATCCTCTTCGTCGTCAAAGTTACGTAGCTGGATGTCAGAAGGACCAATCTTGAGCGGTGCACTCAGAACTTCGAAAGCGGAAATCATCTTCGACACCTGTTCTTGTCGACCCAGGAAATCGATGAGTGTCGTTAAAGCTGCCGTTGAGAATGGCTCAGGGTTCTCAAGGCCACCATCAGAGACGAGGAGATGTCGGTCCAGGTAGTCCAAGTCAATTCCATACGCAAACTTCATTAACGACATGAAGGTCTTTGCATTACCTGTGTCCTTCATAATACGAAGACTCAGGTCCAAGCAAGCTGAAGGTACGCTGCCCTTCGTTCGTTTCCGAATGACCTGGATAATGTGCAGACACAATCGAGCACAATGCTCTTTCAGCTCCTGCTCCTGAATCTTTGGACGAGGCAACGTCAAGCGATACGCAATAGTTTGCAGACAAAGGGTGAATGTTTTCGTTCGAGGCCGTAGACCTAGCTTAGCTACTTCTTGTAATACTCGCGTCGCACCAATATGATGGCCGACCGCCGCGAACTGCTCCAAAATGAACTCGTAATCCTCTAATGCAGGGAGTAATCCTGCCCTCCGTATGTTGCTTATAATCCTTAAAAACCGCGGCTCGTGCCGATGAGGATTTTGCATAACATTACGCTCTCGCAGTCTTCGAACGAATGCAGCTCGTATCTCTTGCGCATCTGGAGTACATTTCCTGAGCACCCGCTGATGTATTTCTAAGGGAAGATTCCCGTCGCGCGTAAAGTCGAGTAAATCGCAGTAGTAACCCCATACTCGGTTGGGATTCGCCTCCTCTCGATTCAGACTGTCCAGCAAGTCATCGTATTTTTGCTGTCGAGCTGTCGCCGCATAGTTGTCTCTTTTAGAGGTACTCGGGTGATCCGAATGTGCTATCGGAGCATGACCATCAGGAGAGAGTTCGGGAGGATTGAGAGAAATTGTGGTCTTCGGTGTTGCTGTCCGCGAGAATGTATGCCGTAGATGTGCAGGTCTCGAGTGACGAGCTTGGAAGATGGCATGAGTCGTCAGAGCACGACGACTCGCCTGAAGCATGGACCGATGAGCTTGTGCACGCCCTGAACCAGGAGCGCTGCTTGAATGAACTTATGAAGTCCACAAGCCAGAGATAATTTCGTGTCCATCCGTCGATCTTTTCGCGCTTCTCATCAGGAGTCATCACGTGCCTTACTTTGAGGCCAAACTTTATGTAACTAAAATACAAAAATCATCTTTATGACCTCCTTCTCAAGAACTATTGGCTTTGCAATAGTATAAGGGGATGAGGAGAAATTTGGGCTGGAAACTCTGATTTTCTATGTGTTTTAACACTTAAACTTACCACTCAGTGAGTTTGCCTAGTCACAATTCTCACAAATTACATGGGATAGTATCAGTTAAACTTTCATCTACTGTAATACAATACTCTCACTGTGCAAAAGGTTTGCTGCCTGGGTTGAAATTAAAATAAAAAAAACTTGTGATATTATAGACTTCTACTGAGTGCTTTTGGTACACACATGGTATTCTTTAGCAGGGGAGAGAGGGCCGGTTTCAGTCAAAGCTCTGCTAGTACAGAATTCTAGTTCTAATAATAGCATCACCAAACTGCACGAGTCTCGTGGAATAACAACGGTCATATCGGCCTTCACCTCAACATTTTCTTCTTCTGTTAACAAGCTACCATTCTCCCGAAGATTTGGACTCGCCTTGGATGCAATATATACCGGATGTTTTAGTTTACACTACGAGTAATCAGGAAGTTACAAGTAATAACCTGTCTTCTCTACACATACAGAGGTCAGATGGCTGGTATGCTCTCCCTCGGTATATCTTCTTCGGCCATTTCTGACAGGATAGATAACTGCAATTTCGATGAAACACCTCTTGCTGAACTAACACAGATCGAGCAGTGCCCTCAACAGACCACCTGTATTACTTGCAATAGGAGTTATTTCCTAAGACAAATGTGTTTCAACAATATTATATTCAGAAGACTAGACTAGAAGAAGAATGCGTAACTGAATACCGCCCATCCACATATACTAGACTTCTAACCTCGAGAATTCCCTTTTCCCCCGCCTTTCCAGCGGTAGCCTTCTTCTGCCGTTTGCGATTTATTACATTCCAGGTTAGAGTAATTTGTATTAGACACGGAATTCTCAAAAATTTCCACTGCATGAGCACCTGGAAGACAGAAAAATCCGCCGTGAGTACCGTGTGCATGCAACTCTGAACTTCCCACCGCCCGTAACTATCCCTCGTCTTCGAGACGTTTGTTCTTCGAGATGTCTGTAAGACTCATCTTCTGAGATCGTCAGGAGGCGGCGTTGCCAGTTCGAGAAGAGTCAAGACTGGGTGAAACACTTCACAGATGGCCGTAGTGTGTTAATTTGTACACGCGAACGCTGTTTTCAAGTATAAGTATAGGCAATCATTGAAGTAGGGGATCCTTTTACGTTGTTGTACGATTATGTAAGATGAGCTTCCGAATTATCGAGAAGCAAAGCAGTGTGTCAGACTCCCAAGGATCCTCATTTCACGTCATTTTGCCATTAATAATAGTTGTGATTGAATCAGCTGTATGTTCGTGTGCTGGTCAAAGAACCATTGTCAATATTAATAGATTTAGACATAAAGGGGTAGTCAGCTTACGCTACATTTCCAGAAATCGTTATAATTAGCTTACAGGCACATATAGTAACCCATCGAACGAGCCTTCAGAGCTTAAACGCAGCATTACCTGGTGTTTGACTACTTTTGGATTAACACCTGGCCAGAGAACATGCAGACGTATTGAATATTCCGTCCTTGAATTCTTGGGTTTCCCGTAAATTGGCAAGTGGGGAAAAGTTGAATCCGGAGCTATGCGCAGTTTGCTCGCATGGTCAACATCACCGAGATCGTCGATACAGTCCTTAGGATATTAGAGTTTCGACGGCTGTCAAGTAGTACCGGTACACGTTTTGTATCGCCGTCAAAGTGATAACTGGGCGGGCGGATCTACACCACAATCTCTGGAGATGCGAACATGAAATCGTCAGCGAATACAAGGCGTCCTGCGGAACAGAGGAAGCAGCGAGAGTGCGTTAGCGGCGTTCCGGAGAGCAGTCAAGCCCCTTTGATTGATCGAAACTGGAGGACAGCGAAGCCATGAGTATCACGATATCCCGAGTCGAGGATAGACGCGGGAACAAGGATGAAAACGTGTCAATGCTCTGAGATCTCCTTGCGAGCACGTTGAAGTGGCGGGTGAGATAGAGAGATCTTCAGGCCAAGATTGACGAATAGAGCGGGCACAGCATGTCCACGGCGCTAGACTTGTGGCGGTCCGCACACGCTGTATGTGGCGCGCCTCTTCGGGAGCACGAAAGGCCTAGGTGCCATATTCAGGCTGCTCTCTCAGCAGAAGAGGTTTCTGTGACTGATCTGTTTGGGGACTTGGGACGATCAACGGACGCTCTGGACAGAACCGGAAGACGAATCCAATTTCTGATGCCAGATGAATGTAATGCACAGCTTCAATCAGATACTCCCGCAAAATGATCCATGGCATGGAATTTCTGGACCTGCGCAACACTTTCCTTATTGACGAGAAAGACGTTTCAAAGCTGGCGGCATGCTTGTGCTCGCGAGAGAGAAGGAAGACTAGTTGAAAGAAAGACTTCCATGCCACAATTGCGAGTTCGTGAACGATGAGTGAGAACCCCGCTCGGCGTCCTTAGCGTGCATAAATGTGGTTCCGTTTTTCTCGGTGACTATATGCACCAAGAAGAGAGGCCGATTCATCAGCCAGCCAATCTCACTTTATTGAAGGTGCTGAGTAAGGGAAAGACGGAGACCACGAAGATGAGATGAGATGTGCTTTGTAAAGGTAAGCAGAAAATTCAACCCCGTTCTTATTCGGAATACCGATGCAAGGTCGGATCAGGAGGCTCACCGGTTCTGGCGAACGCAATTCATCCAGGTTCTCAGCTACCAGGCAAGCTCAGACATGGGCGTAAAGACGCTCATAAGAGAGTAATACGAACAAGAAGAAAGAATCAGAGATGGAGACCAGAGAGATAATGAGGGGAGATTCGTTTTGGATCCGTACCTAGACGTGAGCCGAGGCTCACGGGATGTACAGACGATGCTGACTAAGCAGGAGGGTTCCGTCGCTTGGACCTCTTTTCCTGTCGACATCGTTCGAAGACTAGCACCATCTTGCTATTTTCATCCTTTCTCCCTCACTCATATCCTCTTTCTCTCTCTCCATCGTTGCCAATCCCTGGCGGCGACAGAATCTGCAATCAAACTGTCCCTTTCAGTGTTTCATTTGCTGTCTCCTCTCTGTCTCCGACACGCTTCCCGCGTCCATGTCACTCTCCGCTTGTCTTGACGGACAACCAGCTTAATCCGTTCTCTACTCCTTCCTTGCTTCTTTCTCTGATTCAGCATTCCTGCCAAATCTGCTCTCAAGGCCATCATGGCCACATCTTTCCCCGAGGATACTCACAATCACAACATGCACAACGGACATCTCGGGGGAGCGGGCCCGTCGTCTACCGCAGCTGCTAGCCTGCCTTCACCAACGTCGCCTTCTTGGAAAACGTTCTTTAGAATAGGCGGCGCGTCGGGGCGCAAGCCAAGTCGTTCAAAGTCGGCCCTGACCCTTGATACTGAATTCAACCCGACGATGGGTCATGGCGACAAGACCTCTGGCCCAAGCGTGAACTCACCCGCTGCTGTATCCCGATCACAGTCGCAAGGATTGACGGGTGGGGATTCATATCAGGATGTAGAAGGATTTTCCCTGGTCACGGCGGCTGTTCCAGGAACGCTCACTCCGTCAAGCTCAACTTCCTTCAATACCAGCAGCAATCGATACTCTCGCTCGACGGGCACGCTTTCGAGCGAGTCTGGTCAGAATCTCCCCGTCAATGCACTGAGTCCCAATCGCTTACATTCTGGGAAGCACGATAGCCTAGATACTAGCGGTCAGATTGCATCGGCATCATCAGCTCTTCAAACGGCGCGAGACGTGAACACGCCTCGTGCACATCCTGACACTTTAGATGGCTCGTATCCGACTCAGAATGAATCAATGCCTGGTTTACTACCGACTCCAAGTTCTTCAGCTGGCCAGGACCGTGGGACGAGAAACAAATTACTTTTGAAAGCTGACAAGCAGCGTGTCAGCAACCAACCTCCACTGCTCACGCCGGTTACGGACGTATTGCCATCACCGGGTCTTACATCACCCAAGGCACAATCGCGCGGTGGGATGACTAAATTCATACGCCGTGTCGCGTCAGCTCCAAATGCGAAAGGTCTTTTTTCTTTGGCAAAGTCTCATAAAGAGCGAGATGGGACGGCAGGTTCACGGACACCTACATCAATGAAAGGTTTCGGTTTCTTGTCACCTACATTCGGTAGCATAGGTCGGAATGGATCAGTACCTGAAGTTCCACCAATTCCGGCGAACGTTTCAAATGGTCAACGCGTTTCGGACCAGGATTCGCTTGATACTAGTTCTTCTGGCTCGTCGAATAGACAAAATAGCGTCCCGTTCCAATCACATCTCAATCACGGCCCTAACTCAACACCTCCGCCTTCGTATCATCCGCCTTCAGCTCACCCCCAGCCTATCCTTGCGCATTCTCAAAGTGTACAAAATTTGAAACCAACACAAGGATTACTATCGCCAACGAAAGGGACTCGGTCGGTTCGTGCTCTGAGTACCGCATCTAGCACTTTCCAGCTCCGCGGTGGGAAAGGAAAAAGCAAAGATCCGCCAGAACGTATTGGCCTTCTGAGTGCCCCGCCGGTACCTGTAGGAACAGGGTCAGATGGTACTGGACGTGCACCTTTCAGACGTACATACTCGAGTAACTCGATCAAAGTGCGGAGTGTCGAGGTCAACCCAAGTAGCTTCCAGAAGATCAAGCTCTTAGGAAGAGGTGATGTTGGGAAGGTATATCTGGTTCGTGAGAAGAAGACAGGGAAGCTGTTTGCTATGAAGGGTATGTATGGTCGCGTTTCCTTTGCACCTTTTATCAACTTAAGTTTCTTTTTCTTATGTCCTGATATATTTAGTTCTCTCGAAGAAGGAAATGATTGAGCGGCGGAAGATTAAACGGGCACTGGCAGAACAGGAGATTCTTGCAACAGCTAATCATCCATTTATCGTGACCCTGTATCACTCGTTTCAGTCGAAGGAGTACCTTTACTTTTGCATGGAATATTGTATGGGGGGCGAGTTCTTCCGTGCCTTACAGACTCGGCCGGGCAAATGTTTGCCAGAGGATGATGCACGATTCTATGCTGCAGAAGTCGTTGCAGCTCTAGAGTACCTCCATCTTATGGGCTTTATTTACCGAGATTTGAAACCGGAAAGTGCGTTTTTATCGGTTAAGTCCCAGTTAGTTAAAGTTATTTACTGATCGTGTGCTGCTAGACATCCTGTTGCATCAATCAGGGCACATAATGCTTTCCGATTTCGATCTTGCCAAACAGTCTGGTGAGCCAGGTGGTCGACCCGCGACGATTGCGCAAATTGAGCCAAACGGGGTGCGTACTTTCTCAAATTTGTTCGCCACTCTGTCCCCTCCTCCTTCCTTTCTCTTCACCTGATCTTCCTTCCTATATCCCTATTCCGCGCCTTCCGCGCATCCTACACGAAGCTGTTTCGTCCGTGCGTATTCGCACCTTCTGGGCTTCTCGTGTTCATCCTCTTTTATCTTCATTCCACATCTTCCGTCCCTTTCCCCTTTGCTCTCTCCGTCTACTCTCTCCGTGCCCTGAAATGAATAGCTTCTGACGTGCTTGTTGTCCCCTTCTGCTCCCTTCCCATGAACTGTGAATTTTTTAAACTCGGAACTCTATCTGGCCGGACTATTGCCTCCGTTGCCGTTCGGTACGCGATTTCGGACACTCTGACCACTGGTGTTGCTGGTGTTGCTGGTATTGCCGTTACTGCACGCGGATTGGGTATGGACTCTGGTTGTCCCTGTCTTTGGTATTTTCGGCAAATTGGCAACGGTGGTCCGGTTCATTTCGCAATCTGGTGTTCTATGGCATGATGTGGCACGACAATGCGACAATGCTACGTTGTCAATGCGTTGCCTCGCGGGTGATGCTTTTGTTGGCTGCTTGCATACGTACAGGTGCCTGTGATCGATACGAAATCATGCACGGCAAACTTTCGGACAAACTCCTTTGTTGGGACCGAGGGTAAGTGATGTTTAAGTTTGCATTACCTTCCTTAGTTTCTTAATTGAGATTCGTTTCTTCTGCCTTCATTGTTCATTTTGTTGCCCTCGCGATTGCATGCATTTATGTTATGTTCAAACGTATTCCTAACTATTACTTCGAAAATGCAGAATACATCGCGCCGGAAGTCATCGAAAACCTTGGGCATACGTCTGCTGTTGACTGGTGGACGTTGGGAATCCTCATTTACGAGATGATCGTAAGTTTCCAATGTGCAAGGAAAATGATTGTGACAACTGAAGACGGACTGATTACAGTTCGCCACGACTCCGTTCAAGGGACAGTCACGCAGTAAGACGTTCCAGAACGTCCTTGAGCTGCCCGTGGGCTTTCCCGAGCACCCCAAGATTACTTCGTGCGTGGTTTTTGTGCTTCTACTGCATGCATGTAGTGTGTGTGGGCTGACAGACGCGTATTTTATTACGGCAGAGCGGGCAAGGACATCATGATAAGGTTGCTTGACAAGAGCGAGTCGCGACGACTGGGAAGCGGAAGTGGTGCAAGCCAGGTGAAGCAGCACAAATGGTTCGCCAAAATGAACTGGGGACTACTGCGAAATATGACGCCGCCCGTAAGTGGCATGACGACGTTTTTGTTTTTGCCAGGAGCTGCTCGTCTGATAACAATTTTGTCTCCGTTGCATGTAGATCGTGCCCGCGACTTCTAACGGGCTGGACGCAGTGAACTTCCGAAGTATCCGGGAGTCCCAGTCATTGCAGTTGGAGATGCAGGGCGTTGCTGGTGCGGGAGTGCCGGGGACGCCTGCACTGCGTGGCACAGAGGACGGACTGGAACCCGCGCCCGAAGACGAACGGGACTTATTCAGAGGGTTCTCAAATGTGACGTTGAAGTACGACGGAGACGAGCCTTAGACCTTTCCTTTTCTTTCCTTATACTAGTTTTCTCTTCTTTTTCTCTTTCCCCCTTTGTTCATGATTGCTTTGCTGGTGCTATTTGGGATATTTTCCTTATTTCCTTACTCTCATCCACTCCTCACTCTCGTTCTTCTCCTTTTTTTAAATACCTTCTTACGCGGATTCACCACCATCGTTTATGCAAGCTGAACTGACTCGGAAGCAAAATTACCCCTCTAATTGATTATGTGTTGTGTATAGGAATCTTGTTCAATGTACGTAAACCGGAATTTGCAAAGGTGCCGAGAAAAACCCAATCGGACGGCGGGTTCTTTGTTTGTGCATGTTCTGTGGTGGAAGGAATAGAAAAAACAAGAATAGGATGAGGTCATGTCACATCACGCAAGGCTGTACCGCTCTGTTGGTGCACGGAGGGAAAAAGGGCAGGGACCCCGGAGAGTGCAACAATAATAAGCGATGATCAGCGGGGTGGTAAATCATGCACAAGCATGGACAAACATGTTGGCGGTGGAGATTGACTGGATAAGCCGGGACGGGGAGAGAGCTCGAGATCCTCGGATTGCCGAGGGTTGCCGGCATGCCGACTGAGTGCAGACCGGATTTGGATGTGTAGGAGAAGAAGGAGAAGCAGAAAAGGCCGCGATCTTTGGTCGCTGTGTCTGCTCTGCAGAAAACCATCCCCTGCACTCAACGGGATTCTTCGACATATTATCTCTGCCCCTCCTCGTCTTCTCCCTCCCTCTGCTCCGTCCGTTGTCAGTGCCCCGAGTCGACGTCTGCTCGCATCCCAATATTAATCTCTCCTTGTGTTGCCCTGCTGAACCCACCTCCACGTCCCGCCTCGCAACGACGCGCACACAACAACCACACGTACTGCACACTCGAACAACATTTGGATCGAAGCAGCAGCCCAGCTCCTGGACGCGGTATACTTACATCAGCCGTGCCGACGAGTACATTAGATCCCATCTCCCTCGCGCATCCCATCCCAGCTTCTTCTCTGCTTCTCTTCCACTTCGTCCATACGCCATGGCAGATCTCTACCAGCAGGGACAAAACAACTACCCTCCCCGCTCCTCTGCTCAGTACAGCCATCTCGTCCCCAACAGCAACACCTATCCAAGCCCTGTTGCACCCCCAGCCTCCGCGACACACAGCAGCGGCAGCGGTGGTGGTGGTGGTGGCTCTCACTCCCACTCAGCTTCTGGCGATGAGCACGATGATTCCGACTCGGCCCCCAAATCCTCAGAAACATCTCCGACAGAGACGAAGCCTCAACAGAAAACGCAGAGTACTTTCCTGACCAAACTTTATTCGTACGTTTGCATCTGGTCCCACTACCCCCGGATATGTTGTCCGTTGCTGACCGTGCTCCTCTACAGGCTCCTTGAAAAACCAGAAAATCACCATATGATCCGTTGGGACCCAGCAGGCGACCATATTATTGTCGAGCGTCCAGAGCAGCTTGCTCTGCATGTCCTGCCCTCTGTGTACCGCCAGTCTCGATTTGCGAGTTTCTCGCGCCAGCTGAACGTGCGTTTTTGTTTCGTTGTATCCGTGTCTGTCTTGCTATTTTTTTTCTGATGGCATCCTTCTGCCCCTTACAGATTTATGGATTCATGCGCAAGGTCAACCTAAGAAATGTTGACCCTGCCATTGACGATCCGGACGCGAGCACTTGGTGTGGGTATTGACTCTGACTATATGCAGCATTAAGTGGCGTATTTACTTTAATTTGAAATTCCCTCTTTCCAGCGCACCCGACGCTGAACCGACACTCGCCTCCTGAAGTCGTCGCAAACTTCAAACGCCGTGTCCCACCACGCCTCCCGAAGCCACGCAAGCGTCAGGAGCCGGACATTCCTCAAATTCCACCAGCTCGCTCTGCGGTGGGCATGGGACCCGTCCCACTAAGCGTCCCATCGTCCCTGGGCTCTCCCGGCAGCAAGGGCAGAGCTCGCGGTTTTTCTGCCCCAGGGTCCTACGTCCAGGGAGGCTGGGGACAGCCCTACGGGCGTAGTGCTTTGCCTCCACTTACAGTCCCGTCGGACCCACCGGCTCTCGCACACAGTTCGATGTATGGCGGCAGTCACTCTGCCCACCCTGGCTTACACCCAATTTCACCCGCGGATGATCACTCACAATCAGCTGCTGGTTTCTCGCCTGCGTCATACGGGAGTGGCATGCAATACGGATATGCAGACTCGAGCTCATGGGGAATGTCACCCAGCAGTGCAGGCTCGTCTCAACAAAGCACTGGCAGTCTTTCATCACTTCTGAATCCCAGTGGTAGCCAATACCAACGGACCACCATGCAATCTTCATACCCTGCGCCTTTCACAGGTGTTTCTGTTGCCAACAACCACAGTGCATCCAGTCTGTCTCCAGACAGCCGCCCGACAACAGGGTATTCCGCTTCTTCCATGAACTCAATACCCTACGATACAGAAACGACTTCAACGAGTATGTCCCATGATTATTCAAGGCCAGGGTCAAGTCACCATCGACCAATTAGCCCAGCGCGCCCGCACTCCTCACACAAGCCAGGCCTCGGTGGTGGACTAGGTGGAATGAACTCCGGCTACTCTTCATCGGCTGCGGGTTATGGTATGGGTTCTGCTGTTCGTCGGCCGAGACGTCACTCACAGGCAATGAGCCCATACCCAAGCCCGTACGACAATGGTTCGGGACATCTCGACTCCAACCCGCACGGGATGCATCACTCGGCGAGGCCATCATCATCACCGCAGCCCTCACCACTGACACCTGGTGCGAGTGACCATCATGTTTCCCGCGTTCGCAGCATGGCACAATTACCGGCAGTCGATACTGTCGGTGTATCTCAGCCATCTGCGTATACATTTAGCCCCGGCGGCGAGTTTGCTTACAATCCAAGCAGTGCAAGCAATGGAAACGGCGCGAACCATGGATCACCACCCCTTCATGGTAGCACCGGTCACGGCACTGGGCATCTCAGCAATGTGGATCCGATGGACTGGGGACGTAGCGTGCGACCATCGACCAGTGCAAGCAGCTTGAGTGCAGCATCGCATACGAGCTCAAGCCAGGCGAACACGCCACCCGTAGACAATGGCTATGGTGCTGGCGAGGACATTAACCGCTGTGAGTAAATGCTGCTCTCTCTCTCTTTTCGGTTCGGGCCTGGTTCTGTGTGCATCTCGGTCGTTCGGGTTATCCCCGTCGCCCCGCATCTTCATTCGCCGCGCGAGGGTCCCTGTTTCACATCGCGCTTTGTGCACTCAAGCTTTCTTGCATGAGGGAGAAAAAAAAAGATGGAAGTCTTGAACGCAAACATTCTTCGCGCGTTCGATCAAGCTTCCGATCTTCGCTTCTTCGTCTGCGCCCGCCTTCTGCCCCACCAATCCCAAAACTCTCCCTTTCACATGCCCCTTGTGTGCATTTACCCACCTCTGCTCCTGTTCCTGCTCCCCCCAAATGTGCATGTCCATATTTTCCTGCCCGAATGTCCGAAATGCTCAGAGATATGCTGTATTAACATGCCGGTTCGCTGACTTCCAGTCGTCTTCAACCAGTCTCGCCCGACTTCGGCTACGTCCCCTTGAACGAGGGCATTCACTCGTATTCTGCAAAGCCCGCGGAGCTTAGAGCATAGTTGTTCGGCGTCGCACAGGTGAGAATGGATGGAAGGAGAAGGAAATGGAGTGCAAATATCGGAACCGAAAACCTAAAAAAAATCAAGTCGAATAGACAGCACCATATGCGTGCCTTTGCCCGGCCACCGCCATGCAACGATACGAATTGGCTCACACTAGGAGATCATGGTCCTCGACGCTTGCTTGCTTCAATATTTCGTTGCTATTTACACTTTTCTTCCCTTAAAAAAATCAATCATCTGCTGACCTTACCAAGCAGTCGATCGCCTCCACACTTTTTGTCGTCGACTTGAGTCAGCCAAAACATATTTATGCGTGGAGCTCATCGCGTAGTATTGCTACATCCTCCCTGCTCTACCTCATAGAAATCTCTTACTTTTTGTCTGCCTTTCACACTTTGATTCTGGACAATTACTTCTGTAGCCTTTCTTCTTTTTTCTTCGAGGAATACAAATGATAGGCAGTTTGAGCCTTTTTCCTTACTTTGCCTCTTCCTTGTCTTTACGTTTGGCTCTCGTTTTGCTTTTTTTTGCCTTTGTTTTTATATTTTTGTTATCGCTTGTCGTACCTGCTTTCGCTCGTCGTTCATCACCCATCGCAGATATCCCCGGTCCAACCCATACCACTAGCACCACCATCTCCGTCATCTCTACCACCGTCTACCTGATGTACTCCGTAGCTCGTTCATGCTGTGTAACCAACTCCGTGTGTTCTATAAGTCATTTCCTCTGTACCTGACTCGCTTTCCGTCTGCCCCTAGTTCTCTCTATTCTTTTTAGTCTTTCGAGATTTCTGCGCATAGCCTCCTCGCAAATGAACAATTTATTTGCTTGCTTTATTGCTGGGTTCTCCCGATGGCGGTGTGTGCCTCTTTGGCTATGAAGCTCAATGTTGGATATCTCTTGTACTGGCATCCTCTGCATCTTTTTGTTTATGGAGTTGTTTCCGATTATGGGCTTACAGACAAGAATGTATAGTGAAACCAAAGTAGAAACAGCATACCAATGTCATTTTCCTTCTCTGTCTACACTGACATATATGCCCTTTGCTTCCGTTCCGAGTCTGTATATTAGGCAATGAAATGAATATATGTAAATCAAAAGTGGTGGTGGTGGAAAATGGAAATCGAATCAAGATCCAGCCATTCATATATTTCCGTTCATATCATATTTATTTAATAATGATAATGGACAAATTAGATATCAATGCTTCGAGAGGGAAACATGTGTACATCTACATCTACACATGCCTTTCCTCACTTCCTCACTTCCTTGCTTCGTTTTTGTTGTAACTCAATGCATACACATATGACGTTGAGACACGAATATGAAATACCTTTTCATTTATTCATTGACTTCTATCTAAGACGAGAAAGAGGCAAGTCTATGTCTGCGTACGGTTATAGGGTTAAGCTCGGCGAGCGCTTGGGAGTAGAGTTCAGCCGCGGGATGCCGTGTAGTCGAAGGTATTGACGTTGCCGCGGCCGTCGAATGAGAGTATTTCATTTTCATTCATGCAAGCGCGCTTAGACTTGACTTGATTATCTGCTGTAAACGAAAGAAAGAAAGAGGAAGGTCGGGAATATTTTCCCGTCCTGTGTCAGAGAAATTTGTAATGGAAGATGGACCGAAAATAAAACAGGAGGAAGACAAAACGAATAGAAAATACAGGAACCTGAAGAAGAAACACGGATGAGACGGAAGCGAGGATGACGGAGAGGCGCGCATACACGCGGAATGTCGTTTCTGTGCATGGAAATTGGAATGTGATTCCTGGATGGCGGTGCAGCGGTCACAATTGCGGCGGTACCGGCGACCGACGCTGGACGAGACGACGGACGATCATCAGTGTCAGGGACGAAACAATTAGATCGGCGAACTGGGATATTTACATGTCAATAGCTACTAAGACTACCAAGACTACTATGATACATGGTGATATTTTTTGTCTCCGTGAACGGAGAGATTCATGGATTGATGTGAGAGGTGCGAGCTGTGTAAAATGATATGAACGTTATCACATCACCTTACACGCACACACAGCACATCACACAGATGTGACCCGATTTTTACGGCTGTAGAAGGATAAACAGACATATGTACCATAGTTGATACATCACAACAATGATCAGTGCCATAACAATTTCAAGTTCAATCTTTCTGTAGTGATGTGTGGAGAGTGGCTGAGCGGCCAGGCCAGTGTTATCGTACTACTATTCATATTAATGCACGGACGGATGTACACAATACACCGAAATGAAGGTGCGATGATGCTCGCACTTTCAGATTTTAAAATCAGAAACGATCTGACTCGTTGAGAGCCACATACGTGTACTAGTGTGTCTGTGCTGAGTGATGTGCCAGACTACCAGTGCATGTGTACATCTCGATCAGTTTTGCGGGAAGCCTCTTCATTCATTCAGAGGTGGCTAGGTCATCTCGAGGAGGAAGGACAGGCCCAATTGCAAAACAGAGAGCGGGTAAAAGAAAAGCGAAAAGGTACGAAAACGGGAGAAGGTTGTTGGAAAGTGACGGAACGTGTAAAGGCGTTGCGGCGCATCAGGCCAACAGGTAGGAACCATCCAAAGTTGACCATGGCTACAGCCAGTCAATCACAACCACACCAGTGCTAGTAGCAGCAGCCTGCCAGAGCAACCAAAAGTAAACATAAACACATCCGCATGGGAACACATGAACTCTCCATAGGCCAGAGGAGCTCCGTGTGCTGCCGTCCAGTGAGAATAAAAGGCTCCGTTTGACGAATCCAAGAAACGAGAGCCATCATAGCACTGCCGAACAGATGGCAACCCGAGTGCTATTGATGTCGACTTTTCTTGGTTGGGCGTGTGTGCAGGACAAGACAAAAGCGGAGAGACAGATGATGACAACCTGTCTATCACACTGATTTGCTTTGAGTGAGGATTGAACCCCAGAGTGTTAGTCACTGGCGACAGATTGGAGACCGTCAATGGCCGCTACGGCGACTGCGATCGTTAGAGCGACTCGGACATGAAAGAAGTTAATAGTCCCCGCTGTCCTGTGCAAAGTCGGATCGTCGCTCTTCTAGAGACCCTACTCTGTTCAGTTTTGGAGGACCCGCATACATTTGAACGATTGATTCCTAGATTGTACCTGGGCGTCCCGTACAATCATTCAGTTCTTCTCTGATCATGGAAGTATCAAACTCTGACAGAAAGATAAGGGTTCACAGAGTGTGGTATTCATAGCACGTGCGGTGCGTCTTCCGGAACCTCCACTGCCTCTGCTGCGGTCGACGCGGACGTTATCACTCTGCACAGTTTTGTGTCTTCGCTGTACCGCCCATACGCCTTCTCCGTCTCCGCCATCGTGTTCATCACCAAAACACTAACACAAAAACCAGCAGAGCGCAGTACGAACACCTAGACAGACCAGATCTCACAAGCGCATCTTCGAGAACCTCCATTCGGGGCGCGCGAAAAATGCGCCACTAGGCCTGAGGGTTCCCCATCAATCTCGACGCGTGCGGATATGCGTGCTTGTCCATTTTCTGCTTGAAACGCGGCTACAGAGGTTATTAGCCTCTCCGTTCGCTGTGCGCGACTTCTTCTCGCCAGATTTTTTTATTGAGATGATCGTCGACGTCGGGGGCATCGGCTACCACGTTAGCGAGTTGAATTTAATATTGCTAATTTTCGCGCGTCGGTTTGTTTGTGTCAATTCTGTCCGTCCTTTTCTTCCGTATTGGCCTTTGTTCCTATTTACGTCTAGCTGCTAAAGTCGTTCTAATAGGCGGTGACGGAGAGCTGGAAAGTGATCGAGCGCACTGAGGCGCTGTCTTGGCGGCTAAATGAATTTCTTTCTTCCGACGTTTTTCTCACCTGTCTTCTCTCTCCGACTAGACTATACTCCATTTCTCGACCCCTCTTTCTTAGTGCTAGTCCTGCAGTAGGCGAGTTGGTCTGTCTAGGACAATTGGGCCCCCAGGACACCTCTACGGTCATCACCCTGCGCGCCTCTTGTGCTAAGTTTGTCTATTCTCTTGCGGTCTTTCCTCATTCGAATCACACCCGCATCCAGTTTCCTTCGCGACAGCCTGAGCGATCGGGGAACGGGGTTTACAACAAAGTAAAGTTCGTGCAGATCTATCGTAGCGTTTATAGTGCTCCTTGTATTCATCTTTCCCGGCATTCAACAATAACATCTGGCTCTGTCCGATTTGCTGCACTTGCACTTATTCGTGTCTCCGTCACAGCTGATGCGCGGTGGAACATTCACTGGGGTTATGAACGATAGGGATCGTCGGAGATATCAGACATCATGGTGATTATATAGATCCGTTCACGGAAATCCAGCCTCTGCATTCCTCCTCTACGTGCCATGCGTAGCCGGTGGCTCGGGGAGTTGATCGGTTCAGGCAGACTTGATGCAAGACAGCATGAAGGGCATTTCGATAGCAAAGTTCTGCATTCTGATGCGAAGCGCGGAAGGACCAAAATGAGGAAAAGCAATGCGCATTTGTGGGGACTTCTCTCTCTGGGTTCTGTCCGTCCTTCCGTTGGTTCTGATGATGGGTGATGTGAGTTGTTGGTGAGAGGAAGCAGAATGGGGAGCTTCCGAGTGATCGATAAGTGTCGATTATCTCGATCGTGACAGTCCACGCGGCACACGCGCACAATGTCACACATGTGCTGAATTGATCTGCAAATCCTCTGTCAGGAGTGCCAGCTGGGTTCTCTCCCAGCCAGAAAGTCTCTCAGTACGCCGCATTACCATGTGTTCTCGTGTAGTCTCTTGTGCGCCTTCTCCTCGGAGTCGGATCTCGGGCCAAAGAGCTCAGAGTGGGACGGGCCACTCTGTCAGTAAATACCTCATATGGTTTTAAACTAAGGTGCAGATATGCACATTCAGTCATGAGGCCATCCAAGGTTGCTGTTGCCCCAGGTGTTACGGCATCGTTAATTTCTTTATTTCCGCCCGCTCAGGGCAACCTCGTTTGGGGCCGCTCGGACTTAATTTCCCCGTCTTTCGGCGGCTGGCGGCGTTGGTGCGTGCACAGCGAAAGCGTGTCAACGCATCCAGCGATTATCGACAAGACACGGACGATCCATTTTGCGGTCGGCCGTAGAAAGTCGATGCAGAATATCGTCATATGAATTCACATCACACGTAATAGACTCAGGGAATACGCACTCGAATGAGTTGAAATATGACAACTTAGGATTCGTCCTGTGAGAATTAAACCTTGTTGGAACCGTTCATTCAAGTCTAGAGCGAGCTCACTCGGGCTAGCATTTTCGCGTCAAGCGCTGCACGGGCTGCAAATGAGGGGCGCTTTCCGTATAAGTTTGCAGGGTGAACAAATGAGCAGTTTGGATGACAGAGCGAGATAGGATTTGTATTGAATCAAATGACATCGACCCGCACTTGCTGCGCGCCAATTGTGTGTAAATTGAAATCTGTGAACGTACGTACGCACGTCGATGTCTCGCGGGGTGAGAGGGAGGGCAGGCGCGAAGTTCTTCGAATTCGATGAGGACATGTCAAGGCAGAACGTAAGATAGCCTCGGAGAGTTGATCTTCGACGACGCCGATGTCTTGAGGCCGTCGGCCCAGCGCGAACACACGAAGCACTCTACCTGAGATTTGCCAGAACATGCCATTCCTTCGACTTCGCCGCGACCCTGCACGGACATCCCTTTTCGCTTGGGCTTCGCGCACACAGAATGTATTTCTTTTCTTTCGTCTGCTCGTCGGTGCTCTTCGAACTTTCAATGGCGGCAAAAAGCTGTGCTCGATGCCGACCTTCTTTCAGGACCTGCTATCGACACATCTTGAGCCCACACCAGTGCTGCGCGCCTATGATTCACTCTGCGTATCCCAACTGCTGGGAATGACAAGCACCCCATGTGTTCTCTCTGTAATGACCATGTTCTGCCTGGAACGTCAGCTGCCCGTGCGGTCCTTGCGGTGTGAGAATCTGAAAAAGAACAGGGGTTCCAAGCTCAAGCTGTACTAGGGGTCGCGATACATAATTAACCTCGGTTAGATTAGGGGAGGGTCACACTTGCACAGTACTTTGGGCGGAAGCAAATTTGTTCAGCTGGTTGTGGCTCTGTTCTGCACTGTATCTTCGCCGCTCCGCGGAACGCATCATCCGGGCCCCTCATTGCCGCGCTATTCAATTCCCAGAGCGCCAACGCAATTGGCTAGAGCTTCTGCATGAAATATCACGCAGCTTTCGCCGCCGACGCAAAAGGTATGTGCATGTGCGAAAGGTCGCCGCATAGGCCACTTGGAGTGTGTAACCCGAACAGGCCAAAGCCGCCCATACCGTCGGATGCGCTTTCGCCGCACCTCCTCCATTCGCGCTAGCATATAAGCCCTTCACGTGCACGTGTTAATTCGTAGCACTTAGTATCGGCGGCAGTTGGCGAAATTTGGTGACCATGTTGCTTTTTGAGCTGTGCACATCTAACTGAACGGAATGCATGTCGTAATGTCGGCCTGCTGTCAGCAGTTCCTGGGGGATTTGGATAATAGGGTACGACTCTGCCAGATTTAGATGGCCTGTCTGTGATCGAGCATGAGCTTGTTCACTGGTCGACACGATTACAACTTGATAATAGGAGATGGCGTGTTTGGCGTACACACACGGTAGAAGACGATGACGGCGTCAAAGTGCTGCTGGAGTCCTTGTTCCGCAGAAAGACCGTTTGTTGTATTTTAGTGCGAGCTTATTAGGGGGCGGCACCTTCTTTTGTTTGTCTTCCCTGTATGCTTCTTGTTTTCCTGTCCTCTGTCCCGAAATGAACAAAGCGCAGTCACACCCTACGTATCCATTATGTACAATCGCTCGGAATAGGTCGACCCCGGAACCAAAATTGTTTATGATTATGAAAATGATGTTGTGCCCGCCCTACCTGAGAGAGCACAGCAAAGTGTCAACACTGATAACCATGATGTATCATATGATGCGTCCCTATTCATCAGCGAGATCGACTGTATGCTATGTCATCGTTTTTGTATTACATTTACACCTGTCTCGACTAATACAACTTTGGTTTGAACAAAGTCAGAAGTAATCAAACCGCGTGCATGATGGTGGCCCCAGTCAGAGTCTCAGAGCTTATTTGAGCGCCTCTCTGGTGTCGTAAATGTAAGAGATTAGTCTTGAATTGGTCTGTATTGATTGAATTAGTGGTGCTGGCCACTCCTCGTGAGGTGGAGAAAGGCGGAACAATGATGATGTTGAAAATACATACGGAGAAGTAATGTTCAAGCAAACGAAATTGGAATCTTTGTCTGTACTTGCATAACCTCCACCAGGTCGAAGATGTGCTTCTGATCGGCACTTTCTTCCTAAGATCTCAAGGAGTGTCCAGGGTCCCGATCATGTTCTCTCTCGGAATCAAAAATCAAATTTCCTTCCTTGCTACCACATGCTTGCGTAACAGTCACACTTGTGCAATGCGCTACTAAAAATAATATCAAGTCTTGAGTTCTTGGGTGGCACAATTCCCAAAGTGCACATGAAAGGCTCTGTCTGGACATCAAACACCTTTGATCTCTTGATCATTGTAACTGTAAGGAACGTAACTCAAGCCTATGGAAGAAACTCTACATCAATTTGCTGAACATAGCTATCAGATATCTCAATTGGTTCTTGATGTAGCCACTGATAACTTCCTGTTGCAATAGCTTTCCCTTCTCATGTCCGAGCCAAATTCGAGGTATTATCTCAAATTCAGAGCCATCAAATATAATGGATATTTCTGATTCATCTGTAGGATGCTATTCTGCACTGTGTGTGCGCTGGATGCTTGTCGTGATGTGATGTGAATATGAAATCCACGGAGTTACGGACGTCCTAAGCACCCATTCGCGTCATTGGAGATCCGCTTGTCCTGATCTCTCGTTCTGTCAGCGTATTGGTCTTCCCCTCCCTCTCCCCCTTTTCTGAATTCTTCTCTCATTCCCCTGATATTGACTTTACAGGCCCGGGTCCGAAAAGCAAGGAACGAACGTTCCCAATGGAACGCGGAATTAATACTGTAGCGTAGTTAACGACTTATTCCCGCTGCACCGTCCATACGCATCTTGATAGTGTAGTTCACTGTATCATCGTCGACGCTGAGTTCAGATATTTCCTACATGTCGAGTTGTTACATTCGTCCTCCCCGCGTTGATTTAATGCACACGCGAGATATGCAGTAATGCACTAATTTATGAATGATTTACATTTCAATTCTTTTCCCCTGCCTTCCCGGAATCAATTTCGTTCCTCAATTGCGATCAGAATAAAGCATTGAGACAATTTACCATCCTTTCTTCTCCGTCATCTAATTGAATAGACGAGCGTTCCTTTGAAGCCTTGCTCACTTAAAAGGGTCAGTTCAACACCTCAGACCCGACAAAAATAGTGAGAAAAAGAAACAGTTACAATTTAATAATATTGTATCATACATAGATCAAGTAATATTCATACGAGTCTGTCTTTTCAAAATCCGATCTTTCCGTCTTTCACTTCCTTCCTAAGATTGTTGAACACGTCACAAATACCAAACAAGAAAAGTGAGAAGAAACAGTAATAACTTCGATTTAATAATACTGTATCATAGTTCGAATAATATTCATACATGTCTGTCTGGTTGGTTCAAAGTCCAAATTTTCCGTCTTTTACTTTCCGCGCTATAATAAAGAAAGGTTATAGCGACAGTCCGCAGCTTGCAGAGAGATAATAGACAAAGAAATAAAGGAAAAGGATCTGTCTCCGAATCTGCCTGCTTAGACCGAGGCGTAACGGGAGAAGACCAAGAAGAAAGGGGGGAAGTAATGAGGGAGAGCGGTAAACGAAGGCAGGTGGTGCTGGGGCGGAAATAATTAAAACATCTGGGCGATTATTGGATTGGAACCGCACGACGACCAAAGAGAGGAATAGGGGAGATCGAAGGTTCGAGATTGGTATGTACAAGAAACGAATCCAATAAGGGAAGATGGAAGTCCTTCTCCGTCTTTCAAAGATGGAAGAGATGGAGGAGAGGAGGGGAGTAAGATAGAGGATAAATTGGTAGAGGGAGAGGGAAGGAAAGCTCGACGCAATCAAGACAAGCAATAAAAAAAGAAATAAATTCCTCTATATTACACTCGCAAGATCTCAAGTGACATCTATTGAGACCATTCCGGTGGACCGTACGGAGTCGCAGACAGAGACGATAATGGTACAGGTGACGTTGTCCTTAGCCTTGACGGGTCTTCGCGTTCTGCCATCTCAACATTCTGCAGCGAGCTGCCACGCCCGGGATCGTTCGCTGGTGCGGATACAAACGCTGCAAAGTCCGAACCAAGGTCCTCACCACGAGATTCACTAAGGAAAGCAGCACTCTCTTCATCATCTGCACGGACTCCATAATCAGCGCGTGCCCGTGAACGAGATCGGCCTCGTCCACATTCGATATCATCGTCGTCCTCTAATTCCTCATCCACCGCTCGTCGCGCAACCAACATCAGATAAATAGCAAGTGCAACACACAACACAATGCCAAAGATAGACGACATGTGCCCTAACGAATTCGAGTGATCGTCGTTGGATCCATTTTTTCCACTCGACCCATTTTCCTTCGGCGATGAATGATATTCAGCGAAGTTCTTGATTCCTGCGCCAACGCTCGTGTGTATAATAACCTTTAATAGGCTAAGAGCCGTGCAAGAAGCATAAGTCCGGAAAGTAAGTCGTGGGCATCCGGCAAGTAATGCATTGAGGACGTTGTAGGGGTACGGAGCTAAACGGACAAGGAAAAGTAGTGATGGACGTCTCGAGATTGCTCGTACGACACGCTGCAGTGCTCGGGAATGCGACATGCAGGACGTCACGGCGGAACGCAGCGAGGGAATGGATCGTGATAACGAAAAGACAAAGAGAGCACCAGCGAGAGCAGAGAAATACGATACGACAGCTCCAGTCCATGCGCCGAAGGTATATCCGGAAAGAATCTGTAGTGTTGAGTAGAGCGGGACCGGAGCTAGATAATAAACGCAACAAACGTTAAAGAAATTACCATAAATACGAGTCTCAAAATACTCACGTATGCAGGTCAAGAAAATCATGAAGAACATCACAGCGTATCCGATCTCTTCCTCGGCTCTTAACCACCGAGCAAGTTCGTCCAATTCACCAAATACCTCATCTCTCCAGAAAGCAATAGCCAAGGCAAAACCAACGACCGTCGCTCCGTAGGCTAAGAATGGCAGCCAGGGTCGTATCCGCTCCACAAGCAGCATACGCCTTACGGATGATGAGTATGACGAGTAATTATTCGGATAATGAGGAAGAGCGCCAGGTAAGGTTGAGTACGGTGGAGGCAGCGCAAACGACGATCCGCCACACGCGGGCTGGATGCCAGACTGAGACCGTGTAAAAGACGCGCTCGTGAGACTTGACGAACGGACGGGTGCCTGAATAGTTCCTGGGCACGCATGTTGTGGACGCGCACTTGAAGGACCCGGCACCGGTGCAGTAACGCCATACATCAGACCTAGTCCTCGCTTCTCGTCCCATTCCCTGTCACTCGTGCTTCTATCCATTCTTACCGGTTGCCGTCCGCGAGAACGTTCTCTACCAGGCGAAGACACACGTGCGTGAGACCGGCCAGGTCGACACGATTGTTGGTTTGCAGAGTAAACCGATGGTGAAAGCGGGATATTGCTGAGCTCGAGATTCTCAAAGGCATCCCGTACTTTTTCGTTGATTTCCTGTTGAGGCGGCTCAGGAGGCTGGAACGAAGAGACCAGCCGCGTCGGAGAACGAGGATCGACCGACCGTGCAGCCATTTTTGCCTGCCTGTGCGAACCAGCCGTTGATGTAGAAGGGGGAGATAAAATGGGAGATGCGCCAGCGCTTGAGGGTGACGAAACTGACGCAGTCTGCTTCGATTGGGGCAGGTTTGACACAGCTAGTGATAGTACATGGCCAGAACGCGAGGATGAGCTGCCCACCGACACGTTTGGAGTGCTTGGACCTGCAGAAGCCATAGCAGGCTATTATATAGTTTACGAAAGGAGGAAAAGATATGAAAGATATGACAGTGAGAAGGCCAGAGCGATTTCGCGTGCTGTGCTATGCGCCTATCAGAGTAACCAAGCAATGAAACGTTGGTTTAGATAATCAACAATGGATAGGAGATGATCTAGAAGAAGCGATGGCTCCTGAGGGCTTGAGATAAAGCAGAGGTAGGTGCGCAAGGAGTGTCTGAGGTGGACGACGTGCCAAGAGAGAAGGAACGGTGGGTGGTCGGCGAATTGCTTGCTCTGCGGGCGAAGCAGCGGGCGCCGTATGGTACGTAGACAGAAAGGACGGTGACGTGTTGATGCGAAGAACGTCAACTGGGCTACACTGGCTCGGAATGGCTGCCAGCTGCTGCAGCTTGTCCTCAGCGTTGGACGTTGAGATGAGAAGTGAAGAAAAGAGGCTGGCGACGACAGATCTGGAAGAAAGGAAAGGTCGAATTATGAGACGTCGGAAATGCGCGCTTGACGCGCTAGAGTGCTCTTTCAGCTTAGCGGATCAGAGACTTCCAAAGCCGTGTTCGAGAGAAAATTATAGACACCGCTAGATGGCGTTCAGCGAACGCGGGGTGCGGGGAAGAACGGTGATGGCTGAAGAGGAAGGAGTGGAAGAAAGCCCTGGAGGCTGGCGTGGCACGAAGAGAGTGGTATATTATAGCAACATGGAATCATGGATGGGCATATACACAGCCTGCTCCTGGTGGGACCCTCAAAAATCGTCTGTGCCCCTGCTGCGCAGCATGTGGCGCGGTTACTCCTTTCCCTCTCTCTTCGATCCTCTTCCTGCTTCGGTCTTCCCGCTGTCTCTCCTCTTTCAGTCTAGTTCCTCGTCGTCGTTTTACAAGCTCTACTCAAACGTCTTTCATCCGAACCAGTACTGGTAGTGCCTTTTATATCTGCAACCAGAGGTGCTAGCACAGGCGTCCGGCGTTTCAACGCGTCCCTGTATCGTCGCGATGTAATCACTCCAACAATTTAAATTCATCGAAATCACGCTCAACAAGAATTTCAGTCCAATTCAACTGATTATTTTTCAGCCTGTGTCTGATGATGATGAAACGATAGGTTCCATGTTTGGACGCTCTTGATCTTGTGATCTTGTCCTTGGCAAACGGAACGGCCCCGACAACATTCCTTTTTTTTTCTTCTTTCTGCAATATGATCAATCCGAGACCCTTTCAAGGCCTCTCACAGGCCTGGTTTTCTGCTCTAGTCTGAGACGTCTTACTCCTAAATCCGCATGCAACAGTGATACACGTTCGTTTCGCGTAATTACCTCGGATTCTATCTACACTTCCTGCACCCTGCGTATGTGCATGTGCTTCGAGTCTTAATCACCCTGCGAAGCGCCCAGAATTCGACGAGCCTTCCGGTTTTAATGGGTTAGTATTGCTACTAATACAACCTTCTCCACCATGACCTTCCCTTGCGGGGTTTTCGCGGTCCCGAAGCTTTTGTGTCTCTCTTACTTCGTTTATATAGTATAGCTTACCGCTTGTCTATGGATTTTTATTATTCCGCGAATAGTGTTCAAGTGAAGCACTTCTTTTACTTCACTTCACTTTATTTTATTTGAGAAATGATAGCTATATGGATTGTAATTAAAGCAAAGAATTTTCAGTCTGTTTCTAAATTAGTGTTGGACGGCTAACTTTTCCAGTGTGTGGGTAATGAGGATACCCACTCGGGGTCTGTGTGGGTGTGGTTATCCTCATGAGGGAATTGTGTGTAACCAAATTTGTAATCACTTAATTTAGTAATTTTTTGCAAGCTAGTACTACTATTTCCTCAATGGAAAACACTACATATAACCCTTTTTAAGGTGCTAAAGCGCCATTTTAAAGAAAATTCTACTGTTTATTGTAGAGTCATTTTCAGGGTTGTAGAAACTGGTCCATATTGAAGTAAACTATATATGACCTATTTACTTATGTAATTGCAGGCGTGTCCTCACATTTGACAATTGGCAAAAGGTGGTAGCACGTGATCGAGCCAAACAGTTTTCGGAAATTTAGAATAGTGTTGGACGGTTAACTCATAGTGGGTGACTTCCCGTAGGATTTTGGAAGCTTCCAAAATCCAAAATACTTGTACCTGTCTTATAAGCAAAATAAAAAAAATTATTCCAGACCGTAGCACATTTTTCTGCAGTTGTTAGATCATTTTGATTCTATTTCACTTAAGGCAACATCTGACACATTTCTGTACAAAAAGGGTATAGATAAGATCTGTATGATCTTACTTATACCTTTTAAGGCAGGTACTTGATGGATGGAACGACTTTCTACTCTGAAAGGGGGGGTCAGACCCCCCTTACAGATTTTCAGACTGGAAGACAACAAACTACGTGTGTTATTCGGTTCTCATATCGCTTACTCTTACTACCCTTCACTTATATTCAGACTACTCCTTTTCTAGTACCTTTTTAACCTGGAAATCCTTCCAAAAGTCTACGGGAAGTCACCCAGTTACCCACAATAGGTGACTTCAATTAATTGGCAGGAGCACTTGCAGGACAGTTGGAAAATTTTGGGGTGGCTCGGCAAAGTGGACGTACCTTAATATATACCAAATAGAGATGTAAATCCGTGCAACTCTCTGCAAGTGTCTGCAAGTGCTCGAACCCACTTGTTGGCACTTGCAAACGCGTCGGAGTTTGAAATAAAGAAATGTCTGACTACAACCCAACAAAAATCATGAGTAATGTGACATGGGCATTAAATGTCGATCTCTGCAAGTCCAGCTCTTCAATTTTGAGAGACTTGCATAACTCTTGGCATCTTAACTCTAAATTGCCGAAGCCCTTCTGCAAGTGTCTCTGCCAATTAATTGAAGTTGCCTATTAGTGTTATCCTCATGTGGTTAACCACGAGGATAACCACATACCCACATAGCCTTGCCTCTGAAGGTATGTGGGTATTGTGGGTAACTTAACGTTTGTTCATTCCAACTCCCTTCGTGTGCAATGCCTCCTAATACTTTCCTAACTTATGTCTCTCGCCCACTCAAGACATCTCAATACCTATTACCTCGAAATGCGAAAACAGTATCATCAAGCAGAACAACACAGAAACGGTTATTCTCTGATCAGTCCCCACCACCACACGGGACTTCGAAAAGCACTGAAAACACGTATTCTCCGAACAACTCCTCAAACCAAAACGGAGCTGAAGGTCGTAATACAAGCGGGAAGGAGAACAAAGATAGTAAAGCGCGTTCTGCTCACGCGCAATGGTACTCTAACACGGTACCCGCGATGATCCCAATCGCACTCCTCGGATCTGCTGTGTATATCGTAAGTACTAGTCTCCAAAAGTTAATCTCTTCCTTTTCTTGCTTGCGTGCTCGCGCTCTCTGATTCAATTCAATTGGACCTTCGGGTTTTGGATGCCTGCTTGGAAGGCTTGTTTGTTTTATTGAATCTTCACCAGATTTATCTCCTAATGCTCCGCCCGGCGGTTCCCCGCTTTTTCGTGTCTGATTGTCGATTCGCTCATTTGATACACTAATACACTCATATACTAACTAATTTTGTATCTTCGTTCTGTACTGTGACGTCAGGGCCTCCAACTCGTACGTACGAAACTCGCAACAGAGAAGTACCTCGACGAAGCGAATGCGCGCATTGCACAACTCGAGGAAGAGATTAAGCGGTTGCAGAGCGAACAAGAAGAAGAAGCAAGAAGAACTCGGAATAGCGAGTATGCCGGCGGAAAGAAAAAGAGGAAAGAACCGTCTAGGTGGTGGTGGTTTGGTGCTTAAGTCGAAATCACCGCTCGTCCTTCTGCCCTTTTTTCTTTCAACACGGACGATTAAGAGGGGATTAACGCGGACGATGAAACGTGCACTTTCAATAGAGGCCCGATATTGGACAACGACAACAACGTGCTCGAGATACATATCCAACTTCTTCGAAGCCTTCAAGTTGTTCCGTGTTCGTTCCTCTCTCTTCCGGGTCTCTTCTATTCGATTCGACACCCGACAATCGCAACCTGCGGACTTCCCCCGCAGCCCGTCGATTCAGATATACTCACCTACTCATTCACTAATCTATCTTCTCTGGTACCTGAGATGAGGATTCAATTCATATCAAATTTTCGCGGGTTTTATGGTAACCAATATGGTAATATTAGTCTGTTGGTATATGGTTATTTGTACCAGGACATGGAAGCCAAAGCCAAGAGACATTCATGGGGTCAAACGGTGGGCGCGTAGGCCAACGAGTTAAACGGATGAGAATGTAGGAGATTAGAAGCGTACTGTTGAGAGAGTGGAGCCCATGTAAGCAGGAAAAGCCCCGAGGATATCTACGTATGTTTATACAAAGGGGCATAAATAAAACACAGACCAGTGAAAGGACGGAAGAATGGGTAGAGGTCAGAAGAGAAATCTATCCAACGAGGGAATAATGATGAATCTAAGGGTGTTCATATCATTGGCGGGATTCTTTGAGAATTAGAGCCGTCCGATGGTTATGGAAGAGCCTCGCCGTGCTACAAGGGACATAGTCAGCGATATTACACTGCATTGTTTGCTTTACACACCTTAGCACCGCGGCTCCAAGGCCTGCGAAGGGCTTCACCGTGTCACGCAGAGGTTTGATTTTGAATACCTCATACGCTAAAAGAAGTTTCATTAAACGCATCTTCGTAATGAACTGAAGATGCACGTACAAACAAAGAGTAAATCAAGGAGTAACTTGGTCCGCTGTATACGCAGCCAGAAGTCTTGCCTACGCAGTTTCTCAAGCTCTTTCTCCGCAACTCGCGACGCGGAAGACTTGGACTTCTCTGTCGCGCCCGAGATCGAATCGGAATACAACTTTGATTCGACTATCACGAAAAGAAATTTGAAAAATAAAAATCAATAGGTGACACGAGGCGTAATAAGGAGCTGAGATCTCGTACCAGCTTGGATCTTGCTTTTAGTTATATTACGTTCGAACCCGAGTTCGATCAAGGCGATCAAAGTCCCGAAGAACCAACACCAGTCGGAGAATCTGCCTGCCCTTTCACCAGTCTTCTTTCCTATTAAACCAAGTCTTCGCGGAGATTAGACTAGAATTCTTCTTAATAGGTCTGTGAGCACAATTTACCTGTAGAATGCATATATATCGTCCGAAAGACCGTTTACAAAATCCAATAGGGCGGGAGGCGGAGCACGAAGGAATAGTTGCAACAATGGCTTTGATGTTTCTTTTTCCTTGGGTGACTTCTCCGAGAAACTAAGTTCGTCGTCTTGTGCGGAGAGTATTGAGGTAAGAGGCGTTAGCCAGTTGAACATAATCAAGGCTTTCCTAAGTAGATCCAAACCCGTCAGGTACCGTCACACAAGGAGTATTGGACGGCATTACCGAGTCGTCGAGAGGCTTGAAGCCGTGCTTTCCATTCGCTTGACGAGTTCTATCTCCCAATTTGTCTTCTTCCGCATTGCAAACATACGACTCGAGCCTACTGTGCCATGAAAAAGTAGATAGACGCGCAACGTGTATTGCATTATTTTCTAAGTATAGGATTTAGATGCCATGCAATTATTCAACTCAGATCTAAACTTACGAAGGCTTTGTCTCGACCTGAGCTTGTTCTCAATACTTCACGCCATACTTCAGGAGTTTTCACCTTCTGGACGGCCTTCTCGTCTACGTCTTCCTCAACATCCTCAGCAACTTCTTCCTCTTCAAAATGTGCGGTCTCCGGCTTTTCTTGCGTTTCTTCTTGATGAGACACAGATGAAGCATATACATCTGAGCCATATACATATGATTCTGTATTTGATATGACCGAAGTGCGAGGTGTGCGCGGCGGATGCGGTGATGCTGGGTTCATCTGGAACGAGGAAGACGGATCGTATGATGACCCAAAGAAGTCTTCCTGAACAGACGGATGTGAACGCGTGTGGCTTGCTGTGCCAGGGAATGACACGGTCGACATTATGCAGAATAGTAAAGGCTCCTGTAGGCAGAAGAGGGAGTAGGTAGAGGACAGAAAGTCGAAGTCGACTCAGAATCAAGCGCGCGTGTAACGCGCCTCCGAACGACAAACAAGTGCATACATCGCGCTGACGTTCCGAACCGTACCGCTCTACATCATCCTCAACAACCACCGTGCTGGCGAAGTTCATTGTTTCATTCTGGTCATTCTTACACTGCACCTTTCTTGATTGCTCATGGCAAGCTATGGGGTCCGCTCGCCGCCACCGTTGCCTACGGATGCACCTTCTCCAAGACCACAGTTTGATTCGGACACACTAAAGACATACATAAAGAAGCTGCTCTCAACGACCTTACAGAACGAGTCATATCCTGCACCACGAGATCGAGATAAGATAAAGGCATGGTGCAAGGAGATAGGTGAGAGGGTGAAGGAGCAGATGCTTGGTTAGTTTCTGGGACTTGTTGGGGTTCTTGCGCCTGCCTGGTACTGATGAATACTCTTCAGAAATTCAGCCGAGAGGATTGTGAGTTGCTGGATTGAGATGTATCCTAACATTCTAATTGAACTTCTCAGTAAATATATCGTACTCACACGGATCGACGAGAATTCTGGTCAAGGCCTACAGTGGGTATCATGCTCGTTCTGGGTTTTCATGACTCTCAAACAAGGCAATTTGTCACAGCGCCAACCTCAACTGTCATTGGGAGGAATACGATACAGTTGCCCAAGAAATGTTCTCAAACGTACGTCGTGACTTCCTTGTTGGGTTATCTCATCATTGAAAGCCGGTTATAGGATTCTTTAATCTGTGTTTGTGTTGCCTTTGCTATCCGGACAATATAATTGATACCTACTCGATTTTTCTGGATGTATTACGAGACATCTCTTATGCGATTTGCAGATAAGTATACCCCCAAACTATCAAAAGCAATTTCTCGGACGGACCCAACGCCATGTCCGCTTACTCCCCGTCGGAATTGTCCGTTGATCACTCAAAGGACGTGCGAGTGCACCCAATACAAATATCGTCAGGGAGGTATCCCTTTTGGCAGACTTCTCTGTGATATCTTCGCTTCAGGGTGCTCAAAGCCAAAAAGGCTTTTTCGACATCAGCCCGTTCCTGTCTATTTCATCTCACGAGTTTTGGTATTCTTGGAGTTTCGGCGCTCCAAACCTTGAGAAGATTCGAACCCCAAGAATAAGGTCCTTCTCTCTGGCTCTGAAAACTGAGCTGTCTCTTCTTATCACTAAATCTGCATGAAACCTTGATGCCTGTGCTCTATTATTTATCGTAAGTCTATGCGTCTTGATCTCAAGTGCACTATTAATTCATCTCCAAGGGAAAATCCAGCTACCATGGGATAAACATGGATCATTGCTGTTGCGTGTGTTTTTTACATGCAGTGTGGACTATGCACCCCTGATTGTTGATTTGGGATACTTCACGGATCTGCGAATGCCCGAAATTAACTAGGTTCGTGAATAAGGTTCGTATGAAATGGCCACGCGTGATGAACTAGAGACGAAACTAAGCAGCCCAGACAGTCTCACTATCTTTCAACGTTCCATACCTTTCCGTATAGGCGATTGCCCGCCTTCTCCTCTACTTATAGCCTCTGATTTACTCTGTCCTCCGTATCGCCAGTGCTTCGCGCTAGTCTTGAAACGAGTCGGATATAAACGTTGCACTCGGGTAATACGTTATTTTGGAGCCCTTGTGAAAATGAAGCAACATTAATCCGTTTCCCTTTAGTCACCACCTCACATACTCTATCTTAATTGAGCTGCGGTTATACCTCGCTGTTTATACTCACCAGTCACATTCGGCAAAGTAATTGAATCTTCTCGGCAGTGCGATCAGGCTTCTGCACTTCGATAGGAGTCCCCCAGACCGCCCTTCTCGAGGTGTGACTATGTTTTCTTCATATTCCCGATTCATTTAAATTACATTGTTTACCTTCACAATAGCATGGGAATACCAACCTTTTGTTTGTTCCCTTTTACTTTATCAAATACCGTCGAGGGGGATACCAGCTGACAAGTAATATGAAGATATCCGTTCACCTCCTCGGATTTCGTTGCACTGGTTGCGCTCAAAATTTCTGGCTAGTTCTGCTTTGGTTATAATTGATCATTGACCGAGGGGACTTCTTTTGTCTAGCTAGGGTAAGGCTCCCGCAGGGAGAAGCTCGGATTTCACGCGGTTATCTTGATCTCTGTGTCAAGTTGGCATTCGCCTCGAATGTCTTAACAAACAAACAGAACTTGGTTAGAGTCCTCCTCTGGGGATACCTCCTAAATGGCGGGAAATCTTGGATGTCTGGGAATCACCCGGCAGTACTGTCGGTTGTCTGATTGGATTGAAACTGCGCCGATGCAGCCGTGCCTATCACCTAGCAGCTCTCAGCACAACGTTATTTATCAACACGAGCGATTTTTACGGCCTCTGTCAAGCGCCGCATCTCCCCTTTCTTCCTACTAGATCACAGGCTAGAACACTAAGAGTGCGGAGGTAACATGGTTCAATACTCAGTTGTTCCTCAACAATCATTCAAGATATCTTCATGGGAAGATACTGTGGTGGATACAAATCGCTCCGGTATCCTCATGACTGCGATTATGGCATTGTATTCGGAGTAAGCTAATCCGTGAGATGATGAGGCCAGATCCATGCTAGGCTTCAGTTTTCTGCGACTGATGGCAAGAACCAGGAAAGGTTGGATGTTCGACTTACAGCTCGTCGCGAGTGAAATGTAGAAAAGGAATTGACAATACCTGTCCTGGCCTAAGCTCAAGCTCATCGACTTACTCAAGGGCGAGCACACGATCTTATTGCAGCCGATCCGAAAGGCTAAAAGCAGAGTAAATACAGAAGTGACAGAAGACAAGCACAGTAGGGCTTCCGACGTTCGGCAGCGAATAGCACAGCGGCTGAATATAACTTCCCATGCGTCCCCTCAGTATGCCCTGCTTACACGAGCATATCAAGTAAGGCGTCTAGAAGGCTTCATCAACTTCCAGCGGAGTCTAAGGAAGGATCGCAAACCGGTCAAAGAAGGACACGAATTCCGTCGGTATGCATACCATTTCTGGACAGTCAATGCTCTCATTTCTATGCATTTGAATTGAAGCCACACTCACTGGCACTGGTGTGCCTTGCACGCGTGCAAGAGGGGAAGCTCGTCTGTTCGCCCGCCAGTGGATCGCCCGAATATCCCTTTGTGGCGTTTCGAAAGGAACGACGGAGTATTCTTGGTACCCGAGTTCTGGCGTTCGGCGAGAATGGCGAGAGCCACGTATCGATGGATGACCACACCTTTGCGGGACGCCTCCCGTAATCTTCTCCTGGGGTCTAGCTGAGCAGGCCTGATAGAAGTCTCCCGCCCCACTTTTATAAAGTTTTGAAACCGCAATCGCCTGTGTTGATATGATCTTGATAACTTACCCTGCCTGCTGATTAAGGCGGCAAATAACCTAACAATTTGGCTTCCTGTCCACCTACCTAAACTGGATATTTCGGTTGAATTGGAGCCAAATCTGTTACTCTCGACTGCAGACTAAACTATACTATGTGCTGTTTCAACTCTCTCAGACCATAGAGCGTCTAGGCCGATGGCTTCTTGCATTAGAGTAAGTAATAACTACAACCTGTTATCGATGGAAGTTTTACATGACAGACAGTGGGTATTCGTCAGAAAGTAGTCTTATTGCAGGATCTACGGCTTTCTAGAGGCGACTCTCGTTGATCCAGAATGTCAAAGAATGAATACGGTTGAAAGAAATTTTCACGTATTGCTCATGAAGGAGGGTGTCTTATTAGGCAATTGGCTGTGAAAAATATTGGCGGAGGGGAAAGCACTGATTCTATTCATATGGCCCGATCTTTCAGAACTGAACTTCTTTGCTAGAATAAGACAAAGCTTGTTAAATATTTGTCAAGACCACTTTAGTTGGGCTGAGCACGTTGCCATATTATTCATCAAGGCCGTCTATTGAACAGTAAATACATGGGCACAGCGGTTAAGTTCTTAGCGTTGGAGACAATAATAAATTACAGTTTTCAAGCATGAGTCCATGTTAATTACAAAAAGCCTAGGGAGAAGCACAATTATAGAATGATGACAGATGTGAATCAAGATGATTATTTTTGTTTCAGTCCGGTTATACAGACCCACTTTCTCTTAAAACAGGAATTTAGATGTTTGTTCGCTGTTAATCATTGCAATAGTCTCACGATCGAGTCATGTGCCGTAACATTTGATAAAACCGCGTTATGCCAAATAATGGTAAATACGATTTGGATTACGTAATTTACGATTCGGTAGGCCTTTCAGACCTTGGTTGTCGGTCTGTACTTTTCTTCTCTAACGACGAATTTTAAAAGTCAGTGATGTTAAACTTATCGCATATAGCACTTGTTTTCATCACGTATGAAGTTGAATATGCAACTATGGTTGCTGGACTGACATTAGCGAAGAAGTTGAAAGAACTGTCAGCTGGATGGCTGATCTATTGGCTCTTGGGCAGTGTAATCTTATTATAATTGTTACCTCCTGGATTCTCCTATTAAACACTTCATTACAGTGTAAGGGGAATAAGGAAACTGCCAACGTTGTAAGCAGTGAAGGGCTTTACAATTTGCAACGGCTATAATACAAAATATGTATATTATCTCTGCAAACAACGTATAAACGTGAAACTCTAACGAGTTGTCAGTGAACATTTCCCGCAATCACTGTGCTCCCACAGTAAGGATAAATCTTTCAATATTCTCCACGATAGGCGTATCAAATGACAATTTTTTGTACAATGTCGGCCGGGACTTGCTTCCTCTAGGAGAAGCACGGGTAATGTCCATTATCGATAACAGCGGTCATTGACACCCTGTCTGCTACAAAGCACTTAGGCCACTATATTTGAAATTCGACACAATCACAGGTATTCGTGCTACGGAACCGCTTGATCACATGTACTTCCGCCTAAGGAAGAATCTAGAGAACTCTAATGGAATTTGACAGAAAGACGTATCATATTCATTTCCGAGGTGAGAAAAAACCTGCGGTTGCTCCGACTGATCGTATTAGTAGACTGTTGTGCATAATGTAGTCCACAGGGATATCTCCTTGGATGTAAGAAGTTAATCTGTTTCGTGCATTGAAACGTCTCGTATGAGCACTGCAACGAATAGCTTCTGCTATCAATTCCTTTTGTTGATGCAATATTGTCCTTTGCTTTCGGAGGGTAAACCTCAGGCATGGGAATCTTTCGTACATAGTCAAGAGACAACCCAAAAAAGGGCCAAGACGTTCTAGACATTCAACCGACGACAAATACACTAATCAGCAGTCATTAAATAAATTGAGAGAGAAAGGGGACGAATCCGAATAAATGTCAATGTCCAGAACCTGATCTGCTGACCTAGAATAGACGGTACTGCTGATAGTGAGAAAGTATCAATCAACTTCATCCGCAGAAAGTCAAATGCCGGGAGCAGTGTTCCCCGTTTTTGTGAGCAACACAGACCAGTGTCAAGCTTTGGTTATCCGATGATATAGGTTGTGAAAACGGCAACAGATGATGCGAGAAAGAAAGAAAGACGTCAAATAGGCAAGTGAGGCCAGAGGAGAAAGGATGTTTTGTGAGCAGCCGTTGAGAACGGGCGCAACGAGGCTCACAGACAGAGATCGCCCTCGATTGCTCAATTGAACCTGAATACATCATAACGATGGTCAAAATGGCCCTGGGCTAATGCATAGCACGCGTCTGAACGTGGTGAATTGGTCGATATGCAGCTCCACAGGAGACATAACATCGATCTGTTAAAGTGGTAACTTTTCTACTTCTGTGAATTACCTCCCACAATCTCAAAAGGTCTCATCTTAAAGAAGTATACAGGATAATTACTGTCAGCCTATCTACAACGGTTACATATATTCCATACATTTTCTAGTTGGCGTCAACCATTTGTAGCCACACGGGTAAACGCGGAAACAAATTGATGACTCAACTGAGGCACATCCTCATCGCCCGAACGAAGTCGCAAGAACTCACATCAAAGAATGTGAGCACAATTCTTCGCCTAGCAGAGGAGTTACGCAAACGGTTGAGATCAGGAATAAATCATCTGGAAAAGATTGAAGAGATGTAAATCAGCGCAGTTAAAATGCAGAACTTGTTCCAAAAGGGACATGATCTCTGAAGACAAATGCAGCTGCGATTAGTTTCCCCCAATCCGAGGTTCCGGCAAGTCAGGCAGCACGTTGCGAGTTTATTTTTTTACGTGTGTTGGACCCCTAGGGCTGCTAGGAATGCACCATCAGAAAGAGCATTAAAGCGCATTAAAGGCTCAGATCCCGTAAAATCTCCAGCGCGGTCGTTTGCGAACAATAAAGCAAGGAAAGGCCACAAGATTCACCCCATAAATGATGACTGTCAAGCGCCGACGTGCATGTTTGTATACTAGGTCGCTATCTTCCGCCCACGCCTCTTCCGTCTTTGGACTTTTGATTATCCCTTTACTGACATCTCGTATGAATATGATCCGTGTACAAGAGATGCCACAGTTAACGATAGAAGTCACTGAAAACGGCCATAGGTCCGGCGGACAACGGAAGCAACAAGAAGACATGAGTCATTAGATAGCTGGAACATGAGAAGATTGCACATTCCAGGTAGTGCTACTGAGACGCCCAGGACTTGGTGTGTCGCCCCGTTTGTAGTTGACAAGCGAAGAATGGCCGTCAACAGCGGAGAATACGTGGATCATACATTATTCTCATAAGCTCGGTAGATTTGAGCGGGAATTATCCAGGTCAAAAACGGTTCCTCTTATTCGTTCAGTAGCAGGGCTTTTAAATCGAAGTCTGAAGACTAGATGTTGTTGTGGAAGATACAAACTTAACAAGAGGGAACTAGCAACGCCTCGCTTGGTCCAACGAGGAAACTAGTTCCGTAGGTTCCCGTCTGCGGGTTCATACTTCACAGGCTCATTATGAGGACTTACGCGATTCAATGCCCGCATCGGGCGCCGCAGGACCCTCGACGTCGTGGTCAAGAACGCCAATCACTGAACGCTTAATCAAGATAACGAGATCCCGCATTTCCAAAACCTTTGTGAGCAATGGCAGACGGATGTTTGACTGCGGCCGAAAGTTACCAAGTCAGTCGCAAAGTTCAGGGATACGTAGATATACTCATTTACCCCGTACTCAACGGAAACTACACGATAGTCGATCGCAGATGATGCTGTGCTCTTGGAACCGTTAATGAATAAGCGGAGTAAAAGCCACCGATGCCTCTCTTCGCAATAGAGAATGCAGAATATTTTGAGGTATGAGGCGCGGAAGATCGCTTGATCTGAAGACCAGCCTGAGTCTACAAACTAGAGGCCGAGTACTGATTATTGCCAGACGTATCGTATCACGGAGCGAAGACCTTGCAGTGCAACGTTTCAGGTGTATGAGGGTCAGTACTACAATATGACGTACGGCATAAAACTTCGCGGACCAGTCTCTCTCTTGATGCCACGGACACACACGTCGAGCAGCACCGTGTTTCTCATGCAGCAAATTTCTCACCAAGTGGCTTTGGAGGGGTGCCTCCGAAGTTGCTATAAGCCATGTTACGAGCAGCCGAAAGCGCTTGTTTACAGCTCATGGAAGATCATAAGTAGCCCTGCGTTATTGGGAGGACAGTCAGAGCGAGGCGAGTACTTGGCCTGCATTTTGCAAAGGATCACAATTGCAACGCAACAAATAGCGAATGAATTGGACACGCCGAATTTTGCAATAACAATCCAGCGCCTTTTTACCCAGTGTTCGCAATCCGGCCGTCGCCTCCGCAGTATTAGGGCGGATAACATTATGCCAGGAACCGGGAATGACACAGACACTCTTGCAAGGGCTGGCAGACACTCACCAAGAAGTGGAGCTGTTTCAAAGACTATACTCCCCCATCCTACTGTTAGTTGGGTTGTAAAATTAGAATTCGGTTTCGGGCCGGAGGCTTGGATGACTGCAGTTTCATAGTTTCATAGACATAAAGGCGCCATCTCTGCAAAAACTCTTGACAGCTAGAGAAACACAGTAGTGTAAGTCATGCTGGATGAGCCGAGAGGGCAGGACCATTTACCTTTTGAGGCAATTAGACTACATGTTGCTTCTGATGAAATTTCAGATCTGTGGCCTTGATTAAAATGAATGGTCGGCGTGCATACTGTAACCCTTCTCCGCGAACGTTAGGTGAGTAAACGCTATCATGGTGAATGGACACCCATGTATTTGGAGAAGCAATCTGATACGAAAACGGAAGGGCTGAACAATTGAGTTAGTTTGTTAAATGCTGGCTGGTTGTCCAAATAGTCCCTCCGTCAATAACGGAAAAATGGTGAGAACGCTCATCTGCAACCGCCTTGGAAAGAAGATATACCTTTGTAGAGGGTCAGAAACAATGAGGCTATCGAGGAACGCATTTCAAATAGCGGTCGAACCGACTATGTCCTGGGTAATTAAATTCTGGGTGTCTAGGATTGAAACGAGTGCGAACACGAGGACGAAGCGTTGCGTACTTGCACACTCGCATTTCTATTTCGGACTTGAAGCTGAGCAAAGAACACAAAGTGCCTCGAGGTTTCTTAATGCTTGGAACAGACAGTATTCACATTGATTAAAGATAGTGTTATTAATGTGAGCCCGAGTGAGCGGCGTCCTTGATGCGCGGTTTTCCCAGCCGATGAATACCCAGGATAAGCAATTCGGTGTTCACGCATTCCCCGTCCATTTGAAGGAAAAGGCGATAGGATCTTCAATGGTGATCTCGAGGACTTTAGGGGGAAGCAAAGCAATAATTAGGCCTGTCAGAAAAGAAGGCGTTAATACGACTCCGCAAGCTTCTCGCGATGGAGGCTCACATAGAAGTTATTTGGATGACAGGATTGCCTGCGTGTCCTTGAACTGACGTGAAAAACTTCTGATTCCGAAAGGACGAGCGCATACTGCATGTGATGGAAGTGGCTAACACAGCAAATTGATCAGGGATCGGAGAGAGTGGCTGGATGCCGTTCACATGAGGAGTCGGCGAGCGAAATCTGACACGGAACCTGCCCTCAAAGGCTCCGTCAGTCGGACCATCTCAAGGGTATACCGGCGGCAGGGTCGAGGACCAGTAAGGGAGCCGAGGATGCCCGAATGCCGACAGAGACGGTTTGTTGACCGTCCAGAGTCGAGAACAGGGCAGAGCTAGCAAGTAGTGGCTGGACATTGGCAACGAGGACCGTCCGGAAGCAAAGACATGGGCGAGAGAGCGCAGATTCTGGTGGACGGCTAGTAGACTTATCTGAGAAACACGAGGCTTTGAAATCGAAGAGAATCGGGAGAGGCGGACGCGGGACTGAGAAGGTAACGAGAGCGATGGTGGTGGACTGGGGAGAAGACCGTTGGGCACGGAGGATGACGCTAAAGGGCGAGCGCGTCCCTGGTAGTCTATCAGCCGATCCGAAAGTTTGAGGATCTGGAAAGATATGTATATACTCTCACTTATCGTCCCACAAGAATGACGGCAATATCCCTCCGACGCGCATTTTCCATCTCACAGCAGGGTCTCTGACAAGTTGCTGCCCTACAAGCGTGCTGTACGCGCCCTGGAATAGCAAGCCAGTCCCTGCCGCTGCTTTGTCAACTTGAGTCTGCAACGGCGGTTTCATTCCGTCCCATCGCCCATCCTGGACACCTATAAAGCCGACTTTTGAAGCTTCAATTTCCACGTCGTCTCTGTGCCTCTTTTCCGTCTCTCATTGGAATTGTATGCTTCAGAGGTTTGTCGAGAAGATGGATGCGCAAGAGGGAGTCAATAGTCGAGACGAGCGAACGCCTCTGCTGATCCAGACCCGACCTCCATCATGTTACTCTGTTTCGCACGACAGTCGAAGCGAAACAAGCACACAATGTAGCTCACCAGTAGAACCTGCACCATTAAATAAGGTCTCGAAAGCCGACCTTGTATGGGTGCTATTGGGCCTGTGGAGTGCAGTCTTCCTTGGGGCACTTGATGGTGGGTTGCTGCATCCAATCTCGCCTTCCGCCGCTCATTTATTTCTGGTCGTCCTTGCACTTTTACGTCTCCTTCCGCAGGGACAATCGTAGCGACGCTTCTAACGCCTATTGGCTCAAGCTTCAACAAATCAAATCAGGCATCCTATATTGGAACATCCTATCTTCTCTCCGTATGCTGCTTCACCCCGCTCTATGGTGCATTTCAGCCTTCGATGATCTACAGGGACACATACTGACCTGTACTTCTCTCCATAAAGGCCGTCTCTCTGACATTTTGGGACGTAAAGGTGCCATGCTGTTGGCACTCTCGCTCTTCGGTGTGTTTAATATGGAAAAATCCATGTCACTTACGTTGACTCGGCGTTCCCCTTTCGAAGGCTCCGGAACAATCTTCTGTGGGCTAGCTCCCTCTATGGAGGCCCTGATTGCTGCTCGAGCTGTTGCTGGCATGGGTGGAGGAGGGTAAGCATGTTGCCATGCACTGCAGATGACCACCTATCTTATACAACATTTTATTATTGTTTGTTTGAAGAGTAATGACAGGTGAGCCGGGATCGTAGCTGGAAGAACCGATGGTCCCTTCCCATGCTCATTGTACTTGCATACAGTGTCTAGCGTGGCTGTCACCGACCTGATTCCACTGTACGTAACTGCCCGAGGACGGCAGTTCACAGTAGTATGCGGGAAGAATTCGCACTAACTTGACAATAGGAAGCAACGTGGTCTTTATCAGGGCATGGCAAACATGTATGTGACTCTATCTACTTCTGATCTAGCGGTGCTGACGTTGTGCAAAGCTTGTTCGGTCTAGGTATAATAGTTCCCAAGCTCCTCCGTTCATTCGCTCAAGAAGTCTTTTTCAGGGGCGGGACTCGGCGGCCCCCTCGGAGGCTGGCTGAATGATTCTTTCGGCTGGTACGTTTAAGATATTCCCGTGCTCTCGACCGCGAACCTGAAGTGTGCCCCAGGAGATCGGCTTTCCTCGTACAGGTGATCAGCTTTGACTCGCCTTGTCCTGCATTAAGTCAGTTTCTGAGCGCCCGCAAATCGTAGATCCCAATTCTGGCCCTGTCGACCATTCTCGTAATTACAAAGGTCGACATCAAGCTTCCCCCCGAGGTACAGAATCGGACGACCTACGAGAAGGTCCGCCGGATTGACTTTTTAGGTTCGGTTACGCTTGTCGGAACGGTTGGAACGCTGCTTCTCGGATTCAGTTTGAAGTCGACAGAAGAGATACCCTGGTCGCATCCCCTTATCTGGGGACTCTTTGTCATTAGTGCGATTTGTGGTGTGGCATTTGTATATGTAGAAACCCACATCGCACCATTCCCGGTGATGCCGATGCATCTGATTACCCGTCGGACACCACTTTTCGTTTCATTGTCTAATTTGTATGTTCCGGTTCTCCACGCTCTGTTTATTAAGCCAGCTCATATCCGCATAGCTTCGGGAGTGTCGCCGCTTTCTCAGTGGTAAGCATAAATCATCATGGATACGAAACGAGTGACCAATGTTTCGATTCATTCTGCTTCATTTAGCTGTACAATGTTCCTCTGGTAACTCGCTTTGCTGTGAGTTCTTGCGCGTTAGGCTAAACTTTCTCTATGACAGTACTTCTCGGCAGTTCGCATGACCAGCTCTAAAGACGCAGGTAAGCTATTTATATGTGATATAGGAGCCTTCGTTTTGCTAAAAGAATGCATAGGTCTTCATTTACTTCCTCACTCAGTAAGATCTTCCGAGATACAGGAGTAGCCCAAAACTTGGGACCGTAACTTACTCCTCTGTCAATTAGGTAGCAATCTCTACTGGAAGTGTTTTCGCCGGATGGTGAGCCACTCTCGTGTATTATCGGATCGTCTTTTAAGTTACCTGTACTACGTACGTATGTCTGACGTCGATGACAGGATTATGCGCAAGACCGGGAAGCTGTACTTCCTAACACTCACATCCGCCGCGGCCGCTGTAACTGCAACAGTCTCTATATGCTTCTGGAATTCCAACACAAGCACGTGGCACCTTTGGTTCGATATCTTCCCGCAAGGGTTTGGAATGGCAAGTCTGATCACGACAACGCTCATTGTGAGTAACATGACACCGATGTGGAGTTATGCGGCTGGCCCTTCTTACACGCCTGTCTTTCATAGGCGATGATAGCCGGAGTCTCCAAGGAAGATTTAGCTGTTGCGACAGGAAGTGAGTTAATTTTAATAACCCATTAAGAACAGGACATAATGCCTGCTTCATTAGTCACATACCTGTTCCGAACGACAGGCCAAGTCATTGGGGTTTCCTTGAGCGGGGCTGTATTACAGGCTGTTCTTCTCAAAGCACTGCAAGAGAAAATTACAGTGCCTAATGCTGGCAGTATCATTGAGTCTATTCGGTGTGTGATGCCCCTTCGCAGCAAGTCAATCTTCGTTCGCTCATGTTACTATTTGCGGACAGACACTCAACAGAAGTTATTCCCTCCCTTGAACCCTCGCTACAAAAAGCAGCAATAGATTCTTACGCTCGCGCGTTGAACGTCGTATTCATTTGTCAAGCCGCTATGAACTTTCTCGCATTTCTGTGTACACTACCAATCCAAGAAAATCCCCTTCCGTACGTCAGAGTGTTCCAACGCCTCAATTTCTTTTCCCCTTCGTGCACATGCTGATCGCTTCTTTCTTGTACGCCTTCATGCTCTGAACAGCGGTTCCCATGAGGAACAAGAGGAGCAGTATCGCCGAATGCGTGAAGAGCAGACCCGCCGCGAGCGGTCGTCCTCTGACGCAACGAGCATTACGAACGTCTGACAGTTAAGCTTCAATACCCCTCCTCGACCTCGAATCAAACAGAAGCAGCTTCTGCCTTTGCTCTTGCTTTCATTGCTATCATGCTCTCAACTTTTTTTCCTTTTATGTTAATGTTATAGAATAACGAGCCTTAAACGACTTCAATCAAGCAACGGATAACTAACCCACTTGTGGCTTTCCATTTTCCTTTCTAAATGGGTATTTGCTCGTCCCCCCACCCTTTCTCCCTGCTATGGTCATTATTTTCACTTTTTATCCGGACCATTAGCCGCACTTCTCCCGACCCATCGCAAATCCCTAATTTATATTTTTTACGCTTTCCACGAGGAAAAGGACTCCTGGAGGACTTGTAACACGTGTATCTAGCACAACGAGGACCCATCTCAATTGCTTTTCATGTGTCGATGCAAAAGAAAAAGAACGGAACGGAGTTTTATTTGGTAGCAGCAGTTTCTCCCTGATGTATTGTAGCAATAACAAAATCATTTCTTTCAACCGTGATGCGTATGCGACTTTTAAGCTGCATTGGAGATAAGAAAAGGATTGTAATGTACGGTGCATGCGTTAGAACCCGACAAGGGTCTAAGAAGAGAAAAAAAAATTGTATGTTATAGTGTAACATTGATTCCCAATAAGCGCTCATAATTGACGCAATCCTCATGCCCCACATTCAAAATCACTCGCCCGGCGTCTTTTCTTCAATCCACCTCCGGGGTTTCCTCTCTCCGGTACGCCTAGTCGGAACATTCGTCCATGCATCCGACGTCGATGAGGAGCTAGAGGAGGAGCTGCCATCACCGCCAGCGTAAAATTCTGCGCGTCGTTTTTGCGCGGGGCATGGAAGGATCTGTGATGCTGCCACGGTGATAATGGATGCGAAGAAGGTCGCCGTGAAGAGGGAGGAGATGAACGAGCGGCGTTGGCCTGTGGTCAGGCGGACTATCGTTGTTCTAACCATGAGGCTGTAGAATATTTAGCTTAGAAACTGGACCACCTCTGAAAATGACGACACATACATACTTGCTATCGCCAGAGCATTGCAAATAAACTGAGAGTTTGGCTCTGTGCTAGGAGAACGTCGCTGAACGACTCTGCAGCGTCACGTTGAAGGCAGTTGGCAGAATGGACTCGCATTCGGAGCAAACCGATTGGCCAATGCTTCACGTGACGAGGATTCATTGCGTATGTCATCAAAGAAATCCGCATTCACATTTTAATTTTAATTTTAAAGTCGTCATTCGGCCTTGTCCTGTAGTCTAACAACCTCACCTCGCCATGCCAAAATTCGCGAAGAATATTCGCGTCGTGCGCGACATGAGGGCACGACAGGGAGTCAAGGACAACGAAGTCGTGCGCCGAGCGTACCTTTACGTGGCACGTAACGAAAGCCTCCCGCCTCAAGTCCGATATCAAGCGCAACTCCAGCTCAACACATTTACCAAGTACACCCGCCCGTCGCTTGTGAAAAACCGATGTGTCGAGAGTGGACGAGGGAGAGGTATTATCTCTGAGTTCGGACTGTGTAGGGTGAGTTCACTCGTTTTCTTTCCTTCATGTTGAAATGTCAAAGGATTAGCTAAAACTTTCCTTTGTTCGTCATTTTCTGTATGTAGCATCAGTTCCGTCTGAAGGCTCTCCAGGGTCTACTTCCAGGAGTACAAAAAGCATCATGGTAGATTCTGCTGCTGCTTCTGTATGTTGTCTTCCCACGAGACATGTGCACACGTTGCTCATTTTATCTCAATAGCACTTTCCCACTTTGTTATTACAACACCTGCTATTTAATGGTAAACGACGGATGAAACGTAAGAACATCCTTCCTAGCCGGGAATACAAATAGGACTGGCAGATTATTCAAGGAAATTTACAGTTTCGAGATCGAAAGAAGCAGACAAGCAAACAAGAGTATTATACAGAACCGATAAGGAAAGCAAAGGACAGCGAATAATTACTACACCAATATTCAGGTTGTTGCTGGCAAATCTGGTGCCGCATGTTGAATGTCCGTAAGCAATAGCTCAGACTCACCGCGCTCGCGCCGCCAGCGGTTGCAGATATTCAAGATAGGTTGTTCGACAAGGAATCTTCAATAATGGTCAAAATCGCGAACACTCCAAAGAATAATTTACGATATACCCATAACGTCTCAGCCATGATTCTCCAATCTCCCAATTGTTGTGCGCGAGGACATCGTCACCGTGCAATGTCAATGATTTCGCGTACTCATGTAGGGCATCGACGATATCGAAACGACCTAATCGAATCGTGAGAGAAACGAATAATCTTCCATGTACGGCGTACATACCACGAAGCAGAATCATTCTATCCCTAAGCTCTGGATGCGGAATCCCATCGATTACGCTTTCTATTCAACCAGTCAATGGACATTAATTTGAAATATTACGCAACCGTACCATGAGGAACGGTCCTTTTAACGTAAAAAACTGCGTTAATATAGAATTGAATGTATAACGCTTATCTTGCTCACCGTTGAACAAGAGTGGGCCGAAGTGATTGCGGGAGACAATAGGCATTATTCCGCTTATAATTGTCCAGATGATAGCTGCGGGAAGGTGGTAAATATGTGTACTATTCCCCCTCTGTAGCCAAAATCCCAACCTTATGAGTTTCGTAGCTTCCTGCAGTTTGGGGTCGTCAATGCCGTCTTCCTGTTCAGCACCCTCACTAGCTGTGGAAGAGGGCGTTGGCGCGGGCGCGTTCGGTGTTACGGTGGATAGGTAAGGCTGCGAATTGAGAGCAGATGTGACATTGATTGGAGGGTGGAATGCGGAAGGATACTGGGAACCTGAGGCTATACTTGACGTTGTAGGAGCATAACCTGCAGTATCGGGCGATGGACCAGTCATATACATAGAGGACGCTGTCCCAGTGCCACCTTGTCCCTGCAGTAGCTCAGAAAACAAGCCAACCTCATGTGTAGACCTTCCCGTGGATGGATAGAATGAATTGCTTGCAGTTGCAGGGCTAATTGGGACAGACATTGGCGGATAACGGACACTGTCAGAATCCTTGCTCCCATGTCCTGTACCATTCAGTCCTAAATGATCATGTTCATCCAATCCCTTGACGCGCTTTCGAACTGACATATCTTCGCTGGCTGACCGCTTTCTTGTGATGTCAACGTTGATGCCCGAGCCTGTTGCACTTCTATTTGCCGCTGCAGCTTGTGCAGCTTTCTTGCGCCTTTGGAAGCCCTCGAATGCGGTGTCCGTCTCGGCCCGATTCATAAATTCGACGAACTCCTGTGGGCGCTCAAAACCCAATGAAGGCAAAATACCGCCCATGCCATCACCAATATAGCTTCCTAAGCTGCGAATCAAGTTGCGCAAATTTTGATTCTCCTGCATGAGGTCTGTCCGATGCAAGAGTAGATTGCCGTAAGCTTCCATGAAACTGAACTACATCATTATTGTGCTTCGTACCTTTGACGACATTTCGCAATTCATTAAACGTCTCATCTTTGCTTCCCGACAATATCTCCACGCGTGCTTCAAGGTCACGAATCTTCAAAAGTGGACAAGGAGTGAACAAGGATTGAACCAGGGTCACGGTAATCTAGTGCCCTAGTGCTTACTCTTTGTTGCTTGCGTAGGCGAAATTCACGTTGAGCAATTCGATTTTGGTCACGTCGTGCTGCTGCAGAACTGAGCCACTTATGTCAGAAAGGCGACTTTGAACCACGGGAGCATGCCTACTCTGGGTTTTTCTTCCTGCCCGGTTTTCCTCGACCCGAACTGTTGTCCTTCCCAAGGTCAAAGTCCTTCTCTGACTCCTGTGCCACGCGCCGGGTCAGGCCAGGACGCGGTACAATTAACCGAATGAAACAACCTCACCTCAAACTCATGCGACATACTGCGGGAATCCCGCTCTTTGCTGTCGTCCATGCTGTAATGGTGTCGAGTGCAGAGAGGGCGGGCGATGGAAAGCAGTATTACTTATGCTTGGCTGAGTAGTCAGTACACGACAAATCAGTATTGCGTAAACACTCCGGACTGTTCGCCCTTTGCCGCGCGACGCGCCTCCCTCTTCTGGCTTTCGGCATTTCCCCACCGAGATCCTCCTGTATTCAAGCCTCACACACACAGACCAACGCACAGACATATTAAAACCCGCAGTGCGGTGGTACAGTATTTCAGCAGGATTGTGCATTAACTGTAGCATAAGTTGAGGTAGCTCGTGCATCAACCTTATTTAAACGTTAAGTCTCACTTCTTTATTTTCAGGAACGGCTCAGACGGAGCTCCAGACGTGCGGCGAGATGTGCGAACCTGTGGAAGCATGTCTGTGATGAAGTGCCTAGAGAGCCTTTCTCCATGGAGGCTGATCACTGGACGACTACTGCGTGGCTGCAATTTATTACTGATGATCTTCTCAGAAGTAATGACAAGTGATGTCGTAATAGTCAAAGTGTTTTACCAAATATGGCAATTCGCAAGTAAGCAATTCAGTTGTTTGGCTCAAACAAACTTGTGTGGTCCACCACATATTCACCAAGCCAGCACATGTGCATATAGTCAGGAGCTTCGACTCCTTTTATCATTAATTCTAAACTACTGGAGCCTTAGACATGACCAGACGCTTGAACTCCTGTCTCAGTCATTCATTATCGCGTACCTAGAGCATAACGGGTTTAGCAAAGAAAACAAATTCAAAACACAGTGTTTCAATTTCGGCAATATTTTAATGGTGAATACAGGTACGTGTTTCACTTTTGTTTTCTTGTAATTCCTCGGCTATCCTGATCTGAGGGATATAAGCAGGGCATGTGGGCGAATGCAAGAAAGACAGGCAAATCCGTCCGGACCACTTGCCAAAAACAAATAGCCTTTAGGATGTGTCGTAATCGCTCAACCTGCATGTCCGCAAGGCTCCTAGAAACGCGTTTGACGCTACCCTGTGCGCACTTTTCCCTCTCTACTCGGCCCGGACATCCCTATAGCTGAACGGCGTTGACCGCCTATTTGTCGCCATGATCGTCGTCCTGTTATCACAGTCAGTAAAAATTCACCTGCTTGTCTATTCATCCTCCCATGTTTGACAGAACTCCATTCTGAATTCAAAGGCAGACCGCCTTCTTCCGCGCCTTACTCACACACCTACACTAGCTGCGAACGCTATTTGCTAATTACGTTCGGTGGTATTGATCACGGCACCAGAGAAGGAAGTTGGGACCATTTCACGCGACCTCTGCAGCCTTTGTCCGCCGATGCACCGAGTGTAACTTTCCTGATTCGAATCGATAAGGTAGACGAATCTGGAAGAGGATGTATAGCCTCACCGGGCACGTTTACCAGACACTGGAACGAGCCGAGGGAATTATTACACGCTAGCGATCTGTGCTCGAACACGCGTAAGTGCTCCGACTCATTAGTAGTGGCTGTCGCTGAAGCACTAACTCGGTGCGTACGCTCTTTGTCTTTTGCCCTTGACCACCCCGCCGAAACTTACCGGTCAGGAATGCACACGACCCGACTGAGCCTGCTCGTGCCTTGAAGGCTTCTGTAAAGGCCTGATTATGCTTGCTTATGATGGGGTTCTCGAAGCGTGACGAGAAATGCGGCGCAACTTAACCCACTGTGCCATTAAAAAGTTTGTCACTGTCCGTCACCTCTATCTACTACTTTTGGGTAGTCCGCGGTGGCCTTTGCGTCCTGTCGCTGAACTTAAGGTCCAACATAGCTTGGCGCATTTTGTGCGGTACGTTAGGACGAACGGTATCTAAAGGCTTCGGCGGCTCTTCCTCTCGGACATCACATCTGATCTCTTTTAGAGATTAGCTTCTCACTTCTCGTACTTTATTAAAAGCCCTCTTGTTGCCCCCTACTCCCCGATCGCGTCCCTATTAACCTTTCTCAAGCCCCTCCAAAATCCACATGCCTGGCGAAGACATAGTTCTGTATTGGCGCTTTCCGCCTCCCCAAGATGGCCACGACATGCGCACATTCAGTGTCTATCTTGACCTCGGACCTTCACATGAAGCTCTACATTTATACAAGGTAGGATGCCATATCATATTATGTTTCAATAAAGCCGATAGTTCTGATACGCTCGTTATTCCCCGTTTCAGTTTCTCACCATAGCTGGCATGGCAGATAGTAGCACTACATTCGAGAGATGGAACATCAATGCAAGGAGGTGGGAAATTGCTGGAGAAATACACTGGAATAATAATTTCACTGGAGAAGTGAAGTTTGGCATTTACACTGTGTGTACTCATTTTCGCCCGCTTTCTTTATATTAACTCAGGGGCTCTCAGCTACCGCTACGAGATGTTCGGCGGAGGAAAAAACAAAGCAGCAAGTAAGCGGTCCTGTTCATCTGTCTCTCATTTCCCCCTTGCGCCGCCGAAACACGAGCTTGCGTACGGCCGCGGAGCGCCCAGACTTTACTTTCTTCGTTTGTCTTCAGAACAAATACTCCAATAACTGACGTCCCACATGCGTTAGATCCCGGAGATTCGTGGTCAACAACGCGGAATACAAATGGAAGGTCAAGGATAACGGACGGGACCTCTTTGTCAGTTATTCTATTTCACGAGACAAATGCCGCACAGCCGAGTTGACACCTGCTTTCTTCTTATTCATTTCCGGGTATCCGACAGTGTGTCAATGCCGACGGTGAGACGGTCGCGACTTGGACAGAAGAAATACTTGAGCTACGTGTGGCCGCTAGTGCGGAAGACATCCTCGATCGTCTTGTCGTCACCTGCCTCGTGCACATATGGTTCAAGGCCCATGGCTATTGGTGAGATGGATGTATATGTAGTTTGAGCTTTGATGTTCGGTTATGATTGTATGGATTCGGCTGACTTTGAGAACCTCCTCGACCGCCCCTTGCTGCCGTCAGAACCTTACCGCGGCGCCGCATAAGCGCTTCTTCCTCATGATGTATTGTTTGTTTAAGGGATAGTTACTGAGTTCCAGGCTCATCATCTGTGGAGTTGTATCATGCAATCCCGCTTCTTCTATCTGTAGTTGAGCTGTGCGACAGGAGCCGCAGCTATCCCGCTATTTCCGCCTTGCTTGTAAATAGTCTGAATCCGTTGTATTCCCATGTATTCCCGTCCCGTTATGTCTAGTGCGAATAATCCCTTTTTGTTGTTACGCGTTTATTTACTTTGCGCTTCTTGATTTGGGGAAGAAAGAAGAAAAGAAGCTGTCGAAGCCGAGTAACGTGACCACGTGATTGACTGCGATGAGTCACACGTGCGGTGTCTTCCCCGCCCATTTCCGTTAAGAACTATGATTTCTTCTTCTTTCGCTGAGACCACGATGAACAGCTTCGAGCAAAACTTCTCATATGGCCAAACCGGCTCATACGCACCGCGGGAGCCTATAGAATATCTTTGTGCAGGTACGTTCGTCCAGCATGCGTTAGCCAATTAAATCAATATTCACGGAAGATCGCATCTAAACTCTTGTTCCTTCACGTTTCACTGCTGCGACCGCACCGTATCGCGCCTTCCGACATTAATGATTGACTGCAAATATATTTGGATTCCTTGTGGCGTTGGGTTGGGTCCCGTTTTCGGCCGGAATCGAACTGCGGGATAGACTGCGGCTCACCGAACGAAATTAAATCGCGCGAGCCGATCCGTTGCAGAGAGTGTGGACATCGGATCATGTACAAGAAACGGACCAAGCGGAGTGCGTTTCCTCTCATGCTTTATCAACGACGTGCGCCGAGCTCATCACTGTTGTCCCGGGACGTAGTGGTACAATTTGAGGCGCGGTAGTCGCGTGTCGACATATCATTGATCCACATAATACTTCTCACCTGCTGCTACTCCTGCCTGTCCTCATCTGCTCGCATACGTATTGGCGCATCATGTGTTTTCTACGCGGAATGTCCGTTGCCGTCATATCTTTGGTATGGCGTCGGGGCAACCAGCGCCGTATCTGAGAGGACGGCAACTCGTCGGTGTTTGTCATGATTTTCAGACGACCGTTAAATATACGGCGCATAAGCGCAATACGTTCCCCTGAGATGTCGACCGGATGACGCTATTCGTGAGAGCCCGTTGTTAATTTGACCACAATCTCCCCCGGACGCGGGGTCAACTGTTGATGATGGCGAGAAATCAGAAAAACCTACTCACCACCTAACAAGCGTTATACGTCCCTTGTGTGCTCGGAGGCTGTCGTTATTGCAAAAACGGTGACTGTTTCTTGGCGTAGTGAACAAGTGATGCCATGCAAACGGTGCTCGCGGGAAGAAACGAACAAGAGCGATATCGAATGTATGTCGGCTTGGTGCAAGTGGGCTGTGTACGGGGCAACAGGTTTATCACATTGAAACTGTCAGTCGAGCTCGGTCTGTTCACAAGGCTATAGTCAAGACTACATCTGCGTTCAACAGACAACTGTGAGCATGGTATCAAGGCCCAGCTGGAGAATTGACTGATGTTTTACTGGTTTGTTTCCCCCTCGCCTATTTTGCACTGGGCGTCACTATAGCTTCAAGTCTCCGTAAGGCATATCTCACGCGGTCTGTAGTGGTACGAGTTGGTTTAGATTGCTAAACTACCATGACTGGCGTATCAGTTTCTTTCTACTTATACATGTCCCGACATGAGAGCAACGGCTTATTTATAATATTGTGACGAGTGTATGTTTCGAAATTGCATTGTAGTTTCAAAACTGAGTTGAAGATGTTTCACGAAGAAAATGAGGTTGATACGAATGACGGGGCCGAAAGCTAATTAATCGACGGTGCATGTAGAGAATTATATACAAGCGATTCAGGTGAGGGAGGAAAGCTGCTGCGCAGATATCGGGCATGCCAAGTCTCGTGTGAGATCTAGACCAAGAGGAGAAATTACGATTTGGTGTAGCACTGGCACAGCTGAGATTCGAGAGCACGTCAGATTTGACGGATGGAACATCTGGCTTGCAGAAGACGACGACAGAGACTGGTTGACGACGACTGGTGACGAGAGAAGCAGAAATAGCATGGACTGAATGGATCAAGAGCACGGTAGCGTTGCTGCCAGGGACGAGGCCATGTTAGGCAGGGGGAGCTGGAGAGAGTGGATAGTGCCATGCCGACGACGAGAGGGCCAATTGATCTGTGTCTACGATGACTACGATGACTACGGCCGGAGTCCGGGCGACAGCACCGCTCGCCGTTGCCACCTCCACCCAGCACGGTTATTTTCTCCCCTGTACAATAACGGAAATCCCGCAAATGCTCTGGCAACCGGCTCGTATACTCTCCTGCTGCATATCACGCATATAAGCCGCCTAGCCACCCCTCTCAGCTCTCTTCTCAGCTCGTCTCCAGCTCTCTTCGCGCCGTCCCAGCCCTGTTCAGTGTTCTGTTCTGTTCTGTATTCGAGCTCCATACTTCCGAGTGTCTGATAAACATGTCGCCTCTTCCGTCCTTTGTCGAGCTTATGGAATCTCTCGGTCTTGCAGCCGATTCGAAGCTCCCTGTCCAACTTCCCGTTTCGCGTCCACCCTCCAGCGCGTCTTCTGAATCTCTTTCGCGTCAGTCCTCTGCTTCCCCGCCGCCACCGGCGTCGCGCATACTCTCAAAGAAGCGTCGGGCAGAGTCGCCTACAATTATAGTCTCGCAATATGACGCGCCGAACGAGACGGACAAGTTCAAACGGCGAGCTAGCTCAGGAAATATCAAAGCAGCGCGATTCTCTCCATATGCATCAACCGTAAGTCAATAATTTTACACACGGAAAGGAGCAACGCATATAATAATAAATACTTTGATGGATATGTATGTTCATTCAGACGCGTCGGGGGAGCATGTCAGCACTTGGAGATCACCAACGCGACCCAGAACAGCAGCAGCATACACACAAGGTACGTGTTCTTCGTTTACGATTTTGTTTCACTGAAACCTCGGCGCTGATCACGATCGGCTCCCGTCTCTCTTCCTTCCATGCAGACTCCGCAGTCTTCTGCCTCCCGCCGTTCTTCTGGAAGCAGCTCAAATAGCACTGCAGACTCCATCCCGCCTGTCCCGCCATTGCCGGCGCGTCGCTCGCGGGGCGGGTCCCTCGAGCGACTGAAGGTCTCTCCTGCTGCGTCGTGCACACCAATATCATCCTTCGCGCGCCGTCGCTCACCGCAGGCATCACCGACGTCACCGTCATTTGCATCAGCGCGCGCACGCGGCGCGTCTGCAGAGCTGCCTTCACCTGTCATGCTCCCGACTCTACCACCTATGCTTGCCGAGTCTTTTGCGACGTTCTCGTTTCCAAGTGGGAAGGAGAATCATTCTAGCGTTGTTCGTAGGAGGGAACGACGGAGCCGTTCGCGATCTCCTCGCGTTAGTCCAATGGATCTGGATCAGGAGAGTCAGCCGTTTGTGAAGCACCATCAGGCTGGACTTAGGATCTCGTCGTTTCATCGACAAATAGCTCCAGTCGCTTAGCTTTCTTCTCAGTATTATTTTCCTTATTTACTTTTTGCTATTTCTTCAATTCTTGTATTTACTTTGCTCTTGTGTTCTTCTCGTATTTACTATTTCTTCCAGTTTCTCTTATTTTCTTAACTTGCACCACAATTTGTGCTCTTCTCTTATTTTCTTGAGAGCTTCCTGCTTGATGCAATCACACCGATCTTTTCCTTTTTACTCTTCTTCTTTCGGTTCTGGTCTCCATCCGTTTGTTTGTTTGTCCGTTGTCAGCTCAATTTTCTTTCCGTTCGTTTCTCTTTATATTTTTGATTATCTATTTACTTTGGAAAGATTCGCATCCAATTGGCTTGATTTGGTTCCGTTTCCCACCTATCCACTCGTTGTAGTAACTCAACTCGTTTCCGTGTTGTTCTTCTCTACTATGACCCATTTGAGACCATCGTGGTCGCCCTTGCAAGCTTGTACCCATAGAAGACCCCATCAGTGCAATAACATATTCCACATTTTGCCGCAGTTTGTACGATACCAACGAGAGACGGGCATGCGAAACCGTAATAAGCCGCAGGAATCCAAAGGAATCCACGAGAATTCAAAGAATAGGTAGGGATCAAAGGGATCGCTGTTCGTAACATGCTCGGAAGCGCTGGTGCAATAAAATGTCGTCAGGCTTCTCTATCACAGGCCCAAATAACTCCCCAACCCCACCACCCCTCTTGTGTATGCTATTCAAAGCAAAATAAAACACGACGATACGATGATACGATGATACGACATATACATGCACCGAGCACAGCAATTGCATGCATAAAATGTCTTGTGTCTTGGAAGCGGTAGTGTAGGGATAGCTACGCATGTGTTGTCTAGCTAGCTTGTGGTCGTCTGGTCATCTAGTCGTGCGCCTCTTCGTCCTCACCTGGACAGTTGCCATCGAGATCCTCTTTGTCGTTGTATTGCGTGCCACACCACAGGCAATAGTGATATTTCTCGCGCAAATATCCAAGGACTCGTTTTAACCTTTCTCGTACCTATATGTTTTTATACATAGAATAGAATCAACGGATAGATAGACAGGGGTGAAATAGAAATAGAAATAGACAACAACGTCAGTGACCGGAGGAGATTACATGCGAGATCAGGGTGTTGCTTACTTACATCTTGTTGCAAGAACTCCCGCGCCTGGTCGATGGTCTCTTCTGATAACGAGAGCGGGAGCGGGGTGGCTTTCTTCGGTTTCGGTCTCTCCGTATCTCTGTTGTCTCTGTTGCCGTCATCGTCATCACCGTCGCCGTAAGGTCCTAGTAATGTTGTCTCCAACGGCTGCAAAGCGTCTCTTTGAATCTGTTTCCGTAATCTCTCGCTATCACTCTCCTGCACGCCCGAGCTGACAACAGAGTCAACAGAAACAGAAACAACGGAATTCGAATTTTCCTCCTGCGCGACGATGTCAGATGACGCGGACGCGCTGGACGATGACAACGACAACGCTTCCAAAAGTTCGGTCGGGAATGTCTCAGGCTCTTGTGGATTCAGCGACAGGACGTTGAACTGTGTTTGTATGTATGCGTATATGCGTATATGAGTATATGTGTAGGTTAGCAAGGCAACGATCATCAGTGAATTTTGTCATTTTCCATGTGAAACTTCCGAAGGCAAAGGAACAAATGACATATACGTGCAAGGCACGCACGAACGGCGCCCCTTCATATATGCGGGTATGTAGAAACGACAAATGACAGATGCTTAACTACTTACCTGTACACCGGCTTTCTCATCGAGTGCAATTAACGTCCGTGATGCAGCGCTGAGCTGGCCAATCGCTCGACGTTCCTCGAACGCGGACCTAGCTTGGATACGGTACGTTTCGCGCGCCGTGTCTTCATCAATCCGTGCGCTCTTTGAGGCACGCTCTAAAGTCCTTGGTGAAGATGCACGTTTACCAAGTCCTACACCTTTCTTACCTGAAAGTACATTGGAAGAAAAGTTGGTTGAGTTGTTGCCTTTGTTCATGAAGATTGAAACCGCTCACCAGCCCAGATATCCACTGACAACGGAACAGTACGATGCTGCGAATCTGGTAACTTCCCATCTTCCGATTGGACAGCTGGCTCGGGTGTAGCAGCCTTGGATGACACAGAAGCCTGGTGCACCGGTGCCGGCGGTGTAGGTGTGGTAGATGGTCCCGGCTCGGTAGTTTCTTGTCCAGTAGTAATACTACTGCGCCCAAGAGCTCCACCTGGTTTAAAACCCATTCGCAGCATCATATCCATAGCCTTGTTCTTCACACCAAGCTCGCGTTTCTCAGCCTCTGCGCGTTCGAACAGACTTTGCTGTAGCCCCTGCTCTCGCGCCTCTGCTTCACGCTCGCGTCGACTTTTAATTCTGTTCTGCGCATTCTTGATTTCCGACTGCTTTTGTGCCTGCTTCCGTCGTTGGGCGTATGTGAGAGATGCACTCGTGGCAGCAGCAGCAGTTTCGGCTAGAAACCTGTCTGAGGTGTAATCGTCCTCGTCGCTACTTGCCATGAATTGACGAGAAGAGAGTTGCAGGTCTGACGCAAGGTGCAGATCCCGTTACCTTATGTAATCACCACAAATGCTGTTCACACTGAAGGGATCAAAGGAATGATTGTTACATTCGCCAGAAACGAACAAACGGATTAAACGAGCCTAAGAGCGCAGCCCATGGACTATCAAACAGTACTAGCGAAAGAACTAATCACAAAGGTGGACGGGTGGACGGAATCATGGGGGACATTCGGGCATGGACATAATATGGTCGGTAATCACGCAGCCGGAGCAGCCTCGGTCGCACTGGCTTCGCCAGCCGCATTTTCTGCACCGTTCTCCTTGTGCACAGGGTCGACGGCAACTTTGACTTCAAGCTTACGCTTGACGATTTCAGTTTCACCCTCCTTTCCATCATCCTTTCGTTTCTTATCTTCTGCTTCAAAAGGCTCCACCTGGCTTCTCTCCAAGGCCTTCTTCTGGTTTTCTTCGTCGGCAAACACAACGAAGCCGAAACCCTTGTTCCTGAACCGCTGATTTGACCGTTGGTTCTTATAAAAGCCTTTGGGCGGAATAGACACGGATTGCACATTGAAGTCCTTGAAGATGTTTTTAAGACCTTCCTCATCGAGCGAGAAAGGCAGATTCGCAACAAACAAGGTCGTTTTAGACGGCTCCCCGCTGGGTTCTTCACCCGGAGCACGACGCGGCTTCGGCGTGCGCTTGGGCCTTGGCGCTTTCTTCTTCTCGCCTTCACTGGTTGGAGCAGCAGAATCCTCGGGACCTTCTGCGGGAGCACCATTCTCTCCCGTCGTAGACGCTTTCTTGGTCCTCTTGAACTTTTTCTATTAATGACGTGTCATTCATGCATATCGAACTTGAGACACGAGAAATAATGCGGCACTTACGACACTCTTTCTCTTCTTTCTGGGCTTGTTCTCGCCCTCGGCGCCAGTGGCTGCGACGTCACCATTAGCTTCAGCCTCGGTGACTTCGCCTGTAACAGCCTTAGAGCCACGACGACCGATGCGACGCTGCATCTTCTTGTCACTCCGCCTCTTCTCCTTCTCTTCCGCGGACAAAGCGGTTGCAACGACAATCTTGCGCTCCATATATTCCACACCGTTTAGCTCAGTGATAGCCTTTTCGGCGACATCGGTGGAAACGGCGACGAAACCAAAGCCAGCAGGACGCGCGCCGAGGAATCTTACTTCGTGAGAGAGACTAAAGAACGACAAGGGTATCAGCAATGTATTTTACGGTGCCCACAGCACATGCAGCTGCGACTTTTAGTAAGACGTACATGTCGGCCTCTTGGACGGCCTGTAGCATGAACTTCTTAAGGTCGTCGTCCTTGGCATCGTAGCTTAAGTTGCCAATGAACAGCTGGGAAGCGAATAGAAGTGAGTTAAATTGCAGACGCTGGGTGGAAAAAGGGTGGAGTGGACAAGAGAAGACAGACCTTGATGCCAGGAGTGTCGTCGACGACCTTCTCCGCTGGCTGCTCGGCCTTGGGCACCTCTGCGGGGACAGTGGCGGCAGATGTGTCGGCCATTGATGAGCGATGAGGAGACGAAGGATAAGTGGAGTGGACTGGGATGGGTGGCCGATTTCTTGACAGTAACGTGAAAGGCTGAGGAAAAGAGTGTGTCGCACGCTGCGTGTCTACTTATGTGATGCGACGCGCGTGACTCTTTTTGACTAGCCGAAATGCAGTCGCTACGACGGCTACGCTCGGCAGCGCAAGCTGACTTGTTCTTATTCTTGTCATTGCGTTGCGCCATGAATTTATTTTCTGTGCCAGTTAAATAGATGCGTCATGGCTCACTGGCGTTTATGAAGCAATTTTCTGATATGGGAGTGACTTGATGCACGAAACGGAAGAGGGCAGCCAAACACACGCACACAGACGGGTTGTGGGCATGCGTGTGCCTGGGAGAATTATAATCACCCCGAAAAAGGTAGCGAGGGTAATAAATCGTAATAAAGGGAGGTTCCATATGTACATCGCCAAGACGGGCAATTTCAAACTCCGGGAGTATTTAAATACCCTCTCTGTTTTTCGGTTTGCGTTCCCGTCTCCTCCCCTACCCGCGTTCCTCTCGTTTTTTCGTCGACGCTGCCACTCTTTGCCCTAGGCTCTGACATTCTTTTTCCACTCCATTCCTTCCCCCCTCGATTTTGTTGGCACCCTATTAGCGTCCCGCTCCTTACCAACCCTCCTGATACGCGATAATGGCACTCGCCAAATTACTCAATCTTTTTGCCGTGTCCACGCTTGCAGTGCTCGTCTGCAACCTCGGCGTGTCCCCTGTCAATGCACTTTCTGCCGATGGTCATCGCATGCATAAGGTCAGGCATGCGCACGGACACGACGTCGCAATGAAGCGTAAGCGCGGCGATGGCCAACGTTGCAAGCAGAGGTCCGCGGCCCCAGCACCAACTTCCAGCTCGTCAAGCAACAGTGGCAACTCCGGTTCCAATAACAATAGCAATGGCAATGGTTCCTCTTCGTCCTCATCGAACCCACCGAAGCAAACGTCCAGCCCGCCTGCCCAAGGCGGAAATGGCAAGATTGGTCTCGCTTGGCCACCTGGGAACCCCAACACCCTCAAGAGCTTCGTGACGGAGAATGTCAAATAGTGCGTTGGCTTCGCTTTTCGGCTGATTACATCATTGGTGGATCGCAACCGTCGATGTTGACTTTATTCTCCTTCCCAGCATTTACACGTGGACTGAGCAATGCCCTGATGGTGCCTCGGAACTTGGCCTTCAGTGCTTGCCGATGCTTTGGGGTAACAAAGATACCGATGCCTTCCAGAAGACGGTAGTACAAGGCTACGCGAACATTGCGTTGGGCTTCAACGAGTGAGCGATTTCGTTTCACTGTTTAAGACTCATCTGACTCCCGGAAAGAGTCAACGAACCTCAGCAAGCTAACCTGGACCCGGACACCGCAGTCGGACTTTGGTGGAAGTACCTCGAGCCGCTCAAGGACAAGGGTTACCAGTTGCTCGCTCCTGTGACGTCTTCCAACCCGAACGGCTACACTTGGATGCAGGAATTCCTGCAGAAGTGCAATGGCTGCCACGTACGCATCTACTATTTACACAACTTTTCTAATGTCTAACATCTATCCCAATAAAGATTGATGGTTTCCCTGTGCACTATTACGGCACTTCTGCGGATGACATGCAGAGCTATATTGAGAAGTGGTCTGGGTTCGGCAAGCCGATCTGGGTCACCGAGTTTGCTTGCCAGGTTGGTTATTTTACTGATCTTGCAGTGTCTGGATGTTTGGTTTTAACATGTGCCTTCCAGAACTACAACACTGCGTACGAGAACAACGGACAGCAATGCAGCAACGACCAAGTCTGGGCGTTCTACTCGCAAATCGTTAAATACATGGAGGGCAATGACAATGTCGTTGCCTATTTCCCCTTCGGATCCATGTTGGACCTGCAGGGCGTCAACACGCTTGATTCGCTCATGCAGCAGGACGGCCAGCCAACTGCCCTTGGTTCCACCATCATTAACGTTTCCTTCCAGTAGATGATCATCATCAGGCGATTTTTCTCCCTGCAACGCCTTTGGATTGGTTGCTTATGGAAGATGTATTGATCCCTCGTTTTACTTCTTAACCAACGTATCATATACCCCCAATCACCCACGTTTAGTTCTATTTCTTGTCTGCTGCCTGTTGTTCATGATGGAACCGGCTCTCAGACCGGCTTATGCCGTCCGACCTGTGGAAGGACGGACTTCATGATCAAACTACATACCATTGGTACTTCTCGCCGCGCGTAGTTGTATATCTTGGAGTTACATTCATCCGTCTTACTTGCTTTGACCTTTAACTAATTCGTGCCGCTGCGCGCTTTGAGTCTGCTTTACTTAAGTTACATTGAGGTTTGAAATAAATAGCAAATTGAATTTGTTGAGAATCTGTACATGTGCTCTTCCGGCCAAATTTATACCCGTAAGCGGCCGCACAACTGAGAGCGTGTTTGTCAGTCAGCGACTTTGTTGCGACGATGGTCAAGCTTCCGCCCGCTGTAAAGCATCTCCTTGCGCAACGAAACCCACAGCCGTTTGCCAGTCCACCAGTCGGCGTGCTGAACAGGCTGTTCCGACGTACCCGCACAGAGGCGCAACAACACAACGCAGTGAACGGCTGGCTTGTTCTTTCTGTACGTCGCATTATCCACGCTGCGTGGCACAATTAACGCCGTTTCATAATCATTCATCATATGTATTATATAAAATTGGTGATGTTTGCACGAATCTGGCGATAATCCCGCATCACGTTTACCATCGATCGACTTCATTAATGTTCTGTCTCCTGAATGGATTCACTCGCGGAATGTTGATGTTGCTATGCTATGACGCGCATAGACTTGTACACTGTTGACGGCGAACACTCCGGATGCCGTAGGTGACCTCTATCGGTTTGCGACGCGTGATGTTGCTTTCAGTGCGCGTTTGGATGCGGCGGCGAAGATGAGAGAGGCGGCGTTGAAGAGTAGTATCTTCATTGGTGTGCCGAGGGTACGTTCCGGCTGTACGAATTAATGCAATCACGTATTTATTCATTTATTTTATGTTCATTCTGTTATACGTTTAGACAATCCTGTCCCTAGCAGCAATGACAGAAGCGTTCGGTGACGAGGTACGCAGCGGTCTTCGTAGGGAACCGCGCAGGTGAGTCCGAGCCTGATCCAACTTCCTTCTTTGATGCTTCCGCCTCCATTCCACACTACACTGGTTCTCCCGCCTTAATTGTGTTGTGAAATCAGCGGCTAAGTAAGGCTAATATAATTGTCTCTCTTCTGTTTGTTTCTGATTATTTAGGTCCGTCAATTCTACGAACGTCGATGAGTTCTTGAAGCGTGGACAAACACTCTGGAACAACATCTACGATCCGCATGCGGAGAAGCTATACAATAAGCTCGGGTCTTACCATCCTGACTTCATCAGTGCGTTTCCCACCTAACCAACCCTCTATCGTGTGCTCTACGCTCGCTAACTGCGATTGCTTGTTATACTTTTATACTTTCATGTATTGAATCGAAATATCCGAATCGCCCGCAATCCCGATGGTCCCCTCATATCCATTCAACGCACCCTACCATCGTGCGCTGCATTCCCGTCACCGACCTTCTGTTTATGGACATCATAATTCATATACCCTTTGAGCTTTCCTCTCTTGGTTGGTTGGGTCTGTCCTTCCCCTTCCTTCCTACCTGAATCGGATGGGCTTGCCTATCTACCTTGTCCTCGGCGCCTTCTGTCCTTCCTCGCTCGACCCTTCTCCCTTCTTGCACCGCCGCACGCACCGGCACTTGTCTATCTATTCATTCATTCATTTCTGTTCCGTTCTGCGATGCGATGCATGGCACTGCTTGCGCCTTTGTCCTTGCTTCGCGCCGATCATTGAAACTGACGTTTGGGACCCCCACCGGACGCGTTAATCTTTGCGAATCTCGATCGCGAACCACCCTATCGTGTCTTCTTCGTGTGGTTCTGTGTTTGGTGTTGTGTCTTGCTCCCGGTTGGACTTACCTGTTCCTTCGTCCCCTCTCTCTTTTGTCCTTCTTGCCTTTTCCGTATTGTCTGTTTTAACAGCGTTCATTATCCAGTCATACGGCTGTGTACTCGCACCATTCGACTACCCCGCCCCTAAGTCGGAAGAACAGGGTAACCTTACCCGCGCACTCGGTTCCGTCGTTGGGATCGCTTGTCTGCGCGCGGAGATGCACGTTGGTCCGCAGTTGATAAGCCACGTTTTCGGACTGCTCAAAGCTCGCTCCGAACCGGAGCTGAGTGACGAAGACAAATGGCTTAGTAGCGACGAAGGAACGGAGTGGGTTTTGAGGACTGTTGATCAGATATATGATGTGGCTCGTGGTGAGGTGAGTGTGGTTGAGGCGAAGTTGTAGGAGGAGTCGTGTATATGAGCTTTCGGTTCGTAACAAACGGTACACAAGGAGATAGAAAGACAATGGAACACAAACGACTCTGGTTTGATTTTTATATGGGGTTTTACATACAGCGTACTTCACAACGGATTATTTAGAGTCCGGGGCTCTGTTTGGTGATAAGACAGAAAGAAAGAGAAAGTGCGTCTCTCCTTTAGCACGCCATCCGACAAGCGGAACAGTGGCGACTAAAGAGGACAACGGTAGTAATCTTACACATAATCGACTCGGGAGATAGAACGGAAATATAAGTGGAATCGCATAAAGGTAGTTTCGAGTTTCGCCTATGATACTTGTTAATGCAGCCGTCTCCTGGCTGGGTGGAGTGATGATATGGACATCAGAAGCCGTAAGCTGAGCAGTAGCGGTACAGCATAGCGGTGACTACGGCAAGATCCATGACAGGAGGCAGGAGCTGAAAATATCATATGAGCGCGAATGTTGTTGTCAGTACGGTGAAATTCGGAAGAAGATGAAGAAAAGAAGCGGTAACTTACGGCGCCTCCGCTTCCGCTCTTGTAGAAGTAGAACTCGTAATAGACTTTGCCCACGGGGTAGCGGGTGGGGCGGATCGGATGCATGCAGGCGATAGTGTTGTTGTATGGATCTTGCAGCTGGAGGAAAGTAATAGTTTCAGATTTGTATACAAAATTTTCTTCTAAAAGGGCAGGTGTATTGTAAACGTACCACGACATCAACACCATTCGTGCTCGGAGCCCACTGGTAACGGAGGCCGTCGGGACCGATACAGCTTCTATAAGCCTACAACCTCGGAGATTTAGCAAAGCTCATAGGTTTTTGCGAACATGTTAAGAAAGTGAGATACTTACAGGGTTGCTTGGATGCGGCTTAGTCAGGTCGATCATTGGCACGCTGATCTGCAAAAGTGAAAGAAATGTATAGTTAATATCGATGCGGAATTTCAGGTTCCGGGAAAGGCTGGAATGACTTGTAAAACGTTGTATCATACCTTGCCAATCGTAACGCGACCGAGGGCACCGTTCATTCCCCACTCAAAGCGGGCGACACGGTCCTCTCTGTCACCGCGAGAGGTGCGGTAACATTCCGTAACATTACGGGTATAATCGTGCTATGGCCGAGGAGAGGTTAGATGGAGGTGCATATATCTCGGTCTTATGAGGACGACTGACCGTGAAACGGTAGAACGCTCCCCAAGGGCCGAAGATCATGGAGTCGCGGGGGTCTTCAGACGACCAGCAAAGCTTGTCCTTGCCGCCGTTAGCGTTGAAGGCCTGCATAGTAGAAGCAAGAGAGAGGGCTAGAAGTGGGTGAACAAGAGAGAGCAAGTGGGGGCTGAGAGAAGAGACTGGAAGTAGACTCCGATGGAGGAAAAGAGTGCCAGGAAGTTGTCCCTCTTATACGCATCCTGAAGAGCTGCTGGGGCCTGTCGACATGCAGTCTGTCATCCGAAAGAAAGTTCTCCTTGATCGAGTATCTTGTCTTAGTCTCACCCCGCTTTGCCTTCTCAACATCGGCAACGTGTGTTAAAGTTCCGATCTGTCGATAGAATGACCTGCAGGCCTACAAGGTAGTGAACGTGCAGGAACACGCGACTTGGGGATACGATACCCCGGTGCTCCGATGGCCCATTCATTGGCAAGGACATGTGCGAATGAGGAGCAGAGAACTGGAGCCGAGAGCCTTCAATACCATCTAGGCCACCACAGACTTGAAAAAAGAACAACGTACATGCTGCGCCCCCATGCGCGAAGAGGTGAATTCCGCTATCATGGTATGGCCAACAATTACTATCCGAGTTCGAAGAGAGAAAAGAAAAGCCATGTATATCCATCAGTGGCTACGTTAGCGCGTGGAGTGGCAGCCTTGCCTTGTACCGGACGCATAAAAAAGTAATCGCGATCAAAAGAAAATTTAGCTGGCGACGGTGGTAGTGTTGTTCAGAATAGAGCAGAGACCGACAAAGCATAGGCCAAAGTTATGATCGTCGCAAAAAAAGTTACAGCGAAACAAGGGCGAGATTAATCTCATGCGCGATAGAAGCCGAAGCGCGGAGCTATAGACTGGATTGGCAATTGATGTGGCATTTTTTTTCATCCAAAGACGTCGAAGATTAGCGCTGAGCTGGTAGTGTTGGGAAGTGTTGGTAGAACTAGGAAGTCTGATGCAAGCAGAGGAGATTGCCATAGCTGACGACGAGTAGATGCGGAACACAATAGGTGCTATCTTCGTGCATGCTTGGCCGCCGCCGCCAGCAACGATGGCGACAATACAATGACGGTGTGCGCGAAACCGACGCGTCGGGAGTAAACTTCCCTTTTTGGGATTAGAAGTAGCGAGCGCCATTGTCCTTCAGGTAGTATTGGTATCCGCGCTATGGAGACTGCACTTAGTCGCAGCAAACTTTCTTCTTGATGCTCACCGATTAAGGCTCTGTCAGTCCGACGTCTTGTCTAGGAATCTCAACTCTATCTTTGTTCGAAGCGATCACTGTGGTCCTACGGGCTGAAACTCACAACACCACTCTCCGCCTTTTGTCCTTCCTTCCATTTGCTAGTCTGGTCGTTACTGATGGGCAGGGAAAGGCTCATACGGTTCGTGATCTGCATTTCTCCGATTAGGTACAAAGGGTCGTTAACTGAGCTTCAGTGTCAGTCCGACACAAGAACGCAGTATAAACCGAACCTGAAAGAAAGAAATCAGTCGTCCGTATCAAATCAGATGTACTCCAAAAAATGCGCACGTACACGAAGAGCTTCCCGGTGAAATTTGACGATGTTCCGCTCCTACATGAATTAAGGAACGACTTGGACGCCGAGCGAGCGCGCTGTTCCAATGACTGTGCTGGCTATGGACTGGAGGCGCAGATGCTTCAGATGCTCGTCAGTTGCCTTAATTTTCGCAATCTCATAGACATGTTTCAGGGAGATTGTTCCGGAGACCTCATGTCCGGGCTTGCCGGTGCCCTTTTCGATGCCAGCGGCCTTCTTTACGAAGTAGGCGACTGGAGGTGTTTTGGTGATGAAAGTGAACGAGCGGTCCGGCTGGACAGTGATGAGGGTCGGGGTAGGGACGCCCGGCTCGATGTGTGCTGTGCGCTCATTGAACTGCTTGCAAAAGTCCATCGATTTAACCCCACGTGCACCCAATGCTGGGCCGATCGGGGGTGCGGGTCCTGCCTTGCCAGCTTGTATCAAGATGCGCTGCACACACTCCAGTTACGCCTGCATTCCAGAAAAAAACATGTAGCGGAAACCTACCACGACCTGAGCACGCGCTTTCTGAGCTTTCGACATGCCGGCACGCCTCCTGAGGTGTTGCGAGACGGAGAGGCTCAACTCAAGCGTGCAAGGGGAGACACGGACGCAATGTGCACTGAGGACACGCTGAGCCAAACAGAACGCACCACACGCAGGATGAAAACGCGATCGGTGCCGCGCACGTGACTTGCGGAAACAGACTCTCTTGCCTAACGCGGCTACCTTGCACTCACGACGCCTCTTCTCCTTTAGACATCATGTTGCTTAGCACGACGGCCATTCTTGCCTGCATTACGGTTGCTGCGGCACAACAAACCGTCTTGGATGACATACTCCGGAGTGCAGACGTGCATCGTACTGACTTCGTAGATATTTATGAGGCATATCCTGAGTATAGCCTCGATTTAGGCGAACGCCGGGTCATTCAATTCGACCCCTCGGCTCGTCCTGTCGTGCTGACTGAGCTAGAGAAGGTATGGGCCCACACCTCATGCCCTGATATCACTCTCATGGATGCGCAGATCGAACTCAAAGCCCAGGGCGTCAAGTTCTTCGACATGTGATGCGCCTTGCTCCTAGGACTTAAATGCAACGTGCTGATCTCGTTCCCTATTTTTCGCCACTCAGAACCGATTCTCCAGACTTAGGGTCCCATGGACACCTCCGAAGGATAAGCTCTCGTATGTACACATCAATCCCCATGTGGATCCCTGCATGTTGTACGGCCCGAACTATCTAATATTATGTCTTTACGTTTATAGCATCCTTCCCCGCCCCAAACGCAACGAAGCAAGTCAAGTCGGTTATTGAGACGCTAAGTACCGATGGAATGATAGAGAACCTTGAGACATTTACGGGATTTCGGACGCGATGTGTGTAGTCCAGCGTTTCACAGAGTGCTCTGTCTGACCATTTTCTCCAGATTACCGGAGTGACGTGAGTACCCCGAGGCATAACATGAGGCTGAAAATGTAATTGAATAATCATCTAGACCGGAAGACAAAGTCAGCTCTGGCTTCTGTCTAGAATAAATGAGGTACTGTGTTCTCTAGCCGATCCAATGAAGAAGCTTTTTCATAACGTTCAACCAAGATAACCTCGACGTTCGCAAGCGAATCTGTCCGAAATCGAATTAGTATTTCGGAGTTTCCACACTCTTGGGCCCAGAAGTCCATTGTAAGATCTTTCTCAAATATTGCCCGGTCCGAAAATCATGCTTCTCTGAGATCGTGAAAATTGCCGGAACGTTGCCCGACGACGAGGGAATAATCATAGTCGGAGCTCACCAGGATAGGTACTGCCCATCCTACACTACTAAGTACAATTTCAGCGCTCCGACTAACTCGGTTGTTCCATGCGCGCCTGATACAGCGCGCACACTTGGCCCTTCCTTCCTGCACCTGGTACAGTGAAGAACCAGGTTTCAGAAACAGGTTTACTAACTTCCATTCTCTGCTTTTCTTAAACCCGCTCCAGGTGCCGATGACGACGGATCGGGAACGATGTCTATCCTCGAGGCTTATCGAGGGCTTGTTTCTACCGGATTTTCGCCGAAACATACCGTCGAATTTCACTTCTACAGTGCAGAGGTCGGTGGCATCATCATTCCATCCATCCAAACCTTCAGGACTCTATTCAACAATTCTTACAGGAGGGTGGTCTGCTCGGATCTCAGGCCGTTGCGCATGACTATGAATCTCGGGGTGTAAATGTGCTTGCCATGAGTCAGGTATATCGATGCCTCGTGGATGAAGTCTTGACATTTTTTCTGATTTTTCTGGGCATTTAGTTTGATATGACCGCCTGGGTCAAGCGAGGCACCAAGGAATCTGTCGGCATTATAACGGATTATACCGACAACGGGTGCGTCAATTGATTCATAAATTGGTCAAGTGCTCGGGTCTCGGACATGGCTAAACTTTTATTCTTCGTTCAGTCTGACAGAGTTCAACAAGGCTCTTGTGGAGAAATACTTGACTATCCCGCACGTGGATACCAAGTGCGGTTACGCTTGCAGTGACCAGTAAGTCAAACGGCAATGTTGTATGTAATGGTTCAGGCTTCTAAACCCTCCCAAGCGCTTCGTGGGGTAGAGCTGGCTACCCGGCAATCTTTACTATAGGTATGTGATGACAGTCATGGTATAAGGTTCTGCACTCATATTTACTATAACAGAGAGCAAGTTCGAGGAATCAAACCCATACATTCACTCCGGGAACGAGTTGAGTCTCCTACTTCCTGTCTAGCATGAACTTTACACTCATAACCCCCGATTTTGTCTATCTCTACCCTCAAGTCGCATTGACGTTTCAGATGAGTTCAGCTTTGAGCACATGCTCGAATTCGCTAAGCTTGCGGCTGCTTTTGCAATAGAGCTTGGACAATGGGTTCAGGATTAGACGCGCAGAATACCACGATGCTAGATTAGAGATCGCGCATACCATGATGATGTTTTCGATGTCCGGTATCTTGGCAATGATCTAATGATGAGCAATTGATTATCTATTCAATACAGTAGTGCTTGATGCTACCAATTCTCAACTCCGTACGTCGAGACCTAGGGACGTAAATGACGAGCAGGTAAAGAGGGTTGTATACTAACATACCTTGTATGATAGCCTCGTTCATCAAGAAGAGCGAAATGACCTCACCGGCCCATCCAACACGGACAATATTTCACCCATATGATGACTCATTACTCAACGTAAACCAATAATCCTGGCAGGACTTAGTGCATTTCAACAAACTTAACTTTATCTCTCCCTAATACACACGAATTACACATGTTGTGTCCCGCGAAGTTGGCACTACAAGTGATAGGCTCTTGGCATTTGTCAACAAGCACGGGTTCCTTCCTGCACACAAGAACAACTTAAACAACTCTGTTAAAGATGGCCCGAGAAGTTGGTTGGGCTAGTGAAAACTTACCTTCACGTTGTGGTAGTCTAACATCATGATGCAGGCTGTACCCATCGTGGTACCCACGCGTGTAGTACGTCATACTATTACTTGCGTTTGCCACGATGCTTTCGGGAGAGTATGTTCCGTATGTCCGTCGTGGATTCGGATTGGAGAAGCCGAACGCAAGGAGCGGTCTTCCTGTATCAGGCCAAGCTTTTTCTGAACATCTGATACCTGTGTTTGTGAATGTGAATTGTCAATCTAGAAGTAAGCCTGTCACCAGTTATGCATGAACAACTCTCCCCCAAGAAGAATTTTGTTGAATGATGACCAGCTTATTAGGATATTTGAGTAAAGCCTGTTATATTATACCCGGGTGACTTGACAAACACACTGATACAAATGATAATCACCAAAGAGAACCTCTTCTAAGTACTACAAAAAAAAGCGTATACCATTTGGGAAAAGGTCTTCAACAAGGACATGAAGTTAGCTCGGTGTATGTCCAAGGGCATTTAATAGAACTCTAGCTCTTGTCTTCAATGCCTCTTCTGACTCTTGAGAAGGAACACTATCATCTGCCTCTGACGGTAGTTGAAATTTGACTGTACGTCCGGCTGACGCTTCGTCTTGTTGTTCTGTGTCTACAGGAATCGCAGGTGTTGCAGTGTCTGAACTCAAGGTAGTGGGTTCAAGGTGCTTCTTGCAAGTTTCGATGAGATGCTATTTTACTTCATAAGTTCGCGGAATAAGACGAGGGTTTTATCTCAAACAACAGCATACCTCTCGAACACCGCCTTGACATCCTGCAAGGTAACCAACTACAATTGGCACATATTTCTCGGGTACCTAATATGAGTTGAGTTACGTGTAGAAGCACAATTCTCGAGAATGACTTACAGCATCTGGAATGAAAAAGTGCTTGACGATCCAATTTTGATGTGCTTTGTTGAATTTCCATGAGTCTGAAGATGAGACACGAGCGTATGCATACGATAATGCTGTACGTGATATGAATAGTCCGTCAATTGTGTTTAATTGCAAGCAAATAGCATTATTGGCTCACCCGCACGAGCTTTGTCTGTTAGAGTACTGTCTTCCTCGGGATTAGGTAGAGAAGATGCACTCTCCCTTCGACGCTCTTTCTTGGACTTCTTGCTTTCCTTGCTGGATTTCTTTTTCGACGATTCAGATTTATTACCGGTATCCTTCTCTCGTGTAGCATCGTCCTCATGATCTAAGTTAGCTTTCCCTTCGGGCTCAATTACTCCAGAAGTGTAAGCGCCGGTGAGGGATGTATCGTCTGTCTTTCGCCTCTTCCGTTTCTTCGTGCTCTTCTTGTCCATTTCATTGTTTTCAGGATCGTCTTCATGATGTCCTCGCCTCTTCTTCCGTTTTTCCGCAGTGTTGCTGCCTCCATCTGCGTCAATTGTTAAATCTGTCTGTGTATCAGAAACAGGATAAATTAATATTAAAGTTAACAACGCATTGGCAATAGAGTGCTCACCTGTTCCTTTTTCTTCTTTTTTGATCGCTCGGTCGACTCTTCCTTTTCGACCTGTTTAACTTTCTTCTCCTTTTTCTTGGACTTTGTTGCTACCTCGACTTCATTAGACATGTGCACGGAAAAGTTGGTTACAAGGAGAAAAGGAAACGAAACTAAATATGTCGATCGTCCTGAAAAGGGCAAAAGAAGTAAGTAGGCTGACTTGCGATGTTGCCAGACTGCAGCCGGGTCTTTATAACCAGCTCTACCCCGTTGGACAGCGTGTCGCCCCTTGTAACCCACGGCACACACTCTCCACGCTCGGTCGGTCGTCGAATAGGGCGTCAACGCGTCGAGTAAAAGAAGAGAAAGATGGGGCTGTCTGTGTCGACGCTCTTTTCTTCACTCGCCTCACTTGTCGGATGGAAGAAGGACCAGGACATACGGATTCTCATGCTTGGTCTTGACTCTGCTGGAAAGACTACTATTTTATATCGATTACAGGTGCGTGAATGTCTCAAGTGTATTGCGTGCTTGTCTTTATGTTTTTATATTTCAGATTGGAGAAGTCGTGTCAACAATTCCCAGTGAGTCTTCTTGACCTGACAAATGGAATTCGGGACGGCTCGTGCTCACAGTATTTTCAGCAATCGGTTTTAACGTGGAAACTGTACAAGTACGTGTTTTGGGCAAATAATACGGAACGAAGAAATCCGATCTTAAACTTCTTTTCTAGTATAAAAATATAAAGTTCCAAGTATGGGATTTAGGCGGACAGTCTAGCATTCGGTGTGTCGTGTTTCCCTTGTGATTCCAAGGCTCTATTAACCGACAACCTTCCAACACCACCCTTCGCAAAATGCAACCAAAACGAAAAATCAGACCGTACTGGCGATGTTACTTCCCCAACACCTCCGGAATTATCTACGTCATAGACGCCTCAGACCACGCACGACTAGAGACCTCACGAACAGAACTACTCACCATGCTTGCAGAGGATGAATTACGCGGTGTACCGTTACTCGTGTTCGCAAATAAACAGGATATCGCGGGTGCGCTTGGTCCAGACCAGGTTAGTGATAAACTTGGCCTTGCAGGTGCAGAGACGGGTCGACAGTGGAGTGTTCGTGGGTCGTGTGCGACGAAGGGAGAGTTAGGGGAGGGCCTTGAGGAGGGTTTGGATTGGTATGTTCCCAATGACTTCATGGTGAAAAGTGACTGACTGTATGGCGGGTTGCATTAGGCTGGCAAGCGCAATTAAAGGGCAATAGTCGAGGAATCATAATATCATTGTCCTTCATTTAACATGACCATCTACGTCTACCCTGCGTTCGCATCAATACGTTACATCCTTATACCCTCATGTATTGCCTATTATTCGCTCACCTAAGAAACTATCCAGCGTCGAATATGGACTTTTTTGCATTGCAATAAACAAAGAACGCGACGTGACTAATATACAATGGAATAGATTGATGATTACACCCTGCCCCAACACCAATCCCACCTGGCTTCCTCCGGATTATCCGTGCATAATCTATACCTCTCAGTATCGGGTCTCCAAATCCTCACGGTTCCATCATCAGCACATGTTGCCAATGCTCCATCAGCCCAGTCAACTCCACCAACTTCTCCATCCTGGCCTCTCAATTCAACGCCCTCCATACAAAGCTTATCTGACCGGTCAGCACCAACGTCAAATAGGAAGGCCGAACCGTTTGCGCCTCCACTTGCTAACCAACGACCACAGGGACTCACTGCCGTACGCACGTAAAAGGAGTTTGTCGCCATGTGTCGATGTGTATATGCCTGATCTGCCTGTGGTACACCGAGCGGTACGCCAGCAGCTCCGGAGGCGTTGTAGGTATGTATTCGCGAATCATTGCTTAGAGCAAATACGCGGCCAGCGCTAGGTCCCGAACCGAAGGCAAGAGAAGCGATTCCTCGAGCCCTGCGTGTTGGCGTGCTAGTTAAGCCGTCAGGTTGTTCTCCGTATGTAACCGCCGTAAGGTCTTCTGCCGCAGAATCTATTGGAAGGACAGGACTCGGTTTCTTGGATCGTTTTCTCGGGGAAGACGTTGGGTTGCGCAAGTCCCATTTACGAAGAATACTATCAACAAAAAGCGTTAAATCGGGGATAATGGTTTATTTAAAGAGATATGACAAACCCATCTGAAGAGCCACTGCTCACGATTTCATGAGAAGAGTCCGGAAGATACGCAATTGACGTGACGCTCTTAGGAGCAAGAGACGTCCGTCCTCTCTTAGCCGCCTTGCCAGGAACAACCTCATGGGCATAGGGAAAGCTCAGAACGGGCTTCCATCGCCCGTCTGACTCTCCTTGTTCAGAGTTTCCTGCACCACTTGTTCGCAGGTCCCAAAGAAATATACAGCCGTCGCGACCTCCACTGACTAGAAGATTGTTACTCGCCGGATCCCATGCAACACACTTGACCGTATGGAAATGCCCTCCGTTCAAAGAATAAAGGGCAGTACCACCAGAAGAGTTAGGGTCCGTAATCGCAACGGTGCGATCACCCGATGCAGTAGCAATGCGCGCGTCAGACGGACTCCACTTCACGTCAAAGATACCATTGTTGTGGATCTGCAAGGTGGTCCGGGATGGTTCTGCAAAATTATGAGCTTCGATCTCGACTTTCACGATTTGCCACACCTGGATCCCAGTCCTGTCTTTTCTTTGTGTTGAGAATATCCACTGTGCCTTGCTCGGTGGCAACAGCAAGTGTCAAAGATTGACCTCTCTTTGAAGCTGAGAAGAATTGCGTTACAAGAAAAAGTAAGAGTATAGTGGACATCTCATACCATTTGAAAACGCGCACGCGTACGGAGGCGTCAAGAACGAGTTAGCATCTATCGATTGGCATTTGAATATATCTGCTTTGTTTGAGGATACGAATGACTCCAAAGTTTTTAAAGTAGGAACTGCAGCAAAGACATTAAGTTGGAGTATAATAGTAACTCATATGAAGAGCGTACAAGATAAAAAGCGACGAGCTCCAGGATTGCCCATCCGTAATGCCTGCAATGCTCCATAGACTCCTGGTCGCTGTCTTCTCGGGAGAGGACGCACAACGTCCACGTCAAGCATGTCAATATCCACCTCACTGCTGCCTCCTTCAAATTTTGTCTCTGTCTCCGCGTCCGAGCATTTGATACGTTTATTTACGCCATCGCAGTCGTCAGCTCGTCGCTTTGCTCTTGACGGGGAATTTGGTGTCACGAAGGCATCGTTCGTCAAGTCGGAAAAGGGTTGCCTTGGGCTGGAGTGTTGTCTCGACGCCATTGCCTCTTGCTTTAGACGAGTAGGAGGGAGGTGTCGCTGGTCGTACTTTTGAAAGAATGGAAGAGACGGGAAGTGGCTTTCGAATACTTAAACCAATTTATTTACGCGACGCGTTTATTTGCACATGAGGATCACGTGATGGCGTATATTGAGTTAAAATTGAAAATTTGGCTGCTACTTCAGTGCGTCATATCGCCTCAACGAACACAATGGCATTCCGCGCTGGTTTGCGGTCCATGTCCACTGCAGCACGCTCTTCGTTGAAAATTGGGTTGTTACCTGCGGACGGCATTGGTCATGAAGTCATTCCGGTGTGTACTGAATGTGTTAGAAAGCTTTCTGCACTGCTTACATGATTTCAGGCGGCAAAAGAGGCTATTGAAGCTTTGGGTTCCAGTATTCCGAAACCAGAATTCATTAACTTGAATGCCGGTTTCGAATATTTCACCCGTAAGGGTGTTGCATTACCTGAAGAAACCGTCCAGTGCGTGATGCTATCAAAAGTTCACGCGATCTTTAAATTGAGCTTATCAACAGAACACTTAAAAATGGGTGTGATTGTGCGCTTTTCGGTGCCGTGAGGTAAGATGCCTTTACGCCAGTCCTTTCAGTAAACATTAATCCCTGTCGTCAGCTCTCCATCGAAAAAGGTGACCGGGTACAGTTCCCCGATTGTCGCACTTCGCAAAGAACTGGACCTATATGCAAATATTCGACCTGTAGTTTCTGTCGCCGCGAATCCGGGAGATCGACCAGACGTTGACCTGGTTGTCGTGCGCGAAAACACGGAATGCCTGGTTTGTCTCCTTTACTCCATGGCATGAAGCGATGCGTTCATTCAATGCGCTCTATTATAGTACATTAAGCAAGAAACAAGTACCATTGGGCCAAATGGTCGCGAAGCGCGTGCAACTCGACTCATTACTGAGCGTGCTTCAAAGAGAATTGGCAAAGCTGCTTTTGAAATTGCGCTTAATCGTCCACGAAAGGCATGACACATTATCCCCTCGGTCTGGAATAAAGACTAATGCTAATGATTATTCACCTAACAGCACTTAACAATTGTGCACAAATCGAACGTCCTTTCTGTCACTGATGGCCTCTTCCGAGAAAGCGTACGCGCTGTACCCGGATCGGCCGAACCAGCAGGGAAATATGATAGTGTTACGATCGCTGAACAACTTGTCGACAGTGCAGTATACAGGTGCGTTGACCGTGCTATAAGGGAACTGAACTGGTTACTAAGTCTCTTTCTTGGCAGACTGTTCCGCGAACCTCAGTACGTCTACCGACCTTCATAACACGCTAGTGAAAACTCAAGCGATATGTTTAGAGTTTTTGACGTGATGGTCGCACCCAACCTTTATGGTGACATTATCTCGTGCGTATTCACCTTCCGTCTTCGAGATATGCTTGGTTTTGATCGTACTACAGCGATGCTGCTGCAGCGCTAGTCGGCTCTTTAGGACTCATCCCATCTATCAACTCCGGAGACTCTTTCGTAATGGGCGAACCGTACGTCTAACCCCTCGACATGTGTCAAACTGTCTATTGACTGATTTTGGTTCAGTGTTCACGGCTCTGCACCCGACATTGCCGGAAAAGGCATCGCAAACCCTCTCGCGGCAATTCGTAGTGCAGCACTGATGCTACGTACTCTCGGCTACGGTGATGGCGCGGCACGAATTGAGCGTGCAGTAGACCAGGTAATCCGGGAAGGCAAGTTCCTTACACCTGACCTGGGAGGGACGGCGAAGACGAGTGAAGTGACGAACGAGGTTTTGAAGCGCATCTAAACTGGTATATTATGAGAGTAGATACTTGGATTAAAAAAATAGACCTGCTTGAATTGACCCAAATCCAATACGTTCGCTGTTGCTTTCATGCCTTTTAAGTGTTTTATTTCAATCTTCAATTGATTTGCCTTGTTACTGTGTTACCAAAACAGATGATCGCATGCTGATCAGCAATGACTTTGAGGCACGTTCTCTCACGAGTCACGTGTATACACGGCCCGCTCTGTCAGTTTCAGTGTCATTCACACCTCCACAATGTCGTACTTCGTCTGATTCACTACAACATTTCTTGATCACACCTTCTCCACATAAACTATAAGTAATATAGCATGTCAACGGCGGCGCAACGCGCCAAGCGTCGCGAAGAAGTCGATCATGCGTATAACGAAGTAGCTAAGGCAGCTTCATGGGTCAGTCACGGTTCCTCCTTCATGCACAAGATATCGCATTGCAACCCTTCCTCATCCCGGTCAAGACTCTGTAAACAAGAGTACCTCTAAACTTGCAATGTATCGTTTGAACTTGTAGGGTGCGGTGAAGTACGGAACCGTAGGTGCTGCATTAGCTACGATCGGGCACTTTACTTGGCCTGCATTTCGGTGCGTTAACCTACTTGAGCTTCTATGTTTTACTTCCAGAAAATTGATGGTCGCAACAACGTATCCCTCCCCATCAATGGTGAATCCATGGATACATATCACTTACAGACGACAAACACTAGCATTCAAAGGATTCCTCACAATGGGCTGTATGTCTATCCTCCCTCCTCCCATCTCCCATCTCCCATAAATCAATACATATGAACATACATTCATACAAACACATGCTACACACAGTCGTCTGTACAGGCCTAATAATCCACGGCGAATCCCGTCTCCTCGCACACGAACGCCAAGTCCGTCACACAGAGACCAAACTCCGACGTGAAGCCCGGCTAGACCTCGCACGCCGAGGACTCGTCGGTACAGAGACGGAGATAGCAAAGTGGAAGGAGGAACGGGCTAAGAGGATTAGTGAGGAAGCAGCGCAGGGGCCTGTAGCTAATAGTACGGGTAATACGGGTACGGGTAGTAGTAGTAGTGCTGCTTCTTCGAGTTGATATACTCTTAGACTTAGAGTCGGTGAAGTTGGAATTGGGCAAGGTGTTTCATAGCTTTGGATTTTGGAACAATATTTAGCGGTGTGGACGTCCCGCTTGTATATTATAATCGCGCAATTAAAGCTAGAGCAGACAGAAAGAAACATTAAATTAAATGCGGATCGACTATGGACAATTGATTGAATGATGATTGAGGTTCAGTGTTTGGGTTGGGTTGCACTTTGCAAAGCTACTGCGGAAAGCAATATAAAAAGAAGGGAAAAGAAAAGGACGGGTCATTGAAAGTAACAGTGAAAAGGAGAAAGAAAAGACTAAAAAAATGGCGAGAAGCAAGGTGAGAATGACGTTTGTATGCTGGGTCTGGTGCACTGACAATGGTTGAACAATGTATAGAGAAAAGAGAAAAGAAAGAAGAGAGTATCAGACCAAGTCCATAGTCCATGAGAGGATGAGATGGATCAATGAACAATACAGATAGACGGACTTGTGCGTTGCGTGTGATGTGAGCAAGACGAGTAGGACAAAACAGGAAAGGAAAAGGCAACGGAAAGAGAGAGGAAAGGAGGAAAAAAGAGAGAATCATCGAGGTCATCAAATTATCTACGTACGAATCCACGAGTCCATGTTTATATCGGATTTACTGTTGAGGAGGCCCACCCCAAAACGCCGAGCTCCCTTCATGCACCATCTGCATAGGCGGACGCGGCGGTGGACCAGGGTTAAATATCTCACCCGGCTTCACACTGCGCGGCAGCTGAGGCATCGGAGGAGCCACTTGAGGAGGCTGGGGAAGCGAATGGTGAGGCGTTGAGACGATACGTCGCGCTGGTAAAGGAGGTGGAGGTGGGGGAGGTTGGAATCCTGAGCTCGGAATTGAAGGGAAAGATGGAGGACCTGGCGGAGGCAATGGTCCGCTGTTGCTCGCGCCCATTGGTGGTTGAGGCAAGGGAGGACGAGTAGTTGGTGAGCCCCCGCGTCCAAGTGACGGGTCGGACGCGCTTTGATGGTGATATACCTGTGCTGGCGGTACAGGTGGAGGACCTGGAAGTCTGCTTAATGGTGGTGGAGGAGGGGGCGGAACGAACCCGTTTTGTGGTACAGCGGGAGGCGGACCAGCAGTCATGGGCGGCTGCGACGGAGGACCGGGTGGCGTCGGCAACGGATGTGACAATTGCTGTTGCGGCTGCGGCGGTTGTTGCTGCTGTTGTTGAGTTGGCATATGCGGAGGAGTATTAAAGTACGCCGGCTGTCCACCTGGATGCGTCGGACTGACTCCCTGCTGAGCTGGTGGCATAGAGGGATGTGGCGGCGTTCCAGGATGCGAACCATTTTTTTGCCCTGGCGTCGGTAGTGGACGAGAACCAGGGACCTGCGCCGGAGGTGGAGGAATAGAATATTGTTGAGGAGGCGAAGGCGTCTTCGGTGGGTACACTGGATACTGCTGTGAAGCAATGGCGGAATGTGAGGGCGAAGGAGCGTTTGGATACTGCTGTGGAGGTGCAGAATGCGGCGGAGTTGGAAATGAGGATGGTGGACCTGGTGGTGTCGGAAGAGTAGATCCTGGTCCTGGTTGATACACTGCAGGAGGAGCAGAGTTTGATGGAGGAGGTGGATAGTGCTGATACGGAGGGTACGGTTGAATATGAGTAGGAGGCTGGTGATAGCCCATCGCCGACGGAGGAGGCGCAAAACCAGAAGGAGCGGGCGTGTGCGTCGGTGGGAGACCATAACCGTACTGAACGGGAGTCTGTGACGGATGTGGTGGATAACCAGTAGGTACAGGAGCCTGAGCACCGGGTGGCATAAATCCAGACGGCGCAGGCGTTCCTGTTGGCACTTGCGTGAACCCAGAAGGAGTCGGAGTATTCACAGGTGCAAACCCAGACGGAGTCGGAGTGGCTACAGATGAGAATCCAGAAGATGCCGAAGGTACGCTGTACATTGTAGAAACAGACCGCGGGCGAGCCGAAGAAAATCCGCTCGATTGAACAGGACCAGACTCATACGGCGATTGATACACGGGGAACGATTGCCCTGGCTCGCCGAACGAGTGCCTATGACCTCGAGGAATTGGTGTTGTGGGATTGTCGTAACCGGAGTCATACCCTTCTGACGCGTATCCATTCGAGTGGTAGGAATGGGACGAGCTGACGGATGAAAAGGCGGAGTCAGTTGGACGGGGTGTATGTCCAGTGCGAGGTGGCTGTAATTAGAGACACAGGGGGCAGACACTAATTAACACCAGGGAATTACAGATAATATGAACGTATCTCACTGGATAGCTCTCACGTCTCCTCCCACCTGATCCAGGAGCAACGCTCAATCCACCGAATTCATCGGCAATTTGGTCCAGCGTCGTCCCAGTTCCTTGACTACGAATTGTCCGTTCGTACGGTGGGTTGTAAAGATCCAGATGCGCGAGGGAACTGGCACTGCGGAGTGAAGAAGGGATGCTGCTTCTGCTGTCGACAGTGCCGAAGCTGCCCTCGCTGTCTGATGGTACAAACGAGCCTGGTCCACCGTATTGTTTGTTCGGTTTGACGAGTTGCGATTTGTTCTTCTTTTCTGGAGGCCTTTCCTGTACAATTGAGCAAGTTAGCTATATCAATCGATCGGGAGCTGTAGGGACAAAAGGAACGAACATTAGACCAGAACGTCAATTCCAGATACACCTCCCCGGCAAACTTGTCTTTGTTCGCAAGAGTGAACCATTCTGAAACACGAAAAATAAGCCACCTATTTGTATCATTACGCAGGAATGCGGCCAGCCCACCATCGGTCTCTCCCTTCGTGAGCACTTCCGTAAGATCAACAGCAGTCTCGCCAATGAGCTCCGGCTCCTTAGGGTCATCGGCATAACAAGCCAGAAGCATCGAGTTTCCACCCTTCACTTTTTTTCTCTTCTTCATCGCCGTCGTCGGTGTCAACGACTCCTTCGGAGGAGGCGGCGGAGGTGTACCCTTCCCGCCACTCTCACCATTACTGCTTAAACTGTTGGAAGACTCCGACGCGGTCCGCGCTAGCATGTCCTCCGTGTCCTCAAACAACGTGAATCGGACCTCCTCATCCCATTCTGGGTGCTGCCCACCGCGCTTGATCGCGCGTGTACGCCGTCTCTCGCCGTTGAGTGTTACTGAGCAGAACGGATCTTGTTTCCCGATTCGCTGTTTGTTGGGGAGATGTTGCTGTTGTAGGGTTTACATTATTTTATCGTGTTGTACGAATACCGCAGTAACCAGATCGTCAATCAAATCAATGGAGATACATATCAAGGATGCGTAGAAAATAAAGAGTTGAGGAGGTCAGTACGGACACACAGGGGCGAACGAACACATCCCGAGAGAGGGAGGTCAGACATACCGCTTTGAGGATGACGACGACAAGCGTCCCAATCTCACGGGGCGTAACAGACATCCAGATCCTTTTAACTCAACAGCGTACTCGTCGTCGGCGTGACTCGATGCGCTGCGGTTTTTGTATCCGCAAAGGGGTGGCCAAGATGAAGGACGTGAGCTGGTGAGTTATAATCCAAGTGCTGGCTAAGTGAAGTTCCACACGCCTGCCAAATCGGGCGAGCGCGCTCTGCCTGTTTTGTGGCGAACAGCTGCGTAGCCTGCGGATTGATAGAACGACGGCGATTGCGGTGAATCGTGTTGGAAAGCTTATCGGAAGTTCGTGAGGCTCCGTAAAGCACACCGAAGAGAGAGCGAACACGAAAAAAAGTGAGCGTTGAGCTCGCGTAAATATTTGCAATGAGGACACGCGTACGCGTCGAGGTCGATCGCGTTGAGTATAAAACTCTATCTAGATTCTACAGTAAACCAATATCCTGAGAACATCATCATCTATGTATGTATCCAGTAGCAACTGGCTAGGTCATCGAGAGCCTATTTTTAATATAACAAAATCCCCCTGTGATCACCGTTTTTACGTTTCCACGAGCACGCTCTCCTTAACATCCACCGCCCAGTCCACTTCTTGCTTCTGCATTAATCAAGCTCGGTACAAGCCTCACCGCGTCCGAGCCGACAGTGAGTATAACTTGTGATCACCGTTTTTGCAATTCCACAAGTACGCTCTCCATAACGTCCACCGCCAAATCCACTTCCTCCTTCTTCACAGTCAAGCTCGGAACAAGCCTCACCGCGTCCGAACCAGCAGTAAGTACAAGTAGCCCACGCTCTCGACTCATCCTAGCCAACTCGCCCGGTCCTTTGTTATGTTCGCGCGAGTGTTGAGTAAAAGGTAAACCGAGCATGAGTCCGCGTCCACGAATGCCTTCGTTACTAATGATCTCAGGGAACCATTGCGGGAACGATGAGAGTCGTGAACGGAAGTGCGCCGAGACGTCATTGATAGAAGCGGTGAAGGACGGTGCGGAGAGACGGGAAAGGACGTGGTGTCCGAGTGAACAGGCTAGTGGGGAGCCGCCGAACGTCGTTCCGTGTGTGCCTACAAGAGTTTTAAGAATCCATCTTTATGTGATGGATAGTATATACGTACCTGGAGTCATGCATTCTGCGATTTCGTCACGCATCATTATGGCGCCTATTGGGAATCCGTTTGCAAGTGGTTTTGCCATTGTTACGATGTCGGGATGACAGTCTATTGGGAGGGATGAATGTGCCCATATCTTTCCAGTCCTATACAGTCCACACTAGAGAAATTCGGTACAAGTCAGCGCACAATGCAAGGTAAATAATACCTAATGTCTTACCTGAATTTCGTCAAATATGAGTACCGCGCCAACCTCATCACACCGTTTCCTCAGAGCTCGCAGCCAACTCTCCTCAACAACGAAAATCCCACCTTCACCCTGTATAGGCTCAACAATAACAGCGCACGTCTCCTCTGTCACCAGACCTTTCAAGCTATCAACGTCATTCACCTTGCCTACATCGAAACCAGGCACTAAAGGTGCAAACGGCTTCTGGTACTTCGGGTTATTCGTCGCACTAAGACTCCCAAGACTACGTCCGTGGAAGCTATGCTCGAAGCAAGCTATGCGGAACTTGTTACACGACGGATCGGACCATTGACGTGCGTGTTTAGCCGCCCACCGCTCCTTGCCTACTTTCCGAACGATTTTGAACGCGCCTTCGTTCGATTCTGTACCAGAGTTGGCGAAGAATACTTTTGCACCGCTTTGTGAGCTCGACCCCGAGTTTGAGTTTAGACCTGGATTTGGAGCGAACCCTAGTCCGCCTTCACGCTGAGTTAGTCGTATGAGCAGTTCCGCAAGTTCCGTCGCCCACGGATTATAGAACACGTTCGAAGAATGCGAGATCGTCGCAGCTTGCGTTGCCATAGCTTTCACGAACTCCGGGTCTGCGTGTCCGAGAGCGTTGACAGCTACGCCAGCTGTGAAGTCGAGGTATTTGCGTCCTTGTGTGTCCCAAACGTTCATCCCTGAACCCCGCGCTAGAATGAGTGGAGGCCGAGCGTAGACGCCGAGGAGGACGTGCTGTGCACGTGAAACGTCTTGCGAGACGCTTTCTGGAAGCGATTCAGGCGACTCTGCATGAGTGACTGCGGTGTATGCTGTCGATGGACTGGTCTTTCCAAAAGGTAAAATTAGACCATGAGCGAATTAGCGGGCGGGCTAAAGAATACCTTTGACGAAGCAAGACGAGTCCAGACTTTTCGAGAGGCAAGACGTGTGCGAAGGTTATTGGCAGCAAGAGGCTTCTTTGTAGCGAGAGTGAAAGCAGATGCCATAGTTGCTTTGGTGAAGTGAAGAGCTGTCTAAGGTGCTTTTAACGTATGACTGTCCCGGCCAGCACGGGGCGTGAAGTGTGTGTTAGACGCCTGGGCAGTGTCCTGGGAATGGCAGAAGGTGCTCAGTCTGGCGAGATATATGGCTATTAACGGCAGTGTAGAAGCTTGAGGCAGGAAGGAAGGAAGCTAGCACCGTCGCTGGTAGGAGAAATGACTCAGAAATAGACCAGCCAGCTACACTGAGCGCTAGAAAAATTGAAGGCGAACAGACGAAAATATAGCCGAAATGCCGATCAAGGATATTCCGTCAATTGAATGTACGGGGCTAAGTAAGTGCTCTTCTATTCTCCGTTGTCAATCTTATCTGTATGGAGTATACGTACGAAATGACTGGAGTGTCTAACAAAGGCAGTGATCAACCGGATGCCAGCATTGAGGCAAGCGAGGATGGAGTGACGACTGGCAGCAGTCTCCACCTCATCTTCCCATTCACAGTTAGCGCACGATAAATGGCGTCTGTAGCGTTGCTGTATATGAGCATATATAATATATAAATGAATGTTCTTCGCCTCGGTAGCATAAACTGTTGAGCGATTTGCAGGTGGTTGGAGTTTATTAGCACCCGGCTGCCACGCGATTCATTCCACTCTTGCGTCCTGCCACCATCCATCCTGATCCTCTCTCCCTCTCGACGCCCATACCCCTTCCTCCCTTCAAAATGCCCGTCCCATTGTCCACGACAGCGCAGCACAACCAACAACAGCCCTACTCGCGCTCGACAGTCCCTTCGAAAAATGTAAAGCGCAAGTCGAGCAAGCCCATCATCAACTGGCTCCAACGCAAGCTTGGCGGCACCGTCCGCGCTCGTCGTCCATCCAACACGAATAATATTAGAGGCTCTGCTGACAGTACCTACTCCAGTCGTGGGACAAGTCTCAAGGAGCTACATACTGCACCAGCCCGTGGTCGTGTGCCTCAGCAAAATGACGTCGACGAGAACGGTCAACTCATTCGTCAGCATGCTGCTGTCCGCCCACTCTCGAATCAGATTTCTTTGAACAGCACCGCTGAGACGTCCGATATCGACGATGATGATGACGATGACATGAGTGCAAGGCGTTCAAGCGGCGTCGCAACGTCCATGTGGGGTTCGCGCTCCAATCCTGTCGAGGCGGACGAGGATGCATCCATACGCCCGCTTCCACCGACGTCTCCACCGTCACCGAGTCCGTCTCGTTCCTCTTCATCGTACATGAGTGATTTGCGCACCTTCAGGAGTATGTCGGCAAGTACTAAGCCGACAACGCTGCTTTCTATTGATCTCACGCCTGGCGTTGCACACATTGCACAGGCGCCACCAACGCCGACATCTGTTTCGGCGTATAACGTTCCCAACCCTTCACCTGTTGCGCGTCGCTCGCCGCACGTGCGGACCACAAGCTCTGGTACGTCGGGACTCGTCACATTTTCTGCCCTCCCACCGTCGTCACCGCCCTCGTCGCGACCCTCCTCCCTTGGTCCCACAATGCGTACGGTACCTAATGGTCTGCAGGCGCCCGCTCACACGACGCACCATCCACGCAATAATCCACGCCCATCGTCACCACCACTGGACAATGCGTCTATATTGACGCTTGCCTCGTCGGCATTTGCAACACCAGTGGGAGAGAGAGAATATCGCAACCGTATGCCCACTGCTTGGGTGATTGGTGCTGACAACGCGAGCCATCTGAGTCATTTTGATGGTACGACTGACTCAGTATCGCAAATTATACTTGATGGAGACTGCAATGGTGACGAACCGAACGCAAGCGTTCGTGCACTGAGACCTCGCAGCGCGAGACGTGACAGCTGGGAGAGCGAGATGAGCCGGTGGAGCGCAGGTGTCAGTTATCTCGGTGCTTTTGGACATGGGCGGGATAGAAGCGTGCGGACAGCGCCAAGCTTTAGGACAGGCGGACAGACCTTGGATGTAGATGGGTACGACGGGGTAAGCATGAGCCTAGCTGATGAGGATATGAACTCGATGCGGGAGGACGGAATAGAAGAATCTATCGCGGAGACAAAAGATGATCGAGAACAGGCATTCTCACCGCCGTCCATTGCGTCGGTAGAGGGTGCTTCGGACGAACGTGCAGCGCGTATGTCGGAAGCAACCGAGACGGACGAGACGAGTACGCAGGAGTCGCAGTCGCATGAGACTGAGGATGCTGCTACGCCAGGTCCAGCAGCGCGCACGCTTGCGCTGGTACCTTCGAGAGAGTCCATACCTATGCCAGTACGCCCCACAACGCCGCCGTCGGTGCCGGTTAAAGATGTTGATACGACGCCGAAGAAAGAGAAGGAGAAAGAGAAGGCAGAGCTGAAAATGGCCAGCGATGACGAGAGCCAATCTTAACTGCATATTCCTTTTACCATGCCATTCATCACTCCCATATGTGTCCTTCATCCCCCGCTTCTTCTCCTCACATTTTAGTTCTTTGATTTGTATAATATTTTCTTTCTTTCTCGCGCGGATGTATTCAAATTTCCCCTCATTTAATGTTTCCGCTCGTTGCTCTATGTTTGACTAAGATACGATTGAATTAAAATACCTACACTCAGTTTCCTATTATGTTCTTACTCTCCTCTTGATGATTCTTTGACTTCATGTATACATAGTATTACTATAAGACGCTGCTGTTTTGATGCGTCGACTCGAAATGTCTGTCGCGGTCAGGTGATGACTACAATACTTCAATAAAAATATAAAGGAACATATTCCTTCTTTATGACTTCCAACCAATGACTTCCATATTTCACGTCCTGCTTCTAACTTCCAAGTGACGTAGGACAAATTCTGTGCTTCTTGATGTCGCAAACATAGGTAGAAGGGCGCTCCGCGCCGGGCCCGCTTGTAGGAATTTGAGTAACCGTTGAAGCAGGTGACCATAGAGGGGTCACAAGGACGAGCGCGTCCATGCGTGTCCTTAGCTTGCCATCTGCTCTTCGGAGGGTTGAGAGGTGTATAAATAATGTTCGTGATGCTGCGGGTTCTGGGTGTTCTTCGTCGCCTGGGTTTTGGGGATTGCTAGAGTGCGTTTGGGGAGGTACTATTTCTACTCTTGCTAAGATTGGTACTGGCACTAGGCTTGGGACTAGTGCGAAGGTATTGGAGAAGATGATGAACGGGAACTTGAACGCGAAAATGCGAGCGGGGTGGTTGGCTGCGCTGATGGCTAGTGTTCCTTGGTTCGACGGAGGGGAAGGGGGCGGGGGATTGGGTGTGGGGGTAGGGATAGTTAGAGCGCAGTCGCAATGTCCGGATTATACGACCTTTGCTCAAGTGTGTCCTCATGCCATTACTACTCTCCTCCTCAGAGAGCTCTTTAACGCTACAGTATATTTCGTGATAGACACCACAAGGCAACGCCTCCTCTGGACCTCTCGCACTTCCGTATATGCGTCCCACTCCCGAATGTAGGACGTTCAATAGTTCGTCTGTTGAACGTGTTATTGGGGATATGAAGGAGAGGTTGAAGGATCCTGATTTGGCGAGGTTGTTTGAGAATACGTTCCCGAATACTTTGGGTGGGTATCTTCAATCCTTATTCCAGACTTTTTGGAGGGTTGATGACTGAGGTATGATGTATTATGGTGAAGATACGACTGTGAAGTATTTCAATGCTGTGAGTCGCTTTATTCTTTCTTTATACTTTTATTAATGTGTAAATAAACTTTAATTGATGAGCTAGACTGAGAACACCGCGTTTATTATTACCGGGGTAAGTTCCCGATACTAGTAATTTTGCAATTTCACGGATGCTGAACGGCTTTCTGCTCGTCATTAGGACATCACGTACGTCTACGTACCACACTGCACGGTTCAGCCAGTCTCTTATATCCAGGAATGCAGCGCCCAATGGCTACGGGACACGGCTAATCAGGCTAGTATCATATCTGACGGTAGAAGGAAACGGCTTCTAATCCAGCCTATGTAGTTCGCACATTATCATTCCCTACTTGGAGAGGACAAGGATCTAGCTACGTTAGTCAAGGCTGTTATCCACAACGAGGTGTGCAGGACTCCTTCATATATTCTAACATCTCAGGAATTGAACCTTGATGTATGGGATAGGCAAGATACATTTCTCAGTATCCCTATTGTGGTGCTTTCCAGCCTCCTCCGGAAAGTGGGCTGCAGCCTACGGTTAATGATTGGGCTATTGGTGTGACTGTTAACCCGTAAGCTTTAAACTATTTCGTTCGTTTGTTATGGTGTGAAACGTGGGGCTGACGGGTTTGTACGTAGACCTGTGGATAACACCACGGTGTTTGAGTGCAAGGTGGGAGGACTGTCAGTTGGGTTGTGAATGGTGCTGACTGATACTTGTACTTAGTATGAAATCGACTCGCTATGCGGGTTCCTCAAGCTTTCGAGATCGTACTACTCGGCAACGAATGACTCGTCCTTCCTCGACACCGAATGTACGTACTTCCTCTCATTCTTGTTCCTATCTAGCTCATCTAAACAACACAATTACATTTCACACGTACTTACTACTCTTCCACCGTACCGGTGACAGGGTTAACGGCAATCTCACAAATCTTCCGCGTCATCGACGAACAATCACAAGCATCATGGGACGATGACTTCAACTTCATCTCGTTCTATAACTGGACAGGCGGGAACGGTGCTCTGAGTCCTGCGGTTAATAATGCTGGGAACGGGGAGCCGAAGGGGTATACGGGTCTTGTGGGGACGCATCATCGACCGAGTGATGATTTGAGTACTTTTGGTATGCTCTTCTACTTCTTTCTACCTGTCTATTGGGATTATTGAGATGATTGGATTGACGTTTGTGGAATTCTATTTTTTTAGCGTTCTTGACACCGGCAAACGCGATGCTTTCCGTCGAGCTAACGAACCTTGCGGATATCCTCGACTCAGCTAACCAGTTCTCGAATATTTCGACGCTTGCGCGGAACGTCAGTGCGAGGGTTAATGCGGCTATTTGGAATACTACGGTTGAGAATAATATCTTTGCGTATGAGACGAATGGTATGTAGAAAAAATCGCTCTCTCGCTCCGTAGTATTTAAGCCTCATTGGAACGAATACAGGTCTTGGTTCTCGATATGTTATGGACGATGCGAACGTTCCTGTTAGCGCCATCCCCTACATGTTTGTAGCCCATTCCGATGCTAATTTTCTTTATTTTTGTTTAGTCTCTTCTCTCACTACCGTACCTTGGATTCCTGAGTGCGTCGAAAATCCTATCAACGTCAATTCTCACATCTCACATTAAGTACTTCACTGACCACTAGATAAAACGGATCCGGCGTACGTTGCTACCCGTCAAGTCCTCCTATCACGTCAAAATCCATACTTCGCGAAGGGGCCGAGTTTTTTTGGCATCGGGTTCGTTCTTTTATTAGTGATTGTCTCATCATACTTTACTGATAGCTACGTTGGATGTTTGGATGTATAGTGGGCCGCACGTTGATGCTTGGCATCCTTGGTATGTTAACCTCTTGATTTTCGATTTTTTCTGTAGTTTTCTAACATTGGTGTATTTGTCTGAAGGCCCATGTCTCTTATTTCATCTATCTACGGAACGGACGATGACGACGAGATCTTGAATGCATTGTATACCATTGCCAACGTAAATAGTCTCAATAATCTCGTTCTCACCTTGCATTGAGTAACTTCCTCCCCCTCCCCTTGCCTCCACTCGAAACAAACAGAACACAAACGGCCTAGGCCTAATCCACGAATCCATCAACATCCACAACGGGAGCGATTACACGCGACCCTGGTTCGCATGGGTCAATAGCTACTTCGCTGAGATGTTGCTCGACCTTGCACAGAGGAAGCCTGGGTTGATATTTAAGACGAATGAGAGTTATGTTCCTGGGAGGAGTTAGATTTGGTTCTTTCATCTTCATATTTGATTTTTAGTTTAAAAAAGGTTTAGTAGTCGATGTGCCCATTGCTGTTCCAAAAAATACATTTTATGATGTTATGATGAAAATCATAAGAAACAAAATCCTGAAATGGTTATAATACATGTATCCATCCATCCGTCAAGAAAAAGAAATAGTAAGACGGAATAAAATGACCAAACATTAAGCCTTGCCACTCGAAAGCCTTGTACTCCTCCGTCTTCCCGAGCTTGCTGTATCTTCACCTTGTATAGGAGGCACTTCAGACGCGGTTGACGGTACCGAATCATTAGACCCAGCATGCGACTCAGCGTGTAATGTCGTTCCTTCCGAACTTGTTCCCCTTTTCTTAGGCCGTCCTGCTGTCTTCCGCTTCTTGCTGACTGGCTCTGCGACAGGAAGTTGTCCTTCGGCGGTAGAGTCAACGGTATAGTCACTACCGTCAATGATGTGCTGATCGAAGACTTCAGCATTGACTAGCGGTGATGTTTTTCGTTTTGCAGCAGCTTTCCCCTTCCTCTTAGTTGGCTCTGAGTCGGGTGTATGTGCGTCATTAGATGCTTCCGAGTGTGCATTCGGCTCGACATATTCCGGGACGTTCGTCTGTTTGATAATGGAGTCTGCTTTCTTGCGTGGTCGTGAACGAGACGAAGGACTATCTGGTTGTTGTGTTTCTTCCGACTCTGCGTTGACCTCAGAATCGACCGTTGTACGGATCCCATCAGCTTTCTGTCTGTCTTTTCCACCCATCTTCTTCGTTCGTGGTCCCGTCGTTGACACCGACTTCTCTCTCCTCCCATTCCCCATCTCGGTAGATTCAACAGCCTCAGTTGCATTCGACTCACTATCTTCCTCCGCCTCGTCTGCATCCCCTACTGCGCTCACTTTTTCCTTCCCTTTCGAAGTGGCCTTATTCGTCTTTACCTTTCTTTTCCTCTTGGTAGACTTCAAAATCGTATCCTGGTAATGTTCACGACACTGATTATTCGTACGTCCAGGTACGAAAAGCGCGACATCCTGCCAAGGAATTGTTTGCTTCGTCGGTGCGGCAGTAGCAGTGTTCTCAGTACTTGAAATTGAGGCTAGAGGCGTTCCGGTGAATGCAGCGATAGCTCGTCGCAGCTGATCATCCTCTTCTGGTGTCCAGGGTCCAAATTTTAAGGAAGGATCTAGGGCATCGAGATAGCGCTTTTGACATTGATGAGCTGTTGCGTCTTCGGATACAGTCATGGCGACTAGAAAAGAGGAGGGTACATAGTTAGTTCTGATACTTACGTGTTGAAGTAGACCACAGAACGTACCTAGCTGCCAGTTGTTCTGTCCGTATAGCTCCACTGCTTCGAGCAGTCTCCGGTCTGCTTCTGGACTCCACGTGTGGACCCTGCGTGCCATGCCGTGCCGCATACAGTCAAGAGGCGTCCGATTCGTCTGAAAATTGGTGCTTCGTCGGTCGCTGTACATGAGGGTGAAGGCATAAGATTACCTCTAGCTTTTTTGCAATGCCGGTCCAATTTATTGGCGCGTTCCTATTTTCTTCCTCAACAATGATGTCCTTCAATTTCCGAATCTCTTCGGGAGTCCAACTGCCGTGGTTTATTGAGGGATGTAAATGACCGAGCCAGCGTATTTTGCACTCGAGAGGCGTCCGAAGTGAGGAACTCGGAAGTAAAGAGCTCATCTATCGATAAACATAAAGGCCTTATAGACCAAGACGATACAGATATCAGGCGAAATAGGCACCTTGACAGAAACTCGCCGCCAATCAATCCCTTCTGTATTCTGTTCAAAATACTCGGGTGGAAATGCTTTAAGATCGACATGCTGATTTCTACGCAAACAAGAATCAGTGCCTCGGGTGCAGAGTGCATAGAAATGAATTACTCACCGGCTCTGTGCGTTCAGAGTCAGCATCCTCATGTTCTCGATCCGAACGGCCTCCCGCAATGCCTCATGCTCCTTGGTCTTCACTAACCACAATTAAGCAAGTATATTAGAAAAAATTAATAGTTCCTGACTCTGGTTCACAGTCGTGTATTCTTCATAGCGTTTCCGCCACTGGGCATCTTCTGCGAAAGGAGACTCTTCGGATAGAAGGAACTTTGGCAACACTACCGACACAGGCTTTGTAGCACCCTCAACATAGACTATTCCATTGTCAGGTATGTCTTCTGTATCATCATCGTCGGAATCTATAGCTGACTTGGTCGAGTAAGTTAGAGGAACTCTCGAAAGCACAAGTGGGATAAAGCACTGACGATCATCTTATCAATGGTCTTGAGCTCATTTTCAAGACGCTCAATGTACACTTTGAGGGCATATTGATGATCCTTATTTGCTTGTATGGCGGCGTCAATAGCTGTTTTCTGTGCCATTCAAGATGTTGACTATGGTTCGGCGGAAGTTCAATGCAAGCAGTAAATCCGCGTCTTCGATAACGCGCCAGAGTCACGTGCGCCATGTGATGAACAAGACTCGGGTGTCATAGCCATTCGCTCTCTTCAACCGCCATCGTCGAGTATTGCTCGTCCGTGGTCTCTCAAACACCTTGACCTCTCAAAAACACATCAATTAAAGACAAAATGTACAACGGGATCGGACTCACGACCCCGCGTGGCAGGTAGGCTTCTATTTTTCACAGTTGAGAAGTCGTCGTACTGATTGACGCTCGTTAAACACCAGCGGTACCAATGGGTATGTCATGCGCAATATGGCCACCATGCGACGGTACGAGACTGCGGAAGAACGTGCGGCTGCTTGGGACATTGCTCCTCCGAAGCATCGTGAGCCAGACGAAGGAATCCTTGAGCACGAACGAAAGCGACAGGTCGAGGTCAAGTGCTTGGAGCTGAGGCTTCAGTTGGAGGACAAAGAGTACGTACAGATATTCGTTAACTAACAATATTATTAACTAGTTAATCAATAGGGTTGATGAGGAAAAAATTGAGGAAGAAGTCGACGCTCTTCGTCAAAAGCTGCTTGCTAACCTCGCTAGCAGCGCGGTCACAAATGTCAAGGCACTCAAAGCATCTGATACACATGGGCTTGCTGCGGCTAAGAAAACAGAACTCGATAAAATGGCTCGCGCTCTGGGCACACGACAGGACTACTCAGAAGGCGATGCCTTTGACAGGGAAAAGCAGGAAGAAAACCGTATGAAACGTTTGGTGGAGCGCGAGGAGCGTGAGCGTCGTCGAGAAGAAGAACGTGCGCGTTATGAGGCACAAAAGGAAAAATGGGATGCAGAGCGAAAGGAGCGGGATCGCATTCGTCGTCGAGAGGAAGACAGGATGAGAAAGATGCGGGAGATGGAGCGAGAGCGTGAATTCCGTGATCGTGAACGCAACAGGGATGTACGTGACAGAGACAGGGAACGTATGCCTCCACCTCCGGGCCCGCCACGCGGAGGTGGAAGAGACTCGTATCGTCGTTCAAGCCGAAGTCGAAGCCCTCCTCGCCGCGATCCTCCCGCGCGCGAACGGGATGGGTATGGTTCACGCCGTTCTCCACCACCACACCGACAATCTTTCTCGCGTTCTCCACCGCCGGCGCGCCGTGGACGACCCTCGTCTCGTTCTGTCTCTCCGCCAGTCCGTCGTGGACGTGCAGCATCTCATTCGATATCGCCGGATCGCTCGGCATCCCCACCTCGTCGTCCAGTTCGACGCGGACGCTCGGACGGCCGAAGCCCTCGCCGTAGTCTCAGCCGCAGCTCAAGTCGGAGCCCGCCTCCCCGCCGTTCCCGTGGACGCGGGCGCTCAAAGTCAAGAACGGAGTCGCCAGTGTCGAGATCCCCGTCACGTTCTCATGACCCTCCTAGTCCTCGAGGCCGCAAGCGTGCAGCGAGTGTGAGCTTATCGCGTTCGCCACCACCACCTCCGCAGAGACGTGCGCGGAGCCGCAGCAGGTCGTCTGATTCCTCTATGTCTGTCAGTTCGAATGATTCAGGCTGAAGGGAAACGCGAAAATCTTGCATTGAACGAAATGTTCTTTACTATGTGTATGCTTACGCTTCTTTGTATTATGAACATTGAAGAATATGCAGTCGATAATAATGCAATGCAAAAGGTGCTACCTGATAAAGAGGAGTCTGGAAAGTACGGGTTTATTTCTGATTGGACGGGATTATACGTTGTCTCCGTTAGATATGGTCTACCCTGAAGGCTCAGACAGCGTTGCGACGCTTACGACCACACTTCCTCCGGCTATTTCAAAAATGTGGGTAAGATTTGAACAGGGTATCTAAAAGATGAAATTACGTGCTCAACCTCGCGATAGCGTTGGGGCACGGGTAATGTGAAGCACAGGCTACCCCCATACACAACGGCATCCAAGGGAATCGGCAAAGGTCGTTATTGATGTCAAACAGAAGGTTTCCTAGGTCTTACTGGTATCAGAGACGAAAGTTGAAACATAATCACTGGAGATAAACTAGGATAGAGCATTCATAGTGAGTGGAAAAGACCTCTATAGAAGTTGAAATGCGTATCCTGAGTATAAATATGTTGGCCATGGTTTGCTATATTGCGCGTGTACCGGAGTAACCAGCGGTTGAAACTTGAAACGATGCTGAGCTGAGGATCGCGCTGACCTTATTTGGCGAAAATAGATCGAGTGGGCGAGGAACGTCATCACTTCTGACCGCTCGGCTTGTTCCCTTCCCCAAAGGACGCTCAAGGTCTTCTAGCATTCATAAAGATGTACACGCCAGCTTCCCCTATCAAAACACCCAGAATCGCACTCTGCGAGCTGCTTGAACGACCAGTCGAACTTCCTTGGGCCTGCTCGAATTGTTCAACGTATTCCTACTGTTTGACATTGGTCGACTGAGGAGTTAGGAAATAACATTAACAAACATAACTTTAACCGACTACGACTCTCATAAAGTCTTTTCTCGCCGATTTTGGAAGTAGAAATCAGGACGCGACATATTTGGTCTCTGATACTCAAAAATGACGTCTGGCGAACTGAAGTACACCTCGTTGCAGGAGATCGAGTCAGTAAGTCATCGTGCTAGACTAAAATTGATCCTGTATGTTCAACTTGTACATCATCGTCTTTTCTTAGATCCATGCAAAACTGTCGTCTGAGTTCCTGAAATGGAGGACCAGGTCCATCGAGTTCCGCAAGCAGCAGCTATCTCAACTAGTATACATGGTGGAAGATAATCAGGAAAGGATTCGGGAAGCTCTTTCGCATGATTTGGGCAAGCCTACTCTCGAGGCTATGGTGTACGTCATTCACTTATACTTTTTAAAACTTGAATGAGAAGACTGATGTGTTTCCACGAAAGGGCTGAGGTTGGTATGACCATAAGAGACGCCGTGGAGGCATACAATAAGGTCGAAACCTGGGCTGCTGACGGCAAACCTCCGTTTCGCCTGGATACATGCATTCTGCGACCTAAAATCCGTAAAGAACCAAAGGGTGTGGTTCTTATCATTGGGTATGCTATTTCGATTGAAATACTATGATACGGCTACTGACTTGATTGAATTCTAAGGGCATACAACTTCCCGGTCTGGCTCACTCTTGGCCTTATGGTATGCTCTTTCAAACAATCTTTATGCAATCGACTGATGTTGTACAGGCTGGCGCGATTGCAGCTGGAAATGCTATAGTCCTCAAACCCTCAGAGTCTGCACCCGCCGTGGCAGCATTGGTGGCAGAACTGGTTCCAAAATACCTCGACCCCAGTCTGTACGCCGTAGTCAATGGAGCGGTTGCTGAAATGACAAAGGTAAGCAAGGACAATAAATTTCATTGTGACACGATAATTAACTTCTTCGTTCAGTTGCTTGAGTTAAAATGGGATCACAGTACGTCTTCTTATGATTTCGCATAGTTGATGCGTGGACTAATACGCGGACTATCTAGTTATGTATACTGGTATGTTGAAAATTTTAGCCATCCTAATTTTGCCTCGTTGACGCTGCGTAACGTTAAGGTGGTGGGAAAGTTGGGCGTATCGTCGCAACGGCGGCGGCAAAGCATCTTACTCCCTTGACTCTAGAGGTGAGGAAACATTTATGTTTCCCCGTTCCTTCGTCTGACCATAACATTCCAGCTCGGAGGTACATCACTCAGAACTTGCGATGCGCCAATAACTAACGAATTTCTGCATAGGCAAGAATCCTGTCATTATTGACTCTAGATATGACTTGGCGTTAGCAGCAAAACGCATTGCCTGGGGACGCTTGACCAATGCTGGGCAGGTGAGTATCATAGATCCGGAAGCCTGAGTTGATTTCTCATTGATTTCTTCAAGGTATGCGCTGCTCCCGATTATATACTGGTCCCTGTCGAGTTACAAGACAAACTGGTCGCCGAGTTTGCGAAAGTGTACGTTTTCGTCCCTTTTTCAGCCTTTATCCAGCCAGTCTGATCTATAAATAATTAGACTAAAGTCGTTCTACCCAGACGGTGCTCTTAAATCAAACTCATTCGCGAGGATTATCTCCAATGTGCATTTCAAGCGCATTAAAGGAATGCTAGACGAAACAAAGGGCGAAATTGTTATTGGTGGACAGACGGTCGAGTCTCAGAAGTTTATCGCCCCGACGATCGTGAAGAACGTTTCAGGAGAGGACGCGCTTATGGGTCAAGAGATCTTTGGGCCAGTAATTGCACTCGTTCCTGTGAGAAGTATTGATGAAGCGATTGCTTTCGTCAATGCACGGTTAGTTGTTTCTGCCACTTATTCGAATAATATTAGCATTAATTCGTTTATTAGCGATCACCCACTGGTCTTGCACGTGTTTACGAATGATGAAAAGTTAAAAAAGAAAAGTTTGTCGCTGAGCTTTCTCCCGTATTTGCAGATGTACTGAGTTCTTCATAGTTTTCGACAACACGCGAAGTGGCTCCGCCCTTTGCAATGACGTGCTTTTGCAAGGATCTGGTACGTGAAAATCGCTCCTGTTGTCGCCAATGATTATTTGACCTTCTGAACAACACAGTCGAGGATCTTCCTTTCGGAGGTGTTGGAGAGAGTGGCTGTAAGTTCCTCTATGAATCTTCAGGCTGTCCATATCTGAATAGGCCTCGTAGACGGTCAACACAGAGGAAAGTGGGGATTCGAGACTTTTACACACTTCCGCTCAACAGCAGAGTCACCTTCAATGTTAGTCATATTAGATATATATAATCAGACCCTTACTGATTGGCTTGGTTTGCAGAGTGGAGCTCGTCATGAGCAGTCGCTACCCACCGTACACTCCCAAGAAGCTCAAGGCAATGATGGGATTCATGCTTCCGCGTTTACCGCCACGAGTTGGCGAGTCAAGGGGCTTCCTGTCGTGTTCTGGCGTGAAACTGCTTCTCACGTCTGTTCTGCTCCTCGGAGCTGCCCTTGCTACTCAGTTCATTTCGGCCAACGACGCGTTGGAGATCGTGCATCGACTTCCGTACCTCCCGTTCAAGGGCAATTGATTCCGGCTGGTGCGATTTTGCAGTGATTTGGGTGAATGAATGCAGTATGGTGGAAGTTTTGGCAGACTTTTTGTTTTGGCTGTGTAAACAGAAAGGGTCCACAATCCTTGTACCCTTCACTTCTGTCCTTTCCCTTGTTACTGTAGCGCTCTATAAAATAGCTCTCTTTCAATATGATCAAGTTCGCTTTCGGGCACGCACCAGCTCATCATAAGGACTTGATATTCGCAGCGTAAGCTAAACTATGTAACATGCGATTACCCGACGTTTGACGAGAGTATTCTTCTTTATCTGGTAAATTTAGGTCACGAGAGAAGCACGATGGTCTTGGACACAAGAAAAATATCGGAACGAACTTATTGCCTTGTCCGCTTCATCCTTCGTGTAGGCATGATTAGGTGATGTAAATCCATTAGGAACCTCTCCATACGATGGATGCTCGTGATGCGCTCGGCCTCGGCATGCTCGCTAGAATGAAGCCTTCCGCAAATCTATAAAGTGGGCGCTTCCCCGTCTCGTGCCAGGATGTTTCAGTGCATCAGACTTCTCTTTTATAGTTTGCGTCACTCGACTTCTTGCTCTTTGACGTCCATTAACTAGGGTCTGAGCAACAAGACAGAACTTGTCTCTTACCCAGCACCTACAAAGGCTACAATGTCGTCTGGTGAACTTAGGTATACTCCTTTGCAGGAGATTGACTCGGTAAGCATTCCTTCTTGTGTTGGGCCTCCCTCACTCACCCCCTCTTTGTAGATTTATGCGAGACTGTCAGCTGAGTTTCTGAAATGGAGGACCAGGTCCATCGAGTTCCGCAAGCAGCAGCTTTCTCAACTGGCCTATTTGGTGAAAGACAATCAGCAAAGATTCGAAGAAGCTTTGTCGCATGATTTGGGCAAGCCTGCTCTCGAGGCTATCATGTACGTCATCCAGCTGACTGCACTAAGTCAAGCGGTCAAACTGAAGTATTTTCACGATAGAACGGAAATAGGTGTAACGTTAAAAGACGCTTTGGAGGCGTATAATAAGGTCGAGAAATGGGCTGCAGACAGCAAGACCCCGTTCAGCTTGGACGCACTTGCACTGCGACCTAAGATCCGCAAGGAACCGAAAGGTGCTGTTCTCATCATTGGGTACGTCATCCCGATCGAAAAGCCATGATCTGGTAGCTAAACCAGGCTGTTCTAAGGGCGTTCAACTTCCCTGTGCGGCTCACTCTTGGACATATGGTATTCACGTTCGTGTTTTTTCTGGATGGTCGGTTGACGTCATGTAGGCAAGTGCCATTGCAGCTGGAAATGCTTGTGTCATAAAGCCGTCGGAGTCTGCGCCTGCTGTAGCGGCATTAATAGCAGAACTGGTTCCAAAATACCTCGATCCGAGTTTGTACGCCGTAGTCAATGGAGCGGTTCCTGAGATGACAAAGGTATGGGCGAACAGTGGTTTTAACCATGATTATAGTATCTGATATTTTCATTCATTAAGTTGCTCGCGCTTAAATGGGACCACAGTGAGTCTTTTGTTGAACCAGGATGATCGACCGTTCCACTGACCTATCTCCCGCTTAGTAATGTATACTGGTATGTCTAGTGTCTATGATACCTAAGTTTGACTTTCCTGATGTGCGGAAAGGTGGCAGCAAAGTTGCCCGTATTGTCGCAGCAGCGGCGGCTATACACCTTACGCCCTTGACTCTTGAGGTGAGTAGATTTTCTTGTTTATCTCTAGTCAACTGGTTAATACCGTTGCAGCTTGGAGGTACAACATTCAGAACATGTAGATGGGATGATGACTGACGAGAAATCGCATAGGCAAAAATCCTGTCATTGTCGACCCCAGATTTGACCTAGCTTTGGCAGCGAAACGAATTGCCTGGGGACGATTCACTAATGCTGGGCAGGTGCGAATCTCATGTTTGGGAACATCAGATCGATTCTTAAACGAATGTTTTAAGATATGCGTGTGCCCTGACTATGTGCTTATTCCTGCTGAGTACCAGGATAAGTTCGTGGCAGAGCTCACCAAAGTGTAAGTTATCTTTGAACTATTATTTGGAAGATAAATCTGAATCGTATTTGAATTAGACTGAAGTCGTTCTATCCGGACGGAGCATTGAAATCAAACTCCTTCGCGAGGATTGTTACTAATGCGCACTTCAAGCGTATCAAAGGATTACTGGACGAAACGAAGGGCGAGATCGTGATCGGTGGACAGACAGTCGAATCTGAGAAGTTTATTGCCCCGACAATTGTGAAGAACGTTTCTCCGGAGGACGCGCTGATGAGCCAAGAGATCTTTGGACCTGTGCTCGCAATTGTCCCCGTGAAGAATGTCGACAAGGCGATTGCTTTCGTCAATGCACGGTCGGTTGTTTCTGGTGGTGATATATTTTAACTTGGCATTGATCCATACGGTAGCGATCGCCCACTGTCTCTGTATTTATTCACAAACGACGCAGCGTTGAAGAAGCGAGGTGAGTCATTCAAACGCCTTCTCTTTGTTTACCACGATTGTACTAACCCTCTCGAAGTCTTTGACACCACTCGGAGTGGAGGCGCTCTTTGTAATGATTTGCTTCTGCAAGGAGCTGGTAAGTGATGATTATCTCTAATATTTAATACATCTTCACCTTTGTCAAATCTTCCAGCTGAAGGTCTTCCTTTCGGAGGTGTTGGTGAAAGTGGATGTAAGATTTCTTGTGTAAATCTCAGATTGTCCGTATCTAAATGCGTCTTGTAGACGGTCAAAACGGAGGAAAGTGGGGCTTTGACACGTTTACTCATTTCAGAGCCTCAGCAGAATCTCCTCTTATGTTAGTTCATTTGATTGTCTATCTCACAGGATTTAGCTGATAACCGTTGGCAGAATGGAATGGCTCCTGGGCAGCCGCTATCCACCGTATACTCAAGAAAAGCTTAAGTCATTGATGATGGTCATGTTCCCAGGTGTGCCGCCACGTGTTGGCGAGTCACCTAGTCTCTTGTCGAGTACAAAAGCCCGAGTGTTGATTACTTCCGCACTGGTTCTTGGAGCTGCCCTTGCTACTCGGTCCATATCAGCCTCTGGTGCTCTGGAATTCATGCATGGACTCCCGTTTGTTTCTTTTGGTTCAAAGTAAGACCTACTGTGCAATTTTATATTGTGTCACAGGGACCGGCCAAAGGCACTTGTATTCCACTTTCTAGCTTGCAGTAGTGCAGTAATAGTTGAATAGGTACTGTAGTGACTTGTTTCCTATTTTGTCAGGTTCTCTGTATCGAATTGCCTAATGAAATAACTGTCTCCTATCATCCTCAGCAGATATCTGGTACATGTCACTACTAATTGGGGCGATCACAATACTAATGCCTATGTAAAAGCTAAATTTGACGGATGTTACACAGGGACAAATGGGGCACTGAGGGGTAAGATACTATCGTTTGTCAGATGCGTGATCCGGAAACAGAATATTGGGACAGATCAACAAGAGCAGCATAATGGTTCACACTAGAAAATCTCATGATATTGGTGCTAGAAGCGCATGATTTTGCTTTACTTGACCGTAACCTGGTGCGTGCGAAATCGAACCAAGAGAGCTTGACCCTGTATGGTTGACAGAAATGATGATCTTCAAGTTCTTATATTTAGCAGTTTCCATCACGGGAACTGTTAGACTTGACGATCGACAGAAACTTGAATTCATATGCATGCTCTTCAAATATGCTTTCTCACGAGATTTGGAAGCTTGAAAACTTCTACCGAGCTGCGTCACCTGCTCATCCTTATAACGCGTCCGATGAGCGAGCAACCTTGTTCTCTCCCCTGCTCACAACTAAACGCGACGCGCTTCCTTGCTGCGATACAACATGAGTAAAGTCGAAGTTGAACTCAAGTACAACTCGTTGGAGGAGATCGAGTCGGTACGTAAATCATAAGAGCATTTTGGCAGTCGCGTTTCTAAGGCGAAAGACAATAACTATCAACTTCCTTCGTCAGATCTATGCGAGCTTGAAGACCGAGTTTGCCAAACGAAAGACAAGGTCTATCGCGTTCCGCAAGCAACATTTGGCCAAACTGGCGTATATGGTGAAGGAAAACCTGGAGAGATTCCAAGATGCGCTAAAGCAAGACTTGAACAAACCTACTCTTGAAGCCCTGACGTGGGTCTATCATCGTATTGTGTTTAACATTCAAACTAATATTATAATGCGTCAGACATGAACTCGCACTTTGCATGACCGACGCGACGGAAGCCTACAACAAAGTTGCGAAATGGGCGAAAGACGAACGGGCGCCTTTCCGTGCGGATACTTTTCTTCTCCGTCCAACAATTCGCAAGGAACCGAAAGGCGTTGTTCTCATCATCGGGTATTACCCTTTCATCCTGATGGCATGGTTTCATTTTTATATAGCTTATTTTATAGGGCATTCAACTACCCAACTTGGCTCACTCTCGGACCCTTGGTAATTCTTGACCCGGTAGTCATTACGAGCCTAGCTAAATATTCGATAGTCCGCTGCCATTGCGGCAGGATGTGCCGTCGTTGTTAAACCGTCGGAGGCCTCTCCGGCTACTGCAGCTTTGTTGGCAGAGCTAATTCCAAAATATCTCGACCAAAGTTTGTATCGCGTCGTCAATGGTTCAGTTCCCGAGATGACGAAGGTAAGTAATCTGGGTTTTATCATTTAACGATGGTGGGCGTTGACGATTGCATAGCTCCTTGAGTTAAAATGGGATCACAGTACGTCCTTGTCCTACTTCATGAACTTAGAATGTATGCTGATCTGCGTGACGTTTAGTCTTGTATACCGGTAAGCTGACGCCATGATCCTAAAAGCTCACTCCCGTTGACATTGCATGGAGGTGGAGCAAAAGTGGCTCGCATAATCGCGGCAGCCGCCGCAAAGAACTTGACACCGGTAACTCTCGAAGTGAGTAGTCGCACACTGGATTCCTTCGTTGTGTACTTATTAACTGAAACATGTAGCTTGGAGGTATGTAGATACTTATATACGCATAAGTTGTATGTACTGTTGCCTTATTGTGCGCATTGCAGGCAAGAACCCTGTCATCATGGACCCGAAGTATGACTTGGCTTTAGCAGCTAAACGAATTGCTTGGGCACGCTTCTGTAACTCTGGCCAGGTAAGCGTTAGTCACCCGAACGCTCATTTTACCGCTCATAAGTATTCTTCATAGACGTGCATCGCTCCTGACTATATCCTTATTCCTGCTGAGGCACAAGATAAACTGGTCGATGAGTTCGCTAAGGTGTAAGCAGTCCACTTGCGACGCTTTAAGGATTCGGCCTGACCAGTCTCCACAATTTATTTAGGTTAAAGTCATTCTACCCAGATGGCGCCTTGAAATCAGATTCCTACGCACGGATGGTCAACGACGTTCACTTCAAGCGTGTGAAGGGTATGTTGGATGATACTAAGGGTGAGATCGTCATTGGCGGTGAGACAGACGAGGCGCAGAAATACATCGCTCCGACGGTCGTCAAGAACGTTTCCCCAGAGGACATGCTTATGGGACAGGAAATCTTCGGGCCTGTCATCCCGATTCTACCTGTGAAGGACATCGACGAAGCGATTTCACTTGTGAACGCTCGGTAGGACATTTTCATGAAAGCGACGTCGCGAAATTGATATCATGTGTTTAAAGGGACCATCCGTTGGCATTGCACGTTTTCACGCCCAATGCAGCGACAAAGAAGAAGGGTGAGACTGCAACAATTTCTGCATACAAGCGTCATGTCTGACCTCAGCCTCGTTTCCTAGTTTTCGATAATACTCAGAGTGGAGCCGCGTTAAGCAACGATCTAATGATGCAGACAGCCAGTGAGTGAAGAGCAACGATACTGATGACATTACTTCATAACCCGCTGCTTCCTATCTTATTAGTTGAAGGCCTTCCTTTCGGGGGTGTGGGCGAAAGCGGCTGTATGTCCTCTAATCGGTTGATTCTGTTGACTGTGTTTGACTGAACGAACGTAAACGTCTAGATGGCCAACACACCGGGAAGTGGGGCTTCGACACCTTCACACATTTCCGTTCAACAATCGACTCTCCGAAAATGTAAGTCAGCGTGTTATATCAACTTATTATCCGCGCTAAACTCATCGACACAGGCTGGAACTCATCATGGGCAACCGTTATCCACCATACACACTCGAAAAGTTGAAGGTATTAAAACGCCTTCTGATACCACGCTTGCCACCGCATCCGGACAGACCAACGGGTTTGTTCTCGAGGACGCGTGCGCGGATACTCGCGATGTGCGTGTTGCTCTTTGCAGCTGCTCTAGCCACTCGACTGACGCCAACTGCTGGTCCTCTGGTGTTTGTGCATCAACTTCTCACTAGTGGAAAGTGAACCAATTTTGTGCAAGCATGTCTTCTGCAGATTTTACTGACTGAGCACTTTGAAATGAGAAAATGTTACTGTAAAAATGGTTATTCTGACTGACATAAAAATGCCAATTGACTGAGTATGTCCTTGAACTTATGTATATTATTTGATCCTGTTTGAACATGCACAAAACTATTCATACTTTGCTTCAAACAATATTACCAGAGGTCTACATGGCTTGCAAATGTATTCCAACTGATTCAAAACTCTGATCACATCTTATGTTATCAAACTTTCAATTCTCATGAATTTATAAAACAAATGACCAACCACACATTTCCAATAATCAATTTGCATATTTCTACCAAATTATTCCAAAAATCAAAAAGATCAAATCCATTCGCTGGAGACCATCTTCCACCAATCTGGTGAAAAAGTAGGAACCACAGCGAAGAGATATGATGGGTTGGATCCCCCGACGACACAAGCCGGTAGTGCAAAAGCAAGGTCATCGCGTCCACTGAGTTGCAAGCAGAGCTCAGCGGAACAGGGGCGGCAAAAATTAGATAACCAAGAATGAGAGCGGTGCTCTCATAATAGTGGTTAAACTATTAAGAACAGATACTACACTTGATCTAAGCCAAAAGGCCAGAGTGGTAAAGAAAGCAGGAAGGACTGGAGGGACGAAGGTTTTATAGTTGTGAGAGTGTGCGCACGGACCACGCGCTGTTTGGGGGAAGTTTTGATTTGTGGGGTTGCCTAAATAGGTATGACATCTGTTTGGCTGTGGATTCCGATAAATATTTCTCTTGACTGGTACTACGATTCACGCATTTATCACGATTGAGCATGAACATTTGATAATTGTAACTACTAGACAGAGCTTTGAGCGTTGGAGAGTGATTCTAACTACCTACTCTTTAGTCATGCATACCAAGACGGACTATGAAACGAAGCTAATGATATACTACAGTTTTGTCATGATAAGTTAAGTTTTGGTGATATCTGCGCATCGTGCCGCAAGCAGTGCAATCCACTAGGCATTACCGATATCCTATTTGACTCATGTTCTTGTCCTTTACGCCAATTTGCTATTATGCCAAGGGCATCTGTGGTAACGAGGGAATATAGGAAGGGGGTCCCATCCCAGACAGCCGTTCGGGATATCTAACACTACGTCTCAGTAAAGACTGTCTAATGCAATGGAAGCCTATGCAAACCTGGCTTTGATCCGCTCCCTTAGATCCTCATCGTAAATCTGGTCGCCACCCAATTGGTTACCAAGCGTCAGCCATCCAGGACGGGCATTGTGTCGTCTCCCAAAGATCTCGACCTTACGCCCACCGGGACACATCCGTTCGATGAGTCCGTACACTTCGTCAGGTTTGCGAGATGTTTCTCGAACCTCCGATACGATAACATCGGTGTCAAGACCACGGTTGCACCATGAGGGAAACTTGAGGTTGCCGTGTTCATCGCAGTTCGTCTTGACACCCACAAGCATGTGCTCTTTGGTGTGATTAAGCCAGTGACCTGTACGGCCAGTCCGAATAACACGTTGAAGCTGGGGAACAGGAAGGCGTCAAGCTTCATTTGCACAGACTAGATGCAAATCCAACAGACCTGATTTGTCTTTACCCAGATTACCTCATCTACTCTTGAGTACCCCCATACCCGCATACACTCTCTTCCAATCTCCATCGCTCGGCCAGTGACCCAGAGAAACAGCAGTCCTTCGTCCTGTAATGCTGGAATCGGCATGGCTTTCATCTCATCGTCTGTCATGGTTCCATAAGGCAGCTAATAATAGTAGAAGTCAAAATACTGCTAATATCAGTTTACTAAGGTGATACTGACGCTCATGTGTATATCCCAAGGCGGATCGGCCATAATAACATGAAACTTGCCAAGTACGGAATAATCGAACCGACGGAGGTCACAATTCAACCACTGTGGAGGAAGCTGAGGCACAATTACATGAGGAAAGCGCACTAATCGAGATTGGCTAGTGCTCACCAGTTCTCCCTCTTTTCCACCTGGTCCAAGACCAATCCCGAGTTTGTGCACCTTCTTGGCAACGGGTTTCTTAGGGATGAATTCGCCGTCCCCTCCATCCCAGTCTACTTCGAAGTGTAAATATCGGCAAGGAGCTTTCTCTTTTCCGCGGCCTCCAGCTCCGAGGCCATTTGGTAGAGTGACACTTCCTGGATGGCGTTGAGTATTTGCAGAGGGGAATGGTGGTATCGATGGGGACTGCGCGTAAGTGGGTTCGGAATAGCACGTATTAAGATATGAACAATGCCCGAGCGTGACATCGGTATGGGCACGAATCAGTGGACGGAAGTGCACACGCGAGCATATCGACGGTGTCGATTGAGAATTGCTGGTCAACCTCTGTTCTGCCATCCTAGCCTTTAGGCATTCGTCCTTTGTGATATTCGGACAAATTGGTTCAAAGGCGTCATCAGACTGGTGCTGTTTCATAAGATAAATATAGAAACTGTTCGAGAAGCACAACAAATGAACACACCTGTTCACATAGTAACTTCTGTCGGGCCGTTCCTTGCTGAAGGAGTGCATAAATCTCTTGCAAGTCTTTGCTTAGGTTACCCAACGAGGCTGAGGCTGAGGGTTTGGATTTCAGGGAAACAGCGCTCTTCAGTGCCTCTTCTTCCTCCGCAGAGTCAGCATCCTCATCGATGAGCCTCTTCCGCTTTCTGCTGTTGAGTGAAGCTGAATGACTCGTGCCCAAGTTAACCTGCATGAGGGAGAGCCCACTGGCGTCGCGAAGGACCGAGATTGCACCGGCATCCCAAGAGACCGAGAAATCCTCGAGAATGGATTCGAGCTTCTGGTGGTCGGTAAGACGGAACACTGCACTCGAGTCTGAGACTGGTGGCAACGATACGAATTTGGTGAGTAAATCAAAGGCAGATACGGGAGTTTGTACGGCGTTTGAAGTGAACAGCTCCTGCAAATTCCTCGAGGCCAGGCGCCTCAGATCCTCTGTACTCATTTGAGATAATAGCTCCTAAGTATCGTATGAGCATAAATTGCCGCCAAAAGTACTGTTAAGGAAAGCGAGCTGTGATAAGGAATAATTGAGTTGAAGTGCGGATGAGCGGTAGGACGACATGACGGGTTAGTGCGGAACGAGGCACGTGCGACTGGTATACCGGAAGGGTGCCGAGTGGTCGACCGCACTCTCTTGTCCCGACTATCATCTCTCACACCGACCGCCCATCTGTGCAGTCTGCAAACAACATTCCAACATGGAGCTTGACAATGCTTCTCCAGTCATTGATCTCATGGATCATGCCACAGCCATAACTGCCCTTCCCGACGCAAATGGCGGCTCAGAGGAACTCCCGGAGAAGATCAGTGCTTATTTCAGCCTAGTCTTCCCCAGCTTCACCTACTACGTTCAAACCATATCCGTTTCCATTGGCAGACGCTCAGTCCGTCCAGGAACACCTTCGTCTTCAGACCAAACCCAGGTGGATGTCGACTTGGGGCCCCTGAAGAACGTATCTCGCTTGCATGCTAGAATTGAATACGAGGACAGCCAGGAGAGGTTCGTCCTCGTCGTGTTAGGCAGGAATGGTGCTTGGGTAGACGGAATTTGGTCTGGGAGTGGAAGCAGAGTACCATTAGGCGCAAGGTGAGCATGAGACTCTTTTACTTGAATTTCTTCTCTTTGCCGAGCTTTGCTGGCGTGGCACCGTATAATGGCGTTTGACATTTGGAGAGGGAATCCCCATCACTACATCTGTAACTATGAACATTTACGGACGTCCTCAAACCCATGGCTTCTCTTCTCGCTATGACCCCCAGGAGCTTTCATTTGCCTTTCCACTTCTTTGAGTCAGACTTTCACTGGCTTATCTAATCACGTGACGAGATTTCTGACAGACACTAACAACTTGTTCTCAGGTCGCAAATACAGATCGCTACGCGCGTTTTCGACTTCGTCCTTCCACCGCCTCCTGCTCCTGAGGATTCTCCATCACCCAGTTCACCCTCTTCTACAACCCGTCATCTTTCACCGTCTATCGATGTCACATCTCTATCTCCCGATTCATCGGTCCATTCTCCGGTAGCAAAGCCGATAGACTCGCCTACTGCCGAACATGGCGAAGGGCAGCCTCTAGACCTTGACATAGAAAAAGTACCTTCAACGAAATCGACTAATAAGAAGCGGAAGAAGCCCGGGGATAGCCGTCTCCCTCCCCCTGCAGTCATGCCTCCGCGACCACAGTTTACTTATGCGCAACTATGTTATCGTGCCATTACTGCGCTCGACGGCAAAGCTACATTACAGGAGATATGCAATTGGATAAGTGATAACTATGAATGGTATCGTTATAACGAAGGATCGGGCTGGGAGGTGAGACTTTTTTTGTGATTGATCTACTTCTCTTATACTCATGACACATAATCTACAGAGCTCCGTACGGCATAACTTGTCATCAAACCGGGCCTTCAAGAAGATGGAGCGTTGCGCAAGTGAGAGGGGCAAAGGCTTTTTTTGGAGTGTCGACCCGCGTTTCGAACACACAGTGAAAGACCAGGAGGGGAAGAGTCACTCCCATAGCGAGAAACAGAAGATGAAGAATCCTAAATTGCTTGAACCTCCGCTAAAGCGGAGTGTCAAGGGTGATTCCACGTCGCCTCTTCCTCCACCTTTATCTACTCTTCCACAGAGAGTACATGGTCGCGATACTCACCCTCCTGTTCAGTCTGTTACACCAGTGGCTTCGTCGTCTACAAAGGGCCATACGACGACTTTCATCATGGAATCTCCGCAAATCAAGTCGGAGCAACAGACAAATATTCTGGTTTCGCATGAAGCTACCAAGGCTGGCCCTGAAGCAAATTCTTCAACGAAGGCCCAAACAACGTCAAATCTGGCATTAATAGCATCCCCATCTCCTGCGCCCACTAGCAATTTGCCATCCCTACCTTCCGACATTATACCCATCGTAATTGGTCCCGCACCTCCAAATGGATCAACCGATTCTACGTCCAACAATCCATCACCGGCGCCGGATTCATCTTCGCTGCCTATTGTCTTCCATCGCAACACCATTGTTTTGAACCCGACAATCTTTTCATCCTTGAACCCGGTGCATCTCAAAGAGCTCGAGTCGTTAGGAGCGAAGAAAGCTATTGAGATTTTACAAACCTACATAGTTCGGTACCTCAAGGAGAAGCGCAGAGCAGAGGGAGCGAAGGCGAAGGGAAAGAAGAAGAAGGATAAGTCGAAAAAGAAAGATGGTGCGAACAAGGAAGGAACGCCAAATGGTGCTATCACAAGCGTTCCAGTCGATCCATCGCAGCCTGGTTCAGCATCACTTTCGAAGCCCGACTTGACTCTGGGTTCCGTCCCGGATGCGAAGTCTTCCATAACTGCTCCAATGTTGTCGCCGACCTCGGGGATGATTCAGGCTGTTGTACCTCTTCGTATTTCTTCACCACCAGCAGCGCCTTTGGATCAATCTTCGAACGAGGAAATTGACATACTAGGTGATTCTGACGAACCGGCTCCAAAGAAGCGCAAACTAGAAGGACAGGTGATCCCAGAACTCAAGGCCTAGTAATGTGGCTTGCCCATCGCGTCAACCGCAATGGACTCTATCCGTCCCTGGCTTTGACTAGGACATTTCTTTCCTTTCCTCTACGTTGCTCATGTTCATGCTTTTCCGCCTGCAGCAACACAGGACTCTCCTATGATTCACTTTCACTTTCTCTATTCTCCATTAGACTATACGTAACCTTTGTATTCATATACGCGGGTATTTTAGATGTACGAGTTTAACGATCATGTACAGCTTTTTCTGGAAACTATCGCATCGTATAATAGCCCCCCTCGCAATCTTACGATTTCTCGAGTCTTGTCTTGTAGTACATCTTATACCCCCTCAGTTATGGCATGCATTCGTACCATGTTTATATGTTTATGACATTGCCAATATGCTTATGTTATAGAAATACAGTGTAGCGGAGTGATTGTTGACTTTAGAAACGGTTTGTCAGATATAGAAGGAATGCCTCTTCGAAGGCGATAGATCAGTTTATGGAATATTCAAATACCCCATGAACTAGGGACATTCAAATAATCTCTAATGCCTACCTGTGACATCGTTGATACAAACACCCATATCATAAACCTTGTATTGAGGATCAGATTCAGCCTTATTCTGAGAGAGAATACACAATGTAACTTTTGCTTACTCCTCTCCCTATTTTGTTGATAATTTGCTTTGTAATTTTAATTTTTTAAACAAAAGGACTGCATCAGTTCCATGTAGACCTATAGTCACAGAGGCACTCTGTCAGAAAGACTACACGTTCTGATAGTCTCTCATAGAAGATCTGGCATCGATCACTCGTATTTCTGAATACTTCCTTTTTGTTTTTTATTTGTTTTTATTTTTTTATTTTTTTATAATAATAAAAAAGAGGGAAAATTTCTCAAAACCAAAAAGCATTGGATTTAACCGGATGATTAGAAGTAAACAGGCATTACCGAATTAGCTGCCTCATCCTTCAATGGGGGACGGTTGACGCCAGCTGGTTAATCCCATTCATATTCAGTGGTGAATATGCAAATAACTGTGACGTTGGGGGTGCACTATGAAACATTCAAGTGAGAATTAGACACTAACTGAGTCTAGAGCGCTGTGAAAGAAGTTGTTTTACACGCTGAGAAGTCACCGACCGAGGAGGTCATATGCTAGAATGTCCTCGGTAGCGTTGTCCGAGGGGTACCATGATACTCGTTTTACCTCCTGTTTCCCAAGTCTTTTAGGTGTGTTGGTATGAGTGTGTGAGCTAGACGTTTGACGAGCCGGGGTCACGAGGACACATCTTGGGTCAGCAGATTAGACAGCAGCTCTCACACGATTTCTGTTTGAATGAATGCTTTCTGAAAGGGTTGTTAATCGGTGCGAAATGTCTCCCCACTCGTCGGCTGGATCTCACCCCGCGCGTGACGGTATATCGAGATGTAATGGGGCGCGGAACTAGCGAAATGAAGCATCGTGCGCGGACCTTTCTTGTTCCTTCGTGGGGGGCGGAACAGGGCGTAGGAGTCTAGACTCCGCGTCTCAGGACTTGGATAAACCCTCTGTTTTGTAATGTTTTGTCTTGGTTCGCACTGGATTGGCTTGGAAGTGCTGTGTTGAGTGTTTTATTGGTGCACGTTGGCGTGTCGAATTAGTCAACGACGGAAATTAAGACAGCCAAAGTAGGTCAAGGAACGAGAGACTCAAGCAGGAGGGTGAAGTCCACCTAAACGGGAGACGCGAAGAAATAAGTGTTGCACCCTATGACGCTTGTATGCACTGCCTCGCAGTCACAAGTGCTGGCGAGACGATCATAGTCTAATTTTTCACCCGCGTCGGAATCACCTACAATGAGATCATACTGTATACTGTACGATCATGGGTGAGAACATAGCACACCGAAGACCTGTTGAGAATCACCTTTGGAGCGTCACGAGAGGTTTTGCACGTCAAGACTCGTTTAAACGTCGCTTGAATTCGTAGCCTTGAAGACCAACGTAACTTTATGGTTGACCGTTAGCAGCTGATGTTCATCCAAGATGCACTAATTGTCCAAGATAGCACTACAGATATGGTTGGATCTTGCATGAGAAGCGTCAGTATGACTGCATGGCTTGCGTTATGAAAGCCTCGTGAAGCGGGATGAGCAACAAGAATAGCGCGGAAGGTGGAGGCGGGAATCACCAGCCAGGATCGTAGACGTGGATGTTCGAAGACTTTAGTACGTTAGCTAGAGTACAACTTAATACAGCTCTCAGCACTTCGAGCAAAGGCACTCCAAGGTTCAATGCTAGCATCGATGCGGCGGATGCTTATCGGAATGATTTCGATTACACGGAGATAATGAACTTTCCAATGCTCCAATCATGTCGAAACGATTAAACAACAGCATCCGTTAGCCAAAGCTGGGAACCGCTGCTGTATGCCGAGTCCCGATTTAAGTTGAGTGATGACAGAAGCATGAGAGTCGATGTATTTATGGATTATAAGCGCCATTAATGCACAGCACGGTCCTCGACGATCCTCTGAGCCCGGAGATTATCCCATTGTATAGCCCGAGGAACGTGCTTGCTTATGCCAAGCACTGCACAAACAGTTGGCCGCAATCCAAATTAGTCTGCGCGCTTCTTTGGGGAGGCAGGAGATCAAGAAGCGGAACATAATTGCGTTTGTGCGTGAAATCCGGACACGCAAGCATTACTCACCAGGACCCTTATTTCGAGGGTGAATTGCTATACGATGGCGATGCTGACGGTGGTATTGGTCGAAGGCACGGAGGACCGCAAAATAGCGGCAGAAGGTCTGAGCAAGTATGCGAGATAGCGGGCTAAGAAGGAGAGAAGAGAACGTGTGCTGCGCCAAAGTCCACGAAAGCTTGATAAAGATCAGCCTGGGAATCTGATGCCCAGCGAGAAGGGACGCGCAGGAAGGTATATGATGTCGACTCAGCCAAATAAATGCACGCACGTTCGAAGGTAGTGCAACTTCCGGGTGTGAAGATCTGACGACAGAGCGGTCCGACGTGTGGCTAATCCAACGTTGGCTCTCGTCTCAACGACGGCTCGGAAGGCACAGAAAGTGTTGCCGAACGGTTGATGTGGCCAATACATGAGGATATAACGAGGCGTGAATAGCGTAACCACAACGGAGCTAACTGAGTCCAGTGAGCTAACTGTACAGTCAAACGTGCGCCTGGCGCAAAAAATAGATCAAGATCCAATGTCGCCAGGGAATTATGCTTTTCGACCGCGCTCAGCTGAGGAGATGGCGGAAGCAATATATAATTACACTGGGCGGTGGTAGTTACTTGGAAGAGTACAAGTACCAGCAGGACTAACTCTGCAAGTCAAGAGCCGCGAGACTTGTCGGCCTGAGTGGCCACATGTTGCACGTGCGTATAAAGTCTAGCCCGAAGTGACGTCCGATTACACTCTACGTACGACCTTCTCCTCCATCCCTCTCTCCCGTCCTCCCCTCTCCTTCCAGCTCGTCTGCGACGACGGCAATCCGAGTCTGTGAGTTAATCAGCACTATTTATACTATTTATTAGTGCCTCATCGGTGATCTCGAACAACCGGCCAGCTTCCCAAATTTTACTGTACTACTAGTGGCTTGACTTTCCGAAGAAACTCGCGCATATCCTCCTCGTCGATGACGACGAGCCAAGACGCTAGCCAAGTGCAGCGCTCTTCGGCTAGTGATAATGACGACAAAGGAAGTCGGAAGCGGCAGCAGTTATTCCTTCATCCAAGATCAGAGCTGGATCATGGTGGGTCCGACGTCGAAGATCTAGGTCTCAATGATTATCTGCCACATATTCCTCTCCGACCGTTTCGTAATCAAGTTGGTGGGCACAGCGCTATTTATAAGTTCACAAAGCGTGCAGTCTGTAAAGTGAGTACCATGCCTTTCTTTGTTTTTACCACGATAGTAGCATTTGGTTCTTCTGCGATCTTGTCTACCCGAAATTGCATACTGACCTTATTACCTTTCATGTAGCCGCTCGTTTCACGCGAAAACCTCTTTTATGAAGCCGTTGAGCGGGATTCCCCGGAGTTGTTGAAATTCATTCCGAGGTACTTGGGGGTGATGCTTGTCAATTATCGGCGCATCCGCAAATCGTCGAATAATCAGTATAATGCGCTGTCTCCATCGTCTAAAGCGCTCAATGGTCGTAGTAAGAGTCGCAGTGCTCCGAATGTTCTCTCTGGGCAGAACGAGATCCACTTTCCTCAGGCATCTCCTGTGCAACGTTCAGCAACGTCGCAGGCGTTACGACGTGTTCCTACCTCAACAGATGCCGTCCAGAATTGTACGTTTCCTAGTGTGCCAGAGGCGGAAGAGACGGATACGGAAATGCCAGAGGTCGTGCTGGATAAAAATAGGCATATCATCCCCGAGTGGCTTCTTAGAGGCGGAGGCGGACGTGGCGGACTCCTGCGTCATTCGCATTCCACCGGTTCTGGGAGCGACTTTTCACGTCATCGGCTTCTGCGTGACCAATTTGCGACTCGGACAGCATCCAGTCCCGACCTCGTCCTTCCTGCTAGTCACTATGCAAGTGGAGGTGGGGGGATATCCGCTGGTCTTAGCCCTCTTCTTTCTGTAATGGAACCTTGCGCGAACGGTGCCGAGGAGTCGTACGAGCAAGAATACGAAGCACGCACTCCGTCTTATTCTCCAGAGGATTTACATGGCACAGGTCTTCTCGCTGTTCGAGACGGTCAGAATGAAGGAAGTATACCAGACGGATCGCCTCGTCCCTCGCTTCGCTCTTCCGTGACGAGCCAGTGCTTAACTGCACCCAGAAGAAGTCTATTTGGTGGAACAGGATCGACAACTGTGAATAAGAAGTTCAAGGATCATGTCTTCGAAAACGTTTTGCGTCGTCACTGCCGTCGGACCCGAAGTCAATTTGACCAGCGTGCCGTACGCACAGACGACGAAGGCGACGTAGCAGATGGAGAGTATGAAGGCGGAACGTTCTATAGACGTGCAAGGAAAGCTCGGCGACGACGTCCCGTACATCGTTATCACCCCTCCGTCGTCGAACGTCTTAAGGCGGAGGAGTGTCCTGCACTACGTCGTACGCAAAGCGACGACGAAGTTTCATCCCAAACACACCGCCCTTGCGCGTCAGGGCATTCGATGCGTTACGATGAATTTCCCGAGCCAGCCCCTTGCCCTTCGCTAATCGAGGATGATGCCGTTTCGTCCTCTAACGGCCAGACGAGGTCACCGCTAATGAACGGTTTCTCTTCCACCCGTACTTTACGGGCCAGTCGTTCGCAACCTCGACAACCCCAGCTGCCACATGATCAAGCCTCACTCTCTCGGATGCAGACGCACCCATCCGATGAAGATTTCTCACGGCAGGAGCATTTCATCCTCATGGAGGACTTGACAGGTCGACTGAAGAAGCCGTGTGTGCTCGATCTCAAGATGGGGACTAGGCAATATGGCATAGATGCCACACCTGCAAAGAAGAAGAGCCAGCGCAAGAAATGCGACCGTACAACAAGCAGGAAGCTTGGGGCGAGGATGTGCGGTATGCAGGTACGTTCATCAATTGATTCTAATCCTCCGAAACCACCGCTCACTGTTATATTGTAGGTTTGGGATCGTGTTTCCGAAACTTATCGTACTCAAGATAAGTATAGGGGTCGGGAGATTAAAGCCGAAGAGTTCCGTTCTGTGCTTTCGTCTTTCTTACACGACGGCGGGCACTTCATGGTGTACCATATCCCATCTATATTGCAGAAGCTCTACGCTCTGGCCGTTATCGTCAACCGCCTTGTCGGCTACCGTTTCTACGGATGCAGCCTGCTATTTATTTATGACGGTGACCCTGAGGCGCAGGATGTATGCCGAGCTGACATGTCCGAACGTCCGTCTTCACGCAAGAAACGTGGCGAGTCAGTCGAAAGGAATCAAAACAATTCACGCAAGACCGCCAGAGCGTTGCGGCGAGCTCACAGTGCAGACCTCATCTTGAGCGCGCCTGAGAAGCCCGATTCTGGTACGAACACCTCTGTCAGTCCTGTTCGACAAAGACGCCGTGGCGAGGTGAATGTACGCATCGTTGACTTTGCCCATACGACGACTGGAAATGACTATGCGATCCTTCCTCCTGGCGAAAGAGATAGGGCCGGAGAAGTAACGAGCGGTAAGGGCTATCAGGCAGACGTTGACGCCGAGACTGGTTTGATATATGCACGATTTCCGCCTCATTATCCAGAGCAGCCTGATCGAGGTTTCCTCTTCGGATTGAAGAATCTAGCGGAGGCACTGGAGCGTCTTTGGGACGAGGAACGCGTGCGAAGGATGAAAGCCTCACGCGACGATCCGTCAGCTATCGCTCTGCAGCTGCCCCCTGTCAATACGGAGGGGAAGGCGATTTTCGAGGAGATCTTCGGCCCCCGTGGAGGCGAGGACTTAGGGGAGATCTCAACGTGATTCCATTATATGCTCTTCTCTAACAATTCATCCTATTTCCGTTTATCTGGTTTCTCCTCATGTACGATGTGACCACATATTGACTTGCATTTTTCTCTAACCTCTTGACCACCGTAATCATATTTTTTCCTGCCTTGGTCCCGTGCATTGTGTTCCCTTTGTCTATTCCCGTTGTCTCTCTCTCTCTCTCTCTCTCTCTCTTGTGCTTTCTATATATGACATTTCCTCTTCTCATCCAATAACTTGTCACTTCACAAATGAACCTAGACGTGCATTCTTACCCCATAGATTTCTTTACCCATGTCATGTCATCTTTTCTTTGTGCGTGTAGCAATAAATGAATCACGAAATCCTTAAGGTAGTCAAGCTCGGATAGGTCGAGAAATTAAAGAGGACTTTTGTCCCCCCGGTTTTATTACGTGCGAAGTCGATCTAAATTGAGATATACACCATGATGGTTGACGCTGAATAAACGCAGTCCCAGACTCGCAGCTGGTAGCAGGGACTTGCTTAGACAACAGATCTAATCTTCTTCCTCGGCTGGCTGTACGTATTTGTGACGGATGTCTTTCCATTGTTTCTACACAAATACGTTTGTTAGACTATCGATCGAGGAGGGAGAGAGTAAGTACAGCGAGCGAAAGAAACTCACGCCCTGGTTCCAACGATCCCAGAACGCGTTGATACCGGTGTCGAACGCCATGGTGAATGCGAATGCGCCTACAAACACGGATGATACGAACACGCCTGCAACGGACATGATGAGTTGAATGGTCAATATTATAGTCGGTGTGATGACGTGAACGTGAACATCAAGGAGGAGATAGTTACTTACTGTTCCGTCTGAAGAACGTGTTGTAGAGGGTTGAAGAGATCTGTTAGGATTTAGGATCAGCACGCCAAGTTGTACTTTATGTCCTGTGCTTACCGGCATGGTGGAAAGGGCGAATGGAGATGGAAGTAAGATTCTAAGAAGGAGAGCGATGAGGCAAATGGTCACTGACGCGGTTCCGGGACTTGCCGATTTGCAATGTCAAAAAGTTATGGTCGGTTGAGTGAGTGTTAATTGCACGCAGCGACCACTATGCTACCCGTAAAACGCGGTATATCGTCATTGTCTCGCGCATCGAGCAGCCGCAATGTCACTCTAGGCACGAGCTCCATCTCAGGCTCATGTAGTCGTCGATTTTATGCAGACGACAGTAATTCCAAGGACGCCAACAATAACAGCAATAACAACAAAAACAATAACAATAACAATGACACATCGCAAGTCAAATACAGACGAATGTTCAGCGTAACTGGTCCTCCAAAACTTGATCCACAGACAAACCCCTTTGCGCGAGGAGTCTCCCCAGCGGAAAAAGCTATTATCGATGATATCCTTCGTCCGCGCTCGAAGGGTAGGCCAGCGGCGCCTGACTCGCCTCCTCGTGCAAGACACCTTTCGGATCGAATCAAGCCTGCGCCGTTTGCAGGTGGGGCGAATGTAAACCCGGAGTATTCCTTCCCTTCACAGCGCTCCGCTCGTGAGACAACCGGTGTCGACGAGGCTGATGTTATGGATATTCTATCTGACGAATCCGACGGAGGAACAACACGAGACGATGCTGCCAAGAGGGCAAGCGACGTATTCGCACTTCGGAAAACTGGTAGCAATACAGTGCTGAACGAAGCTAACTATCGTTTAACCGTTACTGCACGCTCGAAAAACTGTATTATGACATTAACGGACGAACAATCGCGTTGGGTAGCAAGTTGGAGCTCGGGGATGTGTGGGTTCCGGAACGCTGCTGAGGGTTCGTACGAAGCGGGTTATCAATGTGCTATACACATATTTGAGAAAGTACGCGAGGAGATCAAGAGGCGGTCGGAGGAGGTTAAGCTTGAGATATACCTCAATGGATTCGGGCAAGGGAGAAGCGCGTTGTTGAAGGCGTTGACTATGTCGGAAGGGGATGGTGTGAGAGAGGTTGTGTCTAAATTGACGGATACGACACCCATACGAATTGGAGGGACGCGGTTGCAGAAAGCAAGGAGGCTATAGTGGGATGTGAAGGACACCAGGATGCTATTCGTTTTGGTATAACCAGCTAGATGTTTACATTATCCTCCTCAATTTTTGCATTACAAGGCATGTTAATTCAAGTGACATTCTTTTCACCAGTGATCGTATGGGGTCATTGACATCACCCCTGATTGTCAAATCCTTGCACAGTTACTCGTACGCTAGAAGTGCATTTTTGATTTGTAGACTTCATACCTACATCAATATATACTTGAAGACAGAGCTCGGGTGAATCTGGTACTGGGTTGGAGATAGGATTATTGATTGAATCTACAGTCTACCGACAAGATTGCCTGTGTGTAACATGAGTGGAAATATCAATTACCATTGGCATGAAACAACACAGAAGATGCTCTGTGAGCTTGCTCAACTTACACTGTCTGTGTTTCAAGACTGATTGACTTGAGTACTTCCAGTAAGCACCAGCCAATCCAACAGCCCTAAGTTGTACACACGAATATTTGTTTGTATTGCAATTGGTTTTGTCAAATTTTGAAAGATGAAGAACTTCCAATACATTGTAGCATAGGAAGGACACGCGAAAACAGGGTTGACATCACTTACTCATTTGAAGATCAATGACTGAAGGCCAAAGAGATGTAGGGCATTCCCTCCTCTAACCCCTTCCTTATTGTCTTCGTTCCATCCTTGTACACCTTCAATCGCCTCCAAGTTCTCAACAACACTCTTCCACTTCTCCGACTCGCTAAGCGGTGGGAAGAAAGGATGATCCGTACCAAATAAAATTCTTCGACTTCCTTTTCCCCTATCCACTAGACCCGCTGAATCCCGAGCTGACGACTGTAAGTTCGCATATCCATCTGCTCTCGAGACGACCTCCGAAACAAACCCAAGCTCCTCTGCTCCATAAGCAACCGCGTCAAAATACAGCTGCCCAAGATAATACCGTGCATCATGCTTCAAACGACTAGACACAACAGGATCATGCGCGATACACGAAGCAAGGCGTGAAGACAACGCAGGGAGCGCTCCACCAGAATGCGCGAGTAAGATACGTAAGTTCGGGTATCTATCTAGGACACCTGAGAGTATGAGTCGAGTTATTGCTGCTGTCGTCTCCATTGGGAAACCGAGAGCGAGGGGGAGGACGTGTCCGTTGTCGCGTTCGCCGAATAAGTCTGGTGCGCCTGCGCTTAGACCGTAATGTGGGTGGAGGAAGACAACGAGGTTTGAGGTGGCTAGTGCTTCCCAGACTGGCTCGAGCCTTTCGTCGTCGAGACCGCGACCGATTCCGCGAGTACCGAGGATGACACCTCGAAGATGAGGAAGGGATGCGATTTGGGATATTGAGTTGAGGATTGCGGAGGAGTTGATGTTTGGAACGAGAGGGAGGAGACCAAATCCATAAATCCGGCCAAGAGATGTATCAGCCAGAGAGGGTGCAGAGGTGCAGTAGGTTTCGAGGTCATCGTTCAGAGCTTGAGCTAGTGGTTCAGCTTCGGCGGGCGAGAGGAAGTCAAGCCAGGGATTTGCAGAACTGACAATGTCAATGACATTGCGACAAATAAGGTGTATTGTTATTTGAACAGCATCAAGTATCAAATCTCGTCAGCCGAAAGTAAAAAGTTCCGAGTATTGGTATTGAGCACATACCTCACGATAGACAAATCAATACCATGCCTATCCATAAATCGCAGTTTCTCGCTCCTGTCCCAGTACTGTGCACCCACAGGCCGTCCAGTGCTCGGTTCATTCTCGAGGATGAGCAACCTCTCTTCCGTACCGCGCTGCACTATACGCGGGACTACACTGCGTGAGCGGAGAACGTTGGCGTAGCGCGGGAGGTAGACGTGTGTATGCACGTCTACAAGTAATCTCTTTGCTGCCATCGTCGGCCGCGTTAGTTATTATCGGTAAAAGAGAAACGAGTTGAACTCAACGCGTGTCACCATCTTCTTGCCTTCTGCATCAAAATGCGTGGAAGCTGCTTTCTTTATTCTATCTGGCCATTTCTACGTCATGAATATTGATGTTGGGTTTTAATAATGCAAGGCGCGCGTGTGTACTCGGTCATTGTAACTTGTGAACCGGCGCGAGAGTAGTGAAGTAAGACTGTTTGACCGTGTATTGATCTGCGAGTAATGATGATACTAGTATAGCAAACGCGGTACAAATCAGAATGTGTCCATGTGTCCATAACTAATAAATTGTGCCATTGCGACATGAATTAGGAGCTAATCGTACGTATGTTTCAAGTTATTGAGAGATGAACCCAAGAAAGTTTAGCAACAACAGTAAACCAGAATGAAAGGCGAATAAATTGCGAAGATGGAACGATCATGCAAGCATACCACCAAGGAACAACAACGCGCTCAGTAGACCAAACTCAGCCTTGTGCACACCTGCAGCGCTGGAGGATTGCGTTGGGTTCAGATCCGTAGATGATGATGTATCTGATCCGGTCGTCCCAGAAGGATTTGCCCTAGCAAAACAAGAAGTCCCGAGTTGATCAGTTTGATGGTATACAAAATAAAATTTCGGACCAACTTACGAGTTCGAAATAGTCACACCTGTACCAGTCGCTGTGCCCGTAGTCGATCCAGACGGTGCAGAGGTAGCAGTAGAACCAGAGCTGACCGTCGAGCCCGTGGCAGTGCCTGCACCAGATGTGATGTTGAATTCATCCGACTGGGCGAAGATAGCCGGGTCAGTCTGGCTTTTGACGAGGTTTACCCGGTAGTGTCCGCCAACTGGGAAACCTCCGGAGGGAGCATCAATGACGACTGAAGTCGCGGTAGTTGCATCGACGAAAGCCGCGAGAAGCTGGTTGTTCTGTGGTAGTACTGATCGGTCCTGAAAAGGGAATACTCTTAACCAAAGAACAAATGTAATTATAATGAAAGACGTACGACATTGGTTAGGAAGACAGTGAAGTTGGTGGCATCCGTTGAAACACGCGTCCAAGAGAGCGTGTTCGATCCAGTAGATGCCCATCCCTGGTTGGCATTGGGCTCTGTTACTTGGAATGCGGACGCAGCGAGAGCTGTGGCAAGGACTGTCAGGAAGGAAGTAGCGTGCATCGTGGCAAGTGCTAATGCTAGTGCTGTGAGGTAGTTAGGGCGAAAGAGCGTTTATTAAATGACTGTGGTGATTTATACACGAGACGACGTGGACGGAAAAAAATGGGGACAGCAAGGAAAGTGTGCGGCTTATATTAGTCTAGAGGGAACACCGAACAGGGCTGCTGTGCGGTATGCCGAAACTGACGGGCTAGAACTCGCCGTCGTGGTCGAACAAAGTCTGTTGATGCCGATCGTTGCCATTACAATCCATGATCGCCTAGATCTACAGCCAACAATCTCCGACTCTGCAGTCTACCTTCTGCTTGAGGTGTATGGGCTTACACGCGCACAATCAAGAACAAAATTCGAGAAATACATGTGGGATGGAGAAGAGGTGTATTGCCAGCACATACATCTTCTCCGCGCTAAATAAGTCGACGACGAGCAGTGCCAAGTAATCACGAATCCTGCTTTAAATTCAGCGTTTACGAGCAGCGCTTCTGCAATCTGATGTTCCGATGTTCGTCCGAAGGAAACGGCGCCGGGATACCTACGTGACGTGACGGGTGATTCGGTACGCTCGCCGTCGCTCAAATAAAAATACAGATTAGACGCGGTATCAAAATGCCCGAGCTTCGGCGGCATGCGCAGACGCGGTCCGTTCCGCACCACGTACATATCGTGAAACAACTCGAAAACATACAAGCGCAAAAGTCGGCCAGTTAATCGCCTCGTACATTCTGTACGTCGACCTTGGACCAAGGACGAACGCAGCGATCGCACCGAGAGCATACAAATAAGGGACAGAGATAAATTCAAGCCTTCCGCAAGGAAATTAACGCCGTTAACTCCCCATTACCCACAAATCAAGAAGATGGTGTCGTACCTATGCCGCCGTTGAAAGATAGGCCCTCGCGTGGTCGCCATAGCATACGACAATGCCACAAATGAAAGGGAATTAAGCGCGACATGATCCCCGTCAAACGGTGTTGTGAGACCGGCGGTTGCGAGCGTGCGTACCCACACAATCAGCACAGGCGCGACGACGGGAAGGCACCACGTCATGCCAAGTAAGAATAACAACTTTTGGTTACGTGTGCTTATTTGAGTCTGATTACTGGTGGAGACTTGTAGGAGGAGAGCACAGTGATGCCAGTGGATTAAGTAGCAGGCAAGAAAGGCGACTTGCCAGGGTATGAAGAGGAAGACGAGCAAGCTCATGAAAAGAATTGTGAACAGCGCTCCACTCAGTGAAGCGGGCTTCTCTTTCGAATTATCATCGGGCGCTCTATGAAAGAATCAGTGAATTTCCTGATAGACAGTTCAAGAAAGAGAATAACCTTGTGATGAACGATACCAGCTTCCCGTAAGGTAATAAAATACTTGTGAGCCCAATCCAGGACAAGACCACCAGGCCGCAAGACACAAAGAGAATGAGAGCGGCCAGGGGCGCAAACATCGGTTCGCCGACATTCCCAAGCCAATATGCGCTCGGCAATGGGACGAAGGAGATAAGCGTGAAAAGCAGCATTGTTTGCGGAAGCAAGCGAGCGGCGTATTCTAATGCCTGGGAAGGAGCCGGCATCGAAGCTAGCTATCGGTCAGCATGACCAGGAACAGGCGACACAGGACAAATAATGCTTACAATTTGCATCCCACATGGACCAGCTCCAGTAAAATAAGAAACAAATCACTCCCGCGCTCCACGTAAGGACAGCATTCCAATATCGGGCTCCCCACCTCCCAAAGGTGTTCCACCAATCGATCGTTATGTAAAGAGTCTCAACACCGCACACCCCTGACGAGTAAATAGTTAAATTAAGCCCTCTAGAATATGTCTCTGAGAGATCTTTCGGAATGGGAAGGAAAGGTGCTGATGAGTGACCGTGCAAGAAGTTGGTTCCATCATTTGATAAACGATGATAATGGGCTTCGACAGGTCCGGAAGTGTGCAACAGAAGAGGAGGAAGAACAGAGCCTAAAAGCCAATTAACTCGGGCTTGAATCCGAAATTAGAAGTGTACATACCTTCGCAGGACTTGTTCAATTTTACACGGGATCGATACACAAGGAGGGCATTTGAGAGGACGTTGACAAGCCGTATGTCGGTATATAAGACCATCGGATCGAGGCGGATTTCAATATCACCGAATAGAGGAACTACCAAGGTCCAGAAGTAAGCTCCGTCTCAAGACGTCGTGACATAACGAGACCACGAACCAAATGCACTAAAATATCCCATCACTGGTTGAGCGTCTTCAATTGAAGCTGTAACCCAAGCTCTACTTGTTTCGCTATGCACGTCAATTTGAAGCCATTCCTCGAATGTCTCGCCATAATTTGGTGGTAAGTCTGCTGTAAGTACCACAACACCTTCCGATTCATCAACGCCTTCTTTTGGGATAGGGAATGGCTTGGTCGAATCCGGGTTTGGGATGAGTCTGAGACTGGTCGGATGTACGGTATTGCAGATTGGAATTGGAGGATCACTGGATTCAGCGACCGTTTGACGGCATATATGGAGTTTCGCGCTCAAAGGTAATGGGTTGGCTGGAGACACAGACAGGATGGTTCCTTCTGATAGATAGAATACGACTTTTCGAGGATCACGGCTTTTCGGGATGAGGAGTTTGTAAGAGCTGGTTCCCAGCGGTGGGTAAATAAACGCCGGGGAGACCAGTTGAGCAGCTGCAGCAGTCAGATTCGGTGAGTCCATTGCGTCGTGCTCGTTCTCTCCGAGCTCATGTCTTGGAGAGCTAATTCCATCCCTGAACCAATCACGAAGGACACGCGCAATACCATCCTTCGTGTTCTCTCCTCCAATCTCAAGCAAGGCTCGTGCAACGCGCCAACGGACTTGGTGACACCAGACCATCTCGCGATGCCCTACTCCTGACCAGCATCCTTCTAAAGAGCTGGTAAACACCGTTTTCCTGAATCCCGCATCTTCGCCCTTACTAGGTGGTAGTGTGCAGAACTCTGAAGGAATCATGGTATCCGTAATCCCACCACATATACTCAAGATGGGTGTTGAGTCATGCATCAGACGATCTTGGACGTCAGCATAAATTGCGTCCATGCGCGAGTCAAACCGAGCTGGAGGAACGCTGTGTGGCGTAGACATTGTGATGACGGCGGAAATATGTGATGCTGGGAGAAGCGTTGTAGCGACAAGACCACCCATGGAGTGTCCCATAACAAGTATTTGAGTTCCTTTAGGATAGAGAGAAAGGATGTATGAAATAGCATCGGCGCTGTATTGACGTTGAGAGGCAAGTGTTGGTCCATGGAAAGCGGAAAGGTCTTCGTTGAAATCAACTGTCCTCGAGGATAAGCTGCGACATAATATAAGAGTAAGTAAAGAGTCGTACCTGCGAAAACGTCTAATGGTCTAAGGTTGCGAGAGGCAAAGGCTGGACTTATGTGCGATGGCGAAGAGTAAAACTGTCGCGTAGCAGACGAAGCTATCGAGCGGACTTGATGGGCAGAACCAGCGTTGCCGGGTATGAACAACACCGGTATTCCTCGTAACTTTTGCTTTTCAGTGACAATTTCGTCAAAGAAATACAATTGGGATGCACACCTCATCGGTCGAATCCCAGCCAACCTCGCGATACAGCATCAATCTGTACCGCGACGCCAGGCTGGCAGACGTCCACGACGCGTTGAACCCGGTCTGCAGCACATAAGACGGAGACATATATGACATCCGACATCCTTGCGGGGAGATCTTTGTCGGGGTATCGAATGCTGAATAGGCCAGAAGTAAAGTGATGAGTAGAGATAAACCTGCCAGCACAGTAGACCTCAACATGCGCAGCTTGCTCATCTGTTCCTTGTATCGTCCCAGTTCTGCATCCAGTTTCTTAATTTTCACTTCCACAGACTGGATGCGTCCATCTGTCTGTATTACTCATTTAGCTGGCGAACAGCGAATAACATACAGAACTCACCGATGTTATTGCATCTTGTAATGTTGGCTTGGGCTTCTTGCTCGCAGATGAGCCAAATATACGATTCATGCTCGTCGACTCGATTTAAGAGAAAATATAAAATATAAAATGAAACAGCACAGAGAGCTGGGGATATACAGAGATGTGAAGAAATGTGCCAAGTAGATATGCTGGTCGTGGTACTAGGGACTGGTGCGGATGGGTCTATCCGCGAAACCGCACCGCGGATAAGCATTTCCACGGATAACTTATCCGCGGATGAAATTCCCACGGATACCGCAGTTTCTGCGTATCCACAAAAAACAGCCGGAAATTTGCGGGACTAACTTAGACAAGTAGAAATCAACTGTTGTTTCTTATGCAATCACTCGTGATACATCACAACTGTGACTAATGTCACACTTAGGTAATTAAAACAACGTGAATTTTTTTATCGGCTAGGCTAAGCACTCAAGTGACTCAACCGCGGATACTGCGGTAACCGTGGGAAAATTCATCCGCGGATAAGCTATCCGCGGATAGGTGGTGCGGATAACGGTGGCGGATGTCGCGCCAGTCCCTACGTGGTACGGAACCAAGCTGCGGTTCCCCAGATGCGCGGGTGATCGACGCGTTTGCTTGATTTGTGCACGTCGCTGAACAGTGAATAAGTAAATCAAGCCCAAATGGGCCAGGGAAGGTATGCTGCGTCTATGCACACGTTAAGATCTCCTATCGACTCACTATTTCTAGAGCGCAATTGAGCAAAGGGCACTGCGGACATTGAAGCAGAAGAAGATGTACGAAGGGCAGCTCGCGCAACTTCAGCAACAAACATTCAATATGGAATCTGCAGCCCTTGCCACAGAGAATCTGCGCAACACGATGGCGACGTTCGATGCAATGAAGGTGGCAAACAAGGAAATGAAGAAGCAGTATGGGAAGATTGATATTGACAAAATCGAGGTCAGTTGTGATACCCTCTGACAGCAGCTGTTAGTCCTCATCTACTCTAGAATATGCATTATGATATGGAAGATTTGCTGGAGCAGGCAAACGAAATCCAAGAGACCTTAGGACGATCGTATGCGGTCCCGGATGAGATCGATGAAGCTGACCTTCAAGCGGGTGAGTCGTTCCTATCATCTATATCGAGCTACAGGCTCATGTATTTCCAGAACTGGATGCTCTTGAACTTGAGGAAGAAGACGAGAGCACGTCTTACCTCGCGGACTTGAACAAGGCTCCTGACTACGTTGATGAAGAGCCAGTCGAAGTTGGAGAGGTGAGGCACCACTTGGATGAAGAATACAAGGCAATGCTGATCTAAACCTTTTAGACCCGTGCCCAGCCTGAGGCTCTGAAGAATACCGCATAAGCATTATGGACTCAATTTTGTATCATTCTGTGTAGCATTAGTACCTCTTATGCAGCCATGCGCATATACGCATTTTGTATTCCACTCATCACACAGTAGTACGGTTCCAATAGAAGATCTCTATTTTCTTCGGCTTTGAGTTATCGAGACGCGCTCGTGCGGATCACGTGTAGGCGTGTATATGGCTATGGGCTGTGGCGCGGGTCAAAAAATACAAGAGCCCATCTTGTGGGCGGCCACGACTAGCACAGTTAGCACTGCCTACTAAGCTCAAGCCACGAACACTTTCAACGCATATAAGGCAACCTGCCTTTAGTTCCCTTTCTTCCTCACACTACTCTCATCCACTTCACGATGGCCACTACCACACTCACCAGAAAATCCTCTCGCTCCAAAGTCCAGCCGGTGACTAACGGCACTACGCCCGCAGCAAAAAAGTCTGCACCAGCGAAGGGGAAAGCTGTCGACACCAAGAACAAACGTCGAGCCACTTCTGAGCCAGAGGATGAGGAAGAAGATGACAGCCAACAGCCTACAAAACGAGCAAGAGGTGCGCCCTTGGAGCGCTCTGGTACTGGCTCTACGGATGATGAAGTTAAAGAAATCAAGGAAGGCCTCAAGAAAGCAGTAATCGACACGAAAGACGAGGCAGGTCAAAGTAAAGCCACAGGGAAGGGGAAGAAGGCAGCGAAGCCAGCTGCTGGGGCGAGCACCGCGGCTGCGAAAAAGACCGCTCACACGATAACGAACGCTTTACCTACGCCTCCCGAACATCCTCGACCAGCAAACCAAATTTTTGTTTGGGGTGCTGGTAATTTCGGTCAGTTCGGTATGGGTCCCGATTACTTAGACCAACTCGACAAACCGAGGAAAAACCCATGGATCGAAAAGAAAATAGAGGAAGGAGTATTTGGTGGCGAGGGCGCCGGCATTGAAGCTATTGCTGCTGGAGGCATGCATACGATGTTTGTTGATGAGAAGGGCACGGTGGCTAATTTCCATATTTCTGCTTTTGCAATGCGTAGCTGATTCCGTACCGTTTAGATATGGTCTTGTGGTGTCAATGATGAAGCAGCATTGGGCCGAATAACAAAGGATGTTCCTGACCCAGAGAAGGAAGGCGAATTCATGGATGTTGATGTCCTCACGGCATTCCCGTATCCTCTTGAATCTCTTGTGGAAGAGAAGTTCCGTGCAGTGAAAATTGCCGCTGGGGATAATATATGCGCTGCAATCAGCGATCAGGGAGAATTGCGTGTCTGGGGTTCCTTCCGAGTATGCTTACCCGATTCCAAGTTGTCCATGACAAAGTACTGATACAATCTCACAGGCAAACGAAGGCTCTCTTGGATTTTCGAGTGGATTAAAATTACAACATCTCCCAACGCCTATACTGAACTTACCAAAAGATGAGAAGGTTGCATCGGTGGCAGCTGGTGACAACCATCTGGTCGTTCTGACCACTTACGGAAATATTTACACTTGGGGAGCTGGTGAACAAGGTCAACTTGGGCGAAAGATTCTTGAACGACGTAAAATTCACGGCACCACACCCGAAAAAGTGACTCTCAGGTTGCGCTCGCGAAAGGCAGTAACAGTGGGTGCTGGGAACTTTGCGTCCTTCGCGGTTGATGAGAAAGGCGATGTATGGGGTTGGGGTCTGAATAGCGTGGGCCAGGTTGGTACCGGCTATGAGGACGAAGACGACGGCATTGTTCCGCAACCACGACTGATAGAGGAACTCAGCCCAGCTGCGCTTGGTAACGATGCCCGCGTGACACGTATTGTAGGAGGCGATCACCATACTATCTTCTTGACTTCTGACGGGCGAGTATTCGGGTGCGGTCGTGCAAGTGGTGGTCGGCTCGGTTTGCCTTCAACTCATCCTGCATTCACCGTCAAAGGGTACAACGGCTTCGTGGCAAAACCAACCCATATTCCGTTCCCCGATCCGGCCTCAGAAGATCCTGTAGTACACGTTTCTGCAGGGCCTCGCGCCAATTTCGCTGTGACTGCCGCAGGTGCAATGTATGCTTGGGGTGAAGGCAACCAAGGGGAATTAGGTATTGGAGAGGGTAGGAATGCAGAAACACCGACTGTTGTTGTTCGTAAAGAGGGTGGTTCGTGGAAAGCTATCGCTGCAGAATGCGGTGGTCAGCATGGTCTTGGTCTATTCAGGAAAAAGGTAGCTGCAAACACAGGATAACGGATGCTAGAATCATGGGCTTTGGCACAGTAGCACAGTCCCCTTGCGTAGATTTTCTTTCTCTTTATCAACACAATTAATTCTTTCTGAATCAAAAAAGCTGCGCTGTTGCAGTGCTTTCTGTTGCTTCGTAATCATGTTTTCTTGACTGTTTAATGCATCACTTGACTTGTTGCATTGTTTCTTGTTCTTCTGATTTTGCTTTCTATCTATTGCTTTTTGCAGTTGTCTTTAATAGGATTCCGGACAATAGACGCATTACTTCATATCATAAACGTACATGTCTTCGCAGGATAGCAACCGTCCCAAAGGCGTGAAAGATAACGAACGGAACCGATAGCTTTCACAAATAAGTATCAGACAAGCTAGCAAACAAAGAATCACCACGAGTTCTCCAGAATCGAGTTAAACGATGGCACATACCGTTGTACGATATATTGTTCAGTCGTTACCGGTTCGTACTTCTTCGCTTTACCAGGGCCATAACAGCTCGGCAAGCAGTCAATAAGAGCACCGCCATTTGGGTTGCAGAAGAACGCGATGGATTGTCGAGCGGGTGTCATCTGTTCGGTTTCGTTAATTTGCTTTGAGGGAGGGGCGACGACGCGGTGTAGTGTTGAACGGAGGATGTCGTTTGACCAGCGGCTTAGGAGGTCACCGACGTTTATTACGATGGTTCCTGGCTGTTTGGAAAGATGTTAAAAAGAGAAGAGAATGAAGGGGGGAGATAAGACGTACGATTGGAGAAGCTGCGAGGAACTCTCCTGTGTGAGGGTTTTGTACCTCGAGTCCTCCGACCTTGAACGAGGTCGGCTAAGCAATACAAATTAAAGTCACAGCTGGCATATGGTGACTCACGGAATCTTGGAATAGGAGAGTCAAAGTTCCGTAATCTGTAATTTTGTTAGTTGTGTTTATATATAATGTTAAATCTATAAGTACGAACCAGAATGTGCTCCAGCTCTAGCTTGGCCTTCCTGACGAAGTATCTCGGTTTTAATAGGTGGGTAGGAGAGAAGTCTAAGGTTGTGATACTGTTCGTTAATCTTGCCGTCAAAGAAACTCTCTTGCAGTCCAAGCCCAAGTGCGACAGAGCTCATTACGGACACATGAAGTTCATGACATGTCTGTTAAAGAAACAAGAGAATATTTAAATATACTCTCTCAAAATTTGGATAGGTTGTTACCTGGAAGAACTTGAGCATGGTATCTCTGAATCCAGGGCAGTCTGACTCTTGAGGCCATCGGTTCTTCCAAGTTGCATCCCAATCTCTGCCAATTTCCATAGTTTCTTTGCAGTCTGGAGCCTTTGCACGCATGGCAGCTATTTCAGAAGCGTCGTTTGATTGTGTTACGCGCTCCCGGCCTTGCTGGACGTATCCACGATTTGCGCGCGGGTCTTCCCATGCAAGCTTGTCTTTAACATCTGTGGGGAGCTTGAAGAAAGCTGCACTCTTCAATTTACCATTGTTAATTAGATATAATCACGCATCAACGGAACGGAAAGTCGTACCTTCTCGAAAACATTCTTAATCACTGGACCTGGGATTCCATGATTTGAGATGTAAATGAAACCAGCTGTTTTGAAGCCATCGACTATGGCGTTGGCTGTTTCTTGCTTTTGCTCTTGAGATGCTGCACTTTGATAACGGCCGAAATCAATTACGGGAATACGGAATTCAGGCACGTGTGTTGCCAGCCCACGCGACAGGTATAAACGAAGCAAAGGTGTGTGGTTACGGCATACTGTGAACCTTGAGCGAACGATCGCGCAGGCTAACATGACTGGGGATGATGTCTAACTGAGATGGGTGAAAGACGGAAGCAGGCATATTTGTCTTAATATAATAGGCGTGCATTAGGCGCGTTATCAGGAAGCACCATATATATAGGTCACGTGTGGTGAAACTTTATCAATGATTCGATGTGCTCGATGCATACAATTTACAAAGTAGTGGACAGTTTCTACAGGTATTGTATGGGAATTTCAAGTTCTAAGAGCCCAACTACGATGTTAATACGCGCTTCCCGAGTACAGTGGGTTTAAAGCGCTGGGTAATCCCGAGTTTCAAGAATCTTTCGGCCTCTGGACCTTCAGGCTAAAGTCAATATGTTGTACGGATTGGTGCACCGCACTTGTGCTGAGAATATCAATTTCTATGATAACTTAATGAGCATCAGGTCAGAGACAAAAGCATACTATACGCACCATTGTTTGCACGTTCCTTCAAATTTGATTCGGTTATGTTGCCGCTTGTCTCGAACAAGAACTTTCTCTTGCCTACCCATTTCTCTTTTAATCTTCTTGCCACATTGACCATCTCCTGCCCTTCTATGTTGTCTAACATGATAACATCTGCTCCGGCATCGATAGCTTCGTCTGCCTCTTTTTCGTCCCGGACTTCCACATCGAGCAAGAGACTGAAGCCACCCACAGAGCGTGCTTGAGCAATGGCTGCGGTTATGGAACCACAGCTCCAGATGTGATTATCCTTGAGCATAATCATACTTGAGAGATCATGTCTGTGCGTGTCGACGCCGCCGACTCGCATGCCGTACTTCTCGACCAGTCGGAATCCTGGCGTTGTTTTCCGGGTGCCCGCGATGATGCCTGTGTATCCACTTGAGCGAGCGATGTCTAGGATGCGTTTAGACCTACGAAGTCGTTAGTCGTCAAATAGTAAATTTGACGAAGGCATGCATTTACTTTGTTGCAATACCACTGCAACGCGCTAGGAGGTTGAGCGCTACGCGTTCACCGAGGAGCAGTAATCGAGCCCTTCCACGCACAGTTGCTACATGTTTAACCGGGTCGAACTCCTCACCCTCTTGCATGTGCCATTCCACTCTATAAATATAAGTTATTCTCTGTTGCTTGTATACCAACGGGTAAACGTACGTGCAACCAAGCTGTTCAAATATTTCGGTAAAGAACGGCACACCTGCAAGAACGGCGCGTTGTGTGCCTTTACCGAATAGGAACGCCTCGCGCTCGGCATCGCCAACGACAAAGCCGCCATAATCGAATGATGGCGCGTCCTCTGCCAGCCATGCAGTCACCTGTGATTTCCAGCTCGGAGGGAGCAGATGCGCATAGTTCGGCTTGCTTGACATTTGTGTGTTGGCAAATGTCAGCAGCAAGGCTCGGGATGTATGCGCTTATGTATGAGGCCGAATTGCCTATTTCGTCATGCATGTCCCCTATTAGTTGACTGCTCGACGCTGTTGCACGCGTTCATCTTCCGGTGAGCTCACTACTCCCGGCCTTGAGTCTGACGGATACCCCGCCTTCACAAGCCAGTCCACCGCAGAGCGACACCGATGGACTCATCGTCACGATTAGATAGATCAAGCTCAGTCTCTTCGACGTCCTCGTCAACATCGCGTAACGGCTCCGAACCCTTTGCTTACCAGACCCGCATCCTTGAACGCACCTCGTCTCTCACGCGTACACAAGGGACCTTGCCCAAGAATGGTGTTCTTGCTCCGACAAACTCTGGTAGCAGACGCTGGACGCCGTCGCACCGATACGGCTCGAGCGTCGAGTCCGTACGCGGGAAGTGGGAGGAGCGTGCGCGCGCCGAAGCCGCGGTCAATAGCCCGAGCCCTTCACGTAGTAGCTTCAGCACGGAAGAACCACAGTCAACGGCACCGTCTTCGCCTCTCAGTAGTGAGCAGGTGCATGAAGGCCGCCCGTCTCCGTCCCGTTCGTCGAGCTCGACGGTCGGATTCAGTTCGAATAGTACCGAACCCATGACTCCGCCCTCCCTCACGAAACGACATACAATGCCCGAACCAATCGTCGCGTCACCTTTATCCCCTAATACCACGGGAATCAGTGTCGTCTCCCCCGAACCCCTTTCATTCTCGTCTTCATCAACCACACCTACCAATCGCATACGGTTTCCTATGTCCAGCCCATCCGTCGCGTCTAGACGGCAGAAGTTCGATTCTAATGTGGATTCAGGGTCCAACGGTGACGTCTTTAGTGGTGGCAACGCCTCAAGCATACGATCCCGTCGGTCTGTAGATTTCGATTCGATTATGAAGGAGTCGCGAGTTGCTGCATTGTCCGATGCTGTGGACTCACTTCCTTCCTCAACCGAAAACAGTCCGAGACGAATACGTCCAAATTCTATGTTTGGCTCGTCGCCGTTATCGTCATATCCGAAGCAGGATCTAGTTGCTTCATCGTCATTGGACAGACCTATCCGTGCTCCAATTCCGGACAGCTTTCGTGCTCCTTCACCGGATAAGTCTACAAGGTTGGCCTCCTCGACACCGCCTTCTCCGGATAAGTCTAGCCGCCACGATCTCCTTGAAAAACGCAGAGCGAATCTCTTTTCTGCATCCAGGCAAGATGCACCTTTCACTCCTTCATCCCCAGACAAGACAACTAGGTCGAACCCAATAACTCTACCAAGAAGGAATTCTGTGAAGGACTCTCCTTTTCTTCGCCCTTCTTCTCCTGCCTCCGATGGTGTTGCTTCAACTTCCAAGCCAACGGCTCAGCCGTACCGTCCACCACCTCCGTCACCTTCATCCTTTGCAAATACGTCTTCTGTCATGTCACCAACTCCCTATCGTAGCTCTTATATGTCTAACAAGAAGGCAGGTATGTATGGTGATAGTCTATCTGTTGGGCGAAGGCTCGGGCGTCATTTACCGCGCATTGCAAGCGGAGACGCATACGACGAGCCGGAGCCGGGGCCTCAAACGCAACCTTCAGTGCAGCTAGAAAAGCAGCTGCCAGCAACTCCAGAGAAACCTCTTCCTGTGATGACTCCAGCGAAGTCGCCAGAGCCGAATGCACAGCTAAGCAGGCTGGAACGGCGGGAGAAGCGGTTGCGGGAATGGCAACTAGAAATGGACAGCAAGCCTATTACTCCAAAGAAGCCAGTAACATATAGTCCAGAGCGCGACTCTTTCGCGATCCCGCATGTATCTGATGCTATACCTCCATCGCCTGACGACGTTGCAGGAATACCAGGACGGAAACGTCTTTCGCGTGATGTTCTAGCTCCTTCTCAAACTCCCTATGGTGCCCCAATGCCAATGCCGTCCTCGCGTCTTGGGATGCGTGGTGGGCTATGGGCTGACCAGCAGCGTCATTTGATCCGTGCTTATGAATACCTTTGCCATGTCGGTGAAGCACAACAGTGGATTGAAGGCTGCTTAGGCGAAGAACTTGGATTTGGCGTGGTGGAAATGGAAGAGAGCCTTCGAAATGGTGTTGTTCTCGCAAGACTTGCACGAGCTTTCCTGGGCGAGGGGGTTGTGAGGAGGATTTTTGAAGTGTGTTGAATGCAATTTTTGTGTTAAGTCTTCAACTAACTCGATCTCTAGGCTCCCAAATTAGATTATCGGCAGACGGACAATATCAATCATTTCTTCCACTTCATTCGTTCCGTCGGCCTGCCAGAGGTAATATTCATCCAACTTTTGATCGTGACGCTGCTAATTGCGGTTACCCAGTGCTTTATTTTCGAAACAACTGATCTTTACAATAAGAAGAATATTCCGAAAGTCATTTATTGCATACATGCTCTCAGGTAAGTCTTTATTATAAGAGCAATTAGTCATGAAGACTGACATTCTGCATTTAGCCATCTCCTTGCTCGACGCGGTTTAGCAGAGCGTATAGGCAATCTCGTCGGCCAATTGCAGTTCTCTGACGACCAGCTTCAACGAACCGAGAAGGGTCTGAAGGACGCAGGTGTACCCATGCCGAATTTTGGTGAAATTGGTAGGGAACTTGCTAAGGAAATCAACGAGGAACCTGAAGAAGAGGTTGAAACTGAAGAAGAACGTTAGTACTTATTAACCTGTTGGTTCTACTGGACTCAATGAATCTTTCCAGGTCGTGATCGAGAACTTCTGGAGAATGAGGAATCCATTATTGGCCTTCAGTCAGCCTTACGCGCTTTCCTTGTCCGGAAAAGTCAAGCGACGCAACTCGCTCGCCTTCGCCTTGCAGAACGGTACATCGTCAAGTTTCAGGCGCGATGCCGAGGTGTTGCGACTCGCCAACGTGTTCGTGACGCTCGCAAACGGCAAGCAAGCCTCGTTCCATGGGTCTTAGCTTTGCAAGCAACTGCACGAGGTGTCATTGCTCGTCGGGCCTGGAGGCAACGTCTGGCGAGGATTCGGGCAGTGACTCGGTGTATGATAAAGGTGCAGGCTCAGTCACGCGGTGTACTACAGCGTCGTCGTTTCGCTCGACTGAAGGCGGCTCTTGTAAAAAGCAAGGTGTCTGTGCTGAGGCTACAGGCTGCCGCCCGTGCTAAGCTTGCCAAGAAGAGTCATCAGCAGATACAGAAGACACTTGGCCAGACGAAAACCATGGAGAGTGTCGTCGGACTTCAGGCTGTTTGCCGTGCCGTGCTTGTTCGGCGTAATTTAGCGAAGCAGGTGCGGGCATTGAAGGGTGTGGAAAAGGATGTCATCCAGCTTCAAGCTCATGTACGAGGCGTACTTGTGCGCAGAAGAGTCGGTGCGCAGTTGGCCAAGCTAGATGACGCGACAGACGTAGTTGTCCGCATCCAAGCTGCTGCTAGGAGTTACCTGGCTCGAAAGCGGCTCCTGAACCTAATCCGTGGGCTTCGTCGCGCAACATCGTCAATTGTATCGGTTCAGGCATTTGCTCGTGCTGCTCTGAAGCGCAAAGAACACAAAGCTATGAACAAAGCGCTGGGTGAAGTGAAGGTCATTAAAGCAGTCGGTTCTTTGCAAGCTCTTGCACGAGCGGCTTTAGTCAGGAAGAAACATCAAGAGCAAAATAAAAAGCTTGAATTTTGTCAACCGGACGTAATCGGATTTCAGGCTCTTGCTCGAGGTGCACTCCTCCGTCGAAATTTCTTCGCTTGGAGGGATCATCTTCGGGCCAGTCAATCTGAGGCTACACACCTCCAGGCGCTTTTCCGAGGTTTGCTTGTACGTAGAAGGTTCGTGGAAAAGATGAAATACTACCGTGACAATCTGGAGAAGGTCATTAAGATCCAGTCTCTGTACCGGGCGAAGGAAACACGAGAGCAATATCGGCAGTTAACTCTGGGTCACAATGTGAACGTTGGTACCATCAAGAACTTCGTACACCTTCTTGACGACTCGGAAGCAGACTTCGAGGACGAAATTGAAGTGGAACGCCTTCGCAAGCGTGTGGTCCAGAGCATCCGAGCCAATCAAGCACTCGAGACAGAGGTCTCCGAGCTCGACGTGAAGATTGCTCTAGTCGTACAAAACGTGAAGAGCTTTGAAGAACTTATCAAGGCTCGGAGACGTCACGACAGTATTGGAGCCCATGCGTCTCGTGCTAGTGTTCTCGCGGCCCATGGCGATCCATTTGCAGGTGCTAGCTCGCTCGACCACGAGTCGAAACGGAAGTTAGAGCTTTATCAGCAACTTTTCTACATGTTGCAGACAAGGTGTGACTACCTCGGCAAGCTCTTCCAGCAACTCGCAAAGGCCGACATATCCGACAAGCATAAAAAGCTTGTCGAGCGTGTCGTGCTCACACTCTTCGGATATGGTCAAGATAGGCGAGAGGAGTACCTATTACTCAAGCTCTTCCAGGTACGTATAACGAAACCTATGTGCCCTCAAGTTACCTGACATCTTCATTCATATGCAGAACTCGATGAAAAGTGAAGTTGCTATGTCTCCTTCTGCTGAGTCTGCGATACCGGAAATTCCCATGTTCCTTTCGATCGGATTGCAGTACAGCCGACCAAAACAGGTTACATATGTCAGAGACACTCTGCAGCCTTTGATTTGGGCTGTTGTTGATGGCGTAGTGAACGATGATAAGCTGGACCTTGAGACGGATCCTTGCATCGTAAGTGCCTTATAATTTGCGTTAATTTTGCATTTTTTATTCTCTTCTGTTAGATTTACCGGTCCAGGATCAACATCGAAGAGATGCGATCTGGGATGAAGAGTAACAAACCGAAGGATGTGAATTATCGAGACGCGGTTATGGACCCAGAGACTCGCAAGGTGTTCATACACAGTAAGACTTTGATGCACACTTTCTCGTAGGGAAAACTGCTGATTGATGTTCTCTAGACCTTCAGAAGCTTCATGCTTTGTCCAGAGACTTCGTAAACGCGATTATCGGCTCCACCAAGAAGATGCCTTATTGTATGCGCCATCTCGCTCGTGAGGCTCTCGCAAGTTTGAAGGTAAAAGTTTTTACTCGACTATCCTTTATAATTGCGCTCACGAAGCTCCGCAGGCTAAGTTCCCCAATCAAACGGATGAGCAGTATGCTGTTCCACTGGCAAGGCTTCTGTTCTACCGCTATATTAATCCTGCGATAGTGTAAGATTTATTCACTCTGCTCTTCCGTTTTTGACCTTACAATCTTTGATGCTAATATTAGTGCTCCCGAGACATTTGACATTGTGCCAAATACGATCGACATTGCATCGCGAAAGAACTTGGCGCAGATATCGAAAATGATCAACCAGATAGCGTCCGGGAAGGAATTCGGGGAAGCAGATCCCTGTCTTCACCCTCTCGACAAATATGTTGCGGAGGCCATAAGACAGTTCCGAACATGGGTGTTCGAAGGTGAGCTCTGATTGTCTCCCATCAAGTGCACGAGCTTACCTTTCTTTCAGTTGCGGATGTCCAAGATGCTGAGACCCAATTTCACGCCAATGAGTTCTTGGATGTCGCAACTCAACCAAAACCTATTTATATCTCCCCGAACGAGGTGTACTCGATGCACACGATGTTGTCTCAACATCTTGACCGGCTGGCTCCGGCGAGGGATGACCCTCTTCGAGGCATTCTGACGGAATTAGGTGGTGTGCCACATCTGGGCAGCGAAGAGCTCACTGCTGCTCGTGATGCGGCTATCACCCTCGAACTCACCAACCGGTTTGCAAACGTTAAAGGTAAGTGAAGGGTGATCAATATGGGAATTATTACTGACATGATCTGGTCAGATCCGCATGCTGAGGAAAAGGCTCTTTGGGTCCAGGCGAAACGTGCCGTTCTCGCCATTCTACGTGTACAGCCTGCTAGGGATCTCGTCGAGTGTCTAATGCAACCAGTGTCCGAGGAGCATGAAATGTTTTGGGAAGACATTGTCGACCGCGAGCTTATGAATGACCATTTACGGCAACGACAACGCCGTATGCCGTCCACCACTGGAGCAGAATCTGCATATCGATTGGACGACATCAGATCGTCAGTTCTTTGTCTTCAAATTGTAAATTGTGTCTCTGACCAAATTTATCAGGCTAACGTTCAAGGAGGTTAAGGCTCATGCAATCTACTTCTTACTGGAGTTAGAGAAACAGGGCAAGGTAACCCGAGAGGACGGCTATCAAGGGATCTTGAATGCTATTGCAGGCGATGTGCGGAGCAAGCATCGAAAGAGGCTACAGCGACAGCAAGAGCTAACAAGCATGAACGAAGCTCTGCAGCATCTTAATGAACGCAAGAAGTACTACGAAGAACAAATTAAGAGCTACAACAATTATGTTGAAGGAGCGATGAACACCATGCAGAAGGGTAAAAGGTACGATACTTTATTCGGAAGGAATCACGACCTTCACTAACATGTGGTCATTATTAGTAAAAAGCGATTTGTTATGCCCTTTTCCAAGCAGTTCTTCCACCTACGAGAATTGCAGCGATCCGGGAAGTCCCCGCAGTTTGGCTCGTACAAATATAGCGCCCAGTATCTCTACGAGAAAGGGATCCTGCTTTCCATCGACCAATATTCTCCTCGCCAATTCGACCGGATCGATGTTATTTTATCCTCGAACAAAGCGGGAACTTTCGATATCGAAATGATCAATTCGAATATTGGCCCCATGGCATCTACGGAAGTTCGAATGGAGGATCTCCTGCAGGCGCAGTTTGAAAATCGTGTTTCTTTGCCTCTTTTTGATGGTATGGCGAAGTTTAATCTCAACCTGTTGTTGTATCAAATCAACAAGAAGTGAGTGGTCTTCCTGCCATGTCCTCTTTAGTCATCAATACTGACCGTTGCTGATAGATTCTACGTCTAAATACCTTGTTTTCGTTCCGCTCTATTCGCTTCTCTTGATTTTCCTGTTGTTGTTACCTCCACCCCCTGTTGTTTATTCGAATTGTTTGACTCGCTGACACTATGACTGTATGGATAAACATCTGACTCATGTATCTATACCTGACGATTCCTACGAAATGACATGTTCACGAGCGTTACACATACAAATAAGATACAGGCTTAGACCTATACAGACTTCCTGTTATTCTTCGCACACAGTGATCGCAATCGCGTCACAGAGTGAAACGGAAGTCCGGACTACGGTCACCAATCGGAGCACGAGTCTTTCCTGCATCCCACAACTCCTGATATTCCTCTATGCTTTTCTGTCGTCTTCCCTCTGCCCGTGCTTTATTCTCCCAGTGACAATATGCCCTGATTGACAAAATTAGGATATCTTCGTTGCAACAGAACTCAGTGCTTACACATTAGCTGCGATTAAAATCCAGGCCAAGCACACGAAAGCGAGCGCAATAGAATGTCCACGAATATACCGAGGCGCATCATCTATGAAATTAGCCCGACATGTCAATTACGCAAAGGTATGCCGGGACAAATTACTTACCTGCTGTGTATGCGAATGTCGCGATGAATCCTCTGAAGAAATCACGTTAGCAGCGGAAGCATGCACACAAAGACTGATTTACCCCGTATTTGCAATCATTAACTGCAACGCACTAGGTGGAGCATTAGCATGAATGCGACTTGTCGATACTACAAAATACTCACGTGGTTGTTGCCTTCTTGTAATGTCCACTCGAGTTGTTTGGAAGAATAGATAGGATGCAAGGTCCAGAAGGATAGCTATGAGGTGCGAGTTCGTTAACAAGGTAAGAAATAATGAGTAATGGACTTACACTCCAGCAGCCATTAGGAAAACCGCCGCATAACGCCCGTTATTAGTGCTAGCTGTAATCGCCAAGATATAACCTATGAATCATTTCCGTAAGGACTGACGGAATGTTAAATAGACAAGGGAAATGACAATACCAGCTATAGTCATAGGTAAACATATAAGAATAAAGGGACCCCTCCATTTGAGGCGGTCTGCAAGGATAGCAACGACCACTTGAAAACTATGAGTACCAAAATTTCGGATAGAGCTGTGAATTTACCTGTCAAAACGACTGCAGGCACATATGGCGGAACCGTATGCAGTTGAGCTGCACCACCAGAAAATCCCAGGCCAGCAATAATAGTCGGTCTATTTGCAGACCATCCCTCAGAACCTTCCAATATCTTGGGTGATCGAAAAATAGAACTCACAAGAATAGGGAGTAGGAATACAGGCTAACGATAAGGCCCAGATATGCGAAGCCTGTTAGCCATGTCTGTATATCCTTGCAGCCTGGAATATATACACGTATTTAGCAAAGTTTCTATTTCTGTAATATAACTTACCTCGAATGACTTCACCCCATTCGAATTGTTCGTCCTCTTGGTAAACCTCTTCCTGACTGGCACGACCCGTTTTCAGATTTCCAATATGCTCAATTTCGCCCTTCTCTTCCCGAATCTTGCGCGCAGCCTCGGATAAGGGAATATGCGATGCTGCAGTGTTGCCGCTTCGGAAGCGCCTCACTATTTTGGTTTCGTAAAAATAGGTGAGAGTGTAAGAAAAAGTAATACGTACAAGCAAAAGCTTTCTCCTCGGCCGTCAGAAATTTACTCGATTGAATGTCAGCAGGAAGGAAGATAGCGGCAATGATTCCGAAAAGAATTGTTGCAATGCCTTCGAGTATGAAAATCCATCGCCATCCAGCGAGGCCACCGACTCCTTCCATTTTTATGATAGCTGTAGCCAGTAAACCTATTCGAAGTGAATATTTCATAATTTATGCCGTAAATGTTTTCCTTACCTCCAAATGCACCCGATAGTGATGCTGGCCATTAATGGCGTCAGCTTGCTATGAAGTATCATGTGGAAATAGAACTTATGTGCTTACCGGACGCATAGAAGATTCCGACTCTTGATTATAGTAAGTTCATCGGCCTCTTAGTCAATGGCGATCACATACCTGAGTTGTAGCTCGTGCTTCTTGTAGATGGTGCTGAGATACAGTATCTGAACCAGTATTCAGTACTTCGGAATTAGCCCATTCAAATGCTACCCACGATTCCCGGAAGTAAACCACCCTCACAAAAACCAAGCATTACCCGAATAGCGACGAGTCCTCCGAAGCTTTGCACGAGACCACTCAGCGTAGTCACTACGCCCCAGGCCATGACAATAAATGGAAGCCAGCGATTGGGCTTCATGCGTTTCAATATCCAGTTGGATGCTATTGGAGGAGAGTGAGCGTGAAGCGTATCGGTGAACTCTGATTACTTACGCAGCTCTGATACAATATATCTTTGCATTGGGAATATAGTAATTAAATATAAAGAAAGTCACTTTATAAAAAGTGCACGACGTACGAAGCATAGAATACTACAGTGGTTGTCAGTGGTTGTCAGTAAATGAATTCTTACGGCAGTGAAGAAGACCAAACCTGCTAGTGCCGTATTAAACTGATTCCCATGCAGGTGCGTATCTGTCTGCAATCCGGCAATCCTGGCAATAGGGATGAGATCATTTACACCGCGAAGGAACAGCAGTGTACCTCGCATTGCCTATGTTGGTTCTGTCAATGAAGTTTGCAAGCCATAACTGTGGAAGATAGAACGGCTGATCAGAGATTCTCTTCTCGAACCAAATTGAAAAAGCTTATTGACCAACGCCAAAGGAGGAAGAATATGAAGGTCCAACTTTAACAATATCCTGCGTGTCAGCTTCTGGTAATGGTCCGAGAGTTCATCCTCTACAGGCGCGACAGTCTCCACCGCTGACGTTTCGCGCTCGCTCTTCTGTGACGACGGAGCCATGGCACAACGATATGTGCATGGGAGAGACCCGAGCCTTTCGGAAGGAGACGACTATATATGCTGAGCCATAGCTCTTGCAAAAGGTAATCTGGTGAGGACTCGTGATCCATTCATATCATGCCGTTATACGGTTATTTGTAGTAAGCGACGGCATCCGCGATACCCCCCGTAACAGCGCAAAGCCATCAAGGTGGGTGTCCAATTGCAATCTCTCCGTTGAAATCTCCCTCCCATGTGCACCGCGCCCATATTTTACTTCCACCGGTCCACCGGGCAAGTTGAGAGACACCATCAGAGTTAACTTTGTTGGCTCCGATTGTTAAATCAAGAACCACACACGGGATTTCAAAAAATAAGGAACCAACAACCACTTGAAGTGCGTCTCCTAAATGAGGAGCGGAAGATCAATTGTCCCAATACAGTTGTCTTTCTCGCCTAGTTGGTGTTAGTCAGACCGGGAGTTACGTGAAAACTTGTGGGGAACCAGTGAATGTCGTCCACTTCCGTCAAATGTCAACATGATATGGATTCCTTGATGCCGACACTATGGGCGTAGTGAGTGTCCCTAAGAATAGATGGTAGGGGGGCAAAGACGTTCGGGTGTTTTTCGCACACATGTGGGAGGTCCAGAATTAGCTGCCGCTCGGTGCCTTCATCCATTTACCTTATCCATGGAAAGAACGAGGATGTGAAGAGCAGATAGACCCTTTTCTGATAAGGACCTGACAGTCGGGTTGGGAAAGCCCAAAATTATCTGAGATCGAGAAATCGAAAACATGGTCACCCAATGACAAAATGCACCTTCGCGTAATCTTTTCAATATTATCAATAGAGAGCGCGGCCTTCTGCCGAGAGTTCTAAGTCAGTGACTAGATCCGCATTTGTAAAGGACACACCTTCTTTACATAGCCTGTGAGAATGCCGATAGTATGAATCCAGAATCATCGATAATACTACTTCCATCGGAAGCAATTTCCATACCCGCTACGAACTTTTTTGCAGAGCTGCAGGCCGGAAACTTGGAAAGAATCCGAAGGGGATCAAGAATTAAAAACAAAAATGAAAATAGAAGAAGAGAAATAGAGTAACACCTGTGAATCATGACATCTTCGAGAAATATAAATCTTGACATTGTTAAGATATCGAGGCTTAGAATAGTCATTCCTGTACAAGTTCAGCATATCTCAGGAATCGTCGACCTTCAGTAGATAATAAAGTATTCAGCACAGCGGTGTGTCATCAGGCAAGTAGACATCATCACTTTCCAGAGTCCAGAGTCCAGGTGGCCGAGGAACAGATTACAGTATCAAGGAACGGAGAAGGCGAGATGGCTGGCAACGTTTATACACAAAGGCGGCATCACCAGCAATCCATGCCCCCCCCCCTCTTTCTCTCCACTCGTCACCTCTATTATGCAAAGCAACCAGAGTAATTGCAGCACTGGCACAGTCGTTGACCGCTCGCCCATTAGAACACGCCTTCTTCCGACGCGTCTTGCAGCATCTTCATGGTGAAACACCACATTTGGGCAGCGTCGACTTGTTCAGAAACTCCAGTCTTACCGCAACTCGCGTAGGAGGTCAATCAGGATACGTTCGGAAAGTAGCAGAAAAGGAGATAAATATGGCAACGAAATGTGGGAGATCACGGCAGACCATAGAGAAAGGACAGCCGAGTCGGCAGGTGGAGGACGCGATGGTGGTAGACAAAACCAACAGCATGTTTCACGAATGTTGGTTTCCAGCTTCACTCTGACGATTCGAACTGAACATCGTTTAGCGCGCGCTGCAGCGGTGGTCAACGGTTTTCTGCGAGCGGGTCGTGCCGAAAATTGATTTCCCACGCGATATTGGCGCAAGCGACACCATCAAAAGTCGTAACTCTCCTCGCTTGACAGTCGTCCACGACGAGCAGCACAGCTCAGCCATTCTTTTGCTTTGTATCTAACCGACGATGCGGTCTCCTACTGGGCGCATCTCTACAGTCCTTCCACTTGCCGTCCTAATATCACTCTCCTTCTTCGTCCTTTTCGTCCAGGGATATGCGGACCCATCTCCGGGCGTGATCGCACGCCATTCACGACATTTTGCTGCAACCAAGCGCTCTCTTTTTGCCAGGCAGGGGGGCGACGGGCAAGATGGTGACAACACTGGCAATGCAGATGACAATCCCATTCTCCCTGGTCCTACAAGAACAAGGTCGAGCTCGGTGAACGAGACGCCGAGTTCTACACCGTCTGGTAACAACGGCGCTTCGGCATCCGCTCCATCTCCTACTCGCTCGTTCTCACCAAGCCGCCCGGCGCCTTCGAGCACAGTCACTACAACTGAGGCTAGTTCTACGACGTCCTTGAGTGTATCGTCTTCGTCCACTATCTCGACTTCTTCGAGCACGAGAGTTAGTTCAACGACCTCTAGGACATCGTTCGTTGTTTCTTCTTCCCAGCTTTCGTGATACAGACTGTTGATAACTATTCTGACAGGTCAAGCACTACCTTTTCATCGAGTTCGACGACAACGCTGCGAATCTCGAGTACTCCGATTTCCACCGCTACTTCGATTGTCCCTGCCACCAACGTTCAGGGCAAAATTTCTACGACATCGTCATTTAGCGATGCCGTGCAGACTAGCGCCGAGGCGTCTAGCACTGATGCGGCTTCTAGCAAAGGTTTTCTCTCAAATCCCGGGGCAATGGCAGGGACATTTACCGCCCTCGGCATCGTCGCAGTTGCCGGTATCACTGCCGTTGTCGTTTTCTTACGTAGGAGAAGGCGCAACCAAGAACTTGACATCTTTGACACAGAGTATAAGGAATATACGTCAAGAAATGACCTTGGTGGTACTTCCGGAGGCAATGGCAATGGCGATGGCGATGGTGATTATTATGTCTCTGATATGAGCAGCTTATCTGCGAATGCTGTTTCCCACGCTGGAGCTCACAACATGAACATCGATTATTCTGCTGTTGACTATGGATTTGGTCCTCCCCCGAAGCCAGGTTCGGGATCAAACCGTACCTCCGTGGCTAGTAATCATGCGGGATACGGAGCTTTCAGATCCGCTACTGAGGGACGCAAGCCCCCAATGCAGAGTTCGGGTTTGCGATCGGAGACGACATGGAACTCCGACACCGCATACACAGAACCCGCCGTTGGTGAAAATCAATCCATAAATATGGCGCCGAACGATTACACATCCTATTATTCTGCTGCTGTTCGTGCACCCGGAATGGCTCACTAGCTCCCATTTACCTATTTATGAATGGCAGTGAGTAGCGATTTCTTCTTACAGACAGATACGCAGCATGCTCACACGTTATCACCGGTACCGCTAGATCGGTAATCGATACTGTCGATACCACGTCTTTTCACGATGCTGGTACTTCATTTGCCCTGACTCGCTCCGATCCCTGGTGGAACACAGCGGCTGTTCCATTTATGCCGTCCATGTCTATGCTTTTACTCTATAACTACCCAACTCCTCTTGACCAAATTTGTTTGACTCCTTTCATACGGGTTGTATGTTTGTGTATTACGTTGTGGAGAAAGCTTGAGGTGTGTTATTCTTCTTTATTCGATCTGGTCCACGGTTTTGTGATATACCCCTTGTTACCTTCGCTTCCTTGCTTATCGTCGTAGTCACAGTGATACCCATTGCTAGCTCGTGCTGTCTCTCTGCTCAACGCCGTAAATAGCTGGCTTAGGATACGCAGTTTTTAACCATGTACTATTCGACAAGCGATTTTATATATGTTGTTGTCTTCTTGGGCACGTGATGCGTATCTTTTAGTGATTCAGTTGGTTTCCCTCATCCTGCATGTGCACCACTGCAAGTCGGTTCAAGGTACTTAGTAAACAAGTCAGTGCTTTGAGCTTAACTAGCCTCCGTGCTTCTCCATGAGACCAACAAGTATAGGGTCCTTCAAATTCGTTAGTGTATATTGCCAACTTGCTTCAAGATGTGAATACTCAGGTCCGCAGAGAAATCTCTATGTTCCGTATCTTGGAAATTCGTCGATTCCTCAAAATATCGGAACGGCACAAACTAATGAAAAGTATGCTGTCTTCTGGTTCAGCGAGAAACGAACTAATCACGATTAAGGTTAACTATCGTCAATCCTGCTGACGGAGAGGAGATCTGCTCGTATGTTCCAGTCGTAGCGTTGCATTTCAATGTTGAAGGCTCTGACCGTGCAAACAAGAGTATTATCTGCCTCAAAGGAGCTCGTTGATTATGCAGTGCGTAAAGCGAATGAGGTTTTCTCGTCCGGCGTCTGGTCACGCAAGCCAGCACATGAACGTTCAATCGTACTTTCGCGCCTCGCCCGTGCCCTTGAAGCGAGGATGCCTGACTTCGTCGAGATAGAGTCCATGCAGACTGGCCGTGCAATCCGAGAAATGGCCGCACAAGTCGGTCGACTTCCTGAATGGCTGTCAGCCTGTTCCCCCAGTAAACGTATTCTCAGTTCGGTTTGTTGACTTGGATTGTACATTACAGAGATTATTATGCTGCACTGCTTAGGACGCGCGAGGATTTTGTTGCACCCACTCAAGGAAAACTACTAAACTACGTCAAACGAGTGCCCTTGGGTGTCGTTGCGCAGATAACGGTAATGTTGCACCCGGAGGGGATACACCGGGAATACTAATTATTCACTTATCTGTTCCAATATAGCCTTTCAATCATCCGCTTCTCATTGCAGTGAAGAAACTCGCTCCCGCCCTTGCCGCAGGAAATAGCGTTATCGTCAAGCCTTCCGAAGTAAGTTTGCATTGTCATATAGGCTGCAGATGTTTCTGACACTTGCAATTCCAGTTAGCTCCTATATCTGTGCTCGAGTTTGCTCAATTGGCAAGTGATTCTGGGTGTAAGTTGAACGGCCACAATAATCATTGGTTTTCTCTCATGCACGTTTTCTTCCACAGTGCCAGACGGTGTACTCACTGTGCTCCCTGGCCTTGGACATACAACGGGCAAAGATCTCTGTTCCAACCCTTCGATATCAAAAGTCGACATTACGGTAAGGTCGAATTGTTGTCTAAGAGAGACTCTCATGAGTATTTGATTAGGGAGGCACTAAAGTAGGTCGAGAACTCGGGAGCATAGTCTCTTCAAATCTCGCGTATTATACTGCGGAACTCGGGGGAAAAGTATGTGTTACATCTCTCCAAGTACTATCTCTGTCATAACGTTTCTTCTTTAAAGGCCCCAATAGTAATGTTTAACGATGCTGATCTTGAAATGGCCGTTAATGGGACGGCGTTTGCTGCATTTGTTGCGTCAGGGCAGACATGCGTTTCAGGTGCTCGTATAATCGTGCACGAGAATATTTACGACAAGTTTATGTCTACACTTGTGGAAAAGACTAAATCCATTACTCAAAGGATAGGAAATCGTACGAGTCCCTCCTAGATTATTAATTTGATCCTAAAATATTATTTTAGCGTTAAATCCGAAGTCGAGTATGGGTACGATCATATCGATGCATCATCTACAGAGAATTGCCGACATGGTCAATCGCACATCCGGGACCGTCTTGCTCGGAGGCAACCGGTTACACGGCCTGTCTCCGTTAGACGGCTTCGACCTATCGAAAGGAAGTTTCTTCGCTCCGACGATAGTTACTGATATTGATACAACGGACGAACTCTGGCAAGAGGAAATATTTGGTCCTGTTATCGTTGTCAAGACTTTCTCAGTGGGTCCTTTCCTCCGTTCTTCAGCCGCAAATATTTATAGAGTTGACTTATGTAGACCGAAGAGGAAGGGATCCGGCTGGCAAACGATTGTAAATACGGTCTTGGAGCAGGCATCTGGACATCAAATCTTTCAAGAGCACATCGAGTCGCGGAAGAAATTCAAGCAGGACTTGTATGGGTAAATACTCACCATCGAAACGACCCCAGCTCGCCTTGGTTTGTTCCTTTTCGGCTCTTTTTGTCTTATCCATGGTTTTCTGATGCATATGAGGCGACAGGGGTGGCATGAAACAGAGCGGTGTCGGTAGGGAGAATGGACTTGAGGCGTATGAATCTTGTAGGTACCTACTCACGCTCGATATTGTCATCCATTAACTGTCATTTATCTGGAAGATACTCAAAGCAAGTCCATCATAGTCAACATTGCTAGTACGGAAGAATCGAGAACAGCAGGAGACTGGTTTGCAGAGGAAGGAAACGCAAAACGATATGGATGACAGCGTTGCGCGTGAATACCGTTAAATAACATGGAACGCATGGATGGATGGATGTAAATAAATACTGATGGAAAGCATTGAAATGAAACTTGCGTCGTGTCTAAAGCCGATCATTTCAAGGGTATACAGTGAGCATGTAGAAATGTCCTGGTATTGATCTTTAACAGATACGCTGCGACTTCTATGTCCAGGGGAGGACACAGTTTGACTTCGACTACAGGCTCCCACAACACGCCAGAAGTTGCTCTGAAGGTCGTCTGTAACCATTATCCAATATGCTCTGTGCTACTTTCTCATACATTTCCTTGGCGTTCTGTTCCGCATCGAAGTTAAGCAGCCACTCTGGGAATGGGATGGAAACCTCTTCGTCCTCGGCTCGTGAATCAGGACTCTTGTGAAAGTTGTCCCGAGTTGAGACGCCTTGTAGTTGAGCACGAAGGACGCGGTCGTACCTACAATACATTGGTCAAATCGGATCAATTTCAAATGATTGGAAAAAATTACCTGATGTGCTCAAATACTCTCAATGCCAATGGAATATCCTTCTTCCCCGCACGCTCCAGAACTGTAGCGAGCGCCACACCATCCTCCACACCCTGGGATGCACCCTGAACACTCGTTCTGAGTGTCGATCGTTAGCATACTTTGAATGTTGCAAAATAAGTAAGAAACGTACGGAAGGAAAGTGTGCGCAGCATCGCCGATAATGACAGTTCTTCCGCCCGAACTGACCCACGTTGGTAAGGGGTCACGATACACGAGCTTCCAATCGATACAGGAAGGTGCCTTCTCTATTATTGCACGGCAGCGAGGGTCCCAGCCCTCGACGTAGGAAAGAACCTCGGAAATCTTTCCGGGGAACGACCATGATTCGTCGACGTCGTAATCATCTCTGTCAGAGGGGTAGTTGAAACCATGTATCAGCCGCGTGCATAATGTTCCAGAAAATTTGATTACCTATGTGTCAAGACCCAGCACATCTCTTCGCCATTCTTAAATGACATGGCCAGCATGTGCACATCCTTTCCTGGGGTAAAGTATGTTCGAATCCTTCTCGTTAAGACATACTGATAACGATACAGACTCACCGACCCAACCGTGGAACGCACCACCTTCCTCGCAAAAGAAGCTCGTTAAAGGATCTTTGTCGATGCCTCGTTCTCTTGAGTTAAACCATGCCCTATAAACCGCATAGTCAGAGGGCTTGGCTTTGTCCTGATGGCCCTGTTTTACGTTTTAAGTTGAATTTACTTGGGGAGAACAAGTACCGAACGTGTAAAGAAGTACCAACCAGAACAAGCTCTCGCGCACGACTTCTGGCGCCATCAGCGCCGACCACGATGTCTACTTCTAATCTTTCACTATTCACAATTACACCAGCTTTACCACTCTCTGGATCTTCCCAATAATCCGTGACGTCCTGACCAAATCGGACGTCAACCCCCATTTTCTTGGCGTATTTGAGAAGAATCTCATGGATCTCCCCGCGACGACCATTGTACGAGTTTGATCCGTATAACCGTTGCGGAAGCACCTGTTTATTGATCACTCTCCCGCAAAAGTTATGCATATACATGTGGGGGTGTTGCGTGCAAATGTCCATTAACCTGATCAGGAAAACATCAAACCCTGAGGAAGTCACAGCGAATACGTGTTGAAGACGAACTGTTCTCCTAGTCCCCATTTCTCAAACAAGCGTCCAGTATTCGTAGCAAATGAAATTACCTATTGAATAACTTATTACTCGAAAGACTGGTCAGTAAAGAGACTCGGAAGCTTACATCTCCTATACGAAGAAATCAATCAACTGCAGTCAAGTAAGGAGTAATACACTTTACCTAAATTCTCTAGAGAGTGACGCTTCTCCAATAGAATGACTTTGTGGCCTTTGCGCCTTGACTCTATTGCACATGCGAGGCCCGCAAAACCACATCCGACAATGATTACTTCAATCACCGAAGACTCGGAGTTAGAAGAGGCGGATTTCGAAGGCATGACCGAAAAGTGTGCCTTGAACAAAAACCAAGACTAGTTGACGATCACGGATGTAGATTTGGTTGAGAAAAAGGGCTAATCACGAAGAGACCTAGTAAAGGCTTTTTGAAATTGCTGCACAGAATGGGCAGCAACACCACATCCAGTCAGGAAGGGTCGACCTTTTATACTGCTTCCAGTGTAAACCCAATCGGCCACATTGTATATGAGAAGCAACGAAAACGCCACCACTTGCGCGTGTCGAAGGGAGCGATGCGGCGGACTCGGGTGGGTGATCTTAAAGCAGCGGGCAGAGAAGGACTTGTCCAGGGCGCTCCGACAGATCGGCCCTATGCTATTTCGATAGCCCTAGGATAAACAACCTATATGTGGAAACAAGAAGCTCGAAATAAGTCAGAAGGTACTTGTTGTTGACAATGCCGACGTGCGGAAATGTATCGGTACCGCAGCCGAAAGCGATCATCGGGCGCGTCAAAAGTCACGGAAGCATCACGCAGGGTAAAGTAAATCGCTCACCGTTCCTCCAAATGTAATCTTGGAAGAAATATACGTTTCGCAAGTCAGTTGGTATGCTCACCTTGTTGGTTTGCAGCATCCAGGCTCGTGTTGTAGAGACCATCGGCGAAATCGGTGATACACATTTGGCTCTGATAACAAGGCCATGAAAACTTGACGTACATCGCTCTGCGAACACCGCGCGAAGACTAACACTTGACAAGCGAGATGTAGAACCAAATGTTTTTAATTCGTCCGCATGTTGAGTTAAACATGTGCTCCAAATAGCCAGAGAACTGGAAATGAATTGCCCGGGATGCCTCTTTCATTCGATAGTCGTAGCTTATCAGGATAAATGCGTTTGCAGAGCGGTCCGGAAAAGAAAGAAATCGTTCTATGAAACTAGCCAAAGTCGTGCGGGGGTGACAAAAGCCAGATGGCTCCGAGGATCAAATTCTCTGAGCAGTATAACACATTGATTTGCTGACACGGTATTCGCGTGATTTCCGGTGATCGCTTGAATCCACTTGGTGAGGTGCAAAAAAAGAAATGTATATATGTATCGTCCAGTATGAACACAGTAACTAAGGAGAAAGTTTAATAAGCGCAGCGAATAGGAAAAGAGAGAGGCTTACTCTAAACACGCCAGCAGTAAACAGGAAAGGATAGTGGCTTATCCAATTTTCCTCTTAGAGAACCACTCTGGATACGTTGCAAATACCAACTTGATGGCCATTTTCACAATCTGTCTATCGTTGGCATACGACAGCTTTTCCGCAACCTTGTCTAGTTCCTCCTGGTTTTCCACGTCTACATCCACTGGCCAAAACCTCGATTCGAAGTTTTCGCTAAGCATCTGAGTGCCGGTACGCTTTCCCGCATCGCTTCCCGTTGTGCGCGAAATGAACCACCAAATGAATTTTAAATCGCGTTCGGCAACATGGCGAATTGACACTGTGAAAGGCTCGGTGCAGGCGCGTACGAAATGAGGGTGGTCCTTCATGTCGGCACCTGAAGACGGCGAGCGTGTCATCATATCCACGGGGAGAAGCTCGCACGCATAACTCGTTTCCTCGTACGTCTCACGGATCGCTGCCTGAGCGAGGGATTCACCCTGGTCCTGCCTGCCCTTGGGGAGTAGCCATTCGCCCTTTGTGAGGTGATGCAGAAGGCAAACTTGCAGTGGACTGTCGTTGGTTGGTGGTCGAAATAAAATCGAACCAGCGCAGTTGACGAATTCATGCGCTGCAAGTTGCGTTATAGGCCATTTTGATTCGGCCATCGGTCGACAACGGATGCGGTCAGAAGTGGTTTTGCGATGATGGCGAGCAAGGTCAAGTCGTTGAACACAGCACTGTTAGTCATTGTTATTGAGGTCTATCCTAGACTCCTAGTGTCAATCGGGCTTCAAATACTACTTACACGTTTGCTCATATCCACTTATGGCAACAAAGTTCAATTTGACTATATATTACATAAGCAAATATCCAGTACATCCTAGATGTCTCCTATTCATCGACTTCCTTTTTCTCATTTATCTATTTCAATATAGCACATTAAAACGCAGATGGAGTCCATCCGCCATCAGCAACAATTATCTACAGCTCTTCGTCAGCATACAAAATTTCTGCATCCAATGCAGTTGTCCGCTAACCTTATTCGTGAGGTACGCGTTTGTAATAAGGAGCTCGATTACCGATGCAATTTCATCGGGCACTCCAAACCGTCCAACTGGAATCCGTGCCTTAAGCGTGATAATTAGCGAGCATCCTATTATATTCAAGTTTGCATTCCATGACTCACTCTAAGCTCTTCTTTGGGGTTTGCAAACATGGTCGTTTCTGTGGATAATAAATTGACATCCATTACTGAACCAAGAACAATATGAACAGATTTCTCACCAGTTATCAGAGCTGGCGCAACTGCATTGCATGTCTAAGGAATCCAATATTAGACATATGTGCATATCGTACAGATGAAACGTACCAGTCCATCCTTTGCGTATCTCGAAGCAATCCAGTGTACGAGACCATGCATGGCAGACTTTGAAGAAGCATAATGCGGACCGATCACCCCGCCGGTTCCTGCAGCAACACTATTTGAAGCATAAATTAATAAGGTCACTTACACTATGCATATCCAACTCCTACTTGCCTAGAACAAAAGATGATCCGTCCGAACTTCTGTGAGACCATATGTGGAATGCATAGCTGCGTGAGCTGTTAAAGAGTTACGCGAGATAACAACGGAGGATGAGAAGGACGGACTAAATAATGCGTCCCGGTGTTCGTCCGCCAAGTCATTTCAAATGCTTCTGGTGAGATATCTTCTATATTACCATCCGCACCGATGACTTTCGTAGTCACTCCTGCATTGTTGAAGAGAATATCCGGGTTTCCCAAGGAGGAGACAACTGCAGCGTGAAGTGCACGGACCCCATCATACGAGGAAAGGTCAGCTTGGAAGGACGCTGCACGAACTCCGAGACCTCTCAGTTTGGCTGCAAGCTCAACTGCAATACTTTGGGCGGAATTATAATGCACTGCGATACTGCAACCGACTCCGGCAAGTCTCAATGCTGTGGCATGTCCAATGCCTCCGCTATAATTAGGGAGTCAATTAGTATATTTAACGTTTTCTGCGAATAGTCCATTCATGTATGCACATACGTGCAACCTGTGATTAGAGCAAGCTTCCCTTTCAAAGCCTCTGAGCTACGTGAATCAGTCGCGGAGGACGTCATGATGTGACCGGTGAAACCGGACGGCACTTGCAACGGGATCTGTACTTCTGGGAACGGGGATGAGAAATCATTCAATGATGTATCATACTCTGCAAATTACGAAAACGTGATCCTCAGATAGGATTTCCCCCGGCAGTACAATGTTAGCCTCGGCAGCGCCTTAGTAAATACATGCAGCGGCCAAGGATAGCTGCTACTCTCCAGATCGGAGTTACGCCGCAGCACCTGCGCGATAACAGGCGGAGATTCATACCGACGTTAATCCAGAAGGATTTCTAATAATTTATACAGGATCCGTAGATAAATGCATATACTTTTATAATTGAACGGCACTTCTACATAAGCACGTGTATGGGTAGCGATGCGTCGGATGCATACCATTTTAGAGTTTACTGAGTCTCGAAACAGCCGTCCTTCAGTTTTATTCGCAGTCGATGAGGTCTCTTCCGGTTTCGCAGGACTAATTAACGCCTGTGCCAGACAAGAGACAGTGAGGACAGATTGATGCGACGAAGACCGGAGGATTTAACATCAGGTAGATTATCCGTTTCTGTGAGAACGAGGGCAAGATGTCGGGGAATGTAGATTACCCATAGAGCGGCTGCAACGTCGCAGATCAATAAGGGGATGACTAAAAATAGTCGTGGCAGTCGCAGATATGGCTCATGCTTACTAATGAGGCATATTTTGTACAGTGTACAGCCACCGAGCCACGGCACTAAAATCCGATGGTCTCGTCATAAATTACCGACCTACAAAGCGGCGACCCCCCTCCTTCCTTCTCCTAGCACCCCTTAGAAGACTTTTCACGCATACTCCGCTTGCGATAAAGTTGACCTCGAAATGGTCACCGTGAATACTATAATTCTAATATCGAACTTGCACTGCAGCAGGTGAGCACCAGGTCGCCGCAAGATTTTTTTGTGGCGCGTTTACTAATCGTATCTCCATCTCAGCTGCGTATCTACCATTCGCGAAACGCTGCTTTCACTCTCACCGCCTCCCACCTCCATTAATACCTCAATCGTCTCGCAGACTGTCTCGGTAGAGCACGATCCCGGTCTTTCGCCTGAAGCGATTAAGGCCGCGCTCGATGATGCGGGCTTCGATCTCGTTTCTACGCCGGAGGCCGAGAGTTATCGCATCCGTCGCTCCCCTTCGTACTTAGAAAGGCTCACCAAAAAGCGTGAAAAGCACGCAGAGCAATGTCTACTTTGTCAGCAGGACACAGGAATCCCTGCCGTGGAACAACCGGAGACCATTAGCGAGCATTCAGAAAACGCCACGAGTGTCGATTCTCTGACTACCTCTACCTCTCGAGATGAAGGGAAAGGCAAACCTATCAAGAAGAGCCATGCAACATCAGGACCCTTCAAAGCGTCATTCTCCGTGGGAGGTATGACATGTGCTTCCTGCGTTGGGAATGTTAGTCGTGCAGCCGAGGATATTCCTGGAGTCTCCGATATTGCAGTCAACCTCATTGGACATTCTGCTACCGCAACGATAGAACGTGGAGAACTTGCTGATACTATAATCAAAGCGGTTGAAGCGGGTGGATACGATTGTGATCTTGTCAGCATTGAACCCATCAAGGACCTAAAAGCAGGGCTACCCAAGTCTGGCTCTCCAGCTCAACAAGGCCCATTTCTCGCCACATTCTCGGTCGGAGGGATGACCTGTGCATCTTGCGTTGGTAATGTCACAAAGGCAGCGTCCGAGATCCAGGGTGTAACAGACGTGGCCGTAAATCTGGTTGGAAAATCCGCCACGGCACTTCTACAGAGCAAGGATCTTGCAGATGAAGTCATTAGAGCTATTGAAGATGGAGGATATGAAGCGACCCTAGTGTCGCTTGAACCACTTCAGCACGGACGGGAAGAAGAAACAGGACAAAGAAGTGTCTCCTTGAGAATAGAAGGAATGTTTTGCCAGTACGTGTTCCCATCCAGCAATAGAGGAAAGTCTACTGACAGCTTTTTACAGGCATTGTCCAGAAAAGATCATGAAGAAGCTTGAGATGTTTGGCGACAAAGTCACTGTTGACGAGCCTCTCGGGTCCTACAGTGACTCCATGCCCGTCATACGGCTCACATACACTCCAGCACCGCCCGATTTCACGATTCGGCACATTATATCCGAAATCGCTTCCGCTAAATCACCGCCTTTTGACGTGTCTATTGCGAAGCCTCTGTCATTAGAGGAACGTGCTCGAGCAATGCATATAGAAGAGCAGCGTCGCTTACTTATCCAACTTGTTTCCGCGGTCATAATCGCCATTCCAACCTTTATTATTGGAATTGTGTATATGACGCTCGTTCCTGCGTCGAACCCTACGCGCATGTGGTTTATGCATCCGTTATGGACGGGAAATACTAGTCGCGCTGAATGGGCGCTCTTTTTCCTTGCAACTCCTGCAATGTTTTTCAGTGCTAGTCACTTCCATCGGCGTAGCATCAAGGAGATTTATAGTATTTGGCGTCCAGGAAGCAAGGTACCCATCTGGCGGCGTTTCGTTCGCTTTGGGAGCATGAATCTACTGGTATCGTTGGGAGTATCGATTGCATATTTTGCATCCATCGCACTTCTTGCGCTTGCTGCAGTGGAGAGTCCTGATCCCCACGGAGAGGGAAACAGTACGACATACTTCGACTCCGTCGTGTTTTTAACAATGTTTCTCCTCGCTGGTCGTTTTCTGGAGGCATACAGCAAGGGTCGTACAGCCGATGCAGTCACTGCCCTCGGACAGCTGCGACCCACGGAGGCCTTTCTCCTTGTACCAGAACACGCAGCTTTGCCTTCTACGAATGATCGTGACAATTTAGACCTTGAAAAGGGACTTGAAGATGACGACCTGTCAAGCTCTAAAGTCGGAATGCGGATGCAAAAGGTTAACGTTGATCTTCTCGAGGTCGGCGATACAGTACGCGTCCCCCACGGTGCAACTCCACCTGCTGATGGCATAATAGTCTCGAGAGACGGAAGTCAATTCGATGAGAGTTCATTGACTGGAGAGAGCAAACCAATCAAGAAGGAAAATGGCGAGCAAGTGTTCGTCGGAACGATCAACAGGGGTAGAGCCGTTGAAGTGAAAATTACAACACTAGGGGGAGAGACGATGTAAGTTACAAAATCCAGTAGTTTACGATGGTGCTAACTTGAGATGCCACAGGCTGGACCAAATCGTCAAAGTCGTACGTGAGGGACAGACGAAGCGCGCACCGATTGAAAGATTTGCGGATGTTATTACTGGATACTTTGTCCCGATCATCACCTTGTTGTCGATCCTCACTTTCATTATTTGGGTTGCTCTTGGGACTAGCGGAGCATTGCCTCCTTCATATCTGGATATCTCAGTCGGCGGTTGGCGTAAGTGACCTTGCTTTTCATGTGACCTCTCATTTGCTGATGCCGAGTCCTCGTTCAGCTGTTTGGTCACTTCAATTCGCAATCGCGGTATTCGTTGTTGCATGCCCTTGTGGTATCGGTCTTGCCGCGCCGACCGCGTTGCTCGTCGGTTCAGGTCTCGCCGCAAAATTCGGAATTCTCGTGCGAGGTGGCGGTGAAGCATTTCAAGAAGCCGCACAGCTTGACGCCGTCGTCTTTGATAAGACTGGGACTCTGACGGAGGGTGGTGAGCCGAAAGTCACCAACGTTGATCTAAAGAGCGAACTCATGCCGTCATGGAACCGTGATGCGATTTTGAGTATCGCACACGTTCTCGAGTCTTCCAGTTCCCACCCTCTTGCCGAGGCAATCCGGAGATATTGTGAGACTCAAGAGGATCTGAAGTTGACTAACGACAATGCAGCAGTTATCGAGGAGACTGCTGGGAGAGGACTGAAAGGCAAATTCTCTACCCCTCCATGCGAGGCGATAATTGGAAATGAGCGCTGGATCGAAGAGCACGGTGCAAGTTTCGATGCCACACAACAAGATCTATTGAGTCAATGGCAATCGGAAGGCAATAGCGTGATCGCCATCGCCATTCGAGAGCAGCCTTCTGGCCGATATGCTGTCTTGGGTATATTTGCTGCCGCTGACAAGCTTCGACCAGAGGCACCCGCGATCGTGGAAGCACTTCAGAAACAAGGACTTGGGACCTGGATGATTTCTGGTGACAATCCAACGACAGCGAAAGCAGTTGCGAAGACTGTCGGCATTCCGGAGACCAATGTCATTGCAGGCGTCCTTCCACACCAGAAGGCTGAAAGAATCCATTGGCTTCAACAAGTCGGCAAGAAACGAGAAATGGCCAGATGGAAGCAAATGCTCGGGATGAAACGTCTGAACGAACGATGCGTTGTGGCAATGGTGGGAGATGGAATCAATGATGCACCGGTAAATGCTCCTTTTCATTGTCGAACGATCAGGGTTGTCTGACTCTTGTTAAAGGCCTTATCCGCTGCAGACGTTAGTGTTGCCGTTGGGTCAGGCAGTGACGTTGCCATTTCGAGCGCTTCCTTCATTCTGATCAAGTCAGACCTGCGGAGCCTCCTGACGTTAACAGACCTTTCGCGACGAGTCTTCAGAAGAGTGAAGTTCAACTTCGTAAGTTCTGTCCAATTCTAATCGAAGATCTTTGACTGACTGAATTAAAAAAGCTCTGGGCAGTAATGTATAACGCTGCTGCCCTGCCGATCGCAGCGGGAGTGATTTATCCGGCTGGTCATGCTAGATTGAGTCCTGTGTGGGCCTCCCTTGCAATGGCTCTATCGTGAGTCACATCCGAACAACTTACTCCAGCTCATCACTGATGCATTATTTTGTGTAGGTCCGTTAGTGTTGTTTTAAGTTCTTTGATGCTTCGTCTTTATAGAGAACCGAAAATAAGCCTGTCGAACTAGGCGGTCGTTACGAACGCACATCTCCGTATAGTTAACTGTGGGTTAGAATGTGTTGTGCGGGACTGAATTTTTGACTATGCGTAAATAAGTATAGTTTCTGATAATTACTGAAAGTGTGTCTGTACCTGAGGAATTACGAAAACATTTTTTCTCTTGCGAGATGCGGTCGTCATGAGTTGTGAATCGTGATGGACAAAGTTTGGCGGACAAACTATTTTTGCCATGCGTCTAAATTCTGTGTCTGACGCTGCCGATCACGATCTAATTCTATTCCGTCATCTTCTACTTAAATTTACCACTTCGCGAGCTGGACAAAACCTGCAACCCAACCTCTAAAGTTCAAACAGGACGGCTTGTGGGCACTACTCAAAACGCGAAGTATAACCATTTCTTAAACCATTTCTCAAGATCAACTTCTACGTGGGATTGTGCGGTCTTGATCTGAGCAATAGCCTCCGAATGAATAATGTTTCCCTCGCCCCACACTTCTTCAGCGCGGTGAGATGGGACGCTCTCCGGACCGCTCGGTAACGTTTTTCCAAGTATTTTCGTCACGGTCAGTCAGTTGACCATCACCAGGGTGCGTTTATGGTAGCGCGTGTTCATGTCGATAGAATACGACCATGCGCTAAACAATTTCTTTGCTTCCGGCTGCCGTTCACAGAAATTTGGTGTTTTGATCGCGGAATGAAGATGACCGACCGGTTCAAAGAGACGAGAAGTGGTGCTTCGGACCCCTTATAAGCGGTAGTTGTTTCTGGTGACACGTTCAACGAGCCAGACCACCCGTCTTCCTTCGTCTGTCCGTCCGTTCGGTCGAAGTCCAGGCACTTGCCTTCCGCCCAGTGCTTCGAAAGCTTGCTATTGTAGTTAGCCATCGTTTCGACCATCTCTGGTAATTACGTCATTATGGGGTCAACTGCTGCGCTGCCTACGCCAACGAACAGCAAGGCTATCCTACTTGCCGTCTTTATTGCATTCGGTAAACACCTTTGCAATTGAGTCTAAAATACTGCGCTGACTCAATTGTTTGATAGGAGGATTCCTGTTTGGTTATGATATTGGTGTTATTTCAGTAAGTTGATTTGATTGCGCTTGAGCTTGGCTTGACTATTGTTCAAGGGATGTCTTATTATGCCCGATTTTATACGACGATTTGGAGAGCCGGATGGCAAAGGCGGATTTGTGCTAACGAGCTCGCGTCAATCAATCATCACGTCTCTTTTATCAGCAGGGTATGGACCTTCTCCTATATAGGTTCATTGAGGTTGACAAAACCCCCTTAGGACGTTCGTAGGAGCCCTTGCTCAGGCATTCACGTCTGATCGCTTTGGTCGGAAGGGATCAATTCTTATCTGGTCAGGGATCTTCACTATTGGTGTTGCCATTCAAACTGCCACGACGTTCTCGCTTGCGCAAATCACCATTGGACGCTTCATTGCTGGCCTAGGTGTGGGAGCATTGTCTGGTACGTGCTTTATTAGAACCACAGACGTTCGTCGGACTGATGGACATGTAGCAATCGTGCCGTTGTATAATGGCGAGACCGCTCCGAAGAAAATTCGTGGCACAATGATCGTGTTGTATCAACTGCAGATCATCACAGGGTACACTAGTCCAGTAGTTCTTCATCCACAAAAACAAGCTAATGCAACCCTCCAGAATTTTTATCAGCTACGTAATTGACCTTGGGACGCATTCGATAGGCAACTCTGCTTCCTGGCGGATTCCGGTCGGGCTGCAGATGCTCTGGGGACTTATCCTACTTTCTGGCATATTCTTCCTTCCAGAATCGCCCCGTCATTTGCTTGGTCTGGGTCGCACAGATGAGGCGCGTCGAGTCATTGCAGATCTAAATTCGGTATCTGTGGACGATCCGCTTGTGCTCGACATGGTTGAGGAACTCGAAGTCGGTATAAAGGAAGAAAATGAAGGCGGCAAAGCAACGTGGTTGGAATGCTTCTCTACGCGTAATAAGCTATGGAAACGTACGATAAATGGAATGATGCTTCAGTTCATACAACAATTGAATGGCCAAAACTTCTATTGTACGTTATTTTATCTGTGTATAACACTAAATACAGATGATAACCACTTATTTACAGATTACTACGGCGATACTTTCTTCAAGAGTGCAGGAACTGAGTAAGATCAATAATGGTGTCTCAAGCATTCCTAAGTAAAAGCTTAATACTTGAATAAAGGTTGTCTCCGTACGTGATTCAGACGATTCTCGGTGCAGTATCAGTATTTGGTACCGTCCCAGCGCTCTATCTCATAGAGACATGGGGTCGTAGAAGGGTGAGACATTCCATCATGCCTATTAGACCTAAGTTCACCTTTTCATCATAGTCTCTACTCACTGGAGCTATCATGGAGGCGGTTTGCTCGTTGGTCGTACGTTGTTTTCTTTTTCCCTCATACTCATACAAAGCTGAGCATGATTTATCCTGAATAGGCGGGAGTTGTTGGGGGCAAGCTGCTACCTCCTCCTGGGACAGACGTAGAAAGCATCACCCTCACTGCGCGTAATAAACGCGGAGGAGATGTACTCATTGCATTTGCTGTCATGCATGTATTCAGCTTCAGTATCTTCTGGGGTCCGACTCCGTGGGTGTACCTTGGGGAGTCTTTCCCTCTCCGTGTCCGACCGAAGTGTATCGCTTTGGGAAGTGCATCGAGTAAGCGTCTTTCCTTCCTCAAATATTGTGTATGGTGCTGATGATGTCTGGAGACTGGATATGGAACTTCCTACTCTCGTTCTTTGCTCCAAGGATCGCAAACGAGTGCGTCCATCACTTCCTAACCAGAGCCATTTCTTTGCTTACTCCTACCTTTTGCTACTCATAGTATCGGTCCATGGATCCTGATGATTTTCTTTGGCATGTTGGTATTCGGTTTCTTCTACGTGTACTTCTTCATCCCCGAGGTGAAGGGCCTAAGTCTCGAAGAAGTCGACGAACTGTACCGATCTGGCGTGAAGCCGTGGAACTCGTCTAGTTGGAGACCTGCCGACAAGCATCTCCACCATCATGAGAAACGCGAGAGCGTTAGCGACGAAGTGCGTGATGACAAGGAGAGGGTATAACGATAGATATGACGCGATGTTTTATTGATGGATGCGATGTTTTATTGATGGATGCGATTCAATTTTTCATCATCTAGTAATAACGAATAAATTCATGTCGTTTCTTTCATTTCACTCTTGCCAGGCTTGTACAGTTGTCCCTTCTCCTACTGCTCTAATATCGATGGGTAAGCGTGTAAGAAGCTTGTACGTTAATTTGCGTAGTTTTGTCGCTTGCGTATTCAAACTTGATACTTTGTATTTTCAACCCTGTAAATACAAAAAAGTTCCCTAATCGTACAATGTTTTTCAAGCCGAAACAAAAGTCACTGACGCCGTCCCCGACGAAAAGGGAACAACCCAAGCTCCAGCATCCTCCTGCAAATCCGTGGAAGGCTGCATACTACCAGAACCAGTCGTCTGCTTAACAACCACCCGAGCTCGTGAGGCAGGTGCGGCATCTTCAATTTCTTTCGGCGCAGGCAATATCGTCAGCGTGACGGACTTGCTCTCCGGATTGAACTCGAATGAGTCAAATGCTCCGGCATCAAGCGTAAACAGCCTTCCAAGCGGTGCAACAAATACTCGCCTACGTACGGAGTCTCGTACTTGAACTTGTACGTTCGTCCCAGAGCTATTCGTTACGCTACCCCCGAATGCCTGCCAGCCGAATGATGGGTGCTGCACGAGGTACACGCCAGAGTTAAGTGCGTGCCCCACGAAGTTTGGTCCGTAGTCTCCTGAATAAGCGTCCCATTTGAGAGTATCTGCGAAGGAATGAAACGATGCAGATGCAAAGCCTCCTTGGTCGATATTTGTCAATGGTCCAGATAGTCCACCAAATGCAACTCGCAAGAGATAGAAGTCATCGGGGTCGGACTCGAATTGAGACATTAGAGGAAGTGCATTCAATCCACTGCCGTAATGGTGTATCTGTCGTTCGATGCGCATGAGCTTGCCTCCGTAGATGTTGTCCCTGTTGAATATTAATATCGTTTATTATTCTTGATCATCACAGCTTCGTAGAACTTACCAATATCTTCGTGCGTTCCCGTTGTACCCCCAGTGGGCCACTGTAGGTTGGTACGCAAGGATAGAGTTCAGTGTATTTGTTGCAGTGGTAGTATCATTGAAATATTTGCTCCATCCATATACGCCTTCTTGAGCTGTAGAATCCCAAGCCATCTCGGAGGCGAATCTATCACGACCCTGGTCAAATGGTATCCACAGAGAAACGATTAACGATAGCTTACGGGAAACGCATTCCTGCCCATACAGCTTGCCGCGCTTTCATCCTACTTTCCATCGCCGTGGCATTCGCAGTTAGGCCTTCCCTCTTCAAATCCTCCAATAAATAAAGGAAGACAGTCTCATCCATAAGTCCATCATCCACGAATCCAACGTCACCGTCTGTCATCCTCATGACAGTCTGGAAAGCTTGATTAATAAACCATTGCCACGTTTGCGCCAAGGGTATAGACTCGTAGTTCCGAGCGACACGATACATTGCCCAGTACGCTCCAGTAACGTGAACGTAGTCGTAGGCACGGTCGATAGCGAAAGAAGCTGCTTGGTTCCAGGACCACCAGTTGGTCCAGTCAATTGACGAGGGATAATCATAATTAGGAACCAGATCTGGCTGATAGAAGAAAACGGACTAAAAGAAGTCCTCAGTCACAATAAAACACAAATACCGTGCTCTTGGCAACACACCTTCTTGACCGTGTAAATGCCTGAACCTACTCGAAAATCAGTTCGGAGATCTTATTCGCCGAAAACTATTGCCTTACCAGTCGAGTTCTGAACCGAGCCCCAAAGCGTTGAATTAACGAAGGTCTCCATCGTCGCCGCTTCGGACACTGTCGGTTGCACGTATTGTTTCATGGAAGCGGCAAGCCACGACCCAGCACCCGCCTCATCGCTCAGACCTGGGATCCAAGCTCGAGGGTCATTACGAACAACGGCGTTCACTTCCCGATCATAACTTATCACTGATGGTGAGCGATGGAACGGATCTGAGGGGTCATCGAACCACTGGTCTGTCGTCAAGAAATGCCCCAGGTCATCCATCACCTGTACAGCTGCCTTTGTCACGTAGTAATGTACAGTTTGTTCGGTTCCATCGTCATAGGTAATAGTTAGACGAGAACGACCCCAGGTGTTCGGGGTAATATCAAAGCCAACCCAGCTCGAGTTCAGCGAGTCTCCATTCTTTTTGGATGATAGGGCTCCAGCGGGACTGACAGATAATGATCGTACCGGTGATGCATAGTTCAGGAATAGCTTTCCAGTTTGGTCCTGCGGCAGTACATATCCTGGGATACCGACAGCCATTGGTCGCTTCAGTGATAGTAATGTATCCTCGATCTGTCGAATAGACGGTGCGACATCAAACTGTAAGCCATACGTGCGCGTCTCCCCGGGCTGCAAAATCGCAGAAGTAGCGTTGTTCCACGGCACAACCGCGGCCCATTCATTCTCCGCATACGCTAATGTGTGAAACTGCCACTCGTAAAGACCTTCGAATGTTTGCGATTGATAGAAAGGATCCGTCGAAGTGTCCTCTGGTAGGAATCTCCATCCCTCTAGTGGGGATTTTCCAACGGGCGTCACGACCAGTGGCGGCAATGTGCCGAGCAGCGGTGTCACCTGCACGTAACCAGCGTCGAGCCCTATATAAGGATCGAACAGACTGCAATTGTTATTTGTGTCTGAGGCCGTCCTATCAGTGAATATCTAAGAAGAAAAAAGGTTAAAACGCAATATTTTTAGAATCCCAAAGGGTAGTCACGTTGTTGAACTCTAGATCTGCACCGAGAGCGCCAATTTCGACCGCGCGCGATTGTGCATTTGAGACGTCGAAAAGCAGCTGTAAATGACTATCATTCAGAACCCATCGGCGTGTGATATTTAGCAGGGAATTCGAGGGAAGAGTCGGCGAGAGATCTGCTGCAGCAAGCGTGTTGCCAGAAGTTGGTAGAGCGGTAACCTTCTTCCTTGCTTGTGAAGAATCACCACTCGACCAATTTGAGTTCGATCCAGCAATTCGAGCCCGGAAAGTGATGTCTCCCAAATGATATTGACCATCCGAATCACGCTTGCTCATGACATCATATGGCAGGAAATCGAAAGATCCAGTTTGACCACCAGGTCGTATTGAATACGCTGTTTGCGAGTCATTCACAATGGTGAACGAGAACGACGGTGTCTCGAAAGTCGTAAAGCCGTCAGACAGACCGAGTGTATGGCTGGCAGAGTAAGCTTCTAAGAAGCAACCTGGGAGCTGGAAGGCAGCGAGAAGTAAGGCAGTAGCGCGTTTCATCTTGCTTAGAGACTACGAAAGCTTGTGTCCTCGGGCTGAAGGACTTGCGTTCTGTTGATGCTCTTTTTATGTTGCTGAGGGTCATAAATGCGGCCCGCTACGAAAAAATCGGACGGGATCAGTTGACTGTGTAGTGACATGCTGGCGTCGAGACTTCGGAGGGAGAGCATGAGGGTGTGTGCTTCGTTGGATATGTGCGGTAATCAGCTTCGGAGAACATGTATATTTGTATTTATATTTGCATTGAATTGAGTGGCGCTGCCGGTTTTTGGCGTCGATCGCGGTGGCACGTGGTTCCAGCACCTCCGAGAACCGCATTTTACCGTCCTAGAACAGCCTGAGGCGAGTTTTGCTCGAAGCCACGACCATCTTCTTTCTTCCTACTCTCATCATGGAATATCCCGTAGAACGCCCTACTCGCGTGATGTCTGCGCTCACGGGCCTCCATGAGTTCAATCGGTCCCCACGGTCTAGTTCTGCCTTCACCAATAGATCTCTCTCACCTTCCCCGTCTGGTTCGGATTCAAATCTCTCCATTATGGCGGCGCCGGTCACAAACCCGATAATATTGGGTGTTTGTGCTATGGACGTCAAGGCCCGCTCCAAAGCAATGAGAGAAATTCTCACTCGAATAGTAGAAAGAAGTCGCGGCGTCGTCGAGGTCAAAATTTTTGGTGACAAGGTCATTCTCGATGAAGGTGCGTCATGCCCTATGCCCCATACACAACTATTTGGTACAAAATTTTGTCATAACAGACGTGAAGAACTGGCCTCGGTGTGATGTCCTTATATCGTTCTTCTCAACCGACTTTCCTCTCCATAAAGCCGTACAATACGTCAAACTCCGTAATCCGTTGTGCATTAATAACTTGCCCATGCAAGCCTTGTTGTGGGATCGTAGACTCGTTGGTGCTATCTTAGATCACCTAAAGGTACCAATGCCGAGAAGACTAGAAGTATCTCGCGACGGCGGTCCGAAGGTCGACGACGAGCTCCAACTGGTCGTTCAGGACAAATTAGGCCTGAAGATCGGCGGCTTGGTCGTGTGTCCTGAAGTGCGTCTTAGAGAGGATGGAAACGCAATCTTGGTTGACGACAAAGTAATGGAGAAACCATTTGTGGAGAAGCCTGTCAGTGGAGAAGACCACAATGTCTACATCTACTTCCGAAATGGAGGGGGCCGTCGTTTGTTCCGCAAGGTGAGTATATGCGCCACTCAACGATACATGCGGACATTTTTGATCTTCTATCTGTAAGGTTGGCAATAAGTCCAGCGACCCGGACCCAACTCTCAATCATCCCCGTACGGATGGATCATATATTTACGAAGAGTTTGTTGACGTCGATAATTCGGAAGACATCAAGGTCTACACTGTAGGTCCAGAATTCACTCATGCAGAAACGCGCAAATCTCCGGTAGTCGACGGGGTCGTTCAGCGGAATACGGATGGCAAAGAAATTCGCTTTATCACTCGTCTTAGCGAAGACGAAAAAATGTGGGCGGCACGAATTTGTGAAGGCTTCGGACAAAAAGTATGTGGCTTCGACATGTTGCGCTGCGACAATGGCCAAAGGAGCCAAGTTATCGATGTCAACGGATGGAGCTTCGTTAAAGGCAACGCGTCGTACTATGACAAGACAGCAGAGATCCTATCCGGAATCTGCTACCAACTCCGTTCATCGCCGGATCGCCACCTCCATTCCAGTACTGAGCCTGTAGTCCAGGGCGAATCCTCAACTTGGCTGCTTAAGGCCAACGTGACTGTATTCAGGCACGCAGACCGGACGCCGAAGCAGAAGTTGAAGTTCAACTTCCCGATCGGTGAAAGCTGGACACAACCTTTCGTGCGGCTCTTGAACGGAGAGCGCGAAGAAATCATCTTGCGAGAATCAACGCAACTCAGCTGGATTGCAACTGCCATTGAGGAGGCGAAGGGTTTAGGTGCCGAAGGCGAGAACCTTAACAAACTGACCTTATTGAACAACGCACTATTCAGCAAGATCGACCTTCCTGGTACCAAAGCTCAGCTAAAGCCTGTCTATTCTAAGAAACAGGCTGGAGAGCCCAGGCGGTTGATTAAGTTGACACTCGTTTTCAAGTGGGGTGGCGAGGTAAGTTACCAAACTGATCAGCTGCACCTCATATAGCTAACAGGACTTTAGTTCACCCATGCCGCCCGATACCAATCGCGAGACTTAGGAGAAAACATGAGGAAAGACATATCCATCATGAACAAGGACGTTCTGAATAATGTCAAGATATATACCTCGTCCGAACGTCGGGTTGCGACAAGTGCTGAGATCTTCGCCGCCGCATTGCTGGAAGGTTCACACAATAACTGGTCTGCTGCATCAACACCTCCATCCCGTTCAGGACGTACATCAGATGATGGCTGGTCTCACTCGTCTACTCCCAATTCCAGCACGATACCGCTCTGGGATAAACGAAGCTCTCATTCCTCTACTTCCAATGGCAATGGAAATACCATACCGCTGATTGTACGCAAGGATCTTTTGGACGACTCGAATGCTGCGAAAGACTTGATGGATGACGTGAAGAAGAGGCTGAAGATACTTCTAAGGCCTGGAGAACCGGAAAAGCGACCAGATTTAACTTGGCCGAAGAGCATGAAGAAAGAGCCTGTCGAGGTTGTTAAGGTTAGTGTTTTATATTTCCACAGGCTTCGATTTCGAGATTCATTAATTTCGCTCTTGGTCTTATAGGAGGTCATAGAGCTTCTTAGCTCGTTTAGGGACACGATGAAAAGGAACTTCGAAACTCTGAATGTTGATAAGATCCAGGAGCGATGGTGAGGCAAATTCGTATAAAGCGAGAATATAGTGCTAACTCGACTCAATAAGGTGTTGTGGGGATGAGCCTTGGCTATTCCGAGAAAGATGGGAAAAGCTGTTCGAAGATTTCTGCAACGTCAAGCAAGAAAAATTTGACCCGTCTCGGGTACGATTGCTTCCTCCTTTCATGTCAAACAAAACATTCATACTAACACTTCCCGTTTATAGGTATCGGAGCTTTACGACACTATAAAATATTGCGCTTTACATCACCGTACTTTCCTCTTCAGTATATTCTCAGAGCATGAGCAAGGAGAAGATCCGCCCTTTGCCAAACCGAAACCTCAGGACAGAAAGTTACATGAGCTGTACGGTCGTGCAAAGGCACTTTTCGATCTTGTCGCTCCGCAGGAGTATGGAATTGAACCTGCTGAAAAGTTAGTGCTTTTTCTAAATACCTATCATGTTGCGTGGTTATTGACGCTATATTCTTTAGGGAGGAAATTGGTGTCCTGACATCCCTTCCCTTGCTCCGGAATGTTGTTGAAGATCTTGAAGAAGCGCGTAACAGTGGCGAGAGTGCCCTGCGCCTATATTTCACGAAGGAAAGCCATATCCACACCCTTGTCAATCTCGTCCTCTACTCGGGCCTCCCCATCGCGAATCGGCGAATACCCGAATTGGATTACTGCGTACGTCCTTTTTTCTTACGTCAAGTTGGCATTATTTTGACATTTGCTTCGTAGTCACACATTGTGTATGTTCTAATTTCCGAAATTTAGTACAATTAACACTGACGCAACTCTAGATTCGAACTCTACGAGCGAAACGGTGGTCGAGAGAAGTCCGATAAAGAGTATTCAATCAAGTTGTCCCTTAGTGAAGGTGCACACTCCTCCAACGTCCTAGATTCCGAGCTGGACGCAAGGCATTCGCTAAATGTTCAGCCAAGGAGGTTTGTATTCATTTCCTGTCTAAACGGCAAATAGTCTGACTGAATCTTCCTGCCGCAGAAAACTTACACAACATCTACCATACAGCTTGGTTATTGAAAAGCTGTCCAAGCATTTCGATAGAAAGTTTGAGGTACGTCAAGAGAACTCAGTTTCAGTCGCTGATTATCAATTTAACGATGACCCTATACAGGACGAGGACTTGACACCAATACAAACTATTGACGCAATGAGCATGGGGACTGGCAGTAGTCCCGATGCCTTTTAATTTCAATTTTGAACGACATTATACGTATACAACTTTCCGTCTTTAATTCTTTGCAAATGATCTTGACGATACCACACATTCTCCTTACTTTCAATTTGCATAACTTTGCTTCATATATGAACAATCAGAAACGGCATTTCAAGCATTTCAAGCATTAGATTCCCATTTTCATCATAGATCATAGGATTTGGTTGGACGGAATAACTTTGTAAATTACATCAGTAACATAATCTGGATACAATATCAGCACTTGGACAACACCAACAAGTCATTGCACAGTTACAAAATTGATCTTAGATGAAGAACAGATACATAACGAACTCCTCGATAAACTCATTCACGACTTTGAAAGACCATCCTTGTCGCGCCTTATCTTATAGAAATCTGAAAACGAAAGACGGGTACCGAGGTATTTGCAGTCGAGGTCTGGATGAGCAGCGAGTGATACGACGAGAGATTGTACTTTCTCGCTGAAGGACGTTCGGTACGCTTCGAGACGCTGTAGGATTTCGGGGAGTGCTTTCCTGGCTTCTGCAAAGGTCTTTGTTGTTCGAGGGTCTACATAAAGTCCCTGACAGCGCGAATGGTGTGAATCGCACAAATTGAGAAGCGAAAGATCAAATACGTACCCGTCCTGCATCGTGCCACTCAACTTCTAGTCGATCGCGTTCTTTGAGAGTGTAATCATAGAGGTCATCCTGTATTATACACCACAGTAAGTAATAAACCCAGTGTTGGTGATTCATGGCATACCATGGCAGTTCGAAAGTCTACCATTATCCCACAAAGGTCACGTACTTGTCTCAGAAGGTTCTCCTGCAACTCAAAGTTCAAAGATCGGCAGCTAAATATACAGGGTAAAACTCACCTCCTTCCCGATCTTCGGATGAACAAGCCGAACTTTCTTGTCAACTGCATCGACATAATTCCTGTGCGCGGATATCAAAGCATCAAGACCGCCTTCTTTCTTATGTATGAACTCCATGAGCTTCTTCCATTGACACTCGATCACCTCGAGGTGACAGTACGCCTGCACCTGTCGCACGAAATGGATCATCTCTGCTATGGTCAACCGTAATCGATGCCATTCGCCTTCAAGATCTATAATACAAACTTCAATTGATTTCCGTTAGGGACACAGAAACCCGGAGACTTACTCGGAACTCTCAATACAGTCCTCGCGCCGCCAGCAGCTTTCATCCAGCCAGTCGAAAGAGCTCCCTCCGCCCGCTTCAACCTCCACAAATGTTCAAAAACTCTCAGATACTTATCCATCGTGTCCGGATCCAGAACAGTGTCAATCGGCGCATCGACCTTGTACTGCAAAGTAAAAACGTCCCAGCCCATCTCGCCATGGGTATAATCATGCATGCTTGCATCAAGTCGTCTGTGAACCTCTGGCAGATCATTTTGTGCATTTGTTGATCGGATGGCTTCTTCGAGTTTAGCTGTTAGGTTATGCCTAAACAACGTGTTCGCAGGACGAGATAAATGCGGTCTAACATGACGGTCAAGTGCCTGTGCTATCGAGTGGGATATGTCAACTCACTCTAACGATTCCATCAACGCATCCGCAAAATCACCATACGCGAGGAAGATGTAGTTCTTCAGTGCTTTCAGGTGCACCATGAGACCAAACTTCTCGAAGAATACGTCGAAAAGCCGCTGGCTGACAATGGAGTATGCCGAGTCAATGGAATGCTCGAGGCCTACTATGTCACTATATTGAAGGGCTGGAAGGGGGTCGGATAAGGTTCCGCAGTTGAGAGTGTTACGCACTGTCATTAGTTGCCCCGAGTTTTTCACGGGTTGTGATCCAGTCACTGTCATGGCAGCTGTAGCGAATAAAATTCAAGGTTTTCCCTGTGGAGAATATCTGAGATTGGTTCATTAGTGCTCTATCATATCCATCCGCGGGACAGTTGTGTACCTTTCGACCGAAGTCCTCGCCGACAAACGCAGGAAGCATCTCCTTCCGGAAGATGTATTTACTCTCCCATAATCGAAGACCACTTCGATCACCAACGATGTCATCATTCTCTGGGGCGAAACCTTCATCAACATTCAGAATTCCGTTCTGCTGAGTGGTAGTATGCTGCACGAATTGAGCATCTGCAAGTTCAGGGTTGATTCGCACGAAGAATTCAGAGAATGGGTCGTATAGTTCTCCGGAAAACAGCCATTTGTGAAGCATCATGAAGAACGGTTTTGATACCTATATAGTGGTTAGCCACTGGTGGACTTGTATTTGGCACATACTCCTACCTCTTGTAACAGCTCGTCAGTCACTTTGCGTACAAACGGATCACCATTCTCAGTATAGCTGTGTATGAGATTGACAAGTGCTCCACCACTGACGTCCTGGCATCCCTCGACGCAGGCACTCATCATTCGAAGACGGAGCCTCCAATCGTCAATCCACACCTCAAGTCTTTTGAGTGTTAACCCTGCACCTCGCTCTGCTTCCGTCTCTTCTCCGCCGTGTTGTTGTAACAGGGCCATCTGCGACTCCAAAACAGCAATGATGCGGTAATACTCTGTGAGCTGTGCTTCAAGATAATGACACAGACTTTGCTCAATCATCCCTACTCCATTTCTGCCTTCTCGTTGTCGGACAAAGTTTGCGATTCGAAGATATAGGTGACCGAGTTCCGCTAACCTATGGATGAGCATACGATTCGGGATTGAAATGTGGCTTTGCTTGGAGGATGTGAATAGCAAAGCTCAAGATAATCTTAGAATATACTCACAGGATCATCCGAAAATATGAGTCTTGACTCGAAATTCTGCTCATCACTTTCGACTAGCCTTACGAATTTTCCTGATATTCCTTGCAGAATATACAGCGCATCTCGCAGCAGAGCTTCCTCTGGTAATTGGGGACGTCCGATTTTTGTCCGATACTTGTGTAGTATCTCCGCCTTTGACTTTCCTGTACTCTTCTTTGGCTGCTGAGAAGGATCAGCTATGGGTGTAGGTGTTGAACGCGAAGGTTGTTTTGCAGAACGCGGTAATCCTAACGATGGTAGCGCTGTAGCATCGGTTGTTGTCGCAGGAGTTGATGAAGCGAGCGTATGCAAGAATTGCACTGCTGCATGTGGCCTTGATAGAACAGGCTTACAACAATTAGACTTGGGTTTACAGCATATGGGTTTAGGGTAACTCACCTGGTCTAACAGCCTTGAAAGCAGATGCGTGAAGCGCAGTGTAGATGTACTGGTTTGTGAATGCTGAGCCACTATAGAATTTTTATCAGACTATGCTTGGATTGAGATCCTAAGCTTTTCACTCACGATGATGCTTTACTAGTTCAGTCAGATGAGATATATCCGGCTCTCGGTTCTGGTATGTGCGACTGCAATGACCTCTTAGATGCTGAGTTCACTGACGAACCGAGCCAGGCAAGCTCACCTAGACAATTCATTTTGACAATGTGAGATTAATTCTTCCCGTAGCCTCTGGTTCTTCTTGCTTTCCGGAACGATGCTCTGTACGAGCTCCTGCAGTGAGCTGACGCTTGGATTAGTTGAGGGCATGGATAGAGTCAATCGCGTTTCGATCTTGCGCGTGACGCGACGCGTTCATTAGCTTCTAAATCCGGCAATCACAACCTTCCCCCCGAATCGGAAAGAGATTGCCAGTTCGCTGCAACATTAATATAAAACATGAAGGTTTTGCATCAAAAGAAACATAATTGCTATAGTATACAAAATGCTACGGTGCCCTCGGTATGGGCGTGTGATAGATACTACAGAAGAGAGCGGAAACAGTCCATGTTGAAGGAATTGAGGTTGATAAGTGATAAAATAAAGGATACAGTTCACCAAGTATAGCGAACCAAGAGTGCTAAAATCGTGAGAGTTATAATTAACATCCCGAACACGCGTCGTGACATAGAATAAATAACAAAACTGGGAATATGTTCCCGCTATCGGCTGTCTTGGCAACACCGTGGTGTGCTGGGAACCAGCTTTGGATGCTCTCCATACTCCGGAGGTTCTTGGTAGGCTGGAGGCGGTTCGTCGGATGAGCTGTCCTGCGGTAAGCTGCTGCTGCGCATACGGGCCACTTCTATCTCCGCAAGTTCCCTTTCGAGATTGTATCGGTCCATATGATCACGTACGAGATCTCGTCGTGGAGTGCGGTAGTAACTTTGCACAGTGCGTCCGCATAGAGTCAGAATACCCATCCCAACTAACCCGCCTAACACCTCGAAAAGGATAACAACCGGGTTTTGTCGCACAACGCGCCAACGCCCTCTGTGCCGATGACGCTGCTGGTTTTTGAATACTGATACTACCTGACCATGAGAAGGGCGCGAAGACGGGTCGAGTAGGATCATTGGATGAGTCGGCTCGGCCGTATTATATGGTGAGAGCGAGGCTGTGGCGGGAGAAGGGATGATGGCGGGCGTAAAGAAAATAACCGAAGGTTGCGAGCAGCCCCCAGGTATCCAACATGCTCCAGCGCCCGCAATCTTCGACGAGGATGTAGGTTCATGTTTTACAGAGCTAGATGTCGCAGCGGAAGCATCTACGGAGCAGTCGGTGAAGACAACGCCACACACAATCGGATTTTGGGTTTGGGTTAAGCCAATTGGGGCTGCCAGGCTGAAGAAAATATACAGCAGTGAGCACTTCTTTTACCACTAGCACGGATAACCAATACGTACCATCGGCATGAAGCTCCAAGACAGGAAAACAAAATCACTAAGGGTCGGGAACGCATGGTTTAAGTCTGAGGTTTGTCGCGTGAAGGGAGTTGTCCACTTTGCGGACTCTTATACGCTGATTATAAGAGCAATCTTGTTATAGCACAAATCAAAAACCGCAGCAGGCAGTGCAGAACCTGCGGGATGTATAGCCCTCCACGTTTTGTCTAGGTTGCTTCGTTCCCGGTTCAGCCGGTTTTGATGATACGCACTAAGAGAAGCGCCTATTCAGTTATGCGGAGCAGCGCGCGCCGTGCGAAAAGTACTGGCTGCTTGTTGTCGAGAGAAAGAATACATGCAACAGAACAGAGGTGCAATGGTCTGTTCAATGTACACTAGTCAGCCACTTGGAATGACATAAGGTTTTAGAACGGGGTTTTGGATGCTCCTATAACATAGCCCAGATATAGGAATAGTCAGGCAGGATACTAAGATACGGTTTCCAAAGACGACATCGAAAGGAAACGTCTGCGAATTTGCTGGATCAGTCATAACTCGTGGGTCGAAACGATGTGGTGGGCGGACACAAGCCGTGTTGAGAACAGTTTCATTTGTCACGAAGGCTGATTCATGAAACCATTGAGAAACGGCGCCTGGAATAATTTCATGCTGTAAATTTCCTCCCAGTGCATGTATTCTACAGTCAAGAAGTCAGAGCAAGAAACGATAGTGGACAAAAACTGTAGTTTCTACGAGATGGTTGTATTGTTCTTCCAAGTTCCAAACGACGGTTTCTCCGAGTGATCGACGTTGCCCTACAAGGAACTTGGCATACACCCTTCAAAGGTCACCTGACGAAAGGCTCCCGCTCCGGACACGCTTATAACCCAGGGACATCGGAAACACTCTCAGCAAGTGCAGTCATCGTTCACGACTCTTCGCAGAGCGCTCTCAGCGCCCGTCTCTCCCTTTTATTAGCACTCTTGAGCACATCGCTGTGCTGCTGTCTGACCAGCGATGTCCTCTACTTCAACCCCGCGTACTCCTCCTGATTTGTTCTCTGCCGACAATGTCAAGATTGTTTACAATGTCCATGCTCTTGACTCTCTCGGCGACGTCCCTGCTGTCGGGGAGCTTCGTCGAGGCATCGGTGGAAATGAGGCAACTAACAAAGAACTGTTAAACGAAAGAGAAGCTGCCGCACTGGATCCCCTAGTTTTGGCCGCCGCTATTGCATCTGGACCGCATATATCACGACACCACTATCACCACTCTTTCTTCCCGAGTGCTGAAGATATAGAAGCTCATAGTTGGGTGTGGTCGGATGGTCAACGAGTTGTAAGCCGTCAAGTACCAAGGAATATTCGTCTTTCCAGGCGTTCGGAGTCGTCTTCGGGGGAACATTCATCCCGTTCGTCGTCTCTATCACCATATCTTAGCCCAGCGGATTATCATTCCAAGGATGTGCTATTATCATCTCTGGACATCTCTCAAACAAGCTCCCCTGCGTCCAGCGACGTACCCTCGTCACCTACTTCGATCCATTCTGACCTGGAAGGCGGAGTCGTCTCTTGCCCTGTCGTTACTCACACCACCGTGAACACCGGGGATGTCCAAGTCAAATGCATGGTCCGCACTCGGGTACCAACCCCGCACGGAGAAGTCTTCCTTCATTTGTATCACAACAATCGTGACAGCAAGGAACATCTCGCAATCGTCATTGATCCTGCTCAGCTCGACTCTACCAACGGATACCAAATTGGTATTCCCCATATCCGTAGCAAGTCACTCGATGCCGTTTGGTACGACGGCGAGACCGAAATAGAGCGTGTTACCCGAGGTGCTTATATCGGCCGGCTTAGAGAAGCGTCATTCACGGCCTCAACTCCGTCTACTCCGGACTTTTCGCACTTAAAGTCTTCAGTCCCCGCACCTCTTGTTCGTATTCATAGCGAATGTTTTACGGGCGAGACAATCGGGAGCATGCGCTGCGACTGCGGCGAGCAATTAGACGAGGCCCTCCGGCGCATTTCCCAACCTATCGCATTCAAGGACGCATCCTCTGGGGAACAAGTGACCATACCGGGACGCGGCGCAGTCATTTACATGCGTCAAGAAGGCCGTGGAATCGGATTGCTTTCCAAACTCCGCGCATACAATCTGCAGGACCTAGGTTACGACACGGTTCAAGCTAATCTGATGCTCGGTCATGGTGCAGACGAACGTGGATATGAGGTTGCCGCTGCTATCATGCATGACCTCGGTCTCGGCACAGGAGACCCTCAGTCGGGTGAAAGTGTCCGTCTATTGACGAACAATCCGGATAAAGTGGAAAAGCTCAGAGCCGCGGGTGTCCATGTTTCGGAGCAAATTTCGATGATTCCGCGTTCATGGCGGTGCCAGGCTGAAGGCCTTGAGAACGACAATGTTGATGGTACTCTTGCGTTGCCATCCGAAGAATCAGCGGTACGTCTGCGCTCGGCAGGTGCAACGTTGATCGGAGCGGGTGTCGCGCACGGTCCGGAGCTCGAGAAATATTTGCGTACAAAGGTACTCAAGATGGGGCATATGCTGTCATTACCCCCCTTCTGATACCTCTCACGAATAACGGTCGAGCGTGAAGGAATAAAGAGAATAGGTGATAATTTGTATAACGGCCCTACGCAGCTTGAATATTGTGCTGTGGCAATATCTTTCGTTACAGTGAAATAATAAATCTATTTATACTACATTTAAAGATGACCTGCACGCAACGCATGTTACCAAGATGCTGTCACTTAGGCTCTACAGCGATTGATGGAAGTGGGAGCAGGCTTCCTAGTTAACACTATCGTGTTTTCCTCTGGGCCCCTGGAACGGTCCGTCATGACATTCACCCCTTGCAGTACTATCCATCAAGAAGAACATGGTGAACCATTCTGCATATCACATTGTTGGAACTTTAGACAATCCACCTTTAAGTAATTCCGAATACACAATAACCTCGGTTTGTGTCTGAATTTGGTATTGCTTCGAATGATGGCTTGCTTCCTTATCCTTGGTTCTGGAGGCATAGCTCCGAGACAACGATTATTCATAAGTGCAGGTCTTATCTCATGGCAGTGAAGGCATGTTATTCTATATTTTTATTTGCTGGCCCATGCTTTTATTTCCCACTTTCTCTGTGTCAACTTGATTTGCTTACTGTGAGGGAGTGTGGCTTGACAAACAATTCAGAGAACTTGCACGTTTCCCTTACGCAAAGTCCTGCAGATTTCGTAGATAGGATAACTGAGGGGAACGTATACAGATGATAGAAACTCGCACGGAATTATACAAAGGTACTCGTACTTCGCTGAAATTTACTGATCTCAATCACGATGTAATGATCTTGAAGACGTTCGGGGCCGCGTAACCCAGCCTATCACGCGAAAAGCTATCATCTCGCTCGAGACTGTCAAACAATACTTTGTCGCGCAGCCAATCTAAGTTGTATGTGCAGAGGCGTGTCGACTTAATAGACATAGATAACGACAATAAAAACTTATGAGCTCACCAATGCGTTTGCACCGGTTGTACGGGAAATCGGCAACGTTCCAACCACCCATGACTCCTGAGGCTAGTGCTTCTCTATCAATTGCGGACCGTCTTACACGATCTTGTATCGACTGTGGTAGAGCTGAGAACTCAGCTTCCGTCAGCGCGTGTTCTGCGTAACTGAAGATTCGTTTTAGCGTCTGCCATAAGAGTACGAAAAGGACAGATTACACACTCCTTCCAGATCTTTTTACATATGTCTGATAAGCTCACGCCGTTGGGATTACTCACAATCGTACACCAAGGGCTCGTAGGACAGATAATAATCACCTCCGAGACCCGAGGCAAGGTTGCCACTTCATCCTTCATCATAAACTCTAGATCACTAGTGCGTGAATTAGGATTGTAGCCTTTGACGATCCCTGTAGACTTGCAAGTCAGTTGACGAATATCAGACATGGTGAACTAAACCCAACCGGTCAACAAGTTAAAACTAAGTTGGAAGCTCCTTAGCTCGTTGGTTAGAATAGGGTGTAGGTCAAGCTTCGGATTCAACAAACATAGCTAGATGAATTTTGAATTCATTTTTGACTTGGAAAGAATTTTGAGAGAGTAGTTGCGTGCCTCTGTTGGCCCTAGGATGGGTCCGTCTGGGAGAAGGGTAACCGATCTGGTTTAAAGTGCTCACACCAACAAGATCACTCACATGCAGTACCAGGAGCCCACTTCGTTCCCTCAGTCATGATGAAGACCGTCAGACAGCAGCATGTATAAACAAGAGCTTAGAGATAAACACAGACGGAGGAAAGAAAGGGAAACTGTTGCGAGAGAGCACAAAGGGAGGGGATATATATACTGTCCAGGGCACGTTGCTTGATCAGAACAGCTACTGAAGACTTGAACCAGTGCGGCGCCTGTTCTGCAAGATCCGAATAGCAGAGCATACACAATTGGCTGATCTTCAAGATCTGAATAGGATGGCAAACAATTTCTGTAGAAGGAAACAGCTCAAAGGTCTACTGTGCAAATACAGTGCGATAAGTTAAATTTAGCTTGCCGATCAGGTCGCAAGAAATTCAATGGAGAAGTTATTCATCTGTTCCAAGAATGTAGTTTATTCTTCCTGCTTGAGCGCTCGACCAGTTGCACGTTACTTCGCTACCAACGGGGCGAGGTAAGCCGTGATAGTAAAGGGAGGGAGCCGCACGTACAGTACACGGTTCCGCCCCCGTACTTTGTACAGGCTTGTACAGAATATCAGTGTAAAATATGAACGCTTTTTGACTGGCCTGTGGAAACGATTCAAAGGACTTGAGCATTTCCTATACACGAAGCCCCGTTGATTTCTTAAATTGGGTATCTGAGAGGAACTTCTGTAAATGATATAAACTCGAGCGGACTGTTATCGAGGTATTCGGACCACGTTGAAATTTACTGATTTCAATCACGACATAAGCATCATCTTGAAGACATTAGGAGCAGCGTAACCTAATCTAGCACGCGCAAATTCATCATCTCGCTCGAGATAGTCAAAGAAAACTTTGTCGCGCAGCCAGTCTGAATGGAATGTACAGAGACGGGTCAATTTAGTAGATAACGACAATAAAAAATATTATGTACTCACCAATGCGTTTGCACCGGTTGTACGGGTAATCAGCAGTGCCCCAACCACTCATGAACCTCGAGTTGCCTCGTGTTTCTCTCTCGACTGCGCTCCGCCTCACGCGATCTTGCATCGGCGGTGGAAGGGCCGAAAACTCATCTTCCGTCAGTGCGTGCTCCATATAGCTGAGCGTTCCTTTTAGCGCCTTCCAGACGTGAACAAGAAAGACAAATAACATACTCCTTCCAAACTTTTCCCAATATGTCTGACAGGCTCACGCCATTAGGATTATGCACGACCGTGCACCACGGGCTCGCAGGACAAATAATAATTAATTCTGTGACCCGTGGCAAGGTCGCTACTTCATCTCTCATTGCAAAATCTAGATCATGATCCCGTGAATCAGCATTATAACCTGTAGCTCTCCCTGTGAACTTGCAAGTCAGTAGAGCGAATATCAATTCTTACGAGCTGAACTCAACCAGACACCAAGTGAAAAACAAGATGGAAGCTCTGTAGCTTGCCAGTTAAAACAGGATGTAGCTCGAGTTTTGGATTCAGTAGGTATAGCTGATAGAGTTTTTAATATGATTTAGATTGAAAGAATTGAGATCGAAAGAGTAGTTGCGCGCCTCTGTTGGTGATAGCACAGGTCCATCTTTAGAGAAGGGTTACTAAACTCGTCCAGAGCGCTTACGCCACCAATATCACTCACAAGCGCTTCCAGGAGCCCACTTTGTGCCCTCAGTCATGATGAAGATCGTCAGACGGTGGTGTAAAAGCAAGAGCTTAAAGGCAGACACAGATGGTGGAGGGAGGAAAGAGAAATAAGATAACTCTGTGTGAAAGGGCACGGAGACGGGCGTCTAGGGGCACGTTGCATGATCAAAACGGCTGCTGAAAACCCGAGCCAGTGCGACATCGGTTTTGCAAGATCCGTATCGTAAAACGAGCACGATTGGCTGATCTCCAAGGTCTGAATGAGACGAAGTAGAGATTTTGCTGAATGACGCGTCCCATGGTCGTACTGTGCGAAGGTAGTGCGTTTAAGTCAAATTTACCTTGCCAGTCAGGTCCCAAGAAAGACAAATAACCTGCTCATCTGATCCCTACTCAGTTATTCTTCTAAATGGGCGCTTATCCAGTTGCATACCCTTTGCTTCCAACGGATTAAGGTAAGTCCCCGATAGCAAAGGTGAATAGAGCGTGCTCAACTTGCCTGAGTGGTTTTTCACTTTGATACTTTCAGTATTGTAATATGGTAAATGGTTCGGTAAATCCCGCTGCCAACGATCTGGTTCAACTGGTCTACAGAGTAACAAACTGTATAATTTTTTCTCCGAAATTTGCAGCAGGAGTCTCCTTAAGGGAGCACAACCTGCGCAATTGAGCGATATACACTAGTCCTTATTCACTAGTCAAACTATTTATGGCACTCATGACACTCCATTGTACACCACAATCCTCAAAGTCCTTGGTAGAATATGAATAACTTACACCGTTTCTATTTCTCCCCGTCAATAGCACTGTGCTGTTTCAATCAAAGCGTGCGAGTCCTGCGAGGTCGACGATGTCCGATGAACGAAGCATAGCAATTCAAACAAAGCAATGGCAAAGAGAAATGGTGAGTTCCTCTGTTCTAGATACAGTCAACTATAGAAGACCTCGCGAACCTATTCGCGCCAGCGTATCTTCACTATTCTCTTGCTCTTCAACAGCGTCGGCTTGTGCGACCTATTTAACAAACACGCGTATGTATTAAATTTGCTGGAGAAGAACTTGTCAGAAAGGACTTACAACTCTCAAAACTAACTTCTTGGAGGACTCTTGTAGCTCTCCGGCGATCACAAGTTCATCCAGGATCTAAGCGACATGCGACGTATAATGAATCAGAGCTCTACATAAATAGCAATTACTTACAGCGTAAGCTTTTTGGAAGTTGAAGATCCTGCAATTTCATTGACAATCGACAATCAATGGGTTTGTTCGTCGATATCAGTGAGAAAGCAAAGGCTCTTACAAGTCAAGCTCGCACACCTATCAACATATGTGGGTAACTAGTTAGATACAGCAAGTAGAGAGACGCGGAACGGAACTCACATTCCCAAAGTATCTATCCAACACTTCAACAAAACGATGGATAATCTCAAGCGTAATAAGCTCATTATCTCCCTGGCTGATTCCATTCACGAAGAACAATGAGGCGTAACGACGATATACGACTTTCGAGTCTATAGGCAACACCAAGAAATCATCACTTCAATCCCCGTTTCGCAGTGGCATCAAGTTGAAATTAAGTAACGCACCCTTGTATTCAAGGAAGTTACACATGCGCGTACGACGCGCAAGGACAAGCTGCGTGACGTCCTTGATAATCTTCGCCTTCGCTTTCGGTGGGAGGGTCGTGAACCATTTCGCCAACCGTACTTTACCTAACAACATAATGAAGAAATGAATATTCGACCGATGTTATAGCCGATGCAAATGAGTGTTCACCTTGACGGGAAACCAGCAAGATATACTCGATCATCTAATATTTTTTGTTGACATATGAGAATCATTGCGATATCTTAGATGTAACATTGTAAGGCATATATTTCAGACGGCACGTGACTGTATCATGACGATCAGCCACATGGGGCATTTCACAATTCCTTACCTTAAAAAATAACTTACATAATGATAAACATTATTTGAAATTTATTTTCCCATTTTTGACCAGCAAAAATTATAAACAAAATTTGTAATTTTCTTAAGACAAAAACTATAAATTATTTTTAATATTTATCTATTTGTAATATCTTTAAATAAATGGAAATAATAATCTAAAACATAATTTCAAAACAAAATTAGAAATTTTCTTTTAAATTTCTTTATTACTAGTACAGAGGAATAACAAAAAATTCAAAAGAAAATTTCTAATTTTGTTTTGAAATTATGTTTTAGATTATTATCTCTATTTATTTCAAGATTTCACAAATGAAGAAATGTTAACAATAATTTCTAGTTTTTGTATAAAGAAAGTTTTAAATTTTGTTTATAATTTTTGCTGGTCAAAAATGGGAAAATAAATTTCAAATAATGTTTATCATTATGTAAGTTATTTTTTAAGGTAAGGAATTGTGAAATGCCCCATGTGAGCGAGCCCTCTTGCTTCACTTCACTTCACGCATGCTGTAAATTCATTCGAACAGCCGCCACCTATCGCTGTAATGTCTTCTCGGCGGGTCACCAAATTCATTATCTTCAAAACCAAGGGAGCCAGTACAAATACATAAAACATCAAGTAGAATGACTGAACGGGTAGGAACCGCAGGATACATGGGATAAGTGGATCACAAACATGCTAAAGTATTATCAAATAATCGACAGAAGATGAAAGGGTGGAAAGGAGGGTACAGGTAATTTGCACTGCAGAACAACAGTTAATACTTCAAAATCAACAAGTCAAGAATAGGGTAGAAGTCTAAAAAAAACGTATTTAAAAGAGTGGCTAAAACTAGAAAGGGCTGTTGACTATATTCGACTTGCTTGTCAATTGCCTTGGAGGCGTGTTGAACGAAGCGCGAGGAAGCCTCTTAAGGCTCTTCTTGTTAATAGCCAGCACGTCATTCGACAGAGCAACAATCTAGGGGTGATGCGAGTAAGTAGTTTGGTTCTTCCGAATAACAACAGACACTTACAATCTCCTTATCGTCTCCAAACCTGAAGTTATCTTGGACGACCTCATCCTCGTATCTGAAGAAACAGTCAGCTACATCAAAGCGAAAAACTAAACTAAAATACATACTTCTTAATGGTATAAGCATCCACTCTACCCTTCTTGACCTTTGCAAAGTCCCAAGCAATGACATATCGGCCTGAAGATGTGACGATCGCATTCTCACTCTGTCCTTCACCTTGGTTGAAGCGCGCAGGGGTGAAAGATACTTCATGTCCCATATAAGCTACATGTTCGTTGTTCACCTGCAATCGCTTTGGCTGAGGTTTGGCGTCTGCTGGGAACGGCCGATCAAAACCAAGGCTACCTGCATATCGTCCTGCACCAATGAGCGTATCAATCACAAGCAGATATGTCTTGCATGTAGCAACAATCCATCGACCATCCGCAGTGACGTCAATACCAATGAACGGATCTCCCATCGCAGGCAATGCCGTCTTTGCAATCTTGCCAACGGTGTCAAACAAACGAATGTCACCCTTCTCGCTGGATACAGCAAGCTGACCAGCTGCTGTCGTCGTCACGTCCGAGAACGCATTCTTCGAAGTGTACTGCTTGTTCTCTGCCATAGTATTTCCGCCTCGGCCTCCCATCCTTGGGTCAATGCGGAAGAGTGCATTATGCGATGTACCGACGAGGGTCTGCTCCCCAGTCGTTTGCGAAAACTTGGACTTCGGAGCTATGTGATCCACTGTGATATTGTCGTCCACTTTCCACTCCTCGACTATCTTTCCATATTCGATATCCATGGCAAAGAGTGAGTGGTTCTCCCTCCCATCCAGGAGAACCATCTTTGCATCTTGGTCATGCAACATCATCTGTATCAAGTGCTGAGATTTTCTGTAAAGGATGGCATGATAACTTTACTCACATTCTTAGGTCTAAGTGACTTCATTTTCTTGAAGCCAAGATCCCTAATAGTAGCTGCATACTCGATCTTGCCCTCATCCGTGTGTCTAAACACCCCAATCTTGTCACCGCGTACGACAAACGTCCTGTCATTCTTGTGTCCGACTGTTAGCTGCGAGTTGCGTTCACCAGGTTCACCAGCAACTGCTGCAGCTTCATCACCCTCATCCTCGGACTCGGATTCTGACTGATCACTAGTTCCTGGATTTGTTGTAAGAAAACACTTCTTGAAGTTCAGTATAAAGAACTAACCAACGCCAAGCGCGTCTTCCACTAGACCCTCGTCCTCTTCGTCATCCTCCACATCTTGCATCTCCACGTCATTATCATAAGAGCTCAAAATGTACTCTTGTTCATCCGCCTATCATATAAACACGTCAGTATACCGTCCCTATTTCTCCTCAATCATCGAGTACGGACCTTTGCCTTTGCCCAGCTGATATGGTTGAGCACCTCATAGAGGCAACTACCCCATGCTTCCTGAAACTCTCTAAAGTCATCCATGCCCTCAAACTTAAAACACCAGCTACTCAGGACTCCGCCGCTGCTGGTGTGGTTCCATGTAAGACTAGCCAACTTGGCGCTCCAGCGTGCATTGAGATCCGACGTCAACTTGTGTGCAAATAATTGCTGGCCTTCAAGTGTGACCGCGGTGATGAGGTATTCGAAAGCGGAGGATGGAGACTTTGCGATGCTTCCATGAATGTCCGCCTGTTTTATAAAGTGGCCATCCTCTTGGTCCCATAGATAAAGTTCGCACTCCTTGGTAATAACGTTGGACATGGCAGTATTTGCAGAGGGTTCGCCGGTGACATCGAGATTCTTCATTGCGGTGGTAAGAGCGGAGTCGTCCTCAGAGGCCTTTCCCTTCGCTTTCTTCGTCTTTGTGGTATTTGTATTCTTCTTTCCCGAGCCCCTTAGCAACAAACAAAAAGATAAGATGCGTATCTAAGCGATAGACAACCATTGACGTACTTCCAAATGAATTCCTGTAGATCGGCAGGGGAAGCCTTATCGGAACTTGTCTTGTATTTCCGCTCATACATAGCCCTATAGACACACTGCACGAAGAGCTCGACAGTGGCCACGTTCGCACCAGTCGCAACAAACTCATACGTCTCGTCAACATCTCCGTCTAGGTCCCGCCAAATGAGCGTTGGCTCTTCGTCAACTTCGCCCGTGCGGAATTCGAGTTCAGTTGAAATCAGGAACACCAGGTCGTCGTCTACAAGGCCGATCAATCAGCAATGTAGCACCGCATATAGACTAGTATATGAAAGATACGTACTCTCATCTTCCTCCTCAAGAATGTCCTCTTCACCCTCTTCGAATACACGCGTAATCACAAGCTGGAAGTTGTGTTCGACGGATGGAGCCTTGCGCACGGTGGCCATTGCATCATTGTAGCTAAAATGAGCAAATTGAATGAGTACAGCTGATTCAAGCGCTCCGACACCACAATTCGCGAAGCAAGTACGTACATGCATTCACGAGAGCTGCGTATGTTACCCGGGCGAACCAAATAGAGTTGTCCGGATGGAATCTTTACGAGTTCTGGCGTATCTGAACCCTCTGCATTTCACGATGAGTACCAGCACGGTTTGAGATCTTAGAGGACTGTATACGCACGTAAGGAAGCGCCAAACCCAAAGACTAAATTAACAGTTTGTCAGTACGATATTTATTGGACATTCCGAGAGAGAGTAAAATGACGGTGTACGTACTGCGGCCGACGATGTTCATGGTGGATGAAGAGCAAGAGTTAGAGGCCTGCAATTTCGGAGTGCAGAAGTGGACGCGTCGTCGATCACGCTGCTACTCCAAGTTCGACTCATACCGTGACTATGGCTGACTCTGGCCCTTCGGGTACGAATGCAACATGTACTGCCTATTGTCCGAACGGCTACTTTAATTTATTTTAATTCTGTAGGAACCTCTTCAGGAGTCGATCCATTCGGCGCGCCGAAGTCTTTCCGTCAAACCGCAGCCGGAGTACGCCATACTGTTTCATGTTCTTACTAGGGCTAACCAAGTCACACAGAATTCGGCGTCCACCTTCGGCTCACCGAGTCCCACTATCGGCACGCCGTCAACTCCTTCAGCTGCGCGAATGCCACTGCGTACGAACCCCGACGCCTCTACACTCACACCAAGCAAGCGAATGGCTATTCGTGCGGATCCGACACTCGTGTCATGCTTTGACCCGTCAGACAAAGAGCTCTACAATCTCTGGGCACCGAAACAATGAATGTTTCATAACATGGTACTAGACAGCTTATACTTTTTTGTCGTCCACTAGAGGATCGGACGTTCACAGCATCAATATATTCTTTACGCCAATGTTATACAATCCAAAATAAATACTAAAAAGACCAAGAGAACAATTTTGGAAAGAAACACACAAGCGTATGCATGACATACGCTCTCGAAGCTACTGAATAGGACCCCCGCGAATCGTATTCACCAGGCTCTCCCAGTAATTGTAGTCTGCACCTTCAAGACCGCTTCCAATACCGGAATCACTATTCAATAGGTACGGCGTGTTCAACCAATCTGCTGGTCCACCGCTGACACCAGTGGACAAAGTGCCCCATTGTCCGCTTGACAACGAGTTATTATTTCCAACAAACTGATCAAGTGGAAGAGGCGGTGGGTTCGTGACAGCATTGCACCAATGGTCAAGCATGTTCTGTGCGCTCATATCTTCATTCTCGCTTGGGCTACCTGTTCCTACAGGCGAATGGCGTGAGCCAACACCACTGGTCTGCGCCTGAAGGCGTTGAAGAGTAGGTGAATGAGGTAATGGTCCCATCCCATTCGCCGAAACACCGCCTACGAGTACTGGCGGCGCGCCGCTGGTTGGTATCATACCCTTGGTAGTCAACGACGGGAACTGTCGAGTACTTGGAGATGCAGCAGCACTTTCACTGGAAGAACGTGTATGCTGGAGAGCACTGCGAGATTGCTGCAAGCTGAGCAATAAGTTTGCATTTGCTTGAGCGTCTGTGCCCTGATCGGCAGGTGGACCAGAAGACACGTCTCCAGTAATGGAACGTCGCGCCGCACCACCCTGTGATTTTGCCTGTAACGCTTTGTTCTTCAAAAGCTCGACTATTTTGAGCTCGCGACGTGTCGTCTCGTCAAGCTCGTCCGGTCCGTGTCCTTCGTGGTCTCTGAGGAATGTATCAAGGATAAGATGCATTATATCCGCCTCCTTGCCATTCGGCTCCAACACGAGGTATATCCCGCTGATCATCGCCGTCTGGAACTCGCGGTAAGCATTGCTCACCGTACGAAGAACGTTTTTGGATTGCGTCCTCCGGAAACTTCGACGAACGTCAAAGTCCATGATCGCTGCAGAGAAGCATGCCCGCCTAGAGCGAACATAGCGGTCCGAGTCCAGCCTGCGAAGGATATACGGTCTGTGCAGACTCATGCGCACAAAATGTATCTCCGTAATCAGCAAATAGCGGTGCACAGGTATGTAGGAGTATTGCTCTACGCGGTCCAGTGATGTGTCCGGGTTAATGGAGAAATGAGGCGGAAGGGTGTCGACAAACTTCTGGAGATCGTCGTCAAGAGCCAGAACCTCCGAGTAGTGATTTTGAATTCGACAACGCTGGAAATAGCTATGCATATCAATGAGCAAGGTTCAATTAACGAAACACGGCAATCGTCAACTCACTGGACCATTTTACCTATGATATACGCCAGTTTATGCCGTAGGATGACGAATGTCATCTTTGTAGGTTGTGAAAGTGGTGGAGCGGAGGGAAGGGGGACAAACGTGGAAAGATCTTCAATGTTTAAAGGTGGTTGTGTTGTCGTATACTCATCCTGAATGGCGTACGGGCGGCCAAGAACCATAGAGTAAGATCTATCCGCGTGATATAGATATGCCCTTTGAATTCGTCAGTAGAGTGGCTAGTAAACGCGAGCGTAAGGAATCACCATATTCGCCGTCGATATTCCGCCTGAGCAGGTTCCAGGCGCTGGATAGAAAGTTCACTTAGTATTCATATATTTTTATCCGTAGATAACAAACCATTCCGGCTGGATCTCGGTGAAGCCCAAGAGCTTGGGCAGTACACACCGCAGCACCGAGTTGGCTCCAGCACTCAGTAATTCGACGGTCAAAAGTTAAATAGCGAGCACTCTAATTTGCATCCGTTAATTGAAAGCTTGCAGTAATCACGTTATGATATGTGCACATACCAGTAACCGAAAGACCACCATTTCTAATGAATCCGGTTGGATTGCAGCCGCTACGAGTAAAGCACGTCGCGCTTTATGCAATATTACCAGTCAGTCTTTCAAACGGATCTTGAGAGCTGCGTAAATGCTTACAAGACCAATAAAAACGCGAAGATTTGAGTCTTCGCTCGTGAGCATTACCGCCGATATCTTCCGGGCACAATCGGACAGAAATAGCAAGGATTATGAAAAGGAGAGGGAGGAAACGAATATCATTCGGGTTGGAACCGACACCGTCAACAAAAAGGGCCGCATATGATGCTCTGAAATCCTGTTCTGATATTGGATATCGTGTCCAATTCCTATTGAAATGTAGCAATGAAACCATGGGTACTCAAGAGGAAACATACCACAAGAACTGCCAACTCACATATTTTTGAAGTAGTAGTCGATGAGAAGGTCGGTAAACTGCTTGGAAGGGAGCTCTTGCATGAGCTCGTGTAGCTTGTTTTCTGACAAACCACAGTCACGGATGAGACCTTGCAGAAGATCTGCGGCCGTTGGTTCTCCTGGTTGCAACAGTGGACTCTCCGGTTCGTTGTCATTTGCCGTCTGCGCATTTATGGATGTCTTCGATCTATTTGCACTTGCGGCATACTTCTGCTCGCGAGTCGCACCATTACTACTCGGTCCGACATGAGTTAGCTGTAAAATCCAGTTAATACCGTCAATTGATCATATTTTACTTCATTTACCTGCTCGAGCATAATAACAGGTGCTACACTCCCAGAGACACTGTTCCCAAACCATTTACCGCCCTTATCGAAGGTGCCAACTCCAATATCGCCGTCTTCCGCTTGGGATCCTTCATCGTCCGGAGTCAGAGATCTTGATCCTGCAACTTGCGAGTGGACAGATGCATCGACTACAGGGGACGATGGACCGCTAATCGGTCCGTTGGCAAACTGAGGAAGAGCAACTTCGATGATATGCTCTAAGCGAGATAGACGCGCATGTACGTCCTGATCAGACTTTCCCGGCGTGTACGCCTTGCATAGATCGGGCACTTTACGAGCAATGCACTATGGGTGTTTGCGTTAGGGAAAAGAAGCAAGCGAGACGTTCGGAAACTGACGTGAGAGCAAGGCATTTGGCGATCACACTGTATGCAGTCCTGTTAGTCAAAGCTGAGACTATTGCACTAGTGGACGGACCTTTTGTTTGCGTCTGTGACATTCACCGCAAGAATAGCTTTCGTATCGAAGGATATCAGTATGCTGACGCAGACAGTCTTATCATATTCTTTGCGAACCTCACTCGGGTGCGTGGCTTCTTCTTTGTGGCTTGGCCAGGCTGGTCTGGGTCATCCTTGGGCTTGCGCTTTGCTGAAGCAGAAGCAGAGTTTGGCGGGGTAGGATGCACGGCAGGCTGGATAGGCGGCTCTGTTTTGACCATTGCCGGCAGGTGGCAGCTGGGAAGGTATCAGTTGTCCACTGGGGCGGAGGTCAAGTCATGCAAATTCATTCTATTTCTTTCGCTCCTCGTGACCAAGTGACTCGGATTCGGCCCGTGGCTTATCGGCATTCCCCGCAACGCAAGGCACACTGTCGATCTCCCAAAACTCTAACTTACGCTCTTTCAACTTGGACGTTCACAATGCAAGCAGCAGAGACACAGGACGAAGAGCCATGGAGAAAAATAATGCTTCCCCTTGAGAGACCCTACAAGGACGAAAATGGACGACCCATCCCGACTCTACTTGATATTACTGCAGACGGTCAGTTCATATACGAACCACGCGAGGAATGGGACGCGAAACTCGGTGAACGCTTCAGACGCATATTCACCGAGCGAGGCGTAGACTTCTTTGACACGGACCCTGACACAAGATATCGCACTGAACCTGATAAATCTGACGATGTCAATACTGCAAATGTAGATATCACTCCTTCAGCGCAGGCCGACAAGGAGGAAGATGCAGAGACAGACGCAGAGGCAAAGCAAATGACTCCTGAGAAGCTCTTCCATATGCGCAGCGAAATCCTTCCTCGACTACAGTATGTGTACTTAAATCTATATATCAATGCTATTCTGACTGTTTAATGTTGACTCTCCAGTGTTGCACTGGGTGAAATGTCCCACGCACGCGACTTGCTTTCACTCCTTCTGTCTGCGTCACCCGCAGCCCCATCTTCACTTGGTGCTTCGGCGAGCACGTCCCTTCTTAGCGCCCCTTCTGTGCCTGCAGCAGCTTTGAGCCCCTCACTTACACCCGGCCTATTGACATCTTCGACAGTGTCTGCTCTACCTCCAATCCAGTCCGTCCAAGCATTTGATGCCCAGTTCGTTACAGGAGGAAAAGATGACGCTCTTCGGAAAGCTTCAGATGTGCTACGGAGCGCCGCAGAAGGCATCGAACGGAGTACCCTGCGCTCTGAGGATTACTGGGCAGATGCCCTCCGAATACGTCGTTCGAACTGGGGACTCGTTCCTGCTCCTCTTCCACTAGGTTCTTCAACAGGGAAAGGATCAGACAAAACGAGCAGGGATTTCTTGGTCTCATATGGGCTTGAATCATGTTGGTTTCTCTTATTGAACAACCACGTTGATACTGACGTTCATTGCCTTCAGCACCAGCGTTTTATCGTCGCCTTGCAATTGCACACATGTCCTTTTTAGTGCCGTCGTCAACACAGGATGACCCACTTGTCTTCCCACACAGGGACAAGACTCGCCTACGCGTCAGTCTAACACGAAAGGATTCATCCGGTGACAAGTCGACCTGTCACAGCCAAGTCCGGATAACACCTGACGACTCCCTCAGCGGCGCAATCAAAAACGCTCAGAAGGAGATCGTGGAGAAAGAAATCTTTGACGCGTTTATAAAGGAAGCAGGGAGGTTACCGACAGCGTCTGCACGCGTATCAGAGCGTCTCATAGTAATCGACGCTGCGCAAGATGTAGAAATTCGATTTGAATTGGTAAGAGGTTATCCTTCGTCATCTTGCATAGGATTGATTAATTATGCGCTGTAGCTTGACGAAGGACTTATCGCGTCTTCCAACTCCAGCGCGGGATCTTCATCCGACTTAACTGGCCAAGCTCTGTGCGACCTCATCGCTTCCTCCCTTCCCGTCTTCTTACTTCGACAGCATGCACACCAAAAAGCTGTCCGTCTCAAACTTCTCCCGAAACAGATGAATGGAGCACCCAGCTTTATCCAGCAACCGCGAATTCTACAACCGATTATTGATATTATACAATATCACGTATTCCTCAAACGAGTGCGTGGTGAGCTCTCGCGAGCTGCATCACGGCTTCGTAATGTAGGGATAACTGTAGACCTGCGATTCGAGGGTGTTGGTGAAACGGGAAAGGTGGTCCTTGATGCATTGTTAGATGGGAAGGAGAACATTGGTGGAGAAGCGGTATTAAGAATTGACGGGAGGTACGATAACATGCATCTCTTGACTTAAAGTGCCTTTCATCTGATCCATTTCTGTGTATTTTCTCCAGACATACTTCACGATTCACGTTCGCCTCTCCCTCAATGCTCACCGCGCTTCTCCCCCAAGCGACAATAACGATATCTTCCATCCCTCAGCTCGTCCAGTTGTTGGCCGATGAGATTGAGCGCAGTCTGCTTGAACAGATATGCGAAATTGGCGTGGAAGTTTGTCAGTCGCTCAGCGGGACGTGGTTCGTCGATGAGATGATGTGCCGTGCTGTTGGTCGATGGGAGGGTTGTGTTCTGTTCGTATCTCCATTCTTCCTGTCTCCTCTCCTCAACAATCTCACTTTATCGCATTAGAAACTTCCGCATCAAATGTGGAGACGACTTATCCCTAGACTGCCACGCACACCAACTCCTGCGCACACGACCTCCTGGGTCCGGAGGGATGGACCCCAAACAGGTTACACCTTCATCTGCGAGCTTCGGGACGTTCTCCGGGCCTGCGAAACTCTTGACGTATGATACTCGAGAGGACAAATCGTTAGGGATGTTTGCATGGGTTAAGGGCGTTATAGAGGATACCTTATCCAGCAGTTAGTGTGTAGTCTAGCTTTCAATGCTAAATTGTATAACTGACCAAATTGATCGTTGAGCCATCATCATTGGTAAGGAACGGCTATGCACTGCGAGTCCCTAGAATGCGGTATATACAAGCTTTACTGAAAACTTACTGTAACAGGTTCTCTTATCTGTAGTCATGACAGTTTTGGGTGTATTTACTCGACACAATACCGTATGTATTCATTTGAGAGCAACAAGCCTCGAATTGGACATAGTCAGACGCCTTACAAACGTCATCGCTAATTCTCGGACATTGATATCATTGAGACTCTGAAGAACTCTAAATCTCTATGTAGGATTACAAGCGAGTCAAAGCAAGTGCGGAGAAAACAGAAGCTGCCATCAAACTCCGAATCCCAGACAACAAATTTCGACCACCGGCGTGATTCTTACTATCAGCCAAGTGTCCACACCGACCATTAGCGGAGTTGGTGCTATCAGCGGCATCAGCAGCGCCAGAATCCTTATACTGCGGAGCCGGATCACGCATGGGCTGCTCAGCTTGATCAGTTTCACCGGAGTCGTAGCTATGCTTCTTGTCTCTGCTTGAGTCGTCTGAACTGTCGTCCCCGTCGTCTCCGTCTGCGTCAGAGTTGTTTCCGGAAGAGGAATCGTGAGTGTGAGCTATGGCTGTTGCTCGTGCTGCAGAGGACTTCGCTCCGGCGACGTTCGCAGGTTGGGTCTTTGAGGTGGAGTCATGGTCGCTATCGTCACTTCCGTCTTCCTCGCCAACGTCGCCTGAGGATTCGGACTGATCATCTGAGTCCCCTTTGTGACCATGAGGTTTCTTCCTATAGCTGACCATTGTTGCAGAAGGTGATGCTGACGCAGGTGTCGTCGGCGAAGCAATCTCGTTATCTGTACTTGAAGTGGAGTTCGATGACTCCACTTCTTTAATGTGACCTATTCCCCAAGGTATGCTGTCTCCGTTGGGTTGCGACGGGTTCTCTGGAGCTACAGTCTTATTCGAGGATGACGCGATCTAATGCCAACAGAACATGTCTATAATGAGATCAATATCGAGCTACGAGAGACGGTGCTCACCGTGAATCGAGTAGTCCAAGTCCTCGTCGAGATGTCATCTCCATTCGTAAACTACCGTGAAACAAAATTAAGATTAAAACTACGTAAATTGATCCGACATTGTGTTTACCTGATAGAAGTAAATCGCAGAGTACGGATCCACCTCAGGGCATTTCCACGAATACGGGGTTAAGGACTTGTCAGTTCCGTCTAGTGCACTTGCGACGTTCTTGACCAAGCTCATGTTGTTGTTTGATCCCGACATGAGGTCTATGTCATACAACCAAATGAACGTTAATAATAATGACCGGGTTCATTTCTTAACAGCTCACCTATCGTGACATTCTTCCAAGTTCCCGAAGTATCAACAGCCCATGAAATATTACAGGAAGACCCCGCTGTATACGTTTCGTTCGGGCCTGGGGTCGTAGGCTTGAGCTGCGCAAAGGCCCGCCTTGCGGTGATGATTATGAGGAGTTGAAGGAGTGTTGAAGGCGGTAGCATCGCACAAAGACAAGACAAGGAATATAACAAGATGATGAAAACAGGGATACCAGAACCCTATGACTAGGAAAGAGAACGAAGGAGAATGACATCGCAGCGAGTTGGCTCGCAAAAATCTTATATCCATGCAGATCAAACAGCTTAGTCTAAGACTGAACGCGTTCTGTTGATGTCATGTTACTAAAGTTATTTCAGCCCCAGCCCAGATTTTTATGAAGCCGAGGCCATTCGGATATGTGATCACGACAAAGACTTGAACATGCATTTGCTTCTAAGACCAAGATGTCTGGCGCCAGAGCATATTGTGTCAGTGTAGCATTCCTTAGAATCCAGTGAGACAATTCAGAAGAGATCTCATCCGCTCAGTCCACTCTTAAGCTGAAGACTACTTTGGAGTGAGGCTACTGCACAATGGTGAATACTTGAAGACTCGAAGTAGCATTTTCGGATTCGGATTCCAGGTGCGGATCATGCTGTGCCGAAAGAGGCAGTGTGGCACGCGCTCAATTCGCAGTTCGCGCAGGCTGAGGCTTGTCAATGACTACGACTCATGCAGTCTATCAATCGTTTCCTCTACGGCCCTACGCCTGAAGAGAAGATTAGAGCGTGGCAGGGTAGGATAAGAGGAGAGCAGCGCCAACTTGATCGGGAAATGAGGCAGGTTGGCTTTATTCTGCGTTTCGATCCTGGCTAGGAACTGACTCGTTTATGCGCAGCTTGATATCGCGACGAAGAAGGCACAGGTGGAGGTGAAGAAGCTGGCAAAGAGAGGTGATGTTAAGAATGCGAAAATCTTAGCGAAGGAGGTCGTTCGGAGCAACAAGCAAAAGGACCGATTATCTGTTAGCAAGGCACGTCTTGGATCCATCAATAATCAGCTGGTGCAGCAGCTCGGTGAGCAATGATTTTTCTGGCATTTTCTCTGCTCGCATTAACCTTATTTAATTTCGCTATAGCAATGGTGAAGGTCACCGGTACTTTACAGAAATCTACGGAAATTATGAAGTTATCAAATTCGCTCGTCAAGCTTCCTCAAATCAGCCAGGCTATGCGCGAAATGAGTATGGAGATGACAAAAGTGAGTCTTCGTTTCGGTTGTAATCTAAAAATGTAACTTAGCGGTTGATTAGGCTGGTATCATGGAGGAGATGCTCGAGGACGTGATGGACATGGAGGACGACGAGGAATTAGAGGAGGAAGCAGATGCAGAGGTCGAGAAAGTCCTCTTCGAAATAACAGACGGCAAGCTCGGTGCTGCCGGAACAGTGAAGGATGAATTACCAGTAGGTGTCATCTCCTTCCTGTATGATTTCCTTATTGAGAGTTTGCAGGCTGTGGCGGACACCGTGGACGAGGAACAAGAGAGGAATTTGGAGCAGTACCAGAAGCAACTGAATGAGCTTTTGAGCGGATAATAGACGGACATAAATTCTCGAATAGCCCTTTGTTTAATGCTCTCAGGTACCCGTATAAACTATCAGACGCACAGCACACGATATCTTGTTAAATAAATTATAATAGTGATTTCTTTTTCTGTAATCTTATCTGATTCGGAGCTGATGTCACTGACGGAGTGACCCGACGTTTCCGGTACGTCAACGGACGCGACGACCCGCGCACTTTTTCGTCCCTTTTCATTCTCTCTTTTTGTCATCTACCTTGCGCGTGGCCGCGTTATACTCAACCCCTTCAACGATGCTCGCCTCTAGGTCTTTGACGGGCCTTGCTCGTGGCGCCACGCTCAGATACTCTTTCCGAGTCTGTTGCAAATTTCTGAATTGTGTTGAACTTTTCTGACCGTGCAAACACTTTGATAGTCCTTACGCTCGTATGCTTCATCAGCACCACCTACAGCTGCATTTGCAGGCAAAAAAGGACCTGATGTGAGCTAGTGCACTTGGTTTCCTATGTTCTGTTTCAAAGCGTTATGTGTAGGGTAAATACACAGTCACTCTGATACCTGGTGACGGTACGTGTTCAAGTTTGGTAGAATCCTTTCTGGTCATTCATCATTTAACGCGAAGGTATTGGCCCGGAGATCAGTGAATCAGTGAAGGATATCTACAGCGCGGCGAACGTATGTGGTCAACTGAGGACATCCTAGATTATGAGCTGAACGATGCACGCAGGTGCCAATAAACTGGGAGGAAGTCAGTGTAACACCCATTCTGAAGGGCGGGAAGACCGTTATCCCGGACACTGCTATTAACTCGGTGAAAAAGAACACGGTTGCGTTGAAAGGTGGGCACAGTATAAATTGGCTGCGACGATTTAACTAACTTTGTTTCCACAGGTCCTCTTGCAACTCCAAGTGAGTCCAGCATGACTTAAGACGTTGAGCGTGATTGCTCATTTCATACTAGTTGGAAAGGGACACGTCTCACTAAACTTGACTCTGCGACGAACATTTAACCTTTTCGCAAATGTCCGTCCGTGTGTATCTATCAAGGGTTACAAGACGCCGTACGACGATGTCAATACCGTGCTGATCCGTGAGAACACGGAAGGAGAATACTCTGGCATTGAGCATGAGGTGCGTCAATGCGGAAGGCAACTGAAACTCCATCTATCCGACTGAGGCTGCGCTTGACAGATTGTGGATGGCGTCGTCCAGTCCATCAAGCTCATCACTTGGGATGCTTCTGAGCGAGTTGCCCGCTATGCCTTCCACTATGCTCGTCAAAACGGGAGAAGCCGCGTCACAGCTGTGCATAAGGCGAACATCATGTAGGGCAGAGACCGGATCGGCCATTGTGAATATGTCTGATGAATTGCAATTTCGCGCAGGAAAATGTCCGATGGTATGTTCTTGTCGGCTTGCCGCCAAGTAGCAAGAGACTTCCCCGAAATCCAGTATGATGAGGATCTTCTGGACCGTGCTTGCCTTCAGGTAAGGACATGCAATAAACTCGTAACATTCATGAACTTCACGACATCCATCTGTTTAGATAACGCAAAATCCAGCACCATTTGCAGACCGTGTCATGGTGATGCCCAACCTTTACGGTGATATCTTATCCGACATGTGCGCCGGTCTCATAGGCGGACTTGGTCTTACGCCGTCGGGTAATATTGGACGGGTAAGTTGGCCAAAAATGGTTGTGTGTTTACTCCAATGAATAACGCTCGCCACAGGATGCTTCGATTTTTGAGGCCGTTCACGGTTCGGCTCCGGACATTGCAGGTATTTGTTGCTTCTCCGTGATGATTAAACGAGTATTTACCGTTTACCCCGGATTGCAGGCAAAGGCCTCGCCAATCCTACGGCGCTGCTTCTATCGTCACTCATGATGCTGAGGTGTGTGCTAATACAAATGCAATGGCATTGTGGCGTTTAACAGTTCTCTAGACATATGGAGCTGTTTGCGCATGCCGAGAAGATTGAGAAGGCGGCTCTTTCGGTACGTACATCTTGTGAGCGTCTGATTGAATGTACTATTGATTATCTACTCCACTTTCTAGACCATTGCTGAGGGGAAGGCGATTACTGGCGATCTTGGCGGCAAGGCTTCGACGAAGCAATATACGGAAGCAATTATTAGCAAGCTTCGTGCATGAACGGCGATTTTGTCGTGGGCAAATCGTCCTCGGATGTGAACTGTATTGTCGTGACTGGTTACAGGTCGCAAAAATAGACGGTGGATTTATCCCATAATACACACTGGACTTTTTTTCTGTAGACTTGCACCGTAGCATGCCTCACGTAATTTAGAGCATTTTTTTCTTTCTTTCGAGAGTTGTGAGTGTGAACGTGGATGAAATTGAAAATGTAATAAAGACAGGTGCCGCATGACGCGTGGGAATAAAATGAAAGTAGCTAAGCTGGGGCAAAGATGAACACAGACGTCTCTCCTCTTCCCTTAGCACCACGACTTTGCACGATAAGAGTCTCACCCCACCCGCCCTACAGGGCAAGCCATCCATCTTTCTACACGCCTACCACAGGCAAGCCACCAGTTTCTTCACTTACACTTCCAACTCTCAGGTGAGCTCCATCCGCGTCAGCGCCCTCAACGCGCGCCGCAGTAACTGCAACAGTTTCCACCTGTCTAACACGCTTTCGCCCTAGTTCTCTGAGTTTCTTCAGAAACGACAAATAACTCAAAAACATTCGTAAAACGATCATTATTAAACACGTCAGAGCCAATTGATATACGCTGTTCAACTTAATATGTCAGACGAAGCCGCTCCGTCTGTGCAACAGGCCGCCGCATCCAAGAAGGACACGTCCGTTTCTGGCGGTCCTCAGAGATCTGGATCCACCGGACGTGGCGCAAAACGTCCCAATCCTCCTCGTACAGGTTCAGCCCAGGGGTCAGCGTCAGGAAAGGATGCTACCGCCCGGCCCGCATCTCAGGGTAGTAACAGATCGACCAGTGCTAACAACAGGAAGACCAACTCAGGGCCACAGAGGAACGACTCTCGAAAGGGCGGTCGTGGCGGTAAGCGTGGAGACAGCAGCGATCAAAGCGGTCGCCGGCAAGGACCTGGTACAGTAGATGCGCAAGCATCTACTGCCAAGCCTCCGCAAACTGAGGAATATCCAGACAAGGATGTCAAGAGGATTCAGCAACTCATATCAGAGATGTCTGATATGCGTGGTGAAATGCGTAGCAAGAACTCTTCTAATGGAGTTTCACCCGAATCTACAAGTGCCCCGAATCCGAACTTGAGTACTCAGTCTACACTTCCCCCGAACGCACCTGTCTTTCAACCTGGTGCCGCCGCATATCCTGGCATGAGGGCACCTGAACCTGCTCCAAGGCACAGGAAAGCAGCATCAGTTGGCGCAAACCCTGCGCCACCAATAAGCTACAGCAGCTCGTATTCGCCAAATCTGGGTTCTATGACCGAAGACTCGGAAGATCGAGGCAGTGGCTTCGAGGAGGGCGAGATTCTCGACTCCTCCAACTTCCATCCAGGACATCAAGCTCGCTCGCAGTCACAGAGCTTCACTGCTCCACGATTCGCGGCTCTTGCTCGCCAGGATCAAGCCGAACCGATTGGTCCGTCCGGAAGGCCACAACTAGCTCCGACGTTTACCTTTGGTGCTAGAAGGCGTGGAGGAAATGCGCCCGTGATTGGGCCAGCCATCAGCGAAGAGGACGCCAATTTCCAGTTCCCGCAGCAGCAGCAACCGCCTCAACCGGAAAATCTAAGCCCTCCTCAGGAACATAGGAGGACAGGGAGCAGCGGTGGCGAGATTACTGGCATTATGGCTGAACAGGTGAATATTCATCTTCATTGGAAGGATTGCGGGAGCGAATTAAGACCTATTTTCAGATGGCTATTCAGAACCAGATTGAAGTCCTGCAACAACAACAGGCGGTACTGTATCAACAACAGCTTGCCTCCAATCAGATATTGGGTTCAACTTTCCCTGGTAGGGTTGGCGGGCATCGCCGCGTTCAGAGTACACTACCTAGCCCCATGGCTAGTGGCTTCTCTACAATGGGTCAATTCAGTACGCCAATGATGGGTCTTGACGGACAGCAGGGTATCCCGAGAGGTCACGGCCGTCGGCACAGTGTAAATGTCCTGAATAAAGCGGGCGGCCCGAACGCCTCGATTAGCTATCCTAACCCATATGCTCAAGAAGGATTTGATGATGGGTTTACCCCTCCTCCCCCTGTACAACAAGCGCATTCCCGCCAGGCATCACGTGCTGACTCTAGTTGGCGTATGAGTAAGTCTTTTGAATGGTTACATTTTATTTACTGAATGTTCAACAAATTATTTCCAGATGGCGGTGTTGGACCCATCAATTCTAATGCGGGCCTTACGGACCTAGCACAGGCGCAGGCGCAACTTCAGAGTTTGCAGCAATTCCGTGCTGCTTCTGGTGGTCATCATCAGAAGCTTCCGTCCTTCAGCTTCCCCAACATGCTGCCGAATGTTATGGCTGCTAATATGATGGGCATTGGTGGCTTCAACCTTCTTCAGCAACAGCAGCAGCAATTCCAGATGGCGCTTCAACAGCAGAACAATCAGCCGCAGCGGAAGTCCCTGTTTGCCCCGTACCTTCCGCAAGCGTCTCTGCCACCACTCCTTGCAGCAGGCAAGCTTGTTGTCGGTATTCTGCGCGTCAATAAACGCAACAGATCGGACGCGTATGTTGCCACCGAGGTACTGGACGCCGACATCTATATCTGTGGATCTAAGGATCGTAATCGTGCATTGGAGGGAGACATTGTTGCAGTCGAGCTTCTCGATGTCGACGAAGTCTGGGGCACCAAGAAGGAGAAGGAGGAGAAGAAGCGCAAGAAGGAAGAGAATGCTGCCTATGATCCCAAGTCTGCCGCTGGCCGTAAGAATGACAAGAAGAAGGACGATGTTGAGGTGGAGGGCCAGGGACTGATGTTGTTCGAGGATGAAGAGTAAGCGCTGGTGTCTCGACTGCATGATGTGTACACATTCTGACGCACTATACAGGGTAACTGATGAGGTTAAGCCTCAATTTGCAGGCCATGTCGTGGCGGTGGTGGAACGCATGCCTGGACAACTCTTCTCCGGAACATTGGGACTTCTCCGTCCGTCTTCTGCTGCGACCAAGGAGAAGCAAGAAGCTGAACGCCGTGAGCGTGAAGGTGACCGCGGTGAGGAGCAGAGACGCGGTCCGATCGAGAGGCCAAAAATTGTCTGGTTCAAACCTACTGACAAGCGTGTTCCGCTCATCGCCATTCCTACGGAACAGGCTCCTCCTGATTTCGTCCAGAACTCGGAGGCATATGCCGACAAGCTGTTCGTCGCCTGTATCAAACGTCATGTATGTGGTTCTCCTTGTTCGTTGTATCATTGTACTAATGATCATCTGTAGCCAATAAGCTCTCTTCATCCATTCGGTACACTTGTCGAGGAGCTTGGTCCGATTGGAAACATTGAAGTTGAGACAAGCGCCTTGCTGAAAGATTGCAACTTCCCAACTGAGGACTTTACCGACAATGTTCTCAAGTGTCTTCCGCCGACTCCGTGGTCGTATGTCGTGTATTTTCCTGTTAATGACGTGATATTGACTTATGTTTATTGACTTATGTTTAGCATTCCGGAGAGAGAATATGAAATCCGCACAGATCTGCGCCAGGAGAGAGTCTTCACCATTGACCCTGACACAGCAAAGGACTTTGACGATGCGGTTCATATTAAGAAGAACGAAGACGGCACTTATGATGTTGGAGTGCATATAGCTGATGTTTCACACTTCGTGAAGCCTAACACAGCACTTGACCGTGATGCACGCAAGAGGGCGACTAGCGTTTACCTTGTCCAGCGTGCTGTGCCGATGCTTCCACCCACGCTCAGCGAGCAAATTTGCAGTCTAGTCCCTGGCCAGGAGCGCCTAACTTTCTCGGTACTCTTCACTATGACTGAGGATGGGAAGGTCACAAAGAAACGTTTCGAGAAGACAATTATCAAGTACGCGTTCCTTTTTCAGGTTACCTGTATGTACTGACGTATTGTAGGTCTTGCGCTCGTCTTACATATACGGATGCGCAAAATGTGCTTGACGGCAAGCCTCTTGGCTCTGTCCCGGTCTCTCCTGAATTCGATGCTGTGGACATCGAACATGATTTGAAGGTTTTGAACGATCTGGCGCGGAATCTGCGCAAGAAACGTTACGAGGCTGGCACCCTTAGCCTCGACTCTCTCCATCTGACTTTCGCCCTTGACGAAAACGGTCTTCCGACCGACACTTCCGCTTACGAGAGAACTGACTCACACAAACTTATTGAAGAGGTACGATAAAACTTCACATTGAGATGCGTGTAAACTAAGGCGAAGTTCCTAGTTTATGCTACTTACTAATATTGCTGTGGCCCAACAAATTGGCCATCACCTGCCGGAACAGGCTCTTCTTCGCCGTCATGAAGAGCCTATTGAGCGTCGTCTTATCATATTTAAGGAACGTGCAGCCCGTCTTGGTTATACGTTCGACACATCTTCGGCTGGCGCTTTCATGAGGTCCTTCGATGCAATGGAAGACCAGAATGCTCGCAAGCTACTCCAGATAATTGCGTACAAGGCTATGCACACTGCGAAGTACTTCTGTGCGGGCATGCTGGATATTGCGAAGTACAGCCACTATGCACTTAATGTACCATTGTACACGCACTTCACTTCACCCATTCGTCGCTATGCAGACATCGTCGTGCATCGTCAGCTTGAGTCGATTTTCGTGAACAACAACGGTGCCGAGGCCAAGTTCTCAATGGATCGTGACTCCGTCGCCAAAGTTGCTCAACAGTGCAACATGTGAGTAGACGCATAGATTTACTCTGTTTTGGAATCATCTTTCTGACTTCCTATGCAGCAAGAAAGAATCTTCCAAGCTTGCTCAGGAGCAATCAACGCATCTGTACCTCTGTGTACTCATTGCTGATCTTACCCAACGATACGGCCCCGTTGTTCGTCCAGCCACGGTAGTCAACGTCCTCGACGCCGCGTTCGATGTGCTCATTCCCGAATTTGGTATTGAGAAGCGTGTGCACGTCGACCAGATGCCAATAGATGTAAGTTATTTGTTATAGCTCTAATTATGACCGCAGTCAGCTCATCGCAATATCTAGAACCATGTCTTTGACGAGCATAGCCACTCGTTGCAGATTTACTGGTCCAACCGTGATGTAATCTCCTGGCTGGCTGAGAACAGCGATGACGAACATCTGAAGAAAGTGAAGCAGACAGCTGAGCAGCATGCTGTTAAGATGGAGGTTTCATCGCGGTTGAATGATGAGTCGGCGTTGTTCGATGAGGATGATGCCGACGACGAAATTGTCCTTGGTAGAACGCAGCCAGGCGACGCGCAGAAAGAGACATCAAAGCAGCGTCTCATTTCGCAAGCGAAGCTCAAGCCAGAATTTGAAGGGCTCAAGACGACGTCCAGTGGACACAAAATCCAGGAAATCCGCGAACTGATGGCTGTACCTGTATGTGACACTAATCCATTGCTTAAGTGGATGAAGCTGACGTTTTCGTAGGTTATCATTACTGCGGACCTGACGAAGAGTCCTCCGGTTATTAAGGTCTACAGCGTTAACCCATACGCCGAAGAGCAGAAGAAATGAATAATAATTTGCGATTAACTCACGATGGCTCTTATAATCTCATGTGCTTTTCTAATTCATGTGGGACGCCTTATTTTTCGCACGAACAATGCACGCCTTTTCTATCTTCGTCTACTATTTTCACGCTTTTGAATTGAATTGAGTCGAGGGGACTGTGACTTTCTGCCGCATAGTTGTAATCGTTTCATTTTTTGTTGGATTTATGTGGCGCTGTTGCAGATCCGCTCGACTCGTATGCATGTGCTGCCTTTGATGTATAGTATTTCGTATGGATGATTTGTTATGAAGAGACGTCTTGAAATCATGGCTTGCTTTGCAAAGTCTTGGATGGGCTTGGCTCCGTGTGTAGAGCAGATAAACATAAGCAGTGATTATGATCAACGACAAACGGAACTTGGAAGGCGGGGGCGTCTATCGTTCCACACGTGCCCGAATATGCGTTCAACTCGTGCAGCGGCTGCAGCCTAGGCCCGTTGTACATCTTTATTCCTGTCCTCCATCTCTCACTCTGCGTCATACACCTATCCCGGAAACCATTCAAAAGGACGTCGACCTGAGCAACTTCAGATTGTCATTGCAAAAGAACTGTCATCCAACAAGCCGTTCTACCCTACTACCTGCAAGTTTCCATCCGTTCAGATTCGGAAGGCATTCAAGTCCCTCATTTCGTGCGCTCTCTTGTGCAGATAACCAGCAATCATGGGTCAATCACGTACGTCTGGTCATGGCGCTCTTTGTATGCTGTGGCTCACTATCGCATATACGATAGCATCTCAATTCATGGAGGACATGGAGAGGAAGTCCAACTGTGCGTTTCACCAGTCAAACATCGTCCGTTGAAGCTTTACAGCTGATGTACCGATTCATATATCACAGTCAATGCGAGCGAGTTGGAACGTCTGAAGAAGCGATTCATGAAGCTCGACAGGTGCGTAACGACATCACTGCCATAATCTTTGTTCTGCCAGCAACAACTGTTCAACCGGACCTGATTCTTTTCCTTAGTGATGGCTCGGGATCAATCGACCGCGAAGAGTTTCTGCAAATTCCGCAAATCGCGAACAATCCACTGGCAGGGCGGATGATCGCTATTTTCGACGAAGAGTGCGTGGCTTGCTTAATATGAGTATTCCTATGCGTTCATTTTTCGCTAATCTCGGATCCCTTTTACCTCTTACCTCTTTAATTGTGTAGTGGAGGAGGAACTGTGGACTTCCAAGAGTTTGTTGGTGGGTTGAGTGCATTTAGTAGTAGAGGAGGCCGAGAAGAGAAGTTACGATGTGCGTGAATGGATCTCTAGTCTTGGCTGCGTTTGTGACTCACGAATATGCTATGCAGTTGCATTCAAGGTGTATGACATGGATCGCGATGGGTACATCTCCAACGGGGAGCTATTCCTTGTACTCAAAATGATGGTTGGCAACAACCTGAAGGTGACTTTATTCATAAAGTTTCCCTTTACGATACTAATCTCCACTTGCTCCTTACCCTATTATGCACGCAGGACCAACAACTACAGCAGATTGTAGACAAGACGATCATGGAGGCGGACAAGGACGGTGATGGGAAGCTTAATTTCGAGGAGTTTGCAATGATGGTGTCAAACACGGTGCGTTTGTGTTGTTCTCAGTTGATAAATAGGATTGTGGCTTACCATGCATGTTTTGCCTCCCTTAGGACATCGTGAAGCAAATGACTCTGGAAGATCTCTTTTAGTATCGTTCCTGCCGTAGATTCCCGTTGTATTTGTTCTGCTGTCGTCCACTCCTCGATACCACCTTGTGCTTTTGTGTCTTTTCACCTTTCACTGCGCCACGGGACATCGTTCCTGTACACGAGCCGGAGCAACCGCATCATCAATCTTGCGTGCCACCTTGACCAATTTTAAGAATCCGGGTGCAGGTGAGAAAACAAGACTTTCTAGCACAATAGTTGCACCCTAGCCCTTCAATGTCATCATCTTCCCGCGAGCCATGCCTTCTCTGGTCTCGGCTGGATAGGATTGCATTGTACTGAATGTGCCTGGAGTTCTGAGCTACTAGTGCAGTGTACGTTCACAAGGGAGTCTTCATCTTGGGGCTGCTTCTTGACTTCCTGATGTATATCTCTCGACATTGTGGTTACTCTCTTTGACTGGGTGTTTCGGCCTGAATGTGTTGAAGCTTTCAACTTGTTCAAAGTTGGATCTAATCTGTTTAGGCCTTGTAGGCTACGTGCTTCAGTCTTTGTTACCGTCCTTGTTCATTGGCGATATCTCTGACTTCGCCTCTCGTGTTCAAAGCTTGAGGTAGCCTGCGTACGGCAGTGTCGATAGGGGGTGATCTGCCATGTCATTTCTAGTTAGAGTCTTTGGGGTTCACACCTCTACCCTTCCTTAGACTGCCAGTCTGGTCCACCATATCGACTCAAGGGAATTTTGGATCCTGGTCTCGCGGAACGCCGCAATAGTCACGCGAAGGAAAACTCTTCCAAAAGTCGAGACTCTCGTGCTACATACCTTTGCCGAATCCGCCGGATTTCCGATATTTCTTCTCTCTAACCACGGTGCGGCAAGTACACCAGTTTTTCCGAGAAGCTGAAGGATGGGACAGGAAAAGGGTAAATCCTGCGTGTGTGTTTCGCGGTATGCCGTTGGACTTGTGATCTTCAGGGCATATGCATGTGGGTATGTATGCGTTTATAATTGTTACTGTGTAGTTTGCACGGCGCTTGGGATGATCGTCTCCTGTATTGAATTTGCTTCTTACCTTCGCTTCGACTCCTAATACCTCACGATATTCGTTTCACGTACACATGCTGTGGGTCTGTGAACTTGTGATCTTCAGGGCACTTGTGTGTGGTATGTGGGGATGTACAATGCTTGAGAAGATTTTAATACATTCCTTCAATTCTGCTGAGCTTCCAGTCGATTCAATGAAACCTTTCGGGCCGATAAGGAGATTACAGTAAGCATAACTTTTCTTCTCTTCTGATCAATCACCCGGGTCTACAGGTACGTACTCTACGTACGTGAGTATTTTCAAGAGTGAAGTACTTCCATGTATTCATGCAAGTTGTTATCAATGTTGTGTTGGATAATCTAGACATGCTGTAGTAATGGCTAATTTGATATATATCCACAAGAATTATGTGTACGACTTTGTCCTTCCAAACTGGAATCAATGGATTTCAATTTCAATTCCTACATCCATGTGCATGTACATGTGTAAATTATGCATACGGCTGTCCTTCCCACATGCAATGCTCCGACATCCCACACCCATTACCTTCCTGTCAGACTACATTATACATGTGAATCTCATGCTCGAAAAAATATATTGTTGCATAATATGCATGTGAGACCTCTACTGCCCGGCATACCCGCAAGTCCCACACATACATTAATACCATGGTATAGCCTATATGCATCATATCTTTCTCATGTGCCTACCGTTCACCTAAAACACACTTGCTCTCTACTCCTCATGATTTCCTCAATTCTCTAATTAATTACACACCTCCCACTTTCTTCCATTCTTTCTTCTACTCTGCACATAATCACCCGCCTGTTCGAATTTGTATAGCACACCGGAACCGAATACAACCCATCCATCCACCTGACTCCAAATGTTACCCGCTCCGCGCCGAATAGAACCGTTACACAAAATAACAACAATAGTAATCACTCTGACAACAAAAGCCTAATTGTATATTATTGAACCAACCCCTGTAGATCACACAAGTCACACGACAATATTAGAAACTTGATTCTTTTATAACCTGTTTATCTTTAGTATGAGTACACAGAAAGAACATTTGTACAGGGTTATGTACTGAGCAGAAGTTACACTCGTATGTAGACTAAGCGGAAGATGAATTTGCTTGAAATAGGACATTATGATTGTCTAGAACATAGAACAAGGGACGAAGAAATTGGAAATAGAAAAGAAATAATAAAATAAACTTATACACCGTGCACGAGGCAAAGAAGCCTACTCAATTGTTTATAGCAGAAAACAAAAAGACCGAGTAAAGCAAGGAGTCAAAAGAACTCCACCTCAATTACGATATGTACATATGTTACAATGTAGAAGACCACAAATAAAAAATCAAACAAACGACGACAACAGCATAATAAGATACTTAAGAAACAGAAATGAAGAGAAGAGCTTTGCGTGTAGTTTTATACATATTGAACAGTCATCACGGGGCAATGAAACACACGATATAGAAGAACAAAGCAAAAGGAAAGAAGAGATTTAAAGGATAAACGTCGTGAATGTAGGGAAAGTGGATAAAATATCAATCCCGACGGAGTCGCATCGAACAAAGACATTCGCCATGTGCCGCTGTGGACGGGTAGAAGAAGACTGGAGTTACTGTTGACTGTGTGATGGTGCTGGACGTTCGAGGCTCGAAACGTAGTTGACCGAAGCAGAGGTGGAGTCGGAGGCGACAACAGCGGATCACTAAATCCGGATGGATCCAAAGACAATCAACGCCACCGACTCAACTGAAACACCACCGAGAACGATGACGATTACAATCATGACGGAGTCGTATACACTTTCGGTTTAGGATTTTCGTCCATCACGCGTCGTTCGGCATGCCAAATCCCGTTTTCGACAGTGAAAGAAACGCCAGGACAACCAGGGGAAGGGCCAAGCGATGAAAAAGGGGAATAGAAGCACAAAGAAAGTGTTGCTCTAATTCGTTTATGTACCGAATCCGCAATGGCTCGGTAGATCAGATGAATGCGGTACTGATAGATGGATTAAACAAGGAAGTGGATGGAGACTTGAAGCGGAGCTGGAACTGGTCGTTACAAGGACAAAGAGGAAACGCTGTGTTGAGCGGAGGTTGAGATAGGATGCGTTGCGATGGACAAGAGGAGAAGGCGCAGTTGAACCGAGCGAAGGAACACAAGAGAAGCATGCGTATATGCAACAAGGCATTCATCGAAGGTAGCCGTGCGAGCCAGGAGGATGCGCGTACAATCGTAATCAATACACAAACGAGCTGAAAGGAAATACAAGTTCGCTCGTATCCGGGGAAGGGCGGGCCGTGAGCAAATATCGACCAGAATGGCGGTATAGTGCGCGCGTCCTCATGAATCGACTGCCGCCGCAAAACGTACAGTGCCGAACTGATTTTGAGGCGATGTGGTCGTATTCGCTTGGGCCGCTGCTGCCGCGAAGAAAGGCGATTGCTGTGAGGGTCGACCGATCTGCGCGAAAAACGAGGATTGTTGTATGTGATTTTGACTTTGCCGAGTAGACTCGGCGGCAGCGGCAGCAAAAAATGGATCAGAGGAAGCGAAACTCGTCGATAGGGGTGATGAGGAGTCGTTTACAAACATAGGCTCTGGGTCCGCGAGAGCGCCCCGCATATGACTCGGGCTTGCCGGCGTAGGCGCATATGCATGGCTATGATTCTGCTGCTGTGCGCAAAGTGACTCCGCTCGTCCACGGTAGCGCACTGGCATGGGTTGCACCTGGGTTTGTGGGGAAAGGAGTTGTTCGACGGCAAGCTCCTCATCTTCGTCCATCTCCATATCCTCGTTTACTGTCTCCATGCTAGTCGCCATCCCCCCTCCCTCCACAACACTCGAACTCCTGCTTCGTGCTCGATGCTGATGCTGTTCAAATGCGGACCAGTTTCCAAGACTTGTCGTCGGTGTACGCGCAGTCGTTGGGGTATTGCACAATGCGTGAGTCGGTGAGGCGAACTGCTGCTGATGCTGATGTTGCGCATAAGCAAGGGTCTGTGCAAGCTGAGCCTACAAACGATCAAAGGGAGGCAGAGTCAGAGACGTTTCAGAATAAGATAGGAGCGGATGAAGGCTACTCGTACCTGTAGATTAGCGATATCAATGGCCTCTTGGCCTATATGGCCACCCGAGTTAAAGGAAGCAACGAGGTCATCGACGCTGAAAGTCATATCGTATCGCGAGTCTCCGCCCTAAATTCTATAATTCTGATGAGTGTCGTGTCGCCGATGTGATGTGTCGTAAAAGAGAGGAGTCGTGTCTTTGAGAGCGATGGGGGGCGGGAGGGGCTCAGATGGCGGTGAGAGGTTAAGGTAGGCTGGTGCTGAAATGGATATATGTAGACTTGAATGATTAGCATACTTCGGCTATTTGTCCATATCCGGTCCGGCACCTGTGTTCCTGTTGCTAGTAAACACCCTAACTAACATAAACCGCCAGCCGCTACGCCTTCTCCCAATTCATTCCGATTCCTTCCTCTATCCATCTACAGCCGTCGCCGAGTTCATCCTGCATTCCTTCCTTTTCTTTCTGATCCTTGCATGAAGGAGCGAAGTTAACATCGATACAGCGGAATGTCTCAAATACCCGAGCCGTGAAAACACTCCGACCAAATATACACACATCAACACTAGTGCTCCAATAATTGCCTCCAAGATCGGAACTACGGAACTCCAGATCTACTCATTTAGCTCACACTTGGATTGATGCAACATCGCATGGTATAAATTGAGAGGAACTATGTTACTAATCTGTATGCTAAATGTACTTATTACTATATACCTAAGACTGGTATCAAACAAGTGAAATACAACTATCGCTTCATCGGGTATAAATCCATAATCCACTACAACGATCCGTCCAAATTACACCTATCCAAACGTTCAATTGACAAGCATTAAAGTCATAAATGATAAGAAATTAAGAATAAGAAAACCAAACATCTGGACTGGTACTTTTGACGGTAGCTTGACATAACCGGTATCATGCGGACAGACACGTCTCCTCGATCCAGGAGCGGAGTATCTCACCCATCCTGTCAAGACCCTTCTGGGAAGTCCAGCGCGATGCTGTCTGGGGGCGTACCAGCAGTCTGCCATCCCACTGCCACGAAAGTACCATCTTCACTGGGGTCGGGCATCGTACACTAATGGACACCTGTTCAATCAGGAGCCGCTCCTGAGCATTGGATGGGACGGAGGGCGAGAATGCAGTAAGGAGTCCGAGCCGTTCAATATCTCCAATCGAGGACGCCATCAACGCTGGAATCATGTATGCGCTTGGGTCGTACATAGTACTGTACATGTTGCACATCATCTCGCGCTCGAGGAACGCTGGGATGTCGCACTTTCGCATATTTCGCTTGGAATAAGTAAAGTTGCAAAACAATCTGAATATATTAGACGCACGTCACTGGACTTCCATAGATCACGGCAATGTTTGGCCACAATATCCCAGAAGACGTCATCGCTTGTATTGCGCTCGACCTTGTCGGTCTCCTTGTTGTACTTCACGGCCTGACGAATCGTTGTCATGTCTAGCATAAGAGGGAATCCTTCTGAACCGAACGGGACTGAACCCTTTGCACCATCATATCGTGCAAACTCTTTCAATTTGTGTCGCTGAGGGTGTTATTAGCGTTAGCCTCTTAAGATAAGAACGTAAGTAGAAGGCAACAAACCTGATCAACGACATTCCAGAGACTTGGCAGATGCGACGCCTTTTCGTAGGTCTCCAAGACCCGTTTCTGTTTCTCCCCCGTGCGTCCTTCGCCGTAGGTGAGTACCCACTCTACTTCAGCAACTGCCTTCAAGGCCGTAACTGCTTGTGTAACAGTGATGCCATAGCGTCTACACTTTTCGCGGAATTGCGTCGTCTGGTCCTTTGTTAGCCAGACGTCTGTTGCGACAGCGTCGAATGTAGGGGTCTCATCAAGCAAGGGTGTGGGACGAAGGAAGAAGACCTATTTGGCGTATGGGTGCAGAAGGACAAATACATAGTCGCGTAAGTAAAAAGTCTTGCCGAAAGAACCACCTAGGGAAAGACGTACTGGACCAGCGGGCGCAGCAGCGCTTCCTTCGTCTTCCTTCTGTGCTAGCTTCTGCTCGCCTTCATCCGAATTAGGGGGCTGCACGTTCCCGTTCGGCGCATCAGCTTCCGGCGGCTGGGTCGTCTCGGGTGCAGATCCATTCCCAGAAGGCGGTTTTGGGAAAAGCATTGATACGGGCATTCCAGCTACCTGCGCGGCCACGAGTGCGACCGGCGGCGTCAACTTCTTAGTCTCCTCTCCCCATTTGACTGAGAGGCTCGGCTCTTGATCGGGGTGCAGAACGAGATACTCATTGAGATAAGTGAAGAGAAGCTCAGAGAGTTGCAGCGTCCCGCGCACATCTGCCGACCAGTGTGCTGAGTGGATCCTGACGAGAAAGTAGGCTAGTCAGCTTCCCGTCGGGCTCTCACCGCTATCGCAAAGTTCAGCGGTATAATGAAATAAAATTGAATGAAAAGGTACGCGAGATAGGCGGGTTACGAGAGAGTCCAGGTCGCGGGGGAAGGAGGGGCAAAAAGAGTCCGAGATGAGAAAAGCGCACATACATGATTTGCCATTTATCTTTCTCAACATCAGGTGCAACATGAAGCTCGTAGTTGTACTTCCCATCACCAGCACGCCACCATATGTTCTTCATTGCGATGTCTCGCTCGCGCAGCGTCATAGGGTCATCGTGCCATTTAATTGTCTCCTTCACCCATGCATGGACGGACTCGGCGTCATCGGGGACGGCATACTCGAAGTAGAGTGAATTCTCCGGATTACTGGCATCATCCTTCTTTGCGTCTTTAGTCTTCAGCCCAACCACGGGCGCAATAGACCGCAAGCGTGTCCACGCGACCTCAAGAGGTATGCGTAAGGCTGCAGCGGGAACGGGACGTGGGAGTGACAGGACGAAGCCGCCCGTCAAAGCCCCAAAGCCTGGAGTTTTTGATCTGCGGAACAGAGCGGATCCCAGTCAGCAACCAATTACCCAAGTATGCATGCCCTCGATTTTGCCGCTCTGCTCTTGCGAGCGAACAGAAGTCGGGTATATGCACTGGTGTTGATTGAGTGGAACACATACGCCATGACACCGACCAACTGTTCAATGCCGAAGAGTCTACGTGTCCAGACTTTCCCCCCATCCTTAGCCGTAAACTCATAATCCGACTGCATATTTTGAGAGTCCGTGGAAGACCCTGAAGGTCACGGAAGCGTGTGTTGAAGAGGTGGTGAGAGGAGTGCTAATTGTGCAGCACGCACTGCAACTTGGACGATGTTCTTTTATTGAGATACCCGGAGTTCGTCGGTCAGACCATCTTCAGAAAAGTTGGGCATGCGGGAAACTTTTTGGCTATCGGACAAAGGACAGGTCTAGTGGAATCTGATCGAGTACGGCAGATGGGGCAGCCACAGAACCTTCTTTCACTGAACTCATGTTCTGATTAGCAAGATCAGCAAGATAACCTTACGAGAAAAGGGAGCGAGATGTTCCCAGACGATGTGCAGTAGTCGTAGCAACCGAACCTGAACAAATTATTAGGGCTGAAGACCTCCATCAAGTGCTCGAATTGTATTGTAGATTGAAGTCGGTGACGTCGGTTGTCGTGTTGTAGTCGTCGAGAACTTATGTCTGGACTAGTGAGTTGTGGGCTTGAACATGTCTGTCGAGTACTTTGTACCAGAGCAAGCATCCTGAAAGGATTAGCTTCTCGGCAGAAGGATAGATAGACAGGAGAGATATAGTCGTTGTATTTCATGAATAAGTTGATCTAAAGTTCATAAGGCTGGGAATATGGTAGAGCGAGAGTCGGAGGCAGATTCTGAATGCAACTAGACTAGCTTGCAGATTGTTTGTTCCTAATTGGTCACCCCCTTTGAGTAATGACCACCAGCACCAACTTTTGCAAGCGACTTCTTCTTACCTTACTTACCAAGCAGTAGTGAAGCGACCTTGTTCAGAACCTCAAGGCAAAAACTTCTCGTGCTACTGGGATCCGCTCTGAGTTCTTTGCTCGTGGTCTCGTTGCAAACAACGACGACAATGTGGAGCCAAAGTGAGGTGTTTACCTATGGAGCTAAATCGACGTTGCCACCATGTTCAGAACTGGCAAAATTGGACCAGGAACTACTACTTCTCCATGAGCGCTCAATGCGGATTTTCTGTTTGCCGTAGAGGGGTGTTCGTCCGTCGACAGAGCTACTGATGCTACAGCAATATCGAGGATGGGTCCGGATCAGCGGGCACCACGACAGTTTTCTGGTGCTTCCTCGCGAGAATTGAGTATTCTGGAGGGTTTACGATGCCGAGTGAGGAATTGCCTGGTTGGCACGCGTGGGAGGGGGTGTGCTTCCGCCTCGGCCTTTAGGCGACAGGAGCGGAAGTGAAATCGATGCCCTAACCTGGGATAGACCACGCTCGTCCAGTGCTTCTTGTGATGGGAAGTCATCGTGACCCGTCCGGGTTTGGACCTTCACTTCAACCTTGCGCGTCAACACAGCCCGATCCGGCCTTTCAGGGCTCGTCCTCCACGGCTAGAGACAGGCGAACCTTATGTCCGCCTCCTCTGGCCATGCTTTGGCCCACAAACAGCACCTCCAAGCATTAACTTATTTGTCCTTGATATTTATATCTGTCCCTCGATCGTCCTTTATTTCCTTGCCCAAGCACCGCTCATCCTCAACTGTCCTCCTATCTCAAGTGCTGTACACCGAGGCCGCCTCCGACAATCCCCTGCCTCAGCACTTCATCACTATGGCTGACTCCGCAACATCCGCAGTGCCTGCTATTAACTTCAACCTCGTCGTTGGTCCCCTCCTCATAGGTACTGTCGTCAATGCCTTTGTATTCGGGATTTGCTTTTTGCAATTCATCGAGTACTTCTCTGCGGGCTACAAGGATAACTGGAAGCTCGTTGCACTCCTCGTATGGGTCACCCTCATCGACATATACCAGACGGGTTCAACAGTCGCGTTAATGTGGCATTATGTCGTCGATAACTTCAGCAATGTTATTGCGCTGGCTTCCTCACCCTGGACATATGCTTCACTACCGATCTTCAGCACTCTGTAAGTCTCCTTCGATTGTATGCGCTTTGCAATAAGGCCTTATTGGGTCTCCCCAGTGCGGCCGTGCCGATCCAGCATTTCATGGCATGGAGAATTATGCGCTTCTCCAAGTCGATCTGGCTCTTCATTTTCATCTCTGTACTCTCCCTGGGCCAGGGCGCATTAGCTTGCGCATCTGCGACGATGGGCTTGCTCTCTCCGACGATCGCCTCTCATGTGAAGATCATTCCTGTCGCAGATGCATGGCTGGCTACGTCTGTCGCATGCGACGTTAGTATTACGTACGTCCTTTCAAACAAATTGCTCTCATTTGAACATTTAACTGACGGGTGATTGCCGTTGTGATACAGTGTCCTCCTGTTATTCTACCTTAACAAGAGTCGCACGGGCTTCAAGAGTAAGTCTTTGCTTAAGTGACGTTAACCGAAGAACACGGCCGACTAACCTTCGCCCAATCTTCCTCGATTGCCACCTGCAGGGACCGACTCGATCATCTTCCGACTTTCTCGCATTACGGTGGAGGCCGCTTTACCCGTGACTATTCTCTGCGTATGTGCTTCTGTTCTTCGTATCATTTGATATGTCGTACTAAATAAAGATGGGCTCCTTTTTCCGGTAATCACCGGGGATTACAGATCATGGACCTCATTTTCCTGACCAAGCTCCCCAACTACAACCTCCACTTCATGTGTGCCATGCCGGTCGGGCGCCTCTACACGTGAGCTTGTCTTCTTTGTCTAAGCGTCATGATGAGTGAATTTGACGGTGTATTGTCTTTACTCCTATCTTAACTAAATAGTAACACATTACTGACTGTAAGTCGGCTCATTTGAAGTACCGATGGCGTTTTCCGCTTGCTAATCAGATTTGCCTGCTTCCTTCATTAGACCCTGAATGCTCGTGAGAGTCTCCGGAAGACTATGGAGAGCAGTGTACACAACAGCTACCAGCTTGGCGTATGTCTCCCATTATCATCCATCACTTGAATATGAGTGCTAATTTTCTGTGTTCATAGTCACGTAACCTCACAGGTCGAGTGACGGGTGGCGGCCGTACTACGGAAGTTCACATTAATGTCGAACAGGATGTGCGAATGGATCAAATGAAGTCTATCCCAGAATTTACCTCTCACTCTGGCGAGGACTTCTATTCAGTCACACCATCGTCCATCGACGACAAGGCTAACTTTGCATAGCCTGTCATTCCTCCATTCATTTATTTTCATTTTTGTTATTTTTGTCTATGGATCCCAGTGCATTTTTATATCCATACCTTTTATGGCGTCCCCTCATCTTCCACTTGTCCCCCACCCTCCGCATTTACCATTCATCATTCGCCATTCGCCATTCACCAAAATCCTCGGTGGGTTATTACCTATCCGAGTTGTAGAATTAATATTAGGAGAAAAGGACAAAAAAACTGGAATAATTTCTTAGCAGCTGGTAGTCTTGTCTTGTCTTATCTCTTATTACCCCATTTCTTGACCACCCTTCGTGTATGTGCATATATACTTGGATAGCAGGTCTACAGAAGGCGTGAGGGCAGCGAACCTTCTTGCGCTTGTGATACATTGCTTGCTTGTTTTCCTCTTGCTTTCGTTCGTTTTAGAAGTAACTTTCTTTTTTACATGTTGTGCCTACCTGGTTCACATGTTTTCGTTCGCATATGGACGGTGTCTTTCATTTTGATTCATCCCTTCTTTTTCTGATATTCCCATTCATTCCCCTTCGTTTAAACAAACTTTTTTTTTGGTGTGGGTTAGAAGATCAATAGGATCACTTCGAGACGCCCCTCTGTGTAGCCTTTTTTGACTTTTGCTTTCTTCCTGTCTTGATAATGCAAGAAAGATTACAACGCAAAGATCTTCGAGAGTGTGTTTTCGTTGTAGATTGATGGACTGATAGACTGATAGAAGAAAGGAAGTTCGAGAAGTTCGAGGATCGCTGGAAAGATTTGTGCGGATGGTAAGTATATCTCTTCAATTTCTGTGTTGTGATTGGAGCGCTAGAAAAAAGTTTTTGAGGGTTGAGGCTTACTTGGGAGCTTAGAGGACGGCGGCAAGGTGCTGCGCATATTAGTAAAAGATTGAAGTGTAGATTGAATTTTTTGAACGGAGGACTTGTGGTAGCGATACTTCCGAGATTCTGATATTACTGATACAACGATATGCATCGCAATAGATCGCATATGAATGGTAGAAAGGCTGGCTGATACTGGGATATATGATAACATATGATTGTATACACTTGTCTGATAGATTTTATGAGCTCTAGTGCAATCGGGTGTAGATTTTTTGCTGATATAGAATTTATAGTGAACATAGAAGAATCAGACAAAGGAAATCAGCGTATAAGCGCGAACACATGCTGTACATACACACAAACGCCTAAATAACGCGCTAAGTAGTTCTGGACCTTCACTTCATACTTTACTAGCGCTTTGTTTGTGGGGTCGGGTTACGGGTGGGGCTTCCTCCGAGCCTTCGTACATAAGCAAACGGCTTCCCTTCTTCTGTTCTGAAGTTTTTTTCGTTAATCCGTGCTTCTCTGAGAAAGGGAAGAAGTTTGCAAGCTCGCAAGGCTGCAAGCAGACGAGCAGATGAGTAAGCGCCGGTTCGAGTAAATCTACTTCGGTTCCAGTATATCCATTATCTTAATTGACGAAAATGGTTTCCCGGCGTTATGTGTACCTTACGACTGAACTTTATGGATTCAATTTTGATGTGTCGGCTCAATTAACTTGCGGTGTTAGTGTTATTTCTGATATCGGCGAAAGTGTAGTTAGGGCTCTGGGACTGAGTGTACTTCCAAGCGCCGGCACCGGAGGTTAGGAAGAAACGAAAGGAGTCTGCGAAGCGTCCATACAGAGTGTGTCCACATGTTATTTGTGTTTGTATACCGGTATGTATGCTCATGCAAAGTACCGCTTATGCATACATGCTTATGTCTTCGGGTGTGGCGTCTCAGCGTTTTGGCGTATTCTCTGTCCCATCTGTACACACGCCAATAGACATGCATGTATGTGTGTATGCGCGTTATCTATATAGCGATAACGATGAGTGAATGAGGCGTGATAGATTGGTTTTTGAAGAAGTTCCGCAAGCAGCGGATGAGAGATAATATCAGCAATCCTTTTCAGCTTGCTCAATTTGCATTCACGTGGGTGTGCTGTTGTGGATGTGTGGGATGTGGTGGATGCGGGGCACCAGATGGGATCGCCTTGTGGGTCAGATGTCTAGCAGTATGAAATGTGGCTATTGATCTTGAGTCTGCTGGACAGTTTGTAAGAGCCGTAAGTTATTGCAAAGATTCCTCCGGTGGATTGTTTGTTAGGAGGTGGTAGGACGCCTTCTAAACATATTGCAGTCAATTCGTCATTTGGAGTCTATGGTTATGATAGCATGAATTCTGAATGCCGAGCGAGTACGGTATTCGGAATAGCCAAAGGTCATCGGATGTCTTGTCTCTCCTACTCCCTTAGTCCTTCCGTCCCCAACGTCCTGACAATCATTCATGCAGCAGAAAACGTCCGACCCTACCTCACTTGACTTGCCAAGTTCCGTCCACCTCAGACCAATCTACCTACCCCACTCCATCCCCGGCGTTGAGCTATGCATCGAGCCTTTTAGGCAGCGCAGAATCTCCGCAGAACGCCACGCCGCAAGAAACGAAGCAAGGAAATAGAGGCGAACCTAGGATTGGTAAGGACATGTGTATGCACGCGTCTGAACATCCATCCGACCCTTCAATGAAGCGAAATCGCCAACGTCAACCGTCAAGGACGAAACCGAGGCTTCCTTTCCTTGACTTGGGGGGTGGAAGGGATGCGATCGAGGCGGGCAACTGTGTTACTGATTCCAGTCGAGGTACCAATTGATTTGGATTGGAAATAGGCAATAGTATTCCCTAGTATTCCCTAGGCCCACTCGTTTCTCTATGTTGATCAGGTCGACTGTCAGACCAAATGAAAATGAAAACTTTTTTTCTTTGATTTTGATATTTGTTTGGGCTTCGAATGGTTTAGTTTGGATTAGCGTGGGTGATCATGTGTGAAATGCTTTTTGACTTTGCCCGCAACGAATTGGTTTCGTCTCGAGATGTCGATTATCGTACTAGCCGTGTCCAATATTGGTGCAAATTGGTTGAATACAAATGCTGGTGGGAGTGACAGAGTGATTGCCGCAGGGATCGGTGAACGCGTCCACGGTCTTCTGCAAGTCGTCGACCTCGGACTCGACGAGCATTGAATGTAAAGAACCCCACCCAAGACATAAAACGTCACAATTTCATTTCATTCTTCTCGATATGCCTTCACATCATCCGCCGTTTCTTCGCCGTGCGTGTATAATGCGCAAGCACCCATTCTCGATCAGCCTCGTCCTGTTCAATCGTCCCTTGTCGAATTTCATACGCTAATCAAGTAATCCATTAGCCGCGTGGGGCAATTTTGGTTCATTGGTTTGATTGGTTCGTTGGTTGGGCGGACGGATGCAGAAAAACAAAAATAGGAACACGGAAGAAAAGAAAAGCGAAAGATGTCAGTTATGTTTATGCGTGTGTTTTCCGTGAATGGAAGAGAAAAGTTCGGATACGCACGCTTCATCTCGAAGCGGGGGCCCACTTCTGCTAATTGGACTTCTTTGTGTGACGTCTTTACGAAAACGTGGTGTCTGTGTGCATCGTGGAGTCGAGGGCGAATCCAATGGCGTTAAGGGAGGGCGGGAGAACCGTGGATACGAGAATAGAAAGCCGATAATTCAGTCGGTTAGTTAGTCTACCATTCTCATGAAGCGCAAGAAGGGAGGAGCGAAGAAAAACGAGGCCATCGAAGTCATAGAGACGCAATGATTCGCAATGGAAACGAATACAAGAAACACAATCGATACCCATACATACCGGAACGAGATAAAGTCATTCTGATTCGCGAAGGTCATAACACGCTTGCTATCCTCCTTCGGTACGGGAAAGAGATACTTTAGGATATCGCGCACGCGTTCGCCGAGTTGTAAGCTGAAGTTCTCGAAGATGAGGTGCGGGTACTGTTCGGAAACGGTTGAAGAGCTGTAGGATGCAATGTCGTGTCGTAGTTGGACGTTGTGTAGGGAGAGGTAGAGCGTTGGGCCGTGAGGGAAGTGAGATACAATCATTGCGTCTGTTCGGTAAGTAAACATGATCAGCACCGGGACAATGGTGTAACCCAACTAGCAAAGTACGAACCGGGTACACCACGATGCTCGTGCAAGACTATAAGGTCCGTCACCTCATTCGCTCGACACGCCTCCGCAAGCTCACGAACGACATAATTCCCTCGGTTGATACGATGCGAATTCGGGAAGACAAGACGAATCTCCTTGGCAAACTGCAGGAGTTTCGAACTTGGATCGCGTGAAGTCGTGATTACAATCTTCGGGTCGAGTATCCCCGCACGAGCGTATTCACTATCGATGTGGGTCGTTGGGTCTATTCGATCGTTCATTCATGCATTTCAACAACTCGTTCACGAAGACATGATGACGCGAAGACGCACCAGCTTGCGCATCATCAAACACCAAATCCTTCGCCATACCCTTCGCTTCCTTCCTCAACTCCGTAGGCAAAGTCTTCCCGCTCGCAAGTGCATCGCGCAGCTGACGTTTCCTCTCGAACGTCTGTCGTTCCTGCGCCTCGCGGGATTTGGCGTACACATATTCACGACGTTCTCGAGCTTGTCTTCGGAGCTGATTGGTACTTTGTCAGAAAGCCTGGAAGCTTAAACATCAAGGTGGACGGCGTACCATGATTTTGTTTTGTCAGCGCTGGGTATGTTCGGCAAATTCAGCAGTGACGGGAGTGTCCTCAAAGCTGAATCCTGATGCAGAACTGGCGAACCGAATTTTTCAGGTCAAGACAAAAATAGATTAGGTAGAGCGTGAGAATGATCCCAAAGAGGCAGGACGTCGATCACTTCTCCGTATCTTCAACTCAGAATTTTGAAATAACGGTCATCTCAGCTCTCCCCAACTGCATGTCACTCAGGCTTGCTCTCTCACGATGTTCACATTTCCGGACTGGACGGCGAGTCACACTGTTGCGAACTGCAACTCAAATACAGGACGGGTTGAGATTCCAACGTGTCAAGGACGGTAGTGCAGTCATTGCAGTACGACGTGCTTCAACGCTTCGGTCTGCCCCTGCTGCTTCGGACTCAATGCTACCTGACGAATCTGTCTCCTCATCTGCTTTCTCTGGTTCCTCTATTGATTGGACTGTACCATCGGATGCTCAGAGGCGTACCATCTACGCGCTCGCAACACCTCCAGGAAAAGGAGGTGTTGCTGTTATTCGCATCTCAGGTCCCGATGCACTTGCAGTATATGACCGGATCGTTCGTCCTACGTCTACACGGAAACGTAGAAGACATGAAGTTAATGATAACCATAACTTCATAACCACAAAAGGGAAGATGAGAGAAAATGACAGTGTCACAGCGGGGAACAGAGTAGATCCGGAACCGCGTAGGATGATCCGCTGTGCCGTTGTAGATCCTATTAGCGGGGATGAACTAGATGATGGACTGGCAGTCTTTTTCAAAGGTGTGTATTGTTACATACAACGACCATTTCTCTCACTTTTATTTCCATTTAAATGTATTGACTAAACGAGATTTACAGGCCCACATTCATTCACAACTGAAGACATCCTTGAACTACACCTCCACTCAGGACGTGCAGTCATCTCTGCAGTGCTCTCCGCACTTGGTCGCTTATCCTCACCAATACCCAAAGGGCACGCTCGAAACAGCAATCCCGATGAAATGTTACTACTTCGCCCAGCTGAACGGGGCGAGTTCACACGACGTGCTTTCCAAGGCGGTCGACTAGACCTTACGCAAGCAGAGGCGTTGCGTGACCTCATCGAAGCGGATACGGAAGCGCAGAGACGCGTGGCTTTGAGTTCTGCGAGGGTGGGTGAGCACGTTTGAGATAATGTGTCAATGCACGCGAATAGAAAAAACTGACATTAAAGATGTTACATTACATTTATTACATTAGGGTAGCGCACGGGTAAGATTTGAGTCTATGCGAAACGAGATTATCAAAGCTATGGCTATGACGGAGGCACTCATCGATTTCGGGGAAGGCGAGGATCTTGAAGAAGGGGTGTTTGACAATGGTGAGCAAGGTTTGTTTCTTAATTAACGCCTGTGTTGATTTGTAGCAGCTAGGGAAATCGTCAAACGACTCCGACGAACTATCGCACATCACCTCGCGGACAGCCGTCGAGGTGAGATCTTACGCTCTGGCGTACGGCTGGCGATTTTCGGTCCGCCGAACGCAGGGAAGAGCAGTTTGCTGAATCACTTCGGTTCGTCTGGTTTCAATCTTCAAACGAGGCGCCAATCAATTTTTTTCGTCCTCGTAGCTGGGCGGGAAGCAGCAATCGTAACACCTATACCCGGGACGACACGCGACGTAGTCGAACTAACGCTTGACATTGGCGGTTTGCCAGTGGTGATTGCTGATACGGCCGGTCTACGTAAAACGGAAGATATGGTGGAGCGAATAGGCGTTGATCGGGCAAAAGAGAGGTCGGTACCGCGGAATTTGACTTTCTCGCTTTCTCGCTGAAACAAACTGACTGATAATAAGCTAGAGTTGCAAATTCTGACATTGCACTTTGCGTACTGAGCTTGCCGGATATTGTGACTGATAACGCCATACGGCTGCCGGAATATGTTGACGAAATGGTGGCGCCGTCGACGTTTATCCTGCTTAACAAACGGGATTTGTGCTCGGCTTCCGATATCAGCAAAGCGCAGCAAGCGCTAACGACGACGTGTGCGGGAGCGTGGGCGGTAAGCCTGACTTGCGGCGAAGGTGTTGAGAGATTCGTTAGCGAGTTTGGAGAAGCAGTGAATGATAAGTGCGCGCAGTCAACCTATGGGAAATTTGATAACGACTGAGATAAGAGAGAACAGATTTGTGCCAGGAGATGGAGAGGAAGAGCCGCTTGTGGCGAATGCACGACAACGGGCGCATTTGGAAGCAGCACAGGAATACTTGGACGCATTCCTGAGGACTGGTACGTGTATCATTCGTCGATCTATGATTCTCAGTTCTTACGGCTTCCTGACCTGATTCATTGCATTATTGGATGCTTCTTCTGTCTCGCCCTGGGACCTGTAATGATTCTAATGAAAATGCAGAGGATGTTGTGCTGGCTGCAGAAGAGCTGCGATATGCGGCGAACGCTGTCGGGAAGGTGACTGGAGTGATAGGGGTTGAGGATGTGCTGGACGTTGTGTTTCGCGAGTTCTGCATCGGCAAGTAGGCGTGCAAGTATGGGTTATGGCTATAAATGTATGGTGATAGCCTACAACGGGAGAAACATTTCCATGATGACATAATTCATTTCTACGTCATTGACCAAAAGAGGAAGGACTCCACGCGCAGATCGCGCAAACTTAACACGCCAGCCTCCCTTCGACGACAACGAACTAACGCTAGTAGTAGTGCTGGGCAGCCAGCAAGCAACGTCGTCCCCGACAGCGTGCACGAGGATGCCGAAGCCGACGTTGCTGCAGAATCTGTTCAATAAGCCGACGCAGTCGTATGCGGATCTGCAGCCAGCGTCGCAGAAGGCAACGGGTGAGACTGCAAGGCGGAAATATCATAGCGTCAGAAATGACATGCTGGCTGCTGCCGAGGCCTCCCGCAGCCGGAAGTCCATTCCTGTGAGTCTGCCTCTGTAGAGTATTAGTAGTACATCTTCGATTCTCACTCGCCCCTCGCCTCTCTGTGTCTTATCTTATATATATACTCAGTCTGTGAGCAAAGCCAGCAGCTCTTCGGCTGCCGCCGCCGCTCCTCCCTCTCCCAGTCCTAGTCGCACCACCACTGCTGCACCTACAACCCCGCGTCGACCGGAACATCGCAAACAAAAGAGCGACGACAGCGACAGTGACCAGTTCTTTACTCCGAACGGCTCGCCCCGCGAGTCTGCCATCGACCCAGACGGACACATTTCGGTTGCCACTAATATTAGTACCACGCCTACAATGGGTGCAACGCTCGTGGGACAACCTACTTTGCACCCAGCAATGAGTGCAAAGCTCGATGGTGATAACGACACATTTGCGTCTGCCCTTGCGGAACCGAACACAGCTGACAGTAACGACGAGCAGTTACGTCATGCGCACAGACCCATGCCGTCCTCAGCCTCCTCCTCAACCTCTTCCATCTACACGCCCAGCCTGTCCGATGCGAGCTGGCCAACCTCGTTCTCAGGTCCCTCAGATTCCACGCGCACGGACACACCCGCCACGTCCGAAAGTGGCCATTCGCGCAGCACGTCAAGCCGAAGGAATAGTAGAAGCCGCCGAAGGAAAGACGAGCACAGGCAAACTATGTACACCGATGATGATTGGGCAAAGGACGTTCGTTGGCTCGTCGCACCAGCACCCCAGCCCGCCAAACAACAAATCAATCAGCAATCTTCTATTATTCGCTCATCTACACCCACTAGTACTTCTACGAAGAGAAACCGCCCACGCCCTTCGTTCGAACTCGACCCATCTTCAATGCTTCCGACTCTCCCAGGCGCGCCATTACAAATACGCGCGGCGCACCGTCGCGCAGTCTCACAGACGACTTGCTCGCGCCGCAACATGGGTAGGCGCCGCATGAGTGCTGTCTGGGAGGAGGACGAGGGCGACGAGCCTTCGCCGAATGCAGCGCCGAGGCGTGTGCACACGGATCCCTCAATCCTGTCCTCGCTCGGACGTTCTCCGTCACTTACTTCCCAACAACGGCTAGCAGAGCGAGCACGGTCACCAACTACAACGCGCTCTGGCGAATCGGGTTCAATAGCGTCATCAGCTGCCAACTCGGCATACACGAACACTTCCCGGACCGTGGATATTCCATTTCCCTTACCCGCGACGGATGGCGGCACGCCCTCTGGATTCACCTCTCTCGTGCTTCCGCGTGCGGCATACATACCATCTAATAAACGCTATTCTATGCGCTTTGGAAGTAGTAGCCATGTCGACATTACGCGTTCAGGCTTGGCCCAGACGACAATGTCGACTGTTTCAATCACGAAGAACGCCGCCACTTCCGCTCTCAGCGGCTCCCGACCGCGTTTCTTATCGCTCTCTTCTCTTTCTTTGCCGACTCTCGGTTCAGATAGGAAAACAAAATTGCCGACGATGCCTTCGCATCTACTGGGAACACTTCCGCCGCCACTGAGCTTCACTTCCCACACTCCGCCTCCCTCAAAAGTGAATTCACACCAGATACTGGTTCAGGTCTATGCGGTCGCAGTAGACGGCTTAGATGACCGGATTGTCTATGAGAAAGCCGCAAGAAATGATTGTTACGGCTTTGTCCCTGGCAGGGCATTCGTAGGTCGCGCGGTGGAGGTCGGATTCGAAGTGAATAGTGTATCGAAGAGCGACTCGGTGATAGGGTTGCTAGATGTTCGGAAGGTGTGTACCATAAGCTTTCCTTCTCTTCTGGAAATGTCTTATCAATATATTCGATCTGACCCCTTTTCTATTCTTTTTTCTCATGCTGCGCAGTGCGGTGCCCTCGCGGAATTCGTCGTGGTCGAGAAGAGGAGAATAACGCGTTGTCCGCGGCCTTCTGCCTCGCTTACGCTTGAGCAACTAGCGTTGCTTCCTCTGTGCGGTGTCCCTGCTCATCGTGCTGCGCGATCTGCCGGATTTAGCGCGGACGCGGAAGTAGATTCGGCAGGTGGCCGAGCACTCGTGCTACAAGGTCATGACGGAGCTGGTGCGCTTGTGGTTCAAGCGCTGGCTGCTGCTAGAATGCACGTTACCGCACATATTCCTGTACAAGCAGACGCCCCTCGATTAAGGACATCATCTTCCAGCAGTACTACCTCTTCTGAAGAGTCTGATAAGCAAGAGCAAGCTGAGCACTCTAGCACTCGCGAAGCGGAGGAACGCGTCCGTAAATGGGGAGCACGGGGAGTTCGTATTGGTGATGCAATTGAAGTTGTAGAAAACTGTGGTGCTGGGTCGTTCAACCTTGTAGTGGATACTGTCGGTGGACGGCAGATTTGGAACGCATGTCAGCGTGTTCTTGCTGCGTCGGGATTGTTCACAACACTTGTAGGAGACGCCTCTCCTTCGCCCTCTTCGTCACCTTCGTCTTCAGCGCACTTTTCTCCGACCTCCAAGAACCACTCCAATTCGACTCCGACGGCAGTTCCTAGTATCAATGCTCATTTCCGCGCAAATTTGCGTTCTCTACGACGTTCGTTCGGCCCTCGAAAAAACGTCGGGTACGCTCTCATTAGTCCAGTAGCAGATGTGGACAACTGCGGTGAAGACGTGCGCGATTCACTTGTTGAAGCTGTCCAGCGTGCGACAGCGGGTGTTTTCTTACCTTACGTTGGTGAAGGAGAGCCTTCGGAGAAGCAAAAATCAAGTAAAAGGAGGGTGGTACCGTTCGAACGTGCACCAGAGCTCTTTGGTTCTGGGATGTTGAGCGATGGACGGACAGGTGTTGTGAGGATCGTTGACTAGTGTGCTTGCACCCCTAATGCACGATTAAATTTCTTTTATTGCCCCTTTGGTGGACGATATACGATGGTTTTTTACGCATATTATTAGATTATTTACTTCGTGTATTTCATCTATATTTCCTTCCTCCCGCCCCCTCTTTTGTCCGACTTTTTTTTACTTTTACTTTTTCCTGCATGCATAGTTTTTCATGATGATTTGAGGATGGATGGACGTTCCCTACCTCTTTGCATTCCATTTCCCACCTTCCTTTCCCATTCTTCCCCATTGGTGATTTTCTCTACTCAATGCACGAACAGTTACTTAGTTTCCACATGCATTTTATCAACATCACTATCCAGCTATCTTGACAGACGGTCTTTCTTTTCCCTTTCGTCCGCCACATTCCTTGATTACTTAGTTCTTGCTGCTCTATTTTCTTTTCTTGTTGGGCTTTTTCGGCGACGTCCCTTTTTCCCCCCTGTCATGTTTATAATGTGTAGTATAGTGTGAGACACGCTTTTAACATAGACGATTTCTCTACAATGTCTCAAATATTTTAGAATAGTGCTCGAATCAATACATGAGAATGAGATGCAGGCTCGGTGATGATCGAGGGTGAGAGTATCTTTCGTATACTTTGTATTGAAGCTGGACCGTCAATCTAACGTAAGTAGAACTCGCTACAGTCGGTATCTTGCAAGAAAGCAGGGTACTTTCGCGGTACTTTGCGGGTGGCTTCGCAAAGGATGCAGCAAATATAAAGGGTAAGAACGTCGTTGAATGCAATTTCGAGAATCGGCAGGATGAGGTGAGGTGAGTTCTGATTCCATCTACGTAAGTCGATTGAAGGTGGGCGTGGATTGGGGGACAGGGCTCAGTAAGAGTGTGGGACTATCGTCGTTGTTTCTTCGCTTTCGAGGACTGAGGTGTTTTCGATTTCGAGGGTTTTGCGGGAGCAGTAGTAGAGGACGAGGAAGGTTTTGAGGAAGAGGGAGGCTGCATGCGAGCTTGTTTGCTACCCTTCGGGTGAGGTGCGAACGCAACTTTTTTGGTTTTACGTCCCGGTTCGCCGTCTTGAGTAGAGGTAGAGGTTTTGGGGTGGTGTTTTCGTTTGTTGTTCTTTCGTGCAGGTGATGATGAAGGTTGAACGTCTTCCTCTTCGTCGAACTGTGAGTCTATATCCAAGGGACCTTCTGAGGTAGATAGGTCTTCCTCGTCCACATCCTCGTCATTCTCATCGCTATCATCCTCGACCTGGTCGTCTCCGCCCTCTACAGCAGTACCAGCGGCAGCTTTAGCCTCAGCCCTCTCAGCTTTCTTTAGCTCCTTTCGTTTCTGTTTCTCTTCTTCCTCCTACAAATCCCAACGGATACATAAGTCATTCTAACCACGAGATCAATACTGAACAGTACGCCGCGCACCTGTCTCCTTTGCTCCGCTATCTCAGCAAGCAACTCAGCCTTGTACGGAAAACTATTCGGTATACCCGGGTCTTTGCGGTGTTCTTTATGCCATTTCGCACCAACAAAAGAAAGTATAGAGAAAAAAATGAGAGAACAGAGCAGTCAGTCATCGCAGCTCAGTAACACAGAGAAAAACAACGAAAGACATACTTGACTTCCACTGAGTATCCTTCTTCGCCTCTTTCTTCGATTTCTTCTTCCCTTCTTTGACTTTATGCTGGATCCTTGCACGCTGATGCGTCGTTCGTCGCTTGCTTGTCTCTGGGAACTTCCTGTTAGCAATGCCAATGTACCATATACAAATAAGGTGACACACTCTTGCGAATCCGAGGCATGTCAGTTCGTGTGGAACTCGAGAGTCGAAACCAAGGCGTTGAACGAAACTTTTTCCGTTTGCGAGGATCACACTTTGAATAGAAGGATAGCTGGCACGTGCAGATTGACACTTTCCTCATTTCGTCTCTGAACAGAAATATGATATATATTGGACAACCTTGGTTCAAAATCATTGTCTTTCATTTTATATTTGAATAATGTACTATTTACACGAAAACGAACGACATGTTGTAACTAAAGTCATCCCTGAAGTGGAAGCAACCTCTATTGTGGCGAATAGACCAAAAGAACAACAGCCGGCGGCGCCTTGCACACAGGTTTGCAGTGCTAGAAGACCAATATACTCCCTTGATGAATGTCTCTTGTCTCGATTGCGTGATCAGACAGAACTTCGAAGAGCACATTGATATTCACTTCGCCGATGACTGTTGCAAATTGGAAGGACAGACCCAAGCGAAGGCACACCGAATGATGCAAAGTCAGTACCAAGTATCCACAACATTCAGACTAAGCATCAACTTCCTAGCTGCGGTTAGCGGTGCTACCATGGTTTCGAAAGGAACACTCTAGATGCATTAGACGCCAAACTCTTTTCATACTATTCGCCACATTGTTGCTTGTGATACTGTTGGTGACGAGTCCGGTGCTTGTGTGTGGCGCGCAGTTTGCCTTTGCCTTACCCTTTCTACGTGTGTTCTCTAATAGCACCTCTTTGCTTGCCGATCGGACTAGACAAGTCGGATGATGATGACTGGACCTGTGTGCCTTTTAACGAGGCACCAAGGCGGTGTCGTTGACTTCTTCGCTACTTTGTTCAGGCCAATGAGAGATCGCATTAGGCGAGTAAGTTGTGGGGCATTACAGGCAAGAATTGAAGCGACAAAGACTAGCATAGACAAGGACGAAAACTTGAGCATATATATCCCCGAGCTAAAATGTACGGGTCGCGGGCCAATCTTCTTTTTTCTTAATTTTCTGGGTTTTCTCGGAAAGTAAATTTGGAGAGATTTTGAGACAATATTGAACTAGAGTCAGAGAAAAATTGCAATGGAAACTTGATAAATGCTTGATGGTGCTTCGGATGGACTTGGACCTTGATCCACTTCCAGCCTAGAAAACTTGTCTGCTTGTCAGAGTACCGACCATGCCGACCATGCACGAGTCAATCCTCTTGTCAAGTGATTGGCACAAGTATCTGTGAAGACCTTGTTTTCGTGGTTTTCACCAACGTGGGTCGCCATTGAGCGCGGCTGCGGAGGCCGGCGGTATGTCGTAATCCCTTATACGAGCAGGGCTACTTCCACGGGGTGGGCTACGGCTGTAGCTGCGGCGATGGCGGTCAGAACCGTAGCGCCCAACTGGAGCTGGGCTGCGGTGACGCCAGTCTCGGTCTCGTCCGTATGGGTCGCGATCCCGACCCCTGTCTGAGTACCGGTCTTTATCTGAATAGCGATCGTAGCGGTCATAGCGCTCACGATCATAATATCTATCCCGTTCATCGTAGTCGCGCCTAATGTCGCGCTCCCGGTACGATTCACGGTACGGGCCACGGTCACGGCGGTCATAGTCCCGACCTGTGTTGCGACGATGACCCATATATTCGCCCGGCGTTGGAGCATGGGGACGTTCAGTAACAGAGTAGTCAACGCGAATACGGCGGCCATTGAGTTCCTGCAAGCAATTTACATTGAGTGTTTCAGTTGGCCCTTGCTTTTGTTTGAAAGACATACAACGCCGTTCAACTCTTGGATGCAACGGGCGGCATCTTCGACTGAGGCAAGCTTGATGAAGCCGAATCCACGAGACCTGTCAGACTGCACAAAAATTAGGCGGGTCCGTACTGGAATTGCTGAACATCATCGTACACGCTGGTCATAGACAATGGTCACTTTTTCAACGCGACCGAATCGACTGAACTCTTCGTCGAGGTCACGTTCTGTGCTTCGAATGCTCAACCCGAAGACACCGAGCACGTTCGAGGGCTGAGGGTTCTGCTCCAGAAACACCATATCAGCCAATAAGCGCTGGCGAAAAAGAGAGTCAGACATACCACGGGAGCGTGCTTCGGCCTTGAGGGCGGAGGAGACCTTCTGCTACGGTAAGCTGGTGGAGGGCTGCGACCACCACGCATCGGACTCCTCGAGCGTGAACGGCCACGCACAGTGACGGAGTCTCGGGGATCCAAAGGCGGGGCAGCTGAGGAGGGAGGCGGCGCGTTGTACGCATCGGAATAGGGGTCTACCGGGGCGGTGGTCTCGCTATACTGAGAACACACAGACATTTGAGACATTGTACGGTAAAACAAGCGGGGACTGAGGCCTGGGCGGACAGAAAACGCGTACGTACCATGGTAGTTAAAGGCAACAACAGCGAGCGCCACGACTTTGCACGAGAAGGGGTAACTGATCGAGCTTACCTCATTCGGCTCTCTAAGACGTCATGTGCTCGAAGCGCGTCTTGCGCGTCTGACTTTGAACTTATTCACTCTCAGCGAACCTCAATCGTTTAATCTCAAGTTCTTCATGGCCTTCTGAGTATTAAATATAGATGCATAAAGGACTAGGAAGTCCCATCTCTATGCCAACAACTAGTGTAGTTCTAGGGACTGGATTCCCCAGTAAGTCTCAGACGTAATCGCAGAGTGACCTGCGCTTACGCCTGTACAAACATGTGGCGAAAACTAGTCAGAAGTGGCACACGAGCTACTTGATCCGCTCATCATCATATACTCGTTGGATGCAAAGTGGTTATTCCGGAGTTGTACCAAATGCATTAATCCAACTCTATTTGGTTCGGCAAAGCTTGCCTCAACATCAGACATGGTTCGATGACCCGGAGCTCGAGTGGAGTGTACAAGCAAACTTCACGGGCTAATACGCCCTTTACTTGGGTCGTTCAGAGATTCCGACATCTGAACATTCAATGATTCATACCTGCACTCCTGGATGGTGTTCATCCGCATGTGTCCAATTAGACCAGGAGAGTAAACCAGCATAGCAGGTGCCTACTAGCTTTTGGACTTAAATAACAAAATGAGAAGTTCTAAAGCTTCTAGTCCGCTTCAAAAGTCGCCTCAGTGGAATTGTAGGGAATTGTATATATATATATAAAGTGCAAAGCTGAAGTCGTGAGAACCAAAGCCTTGTACTGTACAGTTTGCTTACGTCACGAAATTCCCACCCTACGGTCCACTCTCAAAGATTCTGTTTAAGCTCTTCGTCAAGGACACGCCCAGCAACACTCAAAAATGGTGAGTACAGCATGCAGAACAATGTCAATGCAGAAGGCTAAAGTTGCTGTCTATACAGGGTATCGATATCGCCAAGCACCACGTCAGGAAGGGACACCGCACGGCACCAAAGAGCGAGGACCCGTACCTCCTCTTGCTCGTCAAGGTGCGTGTACACATCTGCATTGCGGTTGTACGGGGTTGATTTACCATGGTTGTTTTCAGCTCTACCGATTCCTCGCACGAAGGACGGATAGCTCTTTTAACAAGGTGAGTTATCTAGAGCTACGTCAGACGCAGATAATTCAACGCACACTTTCACTCTCCAGGTGATCCTCAAACGACTCTTTCAGTCTAAGATCAACCGGCCGCCCGTTTCCCTCTCAAAAATCTCAAAAGAGACCGAGAACATCCCAGACCACGAATCAAGGACTGTCGTCATTGTCGGCACAGTGACAGACGACGTACGTCTGGAAGTAGTGCCGAAGGTCAGCGTCGCTGCACTTCGCTTCACGCGCTCGGCAAAGGAGCGTATTCTCAATGCTGGCGGTGAGGTCCTCACTCTCGACCAACTTGCTCTCCGTGCGCCGACTGGTTCAAACACTATTTTGCTTCGTGGGAAGAGAAACTCGCGCGAAGCTGTTAAGCACTTCGGTATGGGCCCGCATACGAACAAGAAGCCTTTCACCACTTCCAAGGGCCGCAAGGTCCGTTATCTTCAAGCTCAAACTATTCTAGTGAAAGTGAATACTAAACACTATTGTCCTTTCAGTTCGAGCGTGCTCGTGGACGTCGCAAGTCTCGTGGTTTCAAGGTCTAAAAGCCTTATTCTACAACAACTCGAGAAGGATGCGACGGTTAGTGCGTGTCCTGCTACCGGTGGGGTCTTATGTTGTATGGGCAGTATGCACATGTTTTTCATACCGAATTTAATCCTCTGTATGCGTCCTGCGAAGCAAAACATATCCGAAGCATGAAACTGCTCTTTTTGAAACTAAGAAAACAAACCATCTATCTAGAGAAAGCAAAAACGTAATTATCCAAGAAACCATCTAATTCAGTTATGCAAGACATGTATGAGCCATAGTTTTGAATGTGTGTATCTGGGAGCGATCACCTCCGTGAACCAAGATAATTCCGCAAAATCTAAATCTTCTTGTCCACCTCTTCGAGTGCAATATCCACAGGAGGCAGAGTCATCGGTTCAGGTGTAGTAAAGCCCGATACTTCCTCCGACTTAACCTTCCCTGCATCCACCTTCTTCACCCTCCTCATCTGCACGCCTTTCAAATACCTCGAACCTCCCAGATAGAAAAACGCCAAACCACCAAACACAAGGACATGTCCGTACCACCCCACGGCTCGCCAGCCTTTCAGTGAATCGACGATGGTGAGAAGCATGAATGGCATTGCTGCGTAATTCATGCAGGCTACTGCGCACATTATTCCGAGGACGTCGTAGATACGTTTTGCGAGTGTTGGTGGGGGAACGTCGTTCTTGCCGATATTTGGAGGAAGGAGTAAGGGACGGAGGTGGTTCCTGCAGAGACGGCCGACTGTTTGTACGAAGCCGCCGTAGAAGAAGGCGACGTAGTAACCTCCGGAGCAACCGTGCTGCGTGTTAAAAGCGAGGAGTTAAGAGAGGATACATAAATAAAAACGTAGGGCGTACCCAGAATGCACTCGTTCCAAACGTCATCATGCTACTCCTGAAGCTAATGGCCCATTTTTTTAGCACAACCAAAGTAATACGTGAAAGAATAAAAACCTACCCAGGTTTCTTGCCCTTCGGAGTGACTCGCTTGTAGACACATTCTCGTAACCAGACATTCGTCTTCATGTTCCACGAATCAAGCATCACTTTGAAGTTTGGTGCGAACTCGATGTTCATGATATCAACGTTTGCAGCGTCATTCCAGACAGTCTCTCCGTTAGGACCGTACCCTGAGAAGCCTGAGCCCGTCAGGATGCTAGCTCCCTGGAAGTGGATTAAGTGGCAAACACCTTGGCAATGGTTAAGTGTTTTACCTCCGTCAAAGTCCAGATTGCATAATATTTTGTTCGTTCAAAGAATCCGCAAATCTGAATGACCACAAGACTATTGACCTGTCAATCAAATATAGGATTTAAAAAAAAACAAGGTAAGCATACCGATAGAGTAGACTCTTCTGCGCAAACCAATCTTCTAGGGAACTAGCAAAGCTGAACTTTCCGATCTGCGTCACATACATCCCAAGAAATACAAGACCAATAACCATCTTCCTGTATGCAACTCGTTTGCGACCAATAGGTACTCGCCGGCCTCCAGGTGTAACGGCCTTCTCCTTCCCTTTCTTCGTTGTGAATAGCGACTCGTCAACGAGTGAGGTATATGAAGCAAAATCTAGGTACGGTCCGATCAGAAAGCCAGGGAAGTAGAACCTTGGAGGATAGAATTAGAGTGATATGTGTATACGTGTATAAAACATATGCCGTACGAGTAACCCAAGAAAGCCAGTAATGAGGGGTATTCTGCAACGCGCTTCTCAAGTTGCCATTTGTCAAGCTCCTGTTAACCACTTCGTTTCAGTACAGAGATATGGCGTCGAAAGTAATAGTTGGTGTACCTTTTCGGGTCGGCGACCATCATACACATTCCAAGCAAATGTCGTTAGCTTCATTGTAAGAACCATCTGTGGACCGGTAACTTCAAACGTTTCGTAGCTCAGGTTGAACATCGCTCGAATGACATGGCTATACAACAGGACTGTTAGACCAGTGTCTTATTACATAGAACCGGTTACGTACTTAACCATTAAGTGTCCCATCACAATACTACCAGTCATCAAAGCCGAAGCATTCTTTAGTTCCCGACGTCGCCACGAACAAATGACCAAGAGAAGTAAGGCGCAAACTCACAAGAAAACAATCCACGGCATGTTCGAGCTCTTCACATTCTTCGCAATGAAGTACGTTGCGAGGACACTTCCAAGTAGCTGAGCAGCACCAGACCAAAGCTCGAGCATCCCAAGGAGGTAGAACATTGTTACTCCAATATTAAACAGGTGTTTTATGGCATGGTGCCCCGCTGGTAGACGGATGAACACGCTTCCAAGCGGATACGATATCAAGAGACATGAGATGAGCTAGTTTCACAATCGACAGAAGAGTGCGAGAGCGTAAGACACAAAATTAGAAGAAAGTCTGGAGGTTAGCGCCTATGACGTGGTGTAGTTGCGCCAAGAAATACAGACCTCAACCTGGTCAACAGACGCGCCCAGAGTGTCAGCCAGAGGCTGGAATATGGCATCCATCACCCTAATGTAAGCCAATCCAGTACGAAGCCCTCTCGAGCTTGTCAGATGTCGACGGTTCAAAAAGAACAAGAAAAGTTGTGTGCCATGACCAGCCTCTTCGGCTGAAGTTTATGCTTCCAGTCCAGTGATCTGCGCCGCCCACGTGCCGTAAACAGTGGTAAATCTTCATTACTCAAGACTTCAACTCAATATTTTTACTCATTTGGGAAAAATTAAAAGTATTTTCGCATAAAATAAATACTAGATGTTATTGGAGAGGACATAATCAAGGAGAAGAAAATGAACTCGACGACAACGGGGGTAATAAAAGTTCAAGCCCAACAAAATTGTATTGATTCAGTAAAAGAATCGTATTCCTTCCAAAGGTTAGCCAGGACCACAAGGAGTATGAGATTAAATGCTTCAGTGTTGTACTGTATGCCCTTACACGGCTCTTCAGAGCAAAAAACTCTGCCTTGACTCTATCCACCAGCTCTAGCCTAATAATTCTTCATAGGCGCACTGGCTTCCGATCCAAATCCCTTCTGGTTATGCTTTTCAAGGAACCGAGTATTACACACAGAAGAATGTGTCCTCGACAAACTGCAACAATGGCACTGATAAGCAGTGTAATAACATATCCCATGACTGTATGCAAACAATCCATCAGTTCAGGTACACACAATACACGGATAAACACAGCATCCGTAAGGAAATTAACTGATAATGGAGGATGAAATGGGGACGTACGGATAATCCAGACCAGGAACGCAAGCGCCTGTACGCCTTGATGTATACGACAGAGTCCGGGGAACAAGTCTAGGTCGAAGTCAAGAAGGAAGCCGTATTGTGCAGGGTCGCGTACTGTATCACGAAAAAGTCGCAACACTTGTATTAGATTATAACCAGGTATATTTTATACTTTTTGTAAATTTTGTTAAAGCAATTATATTCTTCATAGGGGTTTTCACAAGTTAATTATAATTTAATACAAGTATAATGAGAATCTAGAACAATTATTGAAATTACTGATATTAATTATAATTGTACATATTGTCAAGATATATAAGTGATTATAACATAACTCCCAAAATAATAATGTTAAAATATACTTATTATTTTTTGACAGTATAGTATTGTCTTACAATATATACAAATCATTACAAGCATTTGGATAGCTTGCTTTTGTTTTGTATACAGTTTTGTATTGAATAATTAATAAAATGTAATTATATTTAATTATTTAATACAAAAAGATAGTGAATATTATATTATTTCTACGGTCCCAATCCCCGCATCACTAGCAGCCTCTGCCTTGTTCTTCTGCAAGCGGAATTCGTGTCGGTAAAGGATTAACGCGTTCTTGGGCCGTACAAAGTAGTCTTCGTCACCACGCCTTGGTCGTCGCTCAGTCCCTGCGAGTTGAATTGCAAGGTCGAGCAGGTTTTGGAGGTTGAGGCTGTGCCTGTGAAACAGACTTGGAGTGATTTAGCGAGTGACAATAAGAAAGAAAAGATGGACGCACGGCGATGGCGTGCAGCGAGTGTGAGTAGTGCATGCAGGTTGAGATCCGGAGCGTTGAACGAGTTGATTCAGACTGCAGACGAAACTGTGTCTGTGTGCGTGCGCTCTATAGTTTATCTACAGTGTCCGATGGGAGGTGCAGTAAACTGAGTCGTCGATTGCAAGGTGTATCTCTAGGACGTTCCGGCTCGAAAGGTGAAGGTGAAGTGGAAGGCGGACGGACTCGGCTGAGCAGGGAGTGGAGGGCCACTGCTTCCGTTCGAAATGGTGTCATGCACGACACTGGGGAAAGTAAACGCACGCAGTGTGGACCCATCAAGGGTGATGCCAAGCATGGAACGGGTGGGGAAGAACGTGCGCGTCGGGTTGGAGAGAGGATTGCGCCTTTGGAGTAGTCGTACATGGACATTTCGCGAGCGTGTGATCGTCGATTGTTGCTTGCGCTGCAGGGTGGGAAGAAGTATGCGAATTATTAGCAAATTTGTTCGGTATTGGTCAAAAATGCAGATGCGCGAATGCAAATGCAAAAAGAAGACGAACGTAATAAAAAGGAGGACAACGAAGGAGAGGCGACGTAAGAGGCAGAAAGGGAGACAAGAAGTTGAGAGGAGAAGGATGAGCAACTATTGTGCAAGCTATTATGAAGTGGACTGGCTGCTTACGCTTTACGCTGAAGGACTGTGTAGCCAGCTGGGTCGTGTCGTCACAGGATCTGAAGTTCAGTGCGGGCAACGCAGTGGCAGATTAGAGAGACGAATGCAGCGATGTTTATTGTCTAGGTGGTTGCAGCCAGTGTGCCTGCTGGAGGATGCTTGTAGGCAGAGGACTGAGCTGGAGAGAACAAGAGCGACAACATAGCGTTGGGGGAAGAGGGTTGGGGAGATGGTGGAGGTAGGAGGAAAAGGAGTGACGAGAGCAAGTGCGTCATTATATGCACTCGATCTTCGGTACTCGATTATGTAATCACTTCGATATATTGTTTAAAAGTAAAACCAAATTATATTATAAGTCTAACAGAGTGATTGTTAACAATATTAATATATATAATTGCATATTATCTTACCAAAAGTACTATAATCAACTTACAAGCATAATACATTACTTTTATAAATATTATAACCAATCAACTACTGTTGTATATTAATTTATATACAATTTTAACATATTACAATAAAAGTTAAGTACTTGTGTCTCACATATAATATTGTAGTAATACTGGTAGTAACATTACTTGCTTCAAAAAACAATTGTAGTATAATACAATTCTTGTATAAGTATTACATTTATATACAGTTGTTACATTTCAATTACAAGCAAAGTATAATTATAATTTTGAAGTGTAATTGATATATAAGTACATTATTACATTACATTTGCTATTATTAATTACATTTGTTGCGACTTTTTCGTGATGTGCAAGCGCTTCAACGTCCGCTATACACAATTCAATCCTTCAGCATCATTGTCTATTCGAGGGCAGTAGATTATGATAGCAGTAAGTCAGCTCACCGACGAGGTCACTAAGGCCTTTACAACTCTTCGGAAATCCAAAGCGTGCAAGGAAACTCAGGTCAAAATCCGTGGTGGCATCAGCAGCAGCCGCAAGCCAGATAACAGATAAGACAGCTGATAAATAAATATTGATTGTAGTTGCAACCGAAGTCGGAAGACAAACGGAATTTAGTTCCGAAGCATGAGAATTAATGGTATACGTACAAAAGACAATGAGCTCTACGAGTACCCAGGATGTCACTGCATCCCTGCGTATGAAATCAATCAGGAGCCTGAAAGATGACGTTGAAATTCAATATATCAACCTCTCGCTATAAGTGGTTATACAATGGAAAAGACGTACATAGGCACGATGAAGATGATATTCAGCCCAGCAGCAACTATAGCTAAGTACACCCATGGTTGGACAGACTCGTCCAGGACGCCTGGAATGTCGAATGAAACGAACTTGGCGAGATAGCCTGCACATAGACCAACCACAGCAAGTGATAGTAGCACGGATGCAGCTGTGATGGGGGATTAGAGCGGTCGAAGAGTGGATTTAATGTTACAGCACAATGGTGATAGTGAAAATAAACAATTTACCCAGGCAAATAATACGTATGGTCCAGAGTGATCCCATATCCAATAATTTACGAAGAGAATTTTGCTGACCAGAGAAAGGAAAGTAGAAGAGTAGACTAACCCAAGGTATACAGGTGCAGTACGAGGTTCCCTTAAGTACTTCTTGCATATAGGAGGGATCCGTTTAGAACTGTCCGTACGACGTTTGCAACGCAATTCCGGTACCTTTGACACGATAAGGGGCGCCAATCTTCATCAAGAGAATACGTATCACGTCAAAGAAACATTAACAGGCAAGGAATCATTGTTTCTTCCGCCGACAAGATCTCGTTAATTTGATTTTCGTCAAGTACGCCCTAGATTAAACCTTTTCAAGAAGCTTTGCTCCTTTTTCGCGCATTAGATCACACGCGAGGCGGGTCAATACTTGATGATTAAAAATAGATTATGGATGGAAGTGCCATCATGGTGGAGGATGACAACCTCTGCTGTACAAGGCGTACTTTTTGCGGCGTACTTTTGCAAGAGACTTTGTTGAGGGATGTCGTCGCCGAAAATAAATCGCCCCCACAGCCACTCGAAGCATTCAAAAACGCAAATCATGATTTCCATTCTGGATCGAGGGCTCAGATCAGGTATAATAATCTTAAAGAAGGGCAAAGTCAATAGGGGGGCAAGCAAGAAAGGAGGGATGATAGAAGGATAGGAGTAATCTTTCGACTGAGGAAAGTATATAATGTATAATCAAGACAAGACAAGTAATAAATGTCCAATCCACGAAGTAAAACACAAGGAACAAAGGGGTTTAGATGACTCATGTCAAATACCATCGATCCCTCAAATTTCAGTTCATGTTTCAAATGTGATGCCTACACATGCACGGGCTGACCCTGAGCAGGTGGGTACTGTTCCGCTGTCAGTGTATGGATGTTGGTAGGATGATTTAGCTCCTTACCGCGTTCGTGGGCCACGGCTGTTGCATCGGCGCCTGCATTGGTGCAGCAGCGGGAACAGTCTTCCTAGCAAAGAAGTTCGTATCGCGCACTGTACCCGTCCAAGGCTTGTTCTGCCTGAGTTGAGCAAGGATTGCCATAACGAGGAGGCCGGAAAAGTAACTCGTGACTAAAAGATCGACCAAAATTAAATCACTCTCAGCACTGCAAATGAATCGAAGTGGATGGAACACCACGAACGGATGATCCAGTTCAGGAAACCGAACGCCTCAATGGCTTGGTATGAGTGACAGAGCGTACCAGCGGTGCCTGCGAAGAACGTGTCAATTCATCCATCAAATTAAAGTATTTGTAGAATGATTTACTGTCTATTCTGTCGGCGACACTGCAATCCACGGTCTGTCCGTCACTTGCAGAAGCTGTAGTTGCGGCTGACGCCAACCACAAGATCGCCAGAAGGCCTGCCATTCGACACCTCTTGTTTAAATATGATTGCTTGATCAAACAAACTTCGGCGTACCCGTGACACCCAGCTCAATGGCCACCCAGGACGTTATTGCGCCACTCCTAATGAAGTCAATGGCAAGCCTAATCAAGCAGAGTAAATAATAAAGTCAGAAGGCATTTTACAAGAAGTCCAGAATGGAGAAGGGGGGGATACAGACATTGGCACGAAAGCCAAGAACGTGATGAGGGAAATTGCAAGAGCGAGCGCAGCGAAGGCAGGAGCATCAACTCCGAAATTGGCCAACTGGGCGATATAGTTCGCAGAGAGACCAAGGATGATAATAGAGAAAAGGAGTACGACGGCTGTCGTCGTTGCGATTTTAGAATCAGCTGACTTGAAAATCTTCTTGAAGCAGATATCATGCGCACCGAATACAGCAATTCGCCCAACCCACAGAACGTTCAGTCTACCCATTTTGGTCTGCAAGAGCCAGGGGAGATGGTGCGGTACGAGGTGTTTGTGGATAAGAGGAGCACTGCTCTCTTGAGGTCGTGAAGAGGAAAGGGGGGCGGAGGACACAAGAAAAAAGAGCCGCTGTATTCGGTTTAATTTATATTGTGAGGCAGTCGCGAGGGTTGGGCGCGAGCATGTCGATCTCATCTCGAAGACAAATCAAGCAGGCTTCTTCTAGAGACCCTTAAGTTTGACAGATCTTCCCGCGCCCGTCACGGTGCCTCAAGTCTGATGGTGCTCATCTGAATCATCATCGCCTTAAGCAACGTTCCAATCCAACGTTTCGCGGAGTAGAGAAATAACACCTGTGAACCAGCTCGAGTTTGCGCTGACGCTCGGGCCCCCGTCGTTACGAGTCGTAATGATTTCTTCGCAACCTTTTTGTGCTATAAACATCCTGAGAGAAATGGAGTTCATACCAACCAAGATGATCGAGTCACGGGTAATTCCACCGCATTTTACCACAACTACTATAAAAGGATAAGTAAACCTCGATTAGCCCTGAACACGATAAAGACGTGGTTCGGACCTATCGCACCGCTGTTTATGTTGATCCGTACCTTTGCAAGAGATTTCACGCTGAGCAGTTCTGCCTCGTGAGCTACTGGTCCAGCTAAAGTTTAAGAAGTGTTCATCGCTCTGAGGGGGGGAAAGTTGCACGATAGATAAACTTGTCTCGGCCAAAAGATGCCAAGGCTAACCAAGGGACGTTCAGCGCTGCCACTCGGGAAGATTTTCAAATCCTGTGTGCTTATGTAAAGAGCAACCTCATTTTGGGTTTCGCACGCAAGCGACACACAAAGCCAAGATCCATCCAAGTCTATTCCGTAAACATGAAGTCTCGTGAGCAATAGATAACAACCGGAAAGCACTAGACAAGAACGGAAGTCAAAAAGTAACCACAGGCTTAGACAAGGTGTATCCAAAAACGTGACCGTAAATAAGCAAACCAGATGAACAGTGAATAAGTAAAACGTGGGATTTATCCGAAATCCTTGAACAAAATGGCTATGACGGGTCCTGCGAGTCTTTACATCGTCGTCAGAGAATGGATAACAACGATAAATATGTCAAATGGTCAGTGGGACAAATTACACTGCAGAACAAAGCAAGTGATCCCGAACAGGTCCATGACTACAAGAAAGCGAAAAAGCCTCCTGGATGAGTAACATACGGATCCGCTAAAGTAGCTTTTCCTCGACAGTAAAGTCCCGTGCGTGTCGTGCATCCCGGTAATCATTCATATCAAACCAGCCAATAGCGTGTTCAGCTTGTGTGCCATCTGCCGCGGTGGCCACACCGCCCTGCTTGTCGAGCTCGAAGCGCAAATGCACATGTCGCGCCCACAAGCGATGGGAAAGGAAATGGCAGAAAAGTATGAAGATTGCGAGGAACATAAAGAACAATGTGCGCGGCTTGAACTGAAATATAGGCTTGTTCATGCCTGCGCCATGCTGTATACGTGAAAACACGCGTTCGGACATGGTTTCCTCTTTTGGTTCTGGTGCAAGAAAAGCGATACGGAAGTCTCTCGCACCAGTAGGCGAGGAAGGCGTAACGATGATAGCAGGAAGAGCTGCTTTGTCGTCGACAATGGGTTTTGAAAGATCTAGAACAAATTCTGTGAGCCTCAACGATAGATTCACAGGAGTTTATTAAGACGGACCAAGCGGAGGTGGAATCAAAGCCCAATCCAAACGCTGGGGAAGTCGGTGACGGCGCGGAGGAACTGTTTCGCGTCGCCAAGGCGTCTCATCAGCGGCCGTATAAGCGCCTTCCAACGGCATGACAGCTCACCAGACATTTGGGAAACCGAGTTGCTTGATCTGAGAAGGCGCGCGCGCAGTAATCGTCAAACGCGAGGCAGCAACTTAGACGTGAGTGAATTGTGCTTTCACAGGAGCGAGAGATACAAATGAGCGTGGTGAGTAAACGAGTGTAACGACCTAGGAGCTGAGTGCAACAAGGCGTTTTGTGTATGGCGAAGACTGCTTATGGGTAGCCGACCGAAAGAGTGAGGTCGTAGGCTAACACAGGGGGAAAGAAAAAGGCGAGACCAGCGACAAGAACTAAGATGAGGTGGGTGTGGGACAGAGAAGTGATGCCTTAATATCCGACTAGCGCGCCTCCGGATCCGATGCATGAGAGTATTACGTCAGGGAATTTCAGTCCGTAGCTGCTACATTAGGCACCCGCGATCTGCGTTTATTTTATTTTTTGCTTTTCCTTTCATCTGTACAAAAAACATATCAGCCGCACTCAATGGCAGGCACTACACTTGTTCTTTCCTCATCCTTCACAAGCAGCTCGCGACCTTTGAGCACTTTTTCACTCCCAGACCAGTCCTATGTCCTCTCAATTGCCGCCCTGCCAGCACACTACGCGGCCGCCGCTTCCGCACCGGCCAACTCAATACACCTTTTAGATAAAGCAGACCCTCGTAATATCGTCCGTGTGCTGACTGGGCATGCCGAAGGGATCACGCACATGCGCGCTGTGGGGTTGCTTCACAGTGCACACAATGTGCTCTTGAGCTGTGGTAGGGACGGAACAGTCAAATCCTGGGATGAACGCATGGGTGCCGTCGGCGTGCAGAGTGAGTATGGTGTATGTATGCGTGCTCAAGATTATTGACAAAGCGAAGCTCCTACTTGATCCCTACAGTGCAGAGCAGCGGAAGGCGCGCGCCATTGCTATGCTGCGACGCTTCCCCAGATGGTTTCTTGGTTGCGGCCGGAACCGTCTTGCAAGGGGAAGACGCTTCGATCCTTTACTGGTGCGCGTCTAAATGGTCATTATACCTATTATGACTGATTAAAATCCTGAAGGGATCCTAGAAACCCTGTTGCTCCACTTCGTCAGCATACATCCACACATTCAGATGACATAACCGCTGTGCAATTTTCTCAACGTGGAACTGAAGCAGCTCTCCTCTCGGCTTCGACTGATGGCCTCCTTTGCATATCCAATCCTCATGAAGCGGATGAAGACGAGGCTACTATACATGTCGCTAACTGGGGGTGTAGTATCTCGAAAGCGGGTTGGATACCTCAGAACTCACCGTCAGAGGGACCGCAGATATGGGCGACGAGTGACATGGAGACACTCAGTTTCTGGTCAAACGAGGTTGTCATACTATCTAAAATGGCGTGTCCGACACATTTCTAAATCTTCTTGCCGTTTTTTAAGCTTGATCCAGTTCGACAAGTTGATCGTGATACCCTCACGCAACCAGATCCAATAATCCCTTGGGTGACGGATTACATTGTCGATTGCCACAATTCACGTAATGGCTCATTCCATGTATTCGCTGGATCAAATGAGTATGTTTCATCCCATCGGCCAAGCCGATCTTTACTCGGGTCTAATAGCTGTCTTTCTTGAATTAGAGGAGACGTAGCACTATTATCACCTCACTCAATGTCAACCAGTTGGTCGCTAGAGCAGTCGTACACAAGAGGACACGCCGAAGTCATCCGCTGTGTTCACTGGGACGAAGCGGTTCGTCTCGTCTTACATTCATGCAATAGATCTCAACTGACGGCGAACACAGGCTGGATTACTCTTAACGGGAGGCGAAGACGCAAGATTAAATGTCTGGTCTTCTCCCGCACATTATCAGTCTCAAAATACTGAGGAAAGCAAGTCAATGGATGTGGACCCGGACTCTCCCTCACGAAAACGAGTCTTTGGTAGCAGTGAGGAACTTGTGAGACTCTTTTTCTTATATCATGTTCCCTGTTCTAAATGCAGTTCATACATTTGTTTATTTCCTTGGTGTAGGATCAAAAAAGAGTACGCACCGAATAAGTTGTGTGAATATTTTGGTAGATCTACAAGTACCAACAGGGTGTACGTTTATTCAACAAAAAGGAATAGAATAATGTATCCTTGCTGTCAGTGACAGTGTAGAAGGGACCCGAAGGCTCAGCAAGGGGACCCAGGCTACAACTATCCTACACAACAGAAATACAGAATGCAAGCACTGGAACATAGTCAGAACTTGCAGAACAGGCAGAGAGAGAGAGTGGGACAAGAGTAGAGTATATAGAGTAAGCCTAAGAGTACAGGACTACCTGGAGTAGACAAGATCAAGACTACAGGACTAGTCTGATCTTGTACACCTATATATACTAAACTACACAAGAGTACTCAGAGAGTATGAGCTACTAAGAATGATGAGCCATAAAGAATGAAAGAAAGGAATGTCAAAGATAAAGGTACAAAGAATGAAGGGATGGACAAAGGGTAAGAGACCATAGAATGATACAAAGAATGAAGGGGTGGTCAAAGGAATAGAATGATGAAGTAAGGAAGGGTAGTAGCAAGAGTCAGTATGTATATAGTTTATAGACAGTGCTTCTGAGGGATAGAAGTCCTAAGTTCTAGTACAGAAGGGTGTGGAACCCTTAGAACTGAAGGTACAAGAGTAGAGAACTGTAACATCACCCCCCCTCTAAAACTAATCATCCTGATTGGTAAGCATTGGGTTTGGTCAGTAGCTCAAGCATAGGTCAGAATGGTAGGGTTTGGAAATCTGTAAGGTAGAGTTAATACAGAGCACCTGGATGAAGTTAATAGAAGTCTCAGATTGTCTTAGTAGTATAGGTGAGATTCTCAGCAGGTTCCTAAGTGTGCTCCTCAACTAGGTACCCTTTCTAGTAAACAAGGAATTTGAGTTTTCTGTACAGTAGCTTAGTATCTACTATGTACTCTATTTTGTATTCTGGTTCAGAACTAATGAGTTCTGGTAGAGGTAGTAGGGGTCTTTGTTGTAAAGGAAAACTTAGATCATAGTATTAAGACAGTAGAACCTTGTTAAACACTGAGTGTATGTGCTTCCATGTTGCTAGAAGTTGGAGTTTGTAGACAGAGGCACTAACCTTCTTTTTAATAATAAAGGGTCTAAAGTACTTGTTGTCCAACTTCTTCATTAGACAATCTGTAGTCAGGTTAGTGGCTTCCAGCATAACTTTGTCACTAGGCTGGTAATCCTTGACTGTAGACCTCTTCCAATCATAGTTCTACTTTATAACCTGTACTACCTTTTCTAAAAGAGCTTGTGTGTCCTCCCTGTTTCTGTGCATCTGTTCTACAAAGTCTGTTACAGATTCAGAACTACTGTTTCAGTTTGGAACTGTCTCCTAGTATGAATGTCTCTCATAATTGAGGAAGAATAGGGACTGTCCTATTGTAGAGTGTTACCAGTTATTGTGCACAAATTCTGTCAGAGCTAACTATTCAGACTAATCTGATTACTAATGATTAATGAACATTTGGAGGTAGAGCTCAATCTCCTGATTGACTCACTCAGTTTGACTGTCAGTCTGTAGGTGATAAGTAGTAGAAGGGTTCTCTTGAATTCTGAGAAGTGTATACAAGTCCTGTATGAATTTCAACTTGAATTATAGTCTGTAATCATGAATGAGCTTCTAAGGGAGTCTGTGTAACTAGAAGATGTAATCCTGATAAATACACACTATACCTTCAGAAGTGAGTTCTGTTTGAGTCAGAACTGTATAGACTTGCTTAGAGAATCAGTTGACAATCACACAGATAGTGTTGTAACCCTAAGACTTGGGTAGCTTACTGATCAGGTCTACTAAGACTTCTTCCTAAGAGTAATTCAGAATCTGATACAGATGTAAGAGAGTCTGAACTCTTGTCTAGTAGGCTTTAGTCTGTTAGCATGTATTGTAACCAGTCACATACTTTAGGATTTCCCTCTACATTCTGGGCCACTAGTAGTTCTGAGTAATGAGTTCCTGTGTTTTGTGTTAGCCTGAATGTTCTACAGTTGGATTGTTGTAATAAGTTCAGACAATGTCTTCCTACAGTTTCTAATCCTTTAGAATGTACAGTCAGCCTTTCTAGTAAACCTATCCATCCTCATCCTCCTCCTAATCCCTTACCTGCTTCTCTAACTACTTTACTACAACCTAGTCCTGTGTGTGTCTCAGAGCTTACTGTATACAGGTGACAAAGTTAACATTCTTAGATTTGAGTCAGATCTCTTAGATTGTCTTAGATGCAAAACAGGAATTGTTTAGGAGAACAAGATTTTTGTTATCATTCTCCCCCCTTTTATGACCTACTTGTCTTAAGAGTAAATTAGTTTTTGTCATTTGTGTTCTAGGTTTGTGAGTCAGTACAAAGTCAAAGTCTTACAGTTCTAACATCTAACAGGCTTAGTAGTAGTTAAGCTTCTAGAGTGCCTAGAAGTACTAGAGATTAAGGTGATTACTCTAAATCTCAAACTTCTATACAGTACTAAGGAGATATTAATACTACTCTTCTAAGGAACAGACAATTGTAAGGAGTTCCTTGTTATAGATAGAGTAGTTCTGTTCTGTTATAGAGAGGGATTCTGATTAGAACACTATCAGACACTACTTTCTATTAATAAACTAGGACAGTACTACTCTATTCACAAAGTTGGAAGAGTTGGCTTCAACTCAGAACTTGTCTGTAACTGTCAGAACTACTAATACAGGCTTACTAGTAATAGCCTACTTTAGGGACTCAAACACAGACTACTACTGATCCTCCTATTACTAAGGAACATCTTTACTAGTGAGATTGTGAAGGGGCCAGGCAATAGTACTAAAGCTTTAAATGAAGCATTAGTAGTAGTTTACAAACCTAAGAAATACTTAGACCTGTTTCAGGTTCTAAGATTGTAGCCAGTTTCAAACTATAGTTACCTTTACTAGATCCATACAGACCTCTCCTCCACCAATCACAAAGCCTAGATAATCTACTGACTCCTGTACAAAAGAGTACTTTACTTCTTAGAGGAACAGTTTATTATCTTAGAGCTGTTGTAGAACTGCTCAGATCAGTTAGTAATAGTACTCAACTGTCTGGGTGAAGATTAGAATGTTATCCAGATACACACTAATGTACTCTGAGTCAATCAGATCTACAAGAATGTGATTCATAAATGACTAGAATGTTACAGACAAGTTGGTTAGTCTGAAGAACATTACAGTTGGTTTATACAATCTGTGATTAGTTTAGAACACAGTCTTCCACTCATCTCTGTCTTAGATCCAAATATTATTGTATTCCTATCAAATGTTCAACTTAGTGAAAACTCTAGATGTATGTGTCTTATTAATGAGCTCCTGAATCAGGGGGAGCAGGTACTTGTTTTTGACAGTACCCTTATTAAGACAATAATAATTCTAGACTGGGCAGAGCTTCCTATCTTTCTTTTTGACAAAGAAGAAACAAGAGACTATAAGGGACTTTAAGGGTTGGATTCAACTGTTCTAAAGATTTTCCTGAAGGAACTTGTCAAGCACCTTCTACTTGTCTCTGTTGAGTAGGTAGACCTTACAATCCTTAGGTTAGAAACTCTCAGTCAATTCAATTGTATAGTCCTAGAGACAGTGTTTAAGAAGCTAGTCAAATTCCTCTTTACTAAAGACTTTAGAGAACTCTCAGACAAAATCTAGTAGGCTGAGTCTGTGTGTATTCTAGAGTAGAGTTGTTCTGAGAGGGTTCTAGACTGGTTCTGTCTTAGACATTCTTCAGATCAACTCTATTCTGTCTTGACTAGAATATGTATCCACATATTTATCCTAGTTGAAGAAGAACAACTAGTTACCTTTATCAGAACTGTTAGTAACATTAGAAGTGTCTACATCTACTTAGAACAGTAGTGTAAGATAGCTGTAAGATTTAGGACACTGATTGAATACAAGTGTCTACTCTAACTAGTCAATAGTAGGGTTGTGAGTCTTAAGCTATTCAAATCTAATGAAGATGTCTGTCTTTCTGAGGTTAGTAACTCTAAACTCAATACTTTCCTTATAATCCTGAATAGTCATCTGTAGTTGGACAAACTTAGTGATTCAACCATTCTGGTTCAGGGTTCTATCTGTATTGTATACTAGGATTAGAAGTAGAATACATTAAGTAGGAAGGTAGTGTTCCTACACAAAGGCCTTATTAATGTATAAACTAGTGTATCTACTGTCTACTAGAACTATTGTTCAGATCTGGAAGGATCCTGAGAAGGGAGTCAAGAGGACAGGGACCTGAAGCTAGTGCTCAGAATGTCCTTGAATGAACTACTACTTGTTCTGAAGGGAATGTACAGTTTGTACAGTCTTGTTGTCTGAGAGGGTGAGTATATACACTAACATTTCCTTATTAACCTCTCTCTTTTGACAAGGACAGACTCATGTTCTTAGCTGTGAACTCAGCTGAGACTATCCCTGCTTAATACTATAGACAAACTACTGAGTAGTAAACAGGGCTGAGTAATGTTCCAAACATTCTGAGATCTCAGAACACAGAAGTAGTAGGTCAGATTGTATAGATTTAGACTCAGATAAAGTGTGAAGAGAAGAATCAAAAGAATCAGAAGAAATAGGAGAACTATCTACTTTTGTTTTTAACTTTTTTCTTTCTAATAAATAATTTTGTTAATTTATCTTTTCTACTTTTCTTACTTTATTTACTTCTAATCCTACAGTGTCTATTGAATCAAAAGTAGCTATTAAAAAATCCAAGTCATAGCCCTTCAGTACTGTATTCACTGTTAGGCCTCTACAAAATCCTAGAGTGTATAGTCAGAGTCTAAGAGTTCTAAGGTGACTTCTAGATTTGTAGAAAAGGCTTCTTACTACAAATCCTGCTTATTACTCATTATTACTCTAATAACCTGACAGATGTACTGTTGCTTCTATAGACAGTCCTTAATTTGGTGCCCTAACTTTCTGTAGGCAAAGTATACTCCTTACTTTCAGGCTTCTCTAATGTCTATTAGAATAGATTAATTGTGAATTATAGGCAGATTGATCTAAGGGCTCAGAACTGTTAGAGTCAGACACATGTGTAAGTGTTCTGTACAGACTTAACACATCCAAGCTGTGACTTAGTTGAAGGAGATAGTACACACCTTCCACTCAGTGTAAGTAACTAGTTCTAGTATCATTCTAAGAATCTTATTAACCAGTTCTAGGTGAAGAGCTTTTTCAAGTATTCCAATAAGAACATTATTAAACCTGAGTATGAATCCTGCCTTCCAGGCTAGAATATTAAACTCCTGAAAGAAGGTATCAGCAGAATGTTTGCCCTGTTACAGAGACACAAGCTTGTTCTACACATTATACTTCTTATTCAGATTAATAAAGGAAGCACAGAGCTGCCCTATAAATTCTGAGTATGACTTGTTGTTTTAAAGTCAGATCAGACTTCTGATCCAATAGCCTTTGATCCAGTTCTAGGCCTAGGTGGCTGTATTACCTTCCTTCATAAAGGAGAGGACAAATAGGATACAATCAAGATCTGAGGATAAATTGGTTGAAGTAGTAGCCATGTATAGTTCAACTTAGTGCTGGAAGTCCTTAAAGTGCTACCCATTAAAGTCTAAAGGGTAGGCTACATACACTTTCTTTCTAGAATAGGTTGTGACTTCTAAAACAATCAGAATGGGTTCTGAAGGGGCTAGAGGCATGTAGTTAGTAAAGGCCTCTTAGATAGAGGTCTGTATGTATTAAGCTAGCTCTACTCATAACTACTGATCTGGCAGAACAGTAGGGGTGGTGGTTGGTATAGTAGGGTCCATGTTTATACTACAAAGGAATCAACACTAAACTAAAAGGGGTAATGAATAGAAGAAGGGTGGCAAAAGTTTAAAAGGGTTTAGAAAGTTTAAAATTTAAAAATGTAAAAGGGTTAGGACAAAGGAAAGAGATCAATGTAACAGTAAGTACTGATGCCCAAAACATAGGAGAGTTGTAGGGTAGTAATGGGTAGTCTTGATCTGATGTTAGTGACAGTGTAGAGGGGACTCAAAGGCTCAGTAAGGGGACCCAGGCTACAACTATCCTACACAACAGAAATACAGAATACAAGTACTAGAACATAGTCAGAACTTGTAGAACAGGTGGAGAGAGAGAGTGGGACAAGAGTAGAGTATATAGAGTAAGCCTAAACTCACTTTCACTAAGTTTTGTTTTGTTTGTACTGTACAATTGATTTGGTGTCATATTGTCACAAAACAGCCATTACCACAGTAGTAAAGATCTGCCTGGCAAGTGTTACAGTTCTCCACTCTTGTACCTTCAGTTCTAAGGGTTCTGCACCCTTCTGTACTAGAACTTAGGACTTCTGTCCCTCAGGGGTGCTGTCTATAGACTATATGCATGCTGACTCTTGCTACTACCCTTCCTTACTTCATCATTCCATTCCTTTGACCACCCCTTCATTCTTTGTATCATTCTATAGTCTCTTACCCTTTGTCCATCCCTTCATTCTTTGTACCTTTATCTTTGACATTCCTTTCTTTCATTCTTTGTGGCTCATCATTCTTAGTAGCTCATGCTCCCTGAGTACTCTTGTATAGTTTAGTATATATAGGTGTATGAGATCAGACTGGTCCTGTAGTCTTGATCTTGTCTACTCTAGATAGTCCTGTACTCTTTGGACTAATGAAAGAGTACAGTAAGAAAGTATTACAGGTCATCAGTTTTTTCTTGCTTGAATAGGGCATCTACACAGCTACATAGAAATTGTAGAGGTTAAAAACTGTAGGAATGACTGAAGGCACAACATTTGGGTTGAAGTTGAAATTGCTACATGCCAATTCATTTTGACCAATGCACCAGAGAGATACTATCTATCACTCCATACCTCAACAAAGATACTACAATAAGTTGCTGTGGATGACTCTGGCCTTGTTGCACACTACAAGCAGCCAATGATTGATGTGCCGAGAGTTGCAAATCCTGTGTACATTGCTCATCTATTGGTGATACCAACAAGCATGCATTGGCCTTTTGTGGAGCCTGCAATGAGAGCTGGGCAAGGGCTGCCTCAACTCCACTTAATCCACGATTGCCCACAGAAGGGAACGTTGTTTCTCAAGGCCAGTGATTAAGTCGATCGAAATTGGGGTGTTGACTCTTGTAACGGACTGGTTCCTCGTTAAGCAGTCATTATTACACTTTTCATGAGATTGGGCTCCACTTGTACTAGACGAGGGTATTCATCCTATACAATAAGAAACGTCAGTCTAAGCAGAGTCAAATGCACCTTGAATGATAACGTTACCTGAAGGACGGATGGACAAGCTTTCGATAGCGATACAAATATCTCTTGTACAAGGGAATGTGTAGCATCATCCTCTAGAGCGACATTCAGTTCACAGTCATGTATAAGACTAAAGCGAATACAGTCACCTTCTGACTTTTCTTTACCCTCGCAATTGGAAATCCAATATTTTCCGACTCCTTCTATTATCGTACCCTTCCAATGGTACATTCGAGGTTGACATTCCTGGATAACGGTTAACAGAGCCTTCAGGGCAGCCCGTTCCAGAGGCCTTGAACGAGGTGTTAAGTCGTTAATGGTGATGCTGTGTAAACACTGCGGTATAAGTGCCTAAAGGAACATGTTGAAAGTTGAATCTTAGAGGGTGTTCATGGCACGAAAGAGAATGCGTTTTACCTTTAGATATCGAACCGTACCAATTCCTAATGCTTGAATGATTAACGGCAGGACGTCCATTGATGCCTCAATCGTTTCTTTTTCTCGAGACGCGTATATCCACACTGCGCCGATAATACTATCCCCAAGGAGAGAACAGAGTTTATCAAATTGTTCTGCCGAGTCAAGAGGCGTAATCATTTCTATCAGGCGCAGTGTTACTGGGACCGTTGTTCTGATGACGCGAGGACTAAGTTCATCATGCAGGCTCATTAGGGTCCTTGATAATGACTTTCATAGCCGCTCAATACGTGGAGAACGATCGAACCGGGAAAAGAGACGTACACTCATGAGTAGCTGAGCAATGCCTGTGCGCTTCAACAGGTTCGGTGATACCCTGTCTAGCAATTTCGATACAAGCATAACACCACGTAACTTGTATGGCGATTGATAATCGTCGAGAAATGTCATGACTGGCGGTATTAAGAGATGCCATACTTGTTCAAAGTCCTGTGTCTATGATCGGCTTAGATACTAGCCTCGTCAAAGGAAAATAAGACTTACAGGAATTTGAGAAATGCACCATGAGATTAAGTTTGACAAGCTCGGATGATTTTTCCATGTCTGCTCGTCATAGTAATCTTGAGAGGCCATTGGACCCCCAGCGATGCGATGAAGTGAACGTCCAGTTGAGATATTTAATTGAGGATGAGGATTGGTTACGAATAATGGCTTAACGTGGAATTCGAGCACCGACTTGACCAGTTCGATTTTAATATCAAATGAGCACAGAAGTTCTGAGAACACCGCGTTATTGATCAGGAAGTTTTATATCAAGAGCATGGACAGTATCTACCTTCCGCTAGACGAGAAGTGTCAGGATGGAGCCAGTCTGCATTTCCAGTAAGTTGAGCCAAGCAAGCTACAGTACGCGGATTTGGCGTTTGTTTGGCGTCGATCCTCTGGAATGCTTCCTGGCATGATGTATTCCATTCCAGAACATCTCTGTCTCTGAGAGTTTTAGATTTGAACGTTTCTGGGACAGTGAAAGTTTCAATAAAGTGTCCTTCGGACATCCTTGAGGCATGAAGTTGTCCATCCCGACATTCCTTTATGCCGCTGAATGGAGACGCGTCTGTCACGTGATTCACGTGATGGACGTCTGTTTCTTTCCGTTCTGTAACTTCTGTTGAATGATTGAATCAATCTCGGGCCTCGGCGATGTCGGCATCAAACCATTTACTTATATTCAACGATAATGGAGTAAATTAAAACAGTGCTCAACGTCCGCCCTAACCCTAGTGTTGTACAGAATATTTCTCTCTTCACTCGCCCTAGTGCGAGCAATTTGTCTCAAAGACGATTTTCAGACTCACGGCGGATCTTTTTTACACAGAAGACAGCCGTTGAACGATCACGCTTCAGGACAACAGAGCACGTCAGGTAGTGTATACTTAATAATTTACTTTTCCCCTTCTGATTAAACCCTCAGGTCAACTAAGAAAATAGGTGTCATTGTACTGGGTGAACCTCGAATTGATTTCTCGTGTAGTCCACGGTCTCGGCCTTGAACATGGGCTGCGCTATGAGCAATCATGGGGGCGTGACGAACTTGACAAAGCTATTTTATATCTTCCCATTGCATTGGGAATTTGTCCTGAAAGACATCCGGATCGCAACGAGACATACAACGATCTTGGATTGTCCCTTACACGATTCCAGCAATACTGGAGAATAGAATATCCAGAGGAGGCAATTGAGAATCACCGAGCTGCCCTGCAACTTTTTCCCCATTGCCATCCCGATCGTCCGATGCCTGTGAATAACCTTGCAAGCGCCCTTTCAGCTCGATTTGAACATCATGGACGAACTACAGACCTTGATGAAGCTGTTGAGCTTCAGCGATCTGCCGTGCAGCTTTGCTGCTACAGTCATCCCGATTGTTCCTTGTCTCTTAATAATCTTGCAAACATCCTTCAGACTCGGTTTGAACAGTATGGTCATTCGACTGATTTGGATGAGTCCATTGAGCTTCACCGTTCAGCTCTGGAGCTTCGTCCCAGTGGCCATCCCAATCGTTCCTCGTCTCTGACTAACCTTGCGCGTTCCCTTCAAATTCGATTTCGACAGCATGGACGAGACACGGATGTTGATGAGGCCATCAAGTACAGTCGTGCTGCATTGGAACGTTTCCCCTGCGATCACCCAAATCGTTCCACGCCTCCGATGATCCTTGCAGCAGCCCTTCGAACTCGATTTGAACAGCATGGGCAAACGGCAGATCTTGATGAGGCCATTGACTATCATCGTACGGTCCTGGAGCTTTGTCCCAACGGCCATCCCAATCGTCCCATGTCTCTGAATAGCCTTGCGTATGCTCTTCAAACTCGATTTAGACAGCATGGTCAGACTTCAGACATTGATGAAGCCATCAAGCATCATTGTACTGCCCTAGAACTTCGCCCAGATGGCTGCGCCAGTCGCTCCACGTCTCTGAATAACCTTGCGAGTACACTGCAGGCCAGATTTGGTCAATATGGACAAACAACTGATCTGGATGAAGCCGTTGAGCACTATCGTGTTGCATTAGACCTTTTCCCCGATGGCCATCACATTCGTCCTATGTTCCTGAGTAATCTTGCAATTGCTCTTCAAACTCGATTCGAACATTATGGATGGACAGCGGACCTCGATGAGGCGGTTGAGCTTCACCATTCTGCTGTTGAGCTTTACCCCAACGGTCATGCCTCCCGTTCCATGTCTCTTAATAACCTCGCTTTTTGCCTTTATATTTGATGTGAACAATATTGACGGACCGCAGATCTTGATGAGGCCATCGAGATTCACCGTTCTGTACTGGAGCGTCTCCCCAACGACCACGCCTATCGTTCTTCATCTCTGAATAACCTTGCGAACGCCCTTCAAGCTCGATTTTATCTGCATGGATGGACCTCGCTGAGGCCATCGAATACCATCAAGCTGCCCTAGAAATTTTCATCAACAGTCATCCCCATCGTTCCACGTCTCTGAACAACCTTGCAGATTCTCTTCTAATTCGGTTTGAACGACATGGACGAGCCGCGGATCTCGATGAGGCAATCAAGCACCATCGTGCTGCTCTGGAGCTCTGTCCAGAAGGTCACCCTGATCGTTCTGCAGCACTGAAAAACTTTGCTTCTTCATTTCTCTCTCGATTCCAGAAGTTTGGGCTCATGGATGATCTCGAAGAGTGTATGCAATTATTCGAACGTGCTACTGCACATAGGTTTTCAAGCTTGACAATGCGTCTCAAGATCGCTGATCGGTGGGCTAGCCTCGCTCGAATTCATTCCCGTCATTCCACGTCTAGAGCGTACAAGGTCACAATGTTACTCTTACAACATGCTCTCATCTTCAGTCCCATTCTTCATGCACAGCACGACTTCCTCAGCTAGAAACACAATTATGGATCGCTCACTTGAAATGCAGTGGCATATGCTATAGAGGGTAATGGGTTCGAAGAAGCTATAGAGATACTTGAGCAAGGAAGGGGTTTAACCTCAGCATGTGGAGTACAACTAGAAATCTCATTATAAACACAATGATGGTCAGAGATCAAATTAATAATTACACTCACATCTCACTACCCACTTGCTCTGGTGACAGCCCTGTCTGATTCAGTACCAGCTCTGCATGAGAGTTTAGTGTGTGCAAGGCAGCTTGAGCCTTGAAACGCAGACAGGCAGCTGCTGCCACAGCAGTAGCAGTAACAGTCTAACACTGTAACAGGCTCTTTGCATTCTATCCACTAAAGTCTAAAGGTCCTCCAGCAACTTCACATTAAAATTACTCTGCAATCTTATTGCAATATATTACATTCAAGAGCACAGTCAGGGTGTTGTCATGTCTATAACTAGTTATAAGAGTCATGACTTATGTTGTTTGAGTGGAGGTTGAGGACAAACACGACCACACGCGACGCGTTCAAATCACGTGGCCAGAATGCTTTAATCTTGCAACTTCATGCGACGATGCCGCCGCCTGAGCCTCTGCACCAGTCGTCAGACAAGGCAAGATGAACGGTAATGCTCTCAGCAAGTCTTCGGTGGTGAAATATATATAATACAGCACTGACTTTCCATTAGACTCATTCAATACTACCTATCCGACTGCTGTCCTAACATCTCTCCCATCCGGCGCGTCCTTTTCCCGCTATGATCCATCTGGCAAATACATCGTCGGCGCACGTCCAGATGGGAAAGCTTTCATATGGGACCTCGATACAAAGTCCCTCATCCGTCGAATAGAAGGCCACGTCAAGATGATCACTAGTGTTGAGTGCGTGCTTCGCTCCGAAATATCACGCGGTTGTGAGTACAGAGATTCACGAAAATTTTGCTTGTCCTTGTCGGGATATTGTGTCTGATAGCTGGTCAAGAAATTCACGATACTTGCTCACTACGTCGAAGGACTGGAATATCATTGTATGGGATTTGGCTTCCGAGACGTTTTCGCCACGACGACAGTCAACGATACGGTTTGATGCACCTGTGTTGTCTGCTATGTTCCATCCACGAAATATGTATGTGTTAAGCTATCTAAATGTTCTCGGGCACTGATACAATGTGCTTAGGAAAATTGTTCTCGTCATCTTGACAGTCGGTGAAGTCTACATTGTTGACTCCAGAAGGGAACATCGAAGTCGTATTGAACTCGTCGAAACCGAGGATGAAGAGGAGTATATGCGACGGTATATCGCCTTTCAACAAACATGAGTCTGTCCACAGGCGCTAATGTCGATAATCTTCAGCTCACCACCAACTTGTGCACGCTTTGATCCATCTGGTAAACATGTATTCGTTGGCACGTCGCATGGCTCAATCCTAGTCTTCAATACACGAACAAAAATGGTATTCTCGTCTACAAGCTTTTCATGTTTTCATGGAGTAATTTAATTACTCATATTTATATAGCTTGTGTGCCGGTATAGAATATCCGGGGCCGGAGTTATGAAAGGCTTAAGTTTTGCAAAATACGGCAGGCAAGCACATACAACTCATTTATTCTTTCATATTGTACGTTTCTTACGACCCTTGTTTCGATAGACGCCTAATCACGAACTCCTCCGACCGAACACTCCGCCAATTCAACCTTCCACTGTCCTTCCCCTCCCAACTCGAGGAGGAAGAACAGGAGCTCGAACCAGCGTACAAGTTCAGCGATCCAATCAGTAGAGTTGCTTGGCATAATATGGCTTATAGTCCGGATGGGGAGTGGTTAGCAGGAGGTGGGCTGCAGTCTTCAATTATATAGGTCAACAGATATTGACACTTCAAGCATAGGTTCTGCAGATCCTGCGACCCATAAAATATACATATGGGATATCGCTTCCGATGGACAATACGCAACTACGCTCGATGGTGGACGCGAGCCACTGCTAGACGTTACTGTGCGTTATTCCCATTCCTCTCCATCTTGTATATCTTATATTTAATCAAGTGTGCTGTTTTATGCGCTGAAATGGGTAGTGGCACCCCAAGATATCTGCCGTAGCCTCAACTACTAAATCAGGTGATATCCTCCTCTGGCATTGTCCGACGGAAGAACGATGGGGTGCATTCGCGGGAGGGTTCGAAGAGATTGATGAGAACGTGGAGTATGAAGAACGTGAGGATGAATTCGATCTTGTACGTTCATTCTCCCATTTTCTTTCAAATTTCGACTTACTTGATCTTATTGAATAATATTAATATATACTTCTTTTTTTCGACGGCATGTAGGAAGACGAAGACGAGATGGCTCAGCGGAAGATGCGAGAAGAGGATGCAGAGGTAGACATAACTGGTGTAGACGAAGTACTCGATGCGATTGAGATCGAACACCAGAGGGAGACGAAGGACGATGATATTTTATGGGCGGAAAGCGAGCCAGACGATGACGAGAAAGTTTGGAAGATGAAAATTATCTTGAACCCAGAGGATGATTACTGACCTTGTATATTCGCATACTTGCGCTATAAAACCAGCTTGATTGTTTCGCTACAATACTTTCACTATTCATATTGTCTGTTTCGGCAGCACAATATATAATTCTGGACGTGACATGCCAAACGAGTGTATTACCGAGAGTCAATGCGAATAATCTACAATGAATATATCCGTACAGACAAATAAATAAACGACATGACAAAAAATTGCCAGTGGTATTTATTATATCAATCATCAACCCACTCGCCTCTCCTAACACGCTCGACATACTCTCTTATCCAAACAGGCCTCCTCGTAAGTCGATTAATCATCTGCTCTCGCGCCAACCGAGCACGTTCATCACCAGCACCACCTTCCTCTCCCTCCGCTTGCTGCGCCACCGCCGCCTCCAGCGCATTCGCCTCAGTCCTCACGCGCCCCTCCCGTGTTCTAAGTGCCATCCGTCGACGATTCCAGAATGCGGGATGTATCGAGAGAACGAGCAACATCACAAACGAAGTGACTTTATAGAAAAGACTCGGCTCGGGAGCGCCGTTCTCTAACCAGCGTGCCTCCGTGTCCAAGGACATCTGTGCGAGATGGTCGATCCCTGCTTCCAAGTTCGCTGCAGCTGCGGCACCCGGATTCTGATGAGGAGGTACGATTGCTCCTGGAGCGGGAGGCGGAGGAGCGTCCTCGTTACCTGGACGAGCACGTCGTCGACGGTCACGAGCGCCAGGATCGTTTCCGTTCAACGGCCCAACATCAAAGACAGCCCCTCGGACTGCACCCCACGCTTCATATAGAACGTAAGCACCGAGTAAGATGCCAAATACGGGCTTTCGTGCCGGAGAAAAGAAGTAAAGGAGTATAAGAGTGCGGATGAAGAGGAGAATTAGTGGTGTAAGCAATTCGCGCATGTTCACTCGGACTGCGATTACGTTCCGAACGTTTGCGTCTGGCCTTGGAGGGCCACCGTTTAGGTTGTTTATGATATTTGCGTTTGGTGTCGTACCATTGCCACTGTTGACAATAGCTTGTGGTCGTGCAGGTGCAAAGGTAAGGAGCGGGAATGTGTATGATAGGACATTTAATGCATGTTGTTGCCGGGGAGTTGGCGTAGCATAGGGCGTCAAATTCTGTAAAAATGGTTTCCCACTGTCGTCGATGCTAGCTTAGACGAACGTCTCCAGAATGTTCAGATTTGACGTACCCAATTAAAGTGAATTCATACGCCACTCCGCCATTTGTAGAAGTAGGGAACTCTGCGTCAAATATCTCCGGCCACGGGTAGTTCGATGCCTGCAACACTGTCTTTGCATACTCCTTCGCAGCGAGTGAATCATCTGCTCCGGGAGCCGCTGGAGGTGTTGATGGAGATAGCGCACGCAATGCTTTGTGGTGCAAATGACTGATGAACGGCAACGTCTCAAACTGAGGCAACATGACAGGCGGCGTGTTGGGTATGTTGTTCACCGGAGTCTCAGTTGCTTGTGCCCGGCGCTGCAGTAAATCACTGTATGCAACGAAAGCAGTAGACGTGGAGTCGTCGACGACGGTAACATTTGGCGGGTTTGAGGACCATGACAGCGGGTTAACGGCCAAGTGGACTACCCGCAAGTCCTCAGATGTCTAAAAGCAAGACTTTAGTAACAAGTTATAAGAAATAGTTTGGGTGAAGGATATATACCCAAAGTGTCTCCACACACTCTCCATCGTCAAGGACACGACCTTTGCTGATGAGTCGCTGGCCTTCCACTCGCGGATTTCCGGGACATTCACGTGAGATTTCTTGCTTAATGTCGCTGACGGTAGCGGTGGGAGGTACATGGACAACAAGTGTCTGCGTGTACTGAGGGTGCTCGACGGTGATGGGGACAGAAGGCATGGACATAGTGGACGCAGGCTCAGCAAAGCTGCAGACGTGGAATGCTGGCGAGTGAGTGGTGCTGACCTGATGATGATGATTGTCGTCTTCCTGTTTCGGTAAGAGCCACGCGAGCGCGTGATATTGTTCCACGTCAGTCCGTCATTTGGTCAACATAAATCAATCAAAATTCACTACAGTGTACATTTACAACAAGTCTTCTTCTTCCGTGGTTTATGCAAGTGTGATGGTGCGTTCTTCCTTCGAGCTTTGGTATGCAGCTTCGATGATCTCCAGCACTGTCGTTGCTTCTTCCCACTTCACCTTTAATTCCTCCCCGTTCCGAATAGCGCCAGCCAGATTCTTGAACAGTTCGATATAACAACCCTTGTCACTCGAAGGCCATCTAGAACTGTTTGAGTCGAAGGTCTACACGACAGAGAATTTGCCTTACTGCTTCTTTGTTATATTTCCTGCCTCGTCCCTGATAAACACTACTCCCCATATATCTTCTGGTTCTTTTCCGTATGCGGGGTCAAATATGCCTTGAGGGGATGGCATAGCCTTGAGCTGATCCTCTTGCACGTCAAGGGCATATTTGAGGAATGTACCCTTCGTCCCACGAATGGCAAAACGGATCTGCGGATCTCGGGCGGAGATAATATGTCCACGAAGGAGAACGGTCATCGCATATTTGCGTGTAGCTGTGGCAGGGTACCGCAGTATGATGTTGAACTGGTATGAAAAAAACTCTGAGCTCTATGTTGCTCTTGAACGGAACTTGGATGAGGACATACCGAATCGTCGAGATCGGGGTCACCGATTTGACGTACATTCTCGATGAACCCAGTGACCTTTGTCGGTCTTCCGAAAAGTGATACGACTTGATCAATCAAGTGAGTGCCGAGGTCGTAGGTTTGGCCGGATGCTGGGAGTTTAGCATCTTTCCAACCTCCTTTTAATGTCATGCGGTACCGGTCATAACTGTCAGATGTAATTGTTCACTTGACAGCCTTACCCTGAAAACTGTACGGAAGACGCACTGAGAATTGAACTCAACGAGATCGCCCATGTTAAAGGGTGATGAGGCTGGTTCTTCCAATAAACGCCTTAACGCAAGGAAATCCGAGTCCCAGCGACGATTCTGAAACGCATATAGCACCAAGTTCTTTGCCTTCGCTAGCTCGCCGAGCTGACGCGCTTCAGCTGCTGTACTTGTTACGGGCTTCTCAACAAGCACATGCTTTCCTGCCTCCAGGCTTCGTTTTGCGAACTCAAAATGCGTCGAACTTGGCGTGTTGACAATTATGAGCTCAATCTCTGGATCTGCAAGGACATCCTCAAGCGATCTATGTATCTTGGTCGTAACACCGAAACGCTCTTTGACTTTTCCGCCCTCTGAAGTGGGGTTGCGCTCCAGGACGGAGTGCAATGAGAAGAGATCAGACAAGGCGAGTATGAACGGGATCTGGAAGGTTAGGCCACTGAGTCCAGTGCCTAGAACGCAAGTCTTTATCGGAGCCATAACGACTTTGGACGGAGCAAAGATGATAGATTATAGATAGCTACAAAGCGTGTATCTCATATACTATATTTGTTCGTGGAAGGTCTGGGTACGGCTAAATAGAGAAGCAGAATGGGCCGTGTCGATCATCTCGTGTGTATAATTCCGCGAATGAAGTCATTGGTAAACACATGTAAATGGCGATGTGATGCGGCGTCGATCATCGGTGCTTCCCTGTCTCAGTGTTTGCTTCGTGACTTGAGTCGGAAGCAAGGCTGTCGCAGTGTCCGTGTGCCGTTGGGAAAAAAAATGGAGATGCTGGCCGTACTTATATATTCACCTTCGTCACCTTCACTCCCTTCTTCACGAAGGCCATGACTCTACTTTTCTTTCATCTCTGTGCTTTCGTCCATCTCGCTCTTGCTCAACTGACCCTTCCAGACCCACCATTCCTCCCCCCAAGTCCCGAGGACGCCTCAAAGCCTACTGGTTCCGACTCTATTCCCAACGAGCAGTGGTCCAATCTTCTCGGGAATCTAGTATACTACTATGATGAGCAGCGCTCCGGTAAACTACCAGCCTCAAACCGTGTCGATTGGAGGAACGATAGTTCCCTCGACGACGGACAAGACATGGGTCTTGATTTGAGTGGAGGTTATTATGATGCCGGAGGTCAGCCTTTTCATGGACTAATGCAGGTGGCATGCTTTTACAATTCACATTTAGACTACATCAAGGCCACGTATCCCCTTGTACGGACTTGTATTCAGATTGTTCCTATGCCTCCGGGCTAATCTCATTGAAAGAGCTTCACTTTAATGTCTATTTGTTGGGGAGCTATGGAATACGGGAAAGGTATCACACGTCGGCTTTTATATTGATTAACGAATAATAAATTTGACAGGCTATGATCTGGCTAACCAAACTCCCTACTTGGATTCCATGTTGCGATGGGGACTTGACTGGCTCATGCTTGTATAGTCATGCTGACATTCCTGTGACTTATAATGTATTCAACCTCTTATTACCTAGGCCCATCCGGACGACAGAACGCTCATTATTCTCGTTGGTAATCCTGAAACGGATGACGATTATTGGGGAGGAGATAGGGATATACCTACTCCCCGATTTTCGTACCCGATCAATGACACACAGTAAGGTATCTTGAATGTATGCATTTACCCATCACTGACGAATATATAGCCCCGGAACGGATGCAGCAGCCGGCGCGTCAGCCGCATTCTCCGCATGTTCTGCTCTGTACTCTGGACGAAAATTCTCGTCCAGCCCTTCAGGTCCTGCGTCTCTCCAAGACAAATCCTATGCGTCGACTCTTCTTACGCATGCCAAGACACTGTATGACTTCGCGGAGAATGCATCGGGTGGCCAAACACTGTATCAAAATTCTGTGCCGACAATTGCTCGCTCGTACCCTTCGTCTGATTATCATGATGAATTGACAATGGCCGCGCTCTTTCTTGCTGTGGCCACGAATTCGGCGGATTACTACAACCAAGCAGAGAACTACTACAAAAATAGCCAAATCGACAAGGACGATACGTTCAATTGGGATACGAAGACACCTGGCATTGTTGTCTTATTCTCGAAATTCGCTTCGTCGAATCCCGACATTGGTGGAGATTTCTCCAGGTGGCAGGGCGAAGCAGAGAAGTACTTTGATGGTATTGTGAATGGAAAGTCAGGTTCTCTTACCGATGGTTGGTTAATGGACTTGATCTTCTATATCTCAAGCACTGATTCTTATAAATGCAGGCGGGCTCTTGTATTACGAGGGGGACTCGGACGATGCCTCGCTTAACCCGGCTCTCAGCGCTGCAATGTTGCTTAATATGTACAGTCCACTTGCAAGCTCAGACGACAAATCATCCGCCTACACCTCTTTCGCCACCTCGCAACTCAACTACGCGCTGGGCCAAAACCCAATGTCCTGTATGTATATCGTTGGCTCTTCTCCTAACTCACCGAAGAACCCACACTCCGCAATATCGAGTGGTGGCAACGACGTCAGTAAAATTGATACTGAGCCTCCGGAGGAGGCGTATATACTATTCGGATCTATCGTTGGTGGACCGGATAAGCAAGATCGGTACTACGACATTCGAAGTGATTGGCCGGAAACAGAACCTGGGCTGGATATCAACTCGCCGATGCTCACTCTCGCTGCACTCGTATGTTGAAATCTTCATCTTTCTTTCCCAATTGCGTATGCTTAATATGTACTTGAACTAGCATGTCATGAATGACTCGTCAGACCCGTTCTACACAACTCTGGACCCTGGAGCTTACGATGCTGCTAAACCATCCGGTAAACCCTGTGATGAAGCGTTCCCATGCGACAAAAGCATAGGTCGTTTGAGCAAGGGTAAAGCTGCCGCTATAGCAATCATCATTATTGTCGTTGGATTGGGGATCATTGGCGGATTCCTGTATTGGTCTCGGTTGTCTCGCAAACACAAGAAGAATCCGAAGAAATACTGATGTTCTTATCCGCTCTTTTTTGTTCCTCTTTTATCCTTTTTTGTTCGTCCTTGTGCTTGAGTCTCTCTTCTCTTTCTTGTTCCGTTCCGAAAATTCACCACGATGAACTTAAAGGCTCTGTATTGTACTTGCATGAAAGCATAAAATTAACTTTAGCGTATTGACACGAAATGTCTACTGTAAACAAATAATTAGTAAACCTCCAATACAAAACGTTCCTCTTCCTTCAAGTCCAACTCATCAGGCTTAACCAATGCGCTCATGAGCATCTCAAACACATTGGCATGGGCCAAGTCGATTTGCACAAAAAAAAACACCCTTCTCGCAATGTAACATGTTCACTAACACTTCCGCGTCGTTGAGCATCTCACGTTAGATGAACACGTTTTTGGGATCGTCTCGAGAGGAGGGGTAAACCTGTCCTTGTGTACCTACGTTTATTATGTGTTTTGACCATTCTATTTGTTTACTTTGAATAACTTTTATTGCTTCATATACTCCTTTGACTTATGAGAATAGCGAATTTGAGGTGTTGCATATCGTACATGTCAGACCTTGTAGCAACGTGCTTAAGTGAAAGTACCGCAAAAATTTACAAAGTATACCTCAATATATGTATTTATGTTAAATTTCTAAAGTATTTGATTAAAATTCCAATTCTCTTTATCGGTACGTATAAAATTACAAATATATATTTAAGTAATATATTTGAACACACAGCTAAAAATTTGGGACAAGATATTGAGAATTGTATGAGGGAATGCGTTGCATTTAAAGGAGCGTTTAAGTTTAAGGGAGCGGGTTTTGTTTGTTCGGCTAAATATGGTTCTGCACGAGGGAAGTCGTTGGTAATAAACAGATGTCAACAGCGATGAGATGCGGCCGTCGATCACCGGTGTTGTCCTTCCGTCTGCTCCGTGAGGCTGTCACAGTGTCAGTGTGCCATCCGAACACCATGCAGACAATGCATGTGCCAGCCGCACATATCCCTTCATCTTCGTCGTCTCCGCTCCCTTCTTCACGATAGCTATGACTCTGCTTTTCTTCCACCTCTGTGCTCTCGTCCATCTTGCCCTTGCTCAGCTGCCTCTTCCAAACCCGCCATATCTCCCTCCAAGTCCTAGTGACACCTCAAAGCCCACCGGTTCCAACTCGGTCCCCAACAAACAGTGGTCCAATCTTCTGGGAAACGTGATATACTTTTATGATGAGCAGCGCTCAGGTAAATTGCCAGCCTCAAACCGTGTCAGCTGGAGGAACGATAGTTCCCTCGGCGATGGACAAGACATGGGTCTTAATTTGAGTGGAGGTTATTATGATGCCGGAGGTTAGTCTTTTCATGTATTGATGCGGGTGGCATTCTTTTACGATTCGTATCTAGACTATATCAAGGCTACTTTTCCTCTTGTACGGACTTATCTCTAAATTGTCCCTTTGTCTCTAGACTAATCTCATTGAAAGAGTTTTGCATTAATGTCTATTTGTTGGGGAGCTATGGAATACGGGAAAGGTATCACATACCGGCTTTCATATTAATAAACGAATAACATTTTGACAGGCTATGACCTGGCAAACCAAACGGCTTATTTGGATTCTACGTTACGATGGGGACTCGACTGGCTCATGAATGTATGGTCACGCTGACCTACCTCAATCAATTTTTATATTCAAACACCTCGTTACCTAGGCTCATCCATCGAACAGGACGCTCGTTATTCTTGTTGGTGATCCTAGAACAGATGATAATTATTGGGGAGGAGACCGGGATATACCTACTCCCCGATTTTCATACCCGATCAACGACACACAGTAAGAATCTCGGTTGTATGCGCTTACCCCGTCACTGACGAATATATAGTCCTGGAACGGATGCAGCAGCCGGCGCGTCAGCCGCATTCTCCGCATGTTCTGCTCTGTACTCTGGACAGCGATTTTCGTCCAGTCCTTCGGGTCCTGCTTCCCTCCAAAACCAATCCTATGCGTCGACTCTTCTTGCGCATGCTAAGACCCTCTATGATTTTGCGGAAAATGCATCGGGTGGCCAAACATTGTATCAGAATTCTGTGCCGACGATCGCTGTCTCGTACGCTTCGTCCGATTATCATGACGAATTGACAATGGCCGCACTCATGCTTGCCGTGGCTACGAATTCGACGGATTACTACAACCAGGCAGAGAACCTTTACAAAAATAGTGTCCTGCAACCGGGTGATGCTTACAATTGGGACACGAAGACACCTGGCATAGTTGTCTTATTCTCGAAATTGACTTCATCGCGTCCGGACATCGGTGGTGATTTCTCTAGGTGGCAGAGCGAAGCAGAGAAGTACTTTGACGGCATTCTCAGTGGAAAGAGTGGAGCTTCTTCTACCCATGGTGGGTTAATAGACTTTGTCTTCTACGTCTGAAGTGCTGAATTTTATAAATGCAGGCGGGCTCTTGTATTATGACAAAGTTTCGAACGATGCTTCGCTAAACCCGGCTCTCAACGCCGCAATGTTGCTTTATATGTACAGTCCACTCGCAAGCACGGACTCCAAAAAATCCGCCTACACCTCTTTCGCCAATTCTCAATTCAACTACGCACTAGGAAAGAACCCAATGTCCTGCCCGTACATTGTTGGCTCTTCCCCCAATTCTCCACAAAACCCACACTCCGCAATATCGAGTGGTGGCAACGACGTCAATAAAATTGATACTGAGCCCCCGCAGGAGGCGTACGTGCTGTACGGAGCTATTATTGGTGGACCGGATAAGCAAGATCGATACTTCGACATTCGGAATGATTGGCCAGAAACGGAGCCTGCGCTGGATATTAATTCGCCGATGCTCACTCTATCTGCACTGGTACGTTAAACTTCCCCCCTTTCTATCCTAGATGCGTACATTAAATATGCACTTGGACTAGCATGTCATGAACGATTCGTCAGACCCGTTCTACACAACTCTGGACCCTGGAGCATATGCTCGAGTCAAACCATCCGGTAAACCCTGTGATGATGCGTTCCCATGCAGTCACAATATCGGCAATCTGAGCAAGGGGAAAGCGATCGCTGTTATTGTCGTCGTCGTCGTCGTCGGACTGGGGATCGTTGGCGGGCTCCTGTATTGGTATCGGTTGGCTCGCAAGCACAAGCAATACTAATGCTCTTACTCGCTCTGTCTTGTTCTTTCTTGTGTTTTCTTGGGCTTGCGTCTCTCTTCTCTTTCTTGCTCTGTTTCGAGGATTCACTACAATGAACTGTAAGGGCTCTATATTGTACTTGCACGAAGACATGTAGTTTACAAACAGCGTATTGGCACGAACTGTCTGTTATACCGAATAGCTAATAAACCTCTAGTACGTAACGTTCTTCTTCCTTTAGTCCCTCCAAATAAGCAGCCGCCTCAGCCTCGGTCAACCCATTATATTTCACCAACGCATTTACAAGCGTCTCAAACACATCCGGCACTGGCCAAGTCGGCCCACACAAATAAAACACGCCCTTCTCGCGATGTAACATCTTTACCAACGTCTCCGCGTCGTCGAGCATCTTATGTTGGATGTACACCTTTCTAGGACCGTCTCGAGAGAAGGCGAGTCCCGCGTGTGAGATGGTTTTGTCGAGGATGAAGGCTTCGATTTCTTCTCCGTAGAGGTATTCTTTTGAGCGATAGCGGGAACCGAAGTAGTAGAAGAGGGGGCCGGAGGGTTTGTTTTGTGAGGAGAGGAGAGCACGGTGTTGGAGGAAGGCGCGGAAGGGAGCTGCGCCTGTGCCGAGTCCGGCGAGGATGAGGGGTTGCATGTCGTCTGGGGGAAGCTGGAGATCGTAAAATGAAATAATGAAATAAGTCTCAAGATAAGCGAAGAATGAAAGGTAGATGAGACTGACCTTCATGACACTTGGCTTGATCGAGACGGTGACCTTTTGGCCTACTTTAAGCCCAGCGAGGTATCGTGTGCATTGACCGAATCGTGGCGAACCTATTGTTCAAAAGCGAATCAATAAATTAAGCAGTTCATTCAACGTTAGATTAAGTATATGAGATAAGAATCTCACCTGAAGGTGTCTCCCACTCAACAGTCACCACAAGCAGATCCACCCGATCACCAACAACGCTCTGCGCGCTCGCAATACTATAATGCCTCGGCTTGATATCTCCAATCATCTCACACAGAACCTCAATACTTGGCCTCGCACTCTTGTACATCAAAAGTACATCCGCGAACGTAACAGTATCCTTTTCAGATAACTTCTTGAACATGGACGATCCCTCTGGAGACCCGACAAACTGCAGTGTTAACTTGTCGTTTTTCGAGGTGGCATGATTGGCAAGGTCCGCGTAGAAACTCTTCGGTGGCTTGCCGAATAGGTCGATCTGTTGTTGGAGCGCTTGGAAAATAGTACGGGTATGCACTTTTCCCTCTGCACCCGGAACTGGAATAGTGATGAGGCGGTCGGGATCCACGCCGTACCACTTGCAGAAATCTAGGACTTCGTCCGTGTCGTTCCACCCGTGCACACCGAGAGCCTCGCCAATCGCATATTTCAGACCTGTCCCAGAAGTATCGAACTCAAGATGGAAGACATTGCGATCATAGTCCAATGGCGTAAGTCTGCGATTTACACTGCAAGTTACAAGGAAAGTCCGCTCGGGGAGCTCCGGCCGAAGGGCAGGGTTCTGTGGATACTCCTCCTCGGTCGTCCTTTCATTCGCTGGGACAAATGCATCGGGAAAGAGGATGTGGCGAGCCGCTTCGTGCCAGGAACTAATATGTGCACCCGGCAGAGACGATTGGTCAAGCTCGAAACCATCGGCACTGATGGCATTAAACTCAAACGACTTCAATTCAACTTTTCCCTCGTCCGCCGCCGATAATTCTCCCGGCTCGGTAATGTCCACCTCCTCTAATGCAGCCCATGCCTTTGCATTCAACTTATCGAGGTTCAGAGAAGCGCTAGAAGTCCCGTATATGCTATGAGCGAGCTTCCTGAGGAGTGCCTCGGTAGCCACAGGACCTAAATAAAGTCTTAGAAAGGCCAGATGTCCAATGATGTTCCCCGCGTTAGCATGTGCTTCTAATGCTTTTACGTTAATAGTGTAGATCTTCACACTCTTGTCGCGAAGATTTGATAGAACCTCGCTGGGAAGATTGTTCAATACTTCCAAATTCGTCCAGGACGAAAATAATAGCACTACGGAGTTTGGTTTTGTATAGCTTAAAATAGAATGCGATTTGACGAGACTTTGGTCAAGTACGGCGATGAAGTTGGCCTCCTCTTCGTGCGCCCTTCCCTCGCCTAATGGTAGGTGAACGTGAAGGGGTACGAAGTCTCTGGCGCCGTCGTTCGAAGAAAGAATGATCCGGGTGGCTGCAATTCCACCAGGTTTGGTGAAAACATCGCAATCCGTTATCGCGCGAGTCTGGACGGTCCTGTTTGCTTTAAACGTGTTGACAACGTGATGCGGAAGGCTCGCAAGCGGGGACGACGGTGCTTCAAAGAAAAGCAGTTTCCTCAAGTTTACGTCTTGAGCGGGTAATGAAAGAGATGCATGCACGAGGCTACCCAAGAAAGACGCGAAGCTCGACGGCGACTTGAGGAACTTCTGTGTAAGTGAGGGTACAACCCTGACGGAGCGAACAGTCGGTCTTCCGGTCTTCGAGCCAAGGCAAGTTGCGAATACATCCGTGTAGAGCACACCCTGCATGCCCTCCGTCAGAACTTCGTCCACAACACGAACGGACTCGACCGTCTTTGGAAGGGCGGAGAGGAAAAGTGCTTCGTCCCAAGGTCTGAGAACACGGACTATGATTACTCCGAAACCCGACTTGTTCTTTGCGAAGAACTGGGCTGCCGATGCAAGCGGGCCATTGAGGAGCACTAAGACTTCTGTCGCATTTGCATCCCCGACATAATCAAAGAATGCATAGCCAGCTGCCTTGAGCGCATCCTGTACGCCGAGATTACCCGAGTTCTTCGGTACGACCGGCTTAACAAGCGGGTGGCCAAGTTCTCTTCCGGCACTATAATGGTCGAACAGATGGACGACATGCGTGTTTCCAATCGTGTATGCGGCAGAAGCAAGATCAATGCTCTCCTGTGGAGAAGACGACAGCAAGATGGCAAACGATTCCGGAAGGCTCCCAAGAATCGAGTTCAATGGTGCCAACGTTGGTGATAACTCAAGTGTCTGACCAACGGGTGTAACCGTCGGCACTTGAAGCACTACCCTGCTCGAAGCTGTAGGCTGAGGGAAAAATGCAAAAGACGGGGCCATTGCAGCTACTCCGCTGGGTGTCGTGTACGCAGTGAGTACGGATACCTGGTGAACATCTTTGCTGGTCCCTTCTTCTGAAAGTCGTCCGACGAGATTCAAACCTGCTCCTGATCGAGTCTGAAGGCCGACAACGTTTGAAGGTATCCTGTCATTGTCCTTCACCTGCTTAGTGAGAAGTCCAAAACCAGCATGTTCTGCAAGGTCATAGACGAAAATTGACGAGCTGCTCTCTGAAGCCACTTGCTCTATCAACGCCGAGGCGGTTTCCCGAGAGTCATTTCTCGCCATTTGGACAGGTAGGACCGTAGTGTTTGGGGGTGGGTAGCCAGCGATGCAGACATTCTTTGATTTGTGCAGAGATTTTATGCAAGTAATTGCGCAATGGTGAGCACCACGGATTCAAATGGTTCTGTGTACGTAAGCGACATGTATTTTCTAATTTTACATTATCTCTCATATCGATGCATTTAAGCAGTAGAAATACAACAATTGACAGTTCTACTAATGTGGCCTGCCGACTACAGCGTATTGAAAAGGCGGTCTCCCTACAATGACCAGCGGTGTCAGTTTGCAGCTCTGTGTTGCTACTGACGAAAATCTCACCGTATCTCCAAGACCAGGTGCGACAATACCCTGTGGTGTGAGAGTCGGGTCTACAGCAGCAGCCCAAATCTGAGAAGAACGTTACAAGGATGACACAATAAGCAAGGTTAGATTAATATACCTGCAAGTCCGGAAATTCCTCAGAGAGTTTCTTTAAACCCACCTCTGACGCCAGAACGGCAAGAAGTCTTATGTTCTTGACTATGATTTGAGTTAGTGAAGGATTTGACCTCAGTGTATTAGACAATATTTACTGGATAAACCCCAATCGAGGAGCATCTGGAGCGCCGCGCAAGCCGTCCCTCCGGTGGCAATCAGAGGATCAAGGAGGTAACATATGTCTACCGTAACTTCTGTCGGAAGTTTCGAGTAGTCTGGCCAGGTAATGTGAAAATAAGCCCTCCGAATCATAAGTATAATACCACACTCGTACATTCTACGGGTTGTAAACTGACTTTCTCTCGGAAAATACCAATGTGATAAACTTTCGCTTGTCTGCATTCAAGTTAACGATTGATAGAGACAGTAAACGATTCACCAGACTTACGGAAAGAGATCAAGCATCGAATCCGTCATACCTAGACCTGCGCGAAGGATAGGTGCTAATCCGATTTTTGGCTTGATAGCCCTTCCGGTGAATGGGGCTACTGGTGTTCTCTATGAAGAACATATGCCATGAGACAAATATGGAAGGCAGAAAGCCAAAGCAACATGTCTGACCCCTTCAAATGATGTTTCTTCAAGTGTCCTACTTGCCTCGATCCCTACAAAAGTACTGATCTGACGGATACCCTGTACAGTAGCCACAAGTCATATAAATACGAACAGATGACTGAACTTCAATTAATGGTATCACGCACCTCTCGGAACTCTTTTGTAGATGTACTAGTCTGCCGAAGCTGCGACAGACGAGCATTCAGAACAGGATGGTTGAGGACGTTTATTTTCCCAGACGACATATAGAAACTCAAAGTATGAATGGATAACTAAGAAATGCGCAGAGATTGATGGTGATAGGACGAGGAAGCGTGGCACGAATGCTCGCGGCGTCGAGCGTAAAGGTTCATGGAGGTCAGAGATAGATCCGCGCGTGGCACGCGGCCCGGACATGTGCTATGAATGCTTGTCACTCAAAATACACTATATATTTATGAATTTCTGGCTGATCGTAAACTCCATATTCCTCCATAAAGATCTGTTGGCATATACACAGTTCTGCTCGGAACTACATATATATATATAACCTCGCGGCAGTTACTGGAAGCAGGAACCTGGTTCTATTCGCTACTCGTAAATTGTAGGGCAAACTTCAGACTCATATCAGCATCAATACAACGGAATATCACCATTCCTTTCACATCTGGGTACATAGACACCTGAGGTTCTATCCAGAGCGCACACACACGGTTGACCGCCAGGCTCTTTCTTATACTCGGTTACCGAGGGGCAGCGTCAATATTGAACCTTGAGGTTGGTCGGCGGTGTAAAGTCACCCCGTTTCATCATCTTGATTTTTTAACACAAACGGACATTATTGTTCAGGAGTATATCACTTGCTTTCATCAAAGACGGAGGCAATCCAAGCAATGCTGCAAATATCCACGTTTAGCCTTAACAGAATTCGAGCGATACCCCGCACTTCACAGGCCCAACTCTATCATAGAAAGCTAGTCCTCGAAAGTCCCCGATGGACAAAGTATGCCAATAGCGGAACTAGGCGCCGCGATGTAACGAACATTTGGCGTATCTCAAGGGTAAACTTTGAAGGAACGTGATTATGTATAATACGATATGTTCCTGGGCTGCGGGACGAGTAGGGCTTTCCATACTCCAGCGAGAGGGTACAAAATGTCCCGACCAACGTGCCTGAATCAAAGCTCAATAACATGTCGTGTTCAGGGTAATTTGCAACTTTACCTGTCTCTATTTTATCCGCATATTCGTCATTTGATATTTGCTCATGGAGGCCATTAAAGTTCATCATCTTCGTTTGTATTCACAGGGTTGCAAGACATCTCCGCGAGACATAATTTTCTGCCAAACTTTATCGTCAAGAACCTTTGAATCTTCGGCTTTCTTGAAGCTAAAAAGGGTAAAATGTGTATTGCGCTCATCCTGCATGAAATATATCAGACACTTTACCGAGATGCCTTCTAGGCCCGCGAAAAGCCGCCTCTACTTACCTTTGATAAAAGGCGAAAGCCCACGGAAGAGACTACAGACGTAAATTTGTCGACATTGGTGAATCGACTGGTAACTTCCGCGATCTTAAGTTCTCCCCTTGAAAGTTAGCAAGATATACTTCAGAAGAGACTTCGGTAATAGATTGACGGAGCTTGAACGTACCCTTTCTTCAATACGCGCCTCGCCTCGCGAATGCAAATCAGCCAGTTCGTGCTCATGAGACTAAGGGAGCACACCACGACATCCACGACTTGGCCTTCGTCCACAATCTCAGAACCTGGAAGCGGGAGATTTTCGCAGATATCCGCAGCGACAATGAATGGATTTGCCGAAATGAGATCAAACGACAACACGGTGTAGCCCTTTGGCACGAGTTTCTGCGCAAGCTCCGCGTCACCGCATCCCAAGTCGACAATTACCGAACGTTCTGAGTACGAAGAAGATAACGTCTGTACGAAATGGTCTACGGGATTAGCCGGCCATGAGGTGACCTGGTGTCTGAAACCAGCGTGATACTGTATGTAAAAAATACAAAGGTTTGATATTGAGAACACAGAGAAGCGTATCCGCGATGTGTGCCACGAACCTCTTCGAACACTTGTGGGTCCTCATGCATCAGGCGCTCGGCATCTTTGCTATTTGACTTGTAAAGCACTTCATTAATCCACCTTCACATGAATCAGGCGAAATGGAACAGTGCAATCAAGCAACCGCAAGGCCGTAATTGAGATAATGGCTCTTTTGATCGAATGTGTAGACTTTACCTGAATCGCGCCCCGTCAAGCCTCTGCATCATCTTTGACTGCAGATTTGTCAGATGAGTACCAGTGCTGCCACCGAGTTCTGGCTTGGGAAAATACTCTGAGATGGAGTCAGAATTTGTGGCTTCCTTCTTCTTCCCCTTCTTTCCTTTCGATTTTGTAGAGGCGTCCTTTCCTGTTTCATCCCGTTTCATTGCCGAATACTCCGACAAGCCAACATCATCATCAGGAGCAGATACAGGCTCATCCCGATTCCCCTTTACCCTCTTCTTTGATTGCTCGTGTTTGGGTTTCGGGGTAAACTCATGCGTAGAATCAACAGATCTGTGTTGTGTCCGTGTACCCTCAGGTCCCGCCACGACTGCCTGTCGGTCCACTTCAATGCGAGCAGGCTTTTCTTTGCGATTCCTTTTCCTATTGTTGTTTCCTACAGGACTATTTTCTTGCTTGTTCAGTTTCTGCATGAGCTTTTCCACGTTTACTTCCGCGGACGCCAAATTAGAGGATGGTTCTTCGACAGCACCGCGCTTCCGTTTTCGTGAGTTCGGGTGTGATACAGGTTTGACATCGGAGGGCATGCTCCATCCTGGAACATCAAAGAGTGCCATGCTGGTGAGGAAGAAATTGATGGTGCGAATGTGAATGGCGCCGATCCACAACTATTCGACATGATCGACGAAGCGCCGCAATAGACGACAGCACGTGCCTAACGCGCAGAAAAACAAGAATTTATTAGAATCTCCCGGTTTCGTCCTCAAAAAGAGCCCACAATGACGGCTTCTCGTCTATCCAATACGAGCATATGCTCAGATAATTTATAAAAGCGCAGAACTAATTATAACGGTTGTTGATTGTCTGGTATATTGTTCTCAATAAGTAAACAATGTTCATGTATATATGCTAATACAGGTAGTAGTGCTTTTCATGTTGCATACAATAGAAGATTACATGTGATGGAGGTTCAAGTACCGTGGTCGTCTAGATTCTCGTTTTTTCCTGACGTGCTGTGTGAATCGGAACTTTTGTCATTCTGCTTATCAGATAAGTGGCGAGTCAGATAATGCAGGATCAGTTGTTATTGGCTACCGGATTTGATTGGCCGAACGTTGGTGTCGGCAGGTGACACGCAAGCTCATCTCCGACTGTACCAAGTGCTCAGAGTTGCCGGCTTGTAAAATAGATTTACAACGAAAAGCAAGATAGTTTTGCAACGGCACAAGTTGGAAGCGTGACGAACAAGCAGCACTTCGAAAGTTGTCGAAACCTGAGAGGCTGGAGCGAAATATAACCGTGGGAACAAATTGAAACTCCGCGGGGACCAATCGCATATTATTAACGAACGGCTCCAAATCGGAGCAAAGCCCAGAGTCTCTCGCACATTCCCACTCTACAATCGACGACCACCATGTTCTCAGCTCGCACTCTTTCACGAACAGCCCTCTCCGCCGCCCCTCGCGTTGCACGCCCAGCGGCTCGTCCTGTACTCGCACGCGCCTATCACGAGAAGGTCATCTCGCACTACGAGTCCCCTCGAAATGTGCGTCATCTTATTACTAAGCCGTTTTTCTACGCCTTTATCTGATATGCCTTCTTTGCTTCCCAGGTTGGCTCATTGAATAAGAATGATATTAATGTTGGTACGGGTCTCGTAGGCGCACCTGCGTATGTTGTCCGTGTATATTGCATGCCGCCCAATTTTTGTTGACATTTTTGGGCAATTTCTCATAGATGTGGAGACGTTATGAAACTCCAAATTCGCGTTGACGAGGACGGCGTCATCTCTGACGTGAAATTCAAAACTTTTGGTTGCGGTAGCGCTATTGCATCTAGCTCGTACATGACGGAACGAGTGAAGGGTTTGACGCTCGAGGAAGCCGGGAAGATTAAGAACACAGAAATTGCGAAGGAACTTGCCCTGCCACCTGTGAAGTTACACTGTTCAAGTTCGTTTCACTTCTTAATAACTCTGCATGTCCAGCCAACTAACCATTTTGCTTACAGTGCTTGCAGAGGATGCGATTCGGTCTGCAATCCGAGATTATCAGAAGAAGCGTAGCCAACTCCAAAATCCCAAGCAGGCTGGGTTCATTGATGTTTCCCAAAGTGCAGCAACGGGTCAGACGGTGGCAACGGCACATCCAGGAGGATCAGCGTAAAAATAGCATTTTTTTCCGTTCCCTTTTCATACCGTTCTTACCCTCATGCTGATTTGCAATTCTTTTATGTTCTACACGCAACATTCACAAGTAGGTTAGGCTATGCATCGCTGTAGTGTTTGTAATAATAGTACAAAATATGCATGGACGTTTAACATGTCTGCGTCAAAGGCATACTGACGAAATCCGGACAAGAAACACGCAGAAAGTTGTGTGTGTCACGTATTGCTTGATGACGAGGCACCACCTTTTTGCCCTGCGAAGGAGAACATACCCTTGGCGAACCATTTCTCGTTCGCTTCCTTTACACGCTGGGCGGCAGCAGCGTGATTCGTAATCTCGAAACCTACGAGCATAGCGTAAGCCCGCAAAAGTGATGAATAAGTATAAAGAATGCGAACCTTGAACTGGCGTGAATACCAACGAAGTCGCCGTTCCCGACGACTGTTGAGCTGAACGGGTGATGGCAGCTGTTCGTAATTTGTTTGCCTTTGACATTTTGGCTATTTAGACAAGACGTAGAGTAAGTTGAGAATTCAAAACAGGACAGGAGAAAGACTAACCTTTACTCCGTGCTTCGCCCATCCCAGCACGTACTCTGCCACTCGCGACACCAATCATACCCATACCCTTCGTCTGATCGAACGCACCGACTTCCTCCTCAGCTTCGCCGAACGCCATGCGGTTTTGCAACTTTCGGAGCTCCGTCTGTGCGTAAGCTTCCTTGGTCTTCCGAGCCCTATGATCACAAAAATTAATAAAATAAAATAAAATAAAATAGTAACACAGGCATTAGTAATGTGGAAGAAGACGAATTTCGACAAAGACGTACCGTCTCCCACCGCGTCGCTTCTTCGGTCCATCGTTAGGAATGGGTAAAGGCTTCACCACCTTTGCTGGAGGCGGCGCTGCAAGCCTATCTACATGCTTGTCTATCTTCTCTCGGAGTTCTTCCCCGTAACTGCCTGAAAAAGGTTATCATTGTGAGGAAAACTCATAATAAATACGTGGGGTTGGAGTGAAATTACCATCTCTATGCCTACGTTCTAGGTCCATCCTCGCGGCCAAGACACACTTCGCACCGACGGTTCGCTGTACTTTTAGTCTATAATCGGGAGGCGTCTGTTGTATAATCTCCGACTGGAACACGAATCCTGTATGCCTGTTTTGGGTGACTGACGAAAAGCCTGCAGCGATTTTCTTTTGAGCACCAAGGAGCTACGTAAATGAAGTATTAGCGAGACGTCGAAAAGAATGTACTAGATTTATGACATACGTGAACGTTACAGGCAGGCATCTTTGCCAGAGCACTTAGGCCTCCTGCGACACCGAGTAGTTTCGCCGCAATAGTGGTTCCTACGATAGCCGAAAGGTTGGGAGCAAGCATGTTCATACGCGAACTAACGTAGCTAAAGATCTGAAAATAATCGTTAATATACATAATCCACACGGCTCAATCACTTTACTTGCCTTCTTCCGCGCTTCTTCAAGTCGATCCGCCAAGTCACACGCATTCTGAACCGCGAGCCACTCGCTTTCAGCCAATTTCTTGCCCGAGCTTGTTGACGCCGCAATATGGACACTCATAATCGCCGCTTGAGGTAAGACGCCGGATAAGTCGACCTTCTTTGGGTCGTCCGAATTGCCTAAGGCGCGCACAGAGCGAATGAACATAGTTGGGTCGGGAACGAGCTGCTCGAGCTCTGGGAACTTGGGGGCATAATGATCTCGGATGAACTAGAGTTGAGACCAAAATAAAAGAATAATCAATACCTCGAATCCAAGCCAAATAAAGGCGGAATAATTGCCTTGTTCACGACTAGAATTTCGTTATCGACGTCAACGGACAAGTTGTTCGCCTGTACGATAATGGTATATTCGGGATTGAGATGCGGAGGTAGAGACATCGTTTCTGCAGAGCTAGGGTTTTCCGTGTAACGCTCAATTTCCTAGGAAAGATAATAAATGAGTACGCTTTGGAAATAATAGAATATGCGACGTACTTTGAGAATATCTGTCATCCGCTTTGTACCCTCTAGCTTCGCTACCTTCCGGACATCTTCAACACCTGCAAGCTCTAGTTGCTGGACCTCCTCGGCATCTAACTCTGCTGCAGGCCTCACGCCGCCTTCCAGGACCAACCCAGTCCCAGCGTCCTGCATTTCAACGTCCTCTGATTCATGAGGCGCATGTTCACCATTCTCTTCCTCGTGGTCTTCTCCGACGTCGTCAAGATCGTCGAGGTCATCGAGGTCAGCCAAAGCTTCATCAGCGAGACTAGCCATTGGTATATGTGAGAAGTTGCGTTTGTTAGTTAGTGACTTAATAACGTTGGACTTCACGTGACCATTCACCATTTTCATCATCTTTAATAACCTCATTACATAATTACTACAGCCGTGGTACAACCAATAAATTCAATAACAGTTTCTATATATTCTAAAGTCTAAACACCACTGGACGCAAAAACGTGTCTCCATTGAGAAGGGGTTTCAATTGGGTCAGAACGTCAGACAATGATTCGGGCTGCCTGCTCGTCTGACATCTTCACGCGTGATCGAAATCGTGACCTGTATCGGGCATTGTCGCAACATCCTCTATGCACTGCGGGATAAACGAATCAGACGAGGCCAAAAGCAGTGCCAATTCTTTTCTACTTACGACAGAAATCATCCTCCTCGCGCATCCTGAGACGACATATGCAGTAGTCCGCCATTCTGACAATCTGTTTCTCGTTGACAACTGAACAATTAATTACGGTCACTTCAGAGATGGGCGACAGTTCGGACCCATTCGCGATAGCCAATGCGCGCGAGCGGGCAATCTCCTCCAGCGCTACACCACTTACATGGCCGCACCAGCGAAGGTCTATCTTTGATAGCTTGGGTAACATTCCGTAGGAAGGTCCAAGGTGAGCCAGCGTTTCGTTTGAGATTTCCGACCCATGCAACCGAACTTGCTCCAGACTTGGGAGCAGGTCAAAACAAAACAGGAAGTCTTCTTGTGAGATGTCCACGTCATAGAGCTCCAAAACATTAAGTGGTGGACTGGACTGCTCGAGGTAGAGACGCATAGCCTCGCGTGTCGTCTCTGGTGAGAACCCGTAAGGATCATCCGGGCATCGCATGACAAGATGCTCAAGCATTGGCGTACGGAGGTGTTGAATAAATGCCATGAAGGGGATAGGGAGGCTCAAGGTGAGCGAACGCAGTTCTTGAAGCACAATGGGATCATCGTGTTCCAGCTGAAAATCACGTTTATCCTTGCGGGAGATGTTGATGTTGAGTTCCGTGAGGTTTGGTGACTCAGACAGAACTCTAATAATCTCCGAGGCAAGGATGGGCCTGGCAGCAGCAAATTGGCAATCATTAAGCTGGAGAGTCAGGCTTGTGATTCTCGACATGCCGACCCAGGACTGACAGATATCCGTAGTAAGCGTGACTTTCCGGAGGCTCAGAGCACCATCAAAGGCCATTCTGAGCTCTGAGAGCTGGTTCTGCCCTTGACCAAACTCGGGCAAAGGTAGTGCAAGTGACGAATCTCCAACTTTGACAGATACTTCCTTAAGATGGCGGCCGGGTGTGTCAATGCAGCTGAGCACGTACGTGGCTGTTTGTACGGTTGATGCCTCCAGGGCGAAGGACCTCCAGCGTAAGGAATGGCTGGTTATCACGTTTAAGACAGCATCCATCGCTGAAAGCTGCTCCGAGGTCATGAATGTGATGTCCAACAATGATTGCTGAGCCATATGCAACCATAAATTGCAGCGTGCCACGGGGTCACCCTTGTCGCAATCAATGTAAAGGTGGGACCAAACGGAGGGTGTCTTGGAAGCTTCCCTCCAGGAGGAGCAGACTTGAGATACGACAATCGGACACCGGGTCCAGCCGTCTGCAACGGCGAAGTTGAAGATACGAGCGAGGAGTTCTGTTGGCAAGCGGTTGGCAATCGTGAGGACGGAACGGCATTTCGTTATAGCCTGGAAGTGCCTCCGTTTCTGTTCTTCAATGCGACGAGCTTGCTGGACAAGTCCATCAATCTGAGCCTGCAGAAGCCCAACGCATGCCTCATGGTCTGCAATCTCCTTGCGAGCCCGGCGTATCTCGGCATCAGAAGGCGACCACCGGTACAGACTGTACTCCATGTCTTTCTGCGCGAGCTGCATTGATATCATATAACACACGTCGAATACAGGAAGTATTACGAGACTACCCACCTCTCTGCTTAATCTTATAAAATAATGTATCAAAGATGGTGAGAAATGAAGGAGGTTACGATAACATACGAAGTACAACAACTAGGGGGAAAGGAATGAAGTAATGAGTGTGGGTCCTGTCTGTAATCGCGTCGGAGTCTAAATTGTGTACACGTGACCGTGCTCTCAACACGTTGGCCATCTTCTTTCTTTTCCATTCTTCAGGTATCTCGGTCAAGTCAATTGCAGCCTAGTTTTCCAAGGTGAATTTCATAAAACATAAGACTCTCTTTCTTGGTGATGATTCAGAGTGGAAACTGATTAACCCGCTTGAGCAACTCGTTCTGGGTTGAGGCGAAGACCATTGAATGTTCTAGATACTGCTGAAATCTCTCCTTGTTGCTGCATTCATTCATCTCTGAGCCCGTACTAACTTATTGGTCCTATAATTTTCAGGCAGGAGTGTATCGAATATGGACCCTCGGAGGTCCAGGGATCCTCGATTAGCTCGTGCAGACCCCCGTTTGCAGAACAGGCCGCCTTCCAATTCACCTGTACCAACTCCTCCCCCTCAACTTGGTCAATATACCGCACCACAACAAGATAGTGGAACAAGTGCATACAATTCTGCCCAAACATATGGAGCGCAAGGCTACACGGCTCCACCAATACCACAGAATGTTGCTACTCAGACCAGTCCTCCAATGGGCGTTGCAGGGCCATCATCGTATCAAACACAGAATCCGCCAGTACCCGTCCCTGCCCCTGTTCCAGAACAAGTTCAACCAGTAGCGCCGAAATACAAGCCAAAGCCACTCTTCTGCATTGTCTGTGCAAGCAACAACGTATGTTATGCTATTACCTGCCCTGCAGAAACGTTAACTTTTACAATTCATAGAATCGGTCTATGGAGGGCCATAGCGTCCTTTCGTAAGTGAAATGCTGTTGGTATGCAAGAGGGTACGCTGATGCTCTTCATCTCAGTAAAGCTGGCTTCCACGTTGTCTCGTCGGGTACCGGCTCGGCCGTTCGTTTACCGGGTCCGTCAATTGACAAGCCTAATATCTATGCCTTCGGAACACCATACAACACTATGTATGAGGAACTCAATTCAAAGGATCCACGATTGTGAGTCCACAGAGCATTATGATGGCTCGTTGACTAAGAAATGTATGTAGGTATACGGTAAATGGGATATTGAATATGATTGACCGCAATCGGAAGATCAAACTCGCTCCCGAGCGATGGCAGGAAAGCAGAAACGTAGCGGATGTAGTCATCACTTGTGAAGAGCGATGTTACGATGCAGTGTGCGATGGTAAGTGACTCTGTGATGCTCGTAGTCTCGTATGCAACTGACAATGACGATGCAAATTAGATCTATTATCGAAGGGTGGAGAATATAATCGTCCAGTCCATGTTATCAACATTGAGATCAAAGATAATCACGAGGAAGCTTTAATTGCAGGAAAGGCAATGCTAGATCTTGCAACAGCTGTAAGTTTTTATCCGCTTTTAGTGTCAAGCGTTTTCTTGTCCGCATTATTGTTATAGATCGAAGCTTCAGACGACTTGGACGAGGACATTGGGAAAATTTTAGAAGAACAACAAGAGAAGCATCCACATCCTCTGCTGCACACGGTCGCGTTCTACTAGCTGTCGGGATTTCTGTCTCCGATTCAACTGTGTCTTCTGGTGATTTCAGATATTTTGTAGATGCTGCATTCCTTTCACTATCCATTCATTCATGTGCATTTTGGCGACAAGGCCAAGTATTTAATAGTATACTAGTGCGCACATATGGTTTGCACCGTGGTGGATTATGTAGAAGGAATCTAATTCGCGCTGCAGTGTACGAATCTACAGGAAGGATATCAGATAGTTTAATGTTTCTCTATCCGGCGTAGCGTGCAGCGCGACATGGACGTACAAGATGGCGTGTGAAGCACGCAATCTGCGCCTCCTCAGTCATCTCAGTTGACTCCTTTCAGCAGTCGTGAGAAAGTATCACACAAGTGTGAGCGAAACGCACAATTCACCATCTATAAAGTGTCGGTGATAACCATGCACGGGCCTTGTACTTGCGCATTAAACCCCCACGAAGCTCGTGTACGTGCGTTTCGAGACAATCAGATATGTCCTCCACTCTCAGATTGGGAAGCATTGCGCCCGACTTCGAGGCTGAGACTCAGATGACTGCCGGTCCGATCAAGTTTCATGAATGGATCGGAGACAACTGGGCCGTCCTCTTCTCGCATCCCGGCGACTTTACGTGCGTCTTTTGCTCTCAAAAGGCCATGCGACATTCTCGTGTGGCTTGGAATTGTGATTGATGAATTGACTTTTCCATCCGGCATGTAGGCCTGTATGCACGACCGAGCTTGCCGAAGTCGCGCGCCGTGCAAAGGACTTCGAAGCCCGCGGAGTGAAGGTCATCGGTATCTCTGCGAATAACCTGGACGACCACAAGGCATGGGTGTGTAGCGCCAGGGTACTTTGATTCACCACATATATGCTAAATGATTTGCCTTTTACAGGTAAAAGACATCGAAGAGTGGGGTGGCAAGGTTTCACCGATTGATGTCCAGTTCCCAATCGTATGTACCCTGCTTCACCCTTCTTCAGTTCATGTTTCTTCAAGAGAACTTAATATATCTGTTTTACTCCCCTCATTTCGGTAGATCGCAGATGCCGACCGTAGAATCTCTACGCTGTATGACATGTTAGATGCTCTAGACCCCACGAACCGGGACGCAAAAGGTCTTCCGTTCACTGTACGTCGAATTTCCATCCCAGAAACTTCGTACCCTGTATGGAGTTCCAAGTAACTTCTTTTATCCGACTCCTTTAACCGCCAGGTCCGCACGGTCTTTGTGATTGACCCTAAGAAAGTCATTCGTCTCACAATCTCTTACCCCGCAAGTACGGGCAGGAACTTCGACGAGATTATCCGAGTTATCGATTCTCTCCAATTAGGAGACAAGCACCGTATTACTACGCCCGTCAACTGGCAGAAGGGCGACGATGTCATCGTCCACCCGACCGTTTCTAATGAGGAAGCAAAGATCCTGTTCCCCGAATTCACTACACACAAGGTTCGTTTCATAAACCGGTGTATTAAGATCGTGCCTCTTACAATCTGCTTCCTCATATGCAGCCCTATCTGAGAACCACCCCACTTAAGGTCTAATGAGTTGACATCGGAAACAGTTATTAACCGCTATTATAAGATGTATTTGGCGATAAGAAAAATCAATGCTGTAAATCTGTACCGAAACAATACACATCCGTATATTTCTTCCGTTCATTTGTACTTCCTGATATGTATAATGCTTTGCAGTCAACTCGAAGATGCAGTTACGCCATTTCCAAATACCCGATCAATTTTCATTCGTCTGAAAGGCAAATTTCGCTCAATAGTCAGTCATGGATCTGCATATGGTCACCATGTCGAGCATCCATACCTGTCCCATATGACTTCTCCTGTCGTCTTGCACCGGAAATGCACTATTCGGTGAAACGGAATCTGCGGCAAGAAGCTAAGCCTGTGTCCGATGACCGGTCAAGGTACGGGGGAAAAGTACGCACGAAGGTCTCGTCGTCGACGTCCTTACTCCAGCTGTTCAACGGTATTTCCTTGATCCCCAAAAACCGATCCTCGTAACCAATAAGATATTCTGCTTCGTCATATCGCGGATCCCACAGCAGGCGGTTGTACACGTCAGCACTCGTCCTGAGTCTCTCCGCAGGAACGTGGTCTCCAGCCTGCACGTCGCCCGCGGCCCTGCGTTGCTTCTTCGATACGGATTGATTTACGACACTCTCCTGACGATCCCGATCGTCTTCGACTTCTTCCCAATACGAAGCAGCGCCTGTCCCAGCTTCTTCACCTTCCGCAGGGTTAACGGGTTCATCAATACCGTCATCCCTCCATTGAGGCCTATCGTACCCGATGTTCCCGCATTTCATTATGTCTGCCCGCGTACATGGCGACACTCCGAAGAAGCATGTCGACACATCAAAGTACGATGTACTCGTTCGGACGTAATTCTCAAATGCTTGTAACACGCCGATAATCGGTTTCGTACTCTTTTTGCTTTGGTGAAGCTGCAGCCCTAGCAGATAGAACCCTTGCATAGAAGAAGATCTGCCGTCTGTTATCGCCTGACACAAGTGGGTGAGACGTTCTGGCCAAAGTCGTACTGTAGCTTGTTGATCGGCTGTATGAAGGTTGACTAACAGCTGCGGGAAGCAATCATTATATTCAATCGTGATATCAACATCGAGATTAAAGTCAAAAAGAACCATAATAAGACGAACTTGAGTAAGCCGTGATTCTACGAAAGCGAGTAAGGCCCGGGCCGCTGTGCAATTTCTGCCCCAATAGCTCACATCTATCCTAACAAAGCCCTTGAAATTATCAAGGAAATTAGCAACTGAGCTCGCCTCGCTCCCACAGACATCCGCAAATGACGTGCCATCGAGCAACGGTTTGTACGCGAGACACAGTTCTCTGGTAATCGTTTGCCGAGTGAAAAAAGTGGCATTAGTAGCAACGTTATTGATTGGCCTCTGTGGGGATAAAATAACCATCGGGTCTGAAACGGATCTCTTGTAAGTTACATCTGTCAAAGATACAATCTCTGATGCCCAGGGAAACGCAGAATAGACTTGAAAGAATCGTTTGATATACTCGAAGACGCTAACAGAGCCTGATAATTTTTCCGCTATTCGCCGCAGCATTATTGCCAGATGCGCTCCTCCAAGGAATCCCATACGAGGGGAATATATTCCACGCCGGATGCAAAACAGTTTGATTAGCCGGTAAGCAAGTTGAAATGACTTAATCGAGGGTGTGAATTCGCGAAAGCGAATCTGATCGTGATAGACATCCGATACCCTGGAAGATGGACCAGGAGACAGGCTATTATAATTCATTGGATTTTTGAAATTCAACCAGCTAGGCAAAACAGAGACACGTAAGTTTGGAGAACTGAATATATTTAACGTACTCCTTAGCTATTATAGGTGCTGTGCAATACTGCACGTTGAGTGTGAACTCTCCAACGCGAAGGATCATCATCCGTATGAAGACATCACTGATAATGCGGCTGAGGATAACGGAATACTGGTCATGGGAATTATTCGCGTTAAATTTATACCGAAGGATCTTCTCCCGAAGCATGGTCCAGAAGGTCGCAGAGCTGATGTTACCCACGACAATGCAGTCGATATCACTAGTTGGAAAATGGAGATTCATTGCGAAACTGCCGACTAGAATTAGGACTAGCTTGACAGATGATCCCGTCTGCATTGTACGAGACCTGGCAGACACATTAGAGGGCTTCTCCGCTAGGCCCACCTCAGCGCCGTCCTCCCGCGAAGCGTTGATCACTTTGCAAAACGCCTCAATGGCTGCTTCTTGTCGTTCTTCGTGCTTCGTATCTGGGATCGTATCCGCTTCCTGTGCGAAATCCAATAAGTCGAAGTCCGAGGTCGCGCGGGGACCATCTTCTCCACGTAAACACGGCGGCTGAGAAGAAAGGGGGGTCACGAGTGGATCACATTGAGTAGATGAAGAACACGAAGAACACAAAGAACACATCGAAGTATTAGGAGAACAAACTCTCCCGGCCGACGTCGGAACGGGTAAAGCGCCAGGCTGCAGGGCCATTGTTCGATTCTCCACGCGGGTTAGATCGTACACGGATTGCGTCTTCAAGGAGGGTAGTCCGTGTGCTGAACCATAATGCAATTATACTTGGGGAGCAGTCGTCATGACTCGTGCTGGGTTGCTGGACCCGCCAAACCTGTGTCCAGTTCGGAGCCGTCACGTGGCTGCCTGACTCGCATCGTCTGATACCATATCCACCAGAACGGAAATACTTTCAGAACAAGGTGGCCTTCTAACCCTGACAGTGAATAAATAGTATCCGATGAGGTTCTTTCTCTTGTACAACGTATTCGACGGCCGTTGAGTCGGACGGTGCAAACACCTGGAAGCTTGAGGCAACGAGGCCGCCTTGTGCTGGTCATGACCAAAGTGCTATTCCAGTAGATTATGTTCTCGAGATGTTTCAGATGCTAAGAACTCATGAAGTTTGCCTTAAGTGGGAAAGAGTTTGTCCGCGACAAGAGGGGGGTGAGTAATCCGTCGTTGATGCCGTATCACTGACGAGAGTCTATTCATTGTCTGAGCGGCGTTGCTAAAGACAGAGAATCGGCAACACGGACGCCTTCGTCTTGATGTCTCGCTGCTTCGGCGTCAACTAGACTGTCAGGTGGGCGATTGCGACTGGTTTGATGAGCTGTCTTATCTCCGACTGAAAAGTGCTCAGGGTTCGGACCACTGCTGCCTTGTGTCCAGCACCTCATGGAGAGTCGCTTCGCCAGAATGGTGGCTCACATATTGCATGAAGCAAGAATGTTTTCGCACCTGCCCACAGGGTTGCTGGTACCTCATGTAGACCAGATTCAGTGTTAATGAAAATGGCTCCAGCATGAGTTTATCAGTAAGTTCCCCGAGGCACACGAAGCCTCTATTGACGTCAATGAAAGGAGTAGAAGAAAATTTGGAGCTCAAGACGGCAACGGGCGCTGAATGTCATGGCGCGCATTTGGGCCCCAGGATATGGAGATCCTGAGCAAGGCAGGAGAAGCGGGCGTTCATATCCACTAGGCTCCAGCCGGTCCCCACAGGTACCACGAAGGACTAGCGAAGCATATGCGCTGCTCGCAGAGTTGTCACACAGGGGACGCGTCCAGACTCTGTCGACTATACGTAAAGTGACATTGTCGTTCGCCGTCCATTCAATTGCGCTCTACAGGAAAGACGGGCCGTCTAGTACCAGAAGGCAGCCGCCAATTCTCTGGTGAAGTTATCTGAGCTAAAGCGACATTACGCGCGACGGACGTTCTCAGAGCCCGGACGAAGTGGCCACATTCTCCCAGAGCCGGTATACGGCATCATTGTCTCAATAGCTGCTTCCAATCCTCTGTTCCAGACCATGCAGCAGGTTATGGATGTTGCCGGAATATATGGTTTCAGAACTCTGTTGTGAGAAAATGCCAATGGCGTGCTGGACTATCAGGAAAGGATTCAATGTTGCCTCATTGACATTAGCGCGGACTCATGTCGAAGACTGTATCAAGATGAGTTGTAAATGGATAGATAAAGACTCATGCGTGCCGTTAAGAGCGGATATGCTTTGTTGCCACTCGCTGAGCGACGCGACTTTATCCGAGTCCGGATGCGCAGAATGGAGAAGCACAAGCAAGCACAGTGAAAATTGAGACGGATAGAAGACCGCCCAGTCCGCAGCCAGAAGACAAGCCAATAGCTGCTTGCTCCCCAAAGCAACCAAGATTTGAAAATGGATGAGAACAGCCCAGAAGACTAGACCAGAGTTAGCGGCATAGCTGAGATTGATCGTCCGCTTGATTCTTCTCGACAGTAACAGACCAGGAGTGCGAGATCGCGGTCAACCACAGCAAAGGCGCATTTTGGCAGATGGGAAATTAGTTCGGCAAAAGCCGACACGACCCTGAAGGAAACGCGTCCTCCTGCGACGCGCGTCACGAACACCATCCAAAGCTGCTTTCCTCCTTACCTCTCTAACGACATTCACAACGATGGCAAATGCTGGTAGTGGAGCGTATAGGTACATATTCACTTGTTCTTTTATTATTGTCATTGCTTAATTCGGACGTAATGCAGTTATTCTCTTACCGTCTTCTCTCCGAGCGGCAAACTCGTACAAATCGAGCACGCTCTCGCCGCAGTGTCCCAGGGAACAACGAGTCTAGGGATTAAGGGTGTGCTTGGCTGCTTGATACAGTGCTCTATGGCGCCTTATCTTACTGATCTAATTCAGCAACGAACGGCATTGTAATTGCGACCGAGAAGAAATCATCCTCTCTCCTCATTGACTCCTCCATGCTAGACAAAGTATGTGTCATATGTCCCAATATCGGTATCGTCTACTCGGGGATGGGTCCGGACTATCGTGTGCTTGTGGCTAAGGCCCGGAAAAGTGCACAAGCATATTGGAAGGTGTACGGTGAATACCCACCAACGCGCGTATTAACTCAGGAGATTGCAACTGTGATGCAGGAAGCAACGCAATCTGGGTAAGCACCTCTTGTTTGAGTTTACGAAGCAACAGAAAGAGTTGACAATTGATTCGTGTGCTGACAGTGGTATCCGTCCGTTCGGAGTCTCGCTCCTGGTCGCTGGCTGGGACTCACACCGAGGACCCATGCTCTACCAGGTAGATCCATCCGGCTCGTTCTGGGCCTGGAAGGCTAGTGCAATAGGGAAAAATATGGTAAATGCGAAAACCTTCCTTGAGAAACGGTCAGCGTGTTTTACTTAATTTGTTACTGTCCGCTGATTCATTGTGGTCTATTGTTAAGATACAATGATGATATCTCTCTAGAAGATGCCATACACACCGCACTTCTTACCCTGAAGGAAGGATTTGAGGGCCAGATGACCGAGAAGACGATAGAGATCGGAGTCGTTACCATTCCTACGGCAGAAGAACTCGAGGCAGAGAAAGTGGGCGCTGAGTCGGGACGGCCGAAGCCGACATTCCGTAAGCTCTCGGAGGAGGAAGTTCGGGACTATCTTGCATTGTAGGTGATGATATGGAGTACGCGGACGCTATTGTACGTTGTTTAGGGGGAATATAAGCTTTTCAGCCTAATTTGCTTTGCTCAGCCACGCAACGCGTGACTTTTAGTGCTATCAGGGGGCGTCCAATTTCCGTCGACAAGGTCTATTACACATGGATTACTCCAGCCAGAAATTAAGCTTGCAAGCTCACGTTACGTCTGGGGACGCGCGGGGGAATAGGGATATTAACGCGGTGGCCGATCGGTTGGACTTGCCGAGCCTCTTTTTTGACTGATTAGGAGCTGGAGAGCAGGGTAACTGGAGCGCGGGTACGTGTAGAGGACAGAAACGTTGCACGGAGGCCAGCAAATGAGGTGTTTGCGCAGCGGGAAAGTTTGGATAGAGAGAATAGGAGGAATCTAATGATGAAATGAAAGGAACGTTCATTGCATGTTGACACGAGAAATTCGTGTTGGTGACACGCGCACGACTAACCGGTGGTGACGGCAGAGATCAGGGTCGTTCTAAGGCCGAAGACAAGTCCAGGGCACACAGAACAGGACAGAACAGGATGCGGCGTGAATATTATTCTTTGAGTGAACCTACCTGGGGCACACGTGGATCGACACGTGGCGCGAATAGCCGACATCCGAGAGCTATGCTGCTGCAGTCCCAGTGGACCAGTGGACCACCGCGTTTCATTCATTTATTATTACTCTTTCCTTTGTTGTTTATTCCTTTCTTATAACCTATTTCTCAATCTTATTCCTCGCCCGTCTATTCTCGATCACCCGTCCCTAAGCCGTTCCTGGCCTCCTCTGCATACAGATCTCGATGGCGCTTCCTTTCTATCTCTGGTGTGGCATACTCGTACCGGATGTATCCTATGTAGTTTTAGCTCATCATTGCCGTCGCCGCAATTAAACGCTGCGCAGGCTTCTCTTCCTCGTGCGGTTTTCATTTTCATGCACCTGCCTGGGCCAGACATGCCAGATGCGAGAGCGGCGACGGAGGGTGGCAGCAGCGTGGCCCAAGACAGATGGGAAAGGAAGGTAGAAAAAAGAATCGAAACAAAGGGAAGAAGTGCGAGCAATCTGAGATGCTTTGCGTGCATTTCCGAATCCGAAATTGCGCGTCTGCGATGGGATTAATGAGCATATCGAGTACAACGCGGAGATGCATTGGTGCAAGCAGAGAAAAAAAACAGCGTGAATCATGCTAGCTAGCAACTCCTGGCACCCAATAGTGGCGCGATTTGCGTGTCGGCGATTGCAAGATTGGTGGTCTGTGTTTCAGATGAGGTGACAAGAAGAGGCAGGAGTGAACAGCAGACCCGGGACTGTGAGTGATTCACTGATTGGAAAATGCGGTACAGATCAGGATGTTCGTTTCGCCGACTGAATGGGCAACGGCAGAGACTGGGACTAGCGCAGTCGACTGCACAACCTTCTATTGCGCCCTCGGCCGTCTTCGTGTCTGTCCTTCCTGAGTGAGCCTCCGTCTTCCTTCGATTCCGGCTCTCTGGCCTCTGCTTATCTCCACGCATTACGTCCTCTCCATCACATGCCGTTTGCAGCGCTCGTTCGCTGCTCTTGCCTCCAGCCTGTCATCGAAGACGCTCGCACTCTGTTTCAACTTTTTCTTTAAGCCCAAGCTTCCGGCCATCTCCGCCTCCCTAGCCTACCCCCACCATGCATCTCTGCAATATCTAAACAGGATATGTGAAAGCTACCTCCCCTCCTCCGTATAAAGGACACATGACATAGCCCCGTATTTCCATCCTTCCATCCTTCCCTCCCTCTCTTCCCCCCTTGCGCTCTTCATCTGTACATACTACCGCGACCCCTCACCTCTTCGCTTCTTCGCATATCTTGGCTTCTCATCCAGTCCTTCCGCCAACGTCCTTCCGCCTCGGAAAAATGGCCGACCCCAACAACACCGACCTGTCTGTGTACCAAGCCAGAATGGCTCTCAAGAAACTGGATGAGGCTCGCCTGCACGAACGTTGTCCAAAAGCGTGCAAAGCTTGCAGCCAGAAGCATCGGAAAGTATGCGGAAGTTTCATTTCTGCCGACGTCATGGTCCTGACAGTATCTGCAGTGTCAATTCAAGACTGGTGCATATCCGAAATGCGATTTATGCGCCAAAAACAACAGGGAGTGTGAAATTATTCCACCTGTGGCTCATCCCAACAGTCGAAGGACGGACGATCCTGTATGTGTTTTCTTTCCACGTTCATTTCGCTATGCTCATTTCTCGCCAGAGCCGTGCAGCTGGCCCTTCATCTTCTCAGACCCACCAGTACGCCGCGGAATACGCGTATCCCGCGAGCCCGACCTCTAACACACGTGAACGTCCCAACAGAACGTCTCAATATTCAAGCGACTCATCCAATGGCAGTCCTGTAACAAGTAGCCACCCGTCGACTCCCTATGGATACCCGCAGAACGACTACCAGCACAATGTTAACACTCCTAGTGGACAGGTGTCACATGCGTACCCGAGTTCACAATCTCAACAGAGCCCGTATGCGGGTAACCTTGCTCATACTCACGCGTACACTCCGAGCCCGTCTGGCCTTAGTCCAACTCAAACTCGCGAACAACAGCCGTACTACGTTCCCTCCCAAACGCATGTCCAGTCTCCGCCGAACTTCGTTCCGAGCTCCCATCAATGGTCCGGGACCCACGGAGTGCAAACGCAAGCAGCGCCGCCTTCAATTGGCCAAGGTTATGCATATCCTGGTGGTTCGCATTCCACAACTCCGGCACGTCAGGCGTCGGCGCCGAACGTTCCGCAGATCCATACGAATCCGGGCCAGTCGTACATCAGGTGCATATTTCACAACGAGCTTTCTTCATGTTATTTCTTGCAGCTAATCAAACTCTATTGCAATGTGATCAGAACGGCTCAAGGATATCAGGTAGCGTCTCCAGCTTCACCAGGCGGGTCCTACGGAGTTCCAGGCAACACCATGTATCAGATGCAAGCTCAGGTTTGTCCCGGTCTCGGCTTCGGAATTACCAATCATTCCTGAAGGACGCGACTGTTTAGAACACGTCCGCCCGATACGGTACTGGCAATAGCGGTCAAGGGTACGATCAGACCATGACTAACGCTAGTTCGGTGAGAAGCTTTGATTCTAACTGCAATCTATCTTCCACGACTCATTTCTATCGGATGCTTTTTCCCTACTTAGGGTACCGCAAGTGGAGGCATGTATTACCAGCCGAACATGCATCAATAGACATGGGTCCAATTCAGTGCCGTTCTATTCAGGACTCTGATCTCTTCTCTCGTCTATGATTCGTCTGTTTCTTGCACATTTTCTTCTTGATCCTGTTTTGCACGTAGCGCTGTGAGTTCCTTTCCCCCTTTGGTAAGAGAATCGACGATCGTCTACTCTCCTTTCCCTGGTCCCTTCAACATGACATTAATTTCTTGGCGTGTTATTTTATATGGCTTTTCGTACATCAGGATGTATATAGTTTTTACGCGATTTGTATGGTTCTGTATGGTATGGTATGGTACAGTATGGTAATGTAATTTGGTTCCGTAATTTTTTTAACTAGTCAGTATTTGGATTGGAACGTCAGATTGGTGTGTAGCGACCCCATCGTTTCTGTGTGAGCAGCCGACCCACGTGTATGCGCGCTTTCTCTCAGAATCCCTGTTTCCCCCTTTCGTGCGCATTCCTAGCAGGAATTTTGAATTGAGATCCCAACGCGTTGGACTGATAGCTCTCCAGATCTCGCAATTTAGTCGCCTCTTTCAGGATGGGAGAGGTGGTGCTGTCATCACACACTTAACTCGGACTAGTTACTTGCTCTCGATCACTCACTTCATTTCATTTATTTATTTCTCTTGTTCACCCCTCCCCGTTGACGGGGTAAGCGGTATTTCCTTACGCGCCTAGCTAGCTAGCCAGGTTAGCTTTCACTAGCTTGGCTTTTTTTGTTAAACTAAAGTTTAGCTTCTGAACTATTTCACCCCTTTTTGCCACTTTGCCATCTGCTGACTGTTACTCGATCTCTCCCCTTTCTCGTCCTCTTTGCGTAATAATCGTTGTGGCCGTTGGCTTTGGCAGAAGTAAAACCAACTTGAAGGGTGGTCGTCAGGGCGTATACCTACCTCCCTGACACTACCTGACACTTCTTGAACCTTCCGCACTCCTTTCCGTTTCTCGTTGCAGAGACGAGGAACCTCTTCGTAGCCTTCTTTCATTAACCGGGGCTGCCCAAGCAAGTCCGACGATGGTGGCGTGTAACGCAAGTAAGTCACTTGACTTAGTGAAAGCCAAATTTTTTAAGGGCATGATGGTGGTGGTGTAGGTGGTGGCGGTAATGAGTTAAGTAAGTGAAAAAGGTAGATCATTAATAACTAGCTTCATGTAAGGCAAATAGGAACGGCACTGTTCATTTTTTTTTCTGGGGGACTACTAATTTCCTGCGTCATAGAATCATACATAGTCACATATGTGATATATTTCTAACTTTGTCCTTCCTTGGAGTACATGTGCGTGAAATTTAAGCCGATCAGCGTTTGGTGCACTTTTGGTTATAATGGCGGATACACAAAAGAGTTGCGTATACCATGCGTTATGCATTCGAAAGCCAAGAGAGCTAAGCTCTTATTATAGCGTCGATAGATGCATGAGTCGTTACAAACGCGGAGAACTAAGAAACGAAGAGAGGGAAGAACAGAAAAAGAGGTATGAAAGTTGATTTGATTCATTGAATTTGTAAAGGGGATAACAAGGAAACGAAGATAGAGGGGGTTTGTAGAGGACGGAGGAATCTTAGTTTCAAGATTCAAGATTCGGGGACGCAGATGTCCCGTAGTTATATTTATTCCTGCCTTTATTGATACAACACTAGTGCATGTCCAAGATTCAAATTCGTTCGTTTATTTGTTGCTCTTTTGATATAACGTACTGTACATAGATACATGCGTGCATAGATCTGTTCTGTTGGATCTTCCGTGTTAATTTACCTCGCTTCTCTCCTTCTCACAGTCCAGCCCCTGCTAGTTTCAATGCACCCTGTCACATTCCCCCTTATTCCATGGACGCTGATATTGTAGCTTCCCAGAACGGAAGTATAAACGAGCGCCGAAGAAGAGCATTAGAAGGGCCAGTCGAGCTTCTCGCCAAAGTTCCAGTGGATAGCCTTGATGGAAGTGTATTCGTCCAGGGCATAACTCCCGAGCTCACGACCTAGAAGGATAAAAGGAGTAATGATATGTCAAAAATCGACAATGCGGACGCGAAAAGGGAGAACGTCGACACGCATGACGAATTGGGATGCTCTATTTTTGTTCTGCTCAGTTATCTTTTGTAATACGCACCTATACCGCTTTGTTTCTTTCCCCCAAACGGCACGTTGTTATTCAAGATGTTGTATTGGTTGACCCATACCTAGCGATCAGCATGCCAAGTGAGAAGACAGAAGCTAGGACGTGAGGCGAACATATGGTTCGGCAATGCTGAACGTACCGTTCCGGCCTCAAGAGCAGATGAAACGCGCATGCATTGATTGGCGTCATCTACAAGACGTCCAACGTCAGGAGTAGTTCACCGGAAGCGACCGAATACAATATGATATTGGACGAAAACATACTCGAGTGGAAACCAGCGCCGAGTCCATAGGACGTGTCGTTGGCGAGCGCAATTGCTTCTTGCTCCGTTGCGAACTTTGCGACGGCCAAAACAGGACCGAAGATCTGCAGCGCACGCGGTGAGCACGCGAGACGAGGCACGGGGACACGGGGCGGAATACGGAAAGGGAACGGGAGAAGAAACGGGGTCGGCTATTACCTCCTCTTTCACAATCTTCATTGAGGGCGTGATCTCGCCGAATACTGCGAAGATAGTGACATATCCACATGAACAGATGTCGGAATCCCACCATGTCAGCAATACGTCACACACTCAGTCGCCCTTCGGGAAAACAGATAAACACAAACGCAACTTGTTGGATCGACCCAGTATCCGCGCCCCTTACGTTTCTCTCCGCCAATTATCACCTTAGCGCCCTCTGCTTTCCCAGACTCAATATAGTTCCACACCCGTTCGTATTGCGTTTTCGACACCTGTGCAGATATACCACGTTCGTCAGCACATACCGAGTCTCGCCGCGGACTTGAATACGGGCAAGAGCGAAGGACGCGACAGAAAAGGCAAAAGACAAGTGCGTACCACCGGACCAGCAGAAGCCTTTTCATCGAACCCATGAGATACAACGAGTTCCTGCGTCTTCTTCACAAGAATCGCCATGAACTTGTCGTATATCGTGTCTTGCACGAACAGCCGAGAGCCGGCCGTGCAGTCCTGTCCATTGTTGTACAAGATTCCGAGTCCAGCCCAGTTCGCAGCTAGGCAAGGTTCAGAACACATCCGCGCTTCAGCAACTGACCTCCTTGTAGCACCTCATTTGGGACTCTACTCTCACCTTGATCCAAATCCGCAGACTCAAAGATAATGTGTGGCGACTTTCCTCCAAGCTCCAAGGAAACCTAGGACATGGAATCAGTTATGCTTTCACTAGACTAATCTCGATCACGGCTCCGTACTTTTTTCAGATTGCTTTTCGCGGCTGCTTCCATTATTTTACGACCTGTCACGGTGGACCCTGTGAAAGCAATCTTGTCCACATCAGGATGAGCTGCGAGCGCCGCTCCTCCGACCGAGCCCAGTGAAGGTACCGTGTTGATGACACCGGGAGGAAATCTGAAGATCGATAGACGCATTATTAATGTGAGAGAAATCGCATTTCAAGTACTTAACACACCCTGCCTCCCTGGCAAGTTCGGACAGTTTCTGATAGAGAAGCAATGCATGAGTCTCCAAGAAGATCAGCATAGATAGAAGCGGATATCCTGACGTACTAAGGCAGACAAGGGGGTAATTTCCGAAGGTTTCATTACGATTGTACATCCAGTGGCCAGGGCAGGTCCAACCTTCCACGCCCTGAGAGTTAACAGCGAGAATCAACTAGGGTTGATAGCTGGAGTCAACCAGGTGCTACAAACCACATCTGAATGGGATAGTTCCATGGAATACTGAATATACATGTAACTGAGCTAACAGTTCGCGGATTAATTAACAGACGTACATCTGTCCGCAAACTCCGATAGGCTCATGGCGTGTCAAGCAGAGCTTGGTATTGTTGTTCACCTCGATCGTCTGATAGATTATTGATATTGATGGTTAATTGAGCAATTTGTAAATGCTGCGTAGCGTCCAGGCAGGATAAGGATAAACTACGAACTTGACCGACGATTTTGTCTGCCCACCCGGCATAGTATCGGAGACATCCAACAGAGTCGGCAATATCCCCCTCCCTAAGATGAGCCCGGATAGTTAGTGCTGACTTATGCGGGATAATTCGTGCGGGTAATTATAGCACTGGATAAATGCGTCTATTACCTTGCGATCCGGACAGGCTTGCCGTTGTCGAGGGACTCGAGTTGGGCGAGTTCTTCCTGGTCGCGTTCGATCAGATCTGCAAGCTTGTTTATCAACTTCGCGCGCTCAACGCCGGTGACGTTCTTTCCCCAAGTCGTCTTGAACGCTTTGCGCGCGGCAGCAACGGCGAGGTCGATGTCCTTCTCGGATGCTGGGAAGTTTGTGTTTTTGGTTTAAACAAAACGTAAGTTAGCACTGATCTGCACGTCAAACATCGCGATTCGGGATGGTACGAATCTGAAGTGCGACGCGAGCATGTACCTGCCGAGATCTTGCAAATCACCTCCTCCGTTGCAGGGTTGACGGACCTGTGTACGTATGGCGTTTGCTCTCAACAGACAAGGTTTCATGCTTAGTAATGTCTCTCACTCGATGGTTGACCCATCCACGGACCGAACGAATTCATTGTTTATGAAAAGGCCCGTCTGAAGCGATATGGACTTATTCGAACCCGGAACGGAGATTGGCACTGAGGCGACAGACATTGTTCTGCGATATGGGAGTGGAAGACAAGAAGCAGAGTTAGCGGCGAGGGTGAGAGCACTTCGTATATGAGCGGTTCTAAGGCGCTCCACAGGCCGAGATAACGTGCACAGTCGGAGGCTAAGACGAGAGCCAAGAATGCAAACCATAGATAACGTCTCCAGATCAATGCACCTTTTGCGGTGTTCGAGCGAGAATAAGCGCACGCGAGAAAAAGATGCGTGCAGATATTGGAAGACGTGTCGTGAATAGAGTGTCGGAATAATTAGTAGCGAATGGTGCAAGAAATAACTTCAATAAGTTGGTGGTGGAAGGTGTCAAGGTCGAGATAATAAAGTTCAGAACTGGTCGAAGAAAATGGAAGACTATTTTAGCTGCAAATCGAGTGTATGTGACATAAAAATATGATGCAGAATTCTCTCAAGAACACAATGGCTGAAAACGAAAGTAGGAAGCGAAGCAAGGCCATGGTGCAAAGATAGACGTTAGTAATCGGCCATAGGCTGTGGGCCTAGACTCTGGCCAATAAGAGCAAGTGCCTTCCAAAACGAGAGCCAACCAGACTGAGGCGCGGACTTCGCGATTGGCCCCGATTGCAGGTCCGGCTGACGTAGGTCACAACCGAACTTTCTGACATTTCGCTGGCCTGGTTTCCGCGCATTCCTTTTTCACCCGATACCACCACCATCACCATGTCTGTCCTCGCCCGCTCTGCTCTTCGTGCTCGCGCACCTGCTGTCCTTCGCTCGACTGCAGTCCAGCGTCGTGCGCTCCATGTCGAGAACGTCGTAGGCAACGTAAGCGTGCTATTTTTTTAACACGATTTTTGGTGCACCGACTGACACTGGCTTGCAGGCAACGCCGTTCAAGCACGACCCGAGTATGAGGTTCTCCTTCGCCGCAAAGCTCGCGGCTTTCCTCCTCACGGGCGCACTCCTCCCCGTCGCTGCCTCTGCCTACCAGCTGTACGTTGTGCCACATTCGTTTCTTTCGTTTTTTCAATGCTGAGCACTTTGTGCGGATTTAACAGTCGCAAGAAAGCATAGATAGCAACTATATATTCCATGCTAGACACCTCTAGATATAGAGACTAGATTTGTAGATGCCCATTAGATTCGTAATCATCTCCATTGTAGACGCAACACTCAGCATTGCATTAATAGATGGAGTCCCGATTGACAAAATCTTGTCTATTAATAAGATCCTCAAGATGATTCTAAAATACATTAGTGATTGATACAATCTCCATATCCGAATCTAATATCACGGATCCCGCATTTCACTGTCAGAACCACGCGAGGCGCCAGCTTTCCCTGCTTTCTTCGCAGCTTTTTTGGCCTGGTTTATAGCACGGCAGTCACAATAGCGCGCCATGAACGACGGGTCGCCCTCAATCGCATCTAGAGCTATATCTGAAGCACGCCGTGCAGATGCTGTTACCGACGTATCCGATGCACTCGCCAAAACAATATCGTGAACAATAACTTGAGCCATCAATCAGTGACTGTCCCTTTCAGGAAGACAGGCACAACTCGCACGTACCTGTACTTTCGACCGTATGGCTGTACTCGTTCTCGCGGGAATCAATAGAATCCTTGACAAGTTCAAAGTTCTGACATCCTTGTGACTGGAAGAGCTCAAATAGAATTTTCGTCGGATGATGTGAAAGAGTGTGCAGCGTGATGTGTTGGTCATAGAACGGCGCTAGCACCTTGTCAAAGAATTTTTCTGCCCCAATGGGAGAGAAATTATCCGACACATATACCGCTCCAAAGATTGACTCAACGACATCAGAAAGCGCTTTCGGAGGCTCGACATCAACCCAGTACTGTCCGGGTTGCCGGTCTTCACGTGCAGCTTGCTCATGCTCAGCAAGCTGTCTCTGCTCGAGCTCAACAGCATAGCTCTGAATACTCTTCTCCAAAGCCGAAGACTCGAATAGCAGGTGCTCGTGTAATCCCGACCAAACACAGACAGCCGCTAGAGCCGCATTAGAGACCATCGCACCCTGCAAAATACACCGAGCAGATAAAGTTCTAGTCAGGTTCTGAAGTAGGTTTAATGAAGGAGTTCTCAAACCTTCAATAACGTTAGCGCGCCCGGAGACAATGAGCTGTCCCTATCGTAAATGTGACGGATAACGACTTGGAAAGAATGTAGCACATCGCATCAGTATAAATGTGATATGTAATATGGAAGACGAAGGACACGCGTGAGTGCGGTCCTCAGGTTCTAGCCAAACTCACGGAAATCCAATATAGCATCACCGATAAATTCCAGCCGTTCGTAGCTCGTCATTTCATTCCCATGTATGGATGCATGCGTCTTCCGTACCCCGACATCGGGGATGTCACGTTAGCACCGGTACCGATGAAGTCACCTTAAGCTCGGATACTCACAAGTGCTTGTGCTAGAAGGTGCGGATGATTGAATTGGTGTCCGATAATGGCTTCTACCGCCTGGATGGACCCGGTCCGAAGCCTCGCCGTCACCTCCGGAGGGGGAGCAAGCGCCTTCCGCCCGAAGTCCGACCATCGGTCAATGTGGGGCACCGGAACGTTCAGCGCCTTCGTCACCTTTAGCGCAATCTCTCGTCCGCCGGTGACATACGCGGCACCTATAATCGCCTCCGCAACATCGGCTACTGCCTAGTATGAAAAGTCACAAAGGTCAGAAGTCACGGAAGCCTGAAATCCAATCTAGCACACACGCACTTTGTCTCCGAGCCACTGAGTGTTGAAGCTTTCCTTTTTCTTCTTCTTCTTGCTAGATTTCTTGCCTGGCGTCACTGTCCCGGAGTTTGGCTGACCATCATTTGTCTTTCCAACCCCATTTTCATCAGAAACATCCATAGGGGTGCTTTCATTAGTTTGTGTCTCCCCTACCTTGGGTTCACCTGACCCGCCTGCATGTGAACCACTCTCTCTGCCTTTTTTCGCACCCTCGGCTTCTTGAACCTGGTCTTGAGTTGGCAACTCCCCTTCTTCCAGCTCGTGTTCTCCTAAGTCCATGGGTTCCTCATCAAGATGCATCTTTGGCGGTCGATATACTATGAAGTTCGGCGGACACCACATTCTTGGCGCCAATGGCTTGGACTGGATATATTGTGGCAACCCACAACGATTCGCATTGCGCAAGAGAGACCTATTGCTGATAATCCGTTGACGAGACACGTGCAACGCCCCCTCATGCAGAGTAGGGAATGTTACGAAGAGGTAGACAGAGGACAAGTACTTCAAGTACGCATCACCTAGATTATCACCGTAAGCCAATTTGAGAAACCACCAGGTATATATGCATTACCGAGTAGTTCAAGGCGTTCATAGTCAACATCCACGAACGCTGCTGGCGACGAAACAGCAGCAAGCAGGTCGTACTCTGCAATAGAGTGGTCAAAATACTTGGCATTTAACTCCTTTATTAGTAAGAAGTCTTCGAGCTTGCTGATAATGGATGGCAATAAAGATATTGTTCGGTAAACACTGCGGCGACAATGCATGTAGCATATTAGAGTAAAGCAACCTTGTATGCATTGCCTTCGCTTACCTTGCGGGTATCGTAGACTTGACACACAGTTCTGGAATAAGATCTGGAGAGACTCTTAGTATTTTTTATTGTGAAAGGATTACAAAAACTTACATTTGGCGGGATGATGCTTTGACTCAGCGATTTGCCTGGCAGTCGGATTGAGATGGCTGACCAACGACGAACAGACTTCGACCTCTATTAAAGGTTGCTTGTAGTCCTGCAGACCTTCAAATCCCCTGCGACGTGCTCGACAGTATTCGACGAGATTGTCGAAATCCTTCTCCCTCTAAATCAGGTGTTAGGTTTGAACCGGAGAATAATGTCCTGAACACTCACAGGGCTATCCTGTGGTTTTGATAAAGGATTGAGATCAGGACGCATCCTTACACAATAATACTTTCGTGTAAACTCGGCCCATCGGTCTTGTATCAACGCATCCTCAGAATCAGCAATGAGTGTATGCACGTCCTGTGTATTAAGTGCGGCAGCTGCCTTCGCTGCGGCTAGTTGCACTTTGTCCCAAGGTATGTGATCAACGACATTTGGAAAATCCCATCGCTGGCCATCGTCAGGTCCACCCTCACCCACATCGATCTTGAAGTCCCTATATAGAGGTGCAAGGAAATAAGGGATGCTGTCCAGGGCACATATATATGGCTTGTTGGTTATACTCCGAATCATTCGAATGGTATACTTGTACAAGTCTTGAAGCATGTCATCATCAACTTCGAACGCTTCACCGCGCTTGAAATGCACTTTCCCGGCAACACCAGAGTAGTAAATTTTGAATGGGAAGAGCGGTGGAAGAGGAAGCCGAGTCAATATCAATATTGGAGAGTGTACACCTCCAACTTCAATCGCATTCGGATCCACGACGGGGTAAATAATAGTCGGATATAGACATCCTCGCATGATCGGTAGGGTGTTCATCCAGAAGTCTGGTCTTTTGCGAGGATAAAGGCGTGTCCCCATCGCTCTATTCTGTTCCTGCAACCTGGAGGGCAACAGGGCCTCCTCTTCTTCCCGGTCACTCATTTCTTCGATCATCTGAGCAGAAATGTATGTTGTCCTTTGTGGTCTGGTCGCTGGGAGAGGCGGTCGAGGGAACAAACGATAATCGAGAGCACCAAGGCTGTAAAGCTCGTAGCATGTTTGATAACAAGCCATTCGGCGGGCCTGAGACCTTGACGGGCTTGGTGAACCTGATACTCGTCGAAGCGGCGCACCGGGTGGAAGTAAAACTGTGCATATGTACATCGTCTTAGATGACGGGCCATCTTGCAGTTCTTCATATTCGAATAGTGGCTTATTTAGTCGTCTTTCTACATCTCCAGCTGCAGGAAGCTGAGAAGCAAATCGATATACCACCGTCATAGCATCCTGCACAAATATGCGTCCGCTCGTTGTCGGATCCTGTACAAAGCTCTCGGGATCGTCATTGTCCTCATCATCGCTATCAGAACGATATGGATCGACTGTTTCGCGTAGTGGTACAGGAGGAATAGCACTTCCAACGCTCGTTGTGACTCGTTGGACCCATCTTTCCATCCTCCGATCTATGCGTGCAACGTCAGCTAGGATACGGCGATGGACATCGCTTCCTCGCTCTGCCATGTGGATAAGGTGGCATTGTTGACCACGGGCGCGTGCCCGACAATGCGCATATGAAACCTGACTCTCGAACAGATCAAACCTAGGTACTGCGTCAGCCGACATAACTCAGATTAAATGCGAGTTAAACTACCTTATCACAATTGTTGCCGAGCAAATCTCTAGATCCTCAGCGAATTTCGTCGCAATAAGTAAATTGTAAACTCCCGTCCTAAAAGCATCTAATACGTCCGACTGCAGTACTTTAGCCAGAATGAAGTAAAAGCCTTAACAATAGATGCTGTTACCTGAGCTGAGGTTTCCGCCAGTGGACCGTGACCTACGAGGGCTTGTGGTCGAATGAATCCGATTTGATCATCCAAAGTCCGGAGTAGATCCGCTAAGACATAGGCAATGCTGCGCTTTTGGACTAAAAGAAGAAAGGTTCCATATACCGATGTTTCATGAATAGGACAGGAACGCACCGAAAATGATTCCACGGAATGCGTCGCCTTGTGGCTCACATGCCTTCAACACTTCCATTAGTCTCGCAAACTTCGGGGTGATATTGAAGCCTCGAGATGATTGATCCAGATTCGGCATTGTGAATAGCCAATTCTTAATTGTATTCCTGATTTTGCTTTTCGCACTTCTAATCGCGGCTTCGGAACCAGTTTGCAGCTCATCATCTTCCTCGAAGACCGGTTCATTAATATCCGACTCCGCTTCCATGTCCTTAAGTGCACGACGCCAGACAAGGTCACAGGCACACGCGCCTATTTCACTCAGAGCGTGCTTCGAGTTGCGAAAGTGGGACCTGAAAAGTGACATATGGGGATCATGTACAAGCAAACGTTTGAGTAACGGGGTGTCGACAATATGGACCTGCGGGTCGTAGAAGACGACCAGCTCCATAGGCTTGTCTGGTAGGGAAAGAATCGAATCGCGTGTTGCATCCGTGAAACCATGATACTTTGCATCGAGGACGTTCTCGAGCTTGAGGAGACTAATGTCAAAGTAAAATGTCGCGTCTGGAGACACAACAATGGAGCCGAATATCCGTGGTCGTGACTTTTTATCGGTAACGTGGAAAAAGTCTTTCATCAGTAATTGGATAGGATGAGACTCATCATCCTTAGCCGGCATCAAGTCATCTATGACCATGAAATGAATGTGGGAGATTGCTAAAGTTCCTTGAACCAAAGAATCGAATAAAAGCTGCATATATTGAGGTAAGTCGCATCTTCATGATGGCGTTGTAAGTGCTGACCTTGGCTGCTACAACGACAACCTCCTTTTTGCTCGACATCTCATTCCAGCTCTCCAGTGACGAAACGTGCGAAGAAGGTGTATATACGCCGACAGACAAGCTGCATAGTTCAGCCAATTGGACTTCCCGCGCGCTTGCAGTTGCTGTATCCCTGGCAGTCTGTCAGTAGTCGTGTCGCAAAAGAGAAAAACTTCGATATTTCGTACTCTACGACCATCAGTGCTATTCGCCGTTTCCGAGTGACGCTGACAGGTATTTCTCGTTCCGAGGCACATGCCAATATGAGTAGTTCAGACAGTGTGTTGACCTTTTCTAAATTCGATGTTTAGTGATACGAAGATACTGTAGAACAAATCAACTGACGAGAGTCTGACTCTAGAAACGCGATTGCTAGAGCCGTGCGTTATGAGTGGTGATGAGAGAACAAGAAATAATCCAGTACGCACTATTTCCCTGGTTCGCCTGTAAAAGCAGAGTTTCTTTGAAATCCTCACTGCTTGCATATTGCTGTGACACGGTTTCATAAGCACCCTCTTCTTCTATGTCCATGAGTTCCGGTAGTCGACCGTGGATCGCTTCTGAGGAAGAAGCATCAGGAGCATCCATCCTGCTTCGTTTGGTTGGATGTTCTTCAGCTTGGAAGCTGGATCCATCGAGTTCAGCTTCATGCACCGTGCGAGCCGCTTCGGCTGCCGGAGATGCTTTGCGCTTTTGACGTGAAGGCGAAATGATTGATGTATGGGGTTCGGGATTGGAGGTAACGACTATTGGTGAAGAAGGGCGAGAAGCTGAAGTGGCTTCGGGGATTGAGGAATCGTTTCCATCGCTATGCGTGCTGCTGCCATCCTCCTTTTTCCAAGCCTGCTTCCAAGCCTTGAGCATTGCATCGAAACTTGAGAAAAATAGAACGCAGGTTGTGAGGGTATAAATCGAATACGGATACAAACTTAACAAAGGCGCGTGGCTCGAGTATACATTTCTCTCGCTCTTGCAGCTAGCGATGACCTTGGAGGCACGTGCTCGTACTCGACTTCCGTTCGGCCCGTGATCTGCATCAAATCTGACGTCGTGTTGGGTCGGGCAAATATGCTTTCTGCGGATGCTGTTTATTCCAGTTGCATTCGGCCATGATCAGGCTCCTGGGCCCCTCTTTCTCTCGTTCCCTCCGCCATCTTCCCAAGCAGAATCGCACCGTACTATTTACTTTCCGCAGAATGGCCAGTAATGTAGCTGCAGCGGTCGGTAATGAAGCTGCTATCGTGCATTCATGTCTCTAACATCCGTATTTAGTTTGCTCTGAAAGACGAGGGTCTTCTCCAAACAAAAGGATACATTGCAGGCTCTTGGAGAGATGCAATAGATGGTTCAACCGTTTCGGTTACCAGTATGTCCAATGTTCGCGTCAACACGTAAACTCTATGATAACGCTGCTCTCTCAGACCCGGCTACTGGCAAGGAAATAGGTACTGTGCCCGAGATGGGCATGAAAGAGACGCAAGAGGCTATCACTGCAGCGCAGACTGCTTTCAAGTCGTGGAAAATGACAACGGCAAAGGCTAGTCCTGGCCGGATGATTGGTTCATTCATATGTTCTCACATTACTATATCCGATTCAATAGCAACGTCATGACTTACTCATGAAGCTGTATGCTCTCATACAAGAGCACTCTGATGACCTTTCACGGATTTTGGTGGGTCTCGTGGTCAGTCATTCTTTTATCTGTACTGAACTGATGCCGGTCCGAACCAGACGCTCGAAAATGGAAAGACCTTGGCCGATGCAAAGGTACACCAACTTTCATACCCGCGAACGTCGATTTATCTTGTCTAACTACTTAAATTAAACAATTTTCAGAGTGAAATCGCGTACAGTAACTCGTTTATAGAGGTACATTGGCTGATTTGCTTTATCTTTGCCGAGGCAACTGATTAATATTTTGCAGTGGTTCGGTACGCACACCTGGACTTGTCCTTTAAATTGCCGCTGACATTCTGAACTAAGCTGAGGAGGCTGTCCGCACATATGGAGGTGAATACTTCCGTCGTGATGCCTTATGTTGATTCTGAGCATTCTCAGAAACAATACCATCGCCGGTTCTCAGTGTTCGTAATGTAACACTGATGCAGCCCGTTGGTAAGTAATTTATTCGCATGTTACGAACTGGCCTTCAATTGAGCTACCACATATTTTTCACATATTTCGCAGGTGTTTGGTAAGAAAGCCTCGTATTGTCCTGAGGCAGGATGTTCACACATTGATAAAGTGCAATTCTAACACCCTGGAACTTCCCTTCGGCCATGGTAACATGATAGACAACCTGACTTTATAGAGACTAATGGTTTCACAGATCACGCGTAAACTAGGTGCAGCTCTTGCTGCAGGATGCACAGCAGTCGTAAAGCCTCCACCGGAGACTCCGTTCTCCGCCCTTGCTCTTACTGAAGTTCGTGTCACTTGTATAGCAATTGATAATGCTACTGAATTGATAATTAATGTGTACTGATAGCTTGCACGACGTGCCGGATTCCCCGATGGCGTCATCAACGTCGTCACGACTCTGAAGAATGTCGGCGACGTCGGCAAGACATTGTGTGAGAGCCCTGTCGTACGCAAGGTCACTTTCACTGGGTCAACGCAAGTGGCGAAACTGCTCTACGGCATGTCCGCCAGTACTATGAAAAAGTGAGTACTTGTGCCTTGATTTTTAGTGTCCTTATCTTATGCACTGCGAAGAATTTCGTTCGAGGCGGGAGGAAACTCGCCGTTCATTGTGTTTGATGACGCAGACATTGATGCTGCCGTAGAAGGTAAGCCTCTATAGAAACATGCGCCATTTCACCTCAACTAGTGTTTGATTAGGCGCTATCATCTGTAAATACCGTGCATCCGGTCAAACTTGCGTCTGCGCGAACAGGATCTACGTACACTCCTCCGTCTACGCCGAGTTCGCTTCTCGTCTTGCTGCTAGGGTCGCTACATTCAAGGTCGGCAACGGAATGGACAAAGAAACGTTCGTACTCGCATGACCTATTCAGTCATATTACTGATACCGCTTTGACTTTAGTACACACGGACCGCTCATTCACGATCGCGCCATCCAGAAAGTAGAAGCCCACGTCAACGACGCAGTAAGCCAAGGTGCACAAGTCCTCGTAGGTGGATCGCGAATCGAGGGTCCAGGCTCCTTCTTCGCCCCAACAGTCCTCTCAGACGTACCTCCACACGTCAGGCTCTCAAATGAAGAGACCTTTGGTCCAGTTGCGGCTCTCATCAAGTTTGAGACAGAGGAAGAAGTTCTGAAATTGGCGAATGATACTCCATATGGTTTGGCTGGGTACTTCTACTCTCGTGACGTTGGCCGTGTGTGGCGCGTTGCGGAGGCACTTGAGGTTGGGATGGTTGGTACGAATACGGGTCTTATTTCTCAAGCTACGATTCCTTTCGGAGGGATCAAGGAGAGTGGACTTGGTAAGTACCGTTTTCTGAGTTCTCAACGTGTAATGAGCAACTGATTGGCGCGATACAATAGGTCGTGAAGGGGCGCACGGCATTCAAGAGTACATGCAAACAAAATTCATCGCCTTTGGTGGCATTTGAAAAAGATGACGACTGGTTCTTCCAATGTAATTGTACGAATATATAACAAACTTCTTGGACAACAGTTATCTCTTGATATTCCGGGTGAAACTGGTATAACATCTCAATACGCTACTAGACATACAAGAAAGCAGGCAACACTGAGAACACTACTGGACCTCATGGAAACACTCAATAAAACAGTCAACATTTTCTCTATAAATTCTCGGAGAATCAAAGCTTGACCTGTGCACTGAGTTTGCCCTTTCCTTCCTCGACAACGGGATTGATCAAAGTGCCCATGTTGCCTCCGATCCAAACGCGCACATCATCGCCATGCTTGAGGAAGACAGGAGGTTTCCTTACGAAGCCCACGCCCTTTAATCCATGCCATACATTAATGACTCAGTAGCAAAAGAATAAAGATAGTCCATACCTTAGGTGTACCAGTCATGATGATCGAGCCTGGCTCAAGTGTCGTACCCTGCGATAAGAATGCTATCGTTTGTCGCACGTTGAAGATCTGATCACTGAATTACGCCTTTCGCTAAGAATACTCATGTTGATGTAGTAAGAGCAGAGACTCACGCAGTTGTCCCGTCCTGCATGGTTTGCCCATTTACGAATGTCTTGAGAGGAAGCTTCTGTGGGTCTGATACAGCTTTTGCTGAAACGATGCATGGTCCCACTGGAGTCGAGTTATCTGTTACGATATGCATGAGATAAACTTTCCGAATTTCACAAATTGGTAGTGCATACCAAAGCCCTTCGAGAAACCCCATTGTGAAACGGCCATTTGATGGAAACGGAAGGACATCTAAAGAGACGACCTCATCCACAGAATGTACATGCTAGATACTTGAGATAAACGCACATCATTGCCGACAGTGTATCCTAATACATAGTCCAAAGCATCTGCTTCTGAAACGTCCTTTGCCGGCTTGCCAATGACGATGGTTAACTCGACCTGGAGAGAAAATCAGGCGGACAATTAGTTACTCCAAGAAATAAATAAGTAATAATATTCTCACCTCATAATCCGGAAGATGTTTATTTACGGGTTGGGCGGCTTTGGGTACCAGAATGGGGGCTTCAGGTCCTATTAAAGAGGTCTTGGGCTTATAGAATAGAATCGGAGCTCTGCGGCAGGATAATTTCAACAATGGACCGGAGGTAGATTCTTTGTGAACCTACGCAGGTTTAGCCATTCCTGCCTCTGCCTACGAGGTTCGCTTAATATTAATTCTGAATTGTGTAACTTAGCAAACACGAACTGCATGATCGGAGTAGTTGAGTCCAAGGCATCGCACGAGTCCGATTTCGTCACGAGCGAGTGGGGAGAGGAGCTCTTGCACTGTCAATACGGTGTTGGAGACCTGCGAAGACGGGTCAAGCGCAGAGCCTATTATCTCGCGCGCTTGGATTGTCTTCTTTGCATTGTATGCTAAGCCGACTGCAGATAGTTGCATTCAGCTCTGCTGAGTTCTATTTATGTGAGGAATTTTTGACATACTATCAAGGTTCGGGTCAACTGGCTCGCCAATATGAACCATAGCCGTCTCTGCAGCAACGAATCGAATCAGACGAGTCCATGACTGTCAAAGCAAACGAGGTCAGGACGGTTGAATAAACTGAGGGGGTGAATCAACTTGCTGTTCGGATAGGTGCCATGATGGAGGGTGTGTGCGATAGGGAAGAGTCTGAGGAAGAGCGGGTCCATTGGATGCTCTCATCTCTTAAATACATGTGCCGTCATGAGATCGCACGGCCGGAAGACCGGTTGCCGTTGAGATTTGCGCGCCTCGGCTATCTTTCATGCTTGACCCGCGTCATCCGACAACTCTCAAAGCCAAAAACACATACCGAGGACATATGACGACAACATCACGCGGCGTTATTGCGGCAGGGCTGGTATCATCCTAGGTCCTACCAAGTTGTCTAAACATCTAAATTTACTCTAAACCTTTGGTTAATTCATAGTTTTAAAAATATATGAGTAGAAGGTGTCAACACAGGCACAGCATTTTTTTCAATATTAATTGCGCAAAGACTATTCTCATATCCTAGATCTACATGTGGCATTTTGTTGTAGAGCCATTCAGCCAGTGCAAGTAGAGAAGTACAATTTTCTGACTTCTCTTAGTAGAAATAAGTACAGTATACACAGAGAAATGAAGACAAACAAAAGGAAAGGAAAAGGCTAGAGAGTGAAACTAGGAAGACAATTCAACTATTTTAAATAATGAACCAAATGCTGGGAGGGTAGGAGGATGTACAGAGGAATACTGGATCAGAGAAACAATTTATAACGAATTGTATGTACGTGTTCAACATTTGAGAGTCTATAGAGAGTTTTCAAAATATTGACAATGCCTACCTGTTATTCATTCGTTCATTTAACGAGAAAATCTGTCACAAGGATCGTCACTATACTAGGAGAACAGATGTATGGATAGAACTACCTGATTGTGCTGCTGCAATTGCGTGTCGAGGCGTTGAGAAGTCGAAGTGAAAGACTTCACAACAGAAACAATTCCATTTAAATTTAGGGAAATCAGAGATCATGTGACCGTGTTGATCTAACCTGACACGACACGCTCTGATCGCGCGGGTGGCAGCCTCCCATCTTCAGCTCGTACAAAGATGCAACATTCCATCGAAAATGCATTAGACATAGTATGTTTGCTTGCATGCATCAATAAATAGATCTAATTTTTTGTTGCATAGCTTGTTTCACCTCGTTCGTCTATCGAGGTTCAAAAAGACGCACTCACAACGCTTGAGCGAACAATCGCTATACTTCTATTTGATGAGAAAGGGCGTCATGGACAAGGAAACATTGACGAGTTTCTACAGATACAAGACTCATTCCAGTATAATCGTACGTGACTACTACAATGTCCTCCGCAGACAGCTGACCATCCAGCTCATGATCAGTTGCATCTCGAATACATTGCTGGCTGGCATATCGAACTGAGGCTTTGAGCAAGCTCGGAGATCGAAAGACATGTAGTGGTATGTTATCTTATCTAAGACATCGTATCCTTCGCTTAATAAACTGCAGCGAGCGACAGCCAAGAAGAGTCCTCAGAGATTTCGTCGCTCGTCATCCAAGCATTGTCTCTGTTGCAGGGCGTCGCGCTGATGCATAGACCAAGTAAAGAGTTTTTGTGCAGAACGCACTCTCTAGAGGTGACTCAAGTAGTTTCTGCTTATTCAAGCCTTTCTCTGAGCAACACGAAAGGTTTTTATCGATCTCTTGGCCATTTGTCGGTCTGCAAGTGCTAGGCCGTTTGGCAATTCGACCAATATTTCGCCAACAAAGTCGGGATCAGTTGATCGTGCCTGGGATCCATCGTTGGCATCCGCAGTCTTGGATACGTTGTTATGTGTTCTGGTTGACGCACCCACGGCTCTCCGATGGTTCGAAGACGCAAAAGGGATAGAGCACGTTGTGAAGATACTCAAACGCCCTGCAATTCCGAAGGATGTCAGGTAAGTTGCTACAAAAATCAGTCACGAAGTAGCGGGAACGACAATACTGACGGATATCTAGGATAAAATGCCTTGAATTCTTGTATTTCTATCTCATGGATGAATCGGGATCTACGTTGAATAGTAGCCTTGAGGGCTCTTCGACTTCTGAGAGGCTCGCAAAAGTTGCATATTTTGACCACTCAAGGATTCCAACTGATTCGAGTTCTGGTTCGGGATCTTCAAAATCTTCGTCGGGATCTGCCTTCAGCTCATGGTCTCCTACACCCACACTTGCGGGCACGCCACCCATATCGCCGAAGAAACCTTCACGTGAACTTCCCCAGCCAAATGGACGTTTGGATATGCTTCGTAAAGAAGTTGATTTTGTGCCTCAGAGTCCCAAACGAGCCAAAGTTGCACAACTTAATGGAGGAATGCGTCGTCCGGGAACACCCCGACAGGCATCGCCAGTGAAAAATCTGAATGCGGATAGGAGGACCAAGCATCAACCTAGCCCAGTGGGGCGACTAGCATCAGAGGAAACGTTACTTTCGGAATCGGACGTCGAGTCCACTGTCTGTGGAGACAGGAGGTCGCTTTCCGTTGATGAAGGGACGGCGACGGACTCGCGGATACGAACGATAGAGGAGAAGAAAGCGATATTAGGACAGCTCCTCGGGAACGTTGACGCGCTTGTTGAAGGTGTAAAGAAAGCTGGAATTTGGGGGTTAGGTGAATAATTAATGTCGTTCGCCATCCCCAAGTTGAGGCTTCGAATTAGTGTTCATCACTTTTGATTCCGCGCTGTTTGAGCTTGGTATATTTATCTTGCACGATCTTATTTATTGGCATCTTAGGTTAGACCATCTTACTGTACTTCATAGGTGTATCACAGATTAATGGTAGTGTAGAATCCGATTGCCGCGGTCGTTTAAGCTGTAAGGAGCAGCAGGGAATCCGGTGACCGATGGAGCCGCGGGTCTTGCGGATAGACCGCGGCATCACCTAGGACTTGCGTCTTCGAGGATTGTCAAAGACGGTGTGTAAGTCGGTACGATTTTTGAGCATCTGCCCTCCGCATAGAGCGCATCGAAGAGTTCTTCGTAGTTATATAATGTCATGTATTTGCTCGTCATCGGCCCGTACATATACGCCTTAATCTTTCCGACTCTTTCGTGTTCTTTTGCTGATCGTGTGAAGGCGCGATTCGTATTGTACCTTAGTAACCGCCGAGAGTTGGACGGAGTAGCGAAAGCCGAGACCATCCAATTTATTGCATTAACCTTGGCGGTGTAGAGCTACGGCGTTTAAGAGTTGGTTTCCGACGTTTAGGTCTAAATCTCGGAAAGTACGCATACATATGATATAATACGTATTCTATCTATGAAAAGACCAGCATAAGGATCGAGAAACATAGCGTTGATTCATCGTTCGGCACGAGGCTCGATGGTTTTGCATTCAGGAACATTCCAAGCAGCAAAGAAACGAGTTACGTGAACACGTAGAGCATCAGTCGATTTCCCTAAAACATCATCGCCTTCAACCGGAACGAGCCTCTTTAGGTCACCCTGCTTTACACGACTGAATGGGGAGACATCTGGGTAAGGCAAGGCGAAGATCGTGAACCACTTCTTCCGACTCCTCCGACTCCGCTGTCATTGTAGTTGAAGGACTACGACGAGCAAGTGTTAGTAGACTAGGTAGTGCAATTTCGTGGTGTGTTTTTTTCGAGATTTTCCAGGCTAGCCTTTGATCGGCAAAAATGGCCCTGATTTACAAAATACTCAAAAATTCATTGGTTCGCAAAAGGCCGAGAAAAAAAGCCGTCCTTGAAAACACGGGACTGGGCTCAATCATCTGAATGCCCGAAGCACCGTTGACTGAAGTTGATTATGCACTAAACCATCAAGAAGTCCTGGAATAAAGTCGAAGAAGCCTTCCACCAGGCCGATGACCAAACCCTTATCACACACGCTTACAGACAAGACGACACTAATGAGATAGATGAACGAAATCGCAGGGAAAAAAAATGGTGTGATATTAACGGAGCGAAAATGGGTGGTGGGAGATGTATAACGGGTTTATCCAGTGTGAAGGGTTCGAAAGCAAAGCACGAATATATCTATATGCAATTAAGAGGAGTAGAAGCGCCACGCGAAGTAGGCAGCGAGGGCAGCGAGTGGGAGGAAGTAGCTGACACTAAAAGGGGTGAAGGTTGGGGGAACGGCGTTTGAGCTACTGGGGAACTCAATAGTGGGGACAAGTCTCACCTGGATGCAGCCTGAGCAGCTGGTGCAGCAGTGGAAGTCCTCTCGGTTTTGGTCGGAAGTGCCTAATCAGTTATGACGCCCAATTTATAAGGAATGTTGCTGACGTGGAGCAATACGAAGGACATACCGCTCCCTTCTCAAAGTCGCCAATGTACAGAGTCTGGAGAATCTCGCGCGCCTCATCAGAGTGACCGACGTCCTCGAACGCCTCCGTTGCATCCTTGCCTATGGATAATTTTAGACACGGTTCAGGGGCCCGGCGATTGGGGATGAAGTACACGTACCCGCTTCGGCCAGAATCACCTCGTCACCTCCGGGGTGCTAGATAACGCGACGTCAACGACGATAAGAAGCTGGCAGCCCTAATCAGAGCGGATTTACCTCGTCAATGAATTTTGACACAGAATAGACTGTATGAAACGTCAGCACAGGCCAAAGCATGCGTACGCGGAAAATGAAAAACGTTTTGGGGATACTAACCTTTTCCATGAAGAAGGACGTACAAGTTGTCCTTCTTCGTGTGCTCCTTGAGCTCGTCGAGGGTGATGATCTTTGTTTCAGACATTTTAAGCGAGCGGAACGGTTGGCGCTGTCAGTGAAGAGCGGAGGACGTGGTGAGAGTCCGACTTGAAGAAGGAATCATTCGATAGCAGCCAACCGTGGCATTTAAATTACGGGTACGGGTACTTTTAGCGTATTCTGCTGACTAAGCACAACTTGGATTCGGGTTTCACAAAAGCATGATCGCGTTGAAGAGCGGGAGAGTCTGACATTATTCCTTGAGGACTAATACATGGCTATATACTGCAATAGGGAATAAATTACAAAAATGTAGGCATTCGCGTTAGTACAAGGCGCCCACTAAACACTGGACGTCAAGCGTGGACGATGCTCATGTGATCTTCCACTTCGCCAGTAAAAGAGACGACTGCGAGGATGCCTGTGTCTCTAGGCAAAAGCGAGTGGATTGAGGAGAAGAAAAGAGGATGAATCGAAATATACAGCAACGTGTAGTTTTGATAAGTGAATGTTGGAATACAAAGTTTTTTTTTCGTTGACACGGAAAGTGGTGAAGATGACGAGAGTACAACACTGCGACTGCTTTTGTATAATTTTTCAAACTCCGACACGCGGCTGCGGGCTCGCCACGCGTCTTGCTGTGACACCACGCTCTGACCATCGTCGAGCCTCTCTCCTTCCAACACCCACCGCGCCTTCCGCTCACCCTAACAACATCACCCTGGCGTCTCGCCAGAACAATTGCCAGCATGGACTTCAGTGACGCTGCCGACCTCCTCGGCAACGATGAGATGCCTGTTCGACAACAGCGCTGGTGGAGCTTCCTACGAGTCTCATTTTATTTCATTTTATCCACCTCTGTGATAATTGCCGTTGCTCTCGCGTACGATTACGGTCGATCATGGCTTAGAAATTGGCGAGAATACAATCATAAAAAGTGAGCCCCTGATTGAACGGATTTTTCTTTGCTTTTCTCCGATGACGATCTGACCCGGATCACGCTAGGTCGGTCCGTCGAAAGTATGGCATCCCCGACAGTAACAACGAACCATTCAACGTCGCATATGCCAAGGCAGAGCAGAAGAGAAGAGAAGCGGCTCAGCGTTTGGCTCAGCAACAAGCATCATATCAGGCATCAAATAGAACCTCCGCTGCCTCGAATGTCCCGCCTGAAAGACAAGACGAGGCAAACCCTCCAGTAATGCGACGCCGCGTCGTTCCATCGACTTGTAAGTTGACTCTGTCTTGTCTTACCTCCTCTAAAGTTTAATTCGTTTTTAGCTGACGCAAGTAACGCGGAACGGTCTGAGGGTACTTCAAAGCCACGAACTGGGTAAGTTAGACCCTATTTAGTTGAAGGCGGGGGGTCTGACGGAGATTGCATGCATAGTTTATTCGAATCACGACAGGATGGCCCGTCAAGTTCATTTGTGAATGCACCTGGGTCTTTTCCACACACCGAGCCTTCCGCCGTCCCGAAGACAAACCCGGACGTGGCTGCGAACGACCACGCAGCACCACGATCTCGTCGCAAGCGCTCTTTGGAGAAGGAGAAAGAAGAAGAGGGGGAGTCATTAAAGAAGAAATCTCGCGATGGCGATATTGAGGAGGCTGATTTCGTTGCTCCTAACTCATCTATGGATGTGATCGAAGAAGAAAGTGCAAGCACTTCTCGTCCAAAAGCTTCCCGTGGTGCTAAACGGCAAGCGGGATCTGACGAAGATATTGCAAACCTTGGTTCGATGGGAAAGAAAGCCGGCAAGAGGGCCCGCAGGCGATCGAGAAAAGTACAAGATGTGTTCGACGCCGAAGAGGCAGATGAATTCATGGACCTTGAACATGTTACGAGAGGGAAAAAGAGGGATAGAGCCGAAGCTGGTTCAACCTTTGGTGGTGACGACGATTCTCCTGCTACTAGCCATAAGCGAAAGAACCGGAGACGAAAGCGCAAATCTAATGTCTCTGCGGAATCAGACTCCGCTTCTCGAACGCGTGGAACAAAGCGCACCTTTGAGGTCGAATCAACCTTGGGCAGTGACGATGAAGGTGATAGTATCGGTCGCTCTAGGTCGTCTAGGAAGCGCGGGAAGCGTACAGTTAACGATTCATACGATCTCTCGGATGTATCAATGGACGACTTACTACTAGACCCGTCATGCATGGGTAGAAAAATAGGCGAAGAATGGCATGCCAATGGAGAGACTTACAAGATTGGTCCTGACGGTCGTAGGCTACGACATGTCTTTCTTCGCAAGCGGAAATCGCGGTATAGCATGGTGAGAGCATTCATCACGATTTTGTGACATTGCTAATGTTCCTTTAGCCTGAAGATTCGCAACATCCTGATACTCAGGACCAGTTTGAGGTTTTCGTAGAGAAGTGGTTGAACGACGACGATTACAAGGCGGCTGTTGAGCGTGGCGATGTTTATATCCCAGACAAAGGTACTAAAGAGTCCAAGGTATGGTAAAAAGGATTTTCAGCTGTCTTTGTTACTCACGTACTTGTAGGGTTCTGACACGGTCACAAAAATCGGGAAACAACTACTGTGGTCTACTACTCAGAATGGCACGATGTCACTAAGACCGAGGACGGTTGGAGGCTCAGCTATTGCTGATGCTGGGGTTAATGGGAATCCCTTTGAACGCCCTTTGCAATCAAGTTATTCTAAACGTATACCTATTGGCGTAGACTCTACACTCCGATCCCCGACAGGGTCCCCTGTGATGCGTCAGTCGAAATCCTACTCCAAATGGGAGAAGCAGGATCTCGAAGCGGAAGCAATGGCAAAATTACGAAAGAGGCTCGAAGAGGAGAAAAAAGCAGCGTCTCCTGTACCCGCACCTATTCTCAAGAAGGTGTCCTTCCAGCTGCCCACTTCAACAGCAGAATCGTCTGGTTCAGCTCCGTCAATAACCAGCAGTTCTTCCGCCCCGGCTTCGATGCATGTTCCTTCGACACCTAACAAAACTGCAGAAAAAGCTGCAAAGCCCACGACAAGTAATCTGTTCACTCCTCCGCAAGCCAACGGTGATGCCAACAAGGTACCTCCTTTATCGATGATGGCGACGTCGTCAAGCGCACCAAGTCAGATCAAACCACCTACGATTACGCTTACCCCACCATCAAAGGAAACAACACAAAGCGCAGCAACGAAGCCGGCATTCGGCTTTCCCCCCGTCAGCGCCCAAACTACTGGAGTGCCACCAGACAAAAAGGAAACACCAGCGTCTGAATCGAAGTCCAATGAGCAAGCTTCTGCACCATCTGCCGCCCCTTCAATGCCAAATTTGTTTGGGCAAAAGGTACAGGGAACACCCAATGGGGCCGCATCCAGCCAGCCAGCTGCCAATTTGTTCGCAAAGCCTGCTGCTCCCTCGAATGTTTCGGCGAGTGATGGAACTTCTGGAGCTGCCCCAGTGTTCTCCTTCGGCATTAAGGGTGCCGCACAAGGCGAGAAGAAGACGGAGGCTCCATCACCGTTTTCTTTTGGAAAGCCAGCGGAAAAACCTGCTCCATCGGCATCTGGCGCTTCAAAGGAAACTGCAATTCCCAATGGTGGTAGTCCTTTTGGTTTCGGAGTGAGTACGGGGAACACGGGTCAGCCCGCGGCTACCACTGCAACCGCCCAAGGTCAAACGGCTTCTCCTTTCTCGTTGAATACTGCCGCGAATAAGCCGTCTGAGCCTTCTAACAAACCTGCAACTGCGCAGCCGCTTGCGGGTGTTAATGCTGCTACGGCACCGAAATTCAATTTCGGTTTCAGCTCAAAGCCCGCTGCTTCGGCCTCGCCAGCTCAGGTCCAGGCGTCGACGTCTGTTCCCAAGTCTGCAACATCGGTATCACCATTCTCCTTTGCCTCGAGTGTTGCTGCACAAAATGCAGCACCTGCTACTAATGCCCAATCCGCGTCAACACCTGCCTCAAGTTCGACCACTGCAGCTCCGAAATTCTCGTTTGGTACTCCCACGGGACAAACTTCATCAATGACGGCGACACCGAGCGCTGCTAGCGCCGGATCGGGAAGCAGCTCGGGTACAATGACGAATGCGCCTACTTCGAGCGGCGTGCCAGCATCGACAGGCTTCTCTTTCAACTTCGGAGGATCAAAGCCCGCAGGTTCGACCTCTACTTCTTCGCCATTTGGAGGTCAACCTGCTGCTTCTTCGCCATTTAGTACTCAATCTACCACGTCATCACCGTTCGCGGCTCAGCCAGCTAGCTCATCGTCGTTTGGGACACAACCAGCTGGTTCATCACCATTTGGTACCGCTGCAAAACCCGCCACTGCATCGCCATTTGGCACCACAGGGACAGCTTTCGGTGGTGCGGCTGGTACTTCGTCGACTTCGTCTCCGTTTGGTACCGCAGCGAAACCTCCAGGTGAAGCACCAAAGCCGTTGTTCGGCGCGGGTCAAAGCACAACATCTGGTATGACGACTTACTCTGCGCCGACGACAACAGAGAAGCAGGAGAACAAGCCTGCGTTCTCGTTCAACTTCGGTGGAGGTGCACCCGCTGCGTTCGGAGGTACTTCAGCTTCAGCGCCGAACGGGGCGAGCTCAGGCGGCGTTTTTGGAAGTACAGGGGCAAGTGGTACCTCCGCTCCTGCTGCTCCGACATTTTCGTTCGGTACTGGTGCAAAGCCTGCGAGTTCACCATTCGGTGCATCGGCTAGTAACATGAACACGAACATGGATACGAGTAACAACAATACCAGCACACCGAATACGACGAATGCGAACGTTTTTGGCTCTTCTTCAACTGGATCGTCTGTGTTTGGCGCTCAGAAGTGAACATGTTGCTGTCCATCCATCAATCGTACATAATGATTCTCTCCGCCTCTTCGCATATAAAACAACTCTTTGGGTTAAAGCATGTACCACTCTCCTCTCTTCCTCGATCTCCATACCATTTCCCATCTGCATCTATCTGTATTCTTTGTACACTACATTTAGTCGTTAGTAGTCAGTCCTCTTCATCCGCGCATCTCAAGCACAAAATCGCATATTTTTTCTCTTTTTCATTCATCAAAGACAGCATCTTTCTTTCTTTCTTTCTTTCTTTCTTGTGTCGTTTACTGATTACTCTTACTCTTATTTTTTCGCTTTGCTAGTTAGTTGGATTTTCACGGATTTTTCTTCTCTCTTGTTTCTTTTTATCTGCATTTATATACAGATTCAGTGCACTGATCGCACTTCATAAAAAACACTGTGTGTGATGAGACAGACACGTCTGATGCAAACCGAATAAGCAGTTCAGGTAAGGAAGTGCAACTATTGCCAGCTTGTAAACTCGTAAACTTGTCCAACCTCCGCACAGCACAAGACATCCAAGACTAAACATTTATATTATATTACCTTAATTAACAAAAACTATGTAACTATCCGGTGTCCGTGTAAATATGAAATGCCAATCCAATCTATGTATCATGCAATCATACCAAGGAAAAAATGCACATATTATACAATATTAACCCGCAGATTATACTGTCGAGTTGCTTGCAATCCAAGAAAAGTAAAGAGAATCAAGAACGAGAGAAGGAAAATAACGTAACACCTACTCAACCAAACAGCGTTTACCACTTCTTCGAGTCTTCAATTCTTCCCGCTTTGAGAAGACTTATTATTATTATTCAAAACGACCTTCGGACCCTTCCGCGCCAGGGTGAACACAAACACGACGATCACAGCTGCGAAGTACATCCAGAGCCAGAGCTCGAAAACGAGTCGATGGAGCTTTCCTAGAGGGTTCTGCTGCTGTTCTTCTGGTTCTTTTTGTTCGGACTGCGAGTCTGTATCATGTCCTTGTGCAACAGGAGTGGTGGGTGAAGACGTTAGGGAGTCCGGGACCAATGTTTGTTGATGACCACTCCCATTCTGAATCTCTCGACGAAGCGAAAAGGACGGAGCCGTCACCGCCGCCATTGACGTTGTCGCACCAAATACCGTGCTACTCTTCGCCCGTCTCAAGCTCGGATACTTAACCCGTTCATCCAAAGTCAACTGCTCTCTCGACTCTCTCCTCCGCTGTAACCTTGAGCTACTCCTCGGACTCGGGAAAATCGGGACTGGTGGCTGCAAAGACGATGATGGAGAAGATGGGACGCTCGGAAGGGATGAAGTCGTCTCGGTGCTGTTTAGTAACTCCATGATACTCTTTGATCGTACATGCCCGAGTCCAGGAGCTGGGTGCAAGCCATCTAGTTGTAGACCCAACTCACTGCCGAGAGATTGTACATGGCTTCCTTCTGCATCCGAGTCAACTTGCGTGCCATCGCTGCTTGAAAAGTCGTGAGGGAAGACTAGTCGTGGCTCCGACAGATGATCACTGGAAGAAATATCATGGACAAGAGAAGTAGGAGGCGTTGACGTCAACGTAGGTGCGTCCAGCAACGTGCTCTCGTCAAACAGTCCAAGAACCGTCTTGCGTGCCTTAAGATGCCTGTCAGCGAGGCATGGACCAGCGTCTACAGACGCAAAATCCTCAGAAGACGGGAAGCTATCCATCGACCTAAACTTCCGCAGCCAGACACTGTGTCGCGCAGAACCCGAACCGAAGTCCATCGAACTCTTTCGGCCCACCGACCTCAGACGTACAGAGATCTTCGGCGAAGTCTGGAGCTCACTCGGCTCGTTATCGTGTGCCTCACCAGACACATCTTCCTCCTCTTCTACTTCATTGTTGACAACCTCAAGTTCAACATCGATATCTCCGTCAACCTCATCGCTAATAAACTCGCACAAGCGACGCACGCTCTCGCTTTCAGTCTGCGCTTCCTTTAACCGCAAGCTAGCTTTTAGATGATTCGCAGCAAGCTGCGTATTCGTCTCCTCAAGTTCCCGAATCTTAAGCAGTAGTTGGGAAACAAGCGCCTGCTCACGAGAAGTCGTGCCGATTGTCGAAGTGGCAGACGGAGGAATGGAGGCCGTCGAAGGTGATTCGATGGGCATCACCTTTGAAATCGCATCGTCATCCTTCGCGGTTGGAATCTTGTCAAGAGACGTATGTATGGAGAGAGATGGAGTCGACTTGTTTCGCGTGATAAAATTGGACGTGAACGGCAGTCCAGGCGTAAGATTGTCAGGCGCGAAGTTCTTCGGCTGTTCGGCCTTCTCGCTCTGCTCCCAAGGACGCGTCTTCGCTTTGAGTTCGCGTACTTTCGCTTCACGGCTGAGTCGCTTATACAACTTGACAACCTGGTCATTAAGTCCTGAAGGTACCTGCGGCGCGTTCTGTATGGTCTCTTCGAGACGTTCACTCTCTGCACGAGCGCTTTCTAGTTCGCGTTGCAGGCAGTCGATCTCTGCTTCGAGATTACGAAGGCGACGCTTGCCTGTCTGTTCTGCGCGAGAAGCTTCAGCTTCCAGGTCAGCAAGTTTTGCAAGAAGTTCAGCGTTTTGGTCTGCCAGAACAGCAAGCTCAGCGGGAGTGGTAGAAACGCGCCGCGCGTGTCCTGGTCTGCGACGCACGGAGCCGGGGTTTGGAGATAGTAGCGGCGAGCTAATGGAGGGAGTTCGGCTGTGGGAGGGAGAAATGAGAGGTCGGGAGTAAAAAGACGGCGATAATAGAGGCGAGCTAGGTTGTGAAGACGGGAGACGTGCAATGAGTGTATCATTTCGTTTTTTAAGAACTGCATTGTTTTCTGCAAGTGTTTTGCATGTTTCCGAGGTCAAGTCCAACTCTATTCCAGTAATTTATTCAATTAATGAGTAATGCCACCCGAAACAAGTGAGAGAACAGCATTACCTCGTTCTCTCTCTTTAATCGCATTACTCGCACGTCGAAGGAGCTCCTCAAGCTCTTCTTTCGACTTTTCCTGGACTTCATCTTCATGAAGATCAGTGAGTTGGATGAGCTGGGAAGTGGCAGCGATAGGCGAGCCGAGGAGAGTTGGCATCGGTGGCAGAACGTTGGCAGCGAAGGGAGCATAGGGAGGTGGAGAGCGCCAGTCGCGCGTTTGCGAGGACGAGCGACGCATCTTTGCTGGTGGACGTGGTCGAGGAGTTAACTGGGTGTTTGAGGCGAGCATTGGACGCGACAGGAGGAGATGTGGAGCGCGATTGAAGATGGGACGGGCTTGTTTATGAAATGCGAAATTGCCGTGTGGAGGCTGGTTGGCGAGGCGAGGAACACGGATGATCGACGCGGAAAAACACGCGACATCCGAACGTACGCGTGCAGACCTGTCTGCCACACTCAATCGCAGTTCGTCCCAGTGTACATGCGTTGTAATTCCACATTGACCACATTGATCGCGACGAACGCGCGGGGGAGCTCTGGACAGTGTCGGCGTCCACGGCGAACAGGGGAAACACGCACTGCAAGTCAGGAAAGAAGATGATGCTTATGCTCCGCGAAGCAGACGTCATGCCCTACGTTCTATTTCAGTTCACTCAGATCAGCCATCTCTCCAGGACCTATCTTCCCTTGCTGGTTAGCCATTCACCATGAAGGTATGTGTTAAGCACTCTCCATGTCTACCTAAGCTAACATTCCTGACAGGAGCCGACACGCGAACAGCAAGAAGAACAACAACGCGCCGTCATCACTGGTGGCGTCAAAGGCTTCCTAGGTGGTCTCAGCGTCGCCCTCCCCCTCTCCTACATCCTCCACCGTCGCTGGCCCTATTACCGTAGCCTCCAACCGTCCCTAAAAGCATTCGGCGTCATCCTCGTCGCCGTTCCTTCCTTCGTCATCTCTGCCGAACGTGCTGGTCTTGCATATGAAAGACGGCGCTGGGATGATGTCGGTGCGCATGAGATTGATGTTATCAAAGCGAGGGAACACGCGAGATGGCAAGCTATGAGTGCGAAGGATCGGTTCTCGGACTTTGCGAGACGTCATCCGTTTAGTCTTATCACTGGAACCTGGGCGACGAGTATGGTTGGGATATATGCGTGGGTGTCGAGAGATCCGTCAGTATTCTTATTCCCTCATTGGAAGATCTTGAATACCGTTGACATTCCAATGTAGGCTTGCAACGCCTTTAATGAAGGTAATAACACTTCCAATTTGTTGTATGCATTATGCTAACAGTTCATATTGTAGATAACTCAAACACGTGTCTGGGTCAGTCCAACCTGACTATATGCCTCCTCTTCCATTGCCCACATTCTAATCTAATCGTTCATTGAAAGGCACAAGGCATCACGCTAGGTATCATAATAACCGCAGCCGTACTCACACACGGACGTTCAGAAGTCCATCACGTCGACCACTCATGGCGAGAGATCCTCGACCGTGAAGCAGAGGAAGCAAAGGCAAAGACATCAAAAAAAGTTTAATCCGGGCGGTGGGACACACATTTCAGCATTCAGGTTCAGAAGTGTAGAGTGTTTATGTACATGTACGTATAGTCTACAGTACAGGGAATGGAAATACGGAGGCTAAGAGTCGGGACTAGACGACCTAGACTCGGCATGAAAGAACATCCCTATTGTGAAATGAAGTGCTCTGAATGTCACCATTAGATGTTACAATCACAATGTCTAGTTCATTCCGACATTGCACTTATAACACCTTGGTACAATCCTCTGAGCGTGACATTGCTCGGCTTGAACAAAGTTGGTAAGGGTGCTTATAAAGTACAGTAGATATTCGGAGATTGAGAGTCAAGGCTAAACGACCTGGAACTGGCATACTGTAAAGGAGTGCCACTATTATAAAATGAAGAGCTCTGAATGTCACTGTTAGATGATTACAAAACCCAGTTCATCCCAGACTTCGTAATAGCGACAACCTGGTGAGATTCAAAGCACGACATTGTTAAGCTTGGACAAAATGAGAGAAACATATGTAAGGATGAAATAGTTTCCAAACTATCAAATTGTTCAAGAAGAGACAGTATAATGAAAGTTGCTCCAGCAAGAATTTAGTTATTCTCAGATCAAGAAGAGACACTTTGACCCACTGGAGATTAACAACAGTGTTTTAATTCACGCAAACACTCCCGGAATGAGGGAACTCTCAAGCAAATTGAAACACCATCAAGAAGTGGACCATGGACAAATGGAAGTGATAGGATCAGCTCGACTCGAAGCGGAAGATATCGAGACGACTTGAAACCGACCGTCCACGGTCTTATGTAGGTCTAGGAGGCCCTTGTTGAAATCATTGGGGTACGGAACAAAAAGGCTTTACGCTACGATTGGAGGCACAACACATGTCTGCACGTGACTTATTTTCAGACTGACCAATCAATCCGGTTGGTGCCGCGGCCTGCTTTGCGAAATTCGAATTCCTCAATTTGCACACGCACTTACCCGACTTGCTCCGGAACCCATGGCCTATATTATTCCCGCCTCGTCTCGCCGACGTCCAGCACATACCCCGCCTACCGCCCTCACCGTCCAATCATGAAGGTCAGTGGGCATCATAATACTACTTTACTACTTTAAAGTCCTTTGTTTTGACCTTCGTTTGATTTATGCTTGTAGCTCGTCACGAAAGAAGACCTTGAGAACCATGGCAAGGCTACAATCCAAGGCATGGTCGAAGGTTTCCTCGGCGGTCTAGCAGCCAGCACAGCAGGTTTCTACTACCTGAACAGACGAATGCCATACTACCGTTCTCTCCCAGTAACGATCAAAACTCTCGGCTTCGTACTCGTCATCGCACCCGCCGTCGCTGCCCAAGCCGAGCGACGCGGCTTGCAATATGATATGGAGAACCATTGGGATAGTGCAGGGAAAGTAGAGATGGAGAGAGAGGAAGCGGAAGAGGAGAAGAGGTGGAATGCGTTGACGCCGGGACAGAAGATGGGCGATTGGGCGTTGAGGCATAGGTGGCATTTGTTCGTTGCTGGATGGGCGGCGAGTATGGGTGCCTCGTGGATGATCTTGAGAAGAAATAAGACGCAGACCTTTGCGCAGAAGATTGTCCAGGCTCGTGTATATGTACGTTCACTGCCTTATCCCCATGGTCCATTATTCGTTGACTGATAATTGGATTGGATCGCTAGGCACAAGGCATTGCACTCACGGGTCTGTTAGCTGGTGCTGCATTATCGCAGATGCAACCCGAGGAAGTAAAGAAGGAGAGTAGAGCCGACCATTCTTGGGCACGCTTGGTACATATCTTTCACTCATAATTATTCACTGCCGCTAACGCTTCTTGACATTGCAGCTCGAACAGCAAGAACGAGAAGCCGAAGCAATAAAACAAACAGCACACGCTTAGATACCTAGATGCCCTACCCTACCCTTACTTCGCATCCTCACGCTTTATATATTCTACACCTATTACGCACTCTACACATACATCTCCTAGATGACCGGACTCGGGACTCTTTCTTGGATAGAAGGGTTTTATAGAGTTTAGACGGCCGTCCCATCTCCATTGCCATTGGATGTACTTTACGCTAGGAAAATGTACCATAATTACTGCATCCCGTCCACACGCCTATATATCTGCATGCTTTGTCATTTATCGCTCTACAAGTTTCAATAATTTTGAGCGTGAGGGAAAGATCAGACACGCCGATCAGACGTCGATCACTCGAGCCTCTGTTCAAAACTTTTGAAGAAGTTGTTCTGGCGCATATTCTGTCAACCTTAGCACACTATGGCTGCTGCTGCTACCTCCTCTCCTTCTTCGTCTTTGGCCGCATCCTCCTCATCCTCTGTATCTTCAAGCTCAGACTCTGAACCAGAAACAAAGAATAAACTTAAGAGGAAATATGCCGGGTCGGATTCAGACTCGGACTCAGAGGTGGATTCAGATGATGTTGAAGGGCACGAAGATGAAAGTGCAGACTCAGACTCGGGTTTGGATTCGGATGCCGACACTTCAAAGACGAATAAACAGAAGTTAAAGAACCTTGCAAATGAAGCTAATAGGAAACGACAGCCGGACGAAGATGCAGACATGGACGTAGACGAACAGGAAGGGGAAGGTCAAATCCTCTCACATAAAGAACAACGTCGACTCCGAAAGAAACAAAAACAACTCGCTGAACAAAACGAAAATGACGCGCCTTCCAAAACAACAAAGAAAGCAAAACAAGAGAAAGAGAAGGGAAAGGATGGCCCGAGGCGGCAAAACTCCATCTGGGTAGGCAACCTCGCCTTCCGCACCACACCCGATGCATTGCGCACGTTTTTCGCTGATGCGGGCGAGGTGACGCGCGTGAATATGCCTATGAAGGCTGGGAGTGGCGGGAAGGAGAAGGTTAACAGGGGGTATGTTCGCTTCGTTTTCTTATTAGTGTTAATACGATTTACTGACTTGATTTTTGCTTTTATTTCGAAGGTTCGCGTATGTGGATTTCTCGACTCCCGAGGCGAAGATTATTGCTATTACACTTTCGGAGAAGAACCTCGATGGACGAAGGTTGTTAATTAAAGATGGTGAGTTCTTAACTACATATCCTCACTTTCATAATAGTAGACTGTCTAACAATCAAAATAATTCACTACCTTTCCTACAGGCGATGACTTTGCCGGCCGACCCACTTCAACTTCAAGTCCCATAGATCCCTCCAACACAAACAACAATCCAGCATCCTCAACGAATCCCAATCAAAACAGTGACCCAACAGCGACAGGCCACTCAAAAACAGTCCAAAAGATCCTCAGCGCACAAAAACAACCACCCTGTCCATGTCTCTTCCTCGGGAACCTAGGGTTTGAAGCGACGCCTGAAGGGATACGCGAGATGTTTGAGGGACATGCGAGGACGCTTGCTGAGTTGCAGAGGGCTAAGGAGAAGAAGGCTAAGGAGAAGGCAAAGGGGAGGAGGGGGAAAGGAGGAGGGAAGGATGATGATCTTCTGGGCGTTGAGAATGATAATGAGAATGACGGGAGTGATGAGGAAGACGGTGAAGGAGGGGAGAACGTTGAAGTCGATGTAGGGATTAAGAAAGTTCGGATGGGGACATTTGAGGATAGTGGAATGTGTAAAGGGTTCGTCCATCTCTCCTCATCTCACGCCCAATACCACATCACACTGACTTTCCTCTGTCCCCTTGAAATACAAATAACGTCGAAAAAAATCCAGATTCGCTTTCGTAGACTTCACCTCAACCCAACACGCCACCTCCGCACTCACCAACCCGCGTAACCACTTCCTCGACGGACGTGCGCTCGTGGTGGAGTACGCTTCGCCCGATGCAGCGAGGAGGGGCGGGTATCGCGAAAAGTCGAATCCGAATTCTGTGTTTGGGAAGAAGAAAGCACCAAAGAGGGGTGGAGAGAACAAATACGGGGTGAAGAAAAAGGAGAAGCGGAAGAGGGAGGCTGCTGAGAACGAAGACGAGAATGTGGACGAAGACAGAGAAGGAGTGAGGGACGAAACTGCTCGCATCGAGGACCCGCCAGTACCAAAAGCAAAACACCAACGAACCACGACCGACAATAAAGAAGACAGAAAGTGGAATTCGAAAATGAAATCAAAACCAACTAAACGACCTAAACCCGGTGCGGCACTTGCACTTGCCCAACGCGAGAAATACGCGATCGTTCCGAGTGAGGGGACTCGATTGAAGTTTAGTTAACCTCCTTTATGTTTCGTTCCTTTCGTTTCCCTTTGTCGCAGTGTTTTCTCGTACTTTTTAAATTTGTCTTCGTTGAAGTACCGTTTTGTGCATACAAGAATAACAATTTCTCAGTAGTTACTCAAGCTCACAAGTATTTTACACAAAATAAAAGGCGATATTCAACGAGTAAGAGGTATACGAGCGGTGCATTGATACTGGATAATAAACTTCAAACAAACGCGACAAGGCAAATCAGAACAAAACAAGAAAAGACATAGCATCAATGCCAACACAACCAAAAGCAGATTAACTATACATGCCACAACCCTAACCAGTCCCAACACCTGCACTTCCCCCTGCCATTTATCCTTTTTTTCACTCCCCCTCCCCCTCGCCGACACCATCCTCCTCTTCCTCAGTCATAGCAACTTCATACTCCCCACATACATCCCACACTGATCCAGGCGCAGCAGCAGACACGTACTTCACGAACCGCATGACGCCTTCGTCTCGTAATGCCAGCATGAGGCGGTTGAACCCAGGTTGTACTGTTAAGAGTGTACCATCGTCTTCGTCTTCCTCGTCTTCTTCGTCGAACTCGCCTTCTCCTTCGTCGTCATCGTCTTCATCGCCTCCGGCCTTCTCGCGTGCGTGGTTAGTCGGACGGGTGGAAGGGTTGGACGTGTTGTTGCCTGTGGAGGTAGACGAGGTAGACTGGTTATGGTGTACGATCCCGTGTACTGGTAGGGAACGTGAATTTTGGTGTTTGGCTATCCTAGAAGCTGTCGTAGTCGACGTTGAAGACGGTTTGGTACCGTTCTGCGCGTGCGTATTGTCCGAGTCGTCCTGTTTCTTCTTTGATGAGCCGGAGCGGTATACGGCTGGGTCTTCTTCTCCTTCGTGCGGAGCCATATAGCACTGTAACAAAATAGAGTGATTTAACGTCTGTTATATGAGGTGAGAAAGTAATGAAACAATTAACCTCCCAACCACCCCACTCCCCTTTCTCCCACCCAACAGGTTCCTCATCTTCCTCCTCGGGTTCATTCGCACTCCCCCTCGCCCTCTTCTTCCCCTTCATACTCTCCCTCGCCGCCTTCTCTTCCCTCTTCTTTGCTTCCTCAGAAGACTCAGGCGTAAGCCCAAGCACAACATCAAGAATACTCTGCTCATCATCACTCGTCGCAAGCGTATAATCCAATCCCGGCCTAAACCTTCTCGCCTGAGCGGTATATTTCGTCGGAAGCAGCTGCGCGATGAGTGCAAGCCAGGTACGAAAAGCAGGGTGTGGGAAGAGTGAGGTTTCGAGGATTGAGAGGAGTTGCTCGAGAGTTGTGGTGGGTGAGGAGAGTGCTGCGATGGCTTCTTCATCTTTCATTCGAGTTTGCCTTGAAGAGAGTGACAGTGAGCAGTAACGGGATTTGTGCGGTGGACCTTGGAGCGTCCAAGGACCGTTTTCGGTTATACCGGTTGTGTGGCGAGGAACACGTCCCTGTCGAGTATCGCCATCAAGTCCGTCATCTTTGTCTCGTGCACGTAAACCTGCTTCGAGCTTCGCAGCGAGGGGTGCACAGAGGAATTTGTGTAGCTCGATACTCGAGTCGTCGATGAACCGCTTCGACAGTGCAGATATGACCTTTGGCTGCAAGTACACCGGATCGAGAAACACGGAAAGGTAAGAAAGTTGTTCAGGCTTGAGAGTTGCAAATGGGTTTGAGCTCAGCACGTCGTCAATGTCGGGATACGGAGTATAGACCGTCGAAGTTGATGTCTGCGAAATGTGGATAGTAAGCTGTTCCAACTGAACCAGGTTGAAAGAGGTGTACGTACAAGTTGGGCCAAAGAACTATTGGTGGTATCCATCGGTTCACCTTCATAACCTTCTTCACCCTCTTGAGCACGATGGAACCATCCACTAATGCTCAGTCGCTGTCGTTGACAATCTCCTTCATCCACGATTACCTCCTGAACAGAGTGGAAACTATGTCCTGGCTGGACCTCGAAAAATATAAATTGGTTCCAGCTTGGTGTGATTGACTTGGACGGTATGCATTCCGGTTCCGGAACACCATCTGGACCAGGTTTCACGGGGTATAATTCGAGAGAACCGCCATATTCGGTTTTCCAGCTTTCGGGTTCTGGCATTGGCATGTAGAGAATATATGATACAGATCGAGTGCCTTTGGCGTTTTGTTAGGAATTACAGTACAGAACCAGAACAAAGTTTCACATACCAATAACATCATCGTGATTAAGTAAATGGCAACCTTTCTTGTACGAATTGACGGACATGTCCTGCTTCTTGCCTGATAGGGGTCCGCAGCCAGTCACCTTGCGAAGAAAGTCGCGGAAAGTTTGGGAATAGAGGGCATCGCGTAACTTGAGTAAATTCGGCAATAAAGCGACTTCTTGTTCCGCGAGGTACGACAACGAGGCTAAGTCGCCCGTTTGGTGAACCTACGTATAAGTCCAAAATTAGAACCAAAAAAAGTGAAAGTGGGGCATGAGCGCCTTGCCTTGTAGATGTCGGTCTCCTTCTCGGTGAAGCTCAGTTCGCCGACACACTCGTCTTTTACTTTGGATAGCAGGTCGTTTTGGAACAACTTGTCGATCACGGCGTGCAAAAAAGGCTCGGATGAGCGGTAGCTCGCCTTGAGGCGATCCACATTGGACACATCAAGTACGCCATCTGCAAAGTAGTCTTTTGGATGGTGTAAATGACCATTAGAAGCGTCTGGGACGGTGTTGGGCGGGGAATCGTCCGGAAGATCAGACTCGGGTTTAATATTATTATTGTTATTATGTTCGTCGGCATGGACCGTCTTTAGCTTTTTAGCAGACGGAGGCTCCGTGGTGGAGAGTGCGCGGGGACGGGTGCTCGTCGGCATTGTCAGCATGGAAGTTCCGGGACAAGATTGGTGAGGGAGCAGTGGATGATGATGTTGAGCGCAGAGAACGCTATACAGCAATACATTTTGGCACACTGATTTGGCCAAGTTGGAATAAGCTACCCGATCGACGCGCCGTATCCTCCCGTCCCATAACCTGCTCCTCCGAATGTTTCCCCCGTATCTTTACCGCGGCGTTGATGCCGTCATCTTCTCTCGGTTCCTACTGGCTGGCCACTCGCAGCTCTTCTTCCACGAACGTTTCTCCGCTTCTGGTATTCGCCTTGATCATGCACTCCAGCTCATCACTGAGCAAACAAGGGTGAACATGCGAGGCTATCTCGATTTGGTTCGTTTTAGGAGATTAGGCGTTTACTGCATTTAGCCAATCGCATGAATTCGGCAACGTTTCTTTCCGCCAATCGAGTGACGCGTCGGAACGCACGTGACGGCAACGAATTCCGAAATCCCCGCACAAGTAAGAATTACGGTGTGCTTTGTGGGTCTGGAAACACCAATACTGGAAAATTTACTTTCAAGAAGCAACGCACGCATTCCGTCGCAAAAGGGCGTTGTTAATGGCAACGTTCGATGTTCACGCAGGTTTTTTTCCCAGTCCCGAAGTTATCCAGGAGGTAAATATTCATCGTATGTATGGGATTGCCTTCTCAGGCTCAGGAGTCACATTAATTTAGTCCCACATCCAAAAACAGATTTTACATTCGTGCAGGATGCTTATGTGTAAAGAGAAGACGGACGCTATTCGGAGAATCAAGCTTTACTATCGGCGAAAGTCGGTGACGGTAACTACAACGATTGGAGGGCAGTTGAGGTGAATCATCATCAGTTAGACTACCCGTAGTCTGCCTTCGGCACATAGGCCTCGCCATCCCAGATCCGAAACTGGGCTAAATAATTATGGACGGATCAGATAAGATAAGGATTCGGGATGATATTATTGATATTGCACAAACAATAGGTATATTCAACAAGGCGCTTGGCAAGTCTTCCTCGTCTTCATTGTTTAATTTCATAATCCATTATCTCCTCTCACTTGATATCTTTTATAATGAAAGGGATCGTAAAATTGTGTTCATCAACTATGTCCTGTGAGGTATCAAGGGTATCCTAGCTTCCTCAATCACCAACTGATTTGCTTTGATGATTTAGTTGTGAAAATTTTCTTCCCATCGTATTAATTCTAATTTCAGCTATTCACCATCATTCACTCGTATTCTCCTTATGTTTTAGTCTTGCAATCACTTTGATCAAGTGCACTCTAATCTACAAGGCCACGTATCAAAAGTATTCACTTTGCATGTTCTTGCAGCTCGATCCGTGCAATGAGTAGTAAGAAATTTATGCACGCAACCTTTTCTATATACATATGTACGAGCAACGAAGTCGGAAAATGAGAAGACGACGACTACTCTGCTATCAAAAGTTCGCCAACTTGCTTGCAGCCTCACGAGCATCCAGTCTAGAGCGCTGGGGCCTACCAGGAAGATGCATAGATTGCGACATGTACTTCGGCGTTCCCAGTCCTAGTGGGTCAACTTCTTCACGCTTAGTCGGAGTATGTGGCTGAGCTGAGCCATTTGTGAGCGGTGAAGAGCCGAGTGGAGGTGCGAAGGAACTGGACGTAATCGTACGGCGTACAGTAGCTGTTGGTCCCAGTGGTCCAAGAGGGTCCGACTCATGGTAGATAGCTGCGCCAAGCGCTGTCGCTTGAGTAGTTGACTTCGGCGTAGTTGGCACTGGAGATTGCGGTGCAGTAACAGGCGCACTAGCACTGGCGCCTGATTGCAGTGGCCCCGCTTTTGGAAGAGCAGGAGAAGTAATAGCGGAAGCTGATGAAGGCGTAATGAACATCGACTTCGTGCCATCCACAAAACGGCCGCCAAGGGGTGGCGCTCCAGCTGTACTCGGGGTATGTATCGAGCTTGGAGTCGTAGATCTCGAGAACTGTGGCGTAGTTGGCGTCGAGGGGCCTGCACCAGGTGATTGCGCCGGTAGAGCCGCCGCTGAGATAGGAGTCTTGCTCGGCGGGACAGGACCCATGTGAGGAGGCCGAAAGGAGGCTGCAGATCCTAGTGGTGGGCCATGCTGCTGCTGCAAAGGCGGTGGTGCAGGTCGGACAGGAGGAATGGTAGGTTTGATTTCCTCATCGAGCTTCGGGATGACAACAGGCCGTGAAGGTACAGCGTTCGTAGGAATGAATTTGCTATCAGCTGCTTTGAAGTCAGGGCGGAGAGACTCAAGCTCTCGTAGGCGCTGCCGCTCATAGGAGATCATCGATCGAGCATGCTCGATTAATGCTGTCGTTACGTCCTCGTTGACAAGCTTTTTGTGCCTCGAGAGTGCGAGGTGGAGGTTATGCGAAATACCATCAACTCTTTGGGCGAGAATTTGCTCGTATTTATTGGCCTGAGAACGAGATAAGCAACGTATACACCTGAGCATCAGTTGATTGACAAACCTCTTCCAAGTCTTCTAGAGCTTCATCCACCTTGGCCGGGTTGATGCTCGAACTAGCCTTCAATCTTTCGATATTCCGGCGTTTTGAAATGCTGGACTTGACAGCGGTCTGGTACTCTTCAAGCACTGATGTACGTTGCTGAAGGGTCTCCCTCGCAGACTTTGCATTCAGTCCTTGATAACCAAACGAATCGCCGACGATCACACATTCACTGATAGCTGCCGCCTGATCCAAGTCGGAAACGCTGTGCCACGTGCGCCCCAGTTTCCTTAGCGCGTTGGCGAGTGGCGGATGTGCTTCCGCTGTGGCGACGCTAACCAACTTGTTTCCCATCTCGGCTTGCGAGACAGACAAAGCTGACGGGATCAAAACCACATGAGATGTCGTACTTTGCTCAGCTGATTTATGGGCAGTGCTTACTTTTCCGAGCACGAGCTAGTTTATCAATAGCTTTGGCAGCATCAAAAAACTGGCCCTCCAATTTAGTCAATTCAAAGCGTGCACGCTGCAATGTCTCGTCTTCATCAGGAACTCCACGCTTGATGAGGCTAAACCCAGAGCCAGCCTTTTTACGAGGATTGCGAGGCATCGGCTGATATCCAAAGTCGCTCTCAATAAAGGACCGGAGCTCCTCATCACGCATGAGGAATGGATCCTCGCAGACCCGGGTTAGCCAGCGTTGGAGCATAATACGGACTAGGCGATCATCCTCTTCATCGGTCGGGGCCGATGTTTGAGCTAAAGGAAGTGCGGGAACAATCGTTTGCGGATTATTGTGTACGATAGCGTCGTAAAGCTGCTGGAACTCTGCATACGACCGCGAAATGTTGCGGTACGTAGAGCCGGTAAAATTAGGCAAGTTCGTCTACGTACAAAAATTAGAACAGGGGCTATAAGGCGAGTAATAAGTTAACTCGCCTGGGCATCAAACCTGATCAGAATATCCCGCCTGTTCCTGTCTAACATTGTAATTCTTGTCCGAAGATATGGCTCCGTTTTCTCGTATTTCTTTCCATTTGCGCCTGTGTTTTCAGTCGGAGAAATAAGTCCTGCTTCTGGCTGCCCATAAATCTGAGGCTCTCTGCCGAAGGGTGTTGTCGATCTGGTGGGCGAGGACGCCGCTTTGTCCGGTGTCTGCGGCTGCGAATTCGGCGACCGCTTGAGATTTGGAATCGGTGAGTTTGGGTGAGGCGACGACGGCCAAGGTGGAGCAGTGATGGTGTTGTCGTCGGCGAAAGGTGAGCTGGCAAGAGGATCAAACATTGTCACGAAGGCGTCAAGTTCGAGTTAGAGAACGGTCGACGCGGCACAACGAGAACGAGGAGCAGGGTCTAATGCCGATCACCCGCAAATGGGAGCTGCATGATTGACGCTCAGTGCCGATCCGTTCATCTGCCCTTTGCAGACTTTCTTCTTTGAATGTGCCTTGGTTTGCATAAACAACATTCCGGTCTATCATATGCCCGACACTTTAATAGGAAGGTATAATGTGAACGGGAAGCTCTAAAGATCTTTTTGATACGAATACTTAGATAAGACCCTAGGCGCCCAGGATCTCCCGAATAGCACTTAGATTTATATTGTCTCTTGCATGCATGTCTTGCACCTGCAAACAAAGATAAGTCTGCTCGCAGTCTTATCGGCGTTTGTAAAGTAGCGATGAAAATAAGTCAAATAGCGTTCTTATAGCGAGCCATTCAGGATCAGCTGGTTGTTTCCTCAGTACCTGCGGCTCAGTGTGGATAATCAAAGAGGTTCAGTCAGGGTCATTATTTCTCAGATTCCCTGCTCCCAGCCTTCTCTTCAAGTGAAGCTCTTGTTGGTGTGTCCCCCTTTACGTAGGTAGATATATCGACGCACTTCGTTGTATGTTTTAGCGTTCCATGCTAGTGGCATATTGCAAAGTCCAATGCGTTGGGGCGCCAACCCCTGTACAGTCTTGATTGCGAGCTGGGTCAACGTAAACCTTTCGCCTGCTCCAGCTTAAAAGCAATTTATCTCCGCACACTTTACGCCAATGGGAATGTGCTGTAGCATTACGGAATGCGAAAGCACCACAGCATGTTTCCGATGCAGGTGAACGCCACAAGATGTGTGATGCACTATGGGGCGTCTGCGGCGCGCTTGTATGCATCTACTTCACCTCGTCTATTATTATCCATACGACTCCTGTGTTTGAAATATTTCGTCGTTAATCGTCAAGGGATTTCGATTGCAATCCGCGCGCGGCGGACGCGTCTACACGTGACGTAATTGAACTGAGGATGGAACTTTGAATGCTGAATCGAGTCACCGCAATTCCCCACACATACTTACGCTTCCGATCGATCCAATAGGCTGCCCAGACATTATCCCGCATTGTTCTCAGCCGGATCCTGGGATCTCCAGCATTTCTGGAACGGGATTGAATGATATCGCCAGGGTTCGTTCATGTGTGGGTTTGTATAGAGCAGGGTCCTCGGCCGACGTCTGGTTGCTTCCGCTCCCATCGATGTTATCCCCAGATGCTTCTGATGCTGCCGTGACGGCCAAACGGTGCCTCGTGCGTGAGCGATCAATCGTACTCCGAAGGCCAGACGCACATGGCTGACTCATGTAAGAACCTCGGTCTAGCCGAAGGCTAACTACGGTATTCACCCTCAAAGCATCTCTCGTTTGCATCGTGACGCCTTTATAAGCACTCCCAAGTTCCATCATCCCGGTTTCCGCCCACTTTGCTCTCTCTCCCTCACATCCACCCCCCTTCCTCACAACGTCACACTGGGTCATGCTTGAACAACCAGACAGCCCATCCGTAAGCCAGACCAAACAGCAGGTCTTGTACGTTTCAAAGCACCCATCTGCCTGGCTGTGATCCTCTTTCACTTACATATATTACCTCTATTAGTGATCATTATCTCTATCGGCTGCAAAGTGAGTCAGCGCCTGTACACGGCAATTCCATCCACTGATCGCAGTCGGTGGCGGTTACAGGCGAAATCCACACAATACTATCCGCCGAGTCGGGTTGTGAAGGACGCATTCACAACCGTGAGTGTATGCGCGCTGTACGACCCCGTGGTCATTCTCTGACATTGAGTTACAGTAGAAAATGAACTTGATGTGTTTAAGCGCGCATGTTTCACAGCCGAGAATGAGAAAAAAGCGCTCAACGAGGAAGTCAATTATCTGAGGCAGAAGGTCGAAGCACTCGAATCGCAGAGAACTGTACGTAGCCGTGAGGTCATTTCTAATCTCCGTATTCTCATCTGACACATGTGCATGGAAGTCGTCGGAGAAGCGAATAGTATGTTTGATCGACGGAAACGGAAGTATATTCTCTGTCGACCTACTATCCAAAGGCCAAGAAGGAGGACGCCTCGCAGCCAAGCTTCTCAGTGAATCCGTCCATTTCCACCTCTCATCTGATCAACCTTGTCACCTCTGGACATACGTCTTCTTCAACAAAACCGGTGTGTTTGACATGCTCGCGAAAGCTGGACGGCCCTACAAAGAGGCCTACGACAGGTTCGAAGAGTTTTTGCTGGGATTCAATCAGTCTTGTGAGAGATTTGTTATGACTGATGTAGGGAACGATGACGAGGTCACGGTGGCAAAGTTGAAAGGTTTGTGTTGTCGCTTCTATCACCACAGCAAAACTTTGACCACATCTTCTGTATTCATCAGCGCACTTAGATTTCTACTCTCGGAGTCAAGAGATATACAGAGTAGTATTCGGGGGTACGTGTATCTTATAGATTATCCTCTGGTTGGCAATACTTATAGGTCATTCGCTCTGGACAGGTTGCCATAATGGCGCCTATGTGTCACAACTTCACTCCCTCCAATTGACTTCCCTCTATCGGGAGAAGCTTGTACTCCTTCCAGGTTGCACAGAAATGGCCCCTGAATTCAAAAATCTACAACTGCCCAGCCTTATCATCCCTGGGCTGTTTATTCCAGACAAAATTGCATCGACGACTTATTCTCATGCTGACGGAAGCTCGGTAAGCTACGGTCCTCCGCCTGGGTTACCAACTCCTTCGAGTCCAAGCCAGCAATCGTCCACTGGCAGCTCGACATCCCCACCACCACCTCCATATCCGGACCAGTCCGAGTCTAAACCTGCCTCCGACGTCATTAAGGCGAGGGTAGACAACTCTTCCGAAACCTTCTTGTCATCTTCACAATCTTCCTCTTCGGACCGTTCTCACCGTGTTATATTGGGAAGTGTCGCAGGCCCTGTGAGCTATCGTCACCGATGGACGCAGGATCACCTGCGCTATCCAACGGACTCAAGCGCCGAAAGCATTGAGAGCAGCAGGAACGGAGTCAGTACGGCCAAGATACCGGGTAAGCAGAGGAAGATCAATCGAGATATTGTGTGTATCCTTTGCTCCAAATGAATCGTGCTAGGAAGAGATGGCTTATCACAGGACACATTCTAGCCCCTCAGTCAGCACAACCCTCCGCCCTGCACACTGTTCTATCTAGCTGCGAATGGGTGCAAACATGGTCCAGACTGTCGGTTTGGTCATGAGTATATTCTCGATGATGAGGATTATGACATGCTGAGAGCCAATGCGAAGAAAGTTCCGTGTCCGGCTGTGAATAGGGGTACGCATATTGCGTTTCTGTTGCTGATTCGTTGCTTCATGGCTATTTCATACAGGCGAACCCTGTGTCTTTGGCGCGAACTGTTGCTACGGTCATACTTGCCCTTTCCTTACCCGATGTCATTACTTCCGTCAATCGAAATGCAAGTTCCAAGGACGTACGTGAACTTAACGCCGCCCCTTTGCTCCCGTCACCTCTAACACATTGTCTTATACCAGCAAACATGCATCGCGAAGAAGAAGCCGCTTGTGTCTAATCAACCTATACCATTTGCAAAACCATCGTCGTTCGTTAATGGAGCAATTTGTTTTGGACTCTGCTGCTTGGATCGTTCCTTTCGCCCTTCATTCTTTCCCCGCCATGTAGCTTATTACACTTTTTTCCTGGATCGCATTCTTGTTGATTCCATTGGCATTTGGAGATTGCTGTGCTTGTTGTGTGTATGTATCACTTGTATTATTACTTGTACCATTGTATCTATGCTCGAATGCTATGTCAGCTTTGTAAAAAAATACTGGCGTTACTTATATTATTTGGTTCTGTGTACGCGTAAGGCACGACATAGACGTCGATCCCTTGGGCAAACGTGCTCTTCATCACGCGTGTCTAACACGCATGGAGCATGCTGTGCGTCGTCCTTGAAGCTATTCACCATCCTTTCTAAGACCCATAATGCACGAAGCTTGACCACAAAAGTGTACTAGGTCAATGACATGGCAGGGGTCTCAGAGTTGAGGAAAAGCCTTGGTTTAGGCGAGGTAAGTAAGCTCCTAAGCATATTTTTGTCGCGAACACACAGCTCTCGCAAGGCGAGCGCTTATGTATCCTAGTATGAAGTGCTTCACATCATCTTCACCGTCCATCAAACCCTCACTGAGCGATGCTGTGAGAGATCCGGTTCTAGCATGTTCCCCGTTCTCTTGTATTATAAGCACCAGGATAGCGGGGTTGTCTGCTAACACGCCTCTCTTTTACTCAACCTAGGAGCCCGAGATGACTCCACCGCCCGGGCTTCAGGTTCCAATAGAACAGATATGGTACGAGAAACTACTTTTCATTTAGGTGTATATATCATCCTAATACTTCGATAACCAGGGAAAATATGCTTAACCAGCTAAAAGGTATTTTCCCCTCAATTCTACCTCATATTTGTTTGATATTGACGATGGTATAGAGTTATCGTCCGCTACCGTTGAGAAGAATGTACAACTAACACGCCGTGTGAGCCAATTGGAGGAAGAACTATCGGTATGGAAGCAGGCACGGTCTGTCACCATCAACAATGCAGAAAAAACGAAACAGCAATATGAAGATGAAAGGGCAGCGTTGCAAAAGCGTATCAATATCCTCGAATCAATGCAGGTAAAGCATCTTATATATGAAATAACTGGATGAGACTGATTTTTTTATTGCTAGAATTCTATGGTGCTTTGCGTACTCGACGGAGACGGGAATATCTTTGCCAATCACCTCTTAGCAGCGGGGCTCGAAGGCGGCAGGGAGGCTGCAAGGAGCTTGACAGGTGGCATATGGGATTACATGAAGGCTCAGGGTTATGAAGGACAACCACGCTTTACGTTTTGGTTGTCGATTTATTTTAATAGGAAGGGATTGCAAGAGACGCTTGTCAGGAACAACGTCTGCACAGTCGACCAATTCGACGCATTCCTTGTTGGATTTAGCCAGGCATCTCCACGGTTCAATCTCATCGATGTAGGGTATGGAAAAGAGGCTGCCGACGCGAAAATTAAAGGTTCGTTAAGCCTGGCTGGTGTTTACTTACGTGGCTAACTGCTTTCAGAATATTTACAAACGTACACCCGCTTCCCTCAGACACTCAAAGTCTTTTTCGGTGGTACGTCTTTTTTGTTCTTTGTCTTTGTGTCTCATGTAAATACTCACGATTTTCTAGGTGGACATGATAACGGATATCTTCCGACCCTATCAGCGCTAGAGAACGAACGGTTCTTAGACAAGATTATTCTCCTGAAAGGTTACCGCGACGTAGCAACCGAGTTGAGGGCTCTAAACATGCAAACCCTTTCTCTCGAGGATTTGTTTAGGAACGTTAAACTTAACGGCCCTTCGAATTCCAATCATCAGCGTGCAGTCGTTTCGCCAGCACCGTCCGAGGCTTATAGGCCCCTTATCTCTTCTCCAGTGAAAACTTATGTCCCTCCACCGATTATTGATTCATTGAATCGTAATAATGACGGACCATCTGTTCAGAAACAGATACTGATTGACTCTAACTTGGTACGTACCGACCCACCAACTCTCTTTGCACAGTAGACTAAACTGGAGTTTTCTCGTGAATGGCAGCCTTTATCAAAGCGTGAGTTGCTTGTGGATGCGATTAGTGTATTGACGTTGACTATCAATCCTCAGAGAAACCACCTCCATGTAACGAGTATTATCTTCTTAAGAGGTGTCCTAGAGGGGTATGCAGTTCCTCTCCTAGTTCTGATTTGGATTGACAAACGCGGTCCCTAGGAAACTTGCAAATACGGTCACTCATACGCCCTCACTGGCGAAATGATAGCTGAACTCGCAAGACAGGCTAAGAAAGCTGTGGTAACTTGACTAACCACTCTTGAACCGACATTTCCCCAACATGAAGAACTTGCAATTCGGACCATTTGGACAGCTATGTCCCCAAATGCAGCGAGTACCGAAGGAACATTGAACATCTATATAACGATAAGCTTTCCGACCGCCTGCATAGGGGTAATAACAGAATGTTACTTTTGTTAACTGAAATGCATGGTGCTTCTGTAACCATTATGTAGACTGATATTGAATTTTCCAGCTTCCGCACATAATATTATGGAGACAAACGGTAGCTCTATGCATTCTCCCGTCGAAATTAGTCCGGGACTTCCAACCGATACAAATGACTCCATTTTCGGCCGTTTTAGTATGTTGAACTTGAATGGCAATTAAACATGATGATTCTTTGAGTAATTGATCCCGTAAATACACATATGTTAACACTCCTCCAGAATCCCTGAACGCCAGATAGCCTTGTAATTGTTAGCGTATTATATCTTGTACTAGCCCATCTCAATTCTGTTGCGAGTTGCAAGTTGCGAGGAAGCTCGGCTTTGTAGAGGACCCTGGTAAGGTTGATGCCGAGTTTCCTCACAACTAGGAAGAATTGAGATGATTGAGTTGTGAATTTTGTGTCGATCAGATTTCTTGTGATTTGAGTGGACAAACAAGTAAGGGATACAAGAAACATCATTTAATTTCAAAGTCCGACAACTCACAAGCACTCCAGAGTGCTTGCGAGTTGTTGCGCGTTTGACTACTACTTTAGGCAAGCACGCAACCCGATCCCCATCTTAACCACCCGATTTTCATCTCGGCACTTCGGCATTTTTGGCATATTTCTTACATGCCGTGCACAACTCACAACTCGCAAGAGAATTGAGATGGGCTACTTGTGTGTTAAAATCAATTAGTTCCGGTTTATTATTACATAAGATCGATCGATCGACGCTGCGACGGGCGTCCAGGGTCTCGTCTGGGTTCGCTTGACTACAAACCCTCAAACCATCTTGCGCGCTGCATTAGATCTCTCTCACCTCAAGCCACCTTGAACGATGTCCGCAGTAAGACTGAGCTTAGATATGCTTAAGGAATAGTTAACTGATTATCGTGGTCTGTTTAGCACGATGAAGATGAGCTTAACGCGTCGGAGACGCCAGGCGAGTATATTCATAGGCATAGGTATAGGCAACAACGATGCTGAGACAAATCTCCTCGGACAGGCTACAAGGTCACTGCACCTGCTAAGGTACGTAGATAGGTCTAGCTATAAAGTATATTTCTAATTTGAGTGTCAGAGCCCAGAGGAATATGCACAAATGGACGCGAACGACGAGAGTTTGGCAAGATGGAAGGCGAGCTTGGGTATTGGCGCTGGAGGTGGTGCAGGCCCAGCAGAAGGACCAAAAGTACGCACAATCGATATTATCTGGGACACAGAACCCACAAATATTGATAATCGTGCCTGTATGCAGGTCACCGTATTGAGCCTCGAACTCGTTTCTCCCACTCTACCTCCAGGGAAGACCATCGTACTTGACGTAACTAACCCTCAGGCCTTGGCTGACGCAAAGAAGAACCCGATCACTATCAAGGAGGGTGTAGAATACAAGTAAGGCTGTTTTTCCTTCAAAGATGTAAAATTGTTGTTCTGATTACTTTATTTTTAGCGTGCTGATCAGGTTCAAGGTCAACCATTCTATTATTTCGTGAGTCTTTTCTGTGCTTCCATTCCCTAGCCCGCTCATCATTTTAATGATGTTTCTAGGGTAAGTATAACTTACCTAGCGGGTGTTTGCTATTCTAAGGCTTTGGTATAGGGCGTGAGATACATTCAGGTCGTAAAACGTGCCGGAGTGAAAGGTTAATTCTTGGTTTGCTTATCTCGTATTCTTCATCACTTGTTGCTTATACGCGAATAGTCGATAAACTGGAGCAGATGCTTGGTTCATATGGCCCATCAGCGTAAGCAAACGCGCCTTTCTATGATGATCATACTCTGAACACACGGTGCATATAGCGAGGCCTACACGAAGAACTTCCCTACCGAAGAATCTCCGTCCGGCATGTTGGCGCGCTCGGGAACCTACGCTGTGCGGAGCCGCGTCACGGACGACGATAAGGAAGTCTATGCTGGTATGTCGCACGTCCGCCGTTGTTTCTGGTAATCAGAGGTAGAGCTGAGTTTATCATAGACTTCGATTGGTGCTTCAAACTTGCAAAGGAGTGGTAATCTGATTCTGCCACCCGCTCCAATAAATCTTGGGTCGAGCTTTTTTCTCTGTCGATTGTCCTATTATCAGTTTTTTTTTCTTGATGTGGCGAGAGCTAAATTGTATTCAATAAAATTAAATATAAAAAAGATAGTCTCAAAAATTACCGATTGAGTAAACGAAATGCAGTAAATCGGCGTCGATCCTTTCGACCTGCAATGAACACTTTCCTTCACGCGTCGACGCGCTGTACACGCCGAGCAGCGCGTATCTCATACTTTCGGCGGACTGGCTTTCCGTCTACTGCCTATGTAGCGCGTTATCGACAAAGTCCTCTAGCGACTATTACCCTTGGTAGCAGACAGTTGTCCAGCAACCGTCATGAACCGACAACGTCAACCGCGACAACAAAACCGAGTTCACCCACGCTCTCAACGAAAACATGGGTAGACAACTTACCTACTAAAATCCGACCATATCTTTATCTCACGAGAGTAGACAGGCCTATAGGGACGTTATTGCTGTTTTATCCATGTGGTGTGTGCATTATTCGCTGTATGTCGTCTGTGAGACATTAATATTGATTTTCTGGACATGACATTAGCTTGGTCAATATCTATGGCTGCATACGCGTTGCAGACTCCCATTAGTGTTCCGTTAGCGTATACTGGCCTGTTTGGACTGGGTGCACTCATTATGCGAGGGGCGGGGTGTACGATTAATGATATGTGGGATAGACATTTGGATAAGGCTGTTGGTACGTGGTATTTCTCAAGGAATTGATTCCTTTATTCCTTTATTTGATTTCTTCGGGCGATTATGCTAAATGTGCTGTATAGAGAGAACGAAGGAGAGACCGCTTGCGAGGGGTGATATTACTCCTACTCAAGCATTTGGGTTCCTTGGTCTCCAACTTACTGCAGGATTGGGTGTGCTCCTCCAACTAAACTGGTACAGGTGCGTCGGCTCCAGCTGTTTATGATCGTATTTAACGCAAATGCCTATACTTCTTTTTACAGTATATTCCTTGGTGCAGCGTCCCTCTCCGTTGTCACTGTCTACCCCTTCATGAAGAGGGTTACGTACTGGCCTCAAGCCGTCCTCGGTGTGTTGGAAATATATTAATCGACGTCTGGGGTACCGAACTCACGAAAACGTGCATTTAAAAATAGGACTTGCCTTCAACTGGGGAGCTCTTCTTGGCTGGTCCGCTGTTGCTGGTTCTGTGAACTGGGGCATCGCTCTCCCACTGTATGCAGGCGGAATTTGCTGGACTCTGGTGTATGACAGCATTTATGCTCACCAGGTATGCGTATCACGTCAGAACAGTGGAATAAGGCTAAGTGTAACCTACGTTTATGTATATAGGACAAGACGGACGACCGCACCGTAGGCATCCGTTCAACGGCCTTACTCTTCGGTGATCACTCGCGAAGCGTACTCTCCGCACTATCCATCTCCTCACTCTCATTAATCACATACGCTGGTTACCTAAACGCACACGGTGCTCTGTATTACGCAGGTGTTGGATTTGCAGGTGCACAATTAGCCCGTGTACTTGTTCAGACGGACTTTGATAACAGGCCGAGTTGTTGGCGGGGATTTGTTGGTTGCGGATGGGCGGGATTCTGGGTGTGGATGGGTGCTTTGGCGGATTTCCTTGCGCTTGGGACGGGATTCTGGTAAATGGTGGACTGACCTTCTTATTTGAGTTGCATCGTCGGCGTTTGATTAACTGCGATCTCTGATAGATTTTAATACTGCTTACTGTGTTTCCGGCCACGTACAACTCGCCAGAACATGAGTGGGATGGTTTGGAATTTTATCGGACATTCCGTTAAATATAAATCACGAGTCAAGCGTGAGCTGCTTGTCTGCCACTAAGAAAGAGCAACAAGGAAGTGTGTATAGCGATATGACATCAAAAGACGAGCATGATGATTGGAGAGGTTTGAGGTGTCACTTGTTTCATATATTCATAGCCTCGGCTTCTAGATGAAAACACGAGCGCCGCAAATTTCGTTATCCTTGATCCGGCACCACAGGTGGGGCTGAATCTGCTATATATCTCGTCCATTTGACAACTTTCCGTCTACAGTAGCCCTCGAGGGTCATAGAATTTCTTGACATTAGCCACCTTCCAACGAGCACTCTTTCAGCTCGTTCTTATACCTGAACTATCTAAACCCTATGTCTACTGTTGTTGCCGAACAATGTATTAATCTAGGGCTTTTCACTGCATTGCTTTATGAATTTAGTATGTGGTATTTTGTTCTTTTACAACAGCAAGGATTTTAAACTCATATTCCCGCAGTTATCACCAAAGACAAGGAAGTAAGGAGCTGTAGATATAATAAAATACATATATTGAAAAAAATTGCACCGTCAGGTCAGGTTCTTCTGGGTAAGCGTCATGCTAGCTATATTTATGATTTCCCAGCATTCACCTATCACATTCAATAGTCAAATCTAAGGAATGTCAATGGGGTCGCCTTTTTCATTGTATGGACTTGGCATTTCATTTTGTATTGCAAACACATTTAATAATGTGATAGCTCCGCTATGTTGGACTTATTAGTGGGCTCGCCTTTGTTATAAGTAAGCACATAGATTTATACTCTGTCTACACACGAAAGAGCTATCTAAAAGTACTATTTAAATAGATACCTTCGGAATTTCTGTCAAGACGTGACTACTTATATCTATTACTTATGTACTCTAACTTACCTGAAATTCCTCCCTAAAGATGTGAGTTTATGTGCAAATCCGTGGATTCTAGTTTGCTGATTTGGATTAAGGTCAGATTACTGACTGGACCAATGCACTCAGTAGTGAGTGTCTAAATATCTACTTTGTTATACCTACTCACTTGAAGTCTAGGCTGGCTTGTTATTGTATCAATGAGCTGTATGTGTTTGATCTTAAACTAGTTCATTCACAGAGGCTTAGTATGATGCAAATATAGATATTATACTCCTTCGAGTCTTGGCTCTCTATCACAATGGTAGGTACTTTTTTTAAAATAGAAAACTCTCCCATACTTAATTTAACTAGACAGAATGTTGAGTATTTGCCTCAAAAGTCTAATAGGCATAGGTGTGGCTGGCTCTCTCTGTATATTGATTCTTTACAAAGTAAAATCTGGTGGTAATTTGTTTGAGGGCTCTATCTTTTAATGCTTCACTGACTTTATTCTAGTTCAGCTTATAAAGCCAGGCCTTTTAATGTGTGAGATTCAGAGAAAAATTCCCCAATTAGCAATACAACTGTGGTGTGTTGTGGAGGACAACTATTTGTACCATTTCTAACTTTTAACAGGATTATGCTATTAGTATATGGGCTGCTTTTACTTGGTATGGGATTGCACAGAGCACACAAATACTTGAAACTGTCATCTGGGTTCGGAGGTTTCCACCTTGTCAAAATTCTCATCCAAGACCAGGCTAAACATTATGCCTTGTGAGAAATATTTTTGCATTTTAACACAGTAGTGTTGACCCGAATTATAGCCTTGCCTTCTACTGTGTTATGTCAATCATTGGTGGTCTAGTCTCTAAACCAGATGTACCAAAAGCGTTGGTTGCATTGGGAAACCCAATGACTGTATGCATCATCGGATGTCGGATTCTGCTAAATTTGAAAGAAGCAGGAGAGAGAGATGCGAATGGTGGGACGCTGGACAGGGTGGGGACAGCCAGTAATATACAGTTTACACAGCGTGCAACCTCTTCACCGTCGCATGCTTAGTAGAAAGCTGTGTATTCGTTCGAGCAAGTAGCATTCACCAAATAGTTTCTGCACTTTATCATGTATCATTCGCTTTGTAATCATTAGAAACTACTTACAGGCTGGGTAGTCATTTTGCCATCCTTGAAAGTTATGATTGTTTCAGATAACGATAGAATTGAATAGGCTGAAAATTGATACTGGAATATAGCTTATGGTAGTATTGGGCCTGCCCTGTACAGGCTTGTAAGTGCCTTGCTGCATAGACTAGAATGGCTGTCTTGTTTAGTGTATTATGTGCCAGTACAAGTGGACACAGGTGCCTTCTCAACTGACTCAAATCATTGATTGTGCAAGAAATGGGTAGCACGGCACAATAATGGGGTCAGGCTGCGACTGAAAGAGGTCAGCGAAAGGAGGGGAAATATGGAAGCTTGCAAGCATAATAAACATAACAGTAGCAGTTATGATCTCATTGTTAATTTGATGATACTGTGAGCGCAAGGAAGAGAGCACGTTTATTATTTTCTATAGAAAATGCTGAGCCACGTGCAGATTTGCACTGTTCATTTCAGGCAAATTTTGGTTGTCATCAGAGCACAATCGACATCCATTTCGCGAACAAGCACATTCCCCTCCTCCTCTTCCTCTCTCCTACAAAAAGCCCATCTTGTCCTTCTGAACTTGTTGTGTCTGTTCTTAGATTTCGTCTGTCTGCAAAATCAAGCCACTGATGTCGACGTTTGACTCGCTCGTCGCGGACCTCACCCGCGACGCGTATCGTGTACAACCAAAGGACGCCCTCCAATTCTGTGCAAACTGGTTCCAAACACGTCTTGAAGAACAACCAACGTGCACACACACGCGATATTTTATCACGTGGTACGTCTGCATCTATCTCACGCGAATAGACAAGCCCATAGGAACGTTATTGATGTTCTATCCATGCGGTATGTGCAATAATTCTTATACATCTTCTGCGAGGCTTTGTTTAGTATGAGTAGACATCGCGGTAGCGTGGCCAATATCTATGGCTGCATACGCGTTGCAGACTCCAATCAATATCCCGTTGGCATATACTGGACTGTTTGGGCTGGGTGCACTCATTATGCGAGGTGCGGGGTGTACGATTAATGATATGTGGGCTAGGCATTTGGACAAGGCAGTCAGTGAGCAGATTTTCCCAAGGAACTGGTTCTTTCTTTTTCGTTTGGTTTTAACTGGCAGTTAGTCCCGGATCGCTTATGCTAATTGTGCTTCATAGAGAGAACGAAGGAGAGACCACTTGCAAGGAGTGATATAATACCTACTCAAGCACTCCAGGTTCCTTGGCCCTCAACTCACTGCAGGATTGGGTGTGCTCCTCCAACTAAATTGGCACAGGTCCATCGATTCCAACTACTCTTCTATTACATATAACGCAGTGCTTATTCGATTTTTAGTATACTTCTTGGTGCATCGTCCTTCTCTGTTATCACTGTTTACCCATTCATGAAGAGGGTAACGTACTAGCGTCAAGCAGTCCTCAGTGTGTTAGAAATGAATTGACCGACGCATCTAGTATTGAGCTTACGAGACCGTGTATTTTAAAATAAGGCTCGCCTTCAACTGGGGTGCTCTTCTTGGCTGGTCTGCGGTTGCTGGTTCCGTGAACTGGGGCATTGCGCTTCCGCTGTATGCAGGCGGAATCTGCTGGACTCTGGTGTATGACAGAATTTACGCACACCAGGTACGTGTACCGCGCCTTCCCGACGAATTAGGACGACGCGAGATTTGTATTGGTTATGTACAGGACAAGACGGACGACCGCACTGTAGGCATCCGATCTACAGCCTTACTTTTCGGTGAACACTCACGAAACGTACTCTCCGCGCTATCCGTCTAGTCACTCTCATTAATTACATGTGCCAGCTACCTAAATGCACACGGTGCTTTGTATTACGCGGGTGTTGGACTTGCAGGGGTACAGTTAGCTCGTGTGCTTGTTCAGACGGACTTTGACAGTAGGCCAAGCTGCTGGCGGGAATTTGATAGTTTTGGATGAGCGGGATTCTGTGTGTATGGCTGCTTTGGCGGATTTCCTTGCGCTTGGGACGGGGTTTTGGTAAACAGTAGACTTTAGACCTATTGCAATCTCCGATACATTTATGCCTTACTATCCGACACCTACTTGATACTTATTTGTCCAAGATTGCTATTGCTAGCTGCTCGTTCATCGTCAAGAAAGAGCATTAAGGAAGAGGACACGATAAATTTATGACCTCAGAAGACAAGCGTGGTGATTGGAGGGCATGACTATTGTGTGATCAAGCCCTGTCAATGTTGACAATGGTGATAATCAGTGTCACTGCACATTCCAATGTCCTCTGTCCTGAAACGAATATGCCACGCCACGTAGTCATATAGTGTGTTCCTTGCAACGTGATAACACGATTTGAAGGTCTCATCAGGTTTGAGCTGTCTCTTGTGTCATATATTGTCAATCTTGGCTTCCAGATGAAACACAAGTACTGCAGCTTTACAGAGTGAGCAAAGCAGTTGCCTTATTTGAACAGGCCTGGACAAATCATTTGTTGGTAGATGTGTTGCATTCCTATGGTTATTCTTGATCCGTCATCACAGGTGAAGCTGAACCTACTATATATATTGTCCGTTTGCAATCTTGGATAGTATCTTTCACAGACGTCTGTCTAATATCCTTCAAGGGTCATAGTGTTTCTGGACATTAGCCACATTCTACCAAACACTCTTCCAACTCACTCTTATACTTGATCTATCCTGTCCTATGTTTGCTATAAATATTGAACAGTGTATTGCTCTAGGAATTTACACTGCATTACTTTATGATTTTGGTATGTGGTATTTGCTCTCTTACAATAGCAAGGATTCTGACTTGTATCTCTGCAGTCATCACTAAAGACACAGAAGTAAGAATCATGGATACAATACAAGTCTGATATTGAGAACATTTACACCATCAGGTCAGGTTTTTCTGGGTAAGTCCCTTCCTGGCTAAGATTGCCATTCCCTAGCAGTCAACTAACATACTTGGTAGTCAAATCCGAGGAACCTCAATAGTGCTGTCTTTTTCCTTGTATGGACCTAGCATATCTTAATGTTCTACAAGCATGCTAAATTGTATGATAGCTCCGTTATGGCGGACTTTTTGGTGGACTTGCTTTTGTTTTAAGTAAGTACACAGATTTGCAGTCTATCTGTCAACAGAGAACTATCTAAAAGTATTACTTAAACAGATACATTTGGAATATCTACCGAGACGTGATTAGTTATGTCTATACTTATGTACTATGACTAATCTGAATATGCTACTCTACAGATGTAGGTTTGCATGTAATTTTGTTGATTTTAGCTCATTGATTTGGATTAAGGTCAGATTACTTACTGGATATACATTATCTCCAGTAGGTATCTAAAGATCTACTTTGTTGTATCTGCTCACTCAGATTGTAGACTGGCTTACTGTTGTACTGATCGAGTGTATTTGTTCAATCTTAAACTCATTTACTTACAGAGAATTAATATGGTACAAATACAGATATTATACTCATTCGAGTTTTGGCTCTTTATCACAATAGTAAGTGATTTTTTTCCTGCAAATTACTCTTCCATGCCTAACATAGCCAGATAAGATATTGAGTGCTTGCCTCAAATCTCTATTTGGTGTTAGTGCAGCCGCCTCTCTTTTTGTATTGATTACTAAAGGAAATGTGGGACCTGGTGGTAATTTGATTGAGTCTGACATTAAACACTGTACTAACTTTACTCAAGTGCAGCTTATAAAAGATGGTTCCTTGACGTGTGACTTTCGAAGAGGACTCTCTTCACGATTTAGGATAATTCTATTGTATGTTGTTGATAATCATTCTTGCCTTTTTTCTAATTCTTGACAGTATCTTGACATTAGTAGACGAACTTATTCTGCTTGTTTTGGCGTTGTACAAAGCACACGAGTACTTGGAACTGTCTTCTGGATTTAAAGGTTTTCGCCTTGTAAGGATTCTCGTCCGAGACCAGGCTAAATATTATGTCTTGTGAGGGTGTTTTCTGCACTCTTACGTACTTTTGTTGACCCAAGGAATATAGTCTTGTCTTGTACTGTATTATAGCGTTCGTCAGTACCCGGACCACCATTAAACCAGGAGTCACACACGCGTTGACAGCGTTTCGAAGCCCAAGTGTTTTATGTGTCATTGGATGCCGACTCCTGCTAAACTTGAAAGAAGCAGGAGAGAGAGATGCAGATGGCGAGACGCTGCGCGGGGTCGGGACAGTCAGTAATATAGGATTCGCACAGCGTACAACATATTCTCCATCGCGTACATGATGTATCATGTACCAGTACAATTGAACAAAGCTACTTTCTCAATTGACTCGATTATTGATTACACAAGAAATGGGTGGCACAGCACAACAATGCCGAACGGGCTGCGGCGGAGGCTCATAAGTATAACAAGCATAACAGTACCTTTTATGCTCTCATTGTTATCAGATGATGCTGTGGGAGCAAGAAAGAAGGCGCGATTATATTTACTAAAATAGGAATGCTGACCCACGTGCGGATTGGCACTGCCAGTGCTCGTTTCGGGTTATTCTGGATTGTCTTCTTCAAGATCCATTTCCAGCGAACAAACACCTCCCCTCTTCCTCTCTCCTACGAAAAGCTCATCTTGTCTTCCTGACTTTGCTCTGTCGGGAATTACCCTTCGTCTGTCTGCGAATCAAGCCATTCATATCGACGTTCGACTCACTTGTCGCGAACCTCACTCGCGACGCGTATCGTGTACAACCAAAGGACCCCCAGTTCTGCGCGAACTGATTCCAGACACATCTGTTGAAGAGCAACGTGCACGCACGCGCAATGTTTTATCACGTCGTACGTCTGCCTCTATCTCATGGGAGTAGACAAGCCTATAGGGACGTTTTTGCTGTTCTTTCCATGTGGTGCGTACAACGCTTTTTACGCATCTTCTGCGAGACATTATTTAATAAGAGTGGACATCGCGCTAACGTGGCCAATATCTATGGCTGCATACGCGCTGCAGAATCCCATCAGAGCTCCTTTGGCATATACTGGACTATTTGGCCTGGGTATACCCAATATGCGAGGTACGAGATGTATGATTAGTGATATGTGGGATAGGCATTTGGATAAGGAAGAAAAGGTGAATCGATCTTTTCTCCCAGCAAACTAGTTCTTTATTTTTCTTTTCTGGTGTTTCGTCCCTAGTCAACGATGCCGATTATGCTGTACAGAAAGAACGAAGGAGAGACCACTTGCGAGGGGTGATATTACTGCTACTCAAGCATTCGGGTTCCTTGGCCTTCAACTCACTGCATGATTGGATACGCTTCTCCAACTAAACTGGTACAGGTCCGTAGATTCCAGCTACTCCTCTATTACATATAACGCAGTGCTTATTCAATTTTTAGTATACATTTTGGTGCATCATTTCTCTGTTGTCATTATCAACCCAATCATGAAGAGGGCAACGTACTGGCCTCAAGCAGTCCTGAGTATGCTTGGAATGAATTAACCGACGTGTTGGGTGTCGGACTTAAGAGTCTTTTCCATTAAAATTAGTACTCGCATTCAACTGTGGTGCTCTTCTTGGCTGGTCCGCTGTTGCCGTTTCTGTGAACTGGGACATTGCTCTTCCGCTGTATGCAGGCGGACTTGCTGAACTCTGGTGTACTACAGTATCTATGCCCACCACAGGAACGTGTATTGCATCAAACCAATAGAGTAGATGACGCTCGATTCACGTGTCTGTACAGGACAAGACAGACGACCTCACTGTAAGCATCTGTTCAACGGCCTTACTCTTCAGTGAACTCTCCACACTACCCGTCTCCTCACTCTCATTAATCACATACACCGGTTATCTGAACACATACAGTACTCTGTATTGCGCGTGTGTTGGTCTTGCAGGAGCACAGTTAGCCCGTGTACTTGTTCAAACTGGCTTTGATAGGAGGCCGAGTTGTTGGCAGGGATATGTTGGCTGTGGGTGGGCAGGATTCTGGGTGTGGATGGATGCTTTAGCAGATTTCCTTGCGCTTGGGAAGGGGTCCTGGTAATTAGTATATTTACTTCCTTGGTTGTGCCGCTTTATCATAATGATTATTTATCAACGTCTTACTTATGCAATCTCCGATAGATTCTGATAAACGCGCATCGGGTGTTCGACCATGTGCATCCCGCCAAAATATGAGCATGACAGTCCGCAATCGTTTTCACCCAGCACCCCGTTAGATACAAATCACGAGTTAACCCGAATTGCTTGTTCGCCACCGAGAAAGAGTAACAAGGAAGAGTGTATGGCCGATATATGACCTTAGAAGACAAGCATGGCAATTAGAAAGCCTAACTATCGTACAATCAAGCGCTATTAATGCTAACCATAGTGATGATATGACTTAAAGTTCTCATAAGGTTTGAGCTGTCCCTTGTGTCATACTGAACAAGCCGAATAACACATTTTCTGATAGATGGATAGCAGCCTCGTGGCGATTCTTGGTCCGACATCACAGGTAGAGCTGTCTCTGTTATATATCTCATCTGTTTGCCACGTCGGGTGCTGCTCTTACAGGCGTCCGTCTACAGCAAGTCCTCAAGGGTTGTAACGTTTCCAGACATTAGCTGCACTCGAAAAATCACTCTTCCAACTCGCTCTTTTTCCCAGACTACCTAACCCTATGTCTGCCGTTGTCGAACAATGTATTAATCTAGGGCTTTTCACTGTATTGCTTTATGAATTTAGTATGTGGTATTTTGTTCTTTTACAACAGTAAGGATTTTAAACTCATATTCCCGCAGTTATCACCAAAGACGAGGAGGTAAGGAGCTGTAGATGCAATGAAATACAGATATTGAAAAATTGCACCGTCAGGTTAGGTTCTTCTGGGTAAGCGTCATGCTAGCTATATTTAGGATTTCCCAGCATTCACCTATCACATTCAATAGTCAAATCCAAGGAATGCCAATGGGGTCGCCTTTTTCATTGTATGGGCTTGGCTTATCATTTTGCATTACAAACACATTTAATTATGTGATAGCTCTGCTATGTCGGGCTTATTGGTGGGCTTGCCTTTGTTATAAGTAAGTACTAAGTACACAGATTTATACTCTGTCTACATACAAAAGTGCTATCTAAAAGTGCTACTTAAATAGATACATTTGGAATTTCTGTCAAGATGTGAATACTTATCTATTAATTATGCACTCTAACTTACCTGAAATTTCTAAAGATGTGAGTTTACATGCAAATCTGTGGATTCTAGTTTACTGATTTAGATTAAGGTCAGATTACTGACTGGACCAATCTACTCAGTAGTGAGTGTCTAAGTATCTACTTTGTTATACCTACTCACTTGAAGTCTAGGATGGCTTGTTATTGTATTAATGGAGTGTATGTACTTGATCTTAAACTAGTTCATTCACAGAGGCTTAGTATGATGCAAATATAGATATTATACTCCTTTGAGTCTTGGCTCTCTATCACAATAGTAGGTATTTTTTTACATAGATAACTCTCTCATACTTAATTTAACTAGACAGGATATTGAGTATTTGCCTCAAAAGTCTAATAGGCATAGGCATGGCTGGCTCTCTCTGTATATTGATTCTTTATGAAGTGGAATCTGGTGGTAATTTGTTTAAGGACTCTATCTTTTAATCTTAATACTACACTAATTTTATTCTAGTTAAGCTTATAAAGCCAGGCCTTTTAATGTGTGAGAGTCAGAGAAATTTTCCTCAATTAGTAATACAACTGTAGTATGTTGTGAGGGACAACTGTTCTTACCACATTTCTGACTTTTAACAGGATTATGGTATTAGTATATGGACTTCTTTTGCTTGGTATGGGATTGTACAGGGCATACAAATACTTGAAACTGTTATCTGGGCTCAGAGGTTTCCACCTTGTCAAACTCCTCATCCAAGACCAGGCTAAATATTATGCCTTGTGAGAAAGATTTTTGCATTCATGCACAGTTTTGTTGACCCAAATTATAGCCTTGCCTTCTGCTGTGTTATGCTAATCAGCAGTTCCCTGGTCTCTAAACCAGACGTAGCAAAAGTGTTCAATGCGATTGGAAACCCAATGATTGCATGCATCATCGGATGTCGGATTCTGCTAAATTTGAAAGAAGCAGGAAAGAGAGATACGAATGGTGGGACGCTGGACAGGGTGGGGCCAGCCAGTAATATACAGTTTGCGCAGCGTAGGACCTCTTCGCCGTTGCATGCTTAGTAGAAAGCTGTGTATTCGTTTGAGCAAGTAGCATTCACCAAATACTTTCTGCACTTTATCATGTATTATTCGCTCTGTAATCATTAGAAACTACTTACAGGCTGAGTAGTCATTTTGCCATCCTTGGGAGTTGTGATTGTCTTGAATAATGACAGACTTGTGCAAACTGAATATTGGACCTGGAATATGGTTTACAGCCTGTGATTTTGCTGATTCTTTCTTTCTGTTTTCTGTATTCTAGAGATCAAATACAATAAAATAAAGGCACAAGGAGATATGTTAGGGAACTGTGAAGTGTGAAATGAAAGGGTGTCGGTGTGCTAGATTAGAATGAATGTACAAGCGAACACAGCTACTTTCTCAACTGACTCGAATCATTGATTGCCAGAGAAATGGGCGGCTCAGTACAACAGCGGCAAATGGGCTGCGACGGAGGCTCATGGGCATAGCAAGCATAACAGTACCGGTTATGCTCTCACTGTCCAGTGTCCTTAGGTGATGCTGTGAAAGCAAGAATAGAGAGTACAGTTATATTAATTTTCCTATAGAAAATGCGGAACCACGTGCAGATTTGCACTGTACATTTCAGGCAATTTTTGGCTGTCTTCGAGCACAATCGACATCCATTTCCAGCGAACAAACACCTTCCTCTCCTCCTCTTCCTCTCTCCTACAAAAAGCTCATCTTGTCCTTCTGAAGTTGTTGTGTCTGCTCTTACATTTCGTCTGTCTTCAAAATCAAGCCACTCATGTCGACGTTTGACTCGCTCGTCGCGGACCTCACCCGCGACGCGTATCGTGTACAACCAAAGGACGCCCTCCAATTCTGTGCGAACTGGTTCCAAACACGTCTTGAAGAACAACGTGCACGCACACGCGATGTTTTATCACGTCGTACGTCTGCGGCGGCGCGCGATTTGCCTGCGGAGATGTACATTGATGCGCCGCTGGGCTCAGATGGCGTGACGGGTGTGTCGCCGTTCTCGCCTGCGCATAGGCATTCGTTTCCGTTGCATAGACCGTCTATACCTGCGACGAATAGTCCGTTTGGGACGTTGAATGTTCCTGGGAATGCGTTGTTGTCGAACTCACATGCGCCTCCGCCCCCGCCGACTCTGCAGATTGATCCTGTGTCTCCAGTGTCAGGGTTCTCGCCGTCTTCGTACGATTACCGAGCCCCCACGCCTCATCCGGGTGACTTCTTACAGCCATCTGCGACTATTCTTGCTCGACGCACGTCTGTCAGCGCAGAATCAATCATGGTTGACAGTGATACGAACGAGCCGACGCCAGTGTTTTCCAAGACACCCGAACAACTCGCGCGTATCAAATCATCTATTGCAAAGAACTTTATTTTCCGCGACTTGGATGAAGAACAAGAGACAGGTGTATTGAACGCGATGCAGGAGATCAAGGTGCCAGCGCAGGAAGTTGTTATTCGTCAAGGCGACGAAGGGGAATATTTCTACGTTGTTGAGAGTGGGCTGTTGCACTGCTTTATTAAGCCTGATGCGCTCCCGCCTCCTGCGGTCACTGCACACGATGCGTCGGATAAGTCGGGTAGCGGGGGTGCAGATGATAAGTTTGTCGCGCCTGGATATCACCCGGAGTTTGGACGGAAGGTAGCAGAATGCACGCCTGGCACGTCGTTCGGCGAGCTTGCATTGATGTACGGACATCCGCGTGCTGCGACGGTGTTGTCGATTGAGCCGTCGACGCTTTGGCGCGTGGACCGTATCACGTTCCGGACGATTATTCTCAAGGCCGCGCATAGGCGACGGACTATGTACGAGCACTTCCTTTCGACGGTGCCACTGCTATCATCTTTGTCGCCTGAGGAGAGGAGCAAGATCGCTGACGCGTTGACTTCGAAAGTGTATTTGGATGGTGAGAACGTGGTAAAACAGGGCGATATTGGAGACTCGTTCTTCTTTGTTGAAGAGGGCGAGGCTGTTGTGACAAAGAAGTTGCCTGGCGAGGAGGGCGAACGGGATGTCGGACGCTTGAGGAAAGGCGAATACTTTGGTGGTATGTCATTCTCACTCTAGCATTTTGCCAAGTGCTATTATTCACTGACGAAATGTTATTAATTACTACTTGTAGAACTTGCACTACTTCGCCGCGCTCCTCGCGCAGCAACCGTAAGCGCAGTCCAGCGCACGGATGCATCAGCGCCGAAGTTGAAGGTGGCGGCACTTGACGCTGCCGCGTTTACGCGTCTGCTCGGACCGCTGCGCGAGATTATGGAGCGCAAGGCCGGGGAGAGTTATGGACCGAACTACGGACCGATGCATGGCCGAATGTCGCGCTGAGGATGACAAAGGTGTGGTCTACTAGTGTAGCGATAACTTGTTTTTCTGTTTTTCTATCCGTGCTTGTATTTATCTGGCATGCTTGGCTTTGAAGCTAGATATCACTCTTACTCTTTGTTGTTTCTGTTTTGTCTTTTTGTCTTGTGTGCTGCTTTTTTTGCTGTTGTGCTGTGCGAAATAAAGAGCTTTATTTTGCCGCGAGGAGTGCCTTTCGGGTTCGGCAAAGGAACACGCAAGTGGACGGCTGTGCGTAAGCAGCGTCATCACATTCTGTCACTCACCCATTTCCGCAGTGCAGTGCCGCCATGGCATTCGTTGTCGCAACAAATCCCTCTTCATTCAACTCTCACCATCTACAATCTAATACTCAGTCTACTACTTCCGCAGCCACCCTAAGGCTGAGGAAATTCCTATATCAAAGATATCTCGTGTAGCCTTTCGACGTCTTCGCGCACGACGGTTCTTTCCCATGTCCGCCGACATGATCACTGCTGCTGCTACAGCTGGTAGTTCAACCAATGTCGAGCCTTTGATAAAGGCAAAGATCCTACCGCCGGCTCGTGAAATTCCAGCGACGTTCATGTCGAGTGCACGTAGTTGGTGGGCTACGGGCCAGAAGGAGGGTGCCGCGAGTGAGGAGCGGTTATTAAGGTGTGTGCGCATAATCGAATTACAAGATCTCATGCCTTGACAATGTAATACTAATACTAATAATGACTTCCTTCCGTCTGGGGTGTCAGGATGCTACCATTTTACCAGTCATCGACTTGGCCAAGACAAAATACCGACCTCCCCGTTGTGGGTACTTCCTCGCGAGTGGTGCTCTCTTCGCCGAAACGTTTCCTCAACATGTTTGCCATCACGCCTACCACGCCGTCTTCTTCACCTAGCGTGCCTCCTGCTGTTTTGTTGCATGGTTTCGGAGCTGGTAAGTACCTACCTCCGTTCCCTCATTCCCTCATATTCTTCGTTTTCATGAAAATGAATGAGCACAAAGTTAATGAATGAAATAATCTATTGACTATGTACAGGACTAGGCTTCTACTTCCGCAACTTTCCCGCCCTCGCCACCTGGGTCGCCCGCACCGGCGTACCAGTCTACTCTCTCGACTGGCTCGGCATGGGCCGCTCCGCACGCGTGCCCTTCATAGTTCGCGCAATAAAGCACGATATACCCGGCCGCGTGTCACAGGCAGAGAACTTCTTCCTCGACGCTTTAGAAGAATGGCGTGTCAAGCAGGGACTGGAGAGGATGACACTTGTGGGTCATTCGCTTGGTGCGTACCTCGCTGCGGCGTATGCGGAGAGACACCCTGAGAGGGTTGCGAAACTTGTGCTGTTGAGTCCTGCGGGTGTGCTTGGGGATCCTGAGGCTGAGCAGCCGAGTAGGGAGATTACGGACGATCAGGCGAGTCTTACCGAGGCAAACACCAGCAGTGGTAATAATGGTGATGCTGGAAATGCAACTGGAGGAAGGAAGAAGCATAGATTTAGACGCACGCCAGAGGGTGCGACGAAAGAGCAAGTAAAAGCGGCCCATGCGGAACAGAAGGCGAAGAAGGAGCAGGAGTCGTTGACGCGACGATTCTTTACTTACCTTTGGGAGGATGGATGGAGTCCGTTCCAGGTTGTGAGGAGTTTGACTGTGTTTGGACCAATGCTTGTTGGCAAGGTATGTTACGTTTCTTTAGTCCTGCACTCAGGATACAAGTTGATTGTGAATTTTTGGACTTGGATAGTACTCCTCTCGACGGTTCTCCGGCTTGTCGGAAGAAGAGACACGCAACGTACACGATTACATTCTCAACATCACACTTGCGAAGGGGTCCGGGGAGTATTGCATCTGTTCGTCCTCTTCTTTCCCTTCTTTCTTTCCCCTCATACCTCCGACTAACTAAATCCCAAATAGCGCATATACTCACACCCTTCGCACACGCACGTATGCCTCTTGTCGATAGAGTAGATAAACTCAAGATGCCCGTCCGGTTCGTCTGTACGTATCCATCCTTTCCTTCCTACATCCTTTACTATTCCTCTCTTTGGAGCCGTGGACGTGCATTGACACTATTATCATCATTATCATTATTTTCTTTTTCTGCAGATGGATCACATGACTGGATGGACCCTCTCGGCGGTGAACAATCCGTAGAACGTCTTCACGCAGCAGGGAACCGCGACGCAATAAATTATCTCGTTGAGAAGGCTGGACATCATGGTACGTTGGCATGACTTTCTTCTCTTGTCTCAATTCACAACGGACCTTAACTGATTAATTCATTCTTGCTTTTTCCTTTTTCTTGTACAGTATACTTAGACAACCCCGACTACGTGAACGACCTTCTCCTGAAAGAGCTTTCTTTCGAATAGACGTATGTGTACAGGTTTCAGACACTGGAGATAGATTTTTTTTTTTGCAGACGGGTAGATGGTATACAGCTTGTCTTTTGTTTCGGTTTTGCTTTTATTATGGGACATCCTTAACTTATGGAGGGATGTTTCTCCTCTCCTCTCCTCTCCTCTCCTCTCCTCTCCTCTCATCCTTCTTTTGTCTTTTTGTCTTTTTGGAGAATTCCTGTTCTGTCGTGGGTATAAATACATACATAGAATAATTTTCGTGACCTTGTAATCTAGCTAGTGCTAGTGAACATCCAAGTTACTTCCTTAATAACTTAATGACTTAATAATACCATCCCACCATACCAATCTCTAACAAAACAAAACAAAAAAATAAACCTGCTACTTAGAATCATTCGTCCATATTATGTTTTCAACCAAGGGTATCCAATTTCAATGATGTCTTTTTCTCTTATGCATACAAATCTCCATTCGTTCCTTTCTTTCCTCCTCCTGGCTCCTCCTTCCATAAAATAAAAAAGCAAGGGTTTAAAAGTATCAAACGTTCAAAAAAAGGTGTAAAAAGTAAAATAATGGCTTATCAAAAGTCCACACTGGTGAACAGTGTAAAAGAAAAGACAACTAAAACGAGAGCAAGTAAAGCAAGAGGGTTGGGAGAAGGATGAAAAAGGGTGAGAAGGGTGAAGAGGGAGGGAGGGAAGCAGTTAGTAGATACAGTGAAGTGGGGGAGGGCAGATGAAAGCAAGGGTGTAAAGCAAGGGAGGAAGAGTAAGAAAGTGAATATGAATATGTACCCAATACACCAGGAATCGGGTATGCACAGCGAAACTTGAGAGCAAGGGCAGGCAGTAAGGAAGGGAGTCGTAAGTCGATGGAGAGTGAATAAAGCAAAACAGGTAAAAGAAACGAACGGATTGAAAGGCAGAAGCAGGGATGGGAAGTAGGCTAGACAAGGACGCACGAATTAACTGAAAGCTAAGGAAAAAAACAACTGCTACAAAGAACGAAGAAAAAATAAACGAGGATGAAGGGTGAGGTGGATGGGAAGAGGAAAAAGATGTATGTGGTGGATGTATGATACAGGGTATCCTTTTTCGTGCGTCTGTTAACCCGCCCCTTCTTTATCTTTCCTTGCTTCTTCCATTTCGTTTCCATACCGTCTCGCTTTACGTTTTCCCTACTCCACAAACTGACAACTACTCCCGACCGACAAGGACTACCGCCGGCCGGCCTCGCCGCTCGCTCAAACATTCGCAATCATCAAGTTCCGCGGACCGGCTCCTTGTTGTCCAGGACCCGTCGCGAACGCATAGTCCGCATACGCATCTGAGCCCGACGACGCGCGCACCGGTTGCTGTTGTTGAGCTTGCACATTCGGCATCGGAGCCTGAGCACCTCCGCCGCCATGCTGTTGACCGAACGTCGAGCCAGACCAGTTACTTCCGTTCGTCGCGTTCCGCTGAAGTGCCTGTTGCTGTTGAGTCTGAGACTGGGATGGAGCCATGTATGCCGGTTGTTGGTACGTAGCGTACGGACTCTCGTACGTATATCCTTGCATAAGCGGTGGACCTCGAGCAGGTGGTGCAGGAAGGGGATTGAACGCACCCACCCCCGCAGGGTTCTTTGTTGGCGGAGGTGGGGGTCTCTGATCAATTGTCCCATCACTCAACTGACGCCGATGTCCATACCCCATAAGCGCCTCATCACTCGCCGCCGTCCGTCCCGACGGCGTCCTCGCAAGTTTCTCACCACCACCTCCTACACTACCACCACCAGTACCTAATCCATCCGGGTCAGGATTCGGCCAGAACCCAGCCCCAAAGTTCTCCGCCTCACGTTCCAAGCGATTCTTCCTGCGCCTCCGAATCGCCCATGTACTAACCACCACGAGTAAAATCAGTGCTACGAGTCCCGCTAACGCGAAGATCGTCCCCGATAGTGGTTTATTCTGCAAAAACGACTTTTGTGTGCCTGGTGCAGTCGCAGTTTGCGATTCAGTTGCAGATGCCTGAGGGGCATCTGCGAAAGACGTAACGGTGAAAACTGAGTCACCGGACGTGCTGAGGATTGTCGTTGGTGTCTCGTCCTGCGAGATCGACTGAGGTATTGGTGTTGTTGATTGGGTTTGCGCGGAGGTGGAAGTGCTTACAACTGAAGAAGAGGTCGTCGTTGACGAAGACGAAGATGTTGAAGTGGAAGAAGACGTGGTTGAGCTGGACGTGGTCGAGGACCTGGTCGAGCTACTAGTTGTTGAAGAAGATGATGAAGAGCTGGGTGAATATTTATTGACATCGCTGAGATGATGAAATGATTTGAAAATGAAAAACACGTACCTGGACGACGTGGGAGTCGCACCGATGCTCGTCAAGCCTCCGACTGCACTAGTCAGGCCGTCAACTGCACTGGTCAGGCCACCGACAAGACCACCACCACCATCGTCTGGCGTAGCAGCCGCATTGGCTACAGTAGCGGCCCGGGTGGAGGAAGACGAGTCGTCGCTATCCACAAAGAAAAAGAAAGACACGGGAAATGAGAAATCCGGTTAAAACCAAAGCACGTTTTCGGAGCTACTCACCCATCGGGAAGCACTATTTGCAGCAGACACCGGAAAAGAGAAAGTCAGAATGAGCTCCCTGAGGAAGGAAAGATAAAAGAGATATACGCACAGCCGAGGAGTGCCCGCCTCTGCACGCTCACTTCACGTCTGTAATCCGGAGGAGGGGCCATGATGAATCGCACGTCTCAAGAGGGATTAATAAAGGTATCGATAAAAGAATGTCGGTTCGAGAGTGCCAAGGTAGCACACGAAAATCGTAGAGTGAGGTTAGAAGAGCGTCAATAAGTAACGGAGCGCAGAGGGATGATCTTGGCCTCTGCAAGTAGAGAGGAGAGAGAGAAGAGGAAGAAGGGAGTAGAGAGGGATGAGAAAAGGAGAGGCGTTGGCGACGGGTGCAGCACAGCTGCGACTGGGTCAGTTCCAAGCAAGCGAGCATACGAAAATAAAAGACGCTCCACTCTTATTTCCCATTTCGCCCACGCTTAGGTTTCACATCGCCCACACATGTCCACTCTTGGCAGCTGACGCGGGTCATCAACACCATACATGGATAAATCGCGCGGTGGCCTCGGTGGAGCACTTCCTGTCGCTATGGTCGCTATGGGCACGTGTTCCTTCCGACTCCATTATTCATTTATGAAGATCCCTAGCGAATAAAATAACATAAAACATAAAGAGCCATTTTTATTTTATCCGTCTAAAGAGTACGACTGCGGAGCTGCGTATTTTTCTCTCGTATCTCACTCATGACGACTCATCATCACCCAACTTCCCTCCTCGGTTAGTCTCGTCGCTCTCTCTCCCACTCTTCTGGTCTACTTTCTCATCCAACGGGCCCGTCCTACTAGTAACAACCTCCATCTCCTCCTTCCGAGCGCGCTTCGTCCTTCTGCGTTCGCGTCGCTCAAGCCACCATACAAGCGCAGTCACTCCCAGCGTAGCAATACACGTACAAATCATCGCTATCATACCCTTCTTGAAACGCGGTGCGTCTGAAGCGGCGTAGAATAACAATGGCCACCAGGCGTTAATCACGTTGTTCCACATGCTATTGTTCCCGACCCAAGTAACAATGAGTCCATGAACCAATATGTAGGACCATCATCAGTTGTTAGTATAGCAGTAAGATTAAAGTCATCAATCATCAAACGCAAATAAATGAGTCTTCTCTGTACTCGTTGTAAGAGTAGGAACGGCCTGTACGTACTTCATGGACGCCAAGACAACCGCCCGTTCTTGGTGGTCGTCTGCACAGATTTGGTTTGCCCAGCTGTACAAAACACAATAACAATCACGATTAGGCCCGTTAGAATTGATATCGAAATCGATATGGAATGCGGGGTCAAAACGCTTATTGTAATTGTAACTGTAATTGTTATACTCACGCAAAGGTCGTTGCTTGCCCCGCGTACGAAGCTCCCGAGAGATCTGCAATTCAACCCAATTATAAAAATCAGTTCCCATCGACTTCAACTCTTCAATAGTCACTGTAGATTAAGAAAAGAAATACTGACAGTACGCAAAGAACTTCGCTGCAATCGGCGTACTCCAGACCAATATCAAAATACTCGATACTATGCACGCAATGGACATATACACTAGTACAGGCCATCGTTTACGTGTATAATCCGTCCACGTTGCGCATACGAGTGTGGAAGCTATTGCGAATGCAGTTTGCCCGGACGGGTAATAATCTAAATTTAAAAAATCCGATCCAAGTCAAACTCGATTCTAAAGCAGTTCGAAAGAAACGTACCAATTTGCGCAACACTATACCCCCCAATAGCCTTCAACCACTGTCCCATCAGGTTATTCGACCCAAAGCTCTCCGTCTCTCCCGAAATCGCAAATAACAAACTACACCCGTACCACCTCCACCTACCTAACACACGCCTCGCAAGGTCCCACGAAAGCTTGCCTTTCGAAGTGTCGATATTAATCTCCGCGTCGGACGTGTTTTCGAGACGTGATGATGCGAGGCGTCGTTCCTACGTTGGATTTGATATTCCATGTCAGACTTCAGAAATAGGCGGTGGTAAGTGAAACGAACAAACTCACACGTTCAGAGATGTAAAAGACGTCAGTTGTTGCAGGGACGTTTGGAAAGACCATGAATCCGTAGAGAGCAATTGGAAGAGTAATAACGCCGTCAATAATAAACCTGTAATAATAAAATTATTATTATTTAACGCGCATATATCCAGGATGGTGGTCAGACGTACAGCCATCGCCATCCACTCCTCCCTGCATGACCATTGAGATTCCTGTATGCAAACACGAAATCAATTGAGAAATTGCTGTCCTTGTGCGTAAAATGGATGCGTACTTATACACAGCAGCTTGTAAAACACCAGAAAACCTATTCAACGAATTTTTATTAACACCAAACTTTGAAATGTACGGATTCTGAAATATTCGGAATACGTACAGTGTTCCAACTAGACCCGAACTCGTGAATATTCCAGATCGTTTCCCCAGCTCTGCTGGTTTATACCACCTAGAATACGCATTCACGATTAACAAACGACATGTTTATAACAACGCAATAGCAAGGGCAGACGTACGAGCCAAGAACGTAATGTGTCCCTACGAAAGTCGACGACTCTGCGATTCCTTGCAAGAACCTGATAGCCCATATCTATCAATCAGTCTTCATGAGTCGGACTTGTACGTATGTATAGGAATTTGGATAAATGCGGCATTACTTGCTGGACGGTAGATACAGCACTCGAGCTGAAGGAATCTCATTTTAGTTTGGGTTCAAGAGACTGAATGGACGAATGGATAAGAACGCACCAGAATGTCAATACACCCCAAACGATCTGCATAACTGGAAACCAGATTCGAGGTTGCACGACTTGTAGCATTAAATTATCTGTTCACATTCATTTATTCATTCATCAGCTCGTTGAGTATGAATTTGGGAGAGAGAAAGAGAGGACAAACGCACTCGGTATCATCCCGACGATATATCCACATGTGAAGAATGTGTTTATTTTCTTCGTTGGGTTGTTCAATTCTTGTTTAAAGATGGAGAGCAGGCGTTGAGTTGAATAGACGTACATTGTAGTCTGTCCCGTGCATGTTAAGCTCCTCTTTCATTCCCGATACATATGCGTTTGCGACATTAGATCTATCAAGATCTTCAGAGAAACAACGTAACAATCCAGCGATTATTAATCTTCCGTGCAGCAGTATTAAACTCGAAATGAGTTTGTGCACGTACAATTTGTGAAGTACTGGAATTAAAATCCATGGGATCAGTTATGACTGAACAGAATAGTGGATGCAGTGCAGTATATTGACTGACCATTAAACAGCAATACGACAAAATGAACCAGTCGATCTTGAAGAGCAAGTTCCTCTCCTCCTTCGTTGCGGGTATTTCGCCCCACACGAAATGACGGACACGGTGGAGCAATGGCATGTTATTCTTAATTTAGAAAGTTAATCGTTAAGGAAGCTAGCAGACGAGGGACAAGCCCAACATGAGAGAGGAGAGGAAGAGTGTTATCGGAGTACAAATGGACATGGTTTTGACAGATAGCATTGTTATTCCGTCAAGAAAGGATCAGTGGTGGATACAATTTGTCGGGGTCGGCCCGGGATTGTTCGGCGCGTCCGATCGGCGTTTACGCGCCTCCTCAAATCATGTGCCAATCCCGTTCACTTGCTTTCAACTTTTACCATGGCGGACAACGGCAACAACGATGGCAACAACGACAACGGACCGCCATCTAAGCCAACGGAGAATGAGAATGAACGCCCACCAAATACTCCGCAACCACCCCAATCACCTCCATCAACTCCGTTAAACTCAGAAAATGAAGTTGCAAATACACAACAGCCTCCAGAATCACCTCCTTCCCCTCCCTATACGTCTCCTTCAACACCGCCAAGCTCAGCCTCAGAAGACAGGACCGCACTGATCCATCGTGCACGCGCCTTTCTTGTCTCTCCAGACGTCGTACACGAGGATCCTGCCACAAAACGGCGCTTCTTATCCGAGAAAGGTTTGAGGGTGGATGAAATTGATGGTCTATTGCGCGAGCTAGTGCGTAATTACAACAGATATTTTAATATATTGTTGTTAATTAATCGTGTTTCTTGTCTTTCAATAAAAGCCTCCCCAGCTCCCTCCTGTTCCACCACGCACCTACCCTCAACCTCCTCCTTCAAAACTGCCTTACCTCCTTCTTGGCCTTACGAGGATATTCACGTGGATAACAGGAAGCTCGGCGGTCCTTATATTCATTTATTATGTGCGTTCATCTCCAACATCTTCTCTTAGTTCTTATTTTGACGAATGGGGTTTCGTCCAGAAATTCCTCCTTCCCCGCCTCACACGCTCCGCACTCGCACGACGTGCACTCAAGCAACACCAAGTCGCCCTTCTCAAGCGACTCAACGCGTCTTTAGCAGACCTTAAAGGAACACAAGCGGAGGCGCGCACTGTCCTTCCGTCGCTCCCAACTCCTCTCGAACCAGCAGAGTTCACAGAGATTCACACTCTCGACGAGCTCAAACTAGACGGAGAAGCTCCTATTACCGTTCCAGCGTTTACGCTACTGAGATGCACGATCGAAGGACTCGCGAAGGAGGGTAAGAAGCCGACGAGGGAGGAGCTGTTCTCACTTTTGGAAGAGAGGTATACGTGGTTGAAGTCTGATGAGGGTCTTGCATATCAGGTTCAGCAATTTATTCTATTTACATAGTTATCGTTCGTTCTCCTAACAGACAGTCGCAGGACTCACTCTGGGAAACACTATCAACCAACCCCTCCTTCTCCACCTCCAAAGAAACCGACCGTCTCATCTGGACGTACACTTCTCCCCCTCCCACCCAGCCCCAACCAACACCCCTCCAAGCCTCCCTAACAACCCTCCTCTCCTCCTTCCCTCCTCACTCCCGCAATACACATACTACAACCGAACGAACTCCAACCCAACGCACACTCGAAGCCCTGGCAGACTTCACAGGCTACATAACTACACAAACTTACCAGTTCTCTTCAGGTCTCATGCGTCATGGCTTCTCCTCTTCCTTCTCTTCTTCTTCCACTTCTTTTTCGTCGAGTCCGCTGAGCCCACAACAGGAAGAAGTGAAGAAGGAGATTAGAGCATTGAAGGGACTTGTGTTGAACAGGTGCGTCTCCGTTGCGTTTTCACTTTATCTTGTGGCTGACGTTATTATTTTATTTATTTCTTATAGACGAACGTTCGCGCCAACAGCTGTTAGACCCCCTTCGTATGGATCTGAGGGGCAGTCGTCTTGATTATCCTTCGTCGTTTCTCATCAGCTGCCATGTACATGAATAAGAGAAAGCAATTCATCTCTTTCTCACGTCGTCCGCAGTCGGGTAACTGGAGACAAGTGTACACATTTAATCTTCAAGGCTGACATTAATAAGACTGTCACGCCTACGCGAGAGATGGATATTTGATGTAAAATATATATTTACGTTTATGCTGGTATGATGGTATATGGTTTGGCAGCCACTTGTCATAAAAAAATACGAAAAATAAAATGGGGCAAAAAAGCGGCTGCCTACAAATTGAAAGTTGAAACAGTTGTAATTGTGAAGAAATGTAAACGTAAAACATAGTCGATTTCTTGAAGGTTCGCAATAAAAAAGGCAAACTTGAGGAAGCTGAAAACCAGAAATATTTAAATGCGGGTGTAAGTTCGAATTCCGAAAGAGAGTAAATCTAAAAGGAGCGGCACGAAGCTCACCAGGAGCTTCTGAAGGACTATAAACAGAAGATAGCAAAATTAAATATATGTGTAGTGATACAATAGTTTTGGATATTCCGGGCCCAAAAAAAGGTCCCATGATGAAGTTTGGCAAAGACAAAGCGAAGTTGAGGTCCGCATGCAAAGATGATTGGTTGGTTAGGAGTACAAGTCTGCAGTGAGGTGAAATATATGAGGACAGAAGCGCAAAAGAGAACAAAGCGGCATAAACACATAAACGTCGAACACGGAAGCACAGAAGCTGATCAATCACAACCGTCCAAGAGTGAACTTCGCGGGATCTTCTGTTTAAAGTCATCCACCCATGTTGTCAAATTGGGATTTGTGTACGCTTCGAGATATCTAAGAAATAAATTACGATTGAGTCTGATAACTGAAGAAAAGTAAAACAGAAGACGTACGTGTTGATGTAATCCGCAGTAGGGAAGTCCTCAGGATCACACCCTATGTTCTTCTGACCCTTCTTCTGATAGACCCGAACATAATCTACAAGCATCGTAGAAGGGAATGGAAGGTGTTCCAAATCAACCGTCGCGAAGTTGGTCGACATACCGAACTGCATAATGATGTACTAAAGCGGGAATCGGGTTAGGGTCTTGAGATACCAGTTATCCAGCCCGACTTACCATAGGCTCTTGCGGAATGGGCCGAGCGCTAATATTCACGCGTTCATCTGCGGCAAAACCGGCCGCCATCGCAGTCCATGTAACCTTGTTATCCGAGATCCAGGTGATGTAAGCATTGTCAAATCCAGGTTGGTACTCAAACCCGTATATGGAGAAACAGGAAGTCTCGTTTGTGTAGCATCCTTGATTCGTGTTCGTGACAACAGAGGACGCTTGCTCTGTAAGGTAAATAAAAGAAGAATTTATTTTTAATTTAACTAAACTTGGATCAGAATTCAAAAAATACTTACGGAATGCACCACCAGTATACGTGTTTAACTCAGAAATGCTCGGATTTGCGATGATCAAATTATCCGACGTGTTGAACCACTCATACCTGCAAATAAAATCAGAAATTTCCCGGTGCAGTTAAGCTGATCGAGAACGAACGCGTAGTTAAACGGAGCCCACTGGGCACTTTGACTGACTTGTCCCACATTGTTTGTAATTTGCGCTTCGAATATATCGATTTCAGGTGCAGAGCGCCCAACATATGTTCCATCCGAATGCATAGGGCCAGGATGACTTTCACCAGGACAAGTGCAGCGAGACAGTCTTTGACCAGGTAGGAAGGAAAGTGCGCCATTTGCCGACGGGTCGCCGTCGACCGTAGCAAGAGTTGGTTGCCCATTGATTGTCTGATTGGGGGCTGTACCCACATCGCAGGCGTCATATGTGTACGGCCACATACCCTCCAAAGAAGCACCGTAACCCGCTCTGCCAAGATTACCCATAGTCCATCTAGGAATTAAATTAAGCTCAGTTTCCAATCGTCCAGATATGATTCCTCCTCAAGGGCTTACACTGAAGGCCAGAAGCCACTTAAAATTACAATGAGTATCATAATGTAGGCCGTTCAAATCAACGGAACTTACGTGACGTCGGTCAATCCAGGTAAAGAAACGTTAACCTCGATGTAACCCCCAGTGAAGCAGAACTTGTTCCATGAGGTCATATGTCCACTTTGATAGTTGAGATCGTGCGTATTCTTTTGGGACATCGTAATTTGCAATGCCTAAGTGGCGGATCGGGTTATTATTCAATTTGTTGTACTTCCAGGAATCCGATGCGGTAATCACTCACTCCATTAACGGTAGTTACTGCCGCGGGATCATACCTTTTCAAAACCAACGATCAATGAAAACGCTATGATCCCATTTGCCAATCTCGACTCACCACTCCATGTCATTAGTGGACCAGTAATGCATGTCTGCGGCTTCCCAATACGGATCATCACCAGGATAAAACGAGCGACCTTCCGTATTGAACTCATCGGAGAATACTAGCTCCATCTCGGTATTATCCCACCAGCTGGTCTAAAAATGGAAATTCCAGAAATTAGCACCGGATATTCATAAGTAGCCAAGAAGCGTGATGGAAAGTTTATTGCGGGAAAGCGGACCCTACCTTTGTATATGCCTCCTTCGGTGTGTCAATATCAATAAGTGCAAAATTTCCCATAGTAGAAATCTATGCGCAAGGAATAATTCACATGTGGCACAGGAGATTCCATGATGGAACATACCTGTCCCGATGCGTTTATCCCTCCGATGTTGAACCCACCGAGCTTGGACAAGGGTGAACTCGTAAAATGCGAAATAATCGGGTATCCGGCGCTGGATTGGGCCCGTTCAGCGCGCTAGTGGCTGAAAAAGAAAATGGAATAGCTTACAAGAGACCGACAAGAGCGACTAGCAAAACTACGAGGCAGCCAACGTTCTCAATACCACGCCATGTAAAGATTTGCTTGTCAGCTTTCAGCTTTGATCGATTCTCCGGAGTATGCAGGTAATCGTCCTCCTCAACGAGATCCGGAGAAAGATTGGCACCCCATTGATTTGGATCCGCAGCGAAAGAATACTAGATAAATGAAAAAAAGAGTGGCATAGAGAATTTAGTACTGTATTATAAAGACAATAGAACGGACCTTACCTTGTCAGAAACATGGGACATCGAATTCACGGACTTGCGGTCTCCATAAGGACTGTCATACTACAGAGTGATAGCGGGATTAGGTAACTAAGCGGATCGACTTGAAAAAATAAGCAGAAATACGCACAAAATTATGTGCATCCAGGAGACTCTTTTCACTGCCCGCCGAGCGCCTGGCTATTGACGAGGCTGAGTCCATAAATACATTGGTAGGACCGCGGCTATTTCGACGAGGGATTGGACTAGAGGAAGTGCTCGTCGTTGGGGAGTCCTGGGAGGAAAAGGATCCGGTGGCTTCCTGGCTGCGCAGGTAGGCGTCTGAGGGCGTCCTGTGCATCTTGGGGATGCTGCGAACGGTAAGGACAGTGGGTGGAGGATATAAGGAAAAGAGGGGAAGGGGGGAGTGAGCTGGCTGTTGTTGATGTAACTGGGAAACAAAAGAAAAGGGGGCGCAGCAACCGTGCGATAAAGGCGGTTGCGATTTCGGTGACGTTCCGAACATATTATTATTTTAGCTCCGTCACCCTACTTATAATTAGAACAAGGGACATTTATGCACGTTATGTAATCATTGATTTACCGCGTCTCGCTAGCATGGGATCGACATCCACCTGTCTAGATCTGTCCAGAGTCTAGCCCTTGCCAGCGAACATTGAACAGCCACGCGTGCCGTTTGCTTTAACGTCGACTGCAGTTGAACGTACTTGAGCAACTTCAGCATGTAATTATCAAAGGTACACTGCAACTCAATGTGGGAACCAGGAAACCCATATCCTATCTACCGCTCCACATGGTTTTATTTTCCGTTGTGAAAAAATTCATCCGCAAATCACCGTGAGATCAGATCACAGCAATTTGACCCGACCAATCACCATCTCCTCCCCCCTTTGACCTTGATTCGGATGGAGATGCAATTACATCTGGTTCTTGCTAGATGAACACGTCGAACCAAAAAGAATTGGATGCAGCAGCGATTGCATCTGTGAAGAGAGATGCTTCTTTATGCAATTATCCCGTACACCCGACACCGATGAAACGGACGAGAAGCACGTTTGATGACGTTCGCCTTGACATCACTTGAACGATTGAACGCTCATCGCTTCGCGATGCGTTTCATTGATCTTTAAGAATAATGATATTCGGTCCCTACCCGTTACAATGTCTACAAAATGGGTGAGTACGAAGATATGGAAAAGCTCTAATCTGTATGACGTTCAGGTATGGTCAATCTAAGAATTTACGGGGCACACAGCAATGGCGCCCTTCCGAATCGGACGAAGGACACGAAGTAGCACTGGGCAGCCGTTCAGTGAGAATTATCGGCGAGAACAGCTCAAGGTCAGAGGAGCTAGTCACAACCTGTGACAAGCTTATTTTTCGGCACCCGCTGCTTGTAATCATCTACCCAAGTTGTCAAATTAGGGTTTGTATATGCTTCAATATACCTGAGCGAAGACTCAAATCAGAATCTGTAGAACGAGGGAAATGAAACGCAGAGAACGCACGTATTGATATAATCCGCAGTCGGAAAGCCCCTAGGATCACACCCGATATTCTCCTGACCCTTCTTCTGATAGATGCGGATATAATCGACCAACATCGCCGAAGGAAAAGGAAGCTTGTCCAGCTCAACAGTCTGAAAGTTCTTCGACATGCCAAACTGCATAATCACATACTACAGCCGGAAGCCGGTTACTAAACACCATGGGAATCTAAGTGGATCGGTTGACATACCATGGGCTCCTGAGAGACGGGCCGGGAGCTTATGTTCACGCGGGGGTCTGCCGCCAAGCCGGCTCCTTTCAGAGCCCATGATGCCTTATTATCCGCGATCCAGGTGATGTATGAGTTGTCAATATCGAAACCCGGCTTGTATTCGAATCCGAATACTGAGAAACATCCGGCCTCGCCCGTATAGCAGTTCTGGTTCGTCTTCGTCAGAACAGATGTCGCTTGTTCTGTGAGAAATAATATAATAATCTACTCTCGGCGTGTTCAATTCGGAATAGTAAAGGACGTACGATGAATGCCGCCTCTGTATGCGTTCAGGTATGAAAGCGTCTTATTTGGGATGCTCAGATTTTCAGACGTATTGTACCATTCATAACTGTGTACTAAATCAATATCAACGAAATTAACGCGAAATTAGGTGAGAACGACGAACGAATAGCCAAATGGAGCCCATTGCGAGCTTTGACTGACTTGTCCGACTCTTTTGTCCACCAATGCTTCGAACACGTCAATTTCGGGTGCGCCACGTCCTACGTACGTTCCATCTTTATGCACAGGACCAGGATGACTCTCCCCAGGACATGTACAGCGAGAAAGCCTCTGCCCAACCAGATAAGAAAGTGCACCGTGATGATAGGGGTCCCCATGTATTGTGGCGAGATGCGGTTGCCCGTTGATTGTCTGATTCGGAGCCGTTCCAACGTCGCACGAATCATAAGAGTAAGGCCATGTGCCGTCCACAGTTGCACCGTATCCTGCTCGGCCAAGATTACCCATAGTCCAACTGTATATAGACGAAATGAAGTAAGTAATACTTCGGACGACGTCAGATGACTGCAAAAAGTGAGTTACATCGATGGCCAGAAACCTCTGAAAAGACATGAGTGAATATATTCAGAAATTAATACACGAAATGACGTACGTAACATCAGTAACTCCAGGTAGAGATACATTGACTTCAATATAACCACCCGTAAAGCAGAATTTGTTCCACGTTGATAGTTGAGCACTTTGATACTTGAGGTTGTGTGTGTCCTTCCTGGACATGGTGATTTGTAAATACTATCGAATGCATGTGGAATTAGGATAGAAGTAAGTCTAACAGTGTGAGCCTGCTTACGCCATTTGCAGTTGTGACTGCAGCAGGGTCATACCTGCACGAAATAGCGTAATTAAGCAATGTAATCGACAGCACTCGGGACGGAAAGCTTACCACTCCATATCATTTGTTGACCAGTAATGCATATCAGAAGCCTCCCAATACGGATCATCGCCGGGATAGAATGTGCGTCCGTCTGTGTTGAACTCATCGGAGAAGACCAGCTCCATGTCGGTGCCATCATTCCAACTTTTCTAAATATCAGAGAGGATTAAAACTATTCCTCGACCCCCAGCACAAGCTTGTTGATAAGAAATGTCCGGACCTTTTCATATGCTTCTATTGGAGTGTCCTCGTCGATTAGCCTGTAATTGCCGAAGAAAGGTACCTACATAAGAGTACATGTAAGGAATCACGATTTCGCAGCAGGTTCATATCGGAAACACACTTGACCAGATGCATTTATCCCGCCGATGCCAAATCCACCAAGTTTTGACAAAGGATGTTTTGCGTAATGGATGGCAATCGGAAGTCCGGCACTGATGATCCACAAATCCGTGAGCACAATAGATATAAGCGAGAGTCGACAGCTTACAACAGGCCAACCAGTATAGTGGTAAGGAGGACTAAGCCGCCAATGTTCTGAAAGCCGCGACGAGAAACAGTAAATAATGCATCGTCATTTTTCTTGTCGGGTACGTCAGGGTCGTGCAAATCGTCATCATCCTCGGCCACGTCAGGAGATATATTGGTACCCCATTTACTAGGGTCTGCAGAGAACAAATACTGTACAGATGAAGCCTGCAAGGCTCGAAATGGCTGATAAATACGAATTAGAGCTGCCTTCGCAAAGATAGAAAGCAGAGTCAATAAAGTAAGGTAGGAATACACGTACCCCATCGGCCTTGCGCAATAGAGAAGATAGCAACTTGCTCTCGCCAATGATAGTGTCCTTCTAAGGCAACAGCAAAAGCATTACTAGGGCCTGACGACCTGTCTTCACGTAGAACAAGTGACCTACAAAGCACAGAGTATCAGGGAGACTCTTTTCGCTGCATAAAGAGCGTCCCGGTATTGATGTAGACGATTCCGCGAGCGCAGGAAGAGAGCTTGTACTGGTCTGCCGAGAAAGAGGAGGCGAATCGAAACTAGTCGTTGAAGAGTCCTGAAACGTGACATATTTTTCTGGTTGTCTGTCGCGTAGCTGGGAATTTAAGACCGTACGCAGCATCTGTGACATAATGCGAAAGTAAAGTGTTTGGTGAAGGAGAAGAAAAGCGAGAATGAGAATGCGAAATCTTTCTGTTGCTTATGTGCAGTATCGGCCGGAAGTAGCGGCGCCGGTAAACACGGTGTCAAAGAGTAATAAAATGAATCGTGCCCGGCCTCTGCTGTTCAAACTAAGATGTGCGGAATCGCAATCCATATGGTTTTTTGCTTTGAGGAAGTCACCCACATGGTATGTATTCCTCGGATAGATTGCGGGCCAAACCCGGCCTTTGAAGTTTCTACGTGTATTAAGCGAAGTTAGAAGAGAACTCTTTCGAAGACAAGAAGTCCGAAACCATGCTACGCGGGAGAAGTACTAAAAGTCTGTCTATCTACTCTCATATCATATACAACTGCTCACCTAGAGGGCTTCATATTCTATAGAATATAGCGCTATGCTGTATTTCCCTGCAATTGTCGGCGAGAAGCGCTGCAGAGCAAGTACAGTTTGAGATCCCAGGGTATGTTCTCAGAGTTTCGTCGCACATCCAGTGCCTCCGGAAGCCTAGACATATGGTTATTGCGCCTTGCGCCTGTTAGCGAAATAAACTGGAGATAGAGTCGTCTTGACGTTCCAATAACGAAGTTGACAGGACCGGTAAACGAGTAACTCTAGAACACAGGAGGACAGAACATCGCGAGTGTCGATCGCAAAGGGGATATGACGTCTCGCATTGGTAGCCAATATTTGACATCATAATAAAAATAAGTATCTGCTCTCTGTCGTGGTTTCTGCAGACAGTAGAGATGAAATGAAGCGGAAAGATAGAGTAGATGTTATCACGTGATCTGCGTGCCGATTCTCCCGAGGCAAAAGAATCCGTTATCAAAGATTTCTATATCTACGACACTACGACTGTTGCGACATGTAATTGTAAAGAACATCACGGCTTGCATCGATGACAAACATTTCACAGCTCACGTCGCTGTTCTTTTACTTTGAACATCAAAAGGAAAGGTGAATTGATAAGAAAACCTAATTAGGACGTAACTTGCGGTTGCCTATGGCCAGGCTCATACATCCACTTTGCAGTCTGTGGCGAATTCTCCGTATATTCTAGTTTCTCGCCACACTCACCCTTTGCTACAAAAACTCTCATTTTATTAGGGGTGCCGTTGGATTGTGTCTGCTTTCAAGGCGTGCAACCACGTTCTTTGCCTCTGACATAACGAGCTCGCCACTTGCTTCGTTCAACGTGCATCAACGATGAACCGCAAATCCCACGCTCTGGGGCTTTATAAGAACGGCAAGCGTATTGCAAGCGGCGGATTTGGGTTCGTGCACAGCGGAAAGACTCCAGACGGTAAAAAGGTCGCTATAAAATATGAGCGCACGAATAACAGGATCACCCGTCCCTACCTCGAACATGAGGCCAACGTATACCGTCTCCTCGAAGGCCACCCGTGCGTACCAAAAGTCTATGCATACGGTCGCGAAGCACCCTGGAACATCATGGTCTTTGATTTGCTCGGCACGAGCCTTGAAACACTCTTTGAGAAGTGTAAAAGCAAGTTCTCGTTCAAGACGACGTTCATGCTTGCTCCCCAGATAATAGACTGTATCCAATACTGCCATAGCAAAGGCATCATTCACAGAGATATAAAACCAGACAACTTCCTAATGGGTAGAGATGACCGTGCCAATTTCGTGCATATCATCGATTTTGGACTGGCAAGACGCTACAAGAACCCTAAATCAGGCCAGCACTTCCCATATTTCGAAGGCCATAACTTTTTCGGGACCACTCGATATGCAAGCTTGAAGGCTCTTGAAGGATGCTCGCAGTCACGCAGGGACGACCTTGAATCGGCCGCATATTCATTGATTTACTACATGCGTGGAAGACTACCTTGGCAAGGCCTTCGTGGCGGGACTGACAAGCACAGGGACCAGCGTGTCAGAGAGAAGAAGCGAACGTGGACTCCAGAACGTCTCTGCGAAGGTCTACCCGAAGAACTCGCTAAAATGCTTGCGTATATCAAGACCCTCGAATATGAAGACGAACCCGATTACGAATATTTGAAGAAACTCTTCACAGACCGCTTCAAGAAGGAGGGGTTCGAACTCGACTACGATTACGACTGGCTTCATATTGTCGATGAGGAGAGGAATACCGGAAGCGAGGTGTCGCTGTCAGATTCCAGGAGCTACGAACCTAAGAAGCATCGCGCAGATAAACTCCCTCGAGTTGATTCTGCCGATGCAGACGACGAAGGAAACGTGGTGGCACGAAATACTACTCGGCGAGCTGCCGGTAGGGATATATCTATGGCGCTCGAAGAGCAGAGCTCCGAGAAGCTTGCGGGCTCCGAACTGAAGGACAAGAAGCCGGTTCGCGCGTCCATCGGCTCCGCGCCCTACTCTGACGTGTCTGGTTCCTTCAGCGACGAGCGCTCCATCTCACAGTCCGACAAGTACAGCAAGTCGCATCGCTCCTTCTCACCGGGACTCCAAGATTCTTCCAGCTCACAGGAGAGCAATGCACCAATCAAGAAGGGTGACTTTGTCCTCGTCAAATTCCTTCCACGTCCGACGCTCGAAGGCAACTCTGCGTTGTCTAATTCAAGCGGATTTATCGACAACAGTTATTGGCACAATCCGTCACTTTCGGAGGACGAATGGCACTTCCCGTTCCGTCCGGCGCTGGTAACCAAAGTGGAAATCGGTACAAGAAACACCCGTCTTTACGTGCTTCCGATTATGCAGCGCTCTGATGGTCTGGCAAAAATTTCCAAAGACCGTCGCCCAGCTTTCTTCCAGATCTGTCCCAATGAAGCCGCTGAGAAAAAGGAAACAGGTGAGGACGAAAGACTGAAGCTCTATCCAACACCCAACTGGCCGTACGAAGGGACATATGTTCAGCATCAAACCGACGTCTTCCAAATCCTCGTGCCAACCTCTGAGACAAAGACCGTCGATGTAATCTGGCGTATTGACAAGGAACAATTGAAGGAACTTTATTTAGCGCGCGATGATGTGAGGGCTGTAATCAACAATGATGACTACCTTTCGGATGCAGGTACCGAGACGGACGAGGTGAGGAGGCGTCAGAGTAGGAAACGTGTCATTTCCCAGTACTCTCTCTACGGCGCGGTTACATCTTTAACAGAGGAAAGTCTTAAACGCGATGATGTTAACGCTCAGGGATCCAACGGATGGTTGTTCGAATTCTTCAAAACCGATAGACGCCGCAACCACGAAAACGGTTACTACACGGGAGACAGTGACGACGACTCTTTCAACGATGACGATCTTTCGATATTCACCGGACGTTCACCAGGCAACCGCAGATTATCCTGCACATTGGCAATTGACGGAGATGTGATTCTGGAGGCGGCCTCCATGGACGGAGGATCTGATCGTGATTCGTTGGCGAGCTCAAGATATCGCTCGCCGTCAAACAGATCAAGACGGAGCTCTCGCAGGTCAGGCGGCAGCTCTCGCGCCTCCAAGGCTGGCTCCGCAAGGCACTCCGCCGGAGTTGGCCCGCGCTCCCTGAGACACAAAGTCCTTAACTACGCAGCTCGTCATAATTACGACACTCGGTCTAACTCTACGGTCGCATCGACCGACTCTGACAACCCTGTCATCAAACACAGGTCTCGCGTAGATCCCACCATGGATGCCGGTATACTAGATAGCTCTGAACCAGGATCTTCTTCGAGCCTTTCTTCTCATTCAAGCTTCGGGTATGGCTCGCTGGATTCGTATATGAGTTCTTCGGCTGACTCCGGTGGATACTCTTCTTCTCTTGCTGACTCGAGTGCTAGAGGCTCTACAAGCGCTAGAGGGTCAACAACCGCCTCATCAGTAGCTATTGCTAGGCCTTCTAGTCCTTCCTACTTTGATGACTCGAGCGCTATCGGTCCCACGACCGCTTTGTCAGTGCCTAAGGCCGGGTCTTCTGGTGCTTCGTCTCGCCGCAGTTCCGACGCAAGCTCTCTCGCTCAATCAATTGTTGGATCTGCAGCAGGCTCTGTAGCGTCTTTGGCTCGATCCGTCGCGGAGTCGGTCGTTGGTTCTGGACAAGAGAGTGTCAGCCAGAATGCTCCGGAAACCAAGGGGAAAGTCACGATAGACGCTGGTTCTGGAAAAGGGGGTGTCAGCCAGAAAGCTCCAGAAGCAAAGGGGAAAGTCACGGTGGACGTTGGTGCTGAGCAAGGGACCGTTAACCAGAAAGCATCTGAAGCAAAGGGAAAAATCATGGTGGACAGAGCTGTCCAGACGGGTTCTCCAACCAGAAGCGTCAACGTCAAAGCTACTGGCGCCACGGGAAAACTCATGGTTAACGAAGCTGTTCAGACAAGTTAGACCGCTGAGGACTGAAACATGTTTGGGGTTTGTGTGCAAAGTAGAGGGAAGCTTTTTATATGTCTTACTTTATTTCTTTTCAATGAGTAAAATTAGACTTGGGACAATTCCAATCCAATCATGTTTATATACCTCACTTTCTAATTCCTGTCCTGCATTTACATCACTAAGGAGCAAGAAATATTTATTCTTACTACAAGTATTTACATTGGAATCGAATATACGCAAAAGTTCCTTTATTTGGATGTGTGAATCTTAAGTGCTTAATTATTCACATATTCTAGACTTGTGCCTGTGGAAAGCTAATGGACGAAAAGATGGCTAAAACAGGGGGTTCGTTTATTGGACCATAGACATATCCACCCATAACTATTGTACAGAGATCTGTACTCCACTCAGAGAAATAGTAAAAGGACATCAAACTTTCAAGTCTTTCGCTAAGGCATCAATAAGAGCCTGCAACCTCTTCGCCTCCTCCTGTGCAAGCGTAGCATTATTGTCAAACGTTAGGGCCTCTGTCAAGCCTGGGAAAGTCGTCGCTCCATAACCTAATGAACAGACCCAGATTAGTTTTACAATCGTAGAAGCAAGATAAGCGAGAATGCGAGAAAAGAAAAGAAAAAAGCGTACCTAACCACTTTCCAGGAGCAACGCCCAAATGCCTAAACCACTCCCGATCCTTGATACCCTCTTCGCTAATAAACCCTCTTTCGAAGGTTACGAGTTTCGCGTTGGATGCTTGGATGCGTCTGACTGCTTTGAAGAGCTTCTTGGCTAGTTTCCAACCTCCATGAACGTGATGGCCATGATGGTGGTGATGATGGTGATGAGCGTGTGCGTGGTGATGATGATGTGCATGCCGCTTCTCCTCTTCCCGTTCCTTGACCCAAGCAGGGAACCGACCAACACGAGGCTTCAATCTATGACTCGCACCTAAGTCCTTCGGCTGGTCTCTGTCAAGTCCGAACATTCCTCCATCCATCATCGTTTTACGTGTACATTTATCACCCAAACCAAACCACGAACAAATCTTCTTCAACACTTTATGTGCTTTACGACCCCATGATTTTCCGTGTCCGTGATGTCTGCGCCACCACTTTTTGAGAAGTCTTTTGAGGTGTTTCTCAGCGGAAGCTTTCTCTTCGTCCAGTGATACGCTTGCTTTTTGGAGTTTTGAGACGCTGGAGCGAAGTTCTGAGAAGTCGGTGGTTAGGCCCTTTTGTTGTGCTATTTCCTCGACTCTGATGGAGCATGGAAGTCAATAACTAAGCCTGCCTGGTTGTAAGAAAGTACTTACTTGTTGAGATAGAGATCCAGTTCGTACGCGTAGTGAGTGGTGTTAACGGGAAGGACGACGGCATCTGCAAGCCGGAGGAGCTGCAAGCCAAGATGCTTCGCAACAGCGACCTAGAATCAAAAACCATCATCAGACAAGTAGCTCTGATACAGTAATTCCTACTTACATGACGATGGAATCCAGGATCTCCATATCGTTCCTGCCACGTCTCCGAATCAAACACAGAGTGATAATGATACACAGGATCCGACAGTGTGGATCCAAATCCACCATTCGTACTAGCTACGCCAATTCGCTGCAGGAAGACCGTATAATCGCTACCAGAACCTAACGCACCAACGCTCGTTGATTCGCTGCGAACTGGGACGCCATCTGCATTGGCCTTCGAGCCGCCCTTAACGGCAATTCTTAGGGAGTCGGAGTCATCGAGGTCTTCGGGTTCGATCAACGGTTCGCCCCATTGTTCTTCCCAGACACACAACGCTTCCTCGTCAACCGCACCATGTAAAGGTCCAGAGTCAAACCGGGCTTGCCAAAGGGTCTTCCCCGGAATGGTTGGATGAGGGATGTCCTTCGCAGCGCCGCTCACGAGATGTGCGAGTGAAGGTGAAGCAGAGAGGCGGAAGCGGGATCCACTAACAGATGAGTCTGGAACAAACACTAGTTAAAATGTATGGACCAAGAAACGTGGGATGGTGGACGCACCGAGATTCAAATATGCGACTACGTTGTTGTCAATCCACTCGGGGAAGTCCTCTCCCCACTCTGTACTTCCAATTAGACCATACTGCATGCCAAGATTAGCATCGGTAGCATCTTGCATCCAGAAGATAATCATACCTCTTCCGCATCCCAACTGGCAATTACAATAGTCCTCAGCGGCTTCCAGCCTTTCTTCAACAGGACACCGAGTCCTCGAATCACCTCGTAGGTGGAGACAGTTCCTGAGGTTGGATCGGTTGCACCCAGTACCCAAGCTAAGTATTAAATATCATAAGTTCAACAGGTTATTGTAGGTATTATAAGATACTCACCATCACGATGATTTCCAACTACGACTACTTCATCCTTAATATGTCCCGGAATAACAGCCATCGTATTCCAAATGGGCGTAACCTTAACGTCCACTAAACGAAACAGTCAATTAACTTAGAGGTCGAATTGTAGCGACGACACCACTGACCATTGTTTACGAGCTTAATCACTCTATTTCTTCCACCAGTCTCAATTTCTTGTAAAAGCCGTGAAGCTGTGTTCCACGACAGAGGTAGACTAGGAATTTTCGGGATGTTCTCTCCATTTGTACGTGTGCTGTTCTCATATGACGGATAACCGGGTGTCTAAAGCAAGCCATACAAACCATAAGTTTGCTGTTCCAAAGGTAAGTCAATGTAGAACGAACAGTAGGATCACCAGGATACAGAGAGATGAACTGGACAGAGCCTCGTTGGACTGAGGTAGGGTTCCTCGCTGGTCCGAGAGGATACCTACAGAAAGAAAGACTTTAGTTATTCATCATTCATCATGTCAAATAAGAGACGAGACATACGCTGCATAACCATTATGATAACGAACACTTCCGTCATCCCGCGGATCCGAGTAAATCAGACATCCAACAGCTCCACGCTCTTGGGCACCCTTGACCTAAAAGACGTATGTTTGAGATCAGTACCCAGACATGGAAACTGGACAAAAGTCAAACCTTAAGCCCACGGAAGACACCTCCGTACCGAGCAAGGACGATGGTACCGTTGAAGTTGACACCTATAAATATGAAACAAATCATATCATTCCTTTAGTTCTACCTCTCACCTTCACAACAACGCAAATGCAAATGAAATTCTCACCTGCGTCCTCAAGAGCATCATAATCCTCCTTCCTCCCATAATTTACATAAACAAGCTTTCCCTGTACTTCACCTCCACGACTCAATCCATGGAACGCAGGTACCGCTTCCGCATACTTCCCCGCGTCGGGATCAAGCTCGTCCTCTGCAATCTCCTCCAGTTGTGCCGTCCACACCGTCTTGCCGTCGTCTTCAAGGATCTCAAGACTATGGTTCACTGGTGAGTTGAGTATGGGGAAATACGTGTCGACCCATGCTGAGGGTGAGTTCTGTTTTGCAATACTGAGAGTTGCGTTACGAGATTCGGGAGAACCTGCTTTGAATACGGGGTCTGTGGAGGTACTTGGAATGCCTAGCTCGGTTTGTAAGAGGTGTAGGAAGTCGATGGCGGTGTCGTAGTCTCCCTGCGTGCCCGCCATGTGCGGCTTCCCTGCGAAACGACGGGATGTCTCGATGGCGCTGACATTGTTAGGTACGTCCCTGTCATTCCGTTGATCAATACAACATCCTCTATCTTTATTGTATTGGATTACAATACTCACAAGAATATCTTTTCAGCAGGTTTCCCATTAAGTATACGAGGTCGTTTATGAGGATGGTGCGGCAACTGAACCTCCTCTGCCTCTGCCTCATTATCCAAGTCCGAAACAACAAACGGCCAACTAATGTCAAACTCCTCATGCGGAATTCCACTGGACATCTCATCCACCTTCCGCTTTCCAACCATCCATAACCAAAGACATAACACCGAAGTCAGGAAAACGATAAGCCTAGTCTTCGTCCGTGAACTTCTCTTTTGACCACGACTCAGCGGCGCATGTTCAACTTCTTCTGAGTCCGAGTACTCATCTTCGAATTCTTTCGGCAGTGCAGGCTCGAGTTCTTCAAGTTTTTCGTCTGGAGGAGGGGTCATGATGACGGTCGTGCATCAAGTTAGGTAGTTACGCGTGAGAGTTGAGGAGCATTACTATTATTATTAAGTTTGAATTTATGAGAGAAGATGATGACACAATCGGCTTGAGTGACGACCACGAACCCAAACCAAGAGCACATGTATGGTTGCCTCTTCCGGTAATTCTATTAGAACAGGACGTAATAGAACAGAAATACGAAACAAAGACAAAGCATGTACGAATCCATATCCGCAATAGCAAAACAGGACCAATAGAATAATATAGAGAATAGTTTATAGAAAAATGAATAGAAATGCTATAAAGTTCCTTTTCAACCTCGAGACTATCGCGATGTCGACTCATCTGCCTCATCTCTAGACTCAGCATCGCTATATCGGCTATTCCCATCGACCGCACGTGTCTCCTCCTCCTCATCTTCATCCAGGAATCCAGAATGGAAGCCAATACCACCAGAAGAAACACCCTCTCGACCCCTTTCTCTTTCTCCAGGTTCATCATCATACGTCGACACATCCTGCGCACTCAACGAAAGCGGTCGTTGCGCCTCGTTATCCAGCAACCGCATACGCACATCTTCACCCTCACCTTCTTCAGCTCTCCTCTGCGCATTCCGACGATTCTGTCGGATTCGTCGGATAATCAAGATAGCTCCGCCTGCAATGAATATACCCGCGAAGACGAAGCCCAAAATTGCAATCCGGAAGCGCGTATCATTGTCCATTGAAGACGAATCAGAGCTAGACGTCGCAGTTGCCTGGCCCGCAGTGGATTCAACATCTTCTTGTCCAGGAACACTGGAAATGGCAGCAGTCGGCTTAGGGAACGACTTCGTCGTTGATGGTACTGCAGTTGTATGAGGTGCGTCGGGAGTTGGTTCCGCTTCCTCAGGTGGAGGGAAAGGAATAGGAAGCTCTTCAGATATCTTCAATGCATACGGGACTGCTTTATCTGAGTCTTTCGCAGAACCCCAGAGGGACAGTCGCCAGCCGATGAAATTACCGCTTTCATCTTCTCGATCTTGGTCAGAGACGGTCAAAGTCCAGGTTCCGACTGGATTTTCTCCCCTGCAACACCAGACACTAAGAAACATCTCTAAGCTAGTGGATATGAGTAAAACGTACCAATGCTTCACCGACATGAAGCGCCAACCAGGGAACCCATCCTTATCCCTATCACCATGCCTCTTCTCCGCTAACATGCTCCGAATGCCATTCGGACTTGTTAGCGTTACCTCGACGTCTCCCCTCCTCGAATGCTCAATCCACACCCGTACGGTAACATGCTCAAGAGCCTCAAAGTTATTCTCGTCCATCATCTCCTGAGTAATCTCTATAGTACTCTGTACCCCATCTTCTTCAATCTCTATGCCTCCGGAGAACTTCCCTTCTTTGTCCATCGTACCATTCTCAAGCTGCACAGGAGGTGCCTCAACCCATGCTTGCGGCTTTACTGACGTCCATTGTTGTGCTGCAGTTACGAAGTCGAAAGCGTCAAGTTTCCCGAAGCCGAATTTGTAGCTGTATGGCTGGCCGGTTGCGGTGAGTTCCCAAGTTGCGTCGCTGGGGTTGACTACCTGGGCTGTCTTGACGCATAAGTGCTGTACGTCTCCTGTTTTATGAGTTAGTTTCTGTGGTAGAATATTGGGAAGAGTTTGACTTACGCCATGTAAGATCTGGCCTGCAACGAAAAAAAAAACTAAGTTTATCATACACATTTCAGGATAGTCAAGTTGCATACCTGACTGAGAGTGCAAGAGCAAAGACGCCCACAGCATTGGGAGCGGCAGCGGAGGTACCTCCGTGATGTGTCGTACAACTAGCTTTCCCAACATCGGTGGTAACCTACAACGATGACTGAATGAGCAAAAGTAAAGCTCCTTCCATTTGTGAAGCGACTTACGATTTGCTTCTTACGGTCGCTCCCAGAGCTATACGTCGTTATCATATTCGCCGCACACGACTCCGAATAATACGGGTGCTCTCCCTTATAATCGATAGAAGCCACAGTAACCGAGTAAATCGAGTTCGTGTATCCGTCGAAATTGCATTGATCGCCCGAATGCGCGCCGTTACCACTGGCAAACACGTATACCGAACCTTTTCCATCTCGACCGTTCTGCACACCGTTCAGCATGGCCTTTTGAATGAGCACACTTGGTGCCTCCATGGACTTCCCGTCATCAGCTGGCCCCCAGGAACAGCTGTAGATAGATGTGTTTTGGTATCCGTAGTTCAATGCTGCGGCTTCGTCTACGTCGGAGATAGGACCAGACCTTTATACATGGGATTAGAGAAGTTGTTTCTGATTATGGCTTTCAGTACTTACAGGATTCGCACGCCTGCTACTTTGGACTCGTATGCAATACCAACTCCACAGACGCCGTTCTTGACAGCAGCGATTTGACCAGCACATCGCGTACCGTGACGATCATCAGAAAGCATTGGTTTCGGGAGGTCAACGTGATCGTTGAAGTCATACGAACCGACAGCATCCTAACGATAGGACACAAGACAGTCAGCGCGCTCTAACTCCACTCCAGAAAGTGGAAAGTACTCACGAAATTATCAGCAAGATCCTCGCTCTCGAAATCCAATCCATCGTCTACCATGCAAGATATAACTCCCTTGCCAGTAATACCCATGTCCCAGATCGGTGTCGCGTTCATCATGTGTTCCGGGTATTCCTCATTGACAAGATGCCACTGGTCCTTGAACATCGGGTCTTCGATACCGAGGCGTTCTGCAATGTCCCGAGCCGACGACTTGCCATCAGCGTCGTCTAGTCCGCCAGGTGGAGGAGCAGGTACAGCGGCACGCTTTACTCGCTGTCTCGGCACTTGTCGAGAGAGATGTCGGATAGCTTTAGGTAAAGCATCACGTTTGGTCAAAGTTGGATTCTCTTCTAGCAGCCCGCGAGCTTTGAGCACTCGGTCCTCTTCGGACCCATCCGTCCTTTGAGAACGTAAGATCCAATGATCGCGCAGCTGGCCTGCTTGCTCCACGAGTTCTGCACCCAAAGCATCCGCACAGCCCTGAACGGAGACACCATGCGCCGGGTCGTGCTCAAGCACATAATAGTCATGAGTCGAATAAGAGCGCTTTGCTGGTCTCGATACCTCAGCAGATGCGCGTACGAATAAGATAGTAAAGACTAGGTAAAGGAAGAGCCTTCGGAGAAAGAGAGGTGGGTGCATGGCTTGCCTGGTCAAGAGTGGTGAACGAGGGGACTGCGCAAGTGAAGGATCATGAGAAGCATGAGAAGGAAAGATCTTGTCCTGTGTCCACGCTACCAAGATGGACGCGGCGCTCAGTTGAGCTGTGCGCGGCTGCCGCCGTAAACGCACAGAAGTCTGAAACGGAAGGCCGTACCGGGCAGCGTGTTTAATATTGGTAGAGTCGATTAATCACTCCGGACGACGGTGATAGTTAGGATAAAGCAAAGTTTGTAGCGGAAGTGCAATTATGCCTTCATTTACTTTTAGTATTCTCCGCGTCGATCAATATGTGGACCCTGATTTGTGCAAACAGGCAACGCAATTGAGACAATTAACTCATATTATAGCTATAATAAGAGATCCAATACATGTTCCAAACGAATCTCAATTAGCCATGCAAGTCTGCGAAAAACGTTTCATGTTTCACTAATAAGTATTTCATTTTAAGCATTGAGATCTTATGCTGACGTGTCCGATGCGTCGATCAGCGCGTCTCCACTCCTCGCGTGTCCAGCGACCAGTCCAGTCGAGTTGCACTCACCCTTAATCCATGCTACCCTGGCTCCTCCTCTCCTTCCTCGCAACTCCCTTGCACAGCGTCCATGCACTGGAAAAAACTTTCGGCGTCCAACCCCATCTCCTTGAGAAATACACTCCCCTAAGCGGAACACCAGCAAAGTGGAAATGCCTCGACGGATCCAAAACCATTTCGTGGGATGCTGTGAACGATGACTACTGTGATTGTTTGGACGGAAGCGATGAGCCAGGTACGTCTAATATTAAATATCGTGAAAGAAATATGTATTCTGAAATGAATGCAGGGACGAGTGCGTGTCCAAACTCGACGTTCTACTGCAAGAATGAAGGTCACATCGGTTCCGTCATTCGGAGTTCACGAGTTAACGACGGACTTTGTGGTTCGTTCTATATACATCTCTTTCCCTCATGCAGCCTATATTAACTCAATCTTTTATGTAGAGGCCGAATGCTGTGACGGTTCAGACGAGGAACCAGGCCTCTGTCCAAACATTTGCGAGAAAGTAGGCAAGGAATATCGCGAACGCGTCGAAGCAGAGAACAAAATCCGCAAGAAAGGGTCAAAAATCCGATCTTCGTATATTTCATTTGCTAATAAGGAGAAGAAACGCCTTGAAGACCTTGTAGCTTCTACTTCACGCGAAGTTGTCGCTCAGGAAAAGGAAGTTGCAAGGCTTAAAGGTACTTTACTTTTATTGAACTCACGATGAACTTCACCTCAATAATGAAAACGTTTTACGCGTGTTTTAGATATATGGGACAGGTCAGAGGCTACTTCTGCAGCTGAGCTTGAAGAGAAGAAGAAATCTCGTGAGTCCTTCAGCCCAATTTCATTCTGAATGACTACCAATACTTATCAACAAACGAAATTCCAGCACTCTACCAATCACTCGTAACACACACAGCAGCCCTGAAAGCACTCAAACGCGCCTACAACGATCTCGCAGAGAAAGAGCAAACCCTCTCAGAGATCTTATCCTCCCTACGTGCCGGATACAATCCGAACTACCAAGACATGGCTGTTCTAGAAGCAGTCCGAGGGTACGAACACTATGCAGGTCTTCCACCAAGCAACGATCGTGACCGTGCTAAGGAGGAAGGTGAGGCACCTGCCGAGGAAGAAAGCAAAACAGAAGAGAAGGAAGTTGAAGAAGAAGAGGAGCTCGAGGAGGGCGAATGGACCAAGGAACAACTCGAGAAAGATTTGGAGAGCCTCCTTGATACGGATGTCGAGTCGCTGCTTATTGAACATGATCAGCACGTTGGCACCGAAGCCTCTGATTCGCTCCGTATGTCCTTTAATAGTGCACTTGCGACGCGATGCTGACGTGTTATGATAGTGTTCAATTTAGAGTCGTACATCCCAGACTCTCTCATTCCCCAATATGAGCTCTTGAGAGACTCATTCGTCGGTTTATTAGAAACGCTCGGTGTCGCTCGTCCAGCTGACTCTTCCTCATCCGGTACGCCTCTCCATCCATCCATTAACCTACCAACCTTTGCATGTATACATGTACAAACCTATCTCACTCTCCTTTCTACAATCACACCACAGAATCAACAAAAACCTCAAAAGCCCGCACAGCATACTTCGACGCCGACCGCTCACTCAACAAAATTCGTAAAGAAAAAGAAACCGCTCAACAACAACTCGCCCATCTATTCGACCCCGAATGGTTCGGCGCAGATGGAGAATGGAAGAAACTCGATGGACAGTGTTTGGAGAAGGATACGGGCGAGTATACGTATGAGGTTTGTTTGTTTGGTGAGGCGAGGCAGAAGCCGAATAAGGGAGGGTCGAATTTCAGTCTTGGGTGCGTTTTGTTTCATTCCGCTCTCCTCTCCTGCTTTAACAGCACTTATTGACAAATCCTCTTCCCCGCCCCTCCCCTGTATTTTTTTAATGCAATAGCAAATTCACCCATTGGAACAACAAACCCAAAATCCCCCCAGGCTCCTCATCCTACTACTCAAAAATGTACTACACAAAAGGCGCGAAATGCTGGAACGGTCCCGAACGTAGCGTCACGCTCCTCCTCACATGTGGGACGGAGAACCAGCTTCTCTCTGTCACGGAGCCGGAAAAGTGTGAGTATCATATCACTGGGACGAGTCCTGCGTTGTGCCGGCCTTTGGAGGCGGATGTCAACGGTAACGGTGGTTCGAGATCGGCGACGAAGAACGCGAAAGAGGAGCTATAGTCATAAGGATAGGGGTGTTTAGTGATGCATACCGTAAATTATGCTGTAGAGACTCAGAAAATACATCCATTTCATTTTATTTCATACACATACACATACACGTCATAAACATCTGTGCGCTCGAAAATTGAAATGAAATATGTAGTCAATATAATAAGTTAATAACCCAAACTTCCCTGCTAGACTAAGTCCCTCTCGTCAGTTCAGAGTGGAATACACTCGCAACCCAAGGGACTGACTGGTCTCTGGTGGGTGGGCTCGAACCCATCCACTCTTTACTAGCGACGAACATAGGATGATCTAACGATTCAGCTACACTGGCCATACGTGTGTGGGTTTCCGTATTAACATTGACATATTGACATTGACAGACAGACAACAGATTCACAGATTCACATGTGTTCGGTTAAGTAATCCATATGGTCAGCACACAAAAGAATAATTCAGTTTTTCTACAATTTTTTTATTCTTGTAGTTTTCTATCCTGATACATCTGCAAAAATAAGAAAGAAAGAAAGCAAGCAAGAAGGGGACGGCAAGATTTAGATTATCAGAAACTATCAGATGTGGAGGGAGGGGACAAGCGGACTGAGCCATAGCATGAAGTCAAAACAAGACTAACAACGAATGTGGGGAGCGCGGAGAAGTGTTCAAAGGTAAGAAATAGGAATAACTTATCCAGAAAAGGGTGAAGGAAAACAGATAAAGGAGGGGACAGAAAAATCCGACAAATGAGAGGAACATTAAAAGGTTCTGGATCATTAACTTAGAATGACAAAGAAACTATGAGTCCCTGTAGATGATGGTGTGACTTGCGAATAAACTGGTGAGGATAGGGTGGCAGAAGGAGACGTGAACGTGATAAGAAGATTAGCAGCCGTCGTACTTTGAATTTCGGGGAAGCTGGTAGCCTGCTTGGTCCCACGTTGTCCAATTCCAATTTGTATATGCATCAGGGTGACTATAATGCAAGAACGCGTTAGTCGGTAGGAGGAGGTAAAAGGTAGATTTAAGGACTCACTTCTTGATGTAGTCTGCAGTTGGGTGATGCGAGGGGTCACACGTCACGCCCTCCGAGACACCCTCCCGCTGGTACACCCGCACATAGTCAATGTACATCTTTGACGGGAAGACAAGTTTGTCCAAGTCAACTGTGGTAAATGATGTCGAAAGACCAAGATTCAGGATGATGTACTAGATAAACGATTGGTTATGGAACACCATTGAACGAGGAAAATCCAGGAGACTTACCATCGGTTCCTCAGGAATCAGTCGTTGGTCGACTTGACTAACGGGATCAGGCCCGATAGACGCGGACGTAATCTTCCAAGACGGCTGGCCCGAGCTATACCACAATACGTATCCCTCATCACGATTCTTCATATCGCTCCAGTACTCAAACGCATACGTCGTGTATGCCTTGTCGTTGTACACATCGGAACTAACTTTCGTCACTCCACTAATAGCTTGCTGCAAAGCGGTACCGGTGAACGAGTTGAACTTAGTGATCGACGGGTCGTATATAGTGGTCTCGGGGGATGAGTTAACAAACTTGACGAAAGCATTGAAGGGTGCAATCTGGTAGGACTGGCTGACTTCTCCCGTTAAGGTACCTAGATCAATCTGCGCCTCGATAACATCCAGCTCTGGTGCGGCACGTCCATTTGACGTTTTCGGTCCGGGATGGTCGGAACCTGGGCAAGTACATGCTGAAAGCCTTTGACCTGGCTGGTCAGAAAGGAAAGAGCCCTGCCATCCGTCGGTTGCACTCGTCGCAGGGTTACCCGACTTGTCCATCTGCCGAGGGAATGTACCGAGATCGCACGAGTCATAACTGTACGGCCACATCCCTTCCGTGGTAGCACCATATCCCGCACGGCCTAAATTACCCATCGTCCAGATTCCTGGCCAAAGGCCTGGAACATCGGAGCTTCCGGGAAGCGAGACGCGCGCCTCGATGTAACCCGTCGTGAAACAAAATTTATTCCAAGTGGTCAGCATCCCTGAGTAGACATTAGTGAAAGTCAGACAGACAATGATCTCTTGACATACCACTCGTGTAACTTAAATTGTGATTGTTGATAGGGTCTTTCTGGTCAAGCGTAATGACAAGTTTACCGTTCTTTGTCGTAATAGTAGACGGATCATACCATTCCATGTCTCCCGTCGGCCTGCCCATGATAAGAACACGAAGAAGCAGGAATCACCACAAAACTCACCAGTAATGAAGGTCTTGTGCCTCCCAATATGGGTCATCACCTGGGTAGAACGTACGATCGTCGGTCTCAAACTCGTCGCTGAAAACAAGGTTGTACGCCTCCCCATCTGAACCAGTACGTGACATGGCGTCCTGTGGAGTCATGGGGTCTATCAATCGCTTTATGGGTAGGTCCGGAACTTGGCCCGTTGCGTTGATTCCCCCGAGGTTGAATCCCGGTGTCTTTGTTGGCTTATCAACGATATGTAAGACGATTGGATAGCCGATAAACAGCCCCAGTAATGCAGCTAGTAACAGTCCCAGCGTGCCGACGTTTAGCCAGCCTCGCAGAGAACAGAGGACAAATGGTTGAGTTGCCCTCGCTGATCGGCCCTTATGGCCATAATCCTCAGGCGCGTGTAAAGCATCGTCGTCTTCTGGCTCGGAAGTATGCCACATGTAGACGGGCATACCAGCAGCCGCAGTGGAATCAGTGACCATGCGGCGATTGACGGATGGTAAATTCGACAATGTCCCTTCCTTTTCTAACGGCAGAGTCTTTGATACATCCGAGAGAGTGGTCCCGACTGAGGCTCGACTGCGTTCATACTTGATGATAGGAGTATACACGAATTAGAGATAGAGAAAATCAGCGATTAGAGAAACACAAAAGTGGCGCACAGTGTAAGGACCATAGCCATTGCCAATGTCACCCCTTGCGATACCAGTTGTCATTCCTCGTGGAGAGCCAGCAGGCGTCGCGTATGGTGGACTTGAACCTGGAGAAGCAGCTAGGAGAGGTCTGCCTTGAGCGTGCCTTGGGTCGAGCGCGTCACCCGGAAAGTTGTGAACACGGGGAGATGGAGTTCCAGACATAAGAGAGTTGTGGCCCGAGAGATGTTCCAAGGAAACAGAGAGATAAATGCCAAGGAAAGAGCGGGAGGGGAAGGTAGGCTTAAGTTTAGACAAGAAGGGGGCTGAAGAAAAGACGAAAAAGGAGGCAGGGCAGGAGGTCAGATCTCTTAAGAGACAAGTCAACCAGGCCGGCGATCGCTTGCCGGATGGGTTCGGGCAGACTGAATAGAAATGGCGCGGTTGAAGAACCATACGTGAGACAAATCATAGATCAGCGCGCCTGACCGAGTTTAGCGTCCAGGTCAGCGCCCCTATGCTTCCGCATCTGGGTTTCCGACCTATCCAATAATTCCCAATGTGGCAGGCCCGAGGTTAGCTAGCGCCCAGAAAATCGCTGAGGAACAGGGTGAGTTGCAGCAGCGAGCGAGCGTGCTTTGTGTACTCCTCAGGCGAAAATGATAAAGTTCCAGTAGAGAATCACAAGCGAGAGCGCCAGCTGATCCACTTATCCCAGATAGCACATATGGCTTGGCAGAAGCAGAAATAGTCCAAATACCAGCCTAGCAACACGTGTGCTTGCTGAGCTGGCGAGTGATTCAATGATAATCTGGTTTACTGCGGCCGGAGTAGGTCTGTGTGCCAGCAGGAAGCCTCAAGGCGGTCCAATTGACGATCGCGACAAAACAACATACGCATGACATTAGAAAGAAAGGAGTCGTGAAGATAGAAGACTTCGTGACGTGAAAGACGAAGAAATTAATATTAGAGTATCAAAGGTCAGCTTTAGGGCCGGGTAGATTTGTAATCTATTCTCACGCGAGATGGTGCGCGTCGTCTAACCACGCATCGTCGTTGAGTGTGCTTACCGTCAATTCGTAGGGCCGTCGTTGTCGAAGATGGTGAGTGTCGAAGCATGGTTTTTGTCCTGTATGCTTTCCTAGATGCTCTGGATGGCCCGTATTGCTATATTTCTATGGTTTTGGACGTCTATGGGATGGATGCCATCACAGACCGTCGGATGTACCTCTTCATCTTACTGACTCATCTTTCAGGCCAAAGCCAAAGCTGCCGCACCATCTGGAGGAAAAGCGAAAGCAAAGAAAAAATGGTCGAAGGGAAAAGTAAAGGACAAGGCCCAGCACGCCGTCATTCCCGACAAAGCAACCTACGACCGCATCTTCAAAGAAGTCCCTACCTTCCGATTCATCTCGCAATCAATCCTCATTGAACGTCTCAAAATCAATGGTTCGCTCGCTCGTGTTGCCATTCGTCACCTTGCACGAGAAGGATTAATCAAGAAGATTGTACACCACCACTCGCAGCTCATTTACAGTGCGTTTCATTCCTCCGGTATTATTGTCACAAATCTGATTGTCTTTTCTCTCTTTCCTACGAGCAGCTCGGGCAACTGGTGGTGGCGCCGCCGTAGCCGGTGGCGAGTAGACGTGCTCTCTCCTTCCGCATCACTCTTATCACTAGCTATTACGCTACAGTTTGCATGCACATGTATTCCATACGCCGAAAATCTTCTCTACGCATGAACTATGTGCGGGAAAAGAAGGCAAAGACAGACTGTAGGAAGCTTGCTTTCCGTAATGACAACGAACAGGACGGCATGCCTTCACCGTTGTGAGATGAAGTTTCACACCAAATAACCTGTTGATCAGATAACGCTGCAGCAGCATGTGGGAACAGCGGCTTCCCAAATAGATTCGTCTCCAAGTCATGTCATAACTACAGCCAGCTCATCAATAGTATATGCTCGGGAAAGAATAGGCATCTATCTGAAATGCCAAAAATCGCATAAATACTAAATAGACAGCAGCATGAGTGTTGTTTGCGCTTGAAATGCTTGATTTGTTGTAAACAGTTAGACACATATATGCAAAGTTCTAACTCATTGTTGCAATGCCCTTTGTAACCGATTACAAAGCCGCCATGATAAACAATTTATAACAAATGACTATAGAGGATAATAGAACAACCGATCTCAATTACTGATACAGCCTTACCCCAATGAAGGGTAAATCTCGTTAATATTCTACATGATCATCCCGCATATGAATTACATATATCGACAATAAGCAAAGATATAAGCGAGTGAAGTACCTATCATTGTATCATCAAGGGTATCAATGAGACGAATATGAGTGCTTGATCGGTGTGGTGTCTATTCTACCAATCTTGGTTTCACCGAATGTATTGATACGCCGCAGCGATCGTCGGAAAGCGGAGACGACGTGTTTTACCTTTACCAGAAACATGAAAACGACTGCTTATTTTCGCATCGAAAAGCAGAACATCAATCCCTAGTACAGACCCAAATGTCTGGTCAATATAAAAATACAACTAAGTACGAATGGACGGCAATCCGCCGAGCCCGAGAGAACAGGCGAAAACACTCATACACTGCATGAACAAGTACAGAGGTTAACTCCAAAAGAATAAATAAAACCGAATGGAGAGTAGGAGATAATATGTAGAAAGGAAATAAATGCAACACAAAACAAGTATTCACCTCACCAAGCGACACCAACAGGTGTGATGGACGGAAACCGCAGGCAAAACCTTCCGCCTAATCAAAATCCACAAAATGCTCACTCTCGGATCAGAGTCATATAGCATCAATCTCTAACACCGAAACAAAGGAGGTTAACTAATACAGCAAGGGAGGCAAAAAAATACAGCTAATTACAAACGGACGAGAAACCGACGACGATCCGCCCAGAGAAACATGAATGAGGGAAACACGGTACATGAATAGGTGGGGAAAGGTGGCATTGAAAAGACAAATAATCAGTATTAATGAACGTAAAGGATAGAAGGTAAAATGTTAAGAGGTGAACAGGGATGAAGGGCAACAAGTGAAGAACAACACAGAGACCAGATGTAAGAAAAGAATAGAAGAGGAAGGATGTGAGACAGGCCCATGGGAACAATAAGTTATGCCAGGTTCCGAATAAGCGCAGTGATTAAGCATCAGGTGTTGAGCACACTTGATGCGATTCGTAATTTCATAACCTCCTCTCATAGCAAAGGGTGCAGCCCTTGCTTCTAAATTTGACCACTCGGTAATAAAAGCCTCAAGCAGTCATTGCTGCTTTCCGCGCGGCGGCCTTCTTGCTCTCACGTACACGAAGCCAGGCCTTGAAAGTCACGATAAAGAGGACCCAGCAAAATGCCAAACAAGTTACGGCGACAGCGAAGTTCAAAAACATCATCATGTCATCATGACCTCTTCGCATAGCAGCCAAGTCGAGTTCTTCCAGACTCATCTGGAACATCAAGCCTCCGCATGCGAGGAAGAAAGAACCAAGTGCCTCGGTGGGTGGACGAGAAGGCAGAATCGACGATGGCGGTGATAGCCAGAGGAAGAAATAGGTCAGACACCGCAGTAACGAGAAACCTGCCAGAAGCTGTCCCCAGAGCATATGGATCTGTACTTGGAAGAGATATACTTGTGCATGCGCTGCCATCGCCAAGCCTGTAACGCCGATCGTGAGTGCTGGGAATGGATTGAACGATCCACGGTAGGACGGCGGAGGAGCTAGCTCCTCAGGATGATCTGACGATTCCGCTGCAAGAGCCGTAGCATGTGCAGCCAGCCAGTTGCGGAACGTCTTTGATTCAATGCCCATCCCAACGAGACCAGCGAACCAGAACATCACTGCTATGCTGATGTGCTGTATTTCCTTCGTCGTGAACGGGTCACCAGCCTTCGCACCGAATCGTTCCATCCAGGTGTTCGAGGCACCATAGACGAAAATAACCAACGACTCAACGAACTCGGCAGTAGGAGCGTTAATTGCGCGAGGCGCACGGTTCCAAGCCCACCCTAACTCTGCAAATGAGCCGAGGAAGCGAGCAAAGGTCACGAGCCCGTAGCACCAGAAAATGCCACCCTCTGCATTCACAGCATCAGCATCTCAGTACGTAACATCAACAAGAAAAGGACCGTACTGATGAGATGTGCCAAACAACCATTGACATAACTGTCCCGGCAGACGCCCGTGTACGCCACAAGACCAGTTATGAACTGCATGTAGCCCATGAACACAAGTATACGCTCCGCGGTTGCAAAAACTCCGCGGCCCACACGCACAGCAAGCGGCGGCTTCACCTCAGCAATATGAGGTGGTAACTCATGTAGCGTTTCGTCAGAGTGATGAGAGCCGTGACGCGATGGATGGGCGTGGAAGAGTGTGCGATCAGACGCAACAGACTGTCGCCATGTAGAATGGCGTTCCCGATGCTGGCGACGCATTTCGTGTATTTCGTTTGGCCAAGCGTTACCATCACTGACAGGACTACTGAATCCCGGGCTCATTTCTCCAGCCTGAAGATCAATGTGAACTGCATCGTCTCCGGATTTCAACTCATGAGCATCCATCTCAAGTTCATCCGGCTCTTGGACGAGTCCTGCATATTCGTGCGAGAATCTTTTCGGAACGAAACCAGAATCGACGTCTTCTCTGTTGAGGACGACCACTCTCCAGAAACGTTTGATGCTAAACGTAATTTCCCCCCGACGAACGCTGTTCAAGAAATGGAAAGTGCGAGTGAGTGCCGCAAGGGCGTCGATAGTTGTGAGTGTCGCGGCGCAGAAGAGCACGAAATAGCCGTGCGGCCCGTGTTTTGCGTTTTCGTATCTATCCGAGAAGCGGTAGTGAAGTCAGCAATTTTGTCGAGTAACCTTTGCAGCGGAGATGACGCGTGACGTAGACAGTGCCTGGCGATCGAAATCACCGTTCCGAATGCAGAAAACGTCTAAAGGCTAATGAAATGAAAGAGCTGAAAGTACGCACAAATTTGGAGTCAGCTTTCTATACAATGCGCTGAACGACAGTCCCGATGCAACGAGCCCATAAAAAACAGCGACACTAACGCCGTGCCATGCATGTTTCACTGATCGCAACGCAATGCCTGCCGCACGACGTTAGCTGAAATTTGACTGTATGCGCACATCGTCCGAGACGGAAAGTCGTACCTATTGGAAGAGCACCGAAGAATGCTAACGACATGAACACACCATGAAGAGCCATAAGGTGGGGATACTTGTGGGTTACATTCGGATCCTCAAAGTCATGAGTGCCATAGGACGGTGGCGTTGGTTTATGCCACTGGAGGATGAGCGTTTCGTTAAGTTCTACGAGCGGCTCATTGTGCCCATGAGCATGGGCATGCTCGTCTCTAGCAAAGACGGCCGCGTGTCTTACGTCCCCTGACCAAGAATCTGCCAATGCATTGGCGCCGGAGAGACTGGAAAGTGCTAGAAGGGTGGTGACCGAAGCTGCGAAGGGTAGGAGGTGAGCCAGGCAGCGAGCACGCATCGTCGGCGTATTGCTTCAGATAGCACGGGGGGAGAGAGGGGTAAGCTAAGTGACTGACATACTCTTATGTATGGGGAATGAGGAATGGGTAGATGACAGATCTCGGAGGAAGCATAACGCTATAATCATTTCTTACTAAACACACGTTTATCGTCATGCAGTCCGCCAGAAGCGGCTCATGTCCGTCCGCTTCCGAGCTCGTCTGAATCACTGTCTCACTTCCTTCTATGATCGCCTTCTGTCCGAGGTTTGATCTTGGCAGCGCAGTGGTGTTGACATTTCAGAATGGAGCTCTGCTCGAGCAGTGCAGGAGGTGGACTGCCGATAATGTGTCAGCGTCGATCAAAGGCTGCCGCGGCAACTTTCATGCAATACAATAGAGACAAATACAAGCAAACATTAAATTCCTCTCACATCAGCTTCTTTTTTGCTTGGTCGCATCTGGCGGATTCTGGCCGACGCGTCATATCGAAACCCGTGGATGTCCTCTGTCCCTTCGGACCAGATGTGATCATCCTCAACAGCCAAGAAACACCGAGGAAAACTTGTTTCGAACCTCGACCATGAGTAAAAAGGAGTTACACATCCGCGCCCGCGTACTTCCAGCTGATTCATATCTCCTTCTCTTTGTTCTGACTCGAACCCAATATTGATACGTCTCGGCCTGTACTAGTCTGCATTTTACACTTATCAGGGCACCGCCAAGCAGTGACGTCATACTATCCCAGTTCAAGAGAGCAGATTCAGCAAACTACTGTGGACATAGAGTTTGCGCAGCTGCCGCAGCAACCATCACGTCTTCGAGCGGATGTGCCTTTGCTCGTTGAATAGGACGCCCATATGTCCCGGAGTCTTGGAATAGGGGAAACTCGGGGGTGAAGTGGGATGACTTCGGTGTTTGATGCATATTTTCTTTATTTCCGTCCGATTCTTCGATGCGACGTTTTACTCGTCTTGTCGCAGTTGCCGAGTGTTTGCCATTGCCTCCGTCCCTCGGCATATCCCTTCCATGTCATTCTGGTTGCTTCTCATTTCAACTCTAAGTCCATCGTAAGTCCCATCTCCTTTCGGATTTAACAATTTACGAGAGACTCGGATCAAACAATTACGGCTCTTCGGGATGCTGAAATGTTCATTGCGGGCAGCACGGGCGAGGGACGGCTTGACGCAATCTCTTTTATATAACTCACCGGATTTCTACGGACACTTTCGGTTGAGAGTGATGAGGAAAAGTTCGGACGGCACGTTTGACAGGAAGTTTCGCGACAGGATGCAATTTGTGGCGTATGGAAACAAAGCGATGGTAAATTGAGTATACACAGCCAACTTACACGGACGTATTCTTCATCTGGTATCGTTTGCGTACTATCACCGGATGCTTCCTTATTCACTCTGCTTCCGCGATCGTCTGCTAGGAACTCTATCGGTCTGCCTTACTCACGAAATCAATGATAACACTGGCCCGGATTAAAGGTTGAAGTAACCGTCCAGCTGTACAGATGGGAGGTATGGTAGACAAGCAACACCTCCCTGGACAGTGTTGCTGGCAATGTTACTCTCTGAACTCCTAGCAATCCTCGTTCACAGGCCGTCACCAACCGCACTAACGTTTATGTCAAGCTCATTTGCATAATGGAAGGTTCAGTCTTGGCAATCGTTGAACCAGAACAATACACTTTTGACAGATGGGAAAAGATGTCCTTAATCTTCAAACAAACTCTGCTTTCAATAGAGAAGGAATGAGTCTGGGCTAGTTTTCTTTAGTAGTTATGTCCTGACGCTATTCAATGCAATGTCTTAGACACTTTTGTATCAGTTACAGATTCAGTAGGATTTATGGAAAGGTAGTATTCAAGATAAAGTATGACCGGGAAAATCCTGTCGTTCATTCTCAGAGATGCAATACACGTCATTCTCGTGGTCAAGACCAAAATCACCAAGTTGACAATATATTGTGGCCGCATATTTGAACCGCTGCTTCCCAGTTTCTCGGACACAAGGGCCCATTGTGTCCGTCCAGTTTCGAGTAGATTACACAATACCTACGGGTAGAACGGATGTCATAAGATGAGGAACAGCCACGCGATGTATTTTTCTCATTTATAAGATTTTGAAGTTTATTCGGGAATAATTTCAATAAAGGGTCGAAGGAGTAGACTCAGCAGAGCATTGATCGTGTGTACGTAATCCATATGAATTTAGGGCCGGTCAATTCGCGTAGGCCTTGCCACTCCACAACTCCGCGACTTGCACCGCGACTATTGCGAGCCAGCAAGTATTCATAGCGACACCCTCCTTCTCACCCTTTTTTGCCTCCATTTTCCGATACAGTGGAATCGGTTCAGCGACGTTGAGCGACAAGAAATTACTCTAATGGCCGATCTCTATACAACACTTCGCGTCACACCTCGCAAGAAGCGCGTATACAACAGCGATGATGAAGATGAAGTACTGACTCCGAAGAGACTGCGAGAGGCGTGAGTGTAGAGGCTACGGCATACTGAGCGGCTTACTGATTGTTTGCTCAGGGCTCCTACTCCTCCTGCCACCCCAAGAAAATCCACGGCTTCAGCAACGCTGCCTGAGCATCTTGCCCGTCTCGTGTCTTTACAGAGCTCTCTTCATCATGCGTTATCACACTCACTTGCCACTGCCGCTGTGTGTCCTTCTTCAGACGCGGGGATCGTTCCAAATGTTCTGAATAATTATACGATTAACGCTGCATCTGGACTCAGCAGGACTTGCACCTTAGATGATATCAAACGTCTCTGCTGGCTCTGGGAATGGGACGGAAAGAAGTTGCCCGACAGCGACGATGACAATCCCTTCCTCGAAAACTCAGAACCGAAAGTCGAACAGCCTAAACAATGGAGACGTGGCGGAACAGGACATGTGATCACTCCAACCACGTACCTACCGAAATCTAGTGGGAGACGCGTCCCTGCATATGGCATAGGTATTGAAGTAGAGATGGACATCGATAAGCAAATGACGGGCGGTATGGCTGCTGTGGCTCGATGGACTGCGAATGGTGACCAGCGAATAAAGGCACTTACCAAAAGGTTGCATCGTTGGGTTGAGGTTGGTTCAAGTTGTTGTATTCCGAAGGATTAAACTGAATATCGTTATAGTTGCACGCGAAATCTGCCAATATTCCAAACATCCCTTCTGCAGACTTCCCTCCGCTCGTACAGGCAGTGCCTAAGCAGTCCGCTCTAACCCAGCGGCTCGTATCTCTTTCTCCCAAGTCTCCCAAGTCAGCGGCACCTTCTAAATCGGTGGCTCCTCTCGAGTGCCCTCCTTCTCCAACACGCTCTTCCCCGACAAAACCTCGCGTGATTACCGGGAAACGTACACCTCGAGAGTTTGCTGTTCCTTTCCCGATCACACCAAAGTCACTTCCACGAACCAAACTAACTGCGAAACCTTCTGACATTCCTTTCCCTCAAACTCCATCCACGACTCGAATATCCAGGACTGTACCAGTTACACCCAGTACTCTTCGAACACCAGCCTTATCAGATGCATCCAGCTCTTCTAGGCCAGCGACACCTGTAAAGCAAACCGGGCCAGATGCGAGCACTAGACCAGAAACCCCGACAACATCTCGTCGTGCAGCGTTGTATGAGCGGATCCGAAAACGATCCGAATGTCAAGTCCCGTCAACTCCTTCCAAGCCACGCATAGCTAAGTCGTCAACTATGACGAAGGATGAGCTCTTGAAGCTCAGTCAAGATGAGATGCGTAGACGATGTCTTCTGGGTCGTCTCGGTGGCGTTGCTGAGAGCATTTGGATGTGAGTATGAGTTACTTATATACATGAGGTGATTCTCAATCGAGGGGAAATTGTAATTTTTAGGTATTTTGCATCTCCCACCAACTCTACATCCTTGACGGCAACACCAAGGAAACGCAAGGCACAACCGAGTGCAGAAGTGGCAGAGGCAATCGTCAAGTCATCACCCGTGCCCATTTCCAGTGCAGAAGCACATGAGTCCATTGACTTGCTCTTCTCACTATGTCCCTTCTTCCTCAAGAAAATTGACGTTGGGGGTGAAGAGTGGCTCGAGATGCCTACATCGTCTGGTGGGGGATCCCAACCCAGTGTGCCCGCGAGCCCTACTCGGAGACTGGGTGGCGCAAACAATAGTGATGAAGAGGTTAAGACGCTCAGCCCAAAGCGTGTCAAACACGATGCGGGAGGATTGCGAGAAGTTCGTGAACGCATCAAGCGAGAACTCGAGTCCACTGACTGAATCTGGATGTTGTTTGGACCATACTTTCCTTTGCTATCTACTTTCAATCTGATTGCTGTCAAATGTATTTTCCTCTTGCGATACCTTTTATTTCCTACCACGCATATCTGCATATTTCCGCATTCAATTGAAAGCACAACCCGACGTCTTTATTCTTGCTGGACAGGACATCAATACACCTCTTCAAAAAATAGCCGGGATGCAAACGAACAGATTGTATCTAACAAAACTCTGTCAATTAGATGCACCAAGGAAACGCGCTGCCATCTCCTTCTCAAAGTCAGCCACATTAACAACACAACCTTCCCGCCGACTCTTCTCCGCCGCGAAGACTGTAAGATGGCTCCTCAAAATGCCCTCAACGTCAACACCAAGTACGTCCTGTTTCCTCGTCCTCACAGCCTCAACGAAAGTAGATATCAATCCGAGGTCTCCACCGCCATGTCCGCCACCTTCGAGTTGTGGGTTGTACAATTTCGCTCCGGAATGACGAGAGGGGATCGTTGAGGGTGAAGTATCAGGAGGAGCACGGACCCGGAAATCTGTTACTGTGAAACTCTCCATGTCACCTACTATTTCGCCGTGCGTGAAGTGTAGACGTGTTTGTCGGTCACAGATCAGTGTGGTGAAGGCAACCATTGTAAAAGAAACGGTTGCGCCTGAGGAAAACTCGATATTTACTACCTAAGTCAGACGAAAGATTGTTTGTTTTAATGACGGTTCATAAGAGCTTGTTGGTCGAGAGATGAGATAGACAAGTAGGACTGACTTGATTGTCTACAACGTCGTTGTCACTCTCGTAGACGCACTTGCCATATGGACCAGTCTGCAACGCTTCTGTGATGTTCTCGATATCTGGTACTCCATCGACAATGGTACTGCTCGGCCATCCTTTATATCCATTCTTCACTCGATCAAGGTATACTGTTCACATTATCAGCTTGTATGGCTCCAAATAAATTCGATAGGGTGCATTAGGACGAAAACTCACTGCTCTTTGCACTATACGGACATTCACTCTCAATCGGACAGTCAAGACAACGTGTCGCCGACCCCGCAGCGGGTGGTTTCTCTGATTTCTTGAAATGCTGAAGTGAACCGAAAGACGTTACACGGATGGGTGTTGCTGGAGCGAGCATGCTGCAAATGATATCGATATCACTGCATAGAGAGCATAGTCAGGAATGATAGGAGCAGGTTCATTTTGTGAGAACATACTGGGAACTCTTCGTCATTAGTGAGAAACAAGCGTCTTCTTCCTTGCACCAGTTACCACGTACGTAGGAATGTGCGAAGTGATAATAGCCAACGGGTTCAAGATGTTGAATATTGATTAACTTTCCTAGCGAACCTGAATGGATCACTTCTGACATGGCTCTGCTGTACGGTGAATAGCGCAGTACTAGAAATTCTAATAAGAATATATTACAATATTCTTTACTAATTGGATTTACCATGTCCCATTCCAAAAATAATACCGACCTTCTTGACGGCATCAGCCATACGCACGCAATCCTCAATAGTCGTAGCCATCGGTTTCTCGCACAGCAAATCATATCCTTGTGTAGCAAACGCGAGTACAACAGAACAGTGCATCCTGTCCTGAACGGCAACAACTATAGCATCAGCGAGGCGCTTTCCGCATGTCTTGAGTGATTCAGCAGAAGCGGCGTGAAGTTCTTCCCAAGTGTTGAAGACGAGACTTGGGTCGACGGCGTGTTCGGCAATCATCGCTGTACGGGTCTTTGGACGAGGTTCTGCGATTGCAACGACCTTGCATTTGTCTGGCGCTTTGAGAGCGTACTCTGCATAACCCTTCAAGAATGTCAGATTAATGTTATAAAATAAAGAATTCACTTGCTTACACTCCCTCGTTGTCCACAGCCGATGATCGCAAGCGTTACAGGCATTGCAGGACTACCGTCGTTCGAGATGCCATTATTTATAGTCACACCGTTCATGTTGAATGAATTTACGGACCACGTCGCGGTAGAGGTAAGTCGATAGGAGACACATCACGAAGTCGTGGCAGAAGCGGTCCGAGTCAGCTGGGCAAGGAAGGCACTGTTAGATGCTTGAGCCTGTCTAATGCTGTCCAATGGGTGATGGTTCATTAGTGGTAGATAAGCCGGAATCTGTACTGCCCTTTCGGCCTGAAGACGTTGGATTACCTTCCGAGAGTGACACTGACAGGTTTTGCTCGGTGCTATCGGCGACTACTGAGCGAACGTAATTCTGGTCAACCTGCCAAGGTTAAAGCTTAGATCGACATTTTTTCCTAACTGGAAGAATGGAAAGGATCGGCAAGCACGTGGAAATTCCCGAAATAGCCGTAAATATCACTACCCGCTCGCCGGCCGCAGCACTTCTTAGAAACTTACCTTTACCTCAAACACTCACTCTACCGACTTCAGATATTATGGTCGTCGTGCTCGACGCCATAGAATCTGAGAAATTTGACTTTGACGTCGTCGATGAGGTCGACATTGAAGTTGACCATCCTCTCCTTGACTCTCAAGATGAACAGGAATTACCCAGAACTCGACGGTTCCCACCACTATCTCGCAGAGGGCGACGGATACTTACGCTTACCGTCGTGACTATGGCTCTTATCTTGACGGTTGTATGCATTAGCTTAGCTGGGAGGAAGAAGAACAAGAAGGAACTTGAGCTCCTTTCGTCCCTCGTTTCGGATACTGGCAAAGAAAACCAAGGCCTTGGATTTCTGAACGCCATGTTGAACACTGAAAGGACGGAGAAGTTATTCTTGTGAATGATTTATGCTAACTACCTTTATTGTCTTCACTAACTGCTATTTCTGCAGGAGTATACCGTCTACGAGCAGCGCAATCCATGCGTCTCACAAGTATGCGACCCATCCCCACATCGCTGGTTCCCCAGAAGATCTTGAGGATGCAAAGTCGATTCTTGAACTCTTCCAAACCCAGTTCGCCATATCTGTCCCAGGCGAAGAGCCTATCTACCCTGCTGGTTCATCCAAGTCGCGTAAAGCGACACTTGATATCGCCCGCCTCAAGGCTCCCCAGGCGTGGATTGACGTCTACTACCCTATCATGAATCTCCCTTTGGACCATAGTCTCTCGATTCTCGACGAGGATGGCAGTGTCTCATGGACTGCGGATCTTGAAGAAGATGGCGACCACGGCGACCGCGATGCAGAGAGATACCGTGATGCTGTGCCAGTCTTCCATGGCTTCAGTAAAGATGGTGAAGTTGAAGGGGAGGTCATCTTTGCCGAATACGGCCGCAAGGAAGATTACGACGCACTTGAGGCGGCGGGAGCTAACCTTACCGGGAAAATTGTAATTACGCGGTATGGTGAAATCTTCCGTGGTCTCAAGGTAAAGGGAGCGCAGGAACGTGGTGCTGCTGGTGTAATTATTTATTCGGATCCTCGTGACGATGGAGCAGTCACCGTTGAGAATGGCTATAAGCCGTACCCAGCTGGTCCAGCTCGCAATCCGACTTCTGTGCAGAGGGGGTCTGTTCAGTTCCTTTCTATCTATCCTGGAGACCCAACAACGGTAAGCTGTGCTCTGAATTAAACCATATTTGCTGATTGAATTATTTTCTTAGCCTGGATACCCTGCTTACGAGAACGCAACGCGCGTTGAAGGTAGCAACAAACCTTCAATTCCCAGCCTGCCACTTTCATGGCAGAATGCTCAGAGACTTCTGGAGGAGATTGACAGTCCTACTACGAACCGCCAGATTACTGGTAAACTTAGTGCACGGAAGGTCAAACTCGTAAACCATGTGGACTACAAGGTCACACCAATTTGGAACACAATGGCGGTGATCCCTGGCCATATCAAGGACGAAGTTGTTCTCATTGGAAATCACAGAGACGCTTGGGTGCTTGGTGGAGCGGACCCGACCTCGGGCACTGTATCTCTGCACGAGATTATCCGTGGCTTCGGGACGCTTCTGCGAGCGGGCTGGAAACCTCTTCGCACGGTCATGTTCGCGAGTTGGGATGCCGAGGAGTACGGTCTTGTCGGCAGTACTGAGTGGGGCGAGGACTTTGAGAAATGGATTAAGAGACACGTCGTTGCGTATCTCAATACGGACGTATCCTCAGCTGGTTCACGACTCAATGTTGCTGGTTCACCTTCACTCGCACCACTTATTGCTCAGACTGCCAAGGACCTCCCGCATCCGACGAAGAAAGGCAGGACCTTATGGGATGCACTGGAAGATCAAGGGCCATACCAAGGGCCAATGGACCCGGACTTTGAAGTGCAGTACGTTGCTGGTCAAGAGGCAAAGTCTGCTTTGAAGACTGGAGTACCGCCATTGGGTTCTGGCAGTGACTTTACCGTTTTCTTGCAGCGAATTGGCGTATGTTAATCCCTTCACTGATCTCCAGATCGCCGCTAACTTGATCTGGATATAGATTGCCAGCTCTGACCAAGGATTTGGAGGCACTCCCTACGATGCACCGTATCACTACCATTCCATCTACGACTCAGAGAAATGGCAGGAAGTATATGCGGACCCGGGTTTCCATAGACACGTAAGTGCCTACATAGGCAATATGATCTATGCATTTATTTATAAATACGCTTCGTAGGTCGCCATCGCGAAGAATCTTGGTCTCTTGACTCTGCGCATTGCAAATGCCATAGCACTGCCTCTTAACACCACGCAATACTCTTTGGAACTGGATGATTATTTGGATGCGTGCGTTAAATTCTAAACATGGTCTTATTTACTTAAATTGATGGTTCTGTGCAGCGTTGAGAAAATAGCCCCAGCACAAGTCCCGAAGCCCGATTTTTCTGCACTCAGGAAGTCCATTCGTAATCTCCAGCAAGCCAGCCTTGCACTAGACGAAGAGAAGAGTGAGGCAGAAATTGAGCTCCGCAAACTTCTCGAGGAGATGCGCAAGAACAGCGAAAACGGTATTGAGTGCACAAAACCAAAGTATAGCCGACTCTGGGAGACAATTCGTTCATTTGTTGGTTACATGTTCGGCTTCCCGCCTCCACCTAAGCACGATTCGGATGAGCGCGAGAAGGAGTACGAAGATGAAGTGGACGAATGGTTAGGAACTAGGGATGCATACGAGCGCGAGAGCAACCGCACAATGACGGTCGTTTTGGATCGGCGTGGACACCGACATGCCCGTCGGCCGCCACCACCACCCGAATCCATCGCCAAGAAGTTGCTAGGCGACACTCCCCTGGACAAGTTCGTCGAGGCTGTGAAACGAGTGAGACGCGTTAATAGGAAACTATCGTCCTTTGAACGTGGATTCATCTCCGAGGGAGGTATAAAGGATCGGGAATGGTACAAGCACCTCGGCGTTGCTCCTGGTAAATGGCTTGGTACGTCCAGGGTTGATTAATTACTATGTCTTTCTAATTGACGATTTTCATTCTTCTCATCTACTAGGTTATGGAGCAACTACCTTCCCAGCTCTCACGGAGGCACTCACCATTGAACAAAACGCTAGTCTCGCTCGATACGAAGCAGACCGCTTACAGAAACTCATCGACAGGCTCGCGTCCCGTATTGCCGTATGAACTGAATGAATTGTTGTCGGTATCATGTAAAACCATCCGCTCGTTGATCCGTGTAGCACTCGTTTTCCTTACAATATAGTCTGTATTAGTTTGCTTTGTTACTTGGATAAATGGGAATTTTATCTAGTTTTGCAATATGTTTATGTATGTGAGCCTGTCGCGTAAATATGCGTAAATAACGCGCATTCAAAATCTATGTATGCAAGGTATTTCTATTTCCCACACATTAACATGATGGTCTACACTTCCTTGCTCACGCCCTGCCATCTAACTATCTGTCATAGACCTAGTCTTTCAGGGCATCACTGAGGCAATAGTTATGAAATGGTCCATCGTTTTTGCCATATTCGGCGTTTCTCTGCATGCGAGAGGCCAGTTGCATCCAAGTGAACCAGCCAAGTACCAGTCACTACCAGGCTTGCGCGAACAAGCTCAGATACTCGATGAGTGGAGGCAACAGCGCCTTGATGCTCTTCCAGACCTAATGAAGAAATATAACGTTGATGCTTGGCTTGTGAGAGTTTAAATCTATCGAAAACCGAGACCCTACTAAGTATAAATATTATATTGCTGTTCATGCCAAATAAATCTCGTATTTATTTATTATTATTGTCCTGACTACTTTTTATTTTTATTTTTATCTCGATCCGCCAAACATCAACGAAACTGGGGACACACTAGATGAGCCAACGCGAGCACGCCGAGGACACGATATGGTGGTCTATCAAGTCAGCAACGGAGTTCGCGGCACACAGGCGTACAGTTGTATTATTCCATACTAACACATCTTCACTTGCTGGCCAACCAAATCCACTTCTCTGGATTGATAACACGGGAGATGTATGGCCAGAGTTGCGCAATATCCTCAAATCGTATAACCCAGACCGTATAATGGTCAATACGAATCGTGATATTGCGTTCGCAGGTGGGATGCACGTAGGTGAGATGGCTGTCTTGGAGGAAGAGCTTGGACAACGTTGGACGGGTCGTTTTGTGAACGTACCGATGCTTGCGGTTGAATTCGTCTCGCGGCGGTTGCCTGGACAGATTGAGTATTTTGCGAAGATGCAGGAGACTATATGGGCGATGCTTGAAGAAGCATTTAGTGAACGAGCAGTCGTACCTGACAAGACGTCTACAGAAGTAAGTTGATTTCTTTATTCAGACTATCGTAGTATGAATTCCGATTTGTGTTATAGGACCTGGAGTGGTGGTTCCGCGACAAGATGCAAGAACAAAACGTCTCCACATGGAACCAGCCCCGCGTCAAGGTCCTAGACCCAACCTCTTTTCCGGGGTGGTCAGGCTCCAGTTCAATCATTCATGAAGGCGACGTCTTGCACGTCGACTTCGGAATCAGCGCAATGGGTATGCATACAGACACGCAACACTTAGGTTACGTCCTCCGTACGTCGAAGGGCGAGAGGACCGTCCCGACCGGACTTCTCACGGGTTTAAAGAAGGCGAATCGTATGCAAGACATTGTACTTGAGGAGTTACAAGTCGGCCGAACAGGGAACGAAGTCTTAGCAGCATGTAATCGAAAGATGAAAGAGGAAGGGATCGAAGGACAAGTATACTCGCACCCTATAAACGACTTCGCACATGGACCTGGAGCAACGATAGGTTCGTTCGACCACTCCTCTTTAATTTATGCGAGAACCAAGATCATACTGATAAGAATTCCTTTAGGATTCACCAATTTGCCGGATTTCGTGCCAGTATATGGGGAGCTACCCATCTTGCCGGAATCATACTACAGCATTGAATTGTTCGCAAGACATTTTGTTCCAGAGCGGAACGAATCTTTGCGATTCATGCTAGAGGAGAACGTGTACTGGAGAAACGACACGCAGCGCTGGGATTTCATACGAGGACGTCAGGAACGATTTCACATTGTAGATACGAGTCGGACGCACGGCCACCGCGAAATTCCGCTCCTCGTCGCTCAGAGATAAAGCCATTCCGTTCCAGCATTTCGAACAGCACTAGGATAGCGGTCGGGAGAACACGGAAATGGATATGATAATAAATACCTGAGAAACTTCCCCAATTTCCTATCCAGAAAGAAAGAACGAACATTCAGCTTTAAGAGGTCCTACACACTGGTAATCAGATGAATCAGTGTCAAGGTATTGGCAAATTAGTGGAGGAACGCACGCAGGAAATATATTTATCAAAGAGGGGTATTTTGAGCGGTCACGTTACCATCCTATGCAACCCGAATCTATTATTCCTCCTCTTTAAAAGATCCGATTGACCGCATGCTTCTTCATCACTCTCTCATCACATGGGATTTGACCGCAGTGACGCCTACATGTGCGCAGGGCGAAAATAAATGGACAATTTGAATTGCTGTGGCAATGCGGCTCTTTAGCTCACCAGGAACGAATAGCCAGCGTGAGACTGTCAGGAAACACGAGAAGTTTTGGCCTCAGCTTCGGTGCACTTTATCGCCCGTCGTCGGAGCGCTGCAGACAGGTGCCTAGGAACCCAAGCGCTTTCTCTAGAGTCCGGAACGCTATCAACGGAGGAGTGGGAAATGACGGGGAGTTCGTTGAACCTGTGTATGACGAACGCAGCCGAAACGCAACCTGGTTATCGTCGAATTGAATTGGCGGTCCGTAACCGAGATAAAGTTCCGACTTCCGAGCAACTTATCAACAACGGCTGGACTGACTTTTTTTGAACCAGGGGTGACGAGTGACATTTTCAGGTCTGCACTGATATGCAAATCGGTGTCATCGTTCACTGGAAATATTTCTGCAATTTGCAGATGTTTCGTTTCAATTCGACATTCGCGGATTGAATGTCAGCCACCCAGTAACCAGTAACAGCACAGAAACTTCCACGGTGTGGGGAACCGAGTCACCTGGGAAGCAAAATTTGTGACGGCTTGGCTCGGAGAGCGGGGAATCACTGATTTCTAAAAATGGGGTATCTCGATCTGGTTAGGGAATGAGTAGAAGCGACGGGATGGTCAGGGAGATCATTCATAACCATCATGCTATCCACTAACTATATAGGCCGCTCTAATCCTGGCCGCTTCCTCAACCGCCCGTCTCCCCTTTCCTTATCCTCCCACCACCATGTCCTATCCAGACGAGAAGGGCTTTGCCAAGCATGAAGGCCCCGATGGCAAAATTCATGATGTCGATTCCACAGAGGCACATGGTGAGGCTGGAGTGCAGCCAGAGGCAACCCTCAAAAGGCAGTTGAAGAACAGGCATATTGCTATGATCAGGTGCAGTAAAATTTTCTTTTCTTCAGTGAAGCAGGCGTGTTGATAACCTGTTGCCGTGTGCAGTATTGGAGGTGAGTGTCTCCACATGGCGGGCCCCACATTTGGTCATAGATTTTGACTAATGTAATTGTAGGTGTCATTGGAACTGGTTTATTCTTGGGAACAGCAACATCTCTCGCCAATGGCGGTCCCCTTGGTCTTCTGCTTGGTTATATCACTGTTGGCACTATTTGCTACAGTGTAATGGTAGGGTTGAATTACTATCTCCGCATTCGCGTAGCTCAGTATCAAATGTTGCGTAGATCTCCCTCGGTGAAATGGTCGCTTACTTGCCGATCCCCGGAGGGCATATCAAACTCGCCGGACGATTTGTGGATCCCGCACTGTCTTTCACTATGGGCTGGAATTACTGGTACAATTGGACGATTATTTTGCCAGCGGAGCTAAGTGCCGCTTCGGTATTGATGTCGTATTGGAAGACGGTTAGTACAATATGTCAAATCTCCTAATCTCCAGCAGAAGCTGATAAGCGATGTCGTTATTCAGCCCGACCAAGTGAATCCAGCTGTTTGGATCACAATGTGTTTAGTTCTTGTTGTCGTAATAAACTTGTTTGGCGCTGGTGAGTAGAATACTCCAATGATAGTTTCGCAGTTCTAAGCCCTTGAGCTAGGCGTTTATGGTGAATGCGAGTTCATATTCGCGTCAATAAAGGTCATTACGATCACTGGTCTTATCGTACGTCAGCCTTGCGAAATTTTGGTTCCGTTAATAATGTCGGTCTATTAATAGATTCTTGGCATTGTACTTGACCTTGGCGGAGGACCAAATCATGATCGGATTGGATTTCGCTACTGGAAAAACCCCGGTCCATTCCATCAATTCAATGACATTGGTGGTTCAGAGGGTCGTTTCTTAGGTTGGTGGGCAGTGATGACTCAGGCCGCGTTCTCTTTCATTGGCACAGAGATTGTCGCTGTACGTCGTCTTTCACGTTACATGCATACTCCTGACAAAATCTAATTTTCTTACCTTTACCGCACCGGTAAGATTGCCGCTGGTGAAGCGAAAAATCCTCGTAGGAACCTTCCCAAAGCAATTAAACGTGTCTACATCCGTATTCTCCTCTTCTACATCGGGGGCACTTTCATCATTGGACTGCTCGTACCATCAAACAACAGTGATCTGAAACTTGGCTCAAATACAGCAGCACAATCTCCTTTTGTCATTGCTATCCAGACAGCGGGCATTAAGGGACTTCCTCACGTCATTAATGCCGCTCTCCTTACCTCTGCCTGGTCAGCTGCCTCTTCTGATCTGTACACGTCGTCGCGCGCACTATACGGTTTAGCGCTATCGGGCAACGCTCCAAAGATCTTCACAACGGTGACGAAGAAAGGTTTACCGCTCCTTTCCATCTTGTTTTGTACTGCCTTCTCGTTCCTTGCGTACATGGGCGTTACAGCGGGTTCTGGGAAAGTTTTCCAGTGGTTCGTGAACATGACTTCGGTGGCCGGGTTGATGACCTGGTTTGGTATTACCGTCACGTACCTCCGCTTCCATGCGGGCTTCAAGGCACAAGGTTTCGATCGCTCGACACTTCCGTACGCTAGCAAGCTCAATCCATATGCTGCTTGGTATGCCATGATTAGTTGCATTGTGATTTGCTTCGTACGTATCCAATTTATTCTTCTGATTCTGCCCACTTGGGGACGCTTAATTAACTTTTTACTCCTAGTTCTCTGGTTGGTCTGTCTTCCTGAAGGGCAAATGGGACACAGCTAGTTTTGTCACAAATTATCTTGTACGTATAACCAATTGCGCTCAGCTGAAGACTTCCACGTTGACCTTCGGTTACTTTTCTTTTCCCCTCAGCCTTTCATGCTGTTCCCAATCCTATATGTTGGATCTCGGATGTACTACAGGTGCCGACCGCTCAAGGTGCACGAGATGGACTTCATCACGAATATCAAGGAAATTGAGGCTGAGACGTATGACGACCCGCCTCCGCGCAATTGGGGAGAACGTTTCTGGGGTTGGCTGGTAAGCTCAATCACACTGACATTTCACCTCATCTCATGACTCTAACATCAACATTAATAACTCCCCAAAACAGATGTGATGTATATCTTATCTATATCTCAAATCTTCTCGTAATGCATACAAGTCGTCTTGTGTAGAAGTGATCTGTCTAACTACTCAAGCTAATGCACGTTTTTCTCGAATACAATCTTATCAATCAGACGAAAGAACGTTCCGAGCTAAAACTCTTTGTCCGTTTCTTGTCTATCGTGAAAGAAAGATCATTGGTTTCCTTACTATCTTACCGATTGCGGTAAAGTTCGAAAATAGATATGAGAACCTCAAGTCTAAAATACCCAGATCGCGATGGATGATGCATGTGGGGAGCATAAGTATGAACACTGATTCCGGCTTCCTGGCGTAAAATAAACGACGAGAAGAGGAAACTCGACGTGACTGGCACCGGCGTGGAAAGTTTAATCAGCCTAAAGCGCGTGTTTGGCCTCAAGGTCCACTTGGATCGGTTCTTGGAAGTTTAGGCAGAGCCTTCCCTGGACCCGGCTATCCAGTGTCTCGACTTACACGCCCTTACGCCCTTTTACAAAAAGGCCGTTAATAGGCTAGGTAGCGATCCGGGCTAGTCGCACGGCATTCAATACGTACGAGTAAATACTTAAGGCAAGATGTTTCTCGAACGGCAGCTCACGAAATTTTCTCTTTACTGTGCACCGATACCCCTTGGTGAGATGCAAGCGCGACAAAGTAGTGACGAGTATGACGAGCCACCTCCGTCTGCAAATAGCTCTTCGACTTCCATTTTATCCGCTGAATACACACCGCTCAGCCCCTCTGCGGCGGAAGACGCGCTTGTGGACCTAGCCCATCCGTACACTGGTGTTCTAGACTTGCCAAGTGGTCGTAAGGCGGACGGACTTAGCTTCCAACCTTGCGCCGCGGCGCGATGTCAAGATCGTTACATTATAGAACAGTTCGCCATTCGAGGGGCTGGAGATGCATTATGGACGCTCACAGGCGTCTTTGACGGTGAGTAAATGACACCAAGGTGGCGAGCGCCGCCCCACTCGTGTGCGCGGTAATTGAGTAAGCCGTTAGCTCCGTGTGGGGCGGGGCGGGGCGACCGCGGGCGTCTCCGTCGAGTGTGCCTTGATACCATAAGAGAAAAAGAAAATTAATGATCCTCTCTCTCCATTCCATTCCCTTTCTTCATTTGCTTCCGTCATATCCGTGATTGAAGGTCATCTCGGCGAGACCACGGTAGAGCACGTCGCACACCACTTGCCCGTGATCGTCCAGGAGTTTTTAGAACGGGCGGTGAGGGATCAGGGACCTACGTGCCTCAAGAACCCGACGATCGTGTCTACGCTGCTCAAACGTGCCTTTTCGTCATTCGACCGCGACATTGCGAATGACGTGCTGAAACTCTTCCCTGGCGGCGTCGCGTCGCTAGATCGGCTGAGCGATGACTACATCCGGAGTGTCATCAACGACTACGGAAACGGCTTGACGAACTACAAAAAAGTGCAGTTGAACATGTACGGCACCACAGCGTTACTGGCGCTTGTGGATCCCCGACAGGAGAACCTGTGGATCGCGAACCTTGGCGACTGTCAAGCGGGTGCGTCGCTTTTGCGAAAGAGAACATATGGCGGTTGTCATCATTGACTACAAATCTTAAGTGCTTGCCTCGCGGATTCCGTCAGGAAGATGGGTAGGTGAGCTTCTAACTGAGGTACATAACGGCTCCAATCCACGAGAAGTCGACCGTGTTAGACGAGAACACCCGTCTGAGCCCGATTGTATCAAGAACGGTCGTATTCTTGGAACAATTGCGCCTTTCCGCTGTGAGTGCAGAAGACAACAGCCTGGCAGCTGTGGAAGCTGACTGGATGTCGTATTGTAGGCCTCGGAGACCAGCCGTTCAAGCAGCCAGCGGCCTTTACGCGTCGCATACTGTTTAATCTTGACACGGGGGCCGAGAACGTTGACGACTCGCGAGCAGCATGGGCGCAGCTCATAGACCGCGTACTGACTCCACCGTATTTATCCGCAGATGCAGATGTGGTGCATGTGCGCCTTGACCGCAGCAAGAGTAGAGTTCCAGGAGTGCCGAATCAGTTTCTAATTCTATGCACGGATGGCCTTCCAGATTTGCTGGAGGGCGTGCCCTCCAGAGGTCACGCACAGTATTACGTGGATTCAATCGTGGAGGTTGGAGTTAGGGATGGGCGAGCCATATTTGACGTTAGTGACAATCTAGCATTGCGTCTTTTAAAGAGATCTTTGGGAGGAGAGGACAGTAATGCGCTTTCGCAGATGATCGCAGTACGTAGCGACCGGCCCTGGCTGGACGATGTTACTATAGTTGTTCAGGTCTTGTGATATTTCGCCCTTGGTTGCTTCCCTACATAGATTTGTTTTAGATTCCTTGCACGCTGTATGGTCGTGGTCGAAAGATGAACTGAAGATGCCATGATCGGTAAGGGAAACTTGCCTAATTAGTACGGGCACATGATTGTGAGAACAATATGCTATGTTTGGCAAATTGCTAAACTGTCTTGAATTGACCTCTTGTCATTGAGAAACAAAAACACACACCGCCATGTTCAAGTGTGCAATTCAAAATGCTGCACGTACGTCTTCGTTGACAACAAGGCAGACATTGGCACTGCAATCTCGGTTCTTCTCTTCATCTACTCCGTTAGGCGAAAATGCTCAGCCCTCGTCCTCCTCTTCTCCCCAAATCTACCTTAACGAAGAACGCAAACGAAAGCTCATCTCAATCTACCACCAAGCCGAACACTTCATCACACACGAAAATCTCTCCGATTACGTAGATCGGGAATTCATGGACGCTACTAAATTTACAACCGTCTTTCCTGAGGACGGCAGGGCCATTTTAGAGGGAGAGCTCAAAAACAAACGGGAGCGTCCGAAATTGATTACCGTGCAGGGGGCGGATGTGAATAATAGAGACAATAGGTGGTTTAACGATTATAACCGCAGTCAGGATAAAGATAAGGGCGATAAGATCGAAGGCCGGGATCATGTAACTCGACGACGGTTGAAGGCAGCGGTGTTTGGTGTAGACGATTCAAGTAAGGCGAGCTTGGAGATGGTGGAGAATCACAAACGAACAACCCATTTAGCTGAAGGCGACTAGCCAAAAAATAGTGTGATACTACAGTTTATTTTCTTGAGCCGCTCACTGACGTGACAATAGACGTATAGGTCAAGCTGCATTCGTAGTCGTCTACTTATTCGAAGCTACGATCAAGTTCAAAGGCCGCGACGCGCTATTTTTCGCGTCTGAAACAAATACTCGTGCCGATACGCGAGCGCTCTGGAAGTGAAAGAAGGGGAATGGCCCGTATACGCATACCTCACAATTAATGTACGATTTATTGACTGTGTCAATATAATTCCGCGTTGGATTCGTCAAAGCCTCCCGTGACCTCTAATTTCGCACGCTATCCATACATACAAAGTCGAGAGCTACATGCAAGACTCTTTCTCACTTTCTTCCGCCATAATACCCCCAGTCAACTCAAACCATGCCATCAACCGACATGAAAGCTTTCCAACGAGCCCTCTCAGAGTCAAAACATATCATCGCTGTTGCTGGAGCTGGACTATCTGCTGCCTCTGGTACATTATTACTGTCTTGAAGTACCCCAATTATTGATGTAGTATCATCATTATAAGGTATCCCAACCTTCAGAGGCGCTGGAGGCATGTGGAGAAAATTCGATGCAACTAGTCTCGCAACACCTGGCGCTTTTAGACGTGACCCGTCGCGTGTATGGCAGTTTTATCATTACAGACGAGAGAAGTATGGCTACATGCAAAGATCGCCAACAAAATCTCAATGTTGAATGTTTCTTTTGGCATAGAGCTCTTTTAGTGTCACCAAACGCTGCACACCACGCTCTCGTACAATTGTCAATTCCAAGTTTCCGGTATAGTATTACGCCCAAGTCGACTTTCACGTTAATAACACAGAACGTTGATGGACTGAGTGCTCGTGCTCTTGACACTAAACTGAAAAGCCTTCCAGAATCCGAGAGGGATCTAATAACTGCACAACAACAGCCAGTACTCCTTGAAATGCACGGCCGGCTTTACGACGTCGAGTGCACCTCAGAAGATTGTGGACACATTGAATGGAATGTCGCCTCTCCGATTTGCCCTGCTCTTGCTGGGACAGAAACACTTGTAGATGAAGGAGTCGTCGAACCGACCATCCTTGAGGCAGATCTCCCTCACTGTGCGAAGTGTGGTGCTCTAGCTCGACCAGGTGTTGTTTGGTTTGGGGAACGACCAGTACATCTTGATACCATCGACGAGCTTGTTGAAGAAGCAGATATGTGCCTTGTCGTGGGGACGTCATCAACAGTTCGTAACCCATCTACCCTTTTAATGTTCCGGAAATCTCGGATACTAAATAAATTTGATACAGGTCTACCCTGCAGCTGCCTATGCGGGTGATGTGCAAAGACACGGAGGCAAGGTCGCCGTCTTCAATATTGACCGAAGTGACGGTGATGGTGCAGCGGACTATTTGTTCTTGGGTCCTTGCGAGGAAACTTTACCTCAGGCATTAGGGCTTGACAAGGAATCTTTGACGAATGGCCAATGACCATTAGAAGTTAGTTAGTTGAAAGTTGTGAACAAAGTGTGTCGTAGTTGAGAGAACCATGCATTATAATTATTTGTCGTTCTCTTCGGGCTTTGCCTCTATTGGTGTATTTAGCCCTACCCGATTTGCAGTTGCGCGAACGCGTTCTTCTTGTGTCAAGTCGTGCAGCGGGTTATATCTATCTAGTAATTCCTGGTAGAAAAGCAAACAATCTCCTCGTTAATACCAAGTGTTTTTGAATGAAGTGAACAAATTGCACCTTATGTCTTCTCTGTGCTCTCAACAGCGTCGCTGAATTACGCATATCCCTAAGCAGCTTCTCCACATCTTTCGAAGACAAGACCGAACATCTTTCCTCCAGTACAATACGAAAGTTCCGTGCTATTTCGCCATTTCGTTTTGGCCGAGGAACAATGGCCTGACCATCCATTCAGCAATGAAGGGAGTATATAAAAGAGGGATATCACATACCGACTTTGCTAGTTCACGAAGAACAGACCTGTAGGCTGCCCGACACTGTGTTGCCATTAAACTTGCCGCAAGAAATTCTGTGTGGCAGTGTGTGCAGACTGGACTCTTTATGTGCATGTCACGTGGCAGCCTGTCAATGTTCTCGCCACGTGCCAGCTCTTAGCAACATCTATCAATTATTATATTATTATAATCAATATCATCGTTCGTGTCGCATTCGCTCATAATAATATAGACTTTTGTGTTCTACATCCAAGTACAATCGTGTCGCTGAATTTGCCTATTTAATCTCCATGGCATCAGCAAACCTACACAGCCCTCTAGCAGATCTAGGGATAATTCCAGAGACGTTGCAAACCGTGATTCCTGAGATTCTCAGAGAACTGAAGCACCTAGATTTAACTGGACAAGTTGCCTTCCACGAGGGCAAGGTGATTGGATGTGGTGCATATGGAGATATCAGTAGTGCTGCATGCAACCTTGCAAGCCGTGGGACAATCAAAGTAGCTGTAAAGCGCTTGCGATTCTACATGCAGGAGGACGTCAAACTTGTGAGCACACTTCTGAAACGACCTCTTGATTCTGTGTTAACGGTCATGTTTTAGCTTTTCGAAAAGGAGATCTACGTATGGTCAAAATTAAGCCATCCCAATGTTCTGCCACTGCTAGGATACGCTTTTGATCAATTAACCGGATGTCCATTACTTGTTTCTGAATGGATGCAGAAAGGATCAGCATGGACATGCGTCAATTCAAAGCCGGATTGTAATTTGTTGCAATTGGTGCGTGTTAGCATTAGATCCTGCATATGACAATTGACATTCGAATTAAGATAACTGGTGTTGCCAAGGGCCTTGCTTATCTGCACGAGAGGGGCGTTGTTCACTCGGATGTTAAATCTGTAAGTAGGACTGGTGCCCTTTGCATATATGCATCCTTAAACTACATATGTCTTCAGGACAATATTGTTGTGTCAGAGTCCGAAGACGCTCTCATATGTGATTTTGGGTGTTCTCGGATGATTGATGCGAGCCGAAGTCTGGCAAATTTAAGTACTGGGATAAAGGGAACAGTCCGATACACGGCATATGAAGTACTTGTACACTCGACCCAATACAGTAGGGAATCAGACGTCTGGGCTTTCGGAATGACAGTATATGTAAGTGAGCTAGCTTAAAATACAATACAATACTGACTAACTCGTCGAAGGAACTGTGGGCTCGCAAACGACCTTATAATCAGCTCAAAGAATTACAAGTAATGCAGGCAATCAGCCGCCACAAGCTTCCAACTTTCCTTCGAATGCGGAGACTTTTGACAATGACGACTTTAATAGTATGATTCAATATATCTGTAAAGGCTGCTGGACCTTCAATCCCATTTCGCGTACTTCCATGATTGATATTCTGAAAATTTTGGAAGCATGTCAGGTAAACATCTTTTCCCAATCAACAGAAGAGTTCATCTAATTGTCCTTTCTTGTTGGTGACATGCATTCTAGCCCTTATATAAACCAGTTGCAGAGACTGTGCCAACCTCAGGTATTCTAGAGAGTAGTACTGATGGTAAAAGACTCACTTGCCCGTATTGCGGAAAACGGTTCAATCGACCAAGTAGCCTCAAGATTCATCTCAATACTCATACTATACCGAAGCGTATGTATATATTTCCCTTTACTTCTACTGATTCGTAACAAGCCAGCTGATTTGTATTTCTGGTCTTGTTCTCCTTACTATGCCCTCTAACGATTTGGATGATGGCAACACGGTTCCATCTTGGTGGCAAATGTATCATCTTTGTCGACTCACCGTTTTATTTTTACGTTCGTGCTCAACGCTTCGTACTGCCACCGTATCTCTGGTCACCGTGCCGTCTCACCCGGCACTTTCACCTTGTCATGTTTCAAAAATAATTAACCGATTGGATAATCTCACCAATGCATCTTTCCACTTTTGCTGGTGCAATGATACCAAATGGGACTATCGATATATTTCCGATGTGGGCCGTCATGACATTTCCATATTTCATGGGCCTTAAAATTCTTCACAATGGGACAATTAATTAGCTTTCGAGTGTCCGTATCCGGGCTGTGGACGACGGTTTAATCTGTCGAGTAATATGGAGAGGCATTATCGAAATCATTCTTCGACTGCTGTATTACAGTTACCTCGGATAAGTGATTGTGGATCAGTATTTCCTACTTAACTTGATTATATACTCGTTACTACAGACCTCAAATAAATGATTGCTTTTTATGTCTTCTTTCATTTGTGGCAGTTGTATAATGCATTGCAATGTTTCGTCATTTATTTTTAATTCTACATGCATTTTCAATTCAACACACAACCCCATGAATGATCGACTTCAATCTGAGAAAATTTGAAGGAAAGCGAAAGCAAGCAAAAACAAGAAGTGCAGCACATCTCTATGCAGAGCTAGAAGACGGTGCACCCTCCGTCTGCAACTTGACCAACAACGCTTTCAATTCATCGACATCACGCTTAAAATGATTCCCGCTGCCGCTAGCGGTGTTGTTGACATGTTGCGTCAGCTTTGAAAAGGTTGTAGCACCGTCGAGAGCCGTTTGTCTCGCATCATCTTCGGCAAGCCATTCATCAAGCTGAGCCGTGATTGAACGCGCTTTCAGGCGGAAATGTGTGCGAATAACGTCCGCAAATGGGTCTGGAGGGTTCTTAAGGTTTCCGAGCATCTAGAAAGACTATCTGTCACTAAGGTGTTTTAGCTCGCGAGGAAAAAACCTTACGGCTGTGTGCACGACCATCCGTCTCACGTTGGCGGAATCTGGTGGTTACTTGAATAAAATGTAAAATCTTACAGCCAATGGGTCTACTCACATGCTTTAGATTGTGGTGTTCCTTGCTGACTCGCCCAACCAGGCTCGTTGAGATACGGCTCATCACATAGGATCATCGACTGGATGGATATGAGGACCTATAGCAACCGATGAGCAATGAAGACAACATGGCACAAGATCGTGCATACCTGTAGCAAAGTAGACTTTCCAGATACCCAGCTGGGCCCTGACCAGGTGCCGAGTAAGGATAGACAGACCTTCCCGTCCTAGGAACGAAAGCAATCAATTTCACAGTGGGAACAGGAGGCGCGACAGGACATACGCTATACAGGTTCGGGTTGAATCGGTATTTGCCATCGTTGGTCTACTCAGAGAATTAGTCAAAGGTCTGGACATGCAGTAATCCCCTTACAGTCATGTATTTTACGCTCGGAGGGGTCTGATTGTAACTCGAACCCAAGAAAATATCGAATAAATAGCTACTCTAAAGTCAGTGTGCAGCAACGACTGTACTCAATAAAGCGTACCATCCGTTTTTATACCTGCGTTACATTAACATGTCAATGTAGGAAGAAAGATGACAAGAAGTTTCTTACGGTGTTCCCTCAGGACCAACAATGAGGGCTTTAATTACATCTACCCGTCCCTCGTCTACACGAACGAATACAGACGAATCCCATGCAACTGGCAGGTTCGTAGTAAGAACTGCGAGCTAATGAGGGTCACTATTTTGGAGCTTCTTTTGAGGTGAAGCTCAAACAAAACATACCTCTTTTGCTATAGCTACTGCCCTCTTCGGCATGTCCGCGTTCGAGAGCAGTCGAGCGTCTTGGCTAAAGGCATGCTTGAACGATGGCGAATAATCAGCATCGAATTTCGCATCGTCCGGCGCAGGCAACGTCAAGTTGCAATATACAAAGCGGACACGCGTCGCCCATTTTACGTAGAGGGTTTGTAACTCTTCATCAGTCATACCAGGATTCAGCTCTCGTCGGACAGCTGCTGCGTTGGCGCTGTCGTTATCTGAGGTTGGTACCTTCGGCAGCGAGGCTTTCAGCCTCTGCAAGAACTCGTATCCCTTCGTGTCAAGGAGGCTGCGGTCGATGGCAGCAGCAGTAGCAATAATGCGGTTGCAAAATTCAAGCAAGCGTTTGTTCTCAAGCAGCGCAGCCGAATCAGCTCCATTAGAGGCCGGCGCCTTTTCTTTGCCCTTTCCGTTGACATCTACTCCGGTCATGCGCTTCTGCTCCTCGGTCATCTCCTCCGGGGTGAGATCAGACAGCTTCGGACCTTCAAGTCCTTTCAGTGCTGCGGTTGCCTGAATCACAATAGCTTCAAGGAGCTCGCGCGGGCCGGATGAGCCTTCATAGATGATCGTTCGCTCACGAATCTGGGATCGCGAACCGACCTTCTTTGTGTTTACCGCCTTTATCGAAGATACTACCATTATTGGCATAGCCATCATGCTCGCCAGTGATTCATGATTTGAGATAGTCTGACACCATCCGTAAGCAAACAGGAGAAAATAGAAGGTCCTTGCACTTACTTCAAGCCATTCGAATAACTCAAAATAGAGGACGTTTCGGTCTGACATATCGGAAAGGGAGTCGTTACGAAGCAGTGTGCTGCTAACATAGTTAAATCTACGGCGCAGATGCGCAAGGGTCGTCGGATGCGGAAGGAAGTCACTAGTTTTCCCTCTATGCTGGTTCGGAAGGAACTCTCGGACACTCTTCAGGAGGTTCCCAATTTTTTGATCTTTCTTGTTCTGAGCTGCCAAGGCCTGAGCCTGACCGGAATGCTATACGAGCACAGGAAGCAAGTTAGGTGAGATAGGTGATATTACAAAGAGAGTACACCTACGTCTTCACGATTGCTACCAGCGTAACCGATGCCACCAGCCTTTGATTTCTTCCCTTTAGTAGAAGATATACAGTAGGAATCATCCTCATCATCCGGGTCAGGAGCCGGAGTAGAGGGAGTTGTGACCTTACGTTTCTTCGAGTTTCCTGACCGAACTACCGCAAAGCTTGTGTCTCCAATCTGTTCAGCGAATATCTGTTCTAGCATCAGGAGCCCGACACCGAGAATCACTCCCTGCAAATTTGAGCAGTGGAACAACGGATCATCGTTGGCCGTCGCTTTGCCATTCGCATCCTTTGCAGAAGTGCTTCGCTCTCCACAAGCAAAACAAAAAGTAGAAGAGCACTTTGGGCATTTTTGTTGAACGATTTTCTTCAAGTGATCAATATATTGAGAAAAATCGGGCTGGATGGAGGTAAACAATCTGTTAGCAGTAGAGCCAGCCGATGTACACGGACGTACATAGATAGCAAAGAAATTCGCTTTCTTTCGGAGAATTGTAAATCCGCAAGCCTCTGGGCATGCGCATACACCCTCGCTGAGTCCAGAATATATGCCGAACAAGAACGACTGCTCGCTGCCCTCTGGACAGCCTTTCATCCACTGTCCTTGAGTCAGGAGTTTCAACGGCTCGGGCTGATCAGGAACTACTGCCACTTCAGGTTCCTCTTCCACTTCTATGACTTCTTCCTTACGGTCCTTCGAGAAGAAAATACCTAAGGAGCAATCAGAGATGCACTCAATATTGGGAGATTCATCTAAAGTACCCGCGTATGGATCGGCAGATGCAGAGGAAGCAACCGGAGGATCGCCGTAATCCGAATCGTAGTCAACGTATTCGTCCTCTAGTTAAGAGGATCCGTTCAAATTCGTAAGTGCTAAAGTGGAACGATGCATATTCACTATTCACTGACCTTCATATCCATCATCCGGATCCATATCACTGCCGTCTTCTGCGTCTGAGTTATCCTCATCTGGAGTCTTGACGCCGTCAGGGGCTGTGAGCATATGCGCAATCAAGTCGCGACTAGGTGCTTACAATCATTCGGACTCGCTCTGGACGTCCCGTAGGCCTCTCAACGATGCCCAGCTCTTGTACATCGTCGTCCATAACATCCTCAAACTCGCCGTCGAATATCTTCTCAGCTGCGCGCATGACGTCCTTGTACTTCTTTAGCGCTGCGCGCGCTTGTGCCGCTATCGCACCCTGTACAATAGTTAGTAGGCTAGTAAAGAAACTCCCTTAGAAGTAATAAGAGAGTACCATTTCCACGAGCTGAGCGACCTCCTTGTCCATCGTGGAAGGTGCAGGATAGGACGGATGAGTCGGGTGATGATGGTGGTCAATAGCAGGCGGTGCCGCCTCTTCTTTACTCGGTGCTGGTCAGTGACGTACGTAATTGCCACGCGACCATGTGGTGCCGCCGGCAAGTCGGCTGTTTGAACGTGATTCTACTGCCGGGCATTAGATTTATTAGAGACCTGTTATGCTCCTCACCACTCCTCTACTTATACCATCACCTGCGTTGTCTCACCCATCTCTACAGTAACAATCATGTCGAGTGATTCTCTCATTCACGCTCTGGCTGGCTCCCTCGGTGGAATAGTCGCAATGACGGCGACATAGTAAGAACATCTTGTTCCAGTTGACATTTTCGCCAATAGGTTTTCACTTCCTGCGTTCACAGCCCCTTGATCTTCCTATCTACCAGAGCAGCTGTAGAGACAAGCAAGGAGCAGAAGGTGCGTCTTAATCACGACGACCTATAATATATTCTCACATCACGCTGTTTAGTCTACTTACCAAGCCGTCCTCGACATAATCAAACGCGAAGGCATCACAGGCCTGTATAGCGGCCTCAACTCTAGCTTACTTGGAATTGCTATAACAAATGGGTATGTAGTTTTGCAAATTTGAATAAAGTAATGCTAAACGAAACGTCAGAGTTTATTATTTCTTCTACGAACGGAGCCGCGCCATTATATTGAAGGCACGCACAGGAAGCAAAGCCTTATCAACACCGGAGTCAATATTGATTGGTCTCATAGCCGGTAAGATGGTTCCTTACCTGTTCTGCAAACTTTATAACGATCAAACCCGCCATCGTCCAGGTTCGGCGACTACAATCATAAGTAATCCAATCTGGGTCATCCAAACATCCCAGAGCGTCCAGACGATGTCGCCATCTGCCAGTCAATCAAGCTTGGATCGTTCCCCGTCTGACCGTTCAAAAGTCAGCGTCAAGAAGCTCGGATTTGTAGAGACTATAGACCACATTCTGCGGAAGGGTGGTATCCAAGAATTCTGGAGAGGAATCGGGCCCGCGCTAGTACTCGTCATTAACCCAGTACTACAATACACCGTCTTCGAACAGCTGAAGAACTTGCTCATCAAAAGACGCACTGCTCGGCTTAGGGCTGCTGGGAGCAAGACAGCAGTAGCTGTATTAACTGACCTTGACTTCTTCTGGCTTGGTGCACTTTCAAAACTCGGTGAGCCAATAATGAATCGGACGAACTTTTGGTATTGGGAGGCCTATCACTGATTGTAACAAATATTAGTCGCCACGAGTCTAACTTATCCATACATGTAAGCCTTTTATGCTCTTACCCATTCACATTACCCAACCAATTCTCTTTTAGCGTAATTAAATCACGTCTACAAGCCGGCTCAGCCTCCGCAGCACGATACAAGTCTTCTCTCGACGGAATACTCACCGTCATCCGCGAAGAAGGCGTCGCGGGACTGTACAAGGGCATCAACAGCAAGCTCGTCCAGAGTGTGCTTACTGCTGCGATTCTGTTCGCTGGTCAACGTCGGATATACGAGATTGTCAAAAAGGTCAGTTGAATACAACTCCTCAATCTTCTTAGTTTTTCGCTAAATATCTTTGTCTCTCTGCACAGACATTAGATACGGTAGCTGTAGCAACAGTGTGATTATCTGCTCTAGAACTCTTGAAGCACGTGTGTAGTGCCTTTGGCTACAGTGTCACCTGCTTGTATACACATTAGAGGTCAGGAAGTGATTGCTTCAGTCTATTTAGGCTTGATAAACATTTGATACCAAGTAATGTAAACATATCAAGATGTTTATGTAGACTAATAGGACAACTTCAAGACAGCTCTTTCACCTCCCACCAAGCCTGTTACTCTCTTCACAACTTGAATGGGGTTTATCAATGTTACAAGTTTGCCCTTATTGTGTCCATACTCTCTAGACAGAATCTTGCAAATTACATGAGAATATCAATATCAACATCATGATAATCCATCTGTCTATCCTTCCTTCTGTCCGAGTCTGTCCATCTATCTATCCATGGATTCCTCTAATACATATGTATGTCTATCCTTATCCAGCTCTTGACCCTTTTGCCCTCCATCATTATCTCCATCTCCATCATCAAGTTCCCTTCTACTAATTGCCTTATACCAAAAACACACAACACCTTTCACAGTAAAGAATTCCATGGGGTAAAGGAGTTGCATAGATTTGAGACTTATTTGGGTTGTTCATTATCTGACTCTGGTATCTATCAATTATTTATGATACATCTGACTTCTAATGTTGTATACTTTACTCTGCTCAAAGTATAAGGTCTCTTAACAAAAGACAGTGACTGTACCCAAATGCTTCCTCCATCCGGTTCTGAAACAATTACTTACATCCCACAAATGCACTTAGTCCCAAAACAAACATAAAACATGGTACGTACAAAAAATCACCTCATTCATTCAGTCTGAAATAACAAACTATTTAAGTCAAACCAAACCGGATATCTCACAAACCATCAACACAATTCCAAAAGAAAAGCAGAGGAAACATAAAAAGAACCGAAATACGGATGGTAGAGAAATAAATATGGCACAAGCATGCCTTGGTTGGTCAAGTGAAAGGGGAAGGGGTGAAAGTAAGGTACAAAGGGTGTGCCGGTGAGGCCTTCAAAAGAAAGAGAAATTTAACGTAGGTACCAAAGAGTTATATATTCTAAAACCGCCTAGCGAGCTTTTTCCAAACCGAAAGAAAAAAAGAACACAAATAAGAAAGAACTCAGAATAAAGAAAGAGAAAAAAGCCAAAAGAGAAGAAAGAGAAAATAAAAAAGGAGAGTGTGAAGCACAAATAATTATTGCGCACGTCAGAGGAAGAAGCTAATAGAACACATTTCAGTTATGATGGGGAAGGTGCCTTGCGAGGGCTTCGAGAGAGTCCGTCCGAGGCACAAGGTTGGATTGGATTGGGTCGGGTTGTATGTACGAATTGTATTGCACACAAGCGGTTGGGTATATGCATTTTGCATGGGTCAGGATGGATGAGTTTATGGCGGCGCGAGGCGAGGAGATCAGCGAGAGGAGACAACAGAGAGAGATCGAGAGACCCAAGAAAACCAAATCAAAGAACAACAGGAAGGGACGTAGACGACGAAGTCACTTCACTTCGAGACACCAAAGCTTCCTCTCGTCTCATCAAAGTTGAGCGGGAACGCGCTCAAGTCCGCAGTCAACGCAAGTGTGTCCAAACTCGCACGTTGTCGTCCTTTAAGCGTCCCATTCCCATTCAAGTTGTTCGACGCCGCACTTGGTGGCGGCTTACTCACGCCTCCACTCCTCCCTCCATTTGCACGTCCATTCGCATTCACGTCGGAAGGCGCAGACGCCTGCGTCTGTCCCTCGTCAATCCTGAAATCATACCCCTCAATCCCCGTAGATGCACTGCTCATACCTTGCACCTGCCTCGCAGACGGTTGGTGCTCTGCGTTATCCTCTTTTTCCTGCTGTACTTGCTTCGGCAAGGGTGGGACAGGAGGGATGGTATGTGCTTGTTGAGCAAGCGGCGAACGAGGTGGACGAGAGGAAATTGGCGAGGGTGGTACGAATGTGAAGCTCTCAAGTAACGAGTCTGCACCTGCACTCATTACGCTTGCCTCACTCACGCGACGCGAATGCAGTGACAAGTTCATTCCGTTGCCACTTGCTGTGCTGCTTGCAGACGAGGAGACACCAGGCATGGGTAAGCCAGACGCTGCAGCACGAGCACGAGCAGCGGCAAGCGCTTGTGCTTGCTGTTGTTGTAATACGCGCTCGTCTTGCGGATTGAGAGGACCAGACGTTGGCGTCACGAGCTTCGCACTCGTCAAACGACGGTCCGCTGTGCTGCCTGTCGAGTTGAGACGAACGACAGTTGCGCCACCAATCTCTGCGCCGATGATGGACGTCGCTTGCGTGAGTGTGCTGATGGGTCGTCCAGTAGCTGGTGAATCCACTGTCTCGCGGTCGTCCGTAGAGCTGGCCTGATATTGACCACCTGGCGATGCAGTAGATGGAATCGGGATTGGAGTGTGTCCTCCAAAGGTAGTCGTTGAGTTACCAGTACGTGGCGTGTGCTCATCGCCGAATGGATCGGTCCGATGTAGGTGGTATTCAATCTCCTGGCCCTCCGCGTCAGTCTCGCTCACACTCATTGCATCTGCTGGGCCAAACGAAGTCTGCGCAAGAGGAGAACGAGCCATTGCCTTGGATGCTCGCGCTGCCATACTGGGCTTCAGCCCTTGGTTAGTTGCGCCAGAGTTTGACGACATCGGAGTGTTAGGTGTTGTGCCTTGAACAGAAACAACCTCCGCCTTCGAAAGATTGACGCGCCCGGCATTTGTAACGATCTGCGGTGCTTCGTAGAGCACGTCCGACGCAAAGCTTCCGGACGTCATGACGGAGTCGCGCGATGAGAATCCAGAAAATCCGGATGCTTGCGATTGCGCATACGGTGCATGAGGAGGACGGAAAGAGTCCTTCGAGACGTTGACATGCTCAAGGTTAAGACCCGACGAGAGCGGGTCGAAGCGTAGACCAAGGTCTGGAGAGTGTGCAGGGCGTGTTGGCACTGAAGACCGCGTCGACGATGTGCCCGATTGGTTGTCCGACACGGGGCTGTGCTGTGCCGATGACACGGACCCGTGAGGGACAAGCGCGATGGGGATAACGTTCGTGGACTGCGTGCTGGCAGACGCAGTCTGAATAGAATGCGTGTCGGTGAACGGGTTGCTTTGCGCGGACGGCCGCCGCGAAAGGCCCGTCTGCTGCGAGGATGGACCCGAGTTCTTCGCCTGTGGGTCGAGGTTGATCGTCGAGTCGCTCATGACAGAGTACATGCGAACGGAATCAGGTTGCTGAGGTGATGGCGAGCGCGGTTTCTCGACGGGATCTGGGCGGCTGAGGACAGCCTCGGCACGCGCGGGAACGTCGGGCTTGACATCGTGCTGCGGCTGCTCACACGGTTGGGCTCTGCGCTGGCGCCGGCGATACCAAATTAACAGGGCAATAGAAGCCCCCAACAAAATGAGTACTCCGATAACGGCCCCCGCAATAGCACCACCACTGACTCCGCTGTTGCTCGTTTTCGTTGTGCTGCCATCGGCACCCTCGACGCAGCTCGCAGTCGGGCACGCATCGCAACTCCTGTGAAAATTCATGAATAAAAAATCGGAATAAAATCGGCCAAAAACATTTAACGGACCTGGATGTAATTACACACTGCAAACCTACACCGCAGTTGCAGCTAGGGGCCGTAGCTGGGCAGTCGACGCAGCGGCGGTGAAGTCCTTCGTGGAGATGCATCGTTTATGATTGTTAGATACAAGGAACGTGAAATTGATGGTGAGAGTGCAGGCGGCCAGCGTCGACGAAAGGGCAGGAGGATTCGTCGACAGCGACGGGGCGGAATGAGCGGATGGAGGAGGAGGAGGATGGTGGACGGTGGGAGAGAGAGAGGAAGGAGATGAGGGATAAAGAGAGGACGAGATGAGATGATGATGAGACGATGAGACGAGAGGCCTGGACTCTCGCTGTGAGAGCAGACCGCAATCCGCCACGCGGCATGCCCTGTTGATAGTCCGTTTATGGCACTCGCTTATGATCCCCGTCCGCCTGATCCCTCCATCAGCCAAATCACCGCCCTCAACATAGAGGCAAGATTCAAGGCAGTGAGCGAAGAGGCACGTCGCAGGCTGTGTCTAGGTAATTGTTCGCGTTAAGACGCATCGTTCGAAACAGCGAACAGTTTGGCGAGCGGATGAACGGATGCCGCCAGAGTTACACTTCCTTCTAACGTTTCTTTAGCAAAGTTCACTATTGGCATTAACCCTAAATTCCAAGACTGTACAACTCATAAAGCGCCTTGCAACGACGTCTCGAACCTGACCATCTGGGCGCAACAACAGCTCAATTTCCCTCATATTTTGCCGAAATTACATCAACATTGTCATCAAAACGGTAGGCGCGTCGATCACCGATGGAAGCGCTCAGCTCCCAATCCGGTAATCCGTCCCTGCTCCAACCCGCGTACAATTTCTGACAACGTTCTGAGTTCTGACTCCATCCCGATATTCCTCCAAAAAACATGTCCTCCGACATTAATAACAATAACACAGCCGACCCCGACACTGGGCCTGCAATCTACGTCGAGAATCTCACTTTCACGCACTCGCCTGGTGCAGAACCCGCTCTTTCAAACCTCAACCTCTCTCTGCCACGCGGTTCACGCACGCTCCTCATCGGTGCGAACGGTGCAGGCAAGTCAACGCTCCTCCAACTCCTCGCAGGTAAACGCCTCCTACCCAAATCAAGCATCGTACGCGTACTCGGCGCAGACGTCTTTACGCGTACATCAGCGCGAATCACGTTCCTCGGCACCGAATGGGCCTCGAACCCCGTCGTACGCGGTGATATTGCTGTGTCGCATTTCCTCGATAGCGTTGGTGGTTATCGGCACGCTGAACGTAGAGATCGACTGCTTGATTTATTGGATGTGGATTTGGATTGGCATATGCATATGATATCGGATGGTGAACGACGGAGAGTGCAGCTTGTTATGGGTCTTATGGCTCCTTGGGACGTCTTGTTACTGGATGAAGTCACTGTTGATTTGGACGTACTTGTACGTGATGAGCTCCTTACGTTCCTTAAGAAAGAGAGCGAGTCGCGCGGAGCAACTATCCTCTGTAAGTACCCTTAATTTATTCCTTGATATATGCGTCCATACTAATAATTAAATCATATCTACAGATGCAACGCATATTTTCGACGGACTCAACGCCTTCCCCACAAGCATCATACACATGCGTCTCGGCGAGATAGTCGGCGAACCTCTACCCTGGCCTTCACCATCTCGTCTTATCGAGCTCGTAGCACTACCTACCACCATCGATAGCGAATTCACTCGTTCAGGCTCAACACTCCACATGACTGCCCTCCAATGGCTCAAAGGAGACCGTGAACATAGACGAGAACTCGAGCGAAATGGTCGCAAGATGCGTGGAGCGAGACGCGCGGTGAATGGTTCTGACTCTGTCCCCACAGATTCCGAAACGTTTTTCCGAAAGTATGTCGTCGTTGTTCCTTTATCGTTGACGTCAATGAAACCGTTCTCCAACCTCATTAACTAACCTTTGTAATTTAATTACAGGTACGACTATAATAACTAGCGCGTCATATTGATGAGCCGTGGATGAGTTTCAAACGTAAGTATCATTGAATGGAATAGATGGAATAGAGGAATACAAGAAACTCCCATACGAACCAAAGGAACGTCTCAACATACGAATCAAAGGAAATCAAGGAACATCTCAACATGTACACACTAGACACAACGAGCTCAACCTCTTTCTCAACTCTTCTAAGTTCTCTCTGTAGCAACTAGCACTACATGGCACAACGGCCTTGTCGGATTCCACTCCTCAGGCACATCATCATCACCCATCATCAGTCTCTTCGTCCTCGTCTTCCTCTTCCATTCGTCTACTTCTTCGATCTTCGTCTTCCATACCTTACTTTCTTCGTGCATCTCAAACTTGATAGAAGCATTGTAGATGCGGGAATACATGGATTGAGGATCTCCTTTGTTCGCACCGCTTGTCTTGTCATATTGGCAACGTACGCTACAATGATACATTTGCCAGGGATCTACTATCATCCCTCTTTGTTCATAGTAAAATTTTTAACAAGCGTAGCGGGAGTGCCCCAAGTACTCTCTCTAATTGAGATATCAAGTGAGTATCTACCTTATATACTACATAGTGAAGTCTGATAATCTGAGACATTCCAAGTGTAGTAATTCTACATAAGGCAATTGGGGATTTCCTAATCCAGAGCACAATCTAATACTCCCCTTCAAGCATTAATTAAGAACTAAGACTGTATGCCTAATAGTTTGTTTAGATGCTTGATCTGTAGGACATGGAGAGCCTTTGTAAGGATGTCTGCTAATTGGTTCTGTGATTGAACATAGTATACATCAATGTATTCATTTTGAATGTAACATTGTACAAAGTCTTTTTGTAAATCAAAATGTTTAGTGTGAGTGTTGTACATTATTTTGTCAGACTTTACAGTCTTTATTACACCTTGATTATTGTAATAAATTGTAATGGGTGCTGATTCAGTCTGCAGTACTTCTTCAGCAAATTGTTTGAGCCAAATAGCTTCTTGAGTAGTATATACTAGCACTTGCAACTCTGCTTTGTAAACAGATAGTAGTACCAGGTTTTACTGTTTGCTTGACTAAGATATGGTTAATTTAGCTAATTGAAAGACATAACTGTTTATTACTTTATGTCCTTCTGTCATTCATCTGTCTGTATCACAATAGCCTTGTAGTTTTAAAGTGTTTGTGCTTCCAAGTTGAAGCCAACAATTTGTTGTATATTTTAAATACACAAAGTAATGTTTCACTACTTTGTAGTAATACATTTAGGGCTTTTGTAAGTAGTGTGCTAATTGCCCAGTAATATAGGATATGTCTGACTGTGTACAGTCTACAACATATCTTAACAATCCTACCATATTCATGTATAGTATTGTTTCATTATTACTTTTGTTTGTATTGTATGTATTGTTTGTATTGTTAGATAGATCTATTCCAGGAGTAATAGGTGTTTGTAGTGCCTTTTTGTTTTCAAAGTAGTAACACTTGATTATACTTTCAATATAATACTTTTGCTATAAGCTAATTGTTTGTTGTAGTCTATCTCAGCTTATTTCAATACTAAGTAACTAATGTATTTTGTTACTGTTAGTAAATACAATGTGTTGTCTTAATGTATGTTTAAATACTGTTATTATAGCAATAGTTTTGCTAATAATTGTAATATTGTTGACATACATAAATGTTACAAGAATTGTTTTATTATTTTGTTTCTTGTAAAATACAGTGTGATTGTAATTAGCTCGTTCTAATCCGATCTTAAGTAGTAGTTTGGTAATCTTCTTGTACCATTGTCTACCTGCTTGTTTCAATCTGTATAACACTTTATTTAAGCATAATGCCTGTCCAGGTTTAATATCTGTAAGTAGCCTGCCTGGCAGCAGTTTCA